CCTAACCTAACCTAACCTAACCTAACCTAACCTAACCTAACCTAACCTAACCTAACCTAACCTAACCTAACGACTTTGAACTACCAGGAGGTAACTCGGCCACCATTTTCGAGGTATGATACAAAAACGGGAGCATCTTAGTCGAACTTGTCGTCTTTAAAGAAATCCACGACTCCATGTATCATGAATAAAAGACTGCTGTGCTTGAAGCAGCCCTTTTCGTAATACAACTCATAATGCGCTTCACTCACCCACCCAATGGCGATATTTCTCTTACGGACTTTTGAGCTAATATAATAAGTACTTACTAGTAATTTTGCATGTATAAATTATGCTGTTTGGCAAAATTTAAGGGTTGTATACATAATCAGAAAAGCAAGTTACCAGCGTGCTTGGATGTGAAATTTTGACTGACAGCTACATTAAATGCAATTGTTGACATTTGCGCGAGTTACTCTTAAATAAAACTGAGATAGCCCAAGCACATAGCTGTGATAAAGTATAGAGATTAAAATAAAACCACTAACCACTGAATTCGAGGTGAAAAGGTTAATTCTTGCATTAGCAGAAGATCGTAAGATGAATCATTATAGTTCAGTCCTATTCCTGATGCTCCACGCGTATGTAAATTTTTTGTATCGTCACTGAATAGTCAAAAGTTCCAGTATGGTGCCAGAAAAAAAAGGTATACTCGAAATAATGGTATGTTAAACATATCGAGGCTCACAGATATTGCCATTGAAGGTCTTGCGATTTAAAAGGTCAAGAATGCTTACAAGTGTTGCTGATGCTTTGAACAGACGATGCAATTGTAACCTTCAATACCACCGTTACTTCAGCCGGTGACATTTTCATCCGCATTCGTGCGTCGTAGGCCAAATGATAATCGTACAATAGCTAATAGTCTTTATATTTATATTTACTTTGCTTGGGTTCCCAAGTTGTTTCACTTATTTACATAGTAAAATTCACGCTTCCATCCTTGAAGCTCATCCTCCACCGTATAGAGCATTTTGTTCTCGAAAGAAAACTTACGACCTGCTTCTATTAATGGTTTATTTTGATATGGATTGTCATATTGTAGACATTATACACAGTGGTAATACATAGTACGTCAACTTATGGATACAAGAGTGGTGGGTAAATACAATGATAATATGGAGTGGTGGTAGTTTAATAATGCGTACTGAGTTAAGCCCCAAAAGACTCGAGGTGGATTCTATCAGACGTTACACCTAATCCTGAGAGTTGCTTGACTATAGAGACCATAAAACTGCTTGGTCCACAAATGTAATAGCGACTGTCAGGGTTGGATATGTGTAGCAATCCTCGGTCAAGCTTGTCTAAACCAGGTCTACCCTTCAAATGAGGTATGCTCTCAGATTGAGCATTGGCATCAGTGTAATAAAAGGCTGTCTTTAGAATGTTACCTTGGGTTTTAGCCAGAGTCCGTACATATTCGAGGAAAGGTTGACTAGATGGGGTTTTGTCAACCTGAATCCAAGTGATCTGTTGTTTGCTTTTTTGGTCTTCCAACATTGTGTTAAGCATACTTAAGACTGGAGTGGCACCAACACCCGCTGAAATGAGAACAGCAGGTCCATTGCTGTCCTTGGGGGTGAAAGATCCGAACGGACAAGTTATTTGAACGACGTCGTTTTCCTTAAGAACATCATGTATAACATTCGACACCTCTCCAGGTTCCTTCTTGACGCTGACTCTGAAATAATCATTACCGGGTGCCTCTGATAATGAGAATTGTCGGATTTGGTCGATTCCTAACGAAGGAACGTGAACTTTTATAGAAATAAATTGACCTGGGAAATATTGAAGGACTGTTTCTTGTTCCAAAGGTTGAAGATAAAGTGATACAACAGTATCTGTCTCATTAGACTTCCTGACAATTTTAAAATCCCTAAATCCTTGCCAGTGTGCTTTGTTATATAATGAAGACTCAGCATTTATTAAAATATGGGCGAGTTGCCAGTAAGCAGCATACCAAGCTTCAGCGATAGATTGTGTCAATTGGTCCTTCAAGATAGTTTTCATGGCGTCAAAAAGATACTTCTCAACTACGATGTATTGTTCTGCTCGAACGCCGAGTGAAGCATGTCGTTGAGTGATCCTATCTACCACTCCTAATAAAGGTGTAAGATCTTCAATGTTCTCAGCATACGCAAGAAGTGCTTTAGCCAGAAGTTCGGATTGCTTATTGCTCTGTGTTTTATGAACTTATATTAATAATGGCAGGAATATTACTCACAACTTGAGCTGAGTGATTGAAGAGCGCCTTGAGATCATCATTCTCAGCAATCATGTTCTTATACATGTACATCGTGATATCCAATCCCTTCTCCGCTAAGATTGGTGCAGTTGCTTTAATAAGATTACGCTGGTCTGCTGACAATAACCCTGGCTGTGGTAAACTCATATGTTATTTTATGGTTTTATTGATTTGACGAATGAGAGACTAGAAATTTGTAAAACAGTAGAAAGTCGAATTGTGGCAAGTTAATTTCGTACGAAAAAAAGAATTAGGATACAATTTTTATTTAAGCAAAGCCGTACACTAACGTTTGCTTGAATGAAATAGTTGTCATTAGTATTATCAATGACTTTTACTTTAGTGAGATTTCAGTGTTTGAAAATCATTTTAGCTGTAATTTGTCGGACGATGATCTCACTTCGTGTAGAAAATGAAAGATAACTAATAAAATATATAAAAGATAAACCGCCTTTAAGGTATTTCGACTGCGACTGTTAATTTTAACAAACAATTACAGCAAAACTTACTTGATTGGGGGAATCGGTATGTGTTATTTGGATCAACAACCCCTTTTATTTCCTGTAGCCTAAGATAATTTGGCCCATAATAGAGTTCTTGCCAATTGATGAGCCTTGGATCAACATAGTTTGGATATGCAGCTTTAGGCAACTCCGTAATGCTATCAACCATGCCATCTACGAGGCTGAACAGTGTCTCCTCGCTTTCACCCATCTCAGCGAAGAACTGGAAAGTGAGAAGGGTATTGCGGTGAGCAAAGCTTCTTTCCTGTGTTGATTTCTCATGAATGACTCCATTGTAAGGATCTACGATGATATACCAATCGTATCCTTGATTTTTCGCCTGTGCACCTGCATTATTCAAGTAATTGAAGAACGATAAACTTTGATCTACTGTCAAAGGCTCATTGATCATCAAGGATTTACTGTAGAATGGTTTTGGCTCGGCTACAGGCGAGAAGTCTCCGTAAATTTGTTTGTACATTTCAATGAATTCTGATGTTTGCGATACATCTTGTGAGTCGTTACTGCTGAGTTTCACACCCTCAAACAACGGCTTCACAATGACTTCAAAATCATCCTGACTGCCAAAATACATACCGTTAAGCTCAAACGACCCAGGTCCTAGAGTTATCCACGCGCTAAATTCATTCGTAACATTTCCATTTATAAAGCTTACGAACGCGTCAAACCTGTGATACGTTAGTAGTGTACAGAGAATTTTATTTACTAACGCATCAGCAGCACTTTCCGCGGTGCGGTTTATGAGGGAATGGCTGAAAATTACCGTATTTTCTGGAGCTCTTTCAGCTAAAAATGTAAATTGTGTGACGATAGCAAATGATGGCGCAGCCCCAGTTATGGCAAAAAAAATGTCTTCACCTTGTGTCACATTTGCAGCAGTTCCATTCGCATACACAATTTCAGCTTCAACTATTCTGTCAAGTAGTAGACCCATTTTACGTGACAATGGCCCATATCCACCGAAAGACGCATGCCCTCCAATACCAACTTGTGGGCATGTGCCACCAGGAAGTACAAGGTTGTCTTCATATATGGTTTTGTATAAATCCCAAAGATGATTTCCTGTACCTGCTCGTACTAAACTAGATTCCGTATCCACGTCTATGTTGTTAAAGTTGGTAACATCTATTGTTAAATCACCATCTTCTCCGCCGATAGCATATCCTGCATACCCATGACCACCTGATTTGACGGTTACTGCTACATTTGAATGAGTAGCAGCACATCTTACGCTATGTTGTACTTCTTGAGTTGAGTTTGGCTGCACGATGAATTTTGGCGAATATTGAATGCGTGAATTCCAAGTTTGTCTAACCGTGTCGTATAGTGTGTCATCGGGCGCGATAACAGTAATGTTTGATGCCCGTAAACATTCTTCTAACGTATCCCCTAATGGTAGATTAAGTGCATCTGTAGCAAACACTGATACTATTAGAGCCGCTACTAGTGGAAATAAAGTGGACGTCTTCATTTCTCGAAGTCACAGGTGAGAAGTGCGATTGGAATGAAGATGAATGAAGTAAATGAAAATGACACTAAAATTAGTGAAACTTCATATTTATTCTACTGAGAAAATATATTACATTCCCTTTCTGATGATGACGACAGTTTGCAACAATCTTATCAGACACTGCTTTTTACATCTATGAAAAAAAAACTTGGTACTTCTTGGTACAAGCAATATCCTTTGCATGTCTAAAATAGTTTATCCTTTCTATTATCTAACTTTGACTCATAAACACATTGCCTTAGAACTTTTTGGTTGGGAGATTTAAAGGTGTACCAGAAGGTACTGGCGAGTCAGTGAAACGTGAACGTGCTATACGTTGAGCGAGAGCATCTGTCATTTCAGCTGAGGGTTTTGCAGATGAAGTCTTCTCTATAAAGCTGCGCTGCTTAACGGAAAGAACAGAATATGCGAGATCGAGACGTGGTGTTTCAAGTCCAAATTCACGTGCACGCTGAACCATTGATCCTAAAATGCACTATATGTGTTGTCATTATTATGTAACAACAAAAAGTATTTACCCACTTGCAATTCCATAGGACGTGAGTGCTCATAATCGATTAGCATTGAAGGTTTGAAGCCAGCACGACCTGCAGCTGCTTCCTCATTTTCACCTTTGCGTTTTTCGTCTGCATGCAGTATGCTTCCGAATTGCTGAAGGGTAATTGTGAGCTGTTCATCAACAGCAGTAGCAGGAAGATCTGAAAAGCTTTAGTAATGCTTTATATGATGAAATAAAAACATACCATCCTCAGAAATACCAACAGCGCGAGCAGTGAAGAGAATTTCTAACATTGTCCGCCTAGCGATTGGTATCACAAATTGTAAATTGTCGTCTCGCATGAGTTCTGACATTGGTTCGCCTGCGAGTGTTGCAAGAGTACTGAATGTAGCATTCCACAGATTCTTCTTCCATCTGAAAGGTTGTATGTCCGGCACATCCTGTGTTTGAGAGCCACCTTCACGTAGAAGAGTTGCCAAGTCATGCACAAGAGTATCAGCTTCCCTCCCTGGCATGCTTGACAGTACAGGCTGATGATTTGGTCCTCTTAATTCACCCTTAAATCTCCCTATAACCAGTCTCTCCTACAAACCTTGTTAATGTGTAAAATAGGAATTTGTAAAGCTCACGAGATCGTTGTGAATAACCCTGCGAGAATCTCTCAGGTTTGCGCCAATCCAGATAGCACCACTGATGATCGTCGCATTTGGGAGAACAGACTGAAGAGGCTCTTCAATTCCGAGACCATTTTGCAATAAAACAAAACAATTCGAGCGGTGTAAGCAGGGACCCAGTATCTCCTCGGTTGGGTGGACATCTGGGAGATGTTTGAAGGTGCAAATAATATATTTGTAGTCTCTGTCAGCAGCTTGGTGCGTATCATGAAGTGTTCTATACGGTTTCCAGTTGTGTTTACCGAATTTCGCGGATTCCAATTGAACACCTTGATCTTGAATTATTTGATAATTCGAGCGAGCGACAGCTGTTACTCTCACACCTTTTGATTGCTCTAATATCCATCCGTAGAGTACACCGACTGCACCAAATCCAACGATAAGAACGTCGTCAACCATAGGAGATAATCGATGTTTGAGTTAGAGAGTGAATATTGGAGAGCTGTTATGTGATCTAGCTTAAATCTATTATATTTTCTAGAAATAGTACAAGGTTTTTTGTGCTTCTATATGACTCATCTGTGCTAGCAATCTCCGATGATGTAAGGAAGTACATTTATGTCATGACATTTCATTCTGAAATGTTAATCAATTGCGATTAGTTTCTGGCCACTACGCTATCATAGCTTCAAATCCGATAAACTAACATTTTACATTTCACATTTTCGCTGACCATACGTCAAAAGTTCAGACAAACACAATTATTACGTTGACTTGATAATTGCATTTTACTTGCTCCATGTTGAAGAGCTTGAAGGTATATTAGTGCTTTAAACAGCGTGAAACGCACGAAAACTTCGAGGAGTGACCTTCTTCCAAGCAACATTCATGTTAACGATTTGTTATTTGATATCACTAATGACTCTAATTAGCACAATATAAAAACATAATTAAAGTGAATAAAAAGGTATCAATAAGGAAATCAGAAATACTACATTAAAAAGATTGTTTAAGATCAGACTACACTAATAGTTCAACCGACAACTTCTGATAACATTAAAAGTCATCGTCGTCATCAGATAAGTCTACGTAAGTTGGCATTGCTTTGGTGGTACGACCAGACTTTGCGCGTGGAGCGACAGGCATTGAATCATCTTCTTCGCTATCAAATCCATCCTCAGAGTTAGCAGCACTTCTTTTTCCCTTGCTTAATGGTTTGTCTTCCTCAGAACTTTGACACAAATCAGTATCAATCTTATATAAAGTATGGACTTACTCGTCAATTACAGATTTCTTCTTTGCAGGGGCTTTCTTAGCTGGAGCTTTAGTTGATTTCTTAGCTGGCTTCTTTTCGGGGCTTTCAGAATCCTCAATCTTCGTGGAAGCCTGACGCTTCGCTGGTGGTGAATCACTGGCGTTTTCATCAGAGTACTTCTACAAAAATACATACAAACCCACTCATCGCTTTCAATCTTATGTTTCTTCGCAGGTGCTTTCTTAGTAGTCTTGCTAGTGACTTCAATATCATCTATATTATCTTTCTCCTCCTTCTTAGGTTGCGTCTTCTTCTTAACAGGACTAGCCTTTTTGCGTTTTGGCGCTGCAGAGAAGTCATCATCATCATCGTCATCATCACCGCGCTTTTTTTTCATAGCTTTTTGTACCCGCTTGGCGGTTGCACCTTTATTTTTCGATCCTTTCTCAACTTTCTTTGCATCTTCAATGTCTTTCTCCAAAAGTGCCTCCCATTCTTCCATAAATTTATCAAGATCAACGTTCCAAAGATCTTGTGGTTGTAGCTTGGCAAGATTGTTAAGCTCTTCTTCCTTAGAATCACGTTGTTTAAGGAGTTGTTCCATTCTCTCCATGGTTAAGCTAGAGATTTGCATACTAAGTAGGTAATCATAGTCGCCCGCACCACCAACGTTTTCTTCTTCCTCCTCATCTTGACCGATGATTTCAACTTCACCGGGTCTCTTCTTCTCTTTTTGCTTTGGATATGGCGTAAACTTCTTTGCGCGTAATTCGTCCACGATATCTTTACGTTTGCGGTTTGAGATGATAAGTTCGCGATCGATAATCATTTTAATAAAGCGAGCTTGATTTGAAATACGATCGAAGGCAATACCGAGTTCGTGCATTTGATAATCCTGGTTAGATGTAAGTAATTGAAAAGAAAAACTTTGAAAAATCTCACCTTTCTCAATTGATAGTATTTCAAACGAATGTAGAAAAACTCTTCCAGGATCTCTTCGGGTGCAGTATATTTCTTTATTTTACCATCTGAATTGAAGCAAACAATATTAGAAGTAGCAATTGAGCTATTAAGTTTGAAATACTCGTGAAGACCTTTACTGAGCGCAGTCTTCATTTGATTCTTTTCAAGAGTGACAATAAACTCGACAGTAGTAGTGGTATCATGCTCTTCATAGTCCTTGATTAGAGGCTGCTGCTTATCCGATCCTTGTACCCATAGTTTCAATTTTTCTTCCTTATATGGAACCGTCCAAACACGAACAGGAAGTTCAGTAATGCGAACCTTATCATCATCAATTTGCTCAATGATACCTTGATTTTTGAACCTATCATTGCTCACGCGTTCAATGTTTCCTGTGAAACCACGGTACCAAGGTATCATTGGTTGTATATCTTGATTGTTAAGCTTACGACGGATATTCGCGACAAGGTCTGATGGGTTGTAGTTCGGAATAGTGGTAGACCATCCAGTACCAATACCGTCAGCACCATTTACCAAAACCATTGGTATAATAGGAACATACCATTCCGGTTCAATCCATTCATCATCTTCTTTGAGGTAAGTGAGGATAGGATCATCATCAGGATGGAAGATAGTACGAGTAATACGTGGAATAGCAGTGAAAATGTAACGAGCAGCAGCAGCATCTTTACCACCTTCTCTACGAGAACCGAATTGACCGTTTGGAGAGAGAATGTTTAAATTATTGGATCCAACAAAATTCTGTGCCATACCAACAATAGTTTGAAAAAGAATTGTTTCACCATGATGGTAAGCAGTGTTTTCAGCCACAGACATACCAAGTTGGGCAACTTTGATTTCATTCTTGAGGTTTCTCTTGATTGTACCGTAAAGAATCTTTCTTTGACCAGGTTTGAAACCATCAACCATAGAGGGGATGGAACGAGCGTTGTCTGCCATTGAGAAAAGAATAAGTTCCTTATTAATGAAGTCCTTATATGATAACTCCTCAATGTCCTGGTCAAGGAATGTACGAGGATTGTACCCTCTAAGCCATTCTTTACGATCCTCAGTGCGCTTCTTGTTGAAAGCCATATCGATAAGTTCACGATCGCCTTCTTGAGTTGCAGAGAACGGTATACGATGGCGGTCAAGCGCTTTAAAGTACTGACGAGCTTCTTCATCAGATGAAGTACCCAAACCCTTGTAGTACTTCAATCTCCAACCACGACCTTCATCATTTTCCGCCTTCCAATGCTCGAATTCGGGAATAGTGAAAAAGCTGACCTCCTTGTTACGCTTGAACAGCTTAATAATTGGTGTAATGAACTCGACTAAGAAACCTGGAATTTTCAAAAGTGATGGATAGAAATGATCAAAGTAGTTAATAAGCAAACCCTTAATGTGAGAACCGTCATGATCTTGATCAGTCATGATCATAATACTACCATAACGTAACTCAGTAATTGATTTGTATTCCTTCTTGTGAGCCAATCCAATGATAGTCTTAATGGAGGTTATCTCCGCATTGTTCATGATACTTGTGTGGGAGGCATCTCTTACGTTTAAAAGTTTACCGCGTAATGGAAAAACACCGTAGTAATCTCTACCGACAACTTGGGAGCCAGACATGGCAAGTGTTTTGGCGGATAAACCTTCGGTAAGAATAAGAGTGCATTTGTGACCTTCTCTACTCCCCGCCTTGTTCGCCTCTTCGTAATCTTTGATGGATACTTTCGATTTTTTTGTCTTAGTGTCACCCTTAGCCATCTGGCGATCAGCATCGAATTTAGCCCAATCGAGGATATTGTCTACAATACCAGACTTGGAGACCTTCTTATGAAAATCTTCAGACAATGGGCATTTAGAACCGAACTGAGTTGCTTTAAGTGTGAGTGTCTCTTTTGTTTGTGAATCGAAAGCTGGATTTTCAATCATAGAGTTGACGAATACCCACATTTGGTTCTTCATTTTACCTGCAGTAACGTTGGCACCTTTATTCTTTTTCTTAATGATTTCACCGAGTTTGGTGGTAATTTGGTTTGTAACGTGATCAACGTGAGTACCACCCTTCGTGGTTGCGATGGAGTTAACGAAAGAGACTTCTCTAAAGACGCCATCACTAAGTGCAAACGCAACCTCCCAACGATCATTTACGCGCTCATGAATGATAGTTGGCTTTTTTGTTGAGCTTTCACCCTCATTGTCGATCGTTGATGTAACGTACATCTCAACGTACTGTTTAAAATTACGAATTGGAAGGCGTGTGCCATTGAGGTAAACCTTGACACCTGGGAGACAACCAGCCATATCGTAGACTCTCTTGGTCATTAGTGCATACATATCATCTGATATCTTGTCCATGCCAAAGCGGGCAAGATCAGGTTTGAAAGTGATCTTCGTATACTCCTCTCCTCTACTATTGCTAGTAATCTTTGGGGTTTCTCTGTCTCCCATGTTGTTACGGAACGTTTGCTTGAACTATGAAGATTTTAGCAAGGAATTACTAATTATGTCCAACTTACTTTCTTCCCGCCCTCACTGTCGGCAGTTTCAACTGTGAACTCAGTTGAGTAGATATTTGTGAGCTTAGCACCGAAACCGTTACGACCACCCGTGAGTTTTTTGTCATCATCGTCATAATTAGATGATGTTAAAAGAGATCCAAAGATAAGTTCGGGAATGTAAATCTTTTCCTTTGAGTGGATTTCTACTGGAATACCCTTACCATTGTTGTGAATATGTATTTTGTTTGACTCTCTATCAATCTCAACTTTGAGGAGGTCCATTCTAGGATCACGAGTTTTGTTATCTGCAGCATTAACTAGGATTTCGTCCATAATCTTATATAGACCTGGTACTATTGAGATATCCTTTTCAACGAGAGCCTTAGTTTCTTCGTCGAAAACCCAGTGCTTATCTTCATGTGACATACAACTACCGATATACCTTGGACAAGCGTTAGAAATGCACTACGTTATATCGCCACAATACTCACATATCTGGCCTTTTCAGAACATGCTCAAGTTGGGAGAGCTATATAGCGAATATTAGAAACATACGCGTAGTTCATGAGTTACGCACCTTCTGATAAGTTTCTGAAGCTGATTTTTGCTTGCTAGAACTAGATTTAGGCTCTGGAACATCAATATCATCGTCATCGTCACTTTGCGCTGATTTGCGCTTATTTGAAGTAGATTTTTTTGCTTTAGGTGGTGGCATCGCTACATCACTACCATCTGAGGCCTCAAAATCATCTTCCTCAGATTCGGATGCAACTTTCTTTTTAAAGCTCAGTTTTGTCTGTTTTGGTGGCATATGAAATCGCTTTAAATTGATAAGACTATAATTGACCAATCGTAGCCTGGGTAGTGCTCTATATAGTGTCACTACTCGAGAAAGATTTATCGTCGTTTAAAAGAGAGGCGTTCTTCACGCGTTTATCAACACAAAGTAAAGAAAAAAAGTTAAAAATATAATGCAGGTACAATATATCTAGTATCAAGCTCTACTTTCAATAAGAGTGCAAGCTGCTGATCCAATCTGTTTCCGTATATCGTGGTGGTCGACGTCGTGAGCTGATGTCGCGTCAGTCGTAGAGAATTGATAATAAATATTACTCACAGTCCTCTACCTCACCCCAGCGTGCAATTTGTGAGAGAACCTCTACGCGTGCTGCTTGTGATGCATCTTCAATGCTGAGATGACCATCTACGACAGCTAATGCAATCAAGAATGACTTTGTGTGCATAACAATTCTCTCGAAGGCTGAATAACTCTGTTAGAGTAGTCAAATTTGGTAAGATATACCCACCTGCTAATGTAAATGCATCGAATTGAAGAATTTCATTGTGAAGAAGCTTCCGCGATTCTTCTGGTTGCTTACTTGCAAGAACATTCTCAAATACGTGAATAGGAGTATTGTAACGCTTATTTGCCCATTCAACGATTGGTCTCCAGTGCTTTTCTTGAAGTTCGACCAACTGACTAGGCTTGTCTTCAAAGTAGCAAGTGGCGTCGGTTTCAAAGTACTTTATGAGCTTATCACAGGTCTCGATCCTCTCAGATTGGTCCTTGAAGGAATCCAATGCTCTGGATGCTAAAGAAGTGATAGGAAGAGCGTGGGCCTTGATAACCTTATCCTGTGACTGCCACTCGTGAGCTATTAAAAGAGCGAGAGCGCCTTTGTTTGAAGGCAGATCTATAACGTTCCCAGCTGGAGTTCTCAACTTTCTGGTGTCGAGGTGTACGATGTGTCTTCCATTTGAGTTACTAACGTTTGCCGTTTTCCAAAATCTTTTCATGGTACGTTCAGCAGCTGTATAATGTATTAGAATAGGCGTCAGGTTCTGTATCCACCCACCAGCTGCTTGTGACTTCGCAGCAACATCTGTAATCTCAGCAACGGCTTCTGAGAGAAGAGAATTAAATCTAGGGCGTCCTATAGATTTACTAATGAAGCTATTGTTGCTAATTTTTCTTAATAACATCAAAAGTATTTTTATCAATCAGCGTATCTCACAAGCTTCTTGAGATACTTTCAAGTCGATGTTGCAAATTATAGCGGTCGTTATATCTCTAGTCGTAGCAGTCTATATCTTCAAAGATAAGCTCTACAGTCAAGAGAAAACATCAGAGAGCGCACCAGTTGTCAGCTCAGCTACACGCAACATCGTAGAAAAGATGGAATCAACTAGAAAGCGTATCATTATATTCTACGGTTCACAGACAGGCACAGCAGAGGAATATGCCCTTAAGATCGCCAAAGGTGTGTGCTTTCTCAAAATCAGACCACTCTAACAACCCACAGAGTTAAAGCATAAATACGGTTTAGGTGTTATTATTGCAGATTTAGATGACTACGATTTCGATAGCTTCTCAAAATTCAACCAAGATTGGGCTGCTGTCTTTGTTATGGCAACTTACGGTGAAGGTGAACCAACCGATAACGCCGTAGCCTTCATGGAATTCCTGGACTCACCGGAACTTGAAGATGGTGCAGAGAGCATCCCTAACCTTCAATATCTCGTCTTCGGATTGGGCAACCGAACATACACAGAGTTTAACGGTACCGCACGTAAAATGGACGCCAAATTACAAGCTTTAGGCGCTAGACGTATTGGAGAGAGAGGTGAAGGTGATGATAACAAGAGTATGGAGGAGGATTATCTCGCTTGGAAGGATGGCGCTTTCGAGGCACTCGCGAAAACACTCAACGTTGAAGAAGGAAACGCTGCTCAAGAGCCTGACTTTAGAGTTACAGAAATTACTGATATTCCAGAGGAGAAAGTCTACCTCGGTGAACTCTCAGCTAGAGCTTTACATGGTACGAAAGGTATTCACGACGTCAAGAACCCATATGCAGCACCAATCATCAAAGCGGACGATCTTTTTAAGGTTGGAACTGACCGTAGTTGCGTTCAAGTGGAACTATCAACCGAAGGTAGCAACATCAACTATCAACACGGTGACCATGTTGGCTTATGGCCAGTCAACGCTGAAGTTTACGTCGAAAATACCTTGAACATCCTCGGCCTTGGTAACAAACGCCAAACTATTATTCAAATTGAATCTCTTGATCCTGCTCTTGCAAAGGTACCGTTCCCTCAACCAACCACCTACGAATCAGCCTTTAGACACTACTTGGACATTTCAGTAGTAGTGTCTCGTCAAACACTTGCACTTTTCGCAAAGCATGCTCCAAATGAACAAGCTAAGAAGGTATTAACAGAGTTAGGTACTAACAAGGATAAGTATAAAGAAGTTGTTTCAGACCACTCAATGAAATTATTTGAAGTACTCGAATATGCCGCAAAGGAAACATGGAAAATCCCATTCGATGATATTGTGTCATCAATTCCACGCCTTCAACCACGTTATTACTCAATCTCATCATCTCCAAAACTAAACCCAAATTCTATCCATATCACAGCGGTAGTTCTGCAATACAAGTCTGTAGGAAATTCAAACAAGAATGTATATGGATTAGCAACAAATTACGTTCTCAACATTAAACAATCAATTAAAAATGAAAACATTGCATACAGTGCTCCAGTAGATGCACAATTGGTAGCACCACCAAAGTATGCCATCCAAGGACCAAGAGGAGCTTATACTCGCGATGGCGGATTTAAGGTACCTATTCATGTTCGTAGATCAAACTTTAGATTACCAAATTCACCGAAGATTCCAATTATCGCAATTGGTCCGGGAACTGGTGTTGCGCCATTTAGAGGTTTTGTTCAAGAGAGAGTACACCTTGCTCGTCGTTATAAAGAAAAGAAAGGAGAGGAGGCTCTCAACGATTGGGGTAAATTTTACCTTTTCTATGGATGCAGAAAAGGTGATGAGGATTACCTCTATAAAGATGAATGGCCTGAATATGGTAAGGAGTTGGGTGATACATTTGTCATGAAGACTGCAATTTCTAGAGAAGGTGACAAGAAGGTCTATGTTCAAGATCACATTTGGGAAGCCAGACAGGAATTAGCAGATGCAATCTTGGAAAAGCGTGCTTATATTGTGAGTGTAAGAATACTTCTAGAAAGACTATAACTGATCTACCTCATTAGTACATCTGTGGTGATGCTAGCAACATGGCAAGACAGGTTGAAGAGACACTCCAACGCATTCTTGGAGAAGCCAGAGGTGGAACGATGGAGAATGAAGGTGCACAAGAGATTCGTCTTCTCAAGGAAAGAAATAGAGTGAGTGATTATATATTTGCAAATCAATGATGATACTAACAGCAAGCTTCAGATTCTCACGGACGTCTGGTCATAGATGGTTTAATACAGATAACTATAGATAATATATCATTTTAATACATTTCACTTTTATATTTTCACTTTGACAATTTCTTCTTCCTTGTTTACGACAATCATGTCTTCCACTATCGACGCCAGCCAAATACTGGCAGAACACAGCAAGAAATACAAGCCAACACAAATATCTAGAGAAATACCTATAGAGAATGATCTCAATCTGCTCACTGCCTTTGACACGAACGCCATCAACGCAGATGAATTGAAATCTAACCGTGAGAACTACGTTAAAGAATTGAGCAGAGATTCAGTACAAAATCTTATAAACGATCTCTTCAATCAACCTATCACAAAAACTTTAGATGGTCCATTAGCGAAATTGCCAGAAGAGTCTGTCTATCAGCTCCCTAGAGAGAAGCCATTACCTAAACCTAAGGCACTCACTAAATGGCAGAAATTCGCTAACGAGAAGGGTATCAGCCACAAGAAGAAGGACAGAATGGTGTTTGATGAGGACGAGCAGAAATGGGTTCCAAGATGGGGATACAATGGTATCAACAAAAAGGAAGAGAATCAATGGTTACATGAGCTTAAAGAAGGCCAGGGTACGTTCTATTACATCCGCTACAAATCAATCACTAACAAATTATCAGACGAGGACCATAACCCAGCATCCGCTATCAAAGGTGCAAGAAAGGAGCGCTCACTTAAGAATGTCAAGCAGCAACTCAAAAATGAAGGTATCACGAAATCCATCCAAGAGAAGCAAAAAGCCGAGGCTGCAGCTAAGCGCGCTGAGAGAGCTCAACATAAGCAAGAACTCGAAAAGAGCTTACACAGATCAAAGATTAGTACAGCTTCTTTGGGTAAATTCGATAAGAAACTCTCTGGTGAACCTACACTTAAGGGTCAGAAGAGGAAGTTCAACCCAGTCACGAACACCTCAGATGAGCACAAGTCAAATCGTGAAATACTTGATAAAGTTGCTACAGGTGCTGGTAAACTCAATAAATCTACTGGTTCAGGCTCAAAGGATTTAGTCAACACACGCCGAGCTATCAACTCAACAAAGAAGTCAAAGAAGTAGAAACTTAATTAATTAACTTATTGTATTTGTGATACTTTTGGAATTTATTAGACTCTAAATTTTAACACAGTGAGCTTTCTTTATTAATAAAATCATGAGAAATATAAATACATGCTGTTATGAGATCAACAAACTATCGAACTGCGATTGTTAGCATTATCATCAAATCACTTTATTAAGCTCACCTCAAATTATAATTAATCCTGAGGAAATAGAAATGCAAATAGAGAAACGAGCTACTGATGTCTATGATGTATTTTTGATAGGGGTACTCTGCTGTTAATTAAATATAGCCGATTTATCTCGTCCATATTGGATATAATGAATTTGAATAACATCTAACAGCACCCTTACCAACCTCCGACGAAACCTCCTTGTTGTCTCCATTGACGTTCCCACTTTGCTGTTCTCCATCCATGATAAGCGGGGTCGGTGCCAAATCTCATTAAATCTTCTAGCCAAATTTCGTAACTATCCTTTTTACCTCCAAGAAGGTTGAAACATTTACCTCTTGGTCCATCATAAATTTCAATTGCTGAGCCAGACGATGGCTTATTTGCTAAAGCCTTGCTGCTCTTCTTCACGCTAGCGAATACTTGACTTGGTGTGGTAGTGTCTGAATTAGCACCCTTGAGTAACTGTGCGTGAGCGAATACTGGTCTTGGTTCGAATGTGTTCAAATCAAATTGAATCTTAGTGTGACCACAGAACCTGATATTTTTGTCTCTGCTGATTGGAGTTGGTGCACCACCTGCAGCTAACCAATTTGGCGCATGGACGTATGGTATTCTAAGGAAATGGAAGGCGTATCTGAAAGTATCCTTGTCACCACCAGCTAATTTGAACCAATATTTGTGATTGTCTGCCATGAAAGCAGCAATGTGAAGTGCAGCCAAGTTCATTCCATCGTTACCAGCTTTATCGAACATTATTTGACCTAGATGTATTTAGTAAGAATACATTGAAAGGTTATGTAACTCACCTGAGTCAATTCTCCATTCATCTGATTTGCATGGAATACCTAATATTCTCCAAATTGGGTTTGCAGGGTGGTCTTTCTGGAAGTCTGGCCAAAATGTGACTCTTGGAGAGGAAGAATCAGAGTACATCGGATCTTCAAAGAGAACATCAGGATTTCTAATCGGGATGTTATCACTATCCATGTAAAGAACCTCTCTAAATGAAGAGTCACGGATTGCGTGAGCCTTTATTTGATAATTATGCTCATCATCACTTCTAACGTCCTTTGTTACACCATCAATGTATCTGACAGTTGCATTCAATGAGGCATATGTAGCGTTAATATCCGTAGACAAACGCTCGTCACGGTATTGAAAAATTTCTGCCGGCCAGGTAAAGTTCATGTTTCTGAGCAGTTTGAGAGAAGTGATAGCTCTTTGATGTGTATCCTTATTGCCTGCTGTAATAACTAAACCCCTAGTTGTCTCATTACGTGCTAAACCAGCTTTTTCGAAATCGTAAACTGCGTCGTCACCAAGAACTTCCAAATGATTGATAATTTGGGATCTAATATTTAATATTTCTTCTGGTGTGACATTTTCCCAATTTTCTAATTCTTCTTTCAATTGCTGCGTATCACCCAGTAACTCGTGAGTTTTTGGTAAACAAATTGCTGAGTTTGTATCATATGCTTCGGTGTGATTGAGAGCAGGTTGATCCAGAATATCTGCTAGTCTAGAGCTTAACTGATCAGGTAGATCAGGTAGTTGTGTTGGATATTTATATATAGCAGGCCTATGACTGAAAGTCGAGCGAAGGTGTGAGAAATCTGAGCTACTTAATTGACTGCTTTTATTTAATAACAATAATAAGCTAAACGTAGACAAAATTATAGTTAAAACGAGTATTCCCCTTCTAGTGATCATCGTAGCACCGCAGTAAGTGATGAGAGCAAAAAGAAGGCATTTCTCTGAGGAAACTGCGTCTAGGTGTGAGGTAAGACTTGATTTACAATGATCGGTTCTAATATTAAATATCTATGTAAAACCAATATACTTTTTATCGTTTATAACGTTTTTGAGTTATTTTAGCCACTATGCGTGTGCCTCGCGTTGCCGTAAACTTTTTAGGGTGATAGATTAATATAAATTATACAACAATAGTTTCTGCATACCCTACATTTATCCTTTGTTTATACTAACTATTACTTATAACTGTCATAACATTCTTTACCCTTAGTGTGAGAGTATCTGCTTCATCGCATATACAACATAGGATTTATATTCCAATAAAAAGTTACACATTGCTTTTCATTTTAGCGTCCGCTATCTTTTAAGGAACATACAGCCGGAAAATCCCTCTGTGTTTAGTAGTTACACGGGTTATTGGGAGATATGGTAGTAATATAACTAATTTTTCTATGAAATAAACCGCTGTTAAGAGTAATATCTATTTTTCTTGTTATATTCCTAAAGACAGCGGACATATGTATGACGTCATAACATGAGCAGACTCCAAAGATCGTATACTAAACAGATGGAAAAGGCTTCACTGAAGTTCCACTGTGATTTTGTTATTTGTGCATTTAATTCATGAACTGTTCTCATTAGCGAATTCCCTTACCAGGGTGAATATATCATTAAATATCTATATTCTATTTCTAAACGTTCAATCTATAATACATTACTTTCATTTATATGTGCAATTTCTATCGCTTTGCTATATTTTTGTTACGTCATCGACACCTTCTCCCTTCACTGAAGGGAAGGTCCGCTTTGCATTCCTAATTAGATACGACCATTATGGTTAACAGAACACTTAAAATATGCTTCCTTAAAGCAGACACGCTACCATATGAAGCTATAAAGCACCATGGAGAATACGAAGAAGTTTTACAACAATTGATTAAACCATTATGTAATAGTTCAGATGTGGACGTTGATTTACAAATATCTAAATATGATGTCGTTGAAAGGCAATATCCAAAGAATATAGGGACATACGACGCTGTCATCATTAGTGGATCCTTCGCTGACTCAAGTATTGATGACAAAATGTGGGTTTTACGTTTATGTGGCTTTCTTATAATGTTACATGACGAACATCCTCATATCCGTCAAATCGGAATTTGTTTTGTGAGTCAAATTTGCACAAGAATATGCACTTATTAAACTTACTAAGGGAATGCAAGTACTAGCAAGAGCATTTGGTCCCAGCAAAATCGTAGCTAATCCAAAAGGATGGGAAGTTGGTTCAACAGAGTTGAGATTAACAGAAGTTGGGAAAGACCTTCTCAACCCTGATGTGACAGATAAAAAAGACGTTCTGAGACTTCAGCAGATTCACCAAGATTGTGTTGCAGCAATGCCAAGCCAATTTGAACTTTTAGCAAGCTCTGAACGAACGCCTATACAAGGTTTAGCTAAGTACTATGATGATGATACCCCAAGAGGATTCACCAATGCACCGGATGTTATACCTGAAGGTAAATTTGGACATGTACACATTATAGGGTAAGACATTATACCATAAATATGACCGTTACTAACTAGATCAGATTGCAAGGACATCCTGAATGGTCAGGATCGATCATTCTGTCATTAATTAAGGAATACGAACGTGAAGGAATATTCTCCACAGAATACGCAAACGAAGTGAGTGAAATAGCGAAGAAACCAACAGATGCGTTGCACATTGGAAGAGCATTGATGAAGATACTTGGAATAAATACTAAAAAGGATGATGAGAAGGCTATTTAAATTATTGTATTTATAGAAATGTTAATTTCAAATGCATAATGAATAAATTATTATTATAATTCTTAATAATTTTAATCAGTTTTCCAAGCTTGGACTCTCTCCTTGAGGTACTTCTCCAGCCGTATTGCATTCTTGGTGTAGCTACTATTCTCACCATTATAGGCTTTGCAATTGTTGAAAATTTTACTGGCATCATTAAGGAAAGCGTCAAGGTTTTCATAAACATTTTCTTCAAGCCTTTGCTCCATTGTACTTAAATCCATCGGTTCTTTGATTACCTCATAATAATCTGTAACTTCATCCTTATTGACTGGATTAAGGAAGGCCCACGAGGAAGCATGATTTTGGAGGTCAGATAGTAAGTGGTGCATAATTGCGAAGTCTGGGTTACGGGCTGGTCTTTGGCATAAAGCGTCCATTTCGGGATTCCATCCAGTTTCACCTGATGATTTTGTTAAAAAAGTGAGTTGGAAGTAAAAAAAAGGAGTACTCACTCAAACCTGGTACATCTCTATAATCCAATTTGAAGCCTTCAGGAGCATCTTTAAATTGATGCAATCCATCATGTACAATGTGTGACTTGGAGTATTCACGTATCTTGGCTAAAGCGATCTTTAGAGACATGTCAGATAAGAAAAGTTTATATTTGGAATTCCCTCACATCTTTTTGTCGCGTTAGCGTGTCATGAACATCCAAATATTTGATTTTAGGTAACATCGAGCACTATAAATATCAATGTTGGTTTATGATAGAACGTTTAAAACCACCTACCTGCATGAGAGTACCACCTTCATAATCTTTGATATATCCTGTCCAGATTTCACGCGGAAGACTGATCTCCTTGGTAAAACCTTGCTTTTTAAAGTATCCAACCGCATAGTTATCAGCATAAGTTAAGAAATGCCTACTTGAGGAAGTTGATTTTATGTAATCTTTAAGGTGATTCATGAGATGAGAACCATATCCCTGGTAGTTTGTTAGCAGGAATAAAACAATAAGTGGCTATGACTCACTTTTACCTGCTCCGTACCAGTGATAGCACAGAAGACAATCTCAGAGAAAGCTCTACTTTCGAATGGTCGCCATGTGATACCACCTCTAACCTGCAAACCTTCTTTTACGATGGCCATTGAACGATGGTTCCTATCATAAACCAGGCGAGCTATATACTCTCTAGGCATTTTTGGTAATTGTTTCTGAAAAATTGCTTTAAGACCAGCTAGAATGATTAAATTCTGTGTTTGTTCCTCTTCAGGTAGACTTGGATCATTTTTCACTACTTTAAATTGAATGATCTTTTGTCGTTCTTCAATTACAGCAGGTCGCTGCTTCTTTGGTTGTGCTTCTTTAGCTGCATCATCTGCATCGACAGAAACGCCAACTGTTAGGGCATCGACGTCTACGTTCGCTTTTTGCTTTGGTTGTTCAGGTATTACATCCTCATCTACTTGCTCTACTTTAAGTTTTTTCGTTGGTGGTTGATCGTCTTGCTGATTTTCTGACTTTGGGAGGGGTATAAGTTGTCTGCAGGGTGTTATTCGATACGAACATAGCCTATATAATATACTAACTTTCTCAAACTATCGATATCTTCATCTGTATAATCGAAGTCTTCTAATTTATTTTTGTCCTTAAATGAGATAAGAAAAAAGCGCTAATAAAGAGAAATGACGTACTTTTAAGAGTTCATCTATACGTAAAGCGACTTTAGCTCTTCGTATTTCCTCTTCTGGATCATCATGCTGGTGGGTATGTTGACTAAGTAATCTAGTACAGGCGCAAGGTTGATTTTGAGAGATGCTTAAATGATTAGTACTCAGAACTAAGGTAGAACCTTCAAATGGTCTATAACCGTCGCAAATATCAGATTTTGTATGCCTGCTAATCAACAGCCTCCGTGATATTGAGTGGTGTATTGATTGAGGAGATGGAGATAAATAATGCCAATTAGTATCTAAGCCCATAGCAGACGACGCAGGCGATAAAGAGGAAGTCGTGCTTTCGTTACCGTCGACTTGCATCATGAGCGTGATTAAGAAGAAGATATTCCCGTAAGTTGATCCCGTACCATCATCATAGATATATCCAAATGGAAGCTAAATTGTGAGTTATAATATGTATATCTATACTAAGAAATATTGATAATTGGGATAGAAAAGCACTCAAAGTGGGAGATCTCAAGGTATGACCTAGTTAGACTATAATTAGAGTCCACCTAATATGAACGGAATAGGAACTCCTTCAGAAAGCTAATCTACCTGTAGTTGGTAAGAAAGAGGAATTGATACAGAGGATATTACAGAATGAATCTGCTCAACCAAAAGAGGACAACGCGGAGGAAACCAAGGAAAATACAGTTGAGGAGAAGAAGGAGGAGGCTGCACCAGTTGCCACGACAGAGAGTAAACAGGAGAGCAAACAAGTAGAGCAAGAAAAACCAAGTGATACAAACAAAGACGCCGAATGGGAGAAGAAGAAAGCACGTGCAGAGAGATTCGGACAGACCACAGAACAATTTGAGAAGCAGCAGAAAAAAGTGAGTGTCGTTGATATCGAAACGCGTTTTCTAACAATGGCTAGCTTGAAGAGAAAGCCAAGATAGAAGCTAGAGCAGCCAGGTTCGGCACTGCTAACAGCACGAATGCGACAAAGAGTACACAAGCACCAGCACTTGATCCGGAAGAAGAGGAGAAGAGAAAGAAGAGAGAAGCCAAGTTTGGTGTTGTCGAGGTGGGCTGCATGAGTAGAATACGTCATATTATACTAACAAGTACCAGAAACCAAGCCAAAAGAAGCAAAAAAAGTGATTTATCGATTGTCTTTTACTAATTGTATTAACCTCTTTTCTATTTCCAGCATAACGCTGTCAGCATTAGGGTTTCTGTATTGTGATGAAGGAAGAAGGCTGCTTGATAAGTCTAAACTGACGTAAACCTGTTCTTTAAATCTCGTGGCTAGAGTATGTGAGAGCAGTCACATATAAAGTGATACAGACGCACCAAATCGCCTGCTTATCGAAGCTGCCATATCATTCAAGTTGCTCGACCGTAATAAATTTGTAGATACGCATGGGATATACTAAAGCTATCATCAGAGATTTCATACAATACAGTAACCACACTCACTTCATTCGGTGGTGTAGCTACAGCCCAATCTTTACCTAACTTGACAGATAAAGCATCAGAAGGTAAACTCGCGTGAATCCAAACCATGATACTCTTATCGAGTGTAGTGAGCTTGTAGTTTACTTTGTATTTATCAATCTCTGTTGAACATCTCACGTTGGAAATCATCTTGAACGTCTACTACCAACATGAGTGATATACAAGAAGCTAGCAAGTCATCTAAGAAGGATTTCAAGAGAGAGAAAGGAACCACTCATATGCCAATTGCACGCGTACAGAAAATCATAAAAGCAGAGTATGTACTGAGATCTATTATCACTTGTTTTTGTTGACGCGAATGTTAGCAAAGAAATGGAGAACTGTGGTAGAGAAGCTACATTTCTCATAGCAGTTGCAACTGTAAGCTTGCTTTCTTACTACTATATTCACAATCTCATTCCGATATGTAGGAATACTTTATCAAATACCTTACAGACGCAGGATACATCGAAGCACGTCTAGATAAAAGAAATACGATACAATATAAAGATTTAGGTATGCTTAATCTATGTGTTCAAAAACCACTTCTAATCAAAACATCAGCTCATGCAGTTGATAAGAGCGAAGAACTCGAGTTTTTGAAAGAAATTATACCATCAAAGTTAACTATGCAGAAAGCTTTAGAATTACAACATAACAAGCGAAATCAAGTCGATGGTCCTGGTAATACAAATCAAGATGATGCTATCCCTTTTGAACCACCTCACAAGAACAAAAAGAAAACACACGCTCAAGCTGAACAGATGGCAACGGAACCTTTGCAACCTTTAGAACCTCCACAATCTGATCCGCAACCAATGGAAGAATAGATTTGCTAAAATTTTCCCTTAAACATTCGCAAGAAGAGACGCTCTAAACATATTTGTAAAACTTTAAAACAACGACGAATATATTTTACCTATAAACTTAATTGCGGTTAAATTACCCCAAAAGGCAAGTCAAACTAAAAGACTAACTAATTAGCTGAGATGATTGGACACATTCCTAAATATCTTGGTTTAAGATCATGATGGGTGGACATAAATACAAAAAAGCCTTACATGCTTTAGCAATTTTGTGTCTAGCTAATGGTGTCACATCACAAACTCAACAATCAAGCTGGAATGATTGGCAAGAAGATATACAGACACCTATACATAACATGAGACCACAAGGTGATGGCAAAGGCGGCAACACGCGTCATATTACACTTGATATTACAGATCAACTTGAGGCATTAGACGGTGGTAAAGAACGTTTAGTTTATGCTATCAACGGTAGACCATTCAATGGAGGAGAACCAATTTTCCTTGAAGAGGGTGAAGAGGTTGAAATTGAGCTCAACAATTTTAGTGATCAATTAAACACAAGTACGACATTACATGCTCATGGAATTGAACAAATAGGGAGTCAATTCAACGATGGTGTGCCAGGTGTATCACAAAATGTAAGCTTTTTTCTTCAAATTAGAAAAACATTAATTAACGACGAAAAAGGTCATCAAACCGGGAGAGAGTTTTATTTATAGATGGAGAGCAGAAGAACATTACGGATTGTATTGGTTACACAGTCATTTTGCGGGCGTATACCAAGATGGACAAGCCGTTCCATTATATATTCGTCCAAAAGAGGACCGTAAGAATCCATTTGATGTCATTGCAGATGATGAGGATGAAGTAAAAGCACTCAAACGACACGATCAAGATCCACAGATTATAATGATTTCTGATTACATGGAGATTAACAATTGGGAGATGAAAGAGAAGATGGAAGAATGGCAAAGTGAGCTTCTTTGTATCAATACACCATTACTTAACGGAAGAGGTAGAGTTAATTGCGCAACTAGTGAAAATCTTCAAAAATGGACAGAAAGTAACACAACAACTGACAAAGGATGCGTTGATAGAAGTCTTAGACCAGGTAGCGAGAATATTACATTTGATGAAGAACTTTGGTACACTTGCACACCAACTGATGTTGAAGTACCTACGTATGAATTTGACTACGAAACTGGTTGGGGTATTATACACTTTGTTAATGCAGCTAGCCATTGGCAGTATATGATATCAATCGATGAGCATGAGCTGAACTTCTTTGCAGCTGATGGATCGTATGTTAAGCCCGTTAAAGGTGATGCATTCACAATTGGTATTGGTGAGAGAATCGGTGTAGCTTTCCGTCTACACACACCTGGTGAATATGTTTTACGTGTATCTGCACATGATGAACCACAAGTGAGTAATTTGAAAATTATTATAACACATCTTAACATGCGAAGGTTGTCGGTCAATTTGGTATTATTAGATATGGCCTTGATGATGATGATGATTCTGTTGAATATAGCGACCCGGATAGTGAAGATGACCCTGGAATGCCATCAATACCTCTCAGTGAACCTTGGATCAACTATGCAGGTCAACCAGTATCAGATGATGTTAGAGTAATGAACAATTCTGTTACGGCTTTAAAGCAATTTGCTCCAGCTGAAATACCAAAGCGTGGCGAAGCTGCTGATATCACCCTGCATTTCACACTTAGCAATTCCAACTTCCTCAAATGGTCATTTTCAGAAGAAGGGAAGGTAGAATACTATAATAGCAGCAAAGAATATCAAGAACCACCAATTCTTTATGATATGGAGAGTTACATGGACGATTCTTCAATCTCGACATTCCCTAGCGGTAGCGTAGTCGACATAATCATTACAAATGAAGAAAGATACAACATAACAGGAGTAGCACATCCCTTACATAAACATTTCGAACACTACCATGTCTTAGCTGCCGGTGTGGGCAACTTTACATACCAAGACGTTATCGAGGCAGAAGACGCGGGTATAGAGGTTAACTGGTTAGATCCAAGTTATCGTGATACCGTTATGATTCCAGCAAGCCCAGCTGAATCAGCAAGCTACCTCGTTCTTCGCTATGTTAGCGTTCAACCAACAGCGTAAGTTTTACATTCGTCTTTTTTCAGACTGTTTCTCATCAAACAATGCACAGATCATTAATTCATTGTCACATTCAATCACACAGTATGAGTGGTATGGCATATGTCCTCATAGCCAGCGACGAAGGTGGCACACCAGATCTTCCAGATTATTATAGCATTAAAGCATTCAATACAGACTTAACGGATGCAGCAAACACAGTTAAACAGGGAGTTAACTAATTAAATCAGCTGTACAAATTAAGTTGAAGCAAGAGTTGTATTAAAATTTTACTAAACTAATATTAAAGATAATGGTATAAAGTAGTAAAGAAGTAGTGATTTTATTGTCTGTTAGAAACATATTTTGAAAAGTGGATTAATTGCACAGAATACCTTATATAAATTATGCTAAATTTTTTTCGAAGATTAGCTGGAAATTTAGGTAAATAAAATTGATTGTACAAACTAAAAAAACAAAAAGAAACAAAACTAGTTAAACTAGGTGAAATATAAAACAAGAAGGATAGGTGATTATATACAAGGTGATTTTGAGGAGAATGATTGATGCTTCTTTGCATCTCTAGAACCTGATGCTTCGTAATTATGTGAAAAGCGCTAGTGTAGAGAAGTTGAAGATAGATAAATCCAGAAATAGTCTTGTCAAAAAGTAAGAATTGACGAAATTGTTTCTCAGTAGTGTTTGTAAGGTGTAATTTATTGTAATCGCATATTTTCTTGTGAATGATCCTGTGTTTTTTTCTCTTTTTTTGGTTTTGTTTTCAGCAATGCACGTAATTTTCCACTTCGCTAGCTTCCTTAGGATCTAGAGTATAATCTACGAAATCGGTAACGGAAGCATTTGAGAAGTTATGACTATGAGAAGTTGGACCAACAGCTCCGGCTGAAGGTGGTACAGAAGAGCCAACGCCGAACTCTTCAAATGTGTGTATAAAATCTGATGCGCAACTATCCCTCCTATTTGGATCAGGATAGCTTGAGTAGAAATTATCGTATGGACCAACACCGTATGTTGTTGTGGCCGATGTTGAAACTTCTGAATCTCTCCTACATGTATCAAATAGACTATTATTATCGAAATTACTTGATAAAATAGATTGACGTCTATCTGGATCAGAATTATCATCGAAGTAGGTACTAGATTCCCTCCAGAAAGTATCAGAAGTTGCTAAGGCATGGGATAAAGAGTTTGAAGAAGAGGAGTGTAGGATTTGATGTTGTTGTGGGTGCTGCGATTGTTGATGATGGTTTGTTGAAGTTGGACTCGACGAGTCTGATTGGTTGAGGGTGAAATTACCATTGTTGTTGTCATGTGAGGTATGTATGACTAGGCCATCTGTGGACAATGATTGATCAGTTGGTGAAATAGGATAAGCGGAAGATGGGGAAGATTCTTCTGTACATGTGGCTAGCTTTGACCTAGATGCAGAATGACGCAAAGATTGATTTGAGCGTCTAGTTTGGAAATTCGGTAAAGAAGCTCTTCTAACGGGACCAATGTTGCCACCGGATGTTAGGGCAGACAAGTTGTACCCCAATGACTGAGATTGGGGAATTGTTAAACCTAAACCGTTTGTTGGGGCATGAGTCAAAGGTGCGCTACCCCTTCTGGTAGTGTTCTGCAAATTGAAGTGCGTATCAAAGAAAGGATTACTTATTAGACTCGTAGGCGATAGACTAGTCGAGTGAGGTATTAACGAACCAGAAGCCGGACTTGGAAGGGGTGATGGATAGAGTAAGTTTGACTGGCTGTGGTTGTTGCTAGGTAAGTTAGAGTCCAAGGATAATACGTTGTTCGTTGGTGCGGGTGTGAGAGTAGGTGCGGGTGTGGAATCACTATCAGATTGGTTTTGTGAATTTTGCTGGGGGTTGTCAAGCTCTTTCTTTGCCTGTGCTTTAGCTTTTGCTCTGCGGTTCTGAAACCATATCTGTACGCCCCTAGGCGTCATTTCTAGTTGCTCTGCTAGAGACTTTCTAATTATGGCAGATGGTTTCGGGTTTGACTGGTAGGTTTCTTCGAGTACCTATAGAGGATGAGAGGGAGCAATAAAGGAAAAGGAACTCACATTAAACTGATGCTTCGACGTCCTCTTCCTATGCTTCACTTGGAACGGTTGATAGTGGAGTAATTGTGATTGTAGCTGATTGTTCGAATGTGCCGATTGCTGCTGCTGCGGCTGGCTATCAAAATCCAAGCTAGTCGTCTGGTTATTCTGATAGCTGCTCGGATGGAACAGCTGTATTGGTTTGTAGTTCATCATTCCGCACTCGCTCCTCAGTTGAGCACTCAACGCCGCGAATAGGTAGATCGAACGAAGTAGGAATAATATGAAAAATAAAAAATAAAAAAATAAAAATTATTCATTATCGTTTATTTACTCACTACACTCTTCTTATTAGCAATAAAACATTAAATTATTACAAGTTAAAGCCCATTTTACTCTTTTTTCTTTCTTATGAAGTCATATATGTAGATGCTTCCAAGGTTTCAGGCAACTCTGGGATTGCAACTTCAAATCTAGATTGAATCGCCTTGAGGACCTCATCATCTTCATCTTGTGAAACGAACGTGATCGCTAATCCTTTCGTACCAAATCTTCCTGCTCTACCAACTCTGTGAAGGTATGAGTCAGCATCTGTTGGCGTATCATAGTTGATAACAATGTTGACTCTTTCTACATCAATACCTCTACCAAAGATATCAGTTGCAACCAAGATTCTTGTCTCAAATTGCTTGAACTTGGTGTATCTTGCTATTCTCTCCTCTTGACTCATTCTGGAGTGGATACAAATGGATGGGAAATTACACTCTCTGAGGAGCTTATCCAATTCATTAGCTCTAAGTGTCGATTTTACGAAAATGACAACTTGGTTGAAATCCAATGAATCAAGGAGATCATTCAATTTACGGTTTTTAGCTGATTCCGAAAGTTTAACATAATGTTGTTGTAAACCATGCAATGTTAACTTGGTTTCATCGTCAACGTAGATTTCTAAAGGTGATTGCATGAATTTCTTGCAAACTGGTCTAACTTCCTTTGATAAAGTAGCTGAAAACATCATAACTTGCTTGTGGTGTGGTGTAACCTTGAAAATTTCTTGTACGTCTCTTCTCATATCTAATTGTTCTAACATTTTGTCACATTCATCTAAAACGAAATGCTTGATAGCAGATCCCTTGAGACTACCATCTCTAACTAAAGCATTTATTCTACCTGGAGTACCGACGATAACGTGTGGACATTTCTCCTTGTTCTTCAAGGTTTCTTGATCAGTAGTGATTGGGACACCACCGAAGAAAACAGAGGTTCTGATGTTTGGTACGTACTTTGAGAATCTACCGTATTCGTTCTTAATTTGGTAGGCTAATTCTCTAGTGTGACATAAAACGATAACGGAAACTTCACCATCTACTGGTTCAACTTGTTGTAAAGAAGCTAAAACGAAAACTGCAGTTTTACCCATACCACTCTTAGCTTGACAGACAACGTCCATACCCAAAATAGCTTGTGGAATACACTCTTGTTGTACTTCAGAAGGGTGTTCGAAACCTAAATCTGAAATGGCACGTAATAACTCAGGCTTCAATAAGAAATCTCTGAAACCAGTTGAGTGGATACCAACGTAAGAACCCTTCTTATCCTTCGCGTCAGCTTGTTCGGTAGGTTGTTGTTGCTGCTGCTGTTGTGGTGCGACTTCTTCTTCTTCGTAATCGATGAGATCTTCGTTATCAGCCCTATACGCGTATAACTAAGTAAATTCATATTTATTATTGTATAATTTACTCACATTTTTTATTTCAAGTTGGTTGTCGGTGAGAGAAGGACGACGGAATGAAGGATATTCTACATCAAAGTAAATTAAAAAAATTTGAATATACAAAAAGCGCGTTTTATATTTATAACTCTATCACTTTATTTTCTAATTCCATTGTAATTCTTTATGAACCAGTCAACTGTCTCTCTGAGGGCGATATCAAAAGATGTGAACTTGAAATCACCTATGTTTGTTAATAACTTGTTATTAGATGCCGGCTTTCTGTATTGACCATCTGATTTCGTCGTATCGAAGGTGTATTCGCCGTCAAATTGCAATGCTTCAACTATGGCATCTGATACCTGCTTAATAGAAACCTCTTCGTCTTCCCCGACTGACAGTATAATTGGTTCTATAGAATCATACTCTCGGAGTTGCCAGATGAACAACTTAGCGAGATCTCTCGAATAGATAAACTGGCGTAATGGTTTACCTGTACCCATAACCACAAACGGTTTATTCTCCTTCTTCGCTAGGTAACATTTATGTATTAATCCTGGTATAACGTGAGAGAATTCTAAATGAAAATTATCATTCGGTCCAAAGATATTTGTTGGTATAGCAGATGTGAACATACAACCGAATTGGTCATTGTAAGCGTGATTTTGTACATCAATTAATCTCTTCCCGTGAGCGTATCCAAAATTCGATTGATGGGGTGGTCCATTATGTATAACGTCCTCTATTAATGGATATTCAACTTTATCAGGGAATACGCAGGTTGATAAGCAGCTGATAAGTTTCTTGACCTTGATAGATGTCTTAGAGTGGACTTCATCAAGAAAGATATAAACCCACATTGAATTCATAACTCGCGTGTAAGACGTTGTCATTTATGTGCATATTATCACGTAAGAAATCTAACTGAGGTGGATGCATAAATTGATATCCAAATACTCACTTCCACTCACTTTAAACTTCATATTGGCGAACAATCCACCAACTTTAGCCGCAAGGTGTATAACAAAAGTTGGTTTGTACTTTTGAAATATCCTTTTCGTATCTTCGTAGTTTCTGTTTTCATCAGATGTGTTTCTACGGTATCAGTTGTGTACGAACCGCAAATCACCATCCGAAGAGCTCAAAAAGACCCATTCTTCACCTTCTTTTCTACCAAATCTACTATCTACGCTTTCATTTTGTATAACCCACTCTAATGCTTTACCAACTAATCCAGTTCCACCCGTAATAAGAACAACGTTTTGTGACATAATGATGGTTCAAACGTAAAATGAATTATTTTTACAAAAATGCTTCTTGTGGGATAGACGTTTTAACAGCTTCAAAGTTTTGTAACGCCATATCCAAACTCCAGTTATTCGATTGTAAACATTGAATTGAAAATTCGTAGTTAAGTTTTGTCTTTTTAGCTAACTCGATGATTATGTTATGTTGATCTTTCGAGATGCTACTTGGTGGATCCTTTGGTAACTTTAAGAGTATACCCTTGCTGCTTTCCATAGTTTCAATTGGACCAGGTTGCCACGCGTCACTCTTACTTAGAGAGCGTAGATTCAAGTTATCCGAAATAATAGCGCATGGCCATCCACTATCTGCTGCAAACTTTGATACTGTTGAAGGCGCAAGTATGAATGTTCTATCGAATGATCTGAAACCTTTTGTTGTACCTTCAACAAATTCTCCATGAACTGAGCAGAAAATGACTGGCGTTGATGGTATAACTCCAGGCATTGTCCAACAATCAAAAACAAACTTATCTACGTCACTAATGTTATGTGTTGTTTTTGGTAAAATCTTGAATGCTTCAATGATCATTTTATTTCCAGTTGATAATTTCTCATTTCTCATATCATTTCTATATATTTTTGAGCAATTTCTAGATGTAGCGATTGGTTTGTTGTCAACGTATGGTTTCCACATGATTTTTGGTTTCCCATCGTAGAGGTTTTGCCTACGAGCTCGTGGTGGTGTATTGGTATTCACGCATAAACTAAACGTTGCATTCTCGGTGTAGGCAGCCAATAGAGCATTTCTATCACCGTCAAAGAGACTAAAAAACCTAGTCAAGAATTCTCCAACTAGGGGTCCAACTTCTGGATTATCCCTACCGAAACTTCCAACAATACCAATTGGGAAGACCTCAGGTAGTGCTTCAGTAGCTTCCGATGGCGTGCGCTCCTTCTTTGGATCTATTTTAACACCATCACCGAAATCGAACTTTACTGAGCGTTCAACTGGCTTCATATCGAGAAGTTCGAGTGATGGGAACTTCCTAACTACTCTAGCTCTCCATGTATCACCAAATCTTGAAATTGGGTTATTTGACAATATCAATTCTTTGAGATTTCTGAGCTTCTTTGATGTACATAACGCATAAAGGTCTTCTACGTGACGTATGTCATTGTCACTGAGGCTTAAATTTACCAAATTTGGAATAAATTCTGGTAAAGCCTTGAATGCGTTCATATTGCGTAAGTGATTGGAAGCTAATGAAATTGTTTTAACCTGCGTTGTTGTTAAAAAGCGGATAAGTTGTAAAATGCGGACATACTTCTGGGAACAACTCAGAAATCAGCTTAAACAAGCTAGGTCCAGCTAGTGATTTCTGTTTATTATAACCAGGTGGAATGAAGTTAGCGGATTTGAGTATTTCATCTTGTCCCATGTTCTAGCGAAATTGTTAGAGCAAATAGCGTTTATAACATCCTACATACTTCCAAATTGAGGTAATTGAGGTTTGGATCATAACGCGTATTCAAAAACCTAGTGAGTGCATCTATAACGGACCTATCACTCGTACTAGTCTTCTGCTTTATTGGTTGGCTATTGAGTGAAACTTTCTTAGGTCTCGCACTAGTAGATGGACGAGCAAGAGGATTCGATTTATTACGTATTTGCGATCTGCGTGTAGCTGGATCACTCTCGTTCATGCTGGTATCCTCATTAGCAGTAGCACCTCTCCTCCTAGACTGCTTAGATTGCTTAGAATGCTTGTTAGAAGCCAGCAATCCAGCTGATTTTAATAAGCTAGACCCTAGACTATTGTTCGGTTTCTTTTCTTCTTCAACTTTGTCAGCGTACATCGTCGCTCAGATTGAAGAAGTGAATTTACTCTTCAAGTTTAGCCACCACTATGCCAGATAATAAAAGACAAAAATTAGATGGAGCTAACCCTTATTTGGCTCATAGGAGTGACAGCCAGGAAAATCCATTAGAAGGACTCACGCCTAGGGGTGTATCAGCGAAAGATGTAGAGAAAGCTATGGTAAGGCCGAGTTTTCTAGCTTGTCTACGAAATACTAACTAATAATCAAGTCTGGAGACGTTAATGCTTTCAATTTGAAGCAATTCTCCCCTCAATATCAGCAAATACTCAAAGGACGACAAAACCTCCCAGTTTGGAATCAAATGCAGGAATTCTACGACATTTTTAACAAGAATCAAATGATGGTCATGATTGGTGAAACTGGTTCAGGTAAAACCACCCAAATCCCTCAATACGTCGCATACTCTGATTTTGCACACACAAAGGGTAAACTTATCGCATGTACACAACCACGTAGAGTTGCTGCTATGAGTGTTGCTAAACGTGTTGCTGATGAAATGGACGTAAACCTTGGTGAAGAAGTTGGTTACTCTATTAGATTCGAAGACTTGACAACACCTGGTACTACGTTCCTCAAGTACATGACAGATGGTATGCTCTTGAGAGAAGCCATGAACGATAATACACTTAGTCGTTATTCAACTATCATTCTCGATGAGGCTCACGAACGTACACTCGCTACTGATATCCTCATGGGTTTACTCAAGGAGATCGTACCACGTAGACCAGATCTTAAGTTAGTCGTCATGTCTGCAACCCTTGACGCCTTGAAATTCCAAAATTACTTCAACAATGCACCACTTTTGAAGGTCCCAGGTAGAACTTTCCCAGTCGAGACGTATTACACCGAGGAACCGGAAACTGACTATGTGGAAGCAGCTATCAGGACTGTATTAATGATCCATCAAGCGGAAGACCCAGGTGATATCCTTGTCTTTTTGACAGGTTCAGAGGAAATTGAAGATGCTTGTCGTAAAATTAAACTCGAAGGTGATGAACTTGAACGCAATTATAGAGGTGCAGTGGGACCACTCCTTGTTGTACCACTCTACTCTTCATTACCGCCACAACAACAAACGAGAATTTTCGCTGACGCACCTGAACCACGTCAACCAGGTGGTGCGCCAGGACGTAAAGTTGTCGTATCAACAAACATCGCTGAAACCTCCTTAACAATTGATGGTATCGTTTATGTAGTTGATCCAGGTTTCTCCAAACAAAAAGTTTACAATCCACGTATTAGAGTTGAATCATTGCTACCAACACCAATTTCAAAAGCTTCTGCTCAACAAAGAGCAGGTAGAGCAGGTCGTACAAGACCAGGAAAATGTTTCAGATTATATACTGAAAATGACTTCGTTTCACAATTACAAGAACAAACTTACCCAGAAATTCTTAGATGTAATCTCGCAAATACCGTTCTTGAGTTGAAGAAATTGGGTATTAACGATTTAGTTCATTTTGATTACATGGATCCACCAGCACCTGAAACTGTCATGAGAGCATTAGAGTTGTTAAATTACTTAGGTGCTTTCGACGATGAAGGTAATCTCACACCATTTGGATCAATTATGGCGGAATTCCCACTTGATCCACAACTTGCGAAGATGTTGATTGTCAGTCCAGAATTCAAGTGTAGTAATGAGATCTTGAGTTTGGCAGCTATGTTGTCAGGTGAGTATTGATACATACTTTGAAACTGTCACTAACAAGATATAATAGTACCTAACGTTTTCTTGCGTCCAGAAAGTCAACGTAAGGAAGCAGATGACGCAAAAGCTCAATTTACTCACCCAGATGGTGATCATCTCACACTCCTTAACGTATTCCACGCTTTTAAGGCTAACAGCAATGATTCTAACTGGGCATGGAACAACTATTTATCACATAGAGCATTAATTAGTGCAGATAACGTAAGATTACAACTCAAGCGTACAATGGAGAGATTCGATTTAGATTTAGTTTCAACTGCATTCGAAGATAGAAACTACTATGTTAACATTCGTAAAGCTATAGTATGTGGATACTTCATGCAAGCTGCTCACAGGGAGGGTGCTAAAGGAAACACCTACTTAACAATAAAGGATGCACAAGTGGTTAGTCTTCATCCATCAACTGGTTTAGATACATCACCAGAATTTGTTATCTACAACGAATTTGCATTGACAACAAAGAACTTCTTAAGAACTGTCACAGCTGTTAAACCAGATTGGTTGTTGACATATGGTGGTGAATACTTCAACCTTCGTACCTTCCAAGATGGACCTCTCAAACGTGCTCTTATGTACGCTGCGGAAAAGAAAGCCTCAAAAGCTAGCAAAAGAGATGAAAATGGCGATAGAAAGCGCAGTAAGAAGCAACGTTAATTTATAGATTTTTCATGTATCCAAAGTTATATAATTTATATTTTCATTTATTTAAATATGGTGTTTAATAGCAATCCATAACTTAGAAATCGAAACTCTTGTCTAAATCCTTACGAATGTGTTCCAACATTCCTGGTGCCATTAATGGTTTACCTGTACCATCGTTGAGATATCTGTAAGGCATATCAACAGATTCTTGAGCTGTAAAGACAATAGTTGGATCATCGATGAAGTCAATTTCACCAAGTTTCTTCTTATCGACGATGACTCTCTTTGTTGTACCTAATGCGGTGTCTGTTGACATTTGACGGGCACCAAGGTGTCTACCAGGGAAACCATATTTGCGTAATTCCTTTGTTCTATCACGTGGTGGGTCATCACCTAAGATACCACCTTGAAAAATTTCACATTAGTATTCTTCTCTTCTGTTGATATTCTTCACTTACCGAAAACGAAATGTGAAAAGTTATTCAAATCTTCCGGTTTGATCTCTTCTTCTGCTTTTGGATCGAGAAGACATACTTTATCCTTTGAGATACCTTCTCTTTGGAGAATTTCCATGATACCCTCCTTATAACATTCGGTTTCTGATGCTTTACCTTCCTCTGGCTTTAAGAATTCATTTAAGTGATTGTATGAGCCTGATGATAAATTTGTATAGATAACTCTAGCATTTGGACCAGCGTGGGTTGCTGCAGCCATGTTTCTATATTCACGAAGACTCCATTCAGGGATAATGTAGCCTTCTGGCTCTTCCTCTTCGACGTGCTCAATAACGTACGTCACTTCTGGCATATTGAAAGTGGTGGTGGTGGTAGAGTAGAAAGATTTATATTGTATTAATTATAAATCTACAACGTTATGTCAGTTGCTCTAAATTATTATCAAAGTCATTTCTATCATATAGATAGCTAGATTATGAGATGTGACATATTTCAAGGTAAATAAAACACACAGTAATAAGACATTCGACATTCGGTAAAATTAAATATATTAAGCTCTTCTTATGTCTATAGTACATTGCGTGCCAGACGCTGTGAATTGTGAGAGAATATTTTCGGTTGCTAGTTGAGTGAGATTGAATATCTCAATATCTGTTGTGTCATGGTCAACAAGCACCTTTACTGATATAAATGAGGATCCAGATTTGTTCAAACGAGTGAGATCCACGCTGTCTTCATCTAGGAGTGTTCTACTCAGCGATTCAGGCGTAATTTGGAAAATCCTAGGAAGTTCTATTTGTAGTACGCGAGGATGACTTCCAACCTGTAAGATTATCAGAAAAGAAAATTATCAAAAACATTCTACGTACCTCTTTCAAAGCATCACGGAGTATCTGGCTAGAAGCTGAGCTTGGTGCTGTTTGAAGCAACACTCGTGCGAGACAGATAAGTGAAGGGTATACTAACCAACCAACTGAGATAGTTTGTAAACAAGCTAGGAACTTATCGAAGAAGTGATGGTATCGCGGTTCGATTAGTTCATCAGTCAGCCAGAGTAGGCCACCGAATAAAGTCAGAAAGAAGCTAAAAGGGTTGTTCATGAACTTCGATGTTCGTCTTTGTTTAGGGTTGTAAAAGAATGTGCCTGTTACCGTAGCCAATGCGTGATGATTATTGAAATATTTATTGGCAAAGTAAGGTAAAAATGCAGATAGAAGGATTGAATGAGTTGGAAATGGTATACCATATTGATGGTCATAGTCGTCTTCAGATGAGGATATCAAGGCATGTTCAATTGACTCTTTAGCGAGATATGTTACTGTAAAGACGAGATAGATGACTTGAGTAAACAACGATAATGTTTCTAATCGACGTATACCAAATGGTAATTTATGTGATGGTGACATTGTGCGATAATAATCGAAAGCATTGATAGATAATAAAGAAATTGCGTCGAATGTAATCAAATAGCCCATACCAGTTGTTGCTAAGCTATCACAGCGTTGTCCAGTGAGCCATAACCAGCAACCTAAAACGAATTCGAAAGTGGTGAATGTCAATTTCTTACCACTAAAAGCACTCCTTTCGAATGTAAGTGGTGGTGCTGGTTTAGATGGCTTTCCTTTAGCGAAATTAGAATGCAATTTCGTTGGTGACGTCTGCGCGCTACCCTTTGCCGTTGATACGCCATTCAATGTGACAGTTGGATCGTTGAAACTAAAGAAAGCATGAGAGAGTGATCGCTTATGATGATGTTTACGTCTACTCGGTTTCTCTGAGGACGGCGTTGTATCCAAATTAGGTAAACGCGTCTGTCCGGGTGGTGTAAACTTTATCGAAGACTTTTTATTGAGAATAGGCATAGATTGCTGCGTCTGTAGGTTTCTATCGCTGTCGTCTTTTACGGGCTGAAATGTACGCTGTTGGGAGGGTAACAATGGTACTACACTGATATCCTCGTCCCTATTCTCTAACTCGAGGGGTTCCCATACCGATTGCTTCTTTAGATGCTTATAAGAGCGTAGTTTGGGTGAATTAGATTGCGATTCCTGCAAAGGGGAATGGGTTTCCATAGGGAATGATTGTTGCGGTAACACCACCAAGAAGTTTATATTTAGATAAGAAAGCTGAAATAAAAAATGTCAGCTAATGAGCAGAATAAGTTAGATAATGATAAAAACACTCAAGAAGACGCTCCTCCTTTACCAGATGAAGATGCACCACCTTTACCAGACGAGCAGCCACCACTACCGGAAGAAGAAGAACCACCGCTCCCTGAAGGCGAAGAACCTCCTCAGTCATCTGCACAAGCTGCTCAACCACAAGTTTTACAAGGCAACAATGGCTGGTCAGCGATATTTGAACCACAATCACAGCGTTATTACTATTACAATCAAACTACGGGCGTTACAACCTGGGATAACCCATTCTCTAATATACAAAAAGAAGAAGACAAATCATCCAACAAAAGACAGTTCTATCAAGAAGAAGATGACGCTATTGATCCGGATCTAGCCCATTTATTACCATCATCTAGTAAAGACCCCCATGGATACGTTCAAGCAAAGTTCAACACTCGTACTGGTCAATTTAACAGTAAAAGTTGGCAGACACCAGAGCATGTTTCAGCTATTAACAAATCACGGAGACAGCAAGGTGCGTTTAGCATATTTGCCTTTTAAACATCCACTTACAGCCCACAGCTGCATTTTTTGATGTTGATGCCTTCGAGAGACAAAGAAACGAGGATCACTTTAACAAGAAAGCGAAAATCGAACAACTTGGTAAGGATAGTGTTAAGCAAAAGCTCACAAAGGAGCAACTGAAATTGTATAAAGAGCAAAAGGCTGCTAAAAGGTATAAAAACAAGACTGATTGGCTTATCAATGACGACAAGTAATGTAGCATCTGTAAATTAATAACCTATTTGATAGACATTAAATCCTATATCTCGTAGTTCTTCAATCTTTAAACCTAGATGTCCGTTAAATATCCACGCAGGCTTTTCCATTTCCTGGTATACGTCTATCCATTTTAATGTGGTATAAAATTCATCCTACGGAGTTGTGTAAGCGTGAAAATGTAAGTAGTTAACAACACAAACCCAATTCGTAAGTATTAGGATCATATGGGCACCCTTTGTTGCTTCTATGATGGAGTGAGCGACAGTGACCTTATCATCAAGTTCATTCGTTATCTGTATGGGCGTAACTTTTGGATCATAGACAGTCACTGAAGCTTTGATTGAGTTCGTTTCGAGAACTTCTTTAATTACTTTTATAGAGGGACTCATCCGGGTATCACCCGTGTCTTTTTTATATGCAAGTCTGTGGGGTAAAGTAAACAATATGTTTCGACTATGATCATTCAACCCACCCTAACACGGAAACTTTTGGAGTTTCATAACACTTGAGAGTTTCTATAACGCGTTTTGAGAATCTATTGATTTGATAGTTGTTCATTTCAATAACTTGCATCCAATAATTAGCAACTTCTGGGATATTGCATGATCGACAGAGGTATACCAAATTTAGAAGATCTAACTGTCTGTTAGATGGTAAAATAAATGTACGGTTTCATACCTTTCTCAAAACAAGAGCCTCCAAAACCTAAAGACGGCTGAAACGTTCAGTGAGCGTTCTTTAAGGTTGGAAGAGCCACTCACTCGCAAATAGTGTAATCCTATTCGCTTATCGCTACCAATTGATTCTGATACTTCCTCAATGTTGGCTCCAGTCGCTTCGCAAACGGCGCTGAGAGAGTTTAAAGAAGATATTCGCTGTGCTAGAAAAGCATTTGAAGCCTATATATATTAACATATCACCAAAGTTGCATTCCCTTACATACCAATTTTGAAAGCTCTGCAGACCACAACCGCTGTGTCAAAATTTTGTCCCGACTGGCTGGTTTAGTAAGAAAAGTAGAAATGATGGTATACTTACGGTACCCAGCAGGCATAAATATCAGCTAGAATTTTTTGTGCTTGGAGACCCTTCTCCGTGTTGTCACATCCAATAAGAATTCTGTCAGGGTAGAGACAATCGACCACTGCAGTACCCTGTGACAGGAATTCGGGATTAGAGAGAACTTGAAATTTACACCTTGTGTTACTTGAAAGGAGCTCTTTAATTGTGTACGCAGTATTCACCGGTACTGTTGATTTCTCCACTATTATTTTGTCTGTGTTTGAGTTTTGCGCTATGAGCATACATGCGTCTTTGAGGTTTCTAAAGAGCATTATTAGATAGAACATAAGATTTAGATACTCACCTCAAGCTAATAGACTGCGTTGATTGTTCGATGGGCGTATCGACAGCTAATACAACAATATCAGCATTTCGTATAGAATCGATGTCGGTAGTGAAAGTAAGACTATGACAACTATCTATAAGGCTATCCAGTTGAGGTTCAAATATCGGAAAATTCCTATACACTCCTATTAGAAATAGGAAATTGCCGCTAAAACGACATACTTTGAGTTCCAGTACCTGATACGAACAATATCTCTATCAAATACAAATACATTGTAACCCGTTTTACTAGAAATTGTAGCCGCTGTTATCGTACCGACTAGTCCACTCCCAATTACTGTTAAATTCATCTGCCTTCAACGTTGAAACGTAACGATGAGCTTCGCTAGGAGCTTAAGTATGAGTGATGACTGTGAAACGGAATCTGAGCCACCACCATACACTCCACCAATTGAAATACGCCACAATTATTCAGACACCCTTCTCACACGGTTGACGCACGAGTCTCAACAAAGTCAAAATACTCTGAGGCTACAAAGGGAGACGACACCTATCAGTTTAACGCTTATTTATCAGTTATTACAGCTGACGTCTCTTCTACCAGCTCTCACTGGAGTGCTTTATTTGTTAATTAGGACTGCGTCACCACAGCGTACACTTCCAAATCCATCGAGAATAGAATATCTGGCTAGTACACCATGGGCTATTCTCACTGCTGTTCACAGCTTCCAAATTATCAGTTCAATGTTGCATAGGTGGAAACACTACTATCATCCAATTTCAGTAATAATTAGGTTGTTATCAATACAGGCAGCCTCATTCCCTTGGATTAGGGTTACACTTTGGGTAACATCAGAACCTGAAAAACCATTAATCGCGTGGATTATCGTCGCCTATACGACGGCGATATCATCAACTTTGGCGCGATGGTACATTAGCAATTTAAGTAAATCATCAAAAGCTAATCAATCAAGACATCTTGATATAAATAGATTAGTTACACGTACGATTTTACCCATTACGACACTCTCAGTTCTCTCGCTACTCTTTGTTCTTTACGATTTATACACCACTAGGTTGGCATTAACGAGTAATTTTGGTAGCAACAACAACGCCATACATATAAGCAACCTTGCATCATTGAAGATACCATCATAATATCTTATTTATCTTATTTTTAAGTAATTTGAACTAATTTTCATGCATTTTCATTATATTCAACATACTTGGTGTAAACAAATTGTTTTCTATAGAGAAGTAGGATTTTAACATCGAAAGCCATTACGCGTACATGCAAACAAAACGATCTATGCAAACAAACTTTTACGGACACTTCCAATGAGATCTCTAAGCGATGAACTATTCACTACTTGTCGCTTAGCTGGTGAAGGTGGTGGAGATTGTGACCTTCTGAACTCCTCATCTCTCTTTCTTTGACCTTGTTTAACACTATCGATCAGTCTTTCATATTCCAAAGTATGCCTTCTAGTGCGTTGAATGAAGTTTGTTTTGTTTATCAAACTATCTTCTTCAATATCAACAGTTTGTGGTATTGTAATATTGTGGGCTGAACCATTGAAAATAATATCCAAAATTCTCGTCATTATGTAGACGACATCTGGTATTTCAGCTGGATCTGCACCTGCAATTTCCGCCCGTAGTAGTAATACATCTGATTCAAAGTCGAATCTTTCATCATCTAACCAATTGAGGATGGCTGTTTGTGCGTCCCTATGTATTCGTTAGTCAAAACAAAAAAAGCTTGAAAATCACCTACCATTCATCAACTCCACTGGCCTTTAACATGGGTAGTTGTTTAATAGCTGCCATGCTAGTTCCCAACATTGAAGATACAGATAGCATATGAATAGCTTCGCAGGACACATCAACAACTTCATTCACTATCGCTATGCTGATGTTTAACAAACTGACATATAATCTCCACTGTCGTTCAACACTCCTATATAACTTCGAAGCTTGAACTAAGTTTGATATAGCAGCTCTCGTAAATATTTGTGAAATTTGTTTCTCGCTGACCATATTGAATTGCTTCACGTTAATATTTAATTGGGAAACAAAATCTTTTATCTGATTTTCGAAAGATTGCGGATCTATTTCAAGACATTTATTCAATTTTAGAGACTTATGTCATATGTTAGATTATGCTTTGGAATGTATATTTGACCATATTTGGAATGTGGTCATATTCAAAGGAATAAGTCTACTCACCTGTTTTATTTGATCACTTTTACCCCAGCTGAGTAACAAGATTGATGGGTTGAAGGTACTTGTAATTGGTAGTTTGGTAATTATATCATCCAATCTAGCTCTTTCATTATTTAGAACCCGCGATCTAGTAATTTTGTTAATATATTGCTTTGATTAGGCAATTTGAAACATACCTTTCGTCATCAGACAAATTTCTCGCCAAGTCTGGTGAGCATTCGAACAAGATAAGTCCAAGTGAAGGTGATGGCTATGATAATTAAGGCCTGCTAAAGTAATTAAAAATCCACTACCTACCTGGTCTGCATTAGCGAAGATTGAAATTTGAGAATCTACATCCTTGTAATTGATTCCATTTAGTGCAAATTTAGTACGCAACCATCCACTCGATGATGTTGTGTCATCATATGTGTATAATCCGATGTCTACTTCGGTGTGATGTTTTAGGTCTTCTTTTTGTTGCAAGGCATCAGCGAGAGCACTCAAGGCAGCACCTTTCTCCCATAATAGACTCCTCTGTTGCACCCTCTGAGTCTACTGTTAGCTGATTTCATCAAAGGAAGGAACACTTACTTCTTGCAGCAATCTCTCTAATTCCGCATCGGTTACAGGCTTCTTATGGTCAATAATCTCCTCATCTTCATGATCAAACAACTCTTCTTCTTCTTCCTCTTCATAAGGAAGTGTAAACTCCTTGTGGGCGCTCCTCCCGAAACTCATTTCTGAAACTACAGTTCGGAAATTATCCAAACGCTCTTGCTCAATTTTCCTTTTAACATGCGAATTCAAGGCGGAGTCTTTCCATTTTTTCACTGACGATCTGGTGAGGTGTTGTTTTCTGAACGCATTAGCGACTTCGTCTAATACGTAGCTTCTGACAATTGAAGAAACGGCCTGTTGAATGGCAGATTCAGTTAGCGATTGTGATATATTCTGCTTCATTAACTCGTGTTCCCTCTTTATTCTTTCTCGTTCTTCTCTTCGCTTATGTTCGTCAAGTCTTCTTAACTCAGATTCACGTCTTTTACGTTGTCTTGATAATTCTATCTGTTCCAATTCCTTAGCTTTCGCTATTTCCGTTTGCTTTTTAGCTTCCATTTGGGCTTTAAGTTTTTCTTTGAGATCTTCTTCAGCTGGTTTGGTTGTTTGAAATGGTATATTAATTGGTGTAGGTTTTGGTGCTGGTAAAGCACTAAAAGCACTTTTAGGTTTAGCTGAAGGAGTAGTTTCAAATGCTGAGGATGTGAACGCATTCGCCCCTGATCCAGCTCCCATCGTACCAAAAGTAAAAGCATTGGCTTTGGGTTTCTCAGTTTGTTGAGTTCCTGTGAAGGAAAATGCACTGGTTGTTGGTTTTGGAGGTGGAGGCATTAACTTTGTAGGTGAAGCTTCCGTCGTCGTTGGTGCCGTTGCTATCGCTGTCTTTGGCATAGTGAACGCCGGGGCAGTTGGTCTAAGCGAAGATTTCACCTCTATACTCTTGTTACCAATTGCTAGAGGTGTATCTATAATATCTCTAGCGCTGAGGTTACCTTTTTTTAGAGCAACGATCGATTGCGACTTCGTGTGAGAGATCACAGGATTCGAATCATTAATTTGAGATTGTTTGTGCACTTTAACAGCAATGGCTGAACCATTTTCTCTTTCTACTTCCAAGTTAAGATTCTCAGCTTCTTTGGCAACCTGTTCAGCATCGTCGCAACCAAGAACTTTCATCAAATCTTGTACTGGAAATGGTCGATATTTACTTGGGTATGCCTTTCGCATTGCTTTGAATGCACCTCTGCGCACCTGACTAAAGTTGGTTTCTAACAAACAAGCCATAAGAAATGGTGTCTTTGGCGATCTAACCATTTTGAAAAACCTCGAATAAGCATTCGGACTTGATTCAGTATTGTGTGGTCGACCTCTCAAGTGCGCTTCATTTGATCGGCGCGCGAGTGCGTGAAATTTCAAAGCCAATTGAATCGGTTGTGACAAATAAAGATCTAATGGTAATCTTTCGGCAGCGGCTGCAGTACTGGCATCCCTAAGATGTATTAATAAATGATAAGCTCTAAATTCAGCCTCATTTGGGAGAATTTTATTATTCGTTGCTCTATAATCATCATAGAATTCTGTCAAACTGAGGAGAACTTTACTAAGTTGTTCTAATTCCTGTTGATCTGACCAACCGGATTCGTCACATAATTCGTGTAAGCATAATATGTGATATCTTGCGATCCTTTCATGACATTCTATCGCGATTTCATTACGTATGTGTTGTAAAGTGAAATCCTGTCTGATAGATCTCGTCCTGTCTCTTACGAAGTGATGACTATCGTGTAAGCCTTTATCTTCTTCTAATATATTATGGAATAGATAATCTAGGGTTGATCTCAATACTTCTGGTGGTCTAACGTCCGATGGAAGACTTGGTTCATCGCCTGCTGCTGGTCTATGGAAGGTTTTAACAGCTCTATTAGGATCAACCTGTCGTGTACCCTGATAACACTCATATTTATCCAAGTTTAGTTGATAGTCACGTTCTTCTCTTTCGAATTCTGGACACATTGATTGACAAGTACCTTTCAGAGTAATTGCGTCTTGTAAATTCATACCACCCTGGCTAGGATCTGGGATGAGACCATCCTTGATAGCTTGTAAACGTTCAACTTCACGTTCAGCGCGTAGCTATGAGTTATTAAAGAGATGTTATATATCGCTGCTATTATATAACGCACCTGATGGTATCTAGAGTTGACAGATTGAAACCTGCTGTTTCTATCATGGACGTCACCCATAGAGAATATCTAGCAACGAAATCAATGAGAGTATCAGCGAGAGTATCAACGACGGAAGAGTCTCTTCAACGGTTCAAATACAAGTAAACTAAATTTAGGACTGAAGTATAAGCTAGCGAATATCCTAGCCGGGAGTAACAACTAGAGCGTTTCAGCGAAGATACAGGCGATATATGATAAACTGACCTTTGTTATAGCGTAGGCTGCAATCGCTTCTGATATCTGTGCTGTGTAGACACTTCTGCCATCCCATTTACTGTCGTCATCTCTCCATAGATTGTATTTCTCTCGTATTCTATCCAAACGACGTTCACCTTCCTCGCATGCACTTCTTATATAGCTCCTAGTTGTGTCATTCGGGGCGTTATTATCCCATATGTATTCCAAACTACGTTCACCAACGCCAGCGTAGTGTAGACCGCCAAAGATAAGGAATATTGGTAGAATAGCTGTAATCTCGTGCAATATCGCAAATGATGCGCCTAAACTGATAGGATCTGTGCCTGTACGTTTACTAAGCTCATTTATGCGTTCTTTGATAGTCGATCTGCTAAAACTCCTCTTCTGATAGAATATATGTCTATTGTAGTGTCTCGCGAGTATATTCCTAGATAGCATAGTTATAGATAGTGGGAGTGAGCAAGATAGAAGAATGACAATTTATAAACTTTAGTACAACGGTTGTCATATAAAATATATACTCGGTTAGCCATTAGGCTACATCGCTATATCGCTGTCAAATACAAGGGAGAAACACAGCAGAAGGGAGAGTATAATAAACTAGCAAACAATAAATATAGGCTCATGAACAACGATAAACTCCCAAAAGTAGTTTAAATTTACTTTGAAATATAAAATCAGCTCAACTCTCACGTCAGCAAATCTGCCAGTGCGTCTTCTTTTAGAGCGACTCTCACAAACTCGAGTGAGTAAAAATAAATAGCAGACGTTCAATCGTTGACAAATAGCCAGCTTAAGGATGTCTTCAGCTGCCCCAGCCAACCAAGCCTTCGCAAAGAAGAACAAAGGTTCAGAAGGTATCAACTCAAAGCTCCAACTTGTTGTCAAGTCTGGAAAGTACACCCTTGGTTACAAGTCAGCACTCAAGCAATTGAGATCAGGCAAAGGTGGGTTTTTACCCTTGGATTCTTTCTAGTCTATGGCTCTTTGCCGGGAAGAAAAATTTCTTTAAATCCATCTGGACTGGAGCCATATGGCTGAGAAGGTCCTTTGTGGGTTTATCAGGCTAACACCTCTCCAGCTAAGCTCGTCCTCATTGCTGGTAACTGCCCACCACTCCGCAAGTCAGAGCTCGAGTACTTTGCTATGCTTTCAAAGACCGCTGTCCACCACTACTCTGGATCTAACGTCGCCCTCGGTACCGCAGCTGGTAAGCTCTTCCGTGTTGGTGTTCTCACTATCCAAGACCAAGGTGACTCTGACATTGTGAGTCGAATTGTTTTTCAACGGTGGTATGATACTAACGAATACCCTTTTAGCTCGCTTCATTCGAATAAATGTTGTGATTTGTTTGGTCGTGTCTTTGATGCATTAGAGTCGTGTATTCTAGCTGCTTGCTTGATTGTGTTTGTGGATTGCCTATTGCCTCTTGTTTATTGTCAAGTTTATTGCCAATAGTAGTGTGTTTTGTCTTTCAATCTAGTTAATAAATAATTATGTATACTTTTTTAAAAAATAAAAACCCTCCCAATCATGACGATCAGGAGAATTTCCATCTGTTATTACAAACAGTACATGTAACAAAGGTCGTCATTGGTTCATCAGCAGATCTAGTTTGCATTTGATAGTATGTACACTTCCTTTGCTTACATCTACCACACTTGAATGAATCCGTTTCAGCTTGTTGTGGACCTGCACCTCGAGCTTTGAAGAGGTTACTCAATTCGAGCGCTCTATCTTGTTGTTTACGCTCTTCTGAGGCCATATCAGCTGAGGACATTCTACAGAATGTCGCTGCTGGGGTATCTCCAGATATGACAGCTTCACGAAGTGAAGGGTTTTTCTTATCTTTCAAGTTCAACATGAGTGAGCGAACCTTTTTCTTGTATTCCTCGCCAGTTGAACCGTTGTTGTCGTCCAAGACGGTGGATTCTATTGATAAGGCTCTCTCCATAACCAACTCTGATGGAGCGGATGAATCGAATACCATGGCATTATAAAGTAAGGAGAGGCAAGTATCACGCGTTTTGTCATTCAGCTTTTCAAAGTCGACGCCGTCTGTCTTCCCTGAGCGCGGCTGGTCTGGCTTCTCGGAAGGTTTAGCTGGTGTAGTTGTTGATTCTGCTGATGGAGCAGCTGCTTTTGGTTTCTTAGTTACATCTTGCTTCCATTTCTTAACGATCTCCTTCGACAACTCGCTAACTTGCTTATTATCATGTGAGCGTAGCTTACCAACAGCCAAACCGATCTTCGTAACCTAGAGAGAGTATTAATGGGTTGTATCTTGAACCTAGAACACAACTAACTCTAATTAAATCCTCTGTCGCCGTCATTTCGTCTTTGAGCGTCTGAAGCAACTCTATAATCACCTAAACTGATTAGAAAGTGACAAAAGAGAGTGATAAGAACGTACATCAGTTTTACCAGACGCTTGTGACTCCTGTAACTCCCCTCTGAGTTTGTTAACAGTTTTTGTATCCATACTCTAATTTTATAGATGGATGTTGAGGTTATACCACCAAGATGAGATTAGAAAAATTAGCAAAATTAGCATTCAGGTTTCCAAATAACGTGCAACCATTAGAGAGACGCTTAGAATCCGGTTTACTCGACGGTCGTAAGCGTCAAAGTGGCTATAACGTATCCTTTTCAGAGGTGAGAAGAGTGTGTAGAACGTCTATGCAGTTACTCACACTCTATAGCGCCATACTAGAAGGAGTTGGTATCCTAATATTCAAAACAAGCGTCTCTTCTCAGATTCATTGCAAGATTTCGTTAAAATGAAAGTTTCAACAAAGGCACTACGTTCAATTGATAGAATGGGCGGATTAGACAACTATCTTATGAAGTCAAGCGACGATAAACTCGGTCTCTATGGGAGAGCACTACGGAGGTCAGTTATAGACAAGAGACTCGAAAAAACGGAGGAAAATGCAAATGTATAAAGAAAGATAATGCATAGACATATTTAATCACTTCACTTGTGCTCTTCTCTTTCCAATTTGTGCTTGGAAACCTGATTTGATAGCGGCGACAGATCTTCTTGAACCACATGACTCGCAGGTCATGAAATACAATCTATTCTCCTTTGTGAGATTAGTCTCCGGCGATTTGCAAGTTTTGCAAGTGACGTATTCAACAATATACCTTCTCAAAACGTTCTCAATTTGCTTCTGCTGGAATCTACCCCTAATGACCAATCTTTGGGAACCATCAACGGAACCAGAAGTACCCAACTCAGCGAACAAGAACTGAATGACGTGTTCAGGCTGTCTGTGCATCTTCTTGCAGATATCAGCGATGTTAGCGAAGGCTGTCTTCTTGTTACCATCCCTGACAACTTGTGGAGGTGCGATAGTGTACCTCTTCGCGCCTGTCACCAAGGCAGGATTTTGTGAGTGTAAAAGTTTGAAAGTACGTGAGAGGAGTTCCTTGTAGGTGTAGTCCCTGTCGGTGCCCAGCCAAGGTTCGCCGTTCTCGCCTGTCGACTCTGAGAGCGGGTCTGGCTGGTCTGAAGGAGCGTCTTCCTCTGGTTTACCCTGGTCGAGTTGCTTGTCGAATTCCTCCAAATCGAATGCCTTCTTCTTGCTGGGAGTCTGTTAGCGTGCTCTAGACTGGTTACTATGCGGAGAATTCTCACCTGCTGCTCTTCTTCTTCTTCTTCAAATCAGCAAAGTCGTCGGCGTCGTCAGCTGGTGGCGTTTGCTCTTCACCCTCTACTGGAGTCTTCTTCTTCGACTTTTTCTTGATACCTGCAAACATATCATCCTCGTTCTCAGCTTCTGGCGCGGCTCCTCCTGCTTCTGGAGCGTCCAAGCTATCAAAGTTTACGGCCTTCTTCTTTTTCTTCTTCTTCAAGGCAGCGTCGAAGCCGAGCTCATTTTGGTCGACGGTTGGTATTTCTGCGTCTGTCATATCCTATTCGGTCTTGGTCGCACTAAGGAAGGAGAACGGTTGGATAAGAAATTTTAAATAAAGAACTATTTTAACAATTATTTTAGTATGAACGTCTATTCCTCCCATGCGTTTCAACTTTTTTTATTTCCTTTCGTTACTCCCCGAATACGCTCTTTCCGCTACGACCATGTTGAGAGCAGCAGCCAGACCAGTACTCAAGGCCCAGCCAGTCAGAGCGTTCTCTAGCACAGCAGCTGCTAATGAGACCCTCCGTGAAATCGAGCAGCGTCTTAAGTCCGTTAAGAACATCGAAAAGATCACAAAGTCGATGAAAATGATCGCTTCTACTAAACTCACAAAGGCCCAAAGAGCAATGAACACCGCTATCGAGTACGGCAGAACCAACGCCGAACTCTTCAACCAATCTGAAGTCAAGGCTCCAGAGGACGCTAAGAAATTGTGGGTCATGGTTTCCTCAGACTCCGGTCTTTGTGGTGGTATCCACTCCTCTATTACCAAGTACACCAAGCGTAGCATCGCAGAGGAGGGCGCTGAAGAAAACCAAATCGTCGTCCTTGGTGACAGAGTCCGTAACCAAATTCAACGTTCTAACGCCCAAGACGTCAAGCTTGCTTTCAACCAAATCGGTAAGCAAGTCCCAACCTTCAACGACGCCGCAGCCATCGCCGACACTATCCTCACTTCTGGAATTGAATTCGATCAAGTCAACATCGTCTACAACCAATACACCTCACAAATCAGCTACGACGCAGGCACCTTGAAGGCATTCACCGACAAGGCTCTCTCACAAGCTGAAGGCTTCAAGGCTTACGAGCAAGAAGAGGAAGCTACCAAGGACCTCGCTCAATTCGCTTTCGCCAACGCTATCTTCGCTTCATTGGTTGAAGGTCACGCTACTGAAATCAACGCTCGTAGAAATGCGATGGACAATGCCTCTAAGAATGCAGGAGATATGATTGACTCCCTTCAATTGAAGTCAGTTTCCTTACTTCTATTTATGATTTATTACTGACAAACTCACAGGTACAACCGTGGTCGTCAAGCCCAAATCACCAATGAACTTATTGATATTATCACAGGTCGGTAGCATTTTCTCTAATCTATATCTTACTGACTTTCCCCTCAGGTGCTAGCTCCCTCTAGGTTTAGAACATCTGGATATCAATACTCGAAAAATTTTCTACTACACCAAATCGAAATACATAAAATTTCTTTACAATTTACTGAATTTCGTCTGCTTAAAGGGGATGATTTTGCTCATGGACTGTGTGTCCGAACTATCATCCTATGGAGATATCTGTGCTTTTTTTTTTGTGCTTCTAGTATTTTATGGAATCTTTATTTAGTAAATTTCTATATTTGGAATAATCTACACGTTTTCCATACGCGTTTTCGTGTTTCAGAATCGGCTATCACCTTCCGATGACATCTAAAGGAGACGTCATAGTATTTATAATGTTAGGGTTTGCGTGTATGGTAATGTATGAAACTAATACGTGATATCGGCAGTCATCATTTTCAATCGCTTGAAATGAAGGTCTGTTTAACAAGCTATGAAGAGTGTCAGAGGGTTTTTTGGCACTAGGATACGGTTTATTTTGTGTGTTAGAATCATTACTGTTTGTATATCTACACTCCCTTGTATGTTCTCTGATACCTATCATCGATATCTTCGATATTTCATCAATCTGGGAGCTAGTAGTGGTTTTTAGTTAGTATTTCGTATTAAAACGATATAAGTGATTGTTACTTATGTTATCAATTCCTTTTAAATACAAGCAGCAGAACGTGACTTAAAGTATAAATACTGTAGAATAAACACGTCCCCTAAAAACACTCTTCTCCTAGATCAATGCAAGGTTATCTATGTTGCTTCATTCCAACCCACTACGTATACATTGATTGATATTTCTCCTATTAGAGCTATTTTCACCAACTTTCGTGATATTAATACCAGGTTTGGGTGCAGTCTGATGACAACAGAGGCAGTATAGCGCGATTACACTGTATAATCAAAGCCATGTTTGATATATTACAACAAATACGGATCATTTCATCTAATACTGAAACAATTGAAACACACATACTACTAACCACAATTAGCTAAGATAAATATGCTTTCTCCACCAAGCAGCTAACAATTTGTATTGAAGTTATTGCCGTTCAACTATGAAAAGTGTCTTGCAAGATGCCATATGGTGTGTCTTATGAGGATGTTACGTCTCAAGTTCCATCGTAGCACTTCAAATGCTACCTTGATGTCTATGTTATACACATAGGTGTATGATATGGGGATAACATACATTAATGCCAGCCATGACAAATCTGATAGTCAATCAACATTATACTTTCCTATAGAATAAAATCTTGTAATTCTCTAATAAATGATTATAAATATATAAAAAAGCCAGATGATTAGTATTTGAATACAATTTTACTTGCTAATCGTTTGACTAACACCCGCCTGCATTCCTTCTTGAGCTCGAGTCACTCAAAAGTCAAAATTCTGATACGCACGTCGTTGCAAGCAGCGAGAGTAAGACGAGCATTTCCAATACCACGTATAAGGTTTATAAGGACTACTCCATTGAATATGAATCACCCAGAGCAAACGAACAACGCACCAGTAAAGCAGCAGCAACCTAAGAAGGAAAAGAAGGATAAGAAAGCTGCTAATGCTAACAAACAACCAGTCGAGATGACACCACCACCTGCATACTTACAGGAACGTCTCGAGATTTGGGACAAGTTGAAGGCAGCTGCAGACGCTGAATTAGCAGCTAAGCCAAGACAGCCAATCACTATTACACTCCCAGATGGCAAGCAACAGCAAGGAACTTCCTACGAGACTACACCAATGGAAATCGTCAAATCAATCGCATCTTCTCTCGCTGATAGAACCGTCATTTCAAAAGTTAACGGTAACTTGTGGGATTTAGAAAGACCATTTGAGGAAGATAGCAAAGTTGAGTTCTTGGATTTCAACACAGAGGAAGGTCAACAAGTTTTCTGGCACTCTTCAGCTCACGTTTTAGGTGAAGCTTGTGAAAGACACTACGGAAGTCACTTAGCTGTTGGTCCACCAACTGACGATGGTTTCTTCTACGAAATGGCCATCGAAGATCGTATGGTTTATGCAGACGATTATTCACCACTCGAACAAATCGCAAACAGCGCAATCAAAGACAAGCAGCCATTCGAGAGACTTATGGTATCAAAGGAGAAATTATTAGAATTGTTCGCTTACAATAAATACAAGCAACACATTATTTCATCAAAGATTCCTGATGGAACTTCAACAACTATCTACAGATGTGGTCCTATGATTGATTTGTGTAGAGGTCCACACATTCCACACACAGGTAAAATCAAGGCTTTCTCTGTAAACAAGCACTCTGCATCATACTTCCTTGGTGACGCCAAGAACGACTCCTTGCAGCGTGTTTACGGTATTTCCTTCCCGGATAAGAAGCAAATGGTAGAGTACAAGCACTTCGTCGCGGAAGCCGCCAAGCGGGATCACAGAAAGATAGGAAGAGTGGGTAAATACCTTCCCTTGACGACATCTCTAACACGTTTTAGGAACAAGAACTTTTCTTTTTCCACGAGCTTTCACCAGGTAGTTGCTTCTTCTTACCAAACGGTACTAGAATTTACAACACCCTCCTCGAATTCTTGAAGAAGGAATACCACGCTCGTGGCTACCAAGAGGTCATCACACCAAACATGTACAACACAAAATTATGGGAAACCTCCGGTCACTGGCAGAACTACGCAGAGAACATGTTCTCTATGGACATTGAAAAGGAAAAATTCGCTTTGAAACCAATGAATTGTCCAGGTCACTGTTTGTTGTTCGACATGCGCGATCGCTCTTACAAGGAATTACCATTTAGAGTGGCTGACTTCGGTGTACTCCACCGTAACGAAGCCTCTGGTGCTTTAACAGGTTTAACCAGAGTAAGAAGATTCCAACAAGATGATGCTCACATCTTCTGTCGCAAAGACCAAATTGAGGATGAAATCTCTGATTTGTTCGACTTCCTCGAGAAGGTTTACGGTATCTGTGGTTTCAACTTCAAGTTGAAGCTCTCCACTAGACCTGAGAAATTCCTCGGTAAGATCGAAGATTGGGACAAAGCGGAGAAGAACCTCCAGAACGCACTCGACAAGTTCATGCCAGGAAAGTGGGAGCTTAACCCAGGCGATGGTGCCTTCTACGGTCCAAAGATCGATATTACTATCAGCGACGCCCTTAGACGTAATCACCAGTGTGCCACCATTCAACTTGACTTCCAACTCCCTGAGAGATTCAAGTTGAGATACCGCACTGGTAATGACGAAGATTACATCAAGCACGAGGATGGATCTATCGAGAAGGGCTTCGACAGACCGGTTATCATTCACAGAGCTATCTTAGGTTCCCTTGAGCGTTTCATCGCCATCGTTACAGAACACTTCGGTGGTAAATGGTAAGTTTGAATGACCGAGATGTTGTTTCTGCTTACGCTCATTATAGGCCATTCTGGTTGTCTCCTAGACAAGTCATTATCATTCCAGTCGCCCACAAGTACGATGAATACGCAAACTCACTCCAAAAGCAACTCTGGGATAATGGCATTATTGCAGAAGTCGATGCTGGTGAGAACACCCTTCCAAAGAAGATTAGAAATGCCGAGATTGGTCAGCACAACTTCATCTTCGTCGTTGGTCAAGAGGAGGTCGACGGTAGCTCCGTCAACGTTCGTAACCGTGACGACGCGGGCTCAAAAGCCAAGACTCCTACCGTCCCATTCAGCGATGTCCTTGCCCAAATGATTCGCTTGAGGGATGAAAAGAGATTAGAAAACAAACTGGTTGCTTAAACCATAAGACTATAGTATTTTTATAAATTTTCTCATTCATGCACTACTTAAAAGATTACATTCATAAATTCGTGAATACTTGGGTGTAGCGTTAATTTAGATTGTTAGAATTATAACAAAGTGCGTCGCTAAATCGTTATACGTCTGATTGTCTACCGATCTGGTCAACATCAAGACGAGGATCGTCGGCTATATCATGAGGATGCTTGTGGTATTTCTTTCCAATACTTCCAGCAGTATCTTCCAGACGTGGATCATTGTATGCTTGTCTAGCTGTACGATGTTTATTGGCAAGGTTATGCTCAATACTGTGAGATGCATCTCTTGGTGGTTCCTCGAGATTAAGCGGTGGACCTTCCTTCATTAAGTCATCTGCAATGTTGTGACTTGTTGTTTCTGGTCTTCCAACAACTTGTGAAGTCTTCTTAAAGTGATCAATATTGTGCGACATCTTGATGGTAGTTAAATGTGAGGATTTCACTTTATCTTGTCTACGACTCCAACTGAAAATTTTGACAAGCCGTTAATACGGATATCATTTAACCAGTGTGAGATTATTCTACAAGTAATGCAGCTTCTAACAGCCACATCAAGATGGTCTTCCTTGATTTACATCAGAAGCCATTGGATGACATAATGTTTCACATGTTATTGTTGCATGTAATACTTTCACATCATCTATTCTCTTTCAATCCTAAGATCATCCAAAAACCTAAAATAATCACTCATGCTACCATGCCACTTTCAATTAATATGCTAGTTACGCTGCTGTGATTATACTAGTTTGATGGCGTTGCGAGTATACATTGGCAATTACATAGTCATAGTCTTCATAATAGCTTGTGCTTCGATTTCTACGTCAACTTTATGATTGGTGAGTGTGATTGTTTCTTTCACGGTTCCATGCTACGTCATTTGAAAGGTAAGCCTGATTTAACACGCGCAGTTCAATGTAAAGAATCGCAACATTTAAAAACAGATTTAGGTAGCTTACCTTAATGTATACATGTTAAACATACATTCAGAACCAACCTCAGCATGTTTCTCTGCTGACTCACATCGCACCACTCAACCGTAATAGTAATGAATACACAATATCTATTATACAACTTTTCTTTCTATTATTAATCATAATCATACGTGGTTCTTGTCTCCTGGCTTGGAAAACTCTTGCTCTTCTTTTCTCAATTTTTCTTCCTCTTGTTCCTTCAAAATCTGGCGACAAACCTTCGATCTGTCTCTCAACCATCCTCCAAACAATATCAATACGAAAGGAATAATTGAAAGTCCAAATGCAATAAACCCAATTGTGGACGACGCCCATGGGAATGTCAGATGGTCAAACATTGCAGTTCCAAAGAATGGGAAGGTACTGCCTAATATGTTTCTTAACACTTAATTTAAAGTCAGTTATTAGTTTCATCGGGTGTTTCGTACTTACCTGAAAAAGAGGTTAGTAAGGAAAACTTTCACCTGTATTATAAAACAACTTACATCTGTGAGAGGTTAGAGAGGGTACTGCTTTGTAAAACTTTACTCACGCTTGGGCTGCTTGTGCGGAAGAAGAGTACTTCTCATAGGCATCACCGATGTAGGTATAAACACCGGCATAGATTGGGAAAATACCAAAGTTGACGCCGACGAGTGCGATACAAGGTACGATCCAGTGGATGTGTGGACGTGCGGTCCATGCAAACATCAATTCGAAAGCTCCGAAGAGGACAGCACCGAGGGCTGCCTGGTATAAGCGCGCCTCTGGTGGGGCGATATGCGTGACTGGGTCCTTGCTCTTCTTGTAGAGTACATTCTGACCGAAGCCAACGAGCCAAGCAAAGAAGGCACCGATGAAACCACAAATGAGAACAGTACCTCCTTGTCCTAGGGTAATGTTAGAAATGTGAAAATTTTGCAGATTAGCAACAAACCTTGTGTGAAGTCATATGTTTTCTCGAAAACGTGCAACACCGTACCAGTTGACAAGAAGACAATACCCCAGGCGAAACCGACCCAGATGGAGAGTGCAATGACAATTGGCTCGGTAGTGAGATAGATGAGTGGTCTGGCGAGCGATGTTGTGAGTGCCTTCTTGACGGAATGTGCTGCATCGGTTTGTACTTTTAAGTCAGTACCGTAGGTTTTGTTGTATTTGGTGATCTTCTTGTCAAGAATCAAGTCGTGGCGTGTTTCATCGAGCATAAAGGCGCACATGATGAAGACGACACCGTTCATGGCCATCTGCATCCAGTAAATGTTCGCCCAATCGGTCTCTGATGCAAGCCAGTTACACGTTAACGGACCAATCGCATTTGCAGTGAAAACAACTAAAGTGAAAGTTGCCATTGCAATACCACGACCACCATCACGGTGAAACAGATCAGAGATGATACCCGCGACGTGTGGTCCTTCAATCGAGGCCGCTGTACCCTGGAACAAACGACTAATGCTCAATGATGAAATGTTTGGTGCAAGGGCTTGTGGAAGGAAGAGAATAACGATTAGTAAGAGCAGGCTAACTAACATTGGCCTTCTACCGTATTGCTCGGAGAGTGGAGCAAGGAATAAAGGTCCAAGACCGAGTGCAGCGTTGTAAGTAAAGCTGGAAGTGAGGAAAACACTACTGGAGACACCAAATTCTTCAGTAACGCCGGCCCTGGCAGCAGAGTTACCTAGTAATATTAAGTAAATGCGCTAATACATTCCCGTGTGGACTCACCTGGGGTAAATTTTAGCATGCAGCGATTTGCTTGAAGATATGAACTCACCTGTAGCATTAAAAGCAGAAACAAAGTTTATGAGAAGTGCGATTATGTAACTCTTGACTTTCCTGGAGAACGGCCAGTTAAATGGCAATTCTTGTCCTACGAGCTCGAGTTCGATCGGCGGAAGCTCTGTTGTGTCGACTTTCTCAGTCATTTGAGTTTCAACTTGGTTTTTCTTAAGCTTGTCGAAAAACATAAGTAAGTTTTGAGTAACTGACGGAATGATAGCGCGGGGTTTTGTGTGCTATTTCTGCTGATAGTGGTATTTGACAGATTTTTTTACGCAACGGGGTTGTTGCGACCTTGTTTGTGAAAGTTAAACAAAAAGCCAAGATGTTTGAAACTTATTTATTTGATTGACCATGTGAACCAATCTTTCATGGGCCGAAAATCCGTGAGTTACCCCAGCTTTCATTATTAAGCGAATCAGAATTTTTTTATTTGTGTCCGATTTTCATGATGTTTTGTATAAAATTCATAAATGTCTCTAAACAAACAAAGGAATATGCCAATGTTCGCCAATGTTGCCAAGCATACCGAGCCCCTCGGAAAAGCTTCTTTCTATTGGGAATTACTGGCAATGACAGGGTTTCTATCGGATATCTAGAAGTTCTTTAGTACATTTGCTCCGCTGAGGATAAATTATATACATATAAATATATCATATGGGTTTTATTAATAGATATAATTACGTCATGCGACTATCGAAGTGTGGGCTTTCTCACTGAATTGAAGGACGATATGTAGAGTATCACAATTCCTAGAAATACTCTTTATTCCCACAAATTTAGTACCTAAGTTTCCATCCAATTGTTCTTTCGTTCGAACGATGATCGTGTCGACAATAGCGACGGGGGTCTCTCGTCTATTAGACATAGTATTGAGTGCATATATCTACAATGACGAATATCGGTATCCATTCTTTATTGCTTTCACTCAGTTCACTCTTCTCTCCCTCTTTACAAAGGTCTATACTAGTATACGTACGAGTAAATGCATAGCAGGAACAATCAAAGACGACGACATTCTCTCACCGACGACTCAATCAGTGAGATCTCCAAAGATTACTAGAAGGATGACGCTCTTGATAGCAATCAGTTGGTTTATCACCAGGGTATTTTCTAATCTGAACAATGTTGAGGTCAGAGTAGCTCGGGCTTCCGAGGTGAGCTCACTATCAGGCTATATACGTCGCTAAAATTCTTTCGCAGGCTGCTGTACCACTGTTGTTGCTCCCCGCCTGCTCCTATTACAAGTTAATTCAGATCGATGTCAAAGTCGCCGCCGTGAGTTGATTCTCACGTGAATGTAATTATCTCACAGGAACGAAAAGCTAACACTAGCCACATCAATTGCACTAATTTTAAATTGCTCTATCGATGCCCGTGCCGTATCTGCTGGAATTATAGTTCTACGCATTCTGAATGTCGTCGTACGTCATATTACCAACAAGATGGGCTTATCTGACAAAAAATACAGTCGCAAGCGATGTTCCTCACTTTATTCAATAAAACTATAAGGGAAGATTACAAGAATCCGATATTTGCGCTTCATGCGTATGCACCTGTAGGTACCTTTTCATTGATCAGCTGCTCTTGCTGACGGCACAGACTGCTACAATCATCTCTCTCATATTTTCCATCTTGTTTGAGGGTGAGTGATACTTTAATCTCCATAACAATCATTAACATTACCAGGTGTTGCACCACTTCATGATCTCCCAATTATCGGATTAGTGATTCTTGTGGAGAACGTCCTGGTTTTCTTGGCAAGTCAGGTTTCGATCGCATTTCTCTTGCATGTGAGTTTCAACGTCATAGCGCACGTCCCAGCTGACGAAACGGCAGCAAACTAACGTCATAACTTGGTCGAGCGTCTCCTACCTCGTCACCATAAGTTTAGTAGTCATATCAGCGTTCGTCACTGAACGCGCTCCGCCATTGGGTCAGTCAGTCGTCACGTTCTGCACTGCGTTCCTCAGTTTGCTGCTTCTGCGTACCCAAATTCCTTCTTTGAGGGACGCACAGCCACCTACACCACGTTTACAGCTGTCGAAACTGTCTACGCACCTCGAGCCTTCGATTTCTCATGTCACTGGATTACAGACACAGACACCACCTAGTCTCTCACGTACTAATAGCTCACAACGTGTGCGTCACGCAGAGGAGATCTAGATGTTTTAGTTGCGATTGTTAATATTTTATTTTGTACTTTGTATTTACCTCTTTAATGAACTGTTGCTATCACTAACGGCCATGAATCCCCGAGAGTTTTGGTATTACATTGGATTATATTTGCTATTCAATTTGGTCTTGACGCTCTTCAATAAAGCTGTATTAGATAACTTCCCATACCCTTACACTCTCACGGCGGTCCATGCAGCAGCCAACGTGATAGGATCGACAATAGCTAGATTGTATGGTTTATACGTGGGTTTACTTAGTTTTATTGAGGATTTCATTGAATAAACTCTGTAGACACCAGCGAAACTGTCAAATACCGAGATAGTCATTCTAGTACTATTCGTAAGCTTCAATAGGCAATACAAGCTATTCTGACGCCCCGCAGTCTACTTTATATACAATCAACATCGCGGTGTCCAACTTGTCGCTCAACCTTGTTACAGTTCCAGTGCACCAGGTGGGCAATACACACTCACACTTATAAATCTCATATACACCCAGATTATACGCTCCCTAGGACCACTCTTTACGATGGCACTTTCGGTGCCTCTCCTGGGGTCAAAATTTTCAATACCCAAACTAATCTCTTTATTACCAGTTATGATCGGTATAGCGATAATGACATACGGCGAGATAGATTACACAATTATAGGCTTAGTCTTGACCTTTGCAGGTACAATCCTCGCGGCTATCAAAACCGTGGTCACAAATCTTATGCAGACTGGCCAGCGATTCCAGCTCCACCCACTCGATTTGTTGTTCAGACTATCCCCCTTGGCACTTATACAATGTGTCGGTTATGCACTGTACACCGAGGAATACTTCGAAGTCTATAAGGATCTCTGGCCTATGCCTAATGTGTACAAAACGGTACTTCTAATTCTCCTCAATGGGGCTATCGCCTTTGGTCTCAACGTCGTATCCTTCGTTGCTAACAAGAAAGTGGGACCACTTACGATATCCGTGGCTGCAAACATCAAGCAAGTGCTCACTGTCATACTCTCATTTTTCTTCTTTGAAGTGGCCATCACTGGAGTCAGCTTTTCGGGGATTGTAGTCGCACTTCTGGGAGGTGTGTTCGGTCTTGACAGGCATGTAAGATAGCTAAATCGAACCACAGGTGTATGGTATGGCAAAGTCGAGTATACTGAGAAGAAACGCGCGTTATCCTAGATATTTTCATAATAAATTGTACTTCTAGAGTGTACCATAAATAGTCTATGAATTTACTACTTAGGAACTTCTCCTAATCAAGTTGACTCAGTAGCCATGGCCTATCATTCCAGAAGGTGTCTTTGATGATGTCCAGATGGAGAATTTCAATAGGGCCTCGCGTACCGTCTATACCATCTTTCCGTATCTTTTCAATCTTCTTCTTATCTTTATAAGAGCCATCCGCCGGGATTTCAGGCATGGGAGGCGGTATACGCACCAGTATGGAGCCCTTCTTGTATAAATCATCGAGTGTGTTATAATTTATACCATACTCCTTGAACAGAATGTCATGCTTCTCTGCTGAAACCGTACCTTGAAGTATCTTGTGTGCTTCTCGCTCTGTTTTGCCGCCCTGTTGTACGATTGCCCAGAACGTGGTGTTGTATAGATTGTTTATATGTGCTAAAAAGACGTTAAAATGAGCGGTTAGCATAGTCACACTCACTATCGACCTGCCTCCACGCAAAGTAATCACGGACATGCTTTGGGTGGGGATAAGTAACTGTTCTTCCATCGAAGCCTGGTGGATAGGCCAAAGGTGTTGAGAAGTAACGTCCCCAGTTATAGACAAAGGCAGATGTGAAGGCTGATACGACCTTCGTTAGAATCTTTGCCTTCCTACGATCGTAAAGAGTTGTTTGTGGGCGTAATAAAAAGCTTTCTGGTTGTTAATAGGCCTCTATTGTGCACTAACTACACACCTAAACTCATCACTCTCTCCGAATGCGAGTATAACATCCTGAATTTCTTCTAATACAAACTTTGCTGCAGAATTCATACATTCTAGTGCTCTCTTATCATTTGGCTTCTCAAATTGGTGTATATCCGAGAACCTACTGTCATGAGAAGACAGTGAATGCTAACGCTGTAACCCACCTATGGAAACTCTGGCCATCTATTCGCACCACTGTAAAGCTATAAGGCACTAATTTCTCATATTCCTCGAAATCTCGTACGTATCCAAATCGTGAGTTCGCCATATCCTCGTGGTGAATGCGTAAGAGATGACTAGAGATTGTGAGAGATGACAGTGATACAATCATTATTCGTATCGGTATCACCTTCTATATACGGCGTCATAGCCTTATCTCATAGAATTCCCTCTTGAACTCATACGACGATGGAGGAGGACCATCCGTTGCCATCTGCTGTAGCCAACCTTAGAGAGAACAACACACGATCTGGATCAGGGAGATCTAACAGATCCGTCACATTTTCAATACAAGATGATGATATTAATGAGAACGCGGTTGTAGATACAGAGAGCGAGGATGAGAGAGATGGTGATGATAGTGACAGTGGCCACAATCGACGAAGATCCTCGCGTTTAGACGATACTTGTATAGGAAACCCCGAGAAAGTGAACGCAGATTTAGAAACACAAGCGAAGGATGAGAGCAACGAGGAAACACCTCCAGCGAAACAATCTCCATGGCAGAGATTCCTTGAAATGAAGTATGTTCGTTGGATGCACGTGAATCATTCCTGGCATCACTTCAGACCTATCATTCGAGCGAGTTTGGCTGCATGGCTGGGTCTTCTGTTATTCCTCATACAGCCAGTTTTGGAAAGAATGGGCCAAGCGGCGTTTTATATCCTTGTTTGTGGTTTTCTTGCTTCTCCACGAGACGCTATCGTGCCTGATATAGAGAGGCAGATAATCAATTTGGTGTTCGTTTGTTCCGCCTGGGCTTGGGCTGTTATTGGTCTCGCAATTGGTTTCGCTGGTAGAGATGATGCACTCAGCGAAGCAACAATGGCAGAAATAATGGATGAAGCGAACGCTCTAAATGTACCTAATGTAGCCACTTACATTCAACAACAAACTTTTGAGGGACGCTTCATACAAACGTCGACGTCCATCGCCGCAGCGATTTTCCTAGCATCAGGCTGTGGCTTTTTCCTTTACTTGAAGTCGATTCTTTCACCACCAAGATACGGAGTTGCTTGTGTCTTCTCTGCAATCTGCTTGATTGTTAGTCTCACTCAAGGACATCTGACATATTCGCCGAATTACCTCATAGGCTCGTATTTCGCTTTGCCATTAGCATTACAATCCGCAATTAATATCCTCTGCTCGATTTTTGTTCTACCAGTGACAGTAAACCACCAATTTCTGATAGGTTTGCAGGCTGTCCTCCAGCCACTCCAGAAATTCGTACAAGCGGAGACTGACATGTTAGGTATACCGGTCACATCCGAGGATTGGATAGAGCGTGTTAAATACCTCAAGCAGCTCAACTCACAGTCTGTTCAGGCTATGATAGCGGTACGGACGAAAGACGCATACATTTTCCGCGAATATAGCTTTGGATTGCTGAGAGGTAGAGACTGCCACGAGATGTTGGAACTCATTAGAGTTGTACACCTGCGTAGTGGTGGTTTCCTCACTTTCTGCGAAGCCCTTTTGGTTGCATTCCACAACAGACACATATTACAAGAAGCGGTGACGATAGCGGATCCATCGGAAATGCCTCATGCTACAGCTTCATTGTATGGTAATTCAAGAAACCCTTCACCTTATTCGTCCCAGCCAGGCACCCCAAGGAGTTCGGTGGCTTTGTCAAGACACGACACTGGTGATTCGCGTGACAATGATAGCCACCATTCGGGTTTACATATCTTTGGTTCACATAGTATTGGAACACTCACGGAAATGCTCACAAAAAAGAAACATGTTGCCCCAATTGGTGTGTTTGAATCACAAAGGTATATGGCTCTAGAGCAACAGTTGAAATTGTGAGTGATGGGTTTGCTTTATTTTATCATCTCACGTGCATCACAGTACCGATCAGGAATTCGTTAGAGCACACTTCAAAATCGTCAACGCTGAATCAAAGGAGTTGAACGAGATTACAGCGGCGACTATAGCACATATACATACCCAAATTGACAGAATTGATAAGGTTAGATTGGGATCGTGGATATTTAGACGCAAGGATGCCCCAAGTGAAGGAGATGCCATTGTTCAAAACATGGAGGTCTGCGATAATCTCAGAAGAGCGATTGATAAGTTCAAAAACGAGGATAGATTGGCTGTATTGAAGAATTACGAGAAATTCTTCGATGGTTCTCAGCCCAAAAAGAAGATTCCTTATAGGGCGTTATTCTGGTCATTCAGCTATCAGGTAGGTGGAAGAAAATGGAAATACTTTAGCTAACACATTCCAGTATCATCTGCTTTCTTTCTGTAGTGCGCTTTTAGAAGTCGTAGAAAAGATCTCCAACTTGGAAGCCAAACGAAAGAAACCACGGTTGTGGATACCAGAAGTTCATCTTTTGTAAGCCCCCTGAGAGTATGAAAACACTTCACTAAGTTCTCCATAGTGGTTGGTTCACATCTGGCGCACACAAGCATAGCGAAGAAGAGGAAGAAGACGATGATGATCCTGATCATATGTCAGGCGTGTTGGATATCTTCCCTCAGTCGAGAGATCCTGACGTCCTTGAACCTTCTAATATTTTTGAGCGATTTGGGTGAGTATAAGGTTAGCATAAAGAAACTTCTAACGGTACCGTCCTAGTTTGGTATTATGGAAGATATGGATGTTTTTTACGTCGACTGGGTCTCTTTTTGCACTCAAGACTGCTGTATTAGTTGGTCTGGTCACATTACCCTCCTTTTTAAAACAATCTACCAGCTGGTACTACTACGATAGAGGATTATGGGTTGCTATTATGGCGATCATGACACATAGTCAGCATAGAGTATGATTCACGATATCATTAATATGAAAATCGCTAACATAAAGCTCAGGGTGATACGCTCTTCAACTGGTTCACGCGGTTGGTTTACTCTGTGGTTGGTATATTTGGAGGTCTTTTGATATGGTCAATTGCTGCCCAGAAGGGTACAGGAAATGCTTATGCAGTTGGAGCAACCTGTGCCGTGGCCTTCCCGATTATGTTTTACATAGTTATGTATTTCCCTGGTACGAGCGTCGGTATGATGGTACGTGATGGATTTATTTCAAGTATAGCCTCCATTAATACCTCATTAATAGGTCTTGATGACATCAGTCGCCATGGTACTCGGATACAGCTGGCAAGACTCACACAATCCCAATCTAGTCAACGTCGGCTGGGGATGGGAACTCTCTTGGCGACGCTTGTTGCTTGTCTTGATAGGTGTTACTTCTGCCTTCGTTTTTGCATATGTTCCGCCAGTATCCAGCGCAAAGAGACATCAGCGGTTGATTTACTCCCGCACGATTACGACTATAGCCAATAGCTGGTGTGCAATCGTCGGCTATGCTCTCAATAGTCATCATAGGGAGATCGATGAAGAGGCAATCACCAAAACGCTCCTTTCCGTTAAATCCAAATTGCGAAAGAGTAAAGCAAGGCAGGATTTCGCCGCTTTCGAATTCAGTTTACGTGGTAAATGGCCACGAAAGAGATATGAAGCTTTACTCAACGTTCAACTCGACCTTGTTGAGCTACTTTCACAGTTTTTGACAGTGGCTAAACAACTTGATCCGCTCTGGACGAAAGGTGTTATGAATAGGAGTAGATTCAATGATCATAGATTTGTGAGTTTTTATAGTTTACGGACATCACAAGCTCATTTAGACTTCTACTAGATTGGAGACGTTCTGGCATGCTTTGAAATGTGCGCTACTAGTATCAAGACGGGTATGCCATTGCCTCAAATAACACCTTGTCCATTGGTCGGTATACGCCATTCAGCTAAACTTGGACTTAGCTTGAGTGCAAATGATGAGGATGTACCAGAAGGATTACCATTGCATATAGACTTTAACGTCCTCAAAAGTGAAGAGTATTGGGTGCGTTGATATACTTACCACTTTATTGCATTATCTAACAAACCCAGCTATACTGTGTTGCTTACTCGCTCTCACAATCTATATTAATTAGAGTAGACAGGATGATGCTCTATACAAAATCACTAGTTGGTGAACAGTTCCACATTAACTTGGAAGTATAATAGAATTCGTTGCATTGTTAGCACAGACGGGAAGTCAAAATGATTAGTATTATAAGAAAAAGATACTCTATACTCTACTAAATCTTAATAAATGATTCAACACACTCTCAAACAACTTCACATGTAATTTTATCCAATGTTAATGGTTTATGCATAAGTTACATTAATCTAGTAAACGTAACCGAGAATCTTACCACCAGTGTGCTTACGTCTGGCCTCCTCGTGATCGACGATGCCGGATGAGGTGGTGAGGATGATCTTACCGAATGAACGGGCTGGAAGGAGCATAGCAACCCAGTTTTCAATTTGTGAAAGTTGGACGTTGAATCTTGGTGAGATGACACCACACTTGTTCAAACGACCGTTGAGTTGAACGACAACCTTTCCTGAACGGTGATCATCGACCTCTTCAAAGTCACCAATGTAGCCTAAATAGCGTGTTAGTTTGGTTACTTTAAATCTTTTGGTGGTCAAATGATCCTCAAGAAAAACCTCCTGATGAAAATTTGAGAATGTTGACAAAATACCAAATCTGTCATAGCAGGAAAAGCTACGGCAGAAGTATGACAGACTGACATTACTGTATCGACGTCTTAAAGAATGAGGGTGGGTGTGTGAGCCACGACATCAAACAGTTATAACGTCGAATCGAATCGATCGATGTTCAGAGGAGGGATTCGAGTAGATGATATGACCACCAAATACGCTGTTACTCACCATGCTTTTGCATGACAGAAAGGAACTTTACGACGACCTTTGATGAAGGACGAACGAGGACTTGACGCTTTCCGCGACGCTCAGCGTTGACGATTGAGTTGAGGGCATCGTTGAGGACAGAAACGCGGACCATTTTGTCTGAAAAGAAGTCAGTCAAACCCGACGAGGTACACAGAGGTGTTCTGTCGGGTCATCTACGTGGGATGTCTGCGTATATAAGATACGATGTACAAGCCAGTATCACGACAAAACTTTCTCATTTATTTTTACTAACCTTGCTTTTAGCGTCGTAGCGGGCGTTGAAGGCTTCAGTTTTTTTGAATTGAAATCGCCTCTCACAAAATTTAAAAAATGAGCGAAGCCCTCGTCGAAACGAAGAAAATTACCAGCTTCCCTTGAGTTCACCAAGATGGTTAGTAAAAAATAATAGAGGGGTGTATAGAATTAGACCGTAGACTCGAGCTTGTTCTTCTAGAAGCTATATAGAGGATAGCGTCTCCCGTTTGCGCTCGCTATCACATCCCTCCTAATCAAGAAGACATCTAACAACCCACCAGGGTCGCGTCCGTACAAAGACAGTCAAGCGCGCTTCTCGCGTTCTCATTGAGAAGTACTACCCAAGACTTACGCTTGACTTCCACACCAACAAGAGGATCGCAGACAATGTTGCTGTCATCCCTTCAAAGAGACTCCGTAACAAGATCGCTGGTTTCACCACTCACTTGATGAAGAGAATCCAAAAGGGTCCTGTCCGCGGTATCTCATTCAAGCTCCAAGAGGAAGAGCGTGAGCGTAAGGATCAATACGTTCCAGACGTCTCTGCACTCGACACAACTGAGAACCCACTCGAAGTTGACCCAGACACCAAGGTAGATTTTTTGACTCCATCTAAAAAATTTCCTCTCACACCACACAGGACCTCATCAAGTCACTCGGCTTTGACTCACTCCCAGTCAACGTCGCAGCTGTTTCAGCTTACCAAGGTCCAGAGCGTCGTCAACGTCGTGCCGTTCCAGGTGCTGCTTAAAGCAATTTTTCCCGCTTTACCCAGCATGGTTTTCGAATGTAACAAAGCAATATATGTACGCATGACCGACAGAACAATCAACATTTTGGTATTCAATTTTTTATTGACGGTGGTAATGTCAAATCTTCTGGTATCTTATTAGCCATAGCTAATTTAGTGAATGGTGACTCTGGCGTTGATAGCGACACTAGTACATCAGCCACTATCGTTTCATCTGTTTGAAATGGGTTACTTGGCGTGCTAGTTGATGGACTATTAATGTCACCACTTGACGACCTCCTTGATGACTCCTCTGACTTTAGCAACCTCAGCTCATCTTGAAGCTTGTGTATATATTCCACCTAAGCTGATTTTAGTGAGACTCCTCAGAGAACAGCTCCTCCCACCGTCTGATCCAGCACCTGCAACTTGAAATCCGACGGCTTAGCCTTCATATCATCCTTACTCACGAGCTCCCTTAGCTGATCAAACCTCTTGTTTACTTTAATGCGTCGATTTCTTTCTATTTCCGAGTGTTGCTGTTTACGTTTGAGATCCTTCTCTTTCTTACTTGTTAATGTTTTTGTCATTTATGGTAGTTTATTCACAACTGTCGTGTGATCAGTTCTGAATCTTTATATTACACACGTTCGTAGTAGCATGTCTGAGTGACGATGATTGTGACGATATCAACAAACTATTGGGTATGCATAAATCTTTTACAAAGTTAAAAATACTAAGCAAATAGATCTGCGTGTGGGATATCTACAGAGAAATCTACTATCATTATCCGCTTATCATGTGAAGCAGTAACGATTCTTCTTGAATCGAAATCGAGATCGAATATGAGTGATTCATGTTGATCAAATTTACGAGCATATTGAACGTCACCGTTTATTTCATTAAGGTTCCAGACTTTCACGCATCTATCATAACTTCCACTAACTACGATACGTCGTGAACTATCAATTTGTAGTGATCTCACAAGGCCTTGATGACCTGCGAGGCTACAAAGTAGTTGACCATCTGTTGTTGACAATTGTATTGTATTATCGGATGAACCTGATGCGATGATCTCATTGTCGATGTCTATACAAGCTATACCCCTCGAATGAGTTTTTTCAATTTTACGTGAAAGTACACCTTTATCAAGATTCCAGATGTTAATTACTTTATCACCACCTGCACTTGCAAGAACGTTAGATTTGGTTATTGATAGACTATTTACTGATGCCTCATGAGCGTTATCAATTCTATAGAGTAATTTGAGAGATTTACGTGAGTATACGCAAATTGAAGAGTCTTTTGAACATGATGCAATATAGTTATTGTTGAAATCCGCATCTAAAACACCAGCGGTGTGATTTTCGAGTACTTTTACGACTTTCGCTTTACCGAGTTGTCTACCAGTACCAAAATTCCAGATGAGTAATCTACCATCTGATCCTGCTGATACACCAAACGTTGATTGAAATTTCACACTAATCACCGAACCGTTGTGTGCATCCGGGATCGTGTTCAAGAGGGCGCGAGTTTTTACATCCCAAATACGTATTGATTTGTCGCGTGAACCCTAATAATTGTTTCGTTAGAATACATAATCTCAATGATGCACACCACCCACAGAGATAATCTTCTCATTGTCAAACGCCACAGTGTAGACACTATCCGTGTGACCATCTAAGAAGTGCATCTCAGGAGTACCTTTGCCAAACCACCTATTTTCAAGCTCTAATCGCGCCTTAAAGAGTTCCAACCAGTCGAGTGAGTCATCATCGTCATCATTCTTTTGTGATGTCAATTGAGTGAATCTAGTTGATATCGCATTAGAGAATGCTTGTCTATTGAAACTATTAGACCGTGAAATGCATGGTGATAAACTTGGAGGTGTGTATAATGGTGTTGGTGGCGGTGTATTCTTAACTTCAGAGGAGAGTTTCCAGCCGAATTGAGCAAATAAATGCTTATATACGAGATTATCAGTTGCTAAAGCATACCAGGATTTACTAACTAGCTGGCAATTGTGTATTTCCAGTAAATTCAAGTGAACTAGTATATAAATTGACAGCTCTAATGGCAGCTTTGAAAGTAAATCAACCTTTTCTTTATTGTCATTATCAGTCCCAGTATAGGATAACTTTATATGAGTCAAACAGTCAAGTAAATTCATATGCCGATGATGATGAAAGTAGTGATGTATTTGTACAAGGATGTAATGTGCGTCTATATACATGAAATTAGAATAAAAATTGGACTATATGATATTGTATTTCTTTGAGTGTAGATTGTTTGTAGCTTGGTTGATAAGGTTGTGCTGCATCGTCGGCGTCTGTATCGGCGTCTGGCTAGCCGATGAGCAAGTAGTAGCCGGTGACAATGCAGGAGTGTTATCGTTTGAGTAATTCAATTTGTTAAGTCTAGTTGATAATACGACAGGTGAAGAAGGCAATGAAGGTGACTCAACAGTCTTCAGTCGCCATAAATTGAACATCTTTGTAAATTTGACTATTTCTTGATATTCTACTCTAACGTCACAACTAAGATAACCAAACAACTCCCTCTCCACTGCGTTTACTTCTCTCTGCGAGAAAATTTCTTGGGAGGCAATGTACCAACTTTGGTTGGTGAAACTATCATCGTTGAACATCTTATTGGTAATCATGATAGCAGCGAGCCATAATCTATGACCAGATGAGCCTTTAGCATTTGGATACCTGCTCTTGAGGCGTTGAAGAAGAATCATTGAAGACAACGCCACTGAAACGTCTAATCTAGTTCTATAGAGCGCATAATGTATAAAGTCCGCTAATGGAATAATTGACTTGTTTACTGGACAGTCAAATAGACTGATAACGTAGTTTGCCATGTCTCTAGCTAATACCTTTCCAGCTTGATATCTTTCCTTTGTTGAGCCTGATACGGCAGCGAGAGAGCCGTAAGAAGTTGAACAATACGTTTGCAGTTCTTGTGATACCATTTGTTTGTGTATAAGTTTAAATTCTTTCTGTTGGGGTGGGATGCAATCTAAATCAGACAATAGACTGAGCTGATATATGTTAGATGAATCTAGATGTAGTATTAGATACTTACTTTATTGTTGTCTTAGAGTGTACACTTTAAAGTAATAATTCAACAAGATATTGTTGACTCGGCCACCTTAAATCAGATTGTTCCAGACCTGGTCGATGGATGGGCAATCCTGACATTTCGATTATGGCGGCAAAGGGTGCATAAAACGCCAAAGTGGAGGTCTATAATATATATATATTATTCCCCTTCTAAAATATCCCTTCCCTGCCTCTCTAACCACTCTAGACGGACGTAAAAAAGTTTTTCGGTCTCGGTAAATGTGGGGGTCGCACATGCTAGAAAATGCGTGATTTCTGACTAATATCCTTACGAAGTAAAATTATTATAAATCTTAACAATCAGTCTACAAACGTCGGTGATAAATGAATACCTCCGACTATCCAAGCTATCTTTTGGCCGCCATGGAGTGGCTATCAGTCACGCCATAAAATTTATCTAATTTATGTGTATATTTACATTAATTTCAGTCTATTCACACGCTCATATGACGATATTAACTAAAACTAAACTACGCAATGTGTCGTGCCAAATCGGCCAACTCAAGAGATCGGCACCGAGGCTCTAGTAAGAGCGTTAGTATAGGAGAATTGGTGGAATTTGTACAAATAATATATCAACTAAATATACAAATTCTTAATATATTGATCATTATTATTCATTCCATACTGCGTGTGCGTGCATTGCGTTCGCCTTTCAAGTTCGAGAACTCGGATCCTAAAGGCTATTCGTCTTGCCGGCTGAAATCAGCTGAGACCGCCGACAATCTGATCCACGCAACCACACACGTCTTGCGTACTCGGGTAATTGTATAATTGTAAAAGTAATTTGTAGCCAAAATCATCCGAATACAAGATAAGCTCTCAAGCAACCATTAATCAATGTCACTAACGTGGGATTCACATAATTTCCAATAAACCTTGACATCTTCATTTTGTCCATTACGTCTCGCATCACCTTCTAGCCATTGTATGACATCAGTAGAAACTTTATAATGATGTACACGTCTTACCTCCTGTTTCGTATCCTAAATATTATCCTAGTCTGTATGTTGTTTATTCAGTCTGACTACTTCACATACGCATTTCCTAAAACTTTTTCTTTACAGATCTGTAAATGTTACGTTGCATATATTTGTGTGAAAGCACAACAGAACAACAGCAATTCCAAACACGATACTCTCCATTGTTGGGCAGATGTAGTCTTATAATAGTGACATAATAAATCTACAGTAGTAATAAATTTAAAATAATATTAAATATTACCGGAAGTATCTGAAGTGTTTTATTTTATGGTGAAACTTTTAACCCAAACATAATGAACAAAATGAATATTATTAGCATAAGTGCCTCGTGCTAGCACGTAAAGTTAGGATATCTTACCTACAAAGCTTCCATTTAGAAAACAATTGATCAGCGTTGTGAGAAAGTAAGTACTAAATGAGGAACAACATCACCCGTCCTTGATTTAATTATCACTACAGCTTTCTATTACCTTTTCAATAGTAAGTTATATACAAATTTTCAAAATATCCAATGTCATCACATACAACTGCTTATAAACCAAGCTATTGAAGTTCTTAAGTTGAGACTCGGTATATCCTACGCACTTGTTCTCTTTGACACTCGGTTCAGCTTCTCCCATTACATAGATGTTCTGATAAAATAACAATACTTAAAAAGGAAAAATCTCATTGTTCCCTTTGTAAAACATGTCTACTACATGATCTTTTAAATTAATAAGAACTATAGTCTGTAAAGATAACTTTTACAGCTCGATAGTCATACCTATACGTTCGAGGTAATTTATTAATAATCCTATCATGTAGACATCAACACACTTGGTATACTTTAGTTATCACTTAGTCATACCTGGAATTATTTTTCTTTCTCTTATATGTCTACATGTTCTAAGTTTCATCCATCTATGGCTTTAGATTCAGTTAAGTTTTAATGATTATTAGCATTTTCTTTGTTATAATAATCTAGCTTAATCTGTTATGCTATTATAATTTTTTATACCATAATTTGGATTGGGAAATGAACGCATTGATTAGTAATTTATGCTAAAAGTATATGTCAAACGTTACTGTATGTCAAAACGAAGTTACATTTGCACACGTTCTACACGAGGATACGCATATAAGGCACATTTCTTGCGTATTAATTCTCTGATACATATCACAGACACAATTATTTATCCATGCTATCACCGGGAAAGTTGAAAATCCACGGCTGTTATGCATGTAGAAACATCATAACGATTGATGTGTTGTATATATTGTTCTAATTCTATTAATATTACACATACTACCGTACTTTACATTGTATCCATAAAAGTTCAGATACTGTATATTCCACTTATTTTGTCGGCGTCAGCCGAATAATAGAATGTAATAGGGGAATTACATAGTAGATACAGATCTTTTAAAAATTCTCTATTCATTCAGTTCATACAAATTCAAAACCTAGTTTAGTAGCCTACGGATCGCAAGTAATCAGCGAGCCCTTCGACAACCACTGTGGCTTCTCCTGGGAGTACAGGTGCTTCATATTCAGTGATAAGAATTGCTTGATTTGTTTTTACGATGACGCAGCCATTTCCCTGCGCATACGACATCAATAATCACACAGCTATGATATCAAAACTTACACCCTTCTTTCCGTATACGTGTGCATCGTCTGCTTGGAGGGTGAGGAATTTCTGTCCAGCGAGTCTGATTCCAGAAGCTTGAGTTGCCTCTGAGTTGGCGAATGAGCCTAAGATAGCTGTTTGCTCATCTTGAGCGAGCTGTACAGTTATAAGGGAATCAATTAATGCTTTAGTTTATACACTCACTTGATAACCATGTGAAATCGCCCAAATACCACCTTGTACACCCATGATAGCACCCCTTGCTATTTTACCAGTACCAATCAAGCTTGAATCGACGTATGCTAGGTATATATTAGATATGAGTCTCTCAAAATATAGATTCGCTAACTTTGCCAGGACATTCTATATTCTTATTAGTGATGATAGTACAATTTCAAGCAAAACGTCAAACTCTATCAATTGAGAGAATTTTAGATTTACAAACAGAGCAACTAGTGTAGCTCTTTATTAGATTAATCAGACAGCTGTAGTCGTACTTGTGTCCGCAGCTGGGTGAGTAAGCAACCGTAATGTTCTTATTCGCACATACGACGCAGCTCTCGACGCCGTCACCTAGGGGTATATCAGCAGTTTGACGTGACTGTAAAGTGCTTCTAGATGTTATAATGCTATGTAGAAATTCCTGTTCCATATTAGTAAAGTCTGATGAGATGATTATACATACCGTCATAACGCTCCAGACTAGTTGCCGCTGAGTGAATTCCAGATTTACATTCGTAGTACCACCACCGCTGACATTCAGACTAAGCGCACGTTCGGTTAGATTTGCAAAATTCCCTCCGCTGATAAAGCTGATGTGATTACCGATGTTTGCGATATCATAGAGAGTTTCTAGACGGTCAACTATCCGTACTACTTGTTTCTTTAGATGGTGCCTATGTAGACTCCTCCATTCTTGCGTTTCTATGGTAGACTTCAGCTTCTTATGTCCAAAGGGGATGAGTATCCTTGATATAAGATAAAGAATACTCTTGGTAGTAGATAAATTGGTATATTTTAATAATTGCAAGCCCATACCATAAATTGATTGAAATATATTGAGATATTTCCACATATAAACACCCTTTATCGCTGCTATTATCTCATCTCTAGTGCTAATCTACTGCTGTGAGATAATAAGAAGCTATAGAGAAATACCTACCCCTAAAAGAGATAAAGCATCTATTATTGGTTGAGTGATCCTCCTAACCACCTCGTCATCTAATTCTAAGCCATCCAAGCGTTGCACTCTCATCAGTGTTCTCCTTAAAGAGCGGCATCGATGAAGCTCGGTCCGTTAGCAGAAGCTAGCGCTAGATTGAGGATAGATGGAAAAAGAGTGAGCATTCTAGTATCTATATACTTCCATATTAATTCGTTATAGCGTCATACTTCCTTTGTAGATTTCCTTATAGTGGATGTAAAAGCTGGTAGGATCGTTGAATTCGATGAAGTATGACTTATAATTATAAAGGAGCTGGCGGTAATGGTGCAGTGGCTTTCACAAAGTTACCCACCGGTTTGGGTCCACCGACGTGTGTTTCTCAGCATAGAGTGAAATATTAACTAAGATATCCTCAGCGGTGGAGCAGGTGGTTTAGGCGGAAATGTTTACTTCCAGATGAATAAAAAGTTAAACAGTTTGCATGCAACAGCTCGTAAGATTCGAGCAATCAGTGGTGGTTCAGGCAGTGGAGATAAAAGAGTAGGAAAACGAGGCGAGGATACAGTAATAGAAATACCACCGGGTACTATAATCAAGGAACTCTGGAGAGCACCCCCGGAAGCCGTATCAGAGGCTCAACAAGGAGCAGATGAGGAGGACATTGACGAAATGCGCAGAGAACGCGCATGGATTCATTACCCAGGTATGGAAGAGGCTAACAAAGAGCACGCACTCTTTCAAGAAGTCGATAAAGCACTTAAAAAGTCAGAGAAAAGCCAAGTCAGACACTTCAACAAACTTGATAGACAATCGATAGAAATAGACGTTGGTGATATAGAGGGGAAACATTTAATAGCGACTGGTGGACAAGGTGGCGTTCCGAACACTGCTTTCGTCACAAATCAATTTCGTACACCTAAGTTCGCTCGGCGGGGTGAGCCTGGTGAGCATCTCAAACTAAGTCTGGAATTGAAATTGCTCGCAGATGTCGGTCTAGTTGGCTTGCCGAATGCAGGTAAAAGTTCTGTTTTAGCCGCTCTTACTAGTTCCAAGACTAAGATAGCAAACTATGCATTCACGACGCTTAAACCGGAAGTTGGCGTCGTCAATACTGACAGCCTTGAGCCACGCTTTACAATACTTGACAACCCTGGATTGATAGCTGATGCAGCGCAGAATAAAGGTCTTGGACATACATTCTTACGCGCAGTGGAACGTGCTCTTGTGCTAGTTTACGTCGTTGACTTCTCGAAAGATGAGCACTTGGATGACCTCGACACGCTCATTAAAGAGCTCAACGAGTATAAGGATGGATTAGCCCAATGTGGTACTGTTATAGTTGCTAACAAGGCCGATCTCATGGGTGGGAATGCTCAAGAGAATGAGATCGCGAGAGACCGTCTTAGGGCCTTCCAACAGCATGTAGATCATCTAAAAGAACAAAGGGTACTTCAATCTTCGACTACACTCATACCATTATCAGCTAAACACAACGCAAATCTAAAAGCATTAAATGAAATCCTAGTTGAAAAAGTACAAAAGGAGAAGGAAACTATCTAAATTATTATGTCTATACTAATTGATTATGTTTTGCGAGACATGTCATAACCTTGTCTTCGTCGAACTTCTTAGCAGTCTTGATTTTGTTAAGGTCTGCCCATCTAACAGTTTCATGTGGGAAATCAGTGATAACACCATCAACACCCCATTTATAATGTTCGTCAACGACGTTAAGAGTGTCAACAGTCCATGGCTTGACTTGCATACCTTTATCATGTGCAAGGTTTACAACCTCTTGTGTTACGAATGGTTTGTATTTATCCGTGCCGAGGGTTTTACCACTAGTTGATTCAATTTCAGCTGGTGAGAGTATATCAGCATCGATGTCATTTGCTGCCAATACACCGGCTACAGCAGGAGAGACATCTCCGTAATCCTCGATCTTCAATCCACCAAACCAATCGGTATTTTTGATTGCAGTAGTATCATCGTATAATGCACTAGTAACGAGTTCTGGTCTGATTTCCTTTGAATACTTGAGTGAACGCCAATCGAATGATTGAAGGGTAGTTCTGTCCATCACATCATATTTGTCAATTGATTCTATGAGTAAATCGACAAATATCTTTGGATCACGAGTTGAGTTTGTGACTGCTGGGTTTACCTTTGTCTCAATATCAAAGTTTATCTCGCCATCGGTATCAAAGCAGTTGACAAATTCGAAGAATTCTAATTTACTTTAGCAAAATACTAGCGACAGCATTATACTTACCATCTAAAGTTGCTAGTTTTGTTCCAGGGTATATTTCTTGTACAGGGTAGTCATCCTGACGAAGACTACCACAATCGAGCTTCTTAACCTGCGCAAGTGTGAGGTTTGCGACATGCTTATCGTTGTATGGAAAGACTGGATCATCTGGTGTGACTGGGTTGGTGTCTTTGCATTTGCTAGCTGTATTTGTCTTAGATAAATAATTATGTAAAACAATGATAGATAAACTAACGTAAGAATGCCTCTGAATTTTAATTAGGTAAATTTCCATAGTAGAGAATCACTCACCATCATGCCATACAACGGCAACACCGTCTTTGGTTACACCGAAATCTAATTCAAGGGTATTTGCACCACTTACAGCACCATATGCGAAACTTGGTAGAGTGTTTTCAACGGTACTTCCTCTTCCACCCCTATGTGCTTGTATGTCGAATGGCTTATCATTATCTCTTGGAATAGGATTAGCTGTTGCTTGGTATACCAACAAAGAGAGTAGAAGTGTATTGAACATTTTTCAAGGCTTTTCTAATTTTTGGTCTTTTAGTGCGATATGAAACCTCAATTTAAGCATTCATAGCTATGCACGTTCGGACCTTGACCACGTTTGACCAATTCTCTAAGTACCTGAATGCGCTGTGCTTTCTCGTCTAATAATATCTTTGTGCACGTGTGTTAGTTACATTTATCTATGTCTTCCAAATTATACGTAATTAGATAATAATATGAATCACTCTCTTTTTAACATTACAAACAATGCCATTATAGCCATACCAGCGTACTTTAAATTAGGATGATCGTTCTAGATATAGAATATTAGATAGATGATTGCTATAGATAAGGACTTACCATCAAAATGGTTATATAACCGGCGTAAGGAATGTATCCCATAACCTTACCAACTATCTGATCCCTTTTAAGCCATTTTTTCCCTTTGTAGAGTACGGTATCATCCCCTGGATTGTTATCACCTTTTGTGAGTATCAATTCAGTGTTGTAATCACCATCTGTTGAGATATGATGATCGATTACTCTGTGTACTATTGGTATTTCTGAATTTGGTATCTTGTAGACCGTAATTTCACCTGTTTTAATAGGTGTGCTGTACGGTGGGTGGTATAAGAAGAGAATGTCACCTCTAGCGAAAGCGGGTTCCATTGATTCACTAGTGATATACTAATTAGTGTTTATTCTTTATAAACTAAATAACGCTTACGATAAAACGACAACAATTGGTGACTCAGTGTTGAGTACAACGCCTAGTCCTTTGTATACAGACAATGCAGTACAGATTACAGATGCAAATGATAACGCTTGCAACAAACAATGCCTAAAACCGAGATTTTTGAGCGTTTTAAACTCTTGTGATAACATTGACGATGGATGTAATACTCAAGCCAGCGAACGTAGAAATAGACATAGAGAGTACAAAGAAAATGCTTAAACTGAGCAAAGATTGTACTGGTTTTATACATCCTCGTATGGTTCCTTCTCGTGAGTGTGTCTATCTAATTTGACAGTACAATGTTGACTTTATATGTCAGATATACTATTCGACGATACAGCGCAGCTCGTAGAATATAGAATAAAGCCTCCTACATATTTCAAAGGGGAGTTCATACAAGATAGCCGTAAACTAGAGAACACACATAGTGAGAGGGGAGAGAAGAAAGCAACTAAGAGTACAATAGAAAGGGATAACTATCTACTTAGTGTATTCTCACAAAAGCCTAAATCAGTTCTCGTTGATGAGACGCTACAAGATTACAGTTTAGTGGAGGATAGCCAACTTGATAATTTCGCAAAAAAGACGGTTCTAGTTGACAATTCGTTTGAGTTGAACGAAGAGAGTTTCGTTGGCGACAGCGACGTCGACTCTTGAACAGCAACATCCAGGATGTCATCCAGCGCATTAGATCAACCAGCGACTTCTAGCCAACCTCTTAAGAAGTTTAAGTTGGTTTTCTTAGGCGAGCAATCAGTTGGTAAAACCTCTTTAATTACGAGGTTCATGTATGACACATTCGACAAAACCTATCAAGCGACTATCGGTATAGATTTCTTATCAAAGACGATGTATTTGGATGATAGAACTATCAGATTGCAATTATGGGATACAGCCGGTCAAGAGAGGTTCAGATCGCTCATACCTTCTTATATAAGAGACTCCTCAGTCGCAGTAGTCGTATATGACGTCTCAAACAAGAACAGCTATGACAATACTTCAAAGTGGATAGAAGAAGTTAAGCAGGAAAGAGGTGATGACGTTATTATCGTTTTAGTTGGGAATAAAGTTGATTTATCTGAAAAGGAGGTAAATAACGATCAAGTGAAGGAATATTGCGATAATAATGGTATACTATTCATTGAGACTTCCGCCAAATCAGGCTTTAATGTCAAGCAACTTTTCAAAAGAATAGCGCTTGCTTTGCCCGCTAGTGAGCAAGATAACTCACAAAATGATAACGTTAAAATACAAGTCGATAACCAACAAGCTGATCAACAGTCAAGCTGTAATTGTTAAAATGAGCTTTTTGTACTTTTTTAATTTTTTATATTCCATATAATAATATCTTCAGACATCAGAGGCGTATTATTGCGATTTCGTCATCATCATGGCTTGGACAATTAAATTCTCAAACTCAAGACAACAACCTTACTTCTTCAACAGTGAGACCAGGGAGAGCGTCTGGGAACCACCAAGCTACCTCAGTCAGGAAGAGATAAAGTCGTTACCTGGATATGAAATCCTCACTGGGGGAGGTGCTCCAGCCAAGGTTCGAGCATCACATTTGTTGATAAAGCACAACAAATCTAGAAGACCATCAAGTTGGAAGGAGGTGAGCTCAGCGTTATTCATTACACAACCTTTTGACATCGAATAGGCTAATATAACACGTTCAAAAGAAGAAGCTTTGGCTCAGCTCAGCGAATTCCAAAATGTTCTCAAGCAATATCAAGGTCAAGAACTCGCTATGACCTTTTCCAAACTCGCTCAAGAGCACTCAGACTGTTCTAGTCATGCTAAAGGTGGTGATTTAGGTAGATTCAGCCGTGGTCAAATGCAAAAACCATTCGAAGACACCTCTTTTGCACTCGGTGTCCTCGAATTGTCTGACATCATAGAAACTGATTCAGGTGTACACCTCATTCTCCGTCTTGAATAATTAATGTCATGTATTAAAAGTCGTCTTCACTTTCAATTGATATATCTTTCAAAGCATCCTCTGAAGCCTTGTATAAATCGTGTAATCCACTTAACTTAGTGAGGTAATCATCATCATTAAAAACGTTCATTAGCATATCTATACCTTCCTCATGATACCTGTTAATAATGACATCCGAACAGGCTGTACAGCAGTCATAAGCTTGTCCTGTAATCTGAATATTGTTGAAGCGCGCTAACATGCCTCTTATTTGATGCGGTATAACACCTAATATCGAACCTTGCTCCTCCCCCCGCGAGCTTGGTGCGTTGTGTTGGTCTGGATGTTGTAAAATAGAAGCAAGCATTTCAACAGCAGTTGAAGCAGCCATCGGTGCTAAACCTGGTCTTGTGACAGTACACATCTGATCCAATGTTCTATCACTAAGTGAGTCTGTTGGAGCAACTATATCATTGCAATAGTAGCATCCTAGCTTGTTGATGGATGTACCATGTCTCATTACAAGGTAGCTATCGAAGCCCAACGCAGCATTGATGGCAATCTGAACATTGTTAATTAGAACATTATTAGTTCAATGAAACCTACTTTATTGTGGACTTTTCCAAGAAGCGTTGGCAGCCATCTACTCTCACGAGAGTCAGTAAGCAAAAAGACACAGTCATGTTGTTTTACTAGTTCTTCTAAGGTATTTATGTCCTTTTCAACATTCGACCGCTGTTGAGGATGTCCTGGCATCGGAATACTAATGGAATGTCCAGAAGATTGAACATCAGGGTATATTTTCTTGAGATGCTCAGCAGCAGAGCTAGCCTTAGGAGCGCCAGAATGTGAATCACTGAAGCAATCCTCGAATTCAAACAGTGGCTGTCTAACAGGATTACTATAGCTGACGCGACCATTATCGACAAAAGTGATGGTATTAACACCCCATGCTAGTAATCCACGAGCGACATAACACCCTAAAGTACCAGCACCGAGGAGGAGGCATTTCGTGTTACTGACTTTCTCCAAGTTCAGTTCCGGAAGAATACGCCACTTCATTAGTTTTAAATTGAGATCAACAGCTTGATTGGCAAGTTTATTCGGATTCATGGATGCACTCAAATCAACCAACTTTGGCGTTATTTTTCCGGTCGCAGCATTTTTATCCCATCCTACTCCCGTAGTCTGGGTATACGTTGATTTCGTAGAAAGCGTACCATATAATCCTCCTGTACTTCTACTTGCTAAGATATTTAAGTTGTTTGCTTTGAACTTTGTAACCACGTAGTAGAGCAAATTGCGAAGAATCCATCCTGGGGTATCTGAATTTGAACTGTCGATGAAAGCCAATGTAAATTCATCGTCATTGTTATAGAAATCTTTCCAGTCGTCCACCCGTGCACCGTATTGTTTACCCTCTTGCTTTTTGGTTATCCAACACCAAGAATCGTCCGGCTGAACGCTTTGGATCTCACTCGCAAGGTTGCTATCACATTCAGTGAGCTTACCATACCATTGCGCTTCCTTATCTTTATCAATTATCGCAGGCGTCGCGGCTAAATAGTGAAACCTGAATTTCTTGATATCAGAAAAGGTTATAAGGAGAATTCGGTTAAGATCGTCAACTGTTGTAGCCTTCTTTATGAGATCTAGAGACTGCTCAAAGAGCCGTACTTTATCGCATTTCTTGAATTCTTCTAATGTGTTATAGTTCTTGACGATACCTTTCACGGGTATGCAATTTGGAGGTGGTGTATCTATTCCTTCTATCAGAATGTAGGATCCACTGTCGACTAGCTCTCCTGTTTTCCGATCTAGCGTCTGTCGTGATGGTAGATAGCCCGCGTTGATCGCCACAGGGCTATCGTCTAGTTTCTGATCATTAACTTTAAAATTGCTAAGAGCGTGCCAGAATTCCTGGTTTATTTGTACTCTCAGTTGATTAAATTGTTGCAATGAACTCATGGGACCTAATAACGTTCCAATAACTTTCTAATAACGTTATTTATTATTCACTTATCAACAATTCAAACGAAATTAAGAAAATTGAAATTTATTTACATTTTATATCATAAATAAGAAAATTAATGCTATCTTTTGCCCTATGCAAAACCAAATCCTGTATTTCCTTCATGTATAGCTGTAAGAATCTGTTTGCGGAGTGCTTCATAGGAAGAGTATGGTCCTAAATCTAATTGATTGACTGTAAGAAGTATCGTTAGATATATAATTTTAATTAGTCTGATCAATACTCACAACAAGTATGCGCAGTTGGTAATTTATCCTCTTCACCGTACGCTTTGTGAATGTTGAACCTTTGTGTACCTTGTGATCCCTGCAATGAACCAAAGCCTTCAAGTGGTACACGTGATGAACCAGTAACGAACTGCAAGAATGACGCTTTCTGTGTAGAGTCGAACGATCTCAATACTCTCCAGAACCAGTTGACTATTGGATCTGATGGGGTAAATCCATGATAATCAGTTTGGTTCTTCCATTCATCTACGTCTATATCAGGTAAACCTGAAATTAACAACTCTAACTCCGATTCCGAGAATATCTTTGCAAGGTCCTTTGGTATTATTTCATGGAAACCTTCCAAGAAACATTGAATTTGTTTCTCGATTGCCTTTGTCAAGCGGAATTCAGTGTTCAATTTAACATATTCCTTCTTGTTTGCATCAGTAACCATGATATTTCTACCATTTGGTATTAAGTCTATAACGTTGACTACACCGAATTCTTCATTATCAACACTAAACGTAGGTTCGAGTACACCTTCTATACTATTTTCTAACATCCAAACCAAAGAATTGTAGTAGCTCAAATCAACGCTTTCGAGATCCTTAAAGTCAACTTGTCTTCCAAGCATATGCTTGTAGAATGAGCGAGTGAAGTAAGCATCTAACAATCTTCCATCGTAGATGGCTTTACCGATGATACGACCAACAAATTTGAAGAAACTCAAATGATGTTCATTGACATATGATGCACGATTTGGTTGATATGTCAATCTATCTGCGTCACATGGCTGGAATAACGCATAATCAGGATTGAACATCTGTTGTGTTAATACTTGGAACCATTCACGAGCAACACCACCGGCGTCTACACCTTCTTCTCCATAAAATTTAACTGAAAGTTTACCATATTTGATTTCATCACCTGTCTTTCTTTGCAAGTATTGGAAGGAGTCTGAGAAGACTTGAGAACGACGAACATTGACGTGGAGCGTTGGATAGGTCTCTCCACGTTTCTTAGCTTTCAATCTTTGCATGAAGAAGCTTCTCTTGTTGTCGAACTCAAGTATACGTGGATTTTGCACAAGTAATGAGAACGATCCACTCATAAGTGCAGGATTGTTTCGTACCATAACGTTAATGATCTTCCTGTGCTCCTCCGTGAAGTCGATAAAGACATCTTCAATACTCTCGTGCATTGATGGTGAAATAGGTGACCCTGTCATGCGCTTCGTTCTAAGTGCTGCTGTTTGTGGATTGACATATTTGCAGACAACCATAAGGGATTCAATTAATGGAAGTAAAACAGTTGCGATATGTGTCATCTGCTCATTTTCTTCGATAAGTTTGAGATTTTCAGACAGTTTCTTCCAAACAGATCCAAACTTAAATTCTGTTAGTAATTGTAATTATGAATAATCAAAACTTACGTTGAATGAATCATAAATGGCATTGACCTTGAGTTCATTAGTTTGAGCTTCCTCTTTGGAAGGTGCAGGTGGTTCAGCTGGCGCCTCTGGCTCCTGATTACGTCCTTCTCTCATCAAAGATCCAAGTACTTGACGAAGTGAAGATGGTCTATCTTCGGATGATTGCTCCGTGCTCTCACTGATATTTTCAGTTGACTGACCAAACATGTAATCAACCGTTTTCAATACTCTCAATAAGCGTGCTTGCAAAGATGAAGCAGGTAAGAACTTCTCCATAACACTTGCATCAACATCATCACTCTTCTCTGCTTTCCTGAGTGCATCACCAAGTTCAACAAGTTCACCATTCAATTGTTGACCAAATTCTTGAGCCTTGACTCTCAATTCAGCTGCAATTATATCTTTAGCATCTGGAATGAAGCTCAAATTTTGAATGAGACTGAGTGTTTGTTGGAATGTCTTGCTGGAGCATTCACCAACGGTAAGGATATTAACAACGTATTTCAGAACATGCGTTGGGATTTGTGGTGCTACCTTTAATCCGTCATCTTCTTCATTCTCGTTTTCATTCTTTTTCTCCTCATTTTCTTTCTGCTTTGGACGAGGTGTTGCATCAACGTCAGCTGCTGGTATTTGAGGTTGTTGCTCTTGTTGTTTACCATCTCCCTCTGATGTTTCTGGCTTCTCATCTTTTTGTTCCTTCTTGAGAGTTGACAATGGTTTTGTGACAGTTGCCAACAATGTTGTGAAAGTGTCCATCATCATCTGTGTCTTGAAGACAGTTGGACGATCAAGCAAGCCCATTAATAATACAATTGGGAACTTAACTGGTGTTGTCTGCTTCTCTTTACCTTTGCTCTTCTTTGATGGTCTTGGTCTTACGCTGCTTGAAAGATCGTGTTCAGTAAGGAAAAATGAAGAAGCATTGGAGTTACTGGAGACCAATGTTGTTAGTGTCTCGAAACAGCGTTGAGCAAGTAGGTTTGGAATCGTCTCTGGCGGAATCTGCATCAATATTGGGCTAGCTGGTGTCTCCTGAACGTGCTTGCGCTTGGTAGTTAACTTGCCAGTAGGAGTAGACAGAGGGGTTGCCATACTTTGTTTTCCACCTTTCAATGTTAATTGCGACAAACTGCGGTCTACTGCTGGTAGATCACCAGTACCTTCTTGCAGAATGTTAAGCAAGAGCAAGAGTAAGTCATTTCTTGTACGGGAGTTTTCAATAAGCTAGGAAAATATTAGTAATAGTAGCGTAGAAGTATCTTAACACTAACATTAGTCAGGATCTTGAACAGGATGGACTTCTTGATGAGGTTTGGATAGAATAGTAAGCGAATAAGTATTGCTAAACCATTCTTATCGAGTAATTGAAGTGCATCCCTTTGACGATGCTTCGTTGCTGCTTTCTTTGGTTGAGGTCTTGGTCCAGATGGTCTTCTACCACCGAGGACGGATGCTAAGTCCATTCTACCCATTGATGGTTCCATCTCTTCTTGTGGATTATACAAATCGCCGTTCATCAAGACGAATTGTCTCAAACCGGAATCCATAGATGTAAGGAACGAACCTGGATCAGGTGGATTGCCTGGTTGAGAACCACCACGCTCGTTAGCGCCACCAGACTGTCTTCTGTTTCGATAGAGTGATTCAAATGCTTCTTGTTGTAAGACTTCGGCACGAATTTCAGCTGGCAAAGCATTCAAGAATTCCATCGAAATCTCAGATCCAGCTTCTTCAGGTGGAGCACCGGTATCACCTCCTTGTGTTCTGCGATTTTGTGCTGCTGCTGCATTCGATGCTCTGGTTGTCTCACGCATGTGTTGAGTGATAACTTCATCACGCATATCATCTGGTAAAGCTTCCATGAAACTATAGATTTTGTCAGCTGCACCATCAGATCAGAATAAGACAACTTACGATGGATCAATGCCAGTGTCAGTGATATCAACATCACGGCCATATATTTTGATTGTGACACGCTCTCTTGGTGCGCTTGTTGAGGCTTCGCCAGATCCTTGAGCAGTACCCGAAGCTTCACCTGAAGCTGATGCATCAGCTGGTGCTTCTTGTGGGGCGTCTGTACCAGATGGAGCTTCCTCTTGTGCAGGTGCATTAGTTGAAGTCTGGTTTGATTCAGGTGCACTGGCTGATGGTTCAACTGTAGCAACTTCGGACATCTCAACGTCTCCTTGTTGATAGATTGGAGGGGCCTCGTGGGGAACAGCTTCTCTCATTTCTTCTTCGCGTGCCTCTGGTTCATGCAATTCACCTACTTCCTTATTCTTGGATTCTTTCTTTTCTTTCTCTTCCTCGCTTTCAGATGGATTCTCGAGTTCTTTAGACTTCTCTCCTTTCTCCGCGCGTTGTTTAGCTAAAGCTTCTCTTGTAATTGGTAGTAACATCAAAATGATGTGGTTTGTCAACTTGGTTGCGCGCTCTTGAGATGTTGCACCATAGAACAATTTGGAGGTATGATACCATCTACTGAAAGTAGGTAAGGCAGACAAATCATTGACAGCTTTCATGATCCATGCTGATTGACTCATAGGAACTTGTTGGCGTCTTGCTGCCAAGTTGCTCAATTGTTCAATTGGGATAGGTCCACTTGGTCCATTTGGAGAGTGCAATTCGAGATGAACGCGTGTGCCAGGTGGAACACCGGCAAGACCACCAGCCTCACGTTGGAGAAGTTGTTCGATAAGTTGGAAACCGTTTCTGCCGAACATATTCTCAATTGTTTGCAAAAGTGGGTTGTTGTTACCCGGACGTTGGCCACCTGCGCCTTGGCGTCTACCCGATGTGTCTTGAGCAGTTGGAGCAGCGGATGGTGGAGCTTGATCAACTAAGAGTGGTTGCTGAGGAAGCTCACTGTCGCTTTCGTTGCGATCGCGACCACCACCAAGTATAGATTGTGATTGCCCGCCTGTCTTCTGTTAGAATGCTCTTGCGAAGAAGATAATAACTCACCTCCGAACATACGACGTCTGGATGAACCACCACCGAGTAATGGGCTACCAAAAATAGCTGAAGCCTCACCCATATCGTGGCGACCGTCAATTATACCACCGATACGAGGAGCACGTTCAACATTAATTTCATCTCTAAATGCAATACCATCTTCATCGGCTTCATCGTCAGTTTCTGAGAAACCATCGTCTATAAGACCATCATCGAGAATATCAGGGTCAGCGATGCTCTCTGGGTCTTCGTCATCTGGAGTTGGAGCGTCAATGACTGCTTCGGAATCTACGATTGGATTGAGTGCTTCTTCTTCGTCGTAAGCATCTTCATCGAAATCAACTTCCTCGCTGAGAATTTGTTAGATAAACGAAATTTACTAAACGCTAACATACCCGTCATCTTCTTCATCAATCCAATCATCGGCTTCTTCTCCATCGGCGTCCATTTCATCGCCTTCATCATCATCTGAATCAAAGTCCTCCTCATCGTTAGAAGAATCAGATGATCCACTACCATCTTCACCGAAGTCTACTTCCATGTCTTCCATGTCTTCGTCTAATGGTGATATTAGCTAACACTAGGGTAATAATTTCCAACTCACCGTCCATATCTTCATCTTCATTGTCGTTTTCTTCTTCGTAGTTCTCCCCGGTGTACATACCAAGTGCTGAATTACGGTAAAGGTCAGGTGTACCGGCTCTATCAGGGTCATTCTCTTCAATTACTTCATCCTCATCACTAGAGCCATCTTCTTCACTCTCACTGGATCCCATCTCACTAGCATTCAAACCTTCATCCTCATCATTGTTGCCATCATCATCATCTCCCTTCTTGTTTTTAGCCATCTTGATAGATATCTTTGTAAGACGTTCAAGTGGGATTAGCAAAGCACCAATCGTGATCTTGGAGTTAGGGAACGAGATGTCTATATCACCAAGTGCATGAGTGAGTGTCGTAACATAGTTCTTTTCGAGCATGACCTTAGCCATGTGTAAAGATCCCACATTTGATGCTTTACCAGTCACTGGATTGATCGGTTTGACATCAATCAATCTAGAGAGAATCTCAGCTAGAGCTGTCAAGCGCGCATATCTAACATTGAGATCTTCTTCAGTTACACCAGATGTGTTATCCTTAATAAGCTTGCTAACAACGTCTAAGACGAACTTGCGAGAGAGGACTACCTCATTGGCGATATCTTTCGTATCACTCCAAGGAGATGTGTCGGTGCAAGTACTGACCAAAACAGCAATAGCCCATTCGGCTAAAGTGCGTTGTTTACGACCGACTTCGTCATTAGTTGGCATTGAAAGAGTTGGGGTTGAGATGAGTTCGCTTATCAAAAAGTTGAGGAATGTGACCTTTGGTTTGAATGGAGTACCACCACCTTGACGTTTCTTGTTTGTCATAACAAGGTTGAGCTTTGCTGATGGATAACTAGCGCATATCTCTGTGATGGATTGAAGTAAAAAGCAAGCGTAGTAGTATTCTAATGCACCAGGTGGCATCTTATCCTTCTCATCCTTCTGGTCCTTCTGATCTTTCTCATCCTTCTTACCATCGTCGGGTGTGGCGGAGACCGAAGCTTCTGGTTGTGAAATTTGGCCATCTTGATTACTTTCAGACTTCTTCTTCTCCTCCTCATTCTTCTTTTCATACTCCTTATTCTTTTCTTCTCCTATCTTTTCAGTTGACTTGGATGCGAACATTCTAGCTGCCTTGCCGATCCTCATAAGTTCGGAAACTAAGAAGTGTAAAACAGAGTCAAGTGTTTCAGATGAAATGACACGGGATGATTGTTGACCATCGAGTTGCATAACATCCTCGTTCATCTTTTCAGTATCATCTTTTTGACCGCTTGCATTGTTTGGTTTGAGGTCTGGGATGACATCTGAACGCAGCTTGATGTGGAATATACCACCAGCTGGCTTATCACTGACCAATACACAGTTCTCTTTAACGACTTCCATGAAGACCTTAGGATTGCGTAACGCTAAAGAAGCAGCTGTCTTTGTGAAAGTTGATACATCTACCACCTTACTTCCGCCGCCTGTACCTCTAGTGCTGGATGTTGCAAAGAAACCGAGAAGTTCGTTATGCATCGTAGTCTTTATCAGGGCTTCGTCTTCAATCATGTTTCTAATCAGTATAGTGGAGAAGATGCAACTACTGTGTGCATTTTCAATAGACTCGTTGAAGATATTAGTCAACATCTATAATTGGTAAGTGTTATTCAAAAATACAGTAATATGACACTCACCTGCAAACCACCAGAAGCAAATAATTCCTTAGAATAATTAGTCTTGCGTGTGAGCAGAGCAAGAACATGCAAAACTGCCATGAAAGTCCTGGACTCAAATTGTTTATCTTTTGTGCGAGTGAATGTGGTCATGGCTATTTCAAAGAGATCCCTTGTTTCCTTTTGTAATGCACTATCATCAACGATGTCATCAATGTTGACTTGAACATCTTCAACCTTGGTTGGATCTTCTGGAGCAGGCTTGGTAGTCTCTGAGCTAGCCAATACAATCGCAGTAGCTAACATATAAGGACCGAGCCATTTTGGTGGATATTCATTATTTATTATCGCATCTTTGTATTTTCCAGTCATGTTTAAGATACGACTACGTTGATTTGCTATATTATCCTTCTGTGCGAATTGATGATCTGAGATTATGAGTGAGATTAAATGCCAACGAACGAAGATCTTAGAATCCAGCGTTCTATCATTAGGATCAAGCCTTTCAATTTCCTCGAGGAGAGTTTTGATGCCGAGATGTTCTTCTGGTTTTTCCTTGTCACCTTTGAATATGTCTTTAACATCGAAGACGATCTCTGAGTGTGCATCCACCAATTTGAGTAGGATGCTTGGTAAACTGTCTTGAATACCTTTGCGAGAATTGTCTAAACTCTTTTTTACAACGTCAATCTTGTCAGTCATTGGGAAGACATTTCCCTCGTCAACCTTCATTTCAACCTCCTTGTCTTCAGCTTGTTTACGTTCTTCGCGCTTCTCTTCTTCCCTACATGCGTCGACGACATCTGGTCTTGAAACTAGCCACTCTGCAGCTTGTGCAACATCTTTGTTGTCTATTAAAGCGACACGGGCTGCTAGTTGAGGGAAATCCATACTAATAAGTTCTTCAACCAATGCTTGATCTGGTGTAGGGGCTGACGAGAGTTGTCTGGTAATATCGTCAACAATACCACGTGACGGTGGTTGTTGTCCTTCACTTGAAGGCTCCTGTGGTGATTGAGGTTGTTGACTACCTTGCTCAGGTGTAGCACCTTCGCCAAGGATTCTCGAAAATGGTGATGAACGCATAGATGTGAGGGCTCTCTCAAGATCGTGCAAATGGCCAAATCTATCACTACCTGGACCCCCAATTTGACGCTGGAGTGGGTTCTGAGTAGTGATAGGTTCTGCAACTTCACCTTCAGCCTTGATAATATTGAGGAAAGTTTGAACAATCAAACGAGTTGGTTGGGCAATTGGTGCTTTTGACAACCACTCACTCTTACAAACTTTGATGATAGCTGGTAATATGATAGATCTAACTCTAACCAAAAAGTCATTAGCATTAAAGTACTCTGGTGATGATTTGTCGGTTTCGCGGAGTTGCAGAGGTCCAGTTTGGCTTGATTCTAAGAGTGGCCTCGTTGCGGCGAATGTGTGTAATAATGGCATGAGGTTTTCCAAAATGCGGTACATTCTGAATTGTTGCATTTCACCTGGTGATTTTGGAATTTCGTTGTCAGTGATAGCTTGCTTCGAGAGTTCTTCATTAATTTCATCACATCTATCTGCGAGTAACTTGATACCACCTTGTTGAGCAAATGAGAAGACAAGAGGAGTTTGGAGATGATTATGTGATGTACGCTCATCGAATATAAGTAGATTGATTAATTTGAGTGATGAGCTGATGTATGCACATGTTGGACGAGGATCACCATTACCATTGTAAGAGATGTGGTCGACAAGGATCTGAGCGACAGCTTTTGAAGTTATAACAGAGTTCTTCTTGTGAGTTTGGTCGCTCTGACGTCTATATAAGAACATTTTAATAACAGCTTAGGTAAATGTTAGCAATGTGTAATTGAAGCAAAATAAATATCACCCACCTTGGAAGAATGGAGTAACAGTCTCTGGAATATACATAGCCAGATGTAACAAAGACTTGTAGTTAAGCTTTACAGGATCAGAATCTTCTTCTTTCTTTTCTTCCTCAGTCTTGTTCTTATTGTTCTTCGCACTGACAGTAGGATCGAGATTACTCATCAAGATGTTGAGATTCTTCTCATACTTCTCGTTCGAAGATTTAGAACCCGTCTCGAGCTCTTTCCAATCGAAATCAGTTTCTTTGTTTTCCTCAGCATTGAATAAGAAGTACTCCCATGACATGCTCCTCCAGAGATCACCAATCATAGACATCGTTACTAAATGTCTCTCCTCATTCAACTTTGGAAGGAAGAAACCATTTGATACCCTAATGTTGAGGAAACCAATTGATGCAAACATATCAGATACCAATTGCACTCTTGAGTAAAGCTCTACCAAACTTCTAAATGTCTTGTTCGCTTCATCGTAGTTCGTTTCGGAGATTTCTTTCATTTGCTTGAATAAAGATTGATTGCGGAGTTCAGACCAAATGTGTCTGGTTGCATCCATGTTTGTTCTCATTTGATCTAATGACCAAGTCAAGGATACTTCTGGTTTAGTTTCAATTAAGACCCTTCCTAGTTGAGCGATGGATTCGGATGCGCGAGTAATGGAAAAGTCGTAAGGGAGACATGGTAAGCTGAAGAAGTGTCCAATCTTGTCTAAACCACCTGATTCTAAGAATTCCTTCGCGTGTGATCCATTTGTAAAGACAGACTCGAGGAACTATAATAATATTAGCGTCATTTTCTTCATCACTAGTATTTACTTACTCTAGCCATGACATCCATACACTTCAAAGCAAATGGTTCTTCTCTCTTTTCGCTTGCTGGGAGATTATCGACCATAGAATGCTCATCCTTCGTCAAAAGTCTGTACTTAGCAACTTCACTTAAACCATAATGTGAAACTTCCTGAGAATTGAAAGAGCCACCAATGTTGACGATCTTGTCAAGTTGGTCATTGATGGCTTTCAAAACTTTAGGCTTAAGTGATGGTTGATGACGAATGAGTTCATCTACACTTTGGCCAATATTGACGGCATTTTCCTTCTCACCGAGAACTTTGATATGTGAAGGTGATGAGAAAATATCAAATATCTTGCTAATAATCTTGTCTGCGCGTTGCTTGAATTCTTCAAGACCATGCTCATTCAAGCAACAAGCAGAGATGACGTTGAAGATGACATTCAATATATCAATATTTGGTTCAATATGGTCTTCGATAGCCTCGTAGAATTTTCCAGGTAATTTTGCTTCTTGGATGATTGACAATGAAGTTGGCTCATTGTGTACGAAAGTGGCCATAATATTAAGTGCAAATGAAGTGATAGCAGCTCCAAAGAATTTTCTGTTATCGATTATGCTATGAATATCTTGAAGCAATGTCGTATCAATCAAGTTGCGTATTCCACCTTCCGTTCCTGATGATGTAAGTAATCTGTAAATTGACCTCAAGGATGATTTCATAGCTTGTGAATCAATTATTGATAATTTACCAAACGTAATGCGAATATCTTCATCATTTTGGCAATTGTTCTCAATTTCTGTTTTGTTCTCAAGACTCTTTGATACCCTTTGATGGATTTTCTCAACCAAGGTAGTCAAGCCGTGTGCATTAATGAATATAGGGAGAGCGTTGCGATAAGAGTATAACAAAGCATCCAATAGTTGGAGGCATTTACAGATCAAAGGGGAACTATCAACTTTGAAAAGGTTGATAAGTAAAGTGATTAAACCAGCTCCAACGAGCATCTGGCCACCTGAATTTGATGTAGAAAGGTGGCTTATCATCGAGAAAATGCTATCAACAAGATCAACCAGCTGAATTGAAGGTTTTGATTGTGAGAGCTTATTGGTAACATTACGGATGTATGTGAATAATAAACCTTGATTGACACCTGCATTCAAGCAACTGAGAACTTCACTGACTTTAGACTTATAATGTGAAAGGCTCTCTAGACAGATGATTGCGTTTGATTGGATTGCAAGGTAGTCGTCTTTCAAAGGTAATTGAAGCAATTGAGTTAATTGAGGTACCAAAGTTGGCTCGTATATGAGTAAACTGTGCTGAGCTTGGCTTTCCTTAACTAACTGCAAGAATAATGTCAAAGCTAACAATCTCGATTCGATTAATAAATGCCTGTGAGAATTATTATTGATAGCTTTTATTGCTCTAATTCGATGATATAGTTCGAAAGTGTTGCTTCCATCTTTTGGTATTTTATTTTGATCAACGGTTTGTTTATGTAAATCTAAATCACTTAGAGGATTTTCTGAAACCTTCTCTAGATGGATTGACCTAGATTGATTGTCGAAGTATTGAAAAGTGACATTATCGTTGAAATCTGGTAATTGAACTGTAGATTCAGACAAACTAGCGGTAGTTGGCCAATTCCAAGCTAAGGCAAGTAACGCTTTGCAATCCAATTGAAGAGCATTGCGATGGTGAGCTTGTATAGCCAAAATGAGTTTCAAATTGCAAGAGAGGACTTCAATGTCAGTTGTTACTATCAAAGCGTCGAGATGTTCAACTGAGTTGAATATTTTACGATTTGAACAGTTGTCGATAAGCAGTTTCAAGAATCTAAGTATAGCATTCAAGAGTCTCTTAGTGTATGCGTCAAATGGCTTCTCTTGTACGCCATAGAATGATCCATTCGCTGGTGTGCCCCGCAAGTTAAACTCAGCTGTAATTTTAGCGAGTACCCCATCTAACCTGTTGAGTAGAGCAACGTATGCGTATAAATCACCCTTCGGCCATTTCCATTCACCAAATTCTTCCAAATATAACGCCATATCTTCTTCTTTAGATTTCTCAATCTTGTCCAGCTTGCCACGAAGTGACTCTGGAATAGCCGCCACCGTCCTTTTAGATGTACGTGGGCGTACTGGGGCCATTTTTTATTTTGTTTTTATTTTTTTAAGTGACTGTCGTTAATAGAGAGTTGGTGCTATCATACGCTATACGTAACTCCATAGAAATAAAATTTAAAATGCAAGAAATAAACAATTGAGTTATATAATACAAGCTATGCAATCGCTTCTTAGTTCTTATTTCTTTTCATCCCAGCGAGCTCCGTTTCTTCCTGTGTAGGTGGTTGATGAGTAAGTGTGCGAAGTCTAGGATATTAATGCGACTTTACACTTCTTTCTGATATCGCACTGTTCTCCCGACCTCTCTTTAACGCTGCAGCACGTGATTCTGCGCCTTTATTCTGTTGCAATTTCGTTAGCAGGTAGATTATCATTCAACAATTGAATTTTTCACCTTTTTGGGGGATGTATACGTGCCACTAGATGATGCTTGATGGTTTTGTGGCTGTAGATGATTTGCTGGCAACGGGGGTGGTGGCATAAGCGTACTTTTCCTATCATAATGAGTATGTCATATGTCGTCATAGCTCAACTCACTCTGTAGACGCCTCATCCATTGTAGACAACATGCTGTTGTCTTTCTCGTTTATCTCAAATCCATCCCAAATCAGATCTTCGTCTTTTACATTTTTATTACTCATGGTATTGTTGGCGTCGTTAGTTATGTGATTAACCGATGTGTTGGCTGCCTGGTATTGCTGCTGTTGTTGCTGTTGTTGCTGGCGTTTTTGTAATAGCCGTTGTCTCTCTTGTTCTTTGACGTGTTCAGGGCGATAATCGAACTCCTTTGGTCTGTACGTTTCCTCAGGGACGTATTGATACTTGATAAGCCATTAGTATTGTAATATAACTCAATCCCATCACTCACCCTATTTTTGTCTTTATGTCTGACAATTTCTCGAGTGTAGTTGTTATCATAGAGACAATTACCGGTTGAATTACCAAAGTAACGTAAACACCTCTTTACCGCATCAGTTACGGCCTCTTTCATGCATTTGTCAATAGCTGCACCTCTCGTTGGACTATTGGCCATATCACCAAATCCAACGTCTTCGTGGAATGCACCCGTACTAAGAACAGTAACTCTGGCTAAGGCCTGTGCAGTGCAGTGCCATTTGTGATTAGGTGATTGTTCAATCTGACGCATTATTAGGGTTTAGATATAATGGAATATCACACGAACATAAACGATTTTTGTGTCCATAATCTGACTAGACCAGCCATCATACCCAAATATGCTATTCGTGAGTGCTATCGCCTGATGTCCTTCGATATAACAAACTTCTAATCAAACGTTTAACTAGGCAGAGTTACTAGAAGATACGCACTAGAATTCCCACCTCCCGGTCTCTGCGATATGCACTCTGGTGCCAGCCTCTTGGTCAGCTTTTCTTGGGCTTCCTGACGATATTCATCTGTGTATATCCTAGATGCCTGCGTATTACCGTCGAATTGAGTGGATGTATTAGCAAATGATGCTGGAAACGATGGCGCTGGTGTATCCTTCATACTCCCCATACTAAATCTCCCGTTCATGATGGTAGATTGATAACGAATCCAGGAAATCTCAAGCGCGACAAACTATTGACAAACGCGATAAAAATCTCTAATTACTTCAGGTAATATCATCTAAAACATGCATAGTAACTTTTTAACAATTTATTTAGCAGAAAACGGACTCTGCCATGCACTCTCAGCCTCGTCGTCTTTTGGTGGTGGCGCTATAGACGATGACGATTTAGACGCAGGTAGAGAATTGCGCGCTTTTCCTGCTATGTATGCTCCGAAACCACCTAGTGTGCTTTTCATCGATGATGCATTCTTTGATGTGTTGCTGCTATCGCTAGACCCTCTCCTCTCGGGTAATCTGGCGTGCAAATCGTTGAGACCCTCGCTTAGACGCATTCCGAGGCTGTTCCCAGAATTGTATGGGTGTCGAGGTTCAATTAGGTCGAATAGCGCGACATCCGTACGCATATTCCAGTCTATGAAGGCGGTGGATTGTCGCATCGTATTCACGAATCCCTCACCAAATGACTGGGTAGGATTCTTTTCGTAATCTGATCAGTATGTTAGAGCAGGCGGTTATTTGATGAGAAAAAACTCACTGTTACCAGCCAAGGGACCTTCATTACGCTTGACAGCAGCACCACCGTATTTGACATAGTCTACGTACTTAATTGACGCCAGCGCTGAGCAAATGTAATCTTCAAACTTGGCCCTAAGCCAATCGTCGCTATCGACAAAACTGACAGGGCCGCCACCATTAAAGTTGCTTTGTCTATGATGAGTATTTGTAACAGAAGTAACGATTTCATCCATCCATTTTCTATCCTGATATGTTGGTTGTACTATTTTCTCCAAACCTGGTGTTTGAATATCTAGAGCACCAGTCTCTATGTTTACAACTACATCCAATTTCAGATTCTTTTGCTGAGTAAAGACTGCATTCGTTGTTCCAACTAAGAAAGAGCTTGTATCTTTTGATGTCAGCATATCAATCTGCTGGAGAGGCATGTAAGGCTGAAAGAAAGCACCTTTACCAAACAAATCGAGGGGCATACCAGCGTATTGTAGTAGACTCTCCCTGTCTGTTGTGCGTAAGGATGTAGGTGGGATATTTTTCGAACCGAACGTGGTAGGTATATCGGGACTTGCTGCTTGCGACAATGCGTGTAGGAGATTAGGTATAAGTGAGATCAAAGAGTATTGAAAGTTACACAACCGCTCGACTGGGTATTCTGGGTGTTTTGACAGAGGTCTATATCCAAAAAAGAGTATTCTCTTTTGCAAAAGGAGCAATTTGAGGAGTGTCAACGTCTTGTTCTTGAATTTAAGAACAAGCTCATGTAAATTAGTACCGGAATTAAGAACAGCCTGGTTTGTGTATCCAGATAGACTGTGTTGGAGTGATTGATGAAATTGTACGAGTAGTTGGAGTTCGCTGAAGTTCCTCTGTGAGAAGAAAGCGCGTGTGATAACACCTAGTTTATCCCTGTGTGGTGATTAACAGGCTGTGGATGCGGCAATAATTCCCTACCTAATTGGACCAAAAACAGGTTTAGTCGTGAGTACGACGATTGCTTTTTGAACAATAGAACGTGTAACATGACTATCGCGTTCTAGCAACTCGCTTGATTTGAGTTGTCTATTGCAGCTTATCCCAAATATAGTGTTGTTACCAAGACTACCGTCAGCTGGAGGTTTCAGGTGAAAGTAGGAGAAGTCTTCCTGGGTCATATGTGCACCATCTGGTAAAGCAAGGAATGGAAGTAGACGTGTAAAATCGTTATCAGTGATTGTATCCTTAGGATGGCAATATTCAATGATAGGGCCAAAGTTATGATGGAAGTCTACTAATAGAGTGGCTATTAATGTATCGTCCTGATGCCTATCTGACTGTGCAGCTGAAATATCATTCGATAGCGAGCGTGGGTGCATTGGTTGTGTTGCTAAGGGTGTCGGCCTCTGCGATTGCTCATATTCGAAGGGGTTTTGATCATTTTCCAAGTAATTACTAGGCGATATCTTGTTTATTTCTGATAGGGAAGCTCTCGGGTCTACTGCCCATGGATCTTGTGCTTCCAGGTTCATCAGGGTGGGTAAGTAAGAAAGTAGGAAATATAATATAATCCAGTCTACAAAAACTAAAAAGCGATAATACATATTCTAAGGAAACCATCAGCTGAGGAGAGCGTACCGTCTAGCCAGCCAATTATCGACTCTAGGGGGATTATTGTACCGTGTAAGACAGGATAACCGAGGTTTTGGTATTTTGATTGATTTTTAGGGAATAATAAAGGCAAAGCGTGCTGTAGGTATTCTAATAAACTGTAATGATATGGTAGTATGTCCTGTATGACGATAGAGTCGGGTAGGACCAATTTTATGGGAACAGCCCGCGGGGTTTCCTCTGTATTGTTAGGTAGGAGCTTATTGGCGACTTTGAAGTAGTCGTCGAACAGGTTCTTCTCCAACGAAGACCAGAGCTGCTCTGTTTCTGAACGTTTAAGGGATGTCATACGCTTAACGGTACCCCATCTGACGAGTTGAGATTCCTTGAGGCTCGCCATGAAGCTCATTTTAGTTGAATCGAGTATGTTTGCGGCGTAGGTATTAGGTGATTGTGTATTTTGCTGTAATATCAACCTCAGGGGCGGCATGTTTGTATTACTTATAAAGTTAAAGGTGAAATAATCATAACTGAGACCGATAGACCAATGCAATTTGAGTGAGTGCAGACTGCCATCGTCTAGTTCAACCTGGAAAGCGAAGTTATCATCGTCTCGTAACTTCAAATCAATTTTTAGCTGTTGATAAATTAAACTTGGGTAGCTAAACCGGGAAGGCGAAATGAAAGTGGTATCTATAACATCGCTTGAGTCGTCCAATAGCTTTATTTGTAAGGGAACGCTACTATTCCAGTTTAACCTTCTAAATAGACTGGTCGTTGAATCTTCTGACATCATCGTCTGCTTCAAAGATGTTCAAGAATGCAAACTAGTTGTCATAAACGGTGAGGATGAAATTTAAGCTCTTCAAGTCCAAGCAAAGGAAAGAAGAAAAGAAGGGTATATCAAATCAAGACATCATACCGTTTGTCAGTCCCTATGACCCGTTTTCGCTAAATCACGATCCGTTTGCAAAGTATCAAGATGTAAATAACGCGTTTAAATCTAAGCAACTAATCACGATTGATAACCACCTAAAAAATCCAATATACAGGCTACCATCGATCGATGATATTAGTCTACCTGATATTTCGGACGACGGTAACTGTGAGTAGCTTTAAATCCACTAGAGCTGTCTAACAGTAGTCCTATAGACACAAATTAATTCGTTTTCACTCTTGTACTCAGACGTCCATCATCCATGACATTTATACCTGGCCATCGCACTATTCCGAGTCAAGCCTTGCATTTAAAGCCTGTAACTAAGAAGCAGAAGAAAATACAGCTGAGGCTACCATCAAAGGACGGCAGACAGCCATCAGAAGTTCGTAACCAGGATTCTGAAATACCCACACCAAGCGCGATCATATCTTCCATCAATAGCCCGGATAAGCTCGAGTTCAACCCTATCGACGCTGATATTATCGATATCTACCTCCCTGGGAAGGACGCTTGGGACGCTATCAAACAAAGAGCTATCACCAATCAATTGGACAAACTTGGTATAGAGACCGCACCAACACCAACTGAACAAAAGTACTCAGATAGTTTCGTAGACCCTCCATCTAAGCACTCAAAGTCTTTGTCATTCAATTCCTCAGAAAGTAACTTGCTAGACTTTAAAATGGACAAATTCTTCAATAATTCACCTTTGAATTTGGAGATTAAACCACCTTCTAGGTTTGGTTCCCACCACTCTTCCTCTTTATCTTTGAACAATTTTAATACAACAAACTTATCACCAGGGCTGTCAAGCCCTTCTTCTTATTTCCCAAATTCACCAAGATCACCTGGAAATTACTTAAATATACCAGACTTTCAACAACTTAGTAGGAAATCATCCGAAGGTCCTTCCTCCCATCATCCTTCTTCTTTGGCTGATGTTGAAGAGGAGCAGGAGGAAGAGGACGTCGATAACCATGTTAAGGTTGAGGATGTAGATAATAATGTGCCAGAGCAAGATATTCTAGGTACTCAAGATGTTCAACCAGCAGATCAGGATGCCAATACATCAATTATACCAGATGAAGCTCCTCAGTTACCACCACCCTCTTTCCAAGAATTGAGCAGAGGCTTTGGTTATGAGGTTGAATCGGACGAGGAGCAAATGCAAGACCAGGAGAACAACCACAAAAAGACGCTTTCTGGCTTTACAATGAGGAGTTCAAATCAAGTTGACGAAGATCAGGTCGATGAGGATGCTCACGTCGAGCATATAGACGATGATGTTAAACAAACCGTAGATGGTAAGTTTATGCTTGTATAGATGGAATCTTCTTACACCACTTATTAGATTCTCAAACCGATCACAATACGACAGATACTGAAGATCACGCCTTCAATTATGAATTACAAAAGAAGGACATAGATGACCACGATCAACAAGAAAATACAATCAAACCTGCAGCGGCTTTAAACAGTGCTTTGAAACCAACCGTTGCTGAATTTATACCAAGTATTCCCTTCAAAGATTCAACTAACGTTTACGATTCCTCTTCATTCAAATTTGGTTTGAAGCAATCACAAGAGCAAGAGGAACCAATTGAGCCCGTACAGGCAAGCCAACCTATGGAGATACCTAATAGCAACCCGTCCACCAAAAGAGATAGAGCCCCTACAGTTGAATCAGCGGACAACTGGTCTGGATTCGATGTCAACAGTGATAACGGTGGTGATTATGATGACATGTTCTCAAATCCGTCAGAAGAAGATAGGGCTTTACAAAATAGATTCAACAAACGCATGATGTCAAATAATGCCTTCCAATTTGGTGGGTTGTCCGGTTCATCTCAATTAAACAGGAAGAAGTCTTTATCGGCTACTGCACCTGCGTTTGAGCCTGGTAATTTCACCTTCAAGTCAGAATTGAGTATGCCTACTGCGGATACATTTGAAGTCAAAGAGAATGATACTCCAGCTAAGAGAGGAAGACTTAATTCGGATACATCACCTAACCAATCAATTGGATGGATACAGCCATTTGAAATTAAGAGAGAACCAGTTAACGAAGATGTCTATGAGATACATCAAACTGAGGAAGCTCCTGATTCTAGAATAACTCTTCAAGATGTATACTACAAGCTGGAGCAGCTTTCAGTCAACTTAGGTGCTAGAAACGACCTATCAAAAGATGATGTTGTAAGGCTCCTTGAAACTGACAGAGGATTGATTCTTGAAGGATTAGAACGCCTCGATGAAGCTACTCAGCATACGTCATCGATGGATAGGTTATCACTTCTTGCAGACTTGTTAGCTGGATTGAAACCTCAAATTTCTTCTTTAAAACCCGATGAAAATGCCTTAGCTTTGAAGCTTAGCGAGGCTATCACTCCAGGTATTCAAACTTTGGTAGACTTGGCATCAGGTACGTCTATATTTAGCAACCCTCTTCAATTCTTACAATGATATAAATAGATAAAAAAGAAACAGCAGCTATTATTACTGAAGAGTTAGCTAGATCTACAATTTTCTCATCAATTAAAGATCAAGTTAAGGAGATGCTTGATAGTCATGCTGAATTATACAAAGAGCATTCTAACAATCTTTCTAATACGCAAGCGGAGATATTCACTAATGCCTCATCTTTGCAAGCCAAATTAGGTGACTTACCGGATGGAATAACTGATGCTACAAATGCCTTATTATCAGCAACTAACAAGTTGGACAATTATTCTAATATTCCAGCGGAGCTTACTAAACTACGTGAATATGTTAATGAAAATAGTGAACTTAGAAATGAAATAAGTAAATCTCAATCAATGCATGGAAGGCTCAGATCAGAGAAGGATAGAATAATTGATAAACTCAAAGTTGTTGAAGAAGAGAGAGACTTTAGCAAGACAGAAGCCGACTTATCCAGACAGGCAGCCCGTAAAGTGGAGTCAGATTTGGTTAAAATTGAGGCAACGAATGGTAGTCTGATTGAGAGTCTTAATGGTATGTCTATCAAAGTTAGCCAAGCTGAGGAACAAGTGAGTGACCTCCTCGAGCAAAAGCAGGCTTGGTACGCTGCTGATCGTGATTATCAAATTCGCGTGAAGGAATTAGAAATGCAACTTGAGATGCTGCGCAAGGAGCGCCAAAATGACCTTAAAACAATAACGGAGGATAAGAAGAGAACCGAAGAGGTACATAAATCTAATCAAGAGTTATCTTCCATGTTGCATGAGTCGCGTGCTGAAGTTAGCAGAGTATCTAGTGAATTTGAACAACTTTCGAGGAATTCGATGCAAGTCAACCAAGAGCTGATGACTCGCAATCAGTCTTTAGAAATATCTCAAATGGAATTAGACAAGGCATACCAGACTTCAAATATGGAGAAATTGGTCTCAGAGCAAAGGTTGCATGAGGTTGAAATGGCATATGGAGAGTTGCAGAGCAAGACAGAACAAATGGAAAGCAGGTCCAGCGATGATAAGGCCTTGCTGGAGGAAGCAACGAGCACTATAGAAAGACTATACCAGGAGATGTCTACCAAACAGCGTGATATCGAAAGCTTGAATGAGCAACTCGAGCAAGCACAAGATGGCAGACGCACGCCGACGAACAACAAATTCTCAGAGAAATCCCTTAATAACTACTCTAATGGCGTGACTAAATCTGCGCATGCACCAAGTACACCAATATCGCCAGCTTACAGCTCCGCTTCGAAGTTCAGTGTGACTAGCACGGCAACCTACCAAGCGGATGATGGCTGGTTCTATAACGCATAATTTATCTCCTAATTTATAAAATCATTTTTGTTTCTAATTGATAGGGTGACATCACCGCTACTATCACCCATTTTGGGTGGAAATGACTGACGACCAAGTTGCCTGAGCTATACGATGTGCAGAGAATTTCTTGAACATATACGACATTGCCACATTAAAGGATGCTTATCGGCTGGTAGGGAAAATACGCTATTGAGGAGATCACCAGGGTCGTCAAGAGAGGAAGTCGAGAATTTCGGAAGACAGGAGTACATGGCAGAGGGCCAAATAAATACAGGGTGCGATGTCATAGAGGATGCAATAGAGGCTGAATGTACTGAAGTGGATGAACGCCTAAGCTACACCTACTCAGGCGAGAGTGAAGACCTTATCCGTAAGCTAGAGTGTTAGATTGGTGGTGATATGTCCTAAGTACGCACAGGCCTTCTTCCGCTACCGTTCGCGAGAGAGGATGCATCAAACAGATTATCTAGATTGCATCACGTTCTCGATGGAGTCGAGTACGGGAGGTATATTATGTTTAATGAGAGCAGCTCTAGGACGACAGGGGATAGTCATGAACCAGATATGATAGCTGGTGAGTCGTCTGGTGTATGAGATCCCCTCTGATTCTCTGCAGGTGACAGTGGTTTAGACTACAATTTCCGGGCTAGTAGATGATATGTCTGTATAAATAGCTAAGCTGTACAATATATCTTCTGCCTCGATTAATTTATATATAAATAAGTGTAATTACCTACATAAACGAGTAATAAGTTATAAAAAATGCTTGAAATGGGTATCAGAACGCCTTTACGGTCGTCAGAGTCTCAATACGCTCTTTACGTTCTTTGTTGAGTGTCGATAGAAGGTTGTTTATCAGCCTGTACCTCTGCGCGACGATATCCTGTTCTCTATCATCGTCATCCATACTCCTAGTACGCTTGTATGAATCTGAGCTATGATCTCCTACACTATTCTCGCGTGTTCTCTTGCCCATATTATAATTAGATATCCCCCACTCCGTAGTTAACTATCAAGCGATCGCTTCTTTCGATTCTGCAATCAAGAGACAAACAAAAATGAATCAAGAATTGAAGGACGGTGTGTATAAATAGTTTAGGTAAAATGCACGCTCATAGCTAATCAGCTACTGAGGGTTTCAACTTGCTATTCAATGACAAAATAGACCAATCAACAGAAGAGCTCTCTAGACACGACAACGCCTTCGGTAGAACTGGCCTCGGTATAATCCTTTTCTTACAAGCCGCATTGGGGATGGAGGATGGCATGATGGAACGAGCCCAGAACGAGTTATTTGCGGCCGAGAAGGCTGCAGAGACTGCGAAGAAGGACGCTAACAAGCTGAAAGGGAAATCATCCAGATTTAATAGCACTGTTCCATACGTGCGCCTACTTGATTCTTACGTATCACGCCTGCTGACTCCTCCCAGGAACTACTCATCGCTAGCACCGTCATCGGACAAGCTATGACCCAGATACTCACGGAATCAGCCGTTGAAATGCTCAAAGCTATTTATAAGGTGTGTTTACTTATTTTAGAAATGACGTCATTCCCCAACCAATTCCATTCCTAGTTAAATAGATCGTATAAACTATACAACAACACTTTCGTTAGTGTGTTCCCAGGCGGCGCGGCAAGCTTGCCTGATACCCCAATGGCTTCCCCTTCTATGTCGAGACAACAGTCGTCCCAGTCGCTCCATTCGATCAATAAGCAGCAGGAACAGCCAATTCAGAAGGGTTTCTTCGCTAAGAAGTTTGGCAGCTTTCTCGGCACTAATTCCAGCGCTGCTTCTAGCTCAAGCTCACTCAGTTCAACTAACACTCCAGCTCCACCAAGCGATAACGTTGAAGAGTTCGTTATGTCAGGCGCTTGTTTTGGATTTGGGCTTTTTGGTTTGGTATTCTCGCTTATGCCACCAAAATTGAAGAGATTGATAAACGTGTTTGGATTTAAAAGTGATAGAAAGGAAGCTTTAAAGGCTTTAGCATTGAGTGCTTCATACCGAGATGTTCACTCTTCCTTTGCAGCACTCTCTTTGCTCTTTTACACCTCGTCTACACTTCTCCTCGCAGGATGGAATGCGGACTCCGAGCATGATATGCGCATGTTTGAGAATATTCTTAAAAGGTGCGCTAGTTGGTTTTCAAGTTTACTTTGTTAACAGACGATAGTTGTGAAAAGAGGCATCCAGATGGTACTCTGTGGACTCTTAATCGTGCCAGATTAGAGCGTATCAATGGACGTGCTGATAATGCAATTAGTATTCTCGGTGCAACATTGGAAAAGGATCGGGGTTTCCCCCAGGCAGAAGTCATCATTGTTTTCGAGTATGCATGGCTCTTATTAGCTGAGAATAAGTGAGTATAACGATGTACCTTTTCCAAGCTAACAAGATACAAGGTACAAAGAATCTGCTAAATACTTCTTGCATCTCATGAAATTAAATTCATGGTCTCATGCAACTTACACACTCCTTGCTGCTGGTTGCTTCCTGTCTGATTCAAGAGATGGCAATGAGGAAAGCCGCGAGAAAGCTCAAGAGGAATTTATGAAGGTGTGTCAAGCTATTTATCAAAATATCTTCTAACATAATTAAGATGCCAGAACTTCTCAATGCTAAGAAACTCGGCGGTCGCAACATGCCAATGGAAGACGTGAGTGTTGGTTTCTCTGTTTGACTTTGCTGACAAGCCTGTAAGTTCGCACAACGTAAGTTAGCCTTCTGGAAGCGCAAGCATGAGCGCAGGGTCGAAGCCTACAAGAAGCTTTCCGTTGAAGTTGACCTTGAAAGATGGGATTTGGCTATAAAGGTGAGCAGCTACCTTGAAGTTTCGAATTATTCTAACCAATCACCCCAGATTAGTCCAGCTGATGAAATGGCATGTTTCTGGAACAGCTATGGTAAAATAACTAGGGAAGCCGCATTGAAGCACATGTCAGCGTTGTGTAAATTGACACCAGCGCCTGAAATTTCTACCCCCTTGATAGACATCAAACCAAGAGAAGAAGAAGATATTGACGATCTGGACACACATGATGAAATCGCAGTAAGATACCTACTACTGGGTATACTCCACCGTGCAATCGGTGAATTGGACTTGTCGAGGCGCTACCTCGATGAATGTGTCTCATATAGAGGAAAAGCCACTGATGATACTTGGGCACCTGCCTTTGCTGCTTACGAATTGGCAGTCCTTGAACTCAACGTCGGTGACCAAAAGACATTATCTGAAACGCCAAATGCGAAATCAATATGGAAGAACGCGATCGAGGCATCAGAAAAGCATCTCGCTTTGGTAGCTTCTGGTGAATTCGGTCCAACGTATGACCTCGAAGGTCGTCAAGGTACGCGTTGTTACCTCCTCAAAGATGAAATCCAAACGAAGAGAACACAATTGGGAATCTAACATCTACATTTCTCTATCAGTTATAGCGGACAATCTTTAATTATTATTCTATCTTGTAATATATATTCATTTCAGAGTACGTTGCCTGTCTCTTTGTATTTCCTAAACCATAGTGTGATAATAGTGAATAGCAACATGAGCATGATAGAGTTGAGTGATCTGTAGAGCTGTTGATATTCAGGTTTGTCTATTGGGTAGGCTTTGTATACTGCATGCCACTGTCTGAATGAGTATCCTATCGATATAGCAGCGAAGAGGTAGACGATATCCATTGAGTTATATTCTATTTGTAATTAATAATATCGACGCGATGGTTATTCACTAACTTTGAGCGTTCGTTATCAAGAAGACGTGATGCGATAATGAAATTAAAGTGAAAATTAGTTATCGTTGATGGGTAGTATCCTGGCTTGTCATTATTATAGCTATAGTCGCGGCCTAGTTAATACACTTCTTACATCTACTTTATGTCGTCATCTTGCATGTCAAACATTAGACTATCTTAGAAATATAATACATTGGGTAAGTATATTTCCTTTTCATCACGCTGAAAGTGCCATCTTGTAATTTTTGCATACAAATGCACCTTTTAATGAGCAAAAATGAAGAAACAATGCGACACACAACACAAGAAAAGGTTCTAAACAGTATGAAAACCCAAAGAAAGATTACAGCGCTAATTCAGACAATCCTGCGACTTCAATAACACCGCCGACGAGATGTAAAGAACCACAAACGAGTACTTGTTTATCACTGTCCGATGTATCAATCTCCTTAATCGCAGCTTCAATTGAAGGTACAGCGACGACGGACTTGTCAACAGATTCTGGTATGAGACTATGCCATACACTCTTGAGCTCATTCTGCACAGTCAACTCCTGGATGTCCTTCTGATTAATATTCTTGTATGTGAGATCTGAGGGAAATGTCAGAATGGAACTAAATAAAAGCATTGCACATACCAGATGCGAAATTACCAGATATGTATGTAATATTAGTGCAAAATATAACCTTCTCAAAGAAAGTACTGATGTTTACACTTTCACCTGCGACTGATGAGAACGTATGAAGCATTGTAGAGAGTAATGTATGAGCTGAACGGCCGTTTGTGCAGTTAAAAATGAGGTATCGTTTATTATTAGCGTCAGATTTGACTATATCTCCAAACCAATCCATACAGGCTTTCAAACTATCCGTTGTATGGCTTCCATCGAGATACCAAGTGGTATTTTGACGAGATGGATCGGCAACAGTTTGGCAACGGCCTGGCCATCTGGCGTTTACGAGACCGTCAACGAAGACCTCTGGAAGGACATTCCAGTCGTGGTTTTGAAGGATATTCTTGAAGTTATCATTATCTGTAAATTGAATAAACACTTTGGCCGCTTCTATGGCTAATTTTGCGTTTAATTTTTGGTGTTGGCCTTTCAATCCCAATTCAATATCATCCAGGTTGTATTTTTGATCGTCTATTAAGGTAAATGGTGCATGAACCTTGCTTGCACACTCTTGGAGAGTTTTTATACCATCCTCTGGTTGATTAACAGATATAGCAGGTCTGTTTTGTTTGTATATACCACCCTTATTTTGGGCAATTTGGCGTATAGAGTTACCTAGTAGGGCTGTGTGATCTAAACCGAGACTACTAACTGCAGCTACTGTCGGTGATGGTACGAGATTAGTGCAATCGTACGTCCCACCAATACCGACTTCAAGGACAGTAGCATCAACATTCTCTGATAAGAACGTATGGAATGCCATTAAAGTGAGGAAACGGAAGTAAGCAGGTTTAGCTGGGAGAATTGTCTCACCATCAAGACTTTTAACTTCGCTATCGAGAGTGTTCCATACGTCGAAGAAGTATTTTGTGAAGCTCTCCTCTGTAATTGGCTTACCATTTATGCGTATACGCTCCCTAACTGCTACAAGGTGAGGTGAAGTGTATAGACCAATTTTAGAGCGCGGTGATAAGGATTGCAAGATACTAGAAGTGAATGCTGTTGTACTGCCTTTTCCTTTAGTACCTGTGATATGTATAACGTTTAATTTGTTCAAATCCGTAGTGCTATAGCCCATTTTAGAGAGGTATACAGCCATATCGGAAAGTGTGTAATGTCTCCTTATGTTAGGATCCTTCGTTGTAGAGTTGGCTATTGTAGCCGCGTTTGACTGTAAGCTATTTAAGCATTCAATTGCTTGCTGGTATGTTTTCTTCATCGTCGTAGAGAGAGAAGACTTCTTTCAAGTTTACAGTCATCATGGCACCACATTCTATGCCAAAAGCACCTTCAGACCTTACAGGAAAAGATCTTAAGATTGGTATCGTACACACAAGATGGAACAAAGAGGTCGTAAATGCGTTAGTTGAAGGTACGAACAACAGATTGTTAGAATTAGGTGTTAAGAAGGAGAACATCATTATACAGCAAATTGCAGGTAGCTGGGAACTTCCAATTGCTACTAAAAAGTTAGTTCAGATTTATCGATGTATGACGCAGTAGCTGATAAATCGATACTAGAATGATACACGCAGGACGCGTACAACAGGGAAACACATCCTCTAACTTACTCAAAGGGTTAGACCCATTGAACTCACCGGAAGCACCTTCTACCCCAGTTAGCAACAACACCGGTGAATTTGACGCTATAATCTCAATTGGTGTACTTGTTAAAGGATCTACACAGCACTTTGAGTACATCGCAGGTGCGGCTACTGACGGTCTCATGAGAGTCAGCTTGGATGAGAATTTACCTGTTGTTTTCGGTGTACTCACCTGCAACACAGAAGAGCAAGCAAGATCTAGAGCAGGTCTAGTTGAAGGTGGTTTAGAAAACCACGGTCCAAGTTGGGCAGAATCAGCTGTTGAGCTTGCTAACTTATCTACCAAATGGTCAAAAGGCGAATTTGCTTAAAATGTACAAATCAAATGAATGGATATTACAAGAGAGTGAATGTGTCCTTAACGAAAGTGATTGAATGCTGATAGTTGAAATGTGAATGCTTAGTTTGGCTGTAAACAAGCTCAAACTGTGATTTTTTGTCTATGATCTTCTAGGTAAATGGAACAACAAGCTTGGTGGTCTACTAAGCGTCTTTGCTGGACATGTACGCTTTGGTATGTTGTCGTTTAATGGCAAACAGAAGGATTCCTCTGAGCAGGCACTGGAGGGTGTCTCCAAGTGGTGGTCGTACTCAAACGAATTCGTCTGAGAAATCGATGAAGCCGTAGACGAAGACCTTGAACGTCTATGAAAGATTAGATATGTTTGAGACTGAATATCCCCCACTCACCTAGTCAAGGACGCCTTAGCAAATGGATCAGCATCCCCGAAGAGATTTCCTGTCTCAGTTTTGACGCTCATGCGTTGCTGTAACTTCATCGATTTATCCGGGGTGTTGTAAGTGGTTATTGTACAACTTATGATGTCCTCGCTTCGATGACCCTATCTGATTCTAGACACTCGCGCACAGACATACGTCAGAGCTGATCAAAGCGCAAAAAGTAAAACAACTATATATATGTACACTCATTTAGATGATTGTTGATATATATTCCTTTATACTTTCTTTTTGAAAAAATTTACCACAATCACTTGGCCGTCCGCATCTAGCGTATGACAGTTTGAGGGTAATGAAAAGTTGTCCAGCAAGGTATGTATAATATTTTAAAGCTTGATATTCCAGATATAACAAGTGCCTTTCCAGAAAGCACCGCAATGTTGACGTGATGTAATATTGAATGAATGAGTGTATTGTTTGTGAATAGAACCAGCTATTTTTAATATAAATGCCATTAGAATGCCCATCCAGATGAGCTTCCAAAGCTGCTAGCGCTCTCTGCACTATCGATTGAACTTCTTGATAATGAGGATAACGAATTTGTACGATTTCTCGAGCCTACTACCATACGGTCTACTCCCATTACATTGCTAGCTGTCAAATCGATTGGTGACTGCCTTAATAGTGCGTTCGGTGGTAGACGTGGTAGTATATGCGCTTGCTTTGGACAGTCTCGTCCAGGGAGGGGTACATTGTTTGGTAACAATTTCAATGGACTTGGTGGTGGTCTACGTGGCATCCTCTAACGTCCAGCGTTTGTTTGTCTTGAATGTCGTAATTTAAAGAATGACTGGTTGTGGAGATAGCTAATAAATAAAATATATCTATTACAAAGTATATGGCACTATCTTCATCTTACAAGATTCTTTTTCTACAGTCGATTGTCCCCTCTTTTCTAAATTCAGCGGAGGTGTACCTTGACATCTCAGCTGTTCATGATTTTGTAAAATCGCTAAGGTGACATCTGCAGCATCTGAAAAAAACCAATCGAGTGTACTATTGCGTGATATCTTCCTCATACTTTACTAAAACGCCTGTCAGCTGTCTCTGCCGACTTGACAATGCTGTCTTTCTTTTGAGTAGGGTACGATTGAATAGTTTTACACCGATTCAGAAAGATATTCATACCATTTATGTAAGCTATACTTTAGTTAGACGTACGTTTGATTGCTTTCAACGGGGTTAATGATATTTCACGTCTTTCGGATCTAATTGTCTATCTGACGGTATTACTCTATCAGATTTTTGCTTGGCAACATCTTTATCCATGTTTAAACCAATATTCGTAGTCTTAACTCTCTCCAGGGTGCTCGTTAATGATTCCTGTAGGTGATTCCCAAGTGAGTTGAATTTTTGGGAGTATATATCATCCATGCTTCCTAATAATACGTATTTGAAGCCATCCTTCGCTTGTGATTTTGCGTACAATATCACGATCAAATGACGTAAAACTAGCTTCATTAAAGCTACCGAATCCTCTCCTTGGTAGTGACTCCATGTAATTTTCCAATAGTGCGTTGTTGTACGTTTGTTTTCATTAAATGGTATAGATGTTTATAATAGGACATGTCCATCACCCAAATTGCCAATGTATGTCAACTCTGCGTGTCTTTCTAGAGTATATCTCCTCTGGAGATTGATCCTTTTAGTATTGAGAACATGAATCCTATGTTTTGTGTATATACGATATGTCTCCTCTTTTGATAAGCAGCTTTAGAATCAAATTATTTGAATTTGCGAAGCTAATCAAATGTTATGATAACATTGCGGTAATTAACACGTAATTGTTTTACTAGTGGTTATATTATCAAAGAGAAAGTATTCATATCTTCTTCTGGATGTATTTTGACAGAATCCTGTGATAATTATGAATCTATTACTTGAATATATCAGTATATCGTCTTATAAGTTTAAATATTGTTCTATAGCTTGATATCATGGTTGAAGTTGTACAACGATGTCTTCTCAATCAACAAAAGCGATATTTAAGCAAACGGTGAAGAAATTTGAGAATAATTTGGATGATATCGAATCAATAGAACAATTAGAGTTAATTAATAGGAGGCTACTAGCGACTAGCTACTCTAATGAGGAATATACAGAAATCAGTAACAACAGATTGAGGTATTACACTAGTTATTATGTTTTAGCGGAATTATATAATAGAAAAAGATCTCATGATCCACATAGCCGATTGTCAAACATCAATAAATCAATTGAAGCTTTCAACACCTTCATTGAACAACTTGATAGTATACAACTAGAAACCGAAAAGGCTGTTCCATTTGCTGAATCGAACAACAACACACTCGATCCATCAGCTAGGCGTGAATTGAAGATAGCTCAATACAAGAAAGAGAAAGAATTAGAGACTAAGATGTTGGAATACAAGGAACTCATCTCAGATAGTCCAGAAGAGGGTGTTTTCTCTACAATGTTTAACAAACCATCAAATGAGGAGGAAGATGAAGATGATGATGAGGTTGTCAGAGATTATATTATCAGATTACTCATATATCTCGCTTCACAAGCAACCAAACAGCTCCAGTCTTCCCAAATGGAGTTAGAGTTGCTTAAAAATATACCAACCCAAACATCAGACAGTGATAATAGAAGTGCGACATCAAGTAACCCAACGGATAGAACTTGGAAATTAGATACACCAATAGACAAACAATCGTTATTGGATAAAAATGGTAAACCAATGCGTCCATTTACGATCATGCCTGCTGGATCACGTACGACTAGGCAGCAGATGTCAGAAGGCGTCTTCCAACACTCTCATAGACTTCCTACTATGACTATCGATGAATATCTTCAAGGTGAAGCAGACAGAGGGAACATTATTGAAGGTGGAGGGTGAGTGATAGATGCTAAATGTAGAACGAGGCTAACAAACTCGAAACAGACCAGCTAGTGAGAATCAACCAACTAGCAAAGAGCAATTACAACTTGATACTGAGTATGACGGAACAGCCAGCGCAGAAGCTGCTCAAGAGAAGCAACGCGTCGATGGAGAGAACTGGGCAAGATATACCGAAGAAGTTGAGAAAGGTAGTGGAAATAAAATGTCCAACATTGGTTGAACCCTTCTTGTATTATAACCACCATCATTTATGACATCAAACACGCCTGATTTGGCTGATGAATTGGTTCTAGCCTTGAATGAGCAACTCAATCAAGGTTTTATTACATCATTTGATATCGTTGCACCATACAAAGCGCTGGTTAGATTGTTGGAAGACAATGACGTAGAGATTGAAATCAGTCAAAGTGGCTATACAGTAAGTTTTATCTAGATATTTCATTTAGTTAAGACATAGTAGCACGATAACACCACTTCTGAAGACATAGAAGGGCTTCTACGCCAGATAAGTAAGGAGTATGATAGCAAGTCAAACGCAAGCCTATTTGAAAAGCTTTTAAAAGTACAACAAATGAGAGAATAATAAGTTAAAACCCTCCAAGTTCTTTCTCGAGTTCTGCTAATGCTTCATTCTCGAGTGCATCCCGTGTAGCCTCGTCGTCGTTCCTTTGAAGATGTTCTATATCCTCGTCAGGTGGTATATCGGCAGGAGGAGAAGGTGATCTGAAGAGTGCGGGTGATGCTGATCGTCTATCATCGTTACCTACGTCCGTGGTGTTATTTTGGTCGATATTTATATCCATTTCTTGTTCGCGTTCGAGGTTATCTGGTATTTCTACGCCTCCCTCAAGTTCGAGAGTTCGCTTATGATCGTTTGCGTCTTTCCAACCCTTTAACGCAGCCTCCATACGTCGTTGATGACAGATCTTTTCGACTTTCTCTATCGTATCGCTGAATTGAGTTTTTGGGAACATCTTATGAGCCCACAATTGGTAATATGAGAGTAGCTTCTTGAGATCCTCTATCTTTGGGGTTGTTAGAGTGCTATTGAGTGAGTTTGTAACCCACCTCGTGTCCTTTTCCTTTGAATTTCCAGTTCTTTGAACTTGCGAGTAAAGCAGGCAAGCCATTCTGACCGAGTAGTCTGTTTACGCGATATTAACGCGTCGTGTAGGTTTAAAGACGCGTAACTCACCTCTCTGGATCTATCTTGGCGAGTACACGTTTAGGTTTCTCGGTACCAGCTTCATCGTTATCTTTGTCATTATCAAAAGCAGAGGTGGAATTGAGAGGTGTTGTACCATCATCATTATCCTCGTCATCCAAAGATCTAAATATCTCATCGACGTCCTCCTCTCTATCACGTTTCTTGGATGTCAGACCACTGTCGAAGTTGTCCAAGTTGTCTAAATCGATATCTTTCTCTCGTTCTATGAAATTCGTAGGCGCTTCAAAGTCGATAAACGACATTTCAGTCTTTAGATGTTGGTTGTAGAGCAACAACGAGGAAGAATGAACGCTAATAAGTTGAAGCAATACGGTGAAGATCAATGGAGGGCGAAACCAGATAAACTGGTTGGTGCTTTACTAGGCAACACCTATTATTATCTAACTAGTCTACCAGAACGCTGAACTATTTGTTATGACTTATGGTGCGTTGGTGATGCAACTTGTACAGGATTATGAGGATTATAGCGCGGTTAATAAAGAACTAGATAAAATGGGATACAACATTGGTACACGCCTTATCGAAGAGTTCTTATCAAAGAATCCTGAAGTAAAATGCAAGAACTTCAACGATACAGGCGAGGCAATAGCCAAAGTCGGATTCAAAACCTTCTTGAATATAACACCAGAGGTCGTCCACAACGGTAGTAACGAATTTACGCTCGTGATAGAAGACAACCCCCTCAATCAGTTCGTTGTCTTACCAGATACAGCGATAAGGGAGGGTCTCCTATACTCTAATGTTCTCGCTGGATGCATAAGGGGGTGCTTAGAGATGATAAATATATCAACGACAGTCGACTTTCTCTCAGACGAGCTTCTCGGTCAGGAATCCACGGCGATAAAAGTGAAACTCATAAAATATTTAGAAGAACAAGTACCAAGTGATGATATGTAAAGGTATATATATAATAATTAAGCGACGACGCAACATCCGCCGCCTTGTGGTGCGTATGGATCTTCTCTCTTATCGACAGGTCCCCAGATGGATGGAATCTGTGTATTTGTTAGATATAAAGCTTTTCATTATAATCTACGCGCTTACTAAGTGATCTTTCGTTGATTTGCAGTATCTGATCAAGCCCTGACTCGCTTCGCTCACGTTTATCCTAGGCCTAGCGTAGTCGTCTTTCAAGCGTTGGTTGTGCTCGTTCAACCTTCTCAGCTTGAGTTCGCTCATACTCTGCTTGTGTGGTCTGCCACTCATAGTTCACTCCTGACTGTAGGGGTCCAAAGCGGAATTTTTAAAATAAAGTACTAAAATTACAATTAAGGTATTAATTTGTAGAGTTTACCAATTATATCGTTGTACACACGCGCTTCCTTTTTCAATTTCCTGATTTCCCCTTTCGCTTCTTCTAGTTCTTGGGCGAGTCCTGCATGGCTTCTTTCTGTAGATTTAACGTAATTTATTAACTCGTTAGTATCTAGCTGTGCGTTTGTATCACTCCTCTCCCTTTTCGCACCCTTCTCGTCGATCTTTTTGAAGAAATCGCTAACTTTTCTATGCCGGGGTTGGCCCGGAGGTGATAGACGACGGGGTCTTTTGGGTGTCGACGGTAGCTCCTCTTTGTTGTCGCTGTCTACATCATATAGTCTCTTATTCGGCTGTCTACTACACTCGATAAAGTCATCATCGTCGCTGAAATTAGTTATCTCGTCGTCATGCTTATCAAATTCAGCCAAAACGTCATCAACGAGTTTGGTTGACCATCTAGAAAGCTTATTAGCGTCGTTACGTCGTTTACATGCATCTAAAATGTGTCTGCGTCGTGTTCTGAGTGTGTAATTCTCATTGTTCAATTGATTATCTGCAGCTTTCTCAAAGTCGTCTACCCATATAAAATACCGACAAGATTCTAAGTCTGTTTTCCTGCACCTATATAGCAACCTATTTGGGTTCATTTCTGTCTCTGATAACAGCAGTTGCACTCTCTCGCCGTGACTACACAATGGCCACCCAAGATCTTTATCAAGTGATTTTATAGCCTTGCGTACGCTTATCATCGCTGGGGTATACTTCCTTGCTATTTCTTGATAGTCGATAGCTAAGGACTATCTTCTCACTAAACAACGATGTACGTTTCTAGGCGATTATAGAAAAACATTCTAATAACTACCTAGGGTGCTAGAAATAGCCGCACAAGACAGGAAGCACAGACTAGCTGCTCTCAAGAATCGTACCGAGGGTAGCGGTGAATCTATTCTCAAGTTTAGGAATTACGACCCAACGAGCAGAGAACCGAAGAAGAGTAGCGATGAAATAGACAACCTAGACACCGTAGAATATGCTGTCAAGGGTTTGGCTGAGAGCATTCTAGCAAAAGATGAGGAATTGCGCAATGAAGAATTGGACGTATTCAACATCGCACCAAAGCGTCCAAACTGGGATCTCAAGAGGGAACTATCGAAGAAGATGCATTTACTCAATAAAGCTGATCAGCTAGCTATCAATACCCTTCTCAGTATGTCTTCTTATCATTCGAGAATACGCTGACAGCATCACAGGGCAGAGACTATCAAAACCAGACTCAAACGGTCAAGAGCTCGCATCAGCTACTAACAAACCAACTGGTTTGATTAATTATGCAGACGATGACGACGATTAGATAACACCAGTGTATTTCTATATTTATTCCTTCAGCATCATTTACATACTTTGAGGACGTGATGTAGTTTCAATAGATTGTATTATATCACCCTGTTGAACTTCTTGGAAATCTGCAAAGCCTAATCCACATTCTAAGCCTTTTCCTGCATGGTGGATATCCTTCTTGTGATGTTTGAACGTTTCTAGACTACCAGTGTAGACTACATCTCCATTCCTGATGACGCGAACGTCTGCTTGTCTTGTTATATTTCCGTTTGCAACTCTCACACCAGCTACGCGTTTAAATTGACGTCCTTTGACGTTTATATCGAAGAGCTCGAGGATTGTGGCTTCACCGAGTACTTTCATTTCTGTAATAGGTGGGAGCAATTCAGCTACGCGGCTTTTCACATTATCAAGAAGTTTGTAAATGACACCATCGACCATCAAATCGACGTTTGACATAGATGAAGCATTTTGTATACTCCTCGTTGCCTTAACATTGAATCCAACAATGGATGCTATAAATTGCGTGAGTTTTGTCTCTAGGTAGTGAAGCTAAACACTCACCTTCACCAGCAACCGCTCGAGTGATGTCAGAATCATTGATATCACCAACACCACTAGTAATGACCTTTACTCTTGCTTCTTTGTTGCCAACTGCCTCGAGAGCAGCGACGAATGCTTCAACAGTACCGCTAACGTCACCCTTTACTACCAAATTAAGCTCCTTAATGGATGGCTCTTCATTTGCAATCTCCTCCACGTTGTCATCCTGTGAAGCTTCTCTCAACTCTCTGTGAGCCAGTCTCTTTTCATTGATGACCTCCAACTCGGACATCGTCTTAAGACGCTCAAGTGCCTCTATGCGGTTGTTAATTGCACGCTTGGCTTCCTCCTCTCCAGATGCTTCAAGCACTTCATCTCCAGCTTTGGGGAGGTCTTTCCAACCGGCTACTATGACTGGCTGGCCAGCCGATGCATTCTTGATTGCCTGCTTTTTGTCGTTCTCCATCTGACGCACTTTCGCCCAGGTAGTTCCGCCAACTATACTTGATGAGGCTTTGAGTTCTCCACGAGTGACCAACACGGTCGCGAGATTACCTTTGCCCTTGTCAACGCGACTTTCGAGTACAACACCATGAGCTTTTCCTGTATTCTCTGCCCGAAGATCCTTCACTTCAGAAAGTACGGCGAGCGTATCCATGAGATCATCTAGTCCTTTCCCAGTCAAAGCTGATACCATTACGGATGGAATTTCACCACCAAATTCCTCGAGTGTTACGTTATTAGCGAGAAGGTCATACTTTATTTGCTGTGGGTCTACGCCCGGTTTATCACATTTATTTATGGCTACTATCATACCTACGCCTGAACGTTCGACGAGCTTTATAACTTCTTTCGTTTGTGGCATGACACCGTCATCTGCTGCTACAACAAGAACAACAATGTCAGTCACACTTGCGCCTCGGGCTCTCATGTTCGTGAACGCCGCATGTCCAGGTGTATCGAGGAATGTAATGCTGTTTAGTGTACTCGCATCGTTTGATACTGCAGATATACCACTTAAAGGCACTGAGAAAGCACCAATATGCTGGGTAATACCACCAGCTTCAGATGGTGCGACTGAGGATGACCGGAGTGTGTCCAAGAGTGTTGTCTGAATGTTTAACGTCAGCGTTTTGAATTAGATATGATCCAAAGAACCTACCTTGCCATGGTCAACATGTCCCATGATTGTCACAATTGGTGGTCGTAACGGTAATGAGTCGGGGTCTGGATGTGGTGGTCTTGTGTTGATTTAGCTTTTTCATTCAATAGAACACTGTAACTCACGATGGATACAAGTCAAAAGCTCGCTCTTCATTGACAACCGGTTCAAGACCACATTCCATGGCAAGTAAACTGGCATCTTCTGCAGTCAACACTGTGATTGCGTGAGTGTGATGAAAGCGTTCGAAATGTCAAACACACCTCTGTCAAATTGTACGTTATCTAAGCCAGCATGAATCATAGTGCGCTGTAATTTGTCTATATTCGGTCAAGAGATACGCATATTTTTGCACAATTACCCACCTAAACGTAGATTAAACAAACGACTGAGGTTCGCGACTGATAGGAAGGCTGGTATAAATACCTGCCTTTTCGCCGGCGTATTATTTTGCTTCTGCTTTGGTTTTACTTTGGCTTTACTGTTGTTCTGCGATTGATTGACATTCTTCTTCTCTTTTCTTTGATTCTGTGGTTGGTCATCATCTAAACTGTCCAATAGAGAGCTTCTATTTGACTTCTTCTTCTTCATTGGGAGCTTATTGCGCTTATTTACGCTGACGTCGTCGATAGGTGGTGTAGCAGGCGTAGCAGGTGTAGCTAGAGGCGCATTTCTAGTTACATTCCCTTCAAATTTCCTAGTATTATTTCTATTCATTGGCTTCTTAAACGTCTTCTGGGTATTTCCTGTAGTCTTCTTCTTTTCTTCCTTTCCCGATTGCGGCAAATCGAGCTCTGCAGGTCTGGCCCATTTATTTAATAGCGTCTGTGATGTTGATATCCTCCTATAGGGACCTCCATGCGCCAGGAACTCTAATTGTCTTCTCAGCATCCTGATAGTTGATATGAACAAATAACAAATAAAACAAAATAATACAAGTGCAAATTAGATAGTTTATATTATGACATTGTAAGGTCTACTATTATCGTCGCTAGTCCAAGTATGATCTGTGTTTGATATCAGACAATGAAACATTCTCAAACTATTACGCACCTCAACAACGATTAACCAGATAACGACAGTTTCTAAACTCTCTGAATGCCTACTATAGACACTCTCCTTGAGCAATCGTAGGAGATCCTGTAAGACTATACGATTGGGTTAGTTGTTTACATAATAAACAATCCAAATATACCTTCCACTCGTGCATTAAGTAAATCAATCCTCTGTCGAATTTCCAGATACTGCCTGAAAGCAAGATACAATGGCTCGAGATCTGGATATGTCCAAAACAATTCGGGACTGTCGAGAACTGATCCAACGAGATTGATATTCATTCGCAAGATAAACAATTGTCCCTATAGGTTTCTAGATGAGTATATTTCAATATGACATATGTGGAAACACTCACAATTTGCATCATAATAGCCTTTCTTGGCATACCAATCTTTCCTGAAGCAGCTATATCTTGTGGTATATCCTTCGTCTGCTCTATCGTAGCAGATATGAGCTCTTCAAAAAGTGATATTTTCACACTCTGTGCTAATGCATGCGATAAAGCGAGCTTTGTCCTATTGGGAGTGTTAGAAAAGCCTGATACGTATGTAACAACCCCACATGAAAGATGATCCTCTGAGGAGGGCTATAACGTCGTGGAAGATACGCGTATAATCGCTAGGTAACTTTAGTAGTGAACTTTTTTGAGGCAAACCACTTACGCATAGTAGAAGTTCAGGTCTTCCATTTCTACATCCTCGGCGGCGAGTTTCTCAACCTCGTATCGTTTCCTGTGGATATTTGAGTTTGATTACTAGGTAAATTGTATCAAACCTACAGCATAGATAAAACTCTCCTCTCCATAGATTCCTCCATACCCCACATAATAACGACACCAGTCTCTGAGAAGAAAAATACATCAGGTGTGTGTGCACCCAATTGGAAACGTTCGTATCTCGACGTCTTTCTATCAATTAGCTCGGGAACACCGAGCAAATCCGCGTCAGCTTCGTTTCGATTGTTTGAGTGATTACTCGAGGGCATGTAAGGTGTGTATATAACGTCATCAAAGACCTTCGGTTCTGTACCATGTGTGTACCGTCTCGATTCAAGATGTTTGAGTAGTTCGGGTTGCTTGTATGAACTAGCTGTGCAGTATGCTGTTACACCTGGGTAGGCGTTAGGTAAAGCGTCTATCATTACAAATCGACCTACGCGGTAACCTCTCTTTCTCCTTCTTTGTGAGCAATCTAGCATCTTTTCGTGGTGCACCAGCAGGAATCTTGGCTATTTGCTGATAGACTTCTGGTCTTGGGGCTACGATATCGTCGTCGTCGTCGTCATCCTCATCATCATCATCATCGTCGTCTATGAAATCAGCGTTGTCTGGCGTTCTAGTTGGCTCTTCTGGTAAGACTTTAAGTTTCTGGGATCCTTTCGAGGTACTGGAGTGGATTGTTAGTGTGATAAAAGCGGTGAAGCTCCAACGAACCGATTAGCGCGTAAGTCTTTACTCTTAGAACCTGAAAAATGCTGTGGTAAACTCAGTTTACGTGAATTTGTAGACGTCATTCTTGGTGGTAACGAAAGAAGAACTCCTTGATTTGATTAAGTCATGACGGAAGAAACTGGATTAACGAGTATTTACTTAGAGAATCAACCGCATGATTGCGTATTCAGTCCTAATAATGAAAATATCTACATTGGATTACTCACCGGGGAAATAAAAGGATTTTCCTTCAATGAAACATCTTCTCAGCGTACACTACGGGTCAGACCAACGAAGAAGAGCTGTAGGGGGATAGATATTAGCCAGGATGGCAATTGTCTCTATAGCGTCTCAAAGGATGGCTCCATTCAGTGAGTAATTGACGAAGAGAGAAGACATTATCTTACAAACTATCCAGTTTTATAGACGCTACTACAGGTCAGATAATAGAAGCAAAGGAGAAAGCGCATGAGCATTCCATTAGCAGAGTCAAACTAACAATGCCAAACTTGCTTGCTACCGGCGACGACGAGGGTGTCGTAAAAATATGGGACACACGCACTCCACAGCCTCTCAGACAGTATACACATCACTTCGACTACATTTCTGACTTCTACTATGAAGATGCAGAGAGAAAATTGTTGACGACATCTGCAGATGGTACACTCAGCGTTATCGACGTGCGTTCCAACAAAGCCGAACCAGTTGGTCATTCAGAAGACCAAGAAGATGAGCTTCTCTCTATCGCACCACTCGCAGGTACATCAAAGTATGCAGTTGGTACCCAATTGGGTGTCTTGTCCATTTTCAACAGCAAACAAGGTTGGGGTGACTGTGTAGATAGAATACCGGGTCATCCACAGTCTATAGATGCATTGGTCAGCCTCGGCCCTTCTATTCTTGCGACTGGATCATCTGATGGTCTCATACGCGTTATGGGTGTCCTGCCAACAAAGTTCATGGGTGTTATTGGCGATCACGGTGAATTTCCAATTGAAAGAATGAAGGTTTCTAGTGATTCAAAGTGGCTGGCGTCTATGTCGCACAATGATGAGCTGATGATGACACGCATTGACGATATGTTCGAAGACAGCGATGGAGAAGATGCGGCAGAGGAATACGCGGTGGATGTCACTCAAGATAAAGACAGTGATAGCGATGATGATGAGGAAATGCAATCAGAGGAACAAGAAGAGCAAGAAGAACCAGAAGAACCGGAGGAGAAGCCAGAACCGATGAAGAAGAAGAGCAAGAAGAATAAACACTTCTTAGAGGATGACAGCAATAGTACTTTCTTTGATGATTTGTAGTAAACTTGTATTCCACCTCGAAATTCTGTCTTCTCAGTGTACATCAAATAACGCGTAGAGTCAGACTTTATTAATAATTTATATACATTTCTTTACATTCTAGTTCAAGCAACTCAGTAAAGTGTTCTCATAGTAGAAGACGCGTCTTCCATTTATACTATCACCATCGATAGAATATGGCTACAAATCAAACGCAATATAACGTGAATTACGATGATGAGCAGAGTGTGTATAGTTACACATACCTCTAAACACTCTAATAACCACCTCTTAGGCAAAGTGGAGGACTTTCTCAGCAAGCATAAAGCAACAGAACGCGAGCAATCAGAAGCGACCTTGATGGCTGGAATGGAGGACGTTAACATGAACGAAGATTCTCAGGGTCCTACACCACCGTCTGGGATAAAGTACCTCGATCAACTCGTGAGTTACATTCTACGCGTGAATTAACGTGTTAAATGGCGAAATCAGCAACGTATATCAAACCGTCTACAAGAAGAACTAGTAATTGATTTGGAGGATGTAGCTGGCGTGAGTGGTGCGACTAATCGTCGTAAAATCTCACTAATCTTCTCAGTATGAAGATGGAAATGCTTTAGTTAATAGTATAGTAGGAAACACTAGAAGATACGTGGACATATTCAGCAAAGCAGTAGACAAGCTCATGCCTACACCAACAATCGATATATCGAGCAAGGATGATGTTTTAGACACGATCGCGCACCAACGTAGACAGAAACAATCAGAGAATGCAGAGGCAGGTATGCAGGGTTTCCCAGAGCAGATTATGAGGAGATACAATCTCTATTTCAAACCTAAAAAGAGCGCAAAATTGCTTGCTGTTAGAAACATCAGAGGTGCAGACGTTGGTAAGCTTGTAACCGTGAAGGGTATAGTCACTAGAGTCTCGGAAGTCAAACCATGTCTGAAATTCAATGCCTACACTTGTGACGCCTGCGGTCATGAAATATTCCAAGAAATAACCTCAAAGCAGTTCACACCAATCAGTGATTGTCTCTCCCAGGAGTGTCGAATGAACCAAACTAAAGGTTCTTTACACCAACAGACGCGTGCTTGTCGTTTCTTAGCTTTCCAAGAAGTTAAGATACAAGAAATGGCAGATCAGGTCCCAGTTGGACACATCCCACGAACAATGTCGGTGCATATGTATGGTAATCTTGCAAGGACAGTCAATCCTGGTGATGTTTGTCACATATCAGGTATTTTCCTCCCACAACCGTACACTGGATTCAGAGCAATGAGGGCAGGTTTGTTGCAAGATACTTACCTTGAAGCTCAGTATGTTCACCAATTGAAGAAGCAATATGATGAGATGGAATTAACGCCAGAAATCGAAGAAAAGATTGCAGAATTAACTCAGGATCCAAACTTATACGCCAAATTGGCAAGCTCGATTGCACCAGAGATTTACGGACACGATGATGTCAAAAAGGCTTTATTGTTATTACTCGTAGGTGGTGTAACGAAGGGTATGGGTGACGGAATGAAGATCCGTGGTGATATCAACGTCTGTCTTATGGGTGATCCTGGTGTTGCCAAGTCACAATTACTCAAGTACATTTCAAAAATTGCTCCAAGAGGTGTTTACACCACTGGTAGAGGTTCTTCAGGTGTTGGTTTGACAGCAGCCGTTATGAGAGATCCAGTCACAGACGAGATGGTCCTCGAGGGTGGTGCTCTTGTCCTCGCTGACAACGGAATCTGTTGTATTGATGAGTTTGATAAGATGGAGGAGAGTGATAGAACAGCTATTCACGAAGTTATGGAACAACAGACGATATCTATTTCTAAAGCTGGTATAACTACCACATTGAATGCCCGGACGTCAATCTTAGCAGCTGCTAACCCTCTCCTTGGCCGTTACAATCCAAAGATATCCCCAGTCGATAACATTAACTTACCAGCTGCTTTGTTGTCCAGATTCGATATTTTGTTCCTCATTCTTGACTCACCGTCTAGAGAGTCGGATGAGAGATTGGCTCAGCACGTTACTCATGTTCACATGTACAATGAGCATCCAAAGATTGACCATGACCCGGTGGAGCCATTGTTGATGAGGTGTGTATTGAGTTAATTGGTTGATTTCACCGCTGACACTATACAGACATTACATTGCACTCGCACGTCAGAAAAGACCAACTGTTCCACAGTCTGTAGCTGAATACTTAACTGGTACCTACGTTCAAATGCGTAAAGCACAGAAGGAAGACGACTCAGGATTTACTTATACCTCAGCACGTACACTCTTGGGTGTCCTCCGTCTCTCACAAGCACTCTCGAGATTGAGATTTGCGGATGTCGTCGAAGCTGCAGATGTTGATGAAGCATTGCGCTTGCTGGATGTCTCCAAAGCCTCACTCTATGAATCTAAAGACGGTAACCGTGCCGACAATGATATGACATCCACATCAAAGATCTGGAGAATAATGAGAGATCTCCGTCGCATCAATGCAGCTGGTAAAGGTGATGCAGATGAGGATGAACTCCTCGAACTCAATCTTCGCGATGTCAGGGATAGAGTTCTGGCTAAGGGATTCACAGAAGATTCTCTCATGGATACCATCAACGAATATGAGAGATTGGATATCATACAAAGGGTTGCTGGCGGTACTAAGATCAGATTCGTAGATGAACTCTAATATATTGTAAAAAAATTCACTCTAAAGTTTGTTTGTAAATATAAGTTATAAATTAATCATTTTATGAAATATCTAAGATTGTAATTTTGTATGTGATACAACTATTGCGTTCTTTGCTTGAGACGATGGCAGCTTTGTCCATCTGCCCATCCGTGGTTCTTGGCCAGTTGCAGCGACGATGACCAGCTCATCTGTTGATTTTTTACTAGTCTCTCGTTCTTCATTCGATAAGTTTATTATTCCTCTCGGTGGTTGTATTATTTGTAATGAGTTTATGAAACCCTTTGCTTCAATTTCTGTCAATTTCTCGAATGATTTGAGCTGTTTGTCTAATTTCCAGATTCTAATCCAACCGTCGTATGATCCAGAGGCGAATAAGTCTGAATATGGCAAGCTCCTGATTGAGGTTATGCTTCTAGGTTGGTTGATAATACCCTCTGTCTCAGAGTGGTGTTGGTGAATGCCGTGGGATATGTAATTAGTATATATTGCCTTCTTTTTACCAGTGTTCCATAAACTAATATTACCGGAGTCACCACCTGTAAGGAAATGCTGATCGTCTACCATTGTGCAACAATCAAGACTACCCTCTACGTAGGTTGTAGATTTCTGTGGCTGCTGCTGGCCATCAATTTCCATACCCTGAGCATCAAAATCGATTGCACCGTCCAACATATCCTTGAGCTTCGATCTACCGCCACCTCTGAAGACGAGCTGTGACTCGTCGACAACTTTCCAATAACGGGCTGTTTTGTCCCTGCACCCAACACTTAATGCTATGTCTGCGCGGAGGACAGATAAGTCGTAAATTTGATCCTGATGACCATAGAGCGTTTCTACGTATGAAGGACTATCAGGTGGATTCGAAGGGAAGGAGTAGACTTTGATAGTTCTGTCTAAACTGGCTGCAAAGAGCGCTGTTGGTGTTGACTGTCTGAACGCGAGTGCCTGTATGTGTTAGCAGAGAATACGCGAAAGAAGGTGACGCACAGATACAGCATCCTTGAAACCCGGTAGAGTAGTCACTAAAGAAAATGGGGAGGTGAGTGTGTTGTATATGTCGACCTTCTTGTTAGCTGTACCGACAGCTAGCCACTTGTAGCAAGGAGAGGTGGCCAAGCAGAGTGGATTCCTGGTTGGTAGTCTATGCTTCTGCTTAGTTGAAAAGTTGAACTGAGTGACTGTGTTATCCTTGGAAGCGTAGACAAAATAAGCTTCGTTTCGAGAGAAAGTGAGGATTGAGTGGGTGAGTGTTAGCTTTTGTTTATAAGATTTTGTCGAGAGTGTTATGTGATCAGCCAAGTATTTATTAACTTTGTTAGATTTCTCAAGCAAATCCTTATTCAAAGTGCCCTCAACGTCGTCTTCTTCGATGCTGTTGAGGTAATCCTTAGCGAGTTTTATCCGCTTATTTTGACTATCGTCGTATTCTTCTTCACTTGAACTGCTGTAGACTTCTTCTTCTTCTTTATCACTCAAACTCTCTACAGAAGACATGATGGATGAAGTTTGGGAGTGTTACAGGCGATTATTGAGGGATGAATTAGAGGAAATCAAAAATGAGATTGTTAGCAAAATTTCTGTCGAATTGGCTAGCATTTCCTTATCATTCAACTCAAAGTTGCTTCTCAGTCTTGTCACCACACAGCAGCAGAACTTCAGGTGAGCAGCTTCTTTATTAGCTACTTTCATCATCTGAAGCTACTAGAAATGGCGATCTAGCCGCTATAGTCGATACAAAGAACACAGAACTTCTTAGGGGCGTCGTATACTCAGCAGATAACAGACGCATACAAGTCTCAATCGATAAGGATGAAATTGATCTACCATCCCCTATCTACCTTGTCAAATTGCAGGATGAATCAACCTACAATAGATTGCTCCAAACGATAGACAAATACGACACTATCGATCAATCTAACCAATTGAACCCGCTAATGGAGACTATATTTGGTCTGAGGAAACCCACCTTCTTTCAAGAATCACCTAGCGAATACTTAGATAATACTCTTAATCAATCACAAAGAGATGCGGTCAATTTGGCACTCAAAGCTGACCATTTGGCCCTAATTCACGGCCCACCAGGTACCGGGAAGTCTTATACCCTTATCGAGATCATCAGACAACTTATCAACCAAGATAAGCGGATCCTCGTCTGTGGTTCATCCAATCTGGCGGTCGATAACATCCTAGAGAGGTTATCTGTTTATAATATCCCAGTCACTAGATTAGGACATCCAGCGCGTATACTAAACAACCTACAAACTCAGACACTCGAGTATCAGACTTCACATTCACACCAGAATGAGATTGTCAAAGATGTCAAAAAAGAGTTAGAAGACCTAATGAAAGATTTGAAAGACGGTAGGATCAAGGGGAAGCTAAAAAGAAAGAATGCCTGGAATGAGGTCAAAGAATTACGAAAGGAACACCGAAAGCGCTCAATAGGGGTTCTCAATAGTCTTATGACACGGGCGAAGGTTGTCTTGTGTACTCTGCATGGTGCCGGTGGTAGACAACTTCAGCATCAAAAAGAATTTGATGTTTGCGTTATAGATGAGTCCACTCAGGCTTTGGAACCAAGTTGTCTCATACCTGTCCTTAAAGCAAAGAAATTGATCCTGGTGAGTATTGTGATGAGTTGGGTGATTTCTGACTTATCCATATAGGCTGGTGATCCTTTGCAGCTTCCCCCAACTGTTTTAGCTCGTCCCGGTCAGAAGAAGAAAGAAAGGATGAAGATCATTCCAAAAGAGCCTAAAACGAAGAAAGAGAAGGAAATATCTGATAAGCTTGCTGAGGTTAACATAAGTGAACATGGAAATGCCGCCAGTAAGATATCCAGAGTGGCACCTACACAACCAACATTGAAGCCGTTAAAATCCCTCGAGGAGTCCCTTTTCGAGAGATTGATTGGAATACACGGGAACTCTATCAAGTGCCTACTTAGCGTACAGTATAGAATGCACGATATGATCATGAAATACCCCTCAGAAGCAATGTACAACAGTAAATTAACGGCATACGAAGCAGTCTCTAAGCGCACACTAATGGAACTCCCTAATGTTGTCGACAATGATACAGAAAAAGACGAAGTAGAGCTGAGCTCACCGTTGGTCTTTATAGACACAGATGGATATGACTTCTTCGAGAGAATTGACTCCGAAGAGATGAAAAAGGGCGCAGTAGAGGAAGGAAGTAAATACAATGAGAATGAAGTTGAGATCATTAAGCGGAAGGTTCAAGATTTGGTGCATGCTGGTGTTCGCGATTCTCAAATTGCTATTATCACACCATATCAAGCTCAAGTTGGGCATCTTAATAATGCTGTAAAACCCCAATTTCCTGGATGTGAAATTGGTAGTGTTGATGGTGTACAAGGGCGTGAACAAGAGGTTGTCATTATGTCACTCGTTAGATCCAATGAAACTGTGAGTAAAGTCATGTTCATAAACTTCATTAACATTACTTGAACAGGGCGAAGTCGGTTTCTTGAAGGAGGAACGTAGATTGAATGTCGCAATGACTCGTGCGAAAAGACAGCTGGTGAGTGTATTCTGTAAATACTAAAGGAGTTTTGACATGTCCCAGATTATCGTTGGTAACAGTGCAACTATCAAGCGTGGCAGTAACTATCTCAAGAAGTGAGTATATTTTGGCTTCCATATAGCCTTCATTGATATAATTCCAGATGGATGGATTTCCTAGAAAGCAATGCAGATATACAAGTACCAGAGTAGATAACTATGAATTTATTATGTATCAATGTTTAAAGATCAGTTACAACTTATATCCTCCGTATTGCTAGATTACCTCGACAGCTAGCCACTTGTGACAGGGAATGGCTTCTTGGTTGACATCTATGCTCCTGTTTAGTTAAAACGTTACCGAGTCGCTGTGTCATCCTTTAAAGTGTAGACAATGTTAACTTAATTTCGGGTAATATGGCTTGAGTGGGTGAGTGTCAGCTTTTGTTAAGACTGTAGAGAACTCTATTATCACCTAAACTTGATCAAATTTGAATATGTTGTTGGAACATACGAATCTTGGTTCTAGCTATCAGTACTATCTATACATATATATTTAAATTGGGTACTGAATTAACTCTAAGCATTTCTTGACAAATGTCGTAATATGTTTTGATAAGTCGGATTTCTTCATTTATGCCCAGTTATGCAAAGAATTTAATACATTGCACTTGTAATCGATAACGGGTTTAAAATCTTTTAATTAGCTTGTAAAGCTTGCACGTTCCTGAGCATTGGACCTAATTGGAGGCAAACGTTGATCTTGATTGTGTCTTCCTCAACGTGATTTTCAATTATTATATATCTTCTATAAAAGACACTCTATACAAGGTGTTGTCGTTAGCGTCAAACGATATTCATTTATGTGAATCACTTAGTTCGAAGCGGTATGACTTACTCGTTTGAGTTATCAACTGTATCTTTATTAACTTTCCTCAAGCAAATTTTAATTTATAGTACTTTCAATATCATGATCTTCGATTTTCTTGAGGTAACTGCGAGTCTTGTCCGCTTGTTTTGATTGTCGTCATATTCTTCTTCACTTGAATTGCTGCAGACTTCTTCCTTATCACTAAAGCTCTCTATATAAGTCAGTATGGATGAAGTTTGGGAGCGCTATAGACGATTATTGAAGAATGAACTGGAGGAGAGCAGGAAAGAGGCTATTAGCAAGATCTCTATTAAATTGACTAGCTTTTCTGTATCATTCAACTCAAAGTTGCTTCTCAGTCTTACTAGTACAGAGAAACACAGTTTCAGGTGAGCAACTTCTTTATCGGCTACGTTCATCATCTAAAAGCACTAGAAATGGTGATTTAGCCGCTATAGTGAATAAAAAGAATACACAACTTCTTAGAGGTTCAGTATACTCAGCGGATGATAAACGCATACTAATCTCAATCGAAAAGAATGAAATTGATCTACCATCACCTATATACCTCACTCAATTACGTGATGAATCAACTTACACGAAATTGCTCGAAATGATAGACAAATACGAATATTTAGAACGATCTGACGACTTATCCCTCCTAATGAAGACTATATTTGGTCTGAGGAAGCCCACATTCTCTCAAAGAGCACCTAGTGAATACTTCGATAGTACTCTTAATCAATCACAAAGACATGCGGTCAATTTGGCACTCAAAGCTGACCATTTGGCCCTAATTCACGGTCCACCAGGTACCGGGAAGTCATATACCCTTATAGAAATCATTAGGCAATTCATCAGCCAAGATAAACGAATCCTCGTCTGTGGTTCATCCAATTTGGCGATCGATAACATCCTAGAGAGGTTATCTGTCTATAACATTCCAGCCACTAGAATTGGCAATCCAGCACGTATACTTAGCAACCTCCAAACTCAGACACTTGAGTATCAGACTTTACAATCAGAGGAGAATGTGATCATGAAAGGTGTCAAATTGGAGTTAGAAGATTTGATGAAGGAATTAAAAGAAGGGAATATCACGGGGACGCTAGAACGAAAGAAAGCCATGAATGAGGTCAAAGAATTGCGAAAGGAGCACAGTAAGCGCTCAATGGCGGTTCTCAACCGTCTTATGAAACGCGCAAAGATTGTCTTGTGTACCCTTCATGGAGCAGGTGGTAAACAACTTGAGAATCAGAAAAAGTTCGATGTTTGCATTATAGACGAGTCCACTCAGGCGCTAGAACCAAGTTGTCTAATACCCATTCTTAAAGCAAAGAAATTGATATTGGTGGGTATTTCGATGTGTTGTCTGCATTTATGACTCATTTATATAGGCTGGTGATCCTTTACAGCTTCCGCCAACTGTTTTAGCACGTCCTGCACAGAAAGTTGAAGGGAAAACGAAGGAAGAAAAGAAGACGACCATCTGGAAAGAACAAGATATAAAGGAAGTGGAGGAGATAACTGATAAGCTCGCTGAGCTTAAAATAAGCGAGGAAGGAAATGCTACAGATAGGGAATTCAAACAGGCATCTACGCGAGCAACTTTGAAGCCTCTAGAATCCCTCGAGGCATCCCTTTTCGAGAGATTGATTGATATACACGGGAATTCAATCAGGTGTCTTCTCAGTGTTCAATATAGAATGCATAATATGATCATGAAATTCCCCTCAGAAACAATGTATAACAGTGAATTAACTGCATGTGAAGCCGTCTCTAAGCGCACACTCATGGAACTCCCTAATGTCGTCAACAGTAATACAAATAAAGATTCAGTCCAGCTGAGCTCACCGTTGGTCTTTATAGATACAGATGGACACGGATGCAAAGAGAGTATTGACTTTAAAAGGCTGAAAAAAGGCGCACTACAGAGAGGAAGCAAATATAATGAGAAGGAAATCGAAATCATTAAGAGGAAGGTCCAAGATCTGGTACACGTTGGTGTTCGCGATTCTCAAATTGCTATTATCACGCCCTATCAAGCTCAAGTAGTACGTCTCGGTAATGCTATAAAGTCTCAATTCCCTGGATGTGAGATTGGCAGTATTGATGGTGTACAAGGACGTGAACAAGAGGTAGTCATTTTGTCCCTTGTTAGATCCAACTATACTGTGAGTGAGGTCATGATCGTTAACTCTATTAACATCACTCAAACAGGGGCAGGTCGGTTTCCTGAAGGAGGGGCGTAGACTGAATGTCGCAATGACCCGCGCGAGAAGACAGCTGGTGAGTGTGCACTGTGAATGTGATAATAGCGTTAACATAACTCAGATTGTTGTTGGCGATAGCGCAACTATTAAGCGTGGTAACAGCTACCTCAAGAAGTGAGTATTCAGACTTCCATATAGCCTTTGCTGATGTGATTCCAGATGGATGCATTTTCTGAAAAGCAACGCAGACTTACAAATACCAGAGTAGATAATTATTAATTTATTATGTATCAATTGTTTAAAACTTTTTATCCAGTTTAACATCAAATGCTTTTTCTAACAATGCTTAAAGAATCGATTCAAGTGCTTTAGCTGATAATTCAACGCCGAGCTGAGTTTATTGTTAGTGAAATTCAGAGAGTAAATGCTTAACTCACGAAAGTAGCTGCATTAGCTGGGAATGCTCTGGCCATAGCCGGTCCAAAACCTTTAAAGAGTGCAGTTGCACCATCAGCCTTGACAGTCTTCAGGGCGCAATCGAAGAAACCTTTGTACATGCCCTCCGGTGCGGATTGTATACGTGACTTGATGACGTCAGGGGGAATAGCGAACGACCACATAGCGACACCGGCGAGACCGCCTGCTGTGAGGACAGCGCCGAGGTTAAGATCCTTAGCGTCCTTTGGTGTGAGCATTTTCTTAATTTGTTCATAACTGACGAAATAAGCGGCGGATCCGGGACCGTCACGTGCGAGTGTAGCACCCGTACCTCTGTAGACACTCTTGAGACCGGCTTCTTTGTATATTCTACCAAGGATGGTGCCCATACCGGCCTTCTTTGATTCCGTCTGCTGGATGACTTTTACACGTTCAACTGGGGCAGTGACAAGTGTTGTTGGTACAGCACTGAAGAAACCGGCAAATGCGAGTTCACCGGTTGTCAAAGTAGAACCCCTCTCCTTGTTACTAGCTTCAGATCGACTACCAAAGACGATTTTCTTTCCTAAATCGTAAGACCAGAAACTGAGTGCGAAAATCGGGGTGACACCAACCAAAGGAGGTAAAACACCCTTGTAGAGACCTCTGGGACCATCCCTAGCAATTGATTGCTTGACTACATCTATTGCACCCTTGTATTGTCCTGGTGCAGCTGTCTGAAGTCGCACTTTCGTGAGGTCGAATGGGTGTCCAACTAGAACAGCCATTGAGCCACCGAATCCACCAGAAAGGAAACTCTTTATTGAAGACTTCGTTGCTGCCTTAGCGTCTTTTATTTCTTCTGCCATTGTGATGGTTTAAGTTCAAAAGAAGAGCATGTTATTTACTCGCTTTCCGGATCTGTCCGATTTGGAATCACAATGGCAGTGGAATGATTGCGAAGGGTGTCTTAATAGCTTTCTGCATCCCCCTTACTAGTTGGTTATATAGTGCGTTATACCAAAGACAATCACGAGAGAAGAAGTCATCTGAGAATGTGAGAAGCTCTTTTATCTATATAATAACTTATTGAGGTTATTTACCGGGTATTTCTATATAATTTACATCCGCTAGATTAAAACTACGCTCGCTAACATTTTGTCCTCACTATTCTCGCTTAGGACAATTCTCTCCTGATTGAATGTCAAGAGAGTGGGAATATCCAAGAAGCCGTCGTTTGGCGAGACTGTCTGTATCACAGGGCCGCATTAGTGCCATCATATGAGCACCCGAGTGGGCTGTCCTAGAGTGTATATACTGTGGTCTCTATGGTATAGCTTACATAATGTATATGGCACACATTAGCTTGCCAGCGTGTGCAAATATCACGTCCTATTAGGTCAAATTTTGCATATTCTCCGGAGTCCCGTCATCTTATCATATACAAATTTCTTCCTTTGTCTTGAACGTTGATAAATAGAAAATGCTGAAAACACTAGCGAAGCGAGGGACACTCAGCCTTCTAGGGAGTAGAACAGTGGCTGTACTACCACGTAGAGCTCGTAGTTTGGCTACTGTCGCTGTCGGCGACTCACCTTCAACGTCCCCAAACAGCATTTTCGCACCTCTCGATACATTCACAAGACGCCATGTTGGACCCAGGAGTGCGGATATCGACGCTATGCTCGCTAGCGTCGGCTACGACAGCCTTGAAGCATTTGTCGCCGACGCCGTGCCTAGCAACATTCGCATAGAAGAAACTATCAACGATGAAGCTATCCCGCCTTTGTCTGAATCTGAGTTGTTAGCCAGAGCGAAGGAATTGGGTAGCCAGAATAAACTATTCAAATCCTGGATTGGTATGGGTTATCATGTAGGTTTCACTTTTTCTTATTGAGATACACTCTAATGTGTGTAGAATGCCGTTACACCCCCAGTTATACTTAGAAATATCACTGAAAACCCTGCCTGGTATACTAGCTACACACCTTATCAGCCAGAAATATCGCAGGGAAGGTTAGAATCTCTTCTCAATTACCAGACAATGGTTTCATCCCTCACTGGTATGGACATAGCAAATGCTTCTCTTTTAGATGAGGTACGCCATTTTTTAGACGACGTCATTCTCTCTCTAACCTTGTTTAGGCAACTGCAGCAGCCGAGGGTATGGTGTTGGCATTTGGAAATGCAAAGGGAAGCAAGCGCACTTTTGTGGTCGATAATGGTGTTCTCCCTCAAACCCTTGCTGTTTTGCACACTCGCGCTAAGGGTCTCAATATAAATGTTGTCAAGGGCGACGTCAAACAGTTATTAGAAAATAATGAAATCCGAGATGACCTTGTTGGTGCGCTCTTCCAATATGTGAGATCAACTCTTTTAGTAGTAAATGTAGCTTACAAATGTCCAGCCTAACATTGACGGTGCAATTGAGAACTATTCATCGTTAGTTGATGACATCCATAGTCTCAAAGGATTGGTCGTCTGTGCTACAGATCTGCTAGCTCTCACTATGCTTAAGCCTCCTGGTGAATTTGGCGCGGACATTTGTGTTGGTAATTCCGCAAGATTTGGTGTTCCATTAGGTTACGTGAGTCCCAAATTCTTTATGAAGACCTCATTTAATAGAAATAGGGTGGTCCACATGCTGCGTTCTTTGCTTGTTCAGATGCCCTCAAGCGTAAAATGCCAGGTAGATTGATTGGTGTTTCAAAAGATTCAGATGGGAAGATAGCCTACAGATTGGCTTTGCAAACGAGAGAGCAACATATTAGGCGTGACAAGGCTACCTCTAACATTTGTACCGCTCAAGCCTTGTTGGCAAATATGGCAGCCATGTATGCCGTCTATCATGGTCCTCAAGGTTTACGTCAAATCGCTGCGAAAGTACACGCCCTCACTCGCGTCCTCAAAGCTGGTATCGAAAGAGAGGGCTACGTTGTCAAGAATAAAGACAGCTTCTTCGATACTCTCACAATAGAGGTTGCCTCAGCTGAGGCCACCCATGCATCTGCATTAGCCAATGGTGTCAACTTGAGACGTATTGATGAGCACACCCTGGGTGTAACTCTAGATGAGAGCGCTACAGAAAGGGATATACTCACTCTCATGGAGATCTTCTCCCAATCGAGAGCCCAAAGAGGATTAGAAGCCTCACAGGCCGCCAAAGATCTCACTAGACCCCAAGTACTAGAGGAGATTGCTCTTAATATGAACCTTAATAGAGATACACTTCCTACACTAGAGATCGTCTCGGAGAAAGAGCTGCAAAGGACTAGTAAGTATCTCCAACATGATACATTCAACAAGCACCAATCAGAGACTGAGTTACTGAGATACATCTACCACCTTCAAAACAAAGATCTCTCACTGGTCCATAATATGATCCCTCTTGGTAGCTGCACGATGAAGTTGAATTCTACCAGCTCAATGATTCCATTTACCCAACCTGAATGGGCGAATGTACATCCATTTGTACCAATTGATCAGGCGCAGGGATACAGCAAAATGATCAGAGAACTTGAGGATGACTTGGCTGCTATTACAGGCTTTAGTGCTACTTCATTACAACCAAATAGTGGTGCACAGGGTGAATTTGCTGGCCTTTCAGTTATTAAAGCATACCATGAAAGCCGAGGTGATGGAGAAAAAAGAAACATTTGTTTAATTCCAATTTCTGCGCATGGTACAAACCCAGCATCGGCTGTTTTGGCAGGTATGAAGGTTGTCCCAATCAAGACACTCAAAGATGGTAGATTAGATTTGGAAGATCTCAATGCTAAGGCTGTACAACATAGGGACAATTTGGCAGCTTTCATGGTCACTTACCCATCCACATTCGGTGTATTCGAAGAGGGCGTGCAAGACGCTTGCAAGATTGTCCACGATAATGGTGGACAAGTTTACCTCGATGGTGCAAACCTCAATGCGCAAGTTGGATTAACGAATCCAGCTACTTGCGGTGGTGACGTTTGTCATTTGAATTTACACAAAACATTTTCAATTCCACATGGTGGAGGTGGTCCAGGAGTAGGACCAATTTGTGTGGCCGAGCATCTTGTCAATTTCCTCCCTGGACACCCTCTGTCTCCTCACGGAACATCTTCATCACTGACTCCAATAAGCGCAGCTCCGCAGGGCAGTGCGTCTATATTGACGATTAGTTGGGCATACATCAAGATGCTTGGTGGTAAGGGACTCACAGATTCATCCATGCTTGCGCTCCTCAATGCAAACTACATCAAGAGCCGTCTTGAGAAGCATTTCAATGTACGTTTCGTGAACTCCAAGGACAAAGTAGCACATGAGTTGCTACTCGATTTGGCTAATTTCGAAGAAGTTGGTTTGAAAGTCATGGATTTCGCAAAACGTTTACAAGATTTCGGGGTACACCCACCTACTTGCTCATGGCCAATTACTTCAGCCATGTTGATTGAGCCTACTGAATCGGAAAACAAGGAGACTTTGGATAGGTTCATTGATGCACTTATACACATTAAGGGCGAAGCGGATGATATTGCTTCAGGTAAAGCAGATCGCAATAATAATGTAATTAAGAACGCACCCCATAGTCAGGCATCAGTCGCTTGGTCAGATGAGAAGTGGAATGCTAGCCGTCCATATTCTCGCCAAGAGGCTGTATACCCACTTCCATATCTCTATGAGAGTAAGTTCTGGCCAGCTGTTGGCAGAGTTGATGACGGTGAGTAACAAACGCTAGACTATGAGATTTTCTGACTTGTTTTAGCATACGGTGATAGGAATCTCACCTGTAGTTGTCCATCAGTGGAGGAAATGGCTGAGTAGAGTGCTTGTTGCACCACCTATTGTGCTTTTAACACAGTACAATGTTTAAACCTCAACGGTTTTCTTATTTTCTTTTTTTAGGTATTATTAGATAACGACATATTACAATTTCTCATTTGAGCTAACGAAAAATCGCATGTCATAGCATTCAACTGTATTTTAGAGTTATTTCAACAATATATGTGCATTTATTATTACATTTGTAAAAATTACATCTCCGCTTGAATAGTTAATTTCAGAGTTTGACTTTCTTGGTTTGAGATTGTTCACGCTCCGCTAGGCGCCTCTTGCGCTCTTCGTTGGTGATCATGAGTGATTCCATTGCAGTTTTCGGTTTGCTTGGCTGCTGAGAGGATGTATCTGGTATACTAGGCTTAGGTTTAGAACTGGCTGCACTCTTGAAAACGTTTGCTGGCTTTGGAGGAGCAGCTGAGGTGGGTTTGAGCTGAATTTTCGGTGCGCTGCTTTCGCCTGTTTTGTTGGTGTTCAGGGATAGCTTGATTGGACCATTTTGTTTGTCTAGAATGCTAGCTTTTTGTTCTTTCTGCTCTGAAGCGTCACCTTGTTCTTTTGCTTTTTCGATTTGTTCAGCGATTAATTTACGCTCGCGCTGTTCATCGTCCATGTGCTGTCTCTCTTTCTTTTGTATGGCCTCCTGACGTGCTAAAGCCTGAGGTGAGTTGTCTATCCAACTAACGTATAAACCTCTCTCAGTTTCATCTACTCTGACGATACCCGCTCTACCGAGGTACTTCGTGAATTCTGTGAGCGTGACCCAACGTGTGGCGTTCATGTGTAAGTGATGCTTATCAGCGATGTATTCTTGATAGACGGTGTTTACAGATACACGGTTTGTACCATGCCTATTGATTATTAGAGGGAGTATGATTTCAATAACAAACTGACCTTCTTGATAACAAAATGACGAACTCTCTTTGAAATTGTTGTGAAGCGTCTGAAATGTACTTGCCAGCGTTCTCACCGACGTGTAACATCGCTCTTAAGTGGCTCTCAGATTGTGTGTGGCACTTGTAGCCATTCTCGTCTCTACATTGCTTCTCACAAACTTGACAATACCAGCGAAGTCTACCCAAACCTATAGAGATGTTAGATGGGGTGAAAATATAAAATAATAATAATACCCTTCGCTTTCATAGCATTAGCTACAGCTTTTGAAGATCCAGCTTCTGCTTTTGGCATTTTATAGTGATAGTATCTCTTCAAGAGTGACGACGAGGAGATGACTGCTAATAAATTTAAAAAACCGAATAAAAAGGATAAAAAGCAGTCAAATAAACCTTCTAATTTAGATAACAATACATTTAAGCAAGAAATTCTCGCTCTTGGTGGAGATGACGATGATTTTAAGCTTTTAAACGGCGTAGAAAGTGACGAGGAAGCCACTTTTGATAACGTAGACAACAACGATCCTAATTTACTCAAGGATTTGAAGGATCTCTACAAATCTCTCGATTTCAACTCTGTACAACCAGTCGAACGAGAAGAAGATGAAGAGCAGGATGAGAATGATGAGGAGAGTGCAGCCAGTGAAGGGGAAAATGCAAACGGAAGCGTCGATGGAAATGATAGCGAAATCGCGAACGAAGAAGACAGTGAAGAAGAAGACGAAGAAGACGACGAAGAGGATAGAGAAGAAGACGCAAATGATATAGACCCACTCAGTGAGATTGATCCAGAAGGACCATTTGCTCAAATACCACAGTGGTTCCTCCAGCCGCTACCAGAACTCAAAAAGTCAAAACCAAATCCAAATAGCCAATCTTCAACTGATGGAAGAATTCAACACGCTAATAAACTGTTAGAGGACCTTCCAAAGAGTGCGCAATCTAGCTCAGCTGTTTCTTCGTCAGATAAAAAATTCTTGGACCAAATGTTGAAATCTGGTACACTCAACGATAGAGTATCCGCATTGGCCTTGTTGATTGCTGAGTCACCCATACATGCGATATCCAGTTTGGAGGCTCTCAAGAATATGGCTTCAAAACCTAAGCGTGAGGAGGCACTTAGAGCTATGAAGGCACTTGTTGATTGGTTGGCTGGTCCACACGGTTTGCCTGCAAATAGAAAATTGATCTACATTGCTGATCAGCCTAATTTGACACATCCAGGTGTTAAGGATAAACATCTTACCTTCTGGGCATTCGAAAATTGGCTCAAGGCGTACTTCTTTGAGGTGTTGCAATTACTTGAGGTATGTTTATCTTATTGGATGTGTGATTATTTAACAATGGATGCAGTCATTCACCCATGATACTCTTACTTTCGTTAAACAGCAAGCCATTATGCTCATCTTCCAACTCCTCAAGGACAAACCGGAACAAGAACACAACCTGCTTAGATTGTTGATCAACAAATTAGTGAGTGGATTCAAGTCTAAGTATTTTGATTAACTTTTCTCTTCTAGGGTGATCCATCACGTCAAGTTGCTTCAAAAGCATCAAATCAACTTCTTGTTATTCTTCAAGCACACCCTGCGATGAAAGGCATCATCAGTCGTGAAGTTGGTGACCTTATCTTCCGTCCACATATTTCAGAATCTGCCAAATACTACGCGATTATTACACTTAATCAGATCATGTTCACAAAAGCTGACACTGGTGTCGCAAACAAGTTAATCGAAATTTACTTTAACTGTTTCAAGGACTTCCTCAGAGAAGAAGAAGCATACGTTAAAAAGACAAAAGAAGATGCGAAGAATGCGAAAAAGAACAAAAAGCAACATGGCAAAAATGATAAGAAGGACAAGAAAGGCAAAAAAGAAGAAGCAGAGGAGGATCCAGAGATGATCGAAGAGAAGAAATCGAAGATGATTGCAGGTATCCTCGCAGGTATTCATCGTGCTATGCCATATGCGAACATCGAGGAGAAGATGTGAGTTTTGATAGTCATGCTTGTTACTTTCACTTACAAACGATAGCTTCGACAATTACATGGACACCTTGTTTAGAATAACCCACACTGGTACTTTCAATATTGCAATCCAAGCCTTACAATTGATCAATCAGGTAACCATCATAAAAGAAACAATATCCGATCGCTTTTATCGTACACTCTACGAATCTCTCCTCGATCAAAGATTGAGTACATCATCAAAGCAATCTATGTATCTTAACTTGCTGTTCTCAGCTGTAAAGAGAGACCCATCTAATGCCAGAGTTGCAGCATTCGTCAAGCGTATTTTGCAAATGTTACTTGGTCAATCACCTTCATTCATTTGTGGTGCATTCTATCACTTGAATGGCTTATTGTCTAGCCACCCATCATTGAGAGCAATGTTGGATGATGGCGAAGAGAATGATGCTGGTGGAGTAGCATCTACATCTTACGATAAATTCAAACGCGATCCACAATACAGTAATGCTCAGCATAGCTGCCTATGGGAGTTGTTACCATTTACAAACCACTATCACCCTTCTGTTGCGATCCAAGCGAAACAGATCCTTAACGGCGAAGTAGTGAGGACATCCGCAGACTTGAATCTTAACACATTGATGCACTTCTTGGATAGATTCGTATACAAGAATCCAAAGAAGGATATCAAACCAAAGGGTGCCTCCCTCATGCAACCTATTGCTGCTTCTGATAGATCACAAACAGTTGCTAATGTTAAGGGTGCAACTCGTGAATTGATGGTCAATAGTAGCGAGTTTATGAAGAAGAAAGAGGAGAATGTCGCACCTGATATGCTTTTCTTCCATAAATTCTTTAACCAACGCAACAAACGTCTCGAAGAGAAAGCAGCCAAGAGAGATAAGCGTAAGAAGGGATCAGATGATGAGGATGAGGAAAGTGCCGATGATGAGCCTGACCAAGGTGAAGATGTCGATCTTGATAAAGATGATGATGATGATGATGATGTCGCTGAGGATGGTTCTGAGATGGATGAAGATGAAGTTTGGAAGGTACGTTAGAGTGTTTGTTTGCCTTTTATTATTCTAACAGAGTCACAGGCTATGCAAGCTTCTATGCCAGGACAAGAAGATGATGATATCGAAGAGAGCGACGAAGACGACGTCGATCCTGCCTTGATGGATGACAGTGAGGAGGAAGCTGAAGGAGAAGGAGAACCTGAACCTACCGCTGACGATGAAGAGGAGGAAGAAGAAGACGATGACGATGACGACGAAGGCGGCCTTGAAGGATTAGTCGACGACGAAGATGACTTGTTATCGGTCGACGAAATGGAATCAGAAGCTGGGGAGGAAAGCGAGGCTGAAGAGGAAGAAAGCCTCGGTAAACGCAAGCGTGACGACAAAGACGCAAAGAAGGCAGCTAAGAAAGCCAAGAAGGCCTTACCTACGTTCGCTAGCGCTGACGATTATGCTCATTTGTTATCAGATTAATTTTTATAGATTTATTTATTTTGTTATTTCGTTATTTCCGAAGTGACGTTGTGACGTTCTTTCTTCGATACGATGATGAACATACCACCACCACCGCTGCCAGAAGGCTGGACAGAGCATAAAGGTGGGTATTTATCCTTAGTATAATGTATTTCCTAACAGCAGTCCAGCTCCCTCTGGAGTGCCATACTATTACAATGCCAGTCTAAAGAAATCGACCTATACGAGACCGTTACCAGCACCAGAAGTAAACGTGCAGGCTGCACCACCACCACCTGCCCCCCTACAAGAAACTCCGCCTGTACAAACTCAGGGGAAGAAGACCAAGAAGGAGAAACCATCGAAGAAGACACCAATTGAGGGTACAGCTTGGATGAGGATAACAACCAACTTCGGGAATGTTTTCTATACCAACAAAGACCGTAAAGAGAGTGTATGGGAAGTACCTAGAGAAATCGAAGACCAAGTTCGACAATTAGAAGAAGAAGAGAACAGCGATCCGAGGGATAAGAAACGAAAACGCGTTCCTCAAACTGATCCTGGTGATTCTGGTTGGATAGACGTTGAACCAGCAAAAAAGGCCAAGGAAGAAGACGATGACGCAGACTACGCAGCGGCAGCCAGAGCAGCTATGGAAGAGGAGAGACAACACAGCAAGAATATAATGCTAGCAGAGCAAGCTGAACAGCGAGAAGCAGAAGAAGAGCGCAGGAGGGCATACGAGGAGAAGAAAGCGGCTGAAGCAGAGGCAAATTACGACCATGAGGAGGCCAAAGCACTATTTAAGAGCATGCTAATGGAGTATGACATCAATCCTCTTATTCCTTGGGATATGGCCCTCCCTACCTTCGTCAATGATAGCAGATACACCAGTCTCAGAAATACTGAAGATAGACAGGATACCTTTGATGAATACTGCCGAGAAAAGTCGATGATGGCAAAGAAGAATGCTGTCACCGTCGATCCTGTGATCACCTACAGGGAACTCCTCAGAACGGAAGTCACTAGTACTCGTACGCGTTTCGAGGATTTCAAGAGAGATTTCAAAAAGGATAGACGCTTCTTTGGATATGGACGCGATGATAAAGAGCGCGAAAAGGTCTTCAAATCTTGGTTGAGAGAGCTTGGTGAAGCCAAACGCAAGGAGGCACAGAAAGCGGAAGAGGCTTTCAAGAAGCTTCTTAGAGACACATCTGAGATAACTACAGAAACGGATTACAAAGAGGTATGCTTTCTGATAATTGAAACACGATCTAACGAAAACATAAGATCAAACCACTATTATCTTCGCATTCTGCGTACAGAAAATTACAATCGGGATCAACCAAGGAAGCACTATTCAATGCGTACAAGAGGGAGCTTGCTGGGGAGCAACCTGAGTCTTCAACGCCGAAGGAGGAACCCCAACCCGTCAAAGAGGAGCCACCAAAGAAGCTCGATAAGGCTGCTCGTGCTGAAGCTTCCATCAAAGCCCGCGAAGAGAAATACAGAAAAGAAAGGGAGAAGATTGATAAGCAAGCCCAAGCATCCAAATCTGCTCTCGTTGGTGATGAATCCGAACGCGAGTATCGTACTCTCTTGATAGACGCAGTGAGATCTCACAGGGTAAGTGATGTTGATGATGATTACGAAAATAATGGCTAACATCTCGTAGACCAGATGGAGAGATGTCGAACATGAGCTTGCAAAAGACAGGCGCTTCAATGTTAATATCAGTGATAGAAGGAAGAGGGATTTGTTTGAAGAACACGTCGACAGTGTCTATAATAAGCGCCTCAAAGGTGTAAGAGATCTTTTTGAGAAAGAGTTTAAGAGTCTAGATGACAAATTCGAGGATGTTTACGATAAGATAAAGGACGAGTTGCCTATCAAAGTCTTTGACGCATCTGAAAAGGAACTCTGGAGAGTGTACGAAGATTGGCAAGGTGACAAGTTCAAACAAGCTATTAAAGAATTCAAAGAACTTCTCAATGAATCGTCTTTCGTTGGTTACTGGGGTAGGGTGAAGAAAGGCGAGGAAGGTCAAACAAAGGATGCAGAAATGGTCTTTAAAGAGGATGAAGAAGAGGCTGAGGAAGAGAATGATGAAGGTGTTTTTGGTGGTGGTAACAAAGATATCAAAAAGCTTGCTCAACAGGTTAATATTGAAGAAATCGAGAAAGTTTTATCTAATGATCGTCGGTTTAGAATACTAGAAGGCTATCCTAAGAGGAGGAATATAATAATTGAACATTTACAGACTATAGATAATAATATGAGTATTTTAAAGTAAATTTCGCTTGTATAACTTTTTATACATCATCCACGATGAAGTTGAATCAGAGAAGACAGGCGGATGACAAAAATCTAACAGAATTGAAAGCCTTACAAGGGGAATTAAATGAGAAAACTAACATTTTCAATGAATTACCAATTTCTAATCAATCAAAGAAAGGATTGAAAGCCAATGGTTTCGTTAAAATGACTGAAATACAGTCTGCTACTACGCATTTAGCACTCAAGGGTAAAGACCTCGTCGGTTCTGCTAGAACTGGCTCTGGTAAGACTCTCAGTTATCTTGTACCAATGCTAGAGTCCTTATACAAGGATAAGTGGTCGAATACGGATGGATTAGGTGCATTGGTTGTGGCACCAACGAGAGAGTTAGCACTTCAGATATTTAAAGTCTTACATTCTATTGGTAATCACCACTCATTCTCAGCGGGATTGCTCATCGGTGGTAAAAATGTACAACAAGAGAAGACGAGGTTGAATAGAATGAATATTTTAATAGCCACACCTGGTAGATTACTACAACATATGGATGAAACTTATGGTTTCAACGCCGATAATCTTAAACTACTTATTCTCGATGAAGCTGATAGAATATTAGATTTGGGTTTCCAGAAAACCATCCAAGCGATACTCGAACAGTTGCCACCAACACACACTAGACAGAACTTATTATTCTCAGCTACGATATCACCATCTGTGGCGTCATTAGCGAAGCTTAGTTTGAACAACCCTTCGTATGTTCAAATTGGAGGTGATAATGGTGAGGATCCAACACCAAAGAATCTCGCACAGTTCTATTCAGTCATACCCTTAGATAGGAAATTGGACGTCCTATTTGGTTTCATAAAGACGCATTTGAAGAATAAGGTACTTGTTTTCGCCAGCTCTTGCAAGCAGGTTAGACACATCTACGAGACATTCAGTCACCTTCGACCGGGAACTAGTTTAATGCACCTTCATGGAAAACTCAAGCAAACCAAGCGTAATGCAACATTGACAAAATTTAGTCAAGCATCACATGCAGTTTTGTTCGCTACAGATATCGCTGCTCGAGGTCTTGATATTCCTGCGGTTGATTGGGTAGTTCAATTAGATATACCCGAAGATGCAGACACATACATTCATAGAGTTGGTAGAACGGCGAGGTATAACAGCAAAGGAAGCTCACTCATGCTTGTTGAGCCATCCGAACGCGAAGGAATACTCAACAACTTGAAAATAAAACACATTGAACCGAAGTTGTTAAAGATTAAGGAGAAATTGATGCAGCCAATCTCAAATGCACTTCAAGCACATGCTTTCCAAGATACAGAGATTAAATATCTCGCTCAGAAGGCTTTCGTTAGTTACATCCGTTCGGTATATCTTCAAAAAGATAAAGAAACATTCAACGTTGCTAAATTACCTGTTGAAAAGTATGCATCAAGTTTGGGTTTGCCTGGTGTACCGAAAGTTAAATTCATGGCTGCAGAGAAAGCAAAAGCAAGGAAGAATGAAAAGAACGCCAAGAAAGAGGAATCAAGTGAAGCTGAAGATGGATCCGATTCGGAAGATAATTCATCTGATCCTGAGACATCAAATGTGAGTGAGCATACGCTATCGATGCTTTATTACTAATTATTCACTAAAGAATCAACAATCGAAACCAGGCGTTAGAACTAAATATGATAGACTCTTCGAACGTAAAAATCAAGGACAGTTGTCCGAGCATTACAACGCTCTCATTGATAGAAATGATGGTTCAGATGAGGATGACTTTATCACCTTAAAGAGACGTGATCATGATCTTGAAGGTGATGGAAGCGATCTTGAGGACGCAGCTGGTAACCTCTCAAAACGCAAACTCAAGGCGGGTCAATCAAAGAAAGCGGTAGCTGGTAAAAGTGAACCTGGACATAAACTTCGCTTTGACGATGACGGTCAAGCTCACGAAATCTATGAGTTACAAAAGGGCGAGGATGTTGACGTTGAAGAGGAGAAGAAGAAGTTTATCGAGGAACAGAATGAAAAACTCAAGCAAGCTGATATTGAGAATAAGAGACAAGCAAAGGAGAAGCGTGATGAGAAGAAACGTAAGAGAAGAGAAAGAGAAAGAGATGATTATGATGATGAGGACGATGAAGGAGCAGGAGAAGCTGTCATCGGAGGTGATGACCTTGATGATGGCTATGTATCACCTGAATTTGATTTACCACCAAGCGGAAGCGAGGACGAGAGCGAAAGTGAAAGTGAAAGTGAGGAACCATCTCATAAGAAAGTAAAGAGGAATTTACAACAAGAGGAAGACTATGCTTTATCATTATTAAGAGGTTAGAATGTTTTTATAGATATTTATTATTATTATTACTACTATTATTATTGTTGCTGTCTTGTTAGCTGGCCAACCAAATCTGAGACAGATATCGTATCACCAACGGCTTCTTCGAGCATGGATTCACTAAATCCAGGGCATTGAACAGACATTGAGTTACTAATTGTTTGTTTGACGTTGACACTCAGTGCTTTAATGTCGACGTGCAAATCGTAGTCTATATCTATAGGTGGATTCTCCCCTTGGCTAACCAAACCGCAGCTGTTGAGTAACCCGCTGAGAACAGTTTTGTCAGGGTCAACGTTTGCTTGATAGACGATATGGAATGGGTATCTGAAATCGGTTGTATTTTCACCGTCGATGTCTATATCTTCAACTCTGCCATAACCGATTGGAATACCTGTACCGCCGTAGAAAAGCTGTGCATTAAGAGAGTTAAATGTTGCACCGAAAGTGTTTGGATTGTCTACTACTATCTCGAGATCAAAATTTATATTTAAGGCGTTGTTTACTGCAGATACTGTGCTACCGTTTTCGGGTTCTCGTACACCGACGAACGTGATATTAGGTGGTTTGACGTATAAAACGATAGTTGCTAATACACCGACTTAGGTTGACTGTTAGTCGTTTGCTGCGTGACCGTAGGCGTAACTCACTAACGATAGATATACCAAGGATGAGAACACAGAATATCCACCTGAATATAGAGCCTATTATGCCACCTCTGCGGCTTGCAGCGCCTCTCTCTCTCTTCCTATATGCTGGATTTTGTTAGAGGGGATGGGATTGCTGTGTAGAAGAATAAACAAACATTTAACGTTCGATGGCTTGTAGTCTGTCATACCAAAAGATTGCTCAGGCTGGCTGTAGACGTAGTTCCCTTTTAGGACTCAGTTGAGCGTTCTATGAAGAGATAGCTAGTAATGCCTTACTCATTTTCTTACACCCTTCGTCGTTCTTAATCAAGAGGTGTAGCTGCTGATAAAATTAAGATAAATAGTAAGCCGTTTATACTGTCTATTAGTATTATTATGCGGACGTATCTTCTATCTAGACTTCTTCCGAGATCTTGAGATGTAAGTTTCTAGTGATAACTGTGTGCTTGAATGTGTTTATATGAAATATACTACACACTAGATGGTCGTCTGTCTATCTCTAAGATTAAGGCAGAATAAGTAGCAAAGAAACCCAGATAGTCTATATAATGAAACTACGCGTGTCTATAGATTATGCATTTAGTTTATATTCTATTGATTTAATTATAATTTAAATATACACCCTATTTCTCTTTTATCTACAACGACGGTGAGATCTCTGAGATGGATGAATCAATAAATCTAGAGATAAACAACAACAATGATAATTTACTAGATATGACTTTTAATAATGAACTACAGAACAATCTACTAGACTCTCCTTCAATATCCACGCGATCTCCAAAGAGAGAGAAAAGGAGAATTGATAAGTCGATATCCCGGCCATTGAACAGACCAGAAGTCTTTAATAACCAATCAAACGTTGACAAAGTACTCGATAGCGCTATCCTTAGAAATACCAACGAGAATTATCAAAGACTAGAACAAGAACAACAAAGGTTAAACGAAATCGCGTTCGAGAAATCAAAACAGGCGAGAATAGAGCAGGAGAAGTTCAAACAGGAGCGTCTCAACGCCGCTAAAAAGCGGGAAGAAGCACGCTTACTCAGGGAGGAGGCTGCTCGTCAGGAAGCTCAACGAGTAGAGGATGAAAGGAGAGCGAGGGACCAACACGAACGCGAACTCGCAGCAAAGAGACGCCGAGAGACCCTAAAGAGAAGAGAAACCGAGCGCCTATCTAGAGAGAAAATTGAGGCTGAACTCAAGTTGACAAAGGAAAGAGAAGCGAAAGAGAAAGCACAAAAACTCGAACAGGAGCGTCAATCTAGAGAAATCGAAGCCAGTCGGAGACGCGAGGAGGCTGCGAAAAGACGTGAAGAAATCAAACTCGCTAGGCAGGCTAAAGAGGAAGAAGCTGCCCGCGTAGAGGCCGAACGCATCGCTAAAGAGAAAGAAGCAGAAGCGAAAAGGAGAGACGAACTTCGAATCAAAAGGGAGCGTGAAAGGCAGGCTAAAGAAGCCGAGGCCGCTCAACTCGCGAAAGAGAGACAAGAAGAGGAAGCTCGCAAAATCAAAGAGAAAGCAGAATATGAGGCTCGTATAGCAAAAGAGAAAGAACTCGAACGAGCTCGTTTGACTATAGAAAGACAAGAGAATGAAGCTAGGATAGCGAGGGAGAAGGCTGCTGAAGAAGCTCGCCTAGCTGAAGAGCGCAAACAACGTGAAGAAGAAGCTGCACGTGTGGCTAAAGAGAGAGAAGAGCAGCAAAGGAGAGACGAAGCTGACCGTCTGGCTAAAGAGAAAGAAGAGAAGGCAGCACGTTTAGCGAAAGAAAGAGAAGAAGAAGAAGCCTCGCGACTTGCACAACAAAAGAAAGAAGAAGCAGCTCGGGTAGCTAAACAACGAGAGGAAGAGGCCGCTCGCCTAGCAAAGGAAAAGGAAGAAGCCACAAGACTTGCACAACAAAAGAGAGAAGAAGCTGCTCGTATAGCTAAACAAAAGGAGGAAGCAGCACTTCGTCTGACTAAGCAGAAGGAAGAAGAGGCAGCACTCTTAGCTAAACAACGCGAAGAGAAAGCTCTCCAAAGGACCAAAGAAAGAGAACAAAAGCAGCGTGAAGCTAAGGAAAGAGCAAAACAAGAACAAGAAAGACTACTTCAAGAAGAAGCCGAAAAGGCTGCTCACGTCGCCAAAGAGCGTGAAGAGCAAGTCAAGCGAGTGAAAGATCGTGAAGCTAAACAACGTGAACATGCTGAGAGGCTCCATCGCGAAGAGCTAGCAGCTATCGCAGCTAGGAAGGAGCTAGAAGCGAGAGATAAAGCCACCCGAGAGGAGCAGCACCGACTCCGTGAAAGAGCTAAACGTGAGGACGAACAAGCCAAACGTCGCGACCTCCAACGGAAAAAGCAGCAGCAAGACGAAGAACGTGCAGAAACTCACAAGAAACGTCAAGCTAAAGTCGCTGCTCAGAAAGCCAAAGAGGTTGCACTTGCAAGGGAGAAAGCTGAAGCTGCAGAAGATGCTGCTCGTGAAGAAGAATACAGGCTAGCCAGAGAAGAGCTAGAGCGTGAAGAAGTTATTGCTCAGTTGGGCATATTGGTTGATGAATCAGATGGTAATGACAATGGTACTAGATCCAGACGTCCAATCAGAGAAAAACAAATTAATAGACATGAACCTTCAGTGCAGACGTCTAAAACTACTGTCGATCAAAAAGGGAAACGCAAAGCGTCTACTCAAGCAGAACCAAATAAAGACGATCTATTCGCGAGACGCCAAAGGGATGCCCAACGCAGTCAAAACAAAACAACTATACCGATTGCCTTCAATTTTGCCACTGGTGGTCCACGAGCTCGTAAAACTAAGTCACCAATTAAAGTGAGTGTTCATCTTTTTATACACCCTATTAACAGAAATAATAGAAATCATACCAATCACCATACCTCAATAAGAACATTCGTCATCGTCGAATAATACCAACACAATCCACAAGTAGTCCACTCAGGGTTGATGGTAAGACAGCTAGAGAGAGACAACGTGACTATGCGGACTCCTTGAAGCGAGGTGCACCAGCAATATCCAACCCATCACCTAGCAAGCGACGTAAACGAAATGCTGTATTCCCATCACCTACGAAATCTCATAGACTTGAGTCAATCAGGACAATGGAAGAGCAGAGGGAAAAGCTGAGACGGTCTATGACGCCCAACAACTTAATAACTAATATAGAATTAAAGACATTCAATTTCCAATCGGATGAGAGACACCAGTTGCATTCTGAAAGATTCAAAAATCGCGTCAAACAATGGAGACAGTTTGAGAAAGATCAACGGGAATTCCACAGTAGTGATATGCCAAATTTCAGTGAACTTCATGAGAAATCTAAGAGAAATTTCGAAAACCGAAAGAGAATGGCTAGGGAGAAGATGACCAATACCCAACCGAGTGCTATCAATTTATCAACTGAAGGTCGATCAAAGACTACTTTCCATAGCTATTTAGAAGAACGTGAGAGATTACGCAATCAACACAGGGAACAACAAGCTGAGGAGAAACGAGTGAGTGTGGTTTTATAAGCAAACAAACACTAATGATTATTATAGCAACGTGAAGTAGAAGAGGATAAGGAATATAGGAGGCAACTTGACCAGCTTGCAAAGGAGCGTGTTCATCCTAATCCTTTTCATTAAACCACACTTATTTTATGGATAAATAATGAATTAATTTAGTTGTACATTTTTTACGATTTTATACTTTTTACGATGTTATAATAAAGTGAAATAAAATGTCTACTGCTTCTGTTTGTTTTTCTTGTTTTGCTCTTGCTCAAGGTTTCCATTCACGCTTGACTTACGCTTCTTCGATTGTGGCTTAGATTGTGATTGTGAAACGAGAGCATTGAGCTGCTGTGCCAATGATTGAACACCTTTGAATTTATCAATTGAACCCAAAGTAGTTATAATCGATTGTAATGTTGTAACATCCCAATCTTCTTCGACAGGACCATCTGTAATCTTCTTTTGGATCCTTACCAAAGCTAACGCACATTTGAATACCTCCTTCAGTTTGCTGGCGTTCGTCTTGTCCTTTGATTCACAGGATGTTACAACGAATGAGTAGACACCTTGTCTGATCTTTGGTATGGATTTAAGTATTTCGTCCTTCTTTCCAACATCAACCTAAATTATGAATGTTAGCTACCTTTTCAGTTAAGAAAAAAATCCTCACCAATTGTTTATGTTGTCCGAAGAGGGTTTGTAACATTGTCAATGATTGTATCTGTCTATAGCTATTCGTTGCTTGACCATCAATAGCTGTATGCAAGAATTCATCCAACAAGCTAAATGATTGAACTGGGTAACGACGAATGTAGTCAGTGAATATAGTTGGGTTCAAGCGTGTGTGCTTTCTATTACTAAAGTCCTTCCAACTTGAGATGTAAATTTCCTTAGCTTTAGATTCAGCTGGTTTATCGCTGTAATTTGATGTAATGACTCTAAATAAGTATAAAGATAATTGGTTGCAAGTTGTCAAAATATCACTCGTTCTTGATTTTCTAGCGACATTATGTATTTCTTCGAATATACCCAAAAGCTCCTCCTCGTTGAGCTTAGATGTTGGGATATCCTTAGCTTTAGCCAAACGTTGCTTAAGAATTGAAGTAGCTTTAGATGAGAGTTGTTGCTCAGTCAAACCAGCGTTGATGACGATCTCCAAAAGTGGAAGTATAAGTTTCAAGACCAATGAATTGGATGATTGCTTCTTAGCGTAAACATCTAACAAGTCTATCAGTCTGTTCTTAGCATGTTGAGCTTCACGTTGAGCACCCTGCTTAGCTTTCTTGTCTCCAACTCTAGATTTGAAGATCTCAGCGAGTTGGTCGTCAAGCATCATCATTTGCTCATCGGTCATGTCATCGCCATTATCTACATCTTCATCTTGTTCCATACTATCGTCGTCTTCATCGTCAGACATAGGCTGTCCTAAAGCTTTAGCTAATTTGCGCTCAAATTCTGGATCGACAGCTTCATTGATATCATCTTCGTTGTCATCATCACTCATCTCAGAGGCAACTTCATCTTCTGCTTCTTCTTCATCATCTCCTTGATCTTCATCATCGTCACCTTCGCCTTCACCCTCTTCCATCTCCTCATCTTCTACACCTTCATCGCCAGGTTGTGAAGTGAGTTGACCAAGAATCATCTCCAATGCTTCCTCGTCGACTTCGGATGTAAATGCAGTGAAAGCGTTGATGGCCATAGTACGTAAGAAGACTGACGAACGCTCAAGTAATGATACTAAAACATCAACAAGTACGGCAACTGCTGATGGCTCTTCGCCTTCTTCTTCAGTTGCAGCTTTCTTGTTTTTCTTCGGTGACTTAGCAGCGAATAACATTGAAGAAGCACTAGCTAATTCTTCCAAAACATCAGAAATACCATCAATATTATCATATGATTGAAGAATGACACTCAATAATAAGAGTTCGTAAGCGTGATGACGGACTTCCGATCCCTTTCCTTTCTTGTTGACTTTGCTTAAGCTATCCAATGCCTCTTTACGAGCGGATATCACTTCATCTTCATATTGTATAGCCTTGCTGACGTTCTTGTCTTTCTCGACAGATGTGATGAGGTCGTATACCCTTTTCACCCAGAGCTCACCATCTTTGGTCACACCGACTAATTTCTTCGCATCCGGAGTCTTTGATAGTTCAGCCAAAGTTGAGAGCATGTGGGAGCGAGCTGTCGCCCTGTCAGTGTCTGAAAGTGGTGGTTGAGGTGGATTCTTGAGTATTTCATGTTTAGACTTTGATGAAGCTTTACGAGGTATGAAAATACCATTTAATGTGAAGCATTCCAATACACTCCAGATCCATTCATCGCTATGTGGGATTTGAGAATTACGAATGAGTGATAACAATTGATCTAATGCCCATTTACGTTGCTTGATATCTGATGATTCACCGTGGATATATTGACGAATATGTTCAACATATTGGGTTACACCATCAGCAGTCATTGATGTTAAGATATTTGCGACAGTCTTTGTTCCGGTCAATTTGTCAAAGTTTGCACTACCATGTTTACCAAGGAGTTGTAAAATAAGTGGTAAACCTAATTCAGGATTTTGTGCAATAAGTGGCTGCAATTCTTGGGCAATTTTCATAGCTGCCTTGTGAAGTAATCTATCCTCACCGCGGAGGTTATTGATCCAAGTGCGCATGAAATTTGGTGTGAACAATGAGCCCAGATCTTCAACAGTCAAACGTGGTAAAGCCAAACTGAAGACGGAGAAACCCCAGTATTTGCGTTGAGGTGAGATGTTTGATTGGAATAATGATTCATCTATGCAATGTCTATAAAATTCTTGAAATGGTGCGCGTGATTTGTATGCGTCGTTTTGTTGATCTGAGAAATAAATATCTAAAATTTGTGGCCAAATCCAATGTAATTGAGGTTTCCATACACCTGAACCAGGGTTTGCTTTCTCAACATCAGCTGAAGCTTCTCTCAAAACGCGAGCTAAAACAGTCAGATTTTGTGAAGCAAGTGGTAAAGGATGCTTGAAAATTGGCTGAACGTGTGGTACGTAATCGATATCCTTCAATACGGGTCAGAAGAAGTGGGGAGAACGAAGAGTTTAGCGTACCTTATGGTTTGCTTCTAACCAAAGTAAAATACCCAACTTTTCTGGACCCCAAATATCTTTTTCTTCACCTTGGAAAAGAATATCAAGGGTTACATTAACAGCGTCTGCTAACCAAGATACTTTATTCTTTGTAACTTGCTTTAAGGCATTGAGAGTAGTCCATCCTGTAGCTTCCTTAAGCCAGACCTTCGATCTTCCTAGATCAGTGAGGTTGATGATAATTTGCTTGAAATCTTCAAGAGTTGTTGATTGTTTGACGATCAATCCTGAGTCAATGAGTGCTTGTATACCGAATAATCTACCGAATATCAAGTCTCTCTCCTCAGATCCTTTGATGTTTCCTACTGGTTCTGTGTGGTGCTTTACTAATGGAAGAATGTGCGATAACTCGATTAGAGGCAGATTTGAAAGTAACTACAAATGATTAGAAGAGTGTATAGATTATAATGTACTCACTTTTGTAAGCGTAACAGCAAATCCAACGCGAGAATATTCCCTTGGAGAAGACAGACCTCTAATCAGACGTTTTATGGCGTATGAGACATCTGGTGCGTGTCTTCTCTCTATCCAAGTCTCTATAGATTTAACTTCAGATTTATCCTCCTTCTCATCCTCATCCTGGCTGTTATCAGCGTCTTCGTCGTCGTTCTCGTCTTCTATCGGTGTAAAATCTTGCTGGAATTGCAATAAAAGTTTAAGTAGATCTGTACTAGCTTTTAGTCTCTCAGAAGTTTTACTAGACGCTAATGGCCAGTATAACTCGAGTGTAGACATCTTGAGTGTATACTACAAAGATGGATACGAAGGGAATTTTTTATTAGAGAAGGTCACTAGATTTTATTATCCTCCAGTTATTATATTCTAGACTGCTAAGCTGTTGTCCTTGCTCACAGTCTACGTCCTCACAACGACGAGGATATGGAACAATCTTCTACGATGCGCACTACTAGAATGTATATGCAATAACTACATACAAGCTTTATCTATTTTGTTTGGCGAGGGTTCAATGGCGTGTACTATTTCCATCGAAGACTATGGTCGGTTGATTGATTATCTACGCCCTCTGAAATCAGTTACTTGTAGATAAGCACTATGAACCTCCAAATGTATTAGTCCAGGAATGTTCCCCTAGATTCCAGACGATCAGATCGGGTCCCTTGGTATGATTTATATTCGCTTACGTCCTCTACCCAAACATCCATCACGGGCTACAATATCAACGAATAACAAGATGTTAGACTGTATTCTCTCTAAAGTACTCCCAAAGAGTGCTTATAACTTCTATACCCAAAGTTTCCCACCTGCATCTAAATGGTCCACTGAAGACATTCCAGATCTCACCGGGAAAACAGTGATTGGTGAGTTGTATATCTCACTTTTATTACAACCTAACAACCTCCAGTCACTGGTGCCACGTCTGGTATTGGTAAAGATACAGCTAGAGCACTCATGCAACATAACGCTGACGTCTACATCGGTGGAAGATCCGATGATAAGCTCAACGCTGCCATAGACGAACTCAAAGTCCAGACTGGAAAAACTGCCAAACCCTTTTTCGTCGACCTCTCTGATTTTGAGTCTGTAAAGTCAGCCGCTGAAGATTTTTTGAAGAAAGAAACCAAACTTGCTATATTATTCAACAATGCGGGTGTTATGGTAGCTCCTATTGATATGTTTGGTAAACAAGGCTACGATATTCAATTCCAGACAAATGTAATGTCTCACTATCTCCTCACACGCCTTCTTTTCCCTGCTCTAGACAATTACAGCAAAACTGGTGAAACTGCTCGCGTAGTACACACCTCATCACTCATGCAAGCACTTACTAAGCACCCGCGTGGCATTGATTTCGATGTGCTCAGAGACGGCGAAAAGAGACGTAGCAACAGGAAACTCGATCCATGGGAATTGTACGGTTATTCTAAGATCGGTAATACCGTTATTTCTAATATACTCAACGAGGAGCAGCCAAATGTCAGTCATAGTAGCTGTCATCCTGGTGGTCTCCAGACTGAGTTGCAACGTTACGTTGATTTCCCTGCCTGGAAAACAGCTATATTTAATTTGATGCTTTACCCTAGCCATCTTGGTGCACTCACTCAGCTTTATTTAGGTACAGTCACAAAGGATACCAAAGGAATTGTGAGTCTCTGTCTTCATCCGTTCGCTATGAGCTAAAAGTACGCTATTACGGTATTCCATGGGCGCGTGAAGGCAAAGCGGACAAGCGCACAGATGATCCATCTCTTATTAAAGACCTCCGCGAATGGCTTCACGAGGAACTTAAAGCTTATTTGCCATGATCTCAGCAACATCGTTAGGCAACTTTTTAACGATATTAATGAAGATAATCACGATTATTTTATGTACTTACTAACATACATATGATGCTACAAAGGAAAAAATCGTTACAGGATAAAGTTAGTCATTTTATTAGAGTTTAGATGGTTGCGCAAATCTAGCGTTCTGTTAGCATAAATAAGTCACATAGAAGAAACGCTTACTGTGCTTCAGTGTTTCCTTTGCCCATGCTAGCTGTTGAAGATACACCACCTTGTATGGTCGAAAGAAGATCATCAATCTGGAGTAGAGTGTTAGATAAATCTAGCAAATAACTTGTCACATACATATTCAGCACCAGACCATTTCTGATGTGTTAGAACATCACATGAAATCTCACGCTCCTTCCTTTGTATCTGCTCTACGTAAGCTTTCATGCCTTCCTTCGCGAAATGCTTGGCAAAGTTGTCTGAAATGTAAGCATTCGAGTGGAGACCAGCGAGTGTGATGAACTGCCATACGAAACCGAGTTTACCTAGTTCCCAAACGAAAGCTTGCATATCCTTCGGACTCAGACCTGCTGCATCCCAATTGAAGGACGGCGAGAGGTTATAAGCAAGCCATTGATTTGGATGAGCTGCTCTAACACCACTGGCAAATTCCTTCGCTTGGGCCAGTTTAGGATCTTTTGTCTGGGAATTGTTAAAAATTGCATTGGGAAGTAAATTAACCTCTCACCTCCATCCAGATTAGATCACAGTATGGTGCGAATGCAATAGCTCTGTTGACTGCACATTGCGTGCCACCCTGGTAACGGTAATAACCCTCACGAACACGTGGTGCGTCCCAATCCCAGAAAACGTTAACCGTAGTTGGAAGACCAGTTTTATGAGCAAGCTCAAGTGTTTTATGGCGACTACTGAAGTGGGCTTCCTTCAAAAAGTTTTTGATACTGTTTTCATTGACATGATTTTGACGGAGTGCATCAGCGAGTGTTTCACTGTATTTCTTCAAACCTGCTTGCGCAATCCAATCAGATTCTATCTTCTCGAGAGCTGGGCCAGTGGCACCAGCGAGCTCAGCTTGACGCATAACATCGACGAGTGAACCAACACTAGGGTTAGTCGCACCGAGGATGAAAGCATGGTCACGCTCGTCTACATTCGTGGTGATCAATGTTGCAGCTTCAGAGTCAGTGCGAGATACGATAAGATTAGTGACGCCCATTATATCGAATTGGAATCTAATCGCAATCAGGCGATTAATTTGCTCCTGGATAGGAACCAAAACCTTTCCAGCCATATGGCCACATTTCTTGGTACCAGGTGCTTGATCTTCGATGTGAATTCCCGCTGCGCCCTTCTCGACAAAGAGCTTGGCGAGTTTCATCGTGGCTGAGAGACCACCGTGACCAGTGTCTGCGTCAGCTACAATTGGGCGCAGATAATCTACTGCTGGGCCTCGTTGGTTTGCAGGAAGAGACAAACGTTGATGTCTTTGCTTCCTGTCGTGGAAGAGCTGGGCTTGGAAGAGATGCTCAACCTTGCGAGGAACAGTGTCATATGGATACTGAGAGCCGTTAGAAGCTAAGGAGAAGTCAAAATAATACTTACGTCTGCAAGGTCAGGACCCGGTTCGTTCGTCGAGGACGCGGTTGAGGATGATTGCCAGCCACTTACGTATACAGTCTCGAGGTACTTTGCCATTTGAGTGACTTGTACAGGGTCGAGTGCACCGTATGTATGGCTAGTTCCGCCCGTGCTGGCCTTATGCTCTAAAATTTTCCATAGTTTCTTTGCTAGCAGATCTGACGGGTATTGCTGATCGATAGTACCGCGCTTGCTGACGACTTGGGCTGCTGTGTATGGTCTAACAGTTTTGTTGAATCTCGGCAGCTGTGTGTGACGTTATATTGTTATCAAAGGGGTGAGAGATGCTACATACGGTAAAGAACTGCTGCAGTTCTTTAACTTGTTGATTGAATTCTTGATCCTCTTGTGACATTGTTGTTTGAGTTGAAGAGAGTGTGTCACACAGACGTTATGACTATGACGACTTCCTAACTTTTCCGAACGACAAACATGACCGGTTAGAAGCGAAGGCTTCCGAATCAAGTCAGATCTCGTAGACCGGGGGTCCGTCTTCCATATACTAAGATCGCTAATAGTATGTATGATGTAGATGTACTATCGACAAATTGGGAGATCCCGAGAGTTGTAATGCCCTACGATCCTCCACATTTATGATATTGTGTTCATCTCCCGCTAGCTCTGTTTTATTTCCGTCGATCTTCTTAACATCTCTATAAACGCTACCATGAGGAACTATAGGCAGGGTCAGTTTGCTGGCAGGAATATAAGGTAATAAGCTAGTATAGCACTATAGTACATCTTATAATGTCTAGATACTCATTAGATATCGTACAACAGCCCATACGTTCCAGATTGTGTGGCTTCGGCGAGAAGGATAGAAGACCGATAGATCCACCACCTGTAGTGAAAGCTAGAGCATATGAAACACACAGTGATGGCTCAGAGACTGAGTTACCTGAAAAGTGCGTCTAATATCGTCATAGTGGATCTGCTAATCAGACCAGGGATATTATACCACACCATCTATTAGTACAAGTGGAAATCTTCGACTCCCGGGGTCTGGAATCCTGCGCTTATGTATATAATTCAACAACAGCCACGCAGGCAGCAAACACGACACAGGCGTCATTGACGAGTGACAAACCAATCAGGAATCTTCTTGGAAGCCTCACAGCGGAGGGCACACGTTTGAGAGATATGGAGAACAATCAGGGAATATTCTTTTGTTTTCAGGTGAGTTTACGTTCCTTAAAGTGTCTTCTCACAGTGGTAGGATTTGTCCGTCAGGGTAGAAGGAGTGTATGTGTGATAGTCGATAAATACACCATCTAATACCATTACAGCTTTACGTTACGATTCAGTTTAGTAGACATTGAAGCGTGGGTCCAATCCTGCGTGTTTGTTTGTCGTCTCACCAATTCCAGGCTAATATCTGGGAAGAACAACCAGAGTATTGTGACACAAGAAACATCGGACGCATTTCAAGTATATTCTCCTAAAAAGTGAGATAATTGTATTTTTGACAGTTTGCTAACTGTCTGTCAGATTCCCAGGGATGACATCCAGCACGGCACTGTCAAAGGTAAGTATATTGTATACTGTATATACACAATCAGACAGACATACAGTGTTTCGCTAGTCAAGGGATCAAGATATCGATACGAAAGGTTAGTAGACGCGCTCATTTCGCGCGCTCACTGAATGTCTTACCAGGACGAACCAAACCCTGGATTTGGCGGCAGGGCTAGTAGCGGGAATTAGCCACATATTTATTTGTTTTATGTAGATTTATAATAAATGATTAAAAATTTCTGACTGGAATGCTCTAAATCTTGTTTCCAGCTTTCTAGCAAACGACCACGACAAGAGAAAAGTCAGCCGTGGGCGCACCGTTTGAGTACACCATCATGTCCAACAATATGGACGACATATCAAAACTCCGCGACACCTCAGACGACGCTGTACTGAGCTATCTCAGAGATCGCTTCCTAGGAGATCAGATATACACCAGGCTAGGGACATCTTCTATCGTGGCATTGAATCCGCTTAAATATATCCCTTTAAACTCTGATAAAGTGCTGCATGATTACGCTTTAGAATATAGACAGACAGACAAACACGTAAGATTGGGACCACATATATTCCAATTAGCTGCAGATGCCTACTATTACATGCGTAGGTCTTCAAAGGACAACAATATCATCCTCAAGTAAGTTACCATAACATTCCGTCCGCATATTTTGACTAACTAAAAAAAGCGGTGAAACTGGCTCAGGTAAATCTGAGTTGAGGAGGCTAGCTACTCGTACTATCATTGATTTATCCCTCCCACCACCAGGAAAGAAAGGACACAAGCTTGGTGATCAAATTCCCTCAGCTGAGTTTGTCTTAGAAGCTTTCGGTAATGCGAAAACGCTGCACAATCCAAATGCATCCCGCTTCGGTAAATACACAGAGTTGCAGTTCTCAGATCGCGGGAGGTTGTACGGTGCCAAAACACTCGAGTACTACTTCGAACGTTCAAGAGTGGTCAGTCCACCTCCAGGAGAGCGCAACTACCACATTTTCTACTATCTCACTGCAGGTGCTAGTGATGAGGAACGCCAGTATTTAAAACTTCAAGACGTTGGTGCTTATCGCTATACTTCTGGTGCTATCAGAAGACGTAGTGGTCCACTTGTTGGCGCTAAAAACGGAGAGGATGCAGCACGTTTCAGTCAACTAAAGAATGCTTTCAAGTCTGCTGGCTTCTCAAAGCGTCACGTAGCACAAATTTGTCAGCTCGTCACTGCCATTTTGCACCTCGGTAACTTAGAATTCACAATCGACCATTCAAGAAACGCAGATGCAGCGGTAGTAAAGAACGTAGAAGTACTTGATATAGTTTCAGAGTTTTTAGGCATACATCCAGACTCCCTCGAAGGTGTCCTTTCTTATCGTACCAAACTCGTTAAAAAGGATGTATGTACTGTATTCTTGGATGTAGACGGAGCAGCCGCCAATCGTGATGATCTTGCCCGCTCTCTTTACTCGCTTCTTTTCAGCTGGATCATCGAACACATCAATCAACATCTTTGCAAAGACGACTTCTCAACTTATATTTCTTTCCTCGATTTACCTGGTTTCCAAAATGTGCCAAGTACTGGTCATCGCGGTAATTCTGTCGATCAATTCTGCGTCAACTACCTCAATGAGCGTCTACAGAATTGGATTTTTGAGCACGTCTTTACGCGCCCGTATGAGGAGCACAAGCTTGAGGGTATAAGTAAGATCAGTCCACCGGTTTCATTCTCAGAATATGACAATGCCGATGTTCTACGTCTTCTAGGCGCGAAGCAAGGTGGTTTAATCCACATTATGGATGACCAAGCTAAGCGTGCACCAAAGAAGAACGACAACACAATGGTAGAGGCGTTCAATAAGCGTTGGGGTAACAACTCTAAGTTTAAGACCTCCTCACCAGATCGCTCAGGTTATCCAACTTTCTCGATCAATCATTATGCCGGTACTGTTACCTACTCAGCTGAAAACTGGATAGAGAAGAACACGGAAAATCTCAACCCAGATTTCGTGTCACTTTTCAAGGGTGGTGTTGCAAATGACAAAACGACAAATGGCTCGGAGAATCCATTTATCAAGTCGCTTTTTACTTCGAATGCAATCAACACTCAATTTCATCCAAAATCTGAGACAACATTGGTAGCAGCCCAGCAATCGGTTGGACCGATGCGTAAGCCATCCACCAGACGTACCGGCCCTTCTATGAGACGCAGAAATAATGATACAGATTTGGGCGATATGCCTGAGGACGACGTTCTTGATCAGCAAAATCCATCCAATACCAATACATGCGTAGCGACTGAATTTAGGAATGCTGCTGATGTTCTTTTCGATACTCTCGAAGATTGCTATCCATGGTATGTATTCTGTTTGTCGCCGAATGATGCTCAGCTTCCAAATCAACTGGAAGCACGTCATTTGAAAGCTCAGATCCGTGCTTCGGGTATTCCTGCCGTAGCTAGGAGAGCGGCTGTAGCTGAATGGGCTATCAACATGACGCATGATGAGTTTGTTGAAAGTTATAGTGATGAACTCAACGAAATGGAGATTATGCAGGGTGATGCAGTGACAAAGATCATCAATATGCGCGAGAAAATGTCTTGGACAGAGCGCGATCTGACCATCGGTTCTAATAAGGCAAGTATTCTGATGCCGTTAACTCTATTCCCTAACGCTATTCAATCAGGTATTCATCACCCATGATGTTTTCAGACATCTGGAAGATCATATACGTTCATATGACGAGCAGGAGCAGCGTCAGTTCAACAAATATCAGAAGTCAGAGGCGGACTACATCTCAGCGCCAGATCCATTCGGTCCATACGCCACTCTAGGCGAGGAGTCACCATCAACACCAACAAGTGAGTTGATGAACGATCCATTTGCCAGTCGTGATCATGATGTCTCTACTGTGGCACTACCACTGGTTACAAACTCACCAAGAGATATGCCAGACGATGAAAGCGTAGATAGAAAATCATTCAAGTCATACGGTTATAACGATAGCGATGGTTACAGGCAATCAAAATACGAAGGCTATGATACCCCAAGTCAAATTGGTACAGAGATGTATGCACCATCTCAAAATATGTTCTCAAATATGGATCTCAAAGAGAGAGACCGGATGCTGAATGAAAAAGACATGTTTGAAGTCGAACAAGAAACACAAGAGGAAGTCAAAGAGTCGGCAGTTAGGAAGAGATGGGTGGCGTTCTGCTGGTTGTTGACATGGTGGGTGCCTTCCCCGTTCCTCAAATGGTTCGGTAGAATGAAAAGACAGGATGTCAGACAAGCCTGGAGGGAGAAGCTTGCCATCAATATAATTATATGGTTCGTCTGTGCTTGCGCTATCTTCGTCATCGCTATTCTCGGTCCGGTTATCTGTCCAACTCAGCGTGTTTACTCTCAGAACGAAATCTCAAGTCATACTCATCAATCGCAACCTGACCACACGTTTGTCAGTATTCGCGGTGAAGTTATGGATCTTACGAAGTTGTATGGTGCTCATCATGGCGCTGTTCCAATCATCGATGATAAAGAATTCTGGAATTATGGAGGCAAAGACGTCTCCAATCTTTTGCCAGTGCAGGTGTCAGCGCTTTGTAATGGTATTGATGGCTCAGTTGATCCACTCGTTGGACTCGATGCATCAAATACCAGTTCATCGGAACCTAATGCTCACTATCACGACTTTAGGGCATGGACGAATGACTCTCGACCAGATTGGTACTACGAACAGATGGTCATCATGCGCTACAACTACCGTGTCGGCCACGTCGGTTTGACTGACAAGGAAGTATCAAAAATGGCTGACGATTCCAGTAATGTTGCAATAATAAACGGAAGTGTGTATGATATGACACCTTATATCACTTTTGATGGCGGGTTCCCAGGTCATGGTGACAACGAGGTTGCGCCATCCGGAATTGATACGCACTTCATGCATGATGCAATCGTACAGATATTTGAACAGAATTCAGGAGAGGATGTCACGAAATATATACAAGATCTTGACCTGGATCCTACAGTCCTCAGTCGTCAGATGGGATGTTTGAGAAATCTCTTCTTTGTTGGTAAAGTTGATAAGAGGAATTCGCCGGCGTGTAAATTCTCGAACTATATTTTACTTGCATTATCGATATTTATGATTGTTATCATCGGTTTCAAGTTCTTGGCTGCTATCAGCTTTGGTAGGGGAAGAAAACCAGAAGAGCATGATAAATTTGTTATTATGCAGGTAGGTATTCTTCATTAAGTTTTTATGCAGCTAACGAGATATAGGTACCAGCATACACGGAAGGCGAAGAATCTCTTCGCAGGACGATTGATTCGCTCGCCTGTCTTCGTTATGATGACAAGCGTAAACTTATCTTTGTTATTTGCGATGGTAACATTATCGGAAGGTTAGTGAATTTACTGAATCTTCTATAAAAGTTAACACGTTACCCAGTGGTAACGATCGTACCACCCCTCGTATTGTACTCGATATTCTTGGTGCAGATCCAAACTATGACCCCGAACCACTCAGTTTCCACTCAATTGGTGAAGGTAACAAGCAACACAACATGGGTAAAATCTACAGTGGTCTTTATGAATGTCGCGGTCACGTCGTGCCATACATTGTGCTTGCCAAGGTTGGTAAGCCGACTGAGCGCAGCAGGCCAGGTAACAGAGGTAAACGTGATTCTCAATTGGCTTTGATGTGGTTCCTAAACAAGGTACACTTCGATGCGCCTATGAACCCGCTTGAATTAGAGATATACCATCAGATCAAGAACGTTATAGGTGTCAATCCAAATTTCTACGAGTACATGTTAGCTGTCGATGCTGATACTATGGTCGAGCCCGATTCACTGTCTATGTACATATCATCTTTCATTAGGGACAAGAAGATTTTAGCGCTTTGCGGTGAAACATCCCTCGCGAATGCCAAACAATCGATCGTTACAATGGCCCAGGTTTACGAATATTATATTTCTCACTATCTTACCAAGGCTTTCGAATCTCTTTTCGGTTCTATAACTTGTCTGCCGGGTTGTTTCTCAATTTATAGGCTTCGTACAACCGACACACATAGACCACTTTTCATTGCTTCAGAGGTTATCGACGAGTATAGTGAAAACGTGGTTAACACACTTCATCTAAAGAACCTTTTGCATCTCGGTGAGGATCGTTACTTGACCACTATTCTGTTGAAGCATTTCCCACTTTTCAAGACTAAATTCACGGCAGATGCCCGCGCCCAGACGGTCGCACCTGATGATATCAAGGTCTTGCTCTCCCAGAGACGTAGATGGATCAACTCAACAGTGCATAACCTTGCTGAACTTCTGTTCTTGGATAGACTATGTGGTTTCTGTTGTTTCTCTATGAGATTCATTGTCTTTATCGATCTCTTATCGACCATCATAGCACCAGTTACTGTCGTTTATATCGTTTATCTCATTTATTTGGCAGCCGCTGAGGGCAAGACTATACCGACAACTTCTATCATTATGCTTTGCGCAATCTATGGTCTTCAAGCACTTATTTTCTTGATGCATCGTAAATGGGAGCAAATTGGTTGGATGATCGTATATATTTGCGCCATTCCGCTGTTTTCATTCTTCTTACCGCTCTATTCGTTCTGGCATTTCGACGACTTCTCTTGGGGTTCAACACACGTTATCACGGGAGAGAAAGGCCGAAAAATGCTTATACACGATGAAGGGCATTTCGATCCGAAGAATATACCGCTTAAAACTTGGGCAGAGTATGAAGCTGAGCTTTGGGAACAGGGGTAGGTTTTTTTTTCTAACTTTGCAATTGCTTAGCTAACATATCTAGTGACGATATTTATGAATTCCAAAAGGGTTCAAGGCCACCGTCGCCAACAAATACAGTGAGCATATACGGACCTCAATCGATGTACGGCGGTTTGGATCAGACGGGAGTTCCACGGTCTGCATCTGCTCATCAAAGCATGTATAGGCAATCGGCCATGCCATCCCAGTATTTCAGTGGTTACAATGCACCATCTATGTATTCCTTAGCTCCGCAACAATATCCACAGTCGCAGCAAGCGTGGGCAAGCGGCTTCTACGGTGGCTACGATCCACGGATGTCGATGAATTTCTCCCAAGGATACATGCCACAACCAACCCATTCTGCTACTCATATACCAGAAGACAGTCGATATAGCAGTAGTAGCGGTCTCATCCAGTCACCGTCATCACAGGAAATAGAAACTGAAGTCAGAGATATAATAGGAAGGGCAGATTTGGATAATATTACGAAGAAATCAATTAGGCAGGACCTCGCTGATAAGTATGGCAATGAAGCTATAAATGGACGCAGGGCGGAGATTAACGCAATCATTGACGATATTCTCACATCTATTTAAAGGTTAAATTATAAAGTTATTAAAGCATTATTTATGGACAATCTAATAAACAACAACAAAACAAATTTCTCACGCACAACTTTATGAACAATCTGAACAATTTTCTATATTATGTTATTATTACTTTTAAGAAATGCATAATATCATCATTAGTTTCATTTGTTTTGTTTTTTTCGTTTTTAGTTTTACCTTCATGATGAAAAATTTGATTGATGATACCTTCCACATTCTTTTAGTAGACGGCTGACTTAAGGAATGTTTATTCAGGAACCTACGGACCGCTTATATAAGACGGACCACTTATGTGATGTGATATCATATAATATGCAGTAGATAATGTCCTAATTCAAGAGTACCTCAACCATCCATACTTCTAAACTTCAGTGTATTTTATTCCGTGCTTTACAGAACCTAAATAATATCAAATAGGCCATTATAGGGCCCCGCCGTCCCCAATGTTGGTATCTTCATAACTCTCTGGTATGCGAATACCAACCTAAATTCAAGTATTTATTTAAGGGAACGATTGTCTTTCTGGTAAACCATGTCACTAAAGCATCCTCAGGAAGCTGATGATGGCTGTTTACACCTCAACGAAAAGCTAGCGCTAGAAACGAAATCAGAGAATGACCTTTCTGCTAATCCAATCAAACTTGCTCCATACCTAACAGGATCCGAATATTCAACTGAATCATTAGAAGATACGAAATCAGTACCTCAAGCTGATACATCAGTCCATGATGCACATTACAAGAGAGCTTTACGTAAAATTGACGTCAGAGTTATACTGATTCTGTCGATAAGCTCGTTCTTACTGTGCATCACTAGGACTTCTTTTCCAAATGCTCTAGTAATGAATGATGACGACGAGAATGGCTCAATGAAAGACCAATTGGATATCACTGACAAGCGATATAGTTATATAGTGATGATCCTTACGGCGGTTTCAATCGTGTTTGAATTACCATCGAATCTGCTGCTCAAGTACATTTCACCTAGGTTTCATATTACAAGGTTGGCAATTGGATGGGGTATAGTTACTATATGTGGTGCTGCAGCAACTAATTTTCAGGGAATAGTAGCCAATAAAATATTCCTGGCTATCGCGCAAGCTGGATTTTTTCCATCGGTGTTTTACATTTTTGGATTATGGTACACCGAAGAACAGAAGGCCTTTCGAGTTGCAATTTATTTTAATGGACTCATACTGAGTGGTGCATTCTCAGGTTTAATCGGAACCGCGTGCTCGTATCTTAACAATAAAGGACATCTCACTGGATGGAGATGGTTGTTTATTCTCACCGGTATTCCATCAGTTCTCATTGGAATAGTCACTTTTTTCCTGTTGCCTAATAATCCAGAAACTGCCACGTTTTTATCAGAAGAAGAACGCGATGTTATTATTAAGGGATTGAAAGTGTCTCAAATAAAAAACACTAGCTCGGATGCTTCAAATGAGTCAACTAAACTAAGCTTTAATGATATCTGGATTGTTTTCAAGGATTCCACCTTTTGGTTTCTGACAATAATGTATAGTGCGTCATATACATACAGTTGCTATCTTTCTAACACTGCAAATAGTTCTTATGGTGATGGCTAGTATACCGGTCTCACAGTTTTTGCCATTATTGATAGAAGACCTTGGTTTTCACGGCGTAAATATCCAGCTTATGACGATACCCGTCAGCATTTTCACACTTATTTGCTCCATGATCTCAGGGTGGGGGAGCGACAGATTTAGAAATAGACCACTCTTTATTATTATTGGTTTATCGCTGGTTGCGATTGGATACTTAATGCTCGGTCTCATCAAGACAAACATAGCCGGTAGAATGATCGCATTATATCTCACATCCCTAGGACCGGTTTCTGAAATCCCGATGGTAGTCTATGTTCTGAAATTACAGCAAGACAAAGGATGGAGTAGCTCGAGTTTCAAATTTGGTAGTTCTGCAATACTGGCTCTTGCAAGTGCTGGTGGTATCACTGCACCTTTGGTAATGGAAAGTGGTTTAACGAAGGAAAATGTGTCTTATGCTTTTTTTGCTTTTACGATGTTCTCGGTTTTGCAAGGTTTGATATGTTGGTGGCTCTACGGATCTGGAGTGGATGGTAAAACTATTGCAAAACCAACCGTGGAGCATAAGTAATAATTTGTAATATTTTTCTTTTAATGATTATTTAATGATACCAAAGACGACTGACTATGAGAGATACAAACCCAGTTACGTCATTTACATTCATTAATCTTAACACTTTATGCCACTCAAATTACTACAGCTAATAAGATTATATAATACTTCATTTCTTATGCTCAACTCGTGTACATCCTCTCTTACAGTAACTATCACAACTGACCGCCCTGTCAAGCTACTCAGTTGATGAATACCAATTTGATAAAAAGACCTAAAATAAATCGGGCTTGTGATAATTGCCGTAGAAAGAAAATACGCTGTGATGGTCCCCAGGTCGGTACTACTGTCCGGTAAAAGTACTCTAGTCATATATTTTGCAGACACACCCAGAGGAATGCAGCAACTGCTCTATTAGCTCCAGTGCGAGTTGCACATACGTCAATCCAGCTCAGCAGAACGTTGCGTCCAGCTATGTCAAACACTTAGAAGCTAAGTTGGAAGAATACGAACGGTTATTGAGTGAAGTCTATCCAGATTTCAAAACGGATTATAATTCATCAGACAACATTATACATCGTAAGCGGAAGTACACTCCGCCGAGTAGCTCTACGGGTACGATGAGCGCTCATATCAATCCGATTAGCCCGATAGATTATGAGGACGTAGAAATAGCTGACAGATTAGGATACATCTTTGTATCGAATGAAGATAGAGTCTCAAACGATGACCAGAGAAGATACTTTGGCAGATCCAGCGCAAGAGGGCTTATTGAGCGTATAAATATATATAATGGTACGACACCGCAAGATATTCTATCAAGTGGGAATTTTTTAAGATGCTTTGCTATCCCTTACGACTTTCAGGCAAGCGAAAGATATACTGGCGTGACGACTGGAGTGATGAGATCCTCCCTCATTTAACAAAACCAGAATATATACATGAAGATTTCGGAGATGAGTCGCTAATGTACGAATTGGTTGATCTCTACTTCACAAAAGTCAATGTCTCAATGCCGCTTTTACATCGCGAAAGGTTTCTGGCTGATATTCCAAAACGCAAGCTGGAAAGGGGTTTTGGAAGTGTATTAATTATGGTTTGTGCGCTGGGTAGTCAGCATATGCGAGCTGATGACCTGCGAGTTCTTATTCCCGGGAAGGAAAACATCCTCTTCCTTGCCGGGTACCGCTATTATGGTATTGCAAAAGCAAAAATGATTGATCCGACCATGTCAATAGCATCACTTGAAGATATACAAGCATTTTTTCTGCTGCAGGTTTATTCGCAGAATGGTGTCTATCCAAAAGGAGGTTGGATCGCTCATAGTAAGTCAAATAAGCACATGATCATACGTTTCATACATACCTGACAATCACAAGCTAATGCGATGATGCTCTCACAGGATATTGGCTTACATCGCAAGTCATTTCATGGTATCAACAATGAACGACAACGAGAGGCTCGTAGGAGAACCATATGGTGTCTTTTCATTATCGATGTCACTAATGCGGCAGCATTTGGAAAAACGCAGGTTCTCACAGAAAGAGACATTGACATGGATTTACCTTCTGCTGATAGGTACGGCGATATTCACTCTAAGAATAGACTTAGTGTCTCGTATCTTGTCTCACTTGTTCAACTATACAAATTGTTAAGCCAGATCTTGCGATCGGTTTATCGCTTAAAGGAGAACGTGAATGGTGATGATATTGTTATGAATATTTCAGATATAGCAGCTTTAAATTCAAGTTTGAATAAATGGCTTAACGAGCTTCCTGTTGATCTACGTATTGAAAGTTGTTCTAATGGTGATGAGGAAGTTTATCAACTAAGAAGTTATCTGAAAATTGGCTTTTACATGGTGCAGGTATGTAACATTGAGCATAATAAACACAGAATCCTAACAAGATTCTAGATATACATATACAAGTCATTTTTACCTGATCCACGATCGTTTGAATTGTCTTACTTTAGAATTACAAGCTTGGTAATATGCTCAAATGCCTCAAAATCTATTATCTCAATCCAAAAGAAATTAGTTCTAGATAGGGAGAATATCAATGGGACATGCTACAGCGATCTATTACTCTCTTGGAGTGTTTTCAATGCCACTATCGTTCTTATTCTTAGCTTTTGTGAGAGTCGGAAGAACAAAGATATCAACTTAGATGATTTGGAATATATTCAATTGGGCATTGAAATTCTTAGGAAACGAGAAGCAAGGGTCTTATTATGCGGCAGAGCACTAGATATGCTTTTACAAGTGATTCGGACAGCAAGTCTGCCGTTGGATCCTGCCTTCATGCAAGCGCAAGAAGAACATGTGGAGAAACATCAAAGATCTGGGAATCTAAATGAACAAGGAGATATCCTTTTTATGAACCTGACGCAATTCGAACGACAAGGAACAGATTTCCTGGATGATGTTAACTTAGATAGTATTTTGCCATCATTATCTACCGGTGAAGACTGGTCAGATGTGCTTAATGCCATGTTCAATGGCAATAAGTAGTATAATCATTTGTGTTTGTTTTATTGTTAATATACAAGCATTTATATTACACTTTATAAGTGTTAATGTATGTTAGCTGTAAAGGTATGCAGTTTATTTAATATGTTTGATGATCTTAGGAGGATTTCCTGCAATAACAACATTCTGTTGCGTCTTAGCCTTGATATTCTGGTTATAAACTTTACTTACGTCCGGGAATGTGCCCCAAACAGTGGTTCCTGCGGCGACAGTACATCCTTCAACTGTTAGAAACAGAAGTTATGTGCGCTACAACTCACCATTACCGATTTTCGTAGGAGTTCTCGCGTTGCAAACTATATTCACCGATCCACCTATCCAAACATCATCTCCAATTTCGACTGGATAGCCTCTCTCAAGCTCTTCCAGGCGTTCCTCGACATGAACAGAGTGTGTCGCGGCGTAAATGGAGACATTTGGACCAAATAGCACTCTATCACCTATTATGACCTTCGCAGAATCAAGAATGGTAGTATTGTTATTACAGTAGAAGCTACCTTTGAATTCGATGAATACGCCATGGTCGCAGTAGAATGGTGGTTCGATTGCAAGTTTTTTTGCCTTCTCGAGGGGTATATCAAACAATTGTGCCAATATGTCATACTTCTTTCCATCTATACCGCCGAACATATCCTCTGGCGTCATTCCAGGAGTGTATTTCGCAGGTCGGTAATGCTACCAATGTCAGAGTCTTTTGTGTTCATTTGTGAAACCCACATTTAACTCGTACAGTAAATTCTTTGTGCGTGTTTTCAGCTGTGCATTTTATAAGCTCAGCTATCACCAGAAGTTGATAACACCTACCTGGAGCATCACCGGGTCAGTTAGTGGCAAATATGGCTCACCGTTAAGCATTTTTGTGATTTCTTCACTAGATTTCTCTACTGGCATTGTTTCTTACTTGTAGTTGTGATTAGAGGAGTTACGGAAGTTGTCACCGTCTTATTATATCAGTTACCGGACCGTTGCGTCATATTGATTTCATAATATTAGCGAGCAGTACGATATGACATTGTGCTTGATCTAACGATCACTTTTAGGTGCTTTTGATAAGCCAGAACTGACAATATGAGACTGACAGAATTTGACTACTTTAACGCGTTTAATGTGATAAGCGCAGCTAGTTTTTGTTTAAAATAAATATAGAATCCTCTCCGCTTGCTGTAGTTGTCAGGTAAATGCCAAATGACATATCAAGATAACAATCCAGGAAAGAAAAGTTTATCGTTGGTACAAACAAATAGAAAATAATCAATTAGTGTCCAAACACGTGAGAAATAACGCGAAAAAGTATAAAATTCCCAATTTACTTAACTTTGACGCGCCGTCCTATCTCTAACTCAAACGGTCAAAGGATATACAATAGGAAGAATAGAGAATTAAATTCTAAAGTATGAAATCACCACCAAGACCTAAATCTACGAAATTATCAGAGACATGTCCGCCTCCTCCAGAGACTATACATGACAAAAAGCGCGGTAAAAGCTACGAAAGACATGGTCTATTAGGAGAAGTAGGTATAAAATACGTCGTTTATCAAATTCACAATCAAAATAGGGTGGATTTGCCCGCGTTTATGAAGTTGAGGACGAGCGGGGATACAGACTAGCCATTAAGACGATATCCAAATCTGCGCTCCAATCGAAGAAGAATAGAACAAAAGTTGGTACTTTATTGTGTACATTGAAATTATCTAACCGCTATGCTATTAGCTCTATGCAGAAATCAAACTTCACAAAGCACTATCGCATCCAAATATAGTAGGATTTGAGGAATGTTTCGAGGATGATGAAAACGTCTATATGCTGATGGAATTATGCAAGTCTGGGAATATGATGGATTTGTTACGCTCGAGAAAGCGTTATACCGCCCCGGAAACGCGTTTCTTCCTCGTGCAACTCATAGGAGCGTGTCAATACATGCATGAGCACTCGGTAATACACCGTGATCTCAAGCTTGGTAATCTATTCCTGGACGAATTCATGAACGTTAAGGTTGGCGATTTTGGTTTGGCTGCTCTTATCGAACGCGAAGGGGAGCGTAAAAAGTAAGACTTTCATTGACAAGTAAAAATACTGACTGTCTCAGAACAATTTGTGGTACTCCTAATTATATTGCGCCTGAAGTACTCTTTGATACTTCCAACGGACATAGTTTTGAGGTTGACGTCTGGTCAATTGGTGTCATAATGTGAGAATGAAAACGATAACAATGAAAGACAATATTAATGATGATAGGTACACGCTCCTCGTTGGCAAGCCACCCTTTCAAACGAAGGACGTAAAGGAGATCTACAAGTAGGCATCATTTTTTAAACATCTCCCGATCTAACCCTTGTCAGGCGGATAAAGGACAACTTGTACGAATTTCCAATCGATGATCCAATCCCAACGGAAGCTGAAGATCTCATCTCCTGTATTTTGACACCAGATCCAAGTGAGTTATTTGATTTGTCAAAAATAAACAACTAACCGAATCAATCAGACGACAGACCAGCATTGCATGAAATTTTAGATCACCCATTCTTCTACGGTATCACACCATCATCGATACCAACAACAGCCAGAATATCTAGACCTGATTTCAGCTCAGTGACGAGCGCAGCATCACGTCAGAACATGCGTAGATTGAGACAGCAAGTTGAACTAGACATATCACGACCAATTGCCGCCAAGAATGGCGAAGAAAGGACAGAGAGTGTCTCAGTTGCAGAACAAGAAAGGGAATTCAACAAGGCCGTCGCCCCATCTTCTCCTATTTCTACACTGTTGAGTTCAGCAAGACAGCCACTTATCGTTGCGAACAGCTTGCCATCATCTCAGCCATTGTTAAGACAGGCAACTACAGCTGCACTAGCTGAGCAACAAAAGAAGCAAAAGGCAGATATACAAGCTGCAAATAAAAAATACATCGATAATCTTAAAGAGTCTAACACTGACGAAGAAAAGCTCGCTGACCAGAAGCTCAGGATTGTTAGTGGTATGGTCAACAACGATGAGAAAAACAAAGGGAAATCCAAAGCGGTAGATGAGAACAATGAGGTTAAGCCTAAGAGAACATCTAAAAGTAGCTGTTTTGTTGAAATGCACCAGAATCTCCATAACGCGTTCTTGTCCAAGAAGGAAGCGAGAAAGTTTGAACTACCAGAAGAATACAAAAAAATAGACGTAGAATCAGCGTCAAAGGTTTTCATAGTCAGTTGGCTCGATTACTGCAATAAGTACGGTATGGGTTATGCCCTCACGGATGGTACGGTTGGTGTCTACTTTAATGATTCCACATCGATGGTTTTAGCACCAATAAAGACTAGGTTAGATTATATAGCTTCAAAAGGTAAATCTTCAATGGCTATACGTAAAAATTATACGGTAGATAGTGAAGAAAACGCTTTACCGAAAGAATTAGAATCAAAGATGATGATATTGAGACACTTTGAGGATTATATGCTCGAAAGATTATACGGTTCGAGGTCATACACTTTTGTTGACGAGCAGAGGCGGAAAGGAATGACATTTGTGCAGAGGTATTATAGGATGAAGAATGTCATTGTTTTCAAGCTCTCGAATGATGTCGTACAGTTCAACTTTTATGATCACACGAAGATGATATTGAGTATGGGTGGTTGTTTGATTAGTTATATTGATAAAGACTACGCCTTGTCGAGGTGGACACTTGATGAAATTTTTCAACAAGATGGCGATAAAGAGGATAAGAAGAAAATGGAAGGGATATTAGTCAAATTGAAGTATTGTAGAGATGTTTTTGCTACTACCTCAGGTGCAAAAGTATAATATTAAGAAATAGTCGTTATTGTACATGATATAGTTGGAGTTTGTGTGTTTTAAGCGATATTGCGAAGTACTGTGGGGTTAGTTAACTAAAGTGGTCGGTGCGGTCTATGTTAGCTCACCAAGTATGACGGAATCACCGCTAAAACGAAATTAGTAAAGAAAAGTGATGAGATTAAGAACGTACCGTAAGAACATTTTTGATATGAATCTGTCCTTGTTGATTGGTTGCTTGCCTTTACCCTTTGGGGTTTCTGTCCACATTTCCTTTACGTTCTCGAGTACCTTGAGAATATGAGTGTCTGTAGTGTGTATAGACTATAACTAACCATATTAGAGTGTCTATCAAATGCCTTGACTCTAGCTAATAACTTTCTATTGTTCCTCAAACTGACGAGAATTTGGGTGTTGTTCTTAACGGATTGTTGTAAGACGGACAAAGGACCTTGACTGAGTTCAAATTCCTCCAACTGTCTAATCTGCTCTTCGTTCAACTCAGATTTTGGTGTATTAACGAATTCAGACATTTATTCCTTCTCTCTTCTTGATGGTCAAGAGGAAGCGTGAATTTCAATGCGATGATTGTCAAAAAGAATTTAAAAAATTATCAAAATTGAATGAGCATATGAGAACACACAATGGTGAGGTCTGTATAGTAGCTGCTCATATTCTCCTCTGACGTTAGTCGATAGAAACCATTTGAATGTGAAATATGTAAACTTAGATTTACAAGAGAGCATCATCTGAATGCACATTCACGCACTCATAAATCAGAAGATGAAAAACCATTCAGTTGTGATATTTGTCACAAGAAATTCTGGACAAATCAACATTTACAGCGACATCTAAAGACACACACGAGTAGTTGCATATGTGAAATATGTAATAAGGGTTTTCCAAAGCAGTTCCAATTGCGGAATCACATGGCAGAAGAGCACCATCCATCCGGTACATTACCTTTTATATGCACACATCCAGGATGCGATAAATCTTTCGTTAGTAAACCTAAATTAGACAGACACGCGAGGGTACATCAATGTGGGTCTTAACTTCACAATTGATCACTTATTAACACACCACAGCTGATAGATACTCCTGTGGACATCCTGAATGCCTTCACTTGACATTCTCAAAATGGACCGAATTACAGGCACATATAAAACAATCACATAAAGCTACATGTCCTTATCCAGATTGCCGGAAAGTTTTTTCAGACAGACACAACCTTAATTCTCATTTAAAGTTACATGAGCAAAGGGAGATAGAGAAACAAATAGGTATTGAGGATGAGTCTGCAAAAATACGAGGGGGTATCATAGGTAGAGACTATAAATGTGAAGTTGAAGGTTGCGATAAAGCGTTCAAATCACAGAAGTCGCTAAATGTTCACGTAAACACAACCCATCTGAATATAAGACCATTCCAGTGTGACTCATGTGAAAAGGCATTTGGTCATAAGCATTTATTGGCTCGACATATGAAAGTACACAAAAAGGAGGAGGAAACGGTCGATAAGACCGAAGATAAAATGACAGTTGAGGAATTCACAGGTGTTGCTTACCAGAAACGTACCATCAGTTGTCCGTATCTGAAAATATTAGAGCTAGATAATCTCCCTCATTGTCCATTCAAGTATACTCGAAGATACGATCTCCGTAGACACTTGAAAGCCCAACATGGTATCGACTTCACAAAGCAAGAGCTTAACTATTGGTTGGATGGACACGTCGAAGAAGATAGTGAAGAGGGGGGCGATGATGAAGTACCTGAGACTCATGAAGATATTATAGAATGAGATAATTTGCATTAATTTATTTATTCAACGTTTTGTATTATACATACTACACACACATATACTTTGCATTTCTATACGAGCCCAATCGCACGATAACTACAGCGTAAATATGGGACTAGGCTGGAACTGATAGTCCACAAAAGTAGCAAATCACAACCCGTGATGACCTAGATCAAGCTCCATTAAATTGCCCATATCTAAATTTATATAATTTAGAAGTATAATTCAGCGTCTGACCTAATAGATGAGCACGTTTACAGAGATTAACAGAAACTAGTATAATAAATTGACGCTTAGGAGTAACTTAAAAGCTATTTGGTTTAAATCTAGGTTTTGTCGAATGACAGATACAAATTTCCAAATTTTCGCTTCGTAGATTATAAGTGACATTTGTCACACAACGGACCCAGCATCCGTGATTCGGACCGCTGTAGTAGTGAAGTGAATTTATCCCTTTCTTTATCTTCATAAACTTTTCAATAAATTCAAAATGCCATTGACAGCTGAAGAATTCATGCAAAAGCTAAAATCGAAATACACTTCCCCGCATTTCCAAAAAGCTCTGAATGGGGAAGCATATAAATCACTGGAAGATACAGAAATGGTTAAAGTGAAGAAGAGAGCGAGGCAATTAACACATAAATATAATATACAGCTTCCGCCTGTTGAATACCAGGAGGGTATGTCCAGTCTAAAGAACCTCCCTGAGATATATGGCAGCGAAGAACATTACAAAACGCTTAGCGAACTATTCGATAAGCCAATAGAAGAGTGCAAGACACTCTACATTGAAACTATACAAGTGGATCATGGTGTCTTCATCAACTTTGAGGGATGTAAGTTGCATAAAGAGATAAGTGTTTAGACTAACAAATAAGACTTTTATGCCAATTATGGCCTTGTTATATTAGACTGCAGTGCAGTACACATTGGAAATGGTTGTTCATTTGGCCCTTCAGTTCACATCTACTCTGCTGGACATTCGACAGACGTTGAAGAACGTAAGAAGGATGTCCAGCGTGCTAACCCCGTTACAATCGGTAGGGATTGCTGGATTGGCGGACATGTTGTGAGTCTTTTTCTTCATTGTTTCGATAAACACTCACAATCATGTAGAGCATTATCGCACCATGCACAATTGGAGATGGTGAGTGAATTTATTCTCACTTTATTGGCTTACACTATTCCAGGTGTCACTGTAGCTGCAGGTGCAGTCGTTAGGGGCAACGTTCCAGCGAATGTTGTCGTAGCTGGAAACCCAGCAAGGATTATCAAACATCTCAAAGGACCACAGGTGTTGGCTTAGCATTGTAGATTCTAAAATACCAATTATAGATCAATTAAAAGCATTGATAATCCGCCGTGTTTTGGTATGGCATCACGATACGAGCTGTTTGATCTAGTGTTTCTACGGAATTAATCAATACGACCTTTGATTAGTTAAGAAATGTTATATTGGTTATGATTTCTTTTCACTTTTGACTTATTCTCTGACCTAAACAATAAGGGAATAATCGTTGAGAACATTCCAAGATACATTCATTTCTGTTACTTGTACAAAAAAGCATAAAAGCGTAAATCTCATCTATACTGTGCCTTTAAAACTAGCATTGTCTCAAGCAAAAACTATATCCAAATTTTCGTTGAGCTTATGGTTCAAACCACGGAGTGAGAGCGTTTCAGTATCAGCGTTGAACTCAAACTCGACATCCTGGTCACCATTCTTGACACTAGATGGGGCAGAGCCACTCCAGCCGATAATGTCGACATTGTTGAGTGGTTGACCGATATCGTATGAGTTGGCATCAACACGCGACTTGATACCGCTGGAATTGACATCGAACCAGATGTAGGTATTGGATTCGTTGAATGCACTATGTCCATCATCGAACCAGTAGCTTTGGCCAGCTTCTTGGTTCTTGTTCATTGTGACGAGCGCATTGAACGGTGATTCGGTCGTCTCAGTGACCGTCATTCCTGGCTCGCTGTGTAGGAGTAAGACGGCACCACCTCTGATGTGAACATTTATATCGGTGAGTGGTGTTTCTAAGCCAACTGCTTCATGTTCATTATTGACCTCGAGCTTAGCGTGCGTCTTCCAGTCATAATATGTCTCGTCACCTGGGAAAAATCCTTCAACAACAGTGGCATTTGGACTTAAGACCGGAGTGACAAGAATATGGTCACCAACCAAGAATTGACTGTCCCAGTCAAGGAGTTCGTCGTTTGTTGGGAATTCATAGAATAAAGGTCTGATGAATGGTGTTCCATCAATTGACTGTTGGTAGAGGTTACTGTAGAAGTATGGTAACAATTGGTAACGAGTATTGATCGCCTTCTTCGTCGCCTCTTCAGTTGAGGTCCATCTGTATGGCTCTTGTGGGATACTGCCATACTACAGATTGTTAGAGACATAAAGTTAAGACATGAAATGTACTCACAACATTGTGGTTCCTGAAGAATGGTGTGAGGGATGCAAGCATCATCCATCTAGTACAGAGTTCTTCATCAGTGTTTCCAGAAAATCCACAAGCATCGGCTCCGACGAATGGCATTTGGAATGCAGAGAACTGGAATAATCCCTTGATGCTATCTGCCATACTCTGCCAGGTCGAGTAGTTATCACCGAGCCAATGTTGTGTGAATCTACCACTACCAGCAAAGTTGCTTCTAGCGATGATCATTGAGCGATTTCCTCCATAGATTGTATCAAGAGCATCACGTGTATGTTTAGCAATCATATGGCCGTTAGCATTATGAACATCGTACTCGTAGTATCCATTAGCATGTGTAGCATTTGCAGCAACAGTCTTGTGGCCCAACTCGTTAAACTCGTTTGGCGCACCATTGTGAATTTGGTAAGGTGGGAAAGTGAGCTTTTCAAGATCATTATCGACCGTCTCAAGAGTTCCCATGCGGCGACTGAGCATATCACGACGTGATGGCTTTTGTTCTTCAGGTTTTTGCATGTAAGTGAGTTTACCATCAACTGTAATGTTGCCGCTGTTTCCTGAGGTGATATTGTCGTATCCTTCAGGCCACATCGAGACCGCTGCTGGTTCATAGCGATCAAGTGGACCGAGTCCATTGAGAGAACCAGAAGCAAATGAAGCTGGTTCAGTCATGTCCAACCAGATACTATCAAATGGAATCTCCTGGAAGAATTTCTGGAATGATTCGGTCCACCATTTTCCAACATTCTCTGCGTATGGATCTGGGAAGACGGTGTAACCTAATCTCACATCAGTACATATCATTAAAAGTGTAATGTCTCACCTGGCCAGACTTGTCCAATGTATTCGGTACCATTTTGGTTTTTAATGAAGACGTCCTGCTCATGTCCCTCGGTGTAAAAGTCGTAAACGTCGGATTCATTTCTTGTTATTGGAATTGCATTGTCGACAATAGGTACGAACTTTTGTCCGCGAGCGTGAAGTTTGTTGACGATTTCAGGGAGTCTTGAGAATGAGTTTTGATCAACGGTGAAGTCTCGGTAATCAGTGAGGTAATCTATATCAAAGAATGCACTTTCTTGAGGAATACCTGCATCATACATAGCATTCAAAATTGATTCAAAGTGGGTGTCATTATTGTAGCCCCATCTGGTCAGATGGAAACCCAAAGACCAGTATGGCGGAAGGTAAGGTCTACCAACGAGCTTACCATAGTCACGAATGACATCAGTAGGCTTGTTTTCACCATCACTACCACCAGATAACACGTAAAGGTCGATAATGCCACCAGTACTGCGTGCTTGCCAAACACCATCACGCAACCATGTTTCAAGACCATTTGTTGTTAGCATGAAGACACCATGATTGTATGATTTGCCGTCTTTAATTCTATTTTCGATGTAGAATGGGTGTGTACCGTAAATGTTCGTATCTGTAGGTGTACCTTCATCATTGTTCCAATTGGTTTGACGAGTGTATGAGCTGTTGCGACGGTAGTTTGGTGTTACTGCTTCACCAAGACCATAAATGTTTGCACCTTGTGGAAGTGCTGAGGATAATTGAATGTATTGTGGCTCGAAGATAAGGTTATGGTTTGGCATAACTGATACACTAGCTGAAGTGTCATTCGCATCATATGGTTCACCGTACGCTGGTATTTCTGACAAGCGAGTATCGAATAAGACATCGCCATTGGATCTTCTCGATATCCAGAATGCAAATGGTGCGTCAGAATACTGGAACTCCAGGTCACTGTTATCTCTAAGTGACTCGTCAACGTCGAATTGAGGGCGCGGGAATATTTCTTCAGGCACTTGGAAATGTTTCTCCTCCTATTTTCATTGTTAATATAATTTTCACAGTGTCATTAAGAATCACCTCATCGTAGATCTTGATATGGAGACGTTCTTTGGTCTCGTATGTAGCTTCTAATACAAGATTTTGAACGTCTTCTCCAAAAGCATTGCAAGCATCGCCTGCCAACTGTAGATGTGCTTTAAGACCATTAGCTGTCTGTTCTGTTTGAGCTTCATCGACCGCATAGCCGGGACAATCTAGTACTCTGTTCCCATAGTCGTTTGCGGAAAGTGGACTGAGTGCTAACGCTGAAGTTAGCAAGGAAGCAACCACTGGAGTAGTTTTCATGGCTGCAGTTAAAGAGTTATTAATGTGTTCCCTGTTCTTATTAAATAGGCTGAGATCATGAGGAATTGTGACATCACAGGTACATCCCATATATTCCTGTCATGAGACACGATTATGAAACCCCACATTAGGATGAAAGAAAGCGATCAATTAATTACAAATGTAGAGGCCGGACCTCTAGCGCTTACTTATTCCAAACACACCCAACACGTTCTTCGATAGTTGATTGAAAAGTATGATTAAGTTTAATTTATGTGCCGGTCTCATTTGCGGACTATACGGTGGTAATTTCCAAGGTGAGAATCCGGTCTTGTCAGTACATCGTCAGGCCTATTTATATCCTAGTTATTGATTGATCCGCCTTATTGGGATTCAAACCAATTCAGGTTCTTCCAGTGATTCAGATGCTCTGAATGTAAAATACCTTCTGTCCAAACTGCGACACATCAAAAAAGAGATCTTATCATTATTATACATTTGAATTTTGCAAATACGCTTTAAAAATGTGCCATTATTATACTTCTCGGCTTCTTTTCTGGAAATTGTGCTAATTGCCGTTACGTCATATAGTCTTGATAGTTTTCAAGGACCCTGAGGGTGTTTATATTAAAGGTGCTTGTCTTTATAGATCGAACAAAAAAATCCCCGTGACAGCTACAATCCTAGGCATAAATTCGATCATGCCATCATTGACAAGCGTTGTAGCTAGAAATAGGTCGAGAAGTGCGAACATTATGGATTTTCACCTTGTACATGTATGAGACTTTTAGCCATTTACAACGAGTATCCTAACCGATTCGTCACCTCTCAAAATGTGTATCTGCAACGAGGAAGACATTAGCCTCATTGGCCAAATTTAGGGCGACTTGCGTATTAGCTCGTCTTTGTATATTTTAGCTTTTTTGCATAACCCTTAGCTACCCTTGCAAGTTAATAAGATCGATGTGCGCTTATCTTTCCCCTCATCCCATGTCATATTAAGCTCTTATGCTCTCGTATATTCTACTTCCAGTATGTGCTCTAGATGCGGAAGGTTGAGGCCCGATTTCGAATTCTGCGTTTTCGGTGAATAGAAGCTAATTTGAATTAATGGAGTCTTTCTGCAGGTACCCAAGCGCGGGAGACCAGCTCCTCAGGGTCATTATTCCGGAAGTTATCATGTAAACTAGTTAGCTGAGATGTATTTATATAGGTTTCTTATTGTCAATATGTTGTATCACTCCAGGTCCTATGAGACATCTGTATATATCAAATACAATAACCTTGTTGACAGCATCGATAGAGGACATCAAATATACAACAATACAGATACTCGATCCATTGCAAAATATGGTAATTTTCAACACCTTCACTTGCTTATGCCATTCTGCAACAACGTAGTACGCAAAAGCTAAGGACGACAAATAGAGACAGATACCAATGGCTACTAGACAATACATTATTTTGCAGCTGAGCAACGCCACCTATTGACTGATGAAAAGTGCTGCTATCTTGCTTTTGTAGGTGTTACGACATGCTAGTGTTGAACAGATCAGCCAATTGTCATCAAAATCTGGTTTAACATAATATGATCGTCTTAGTATGACCTTCACTATCTTTTGGGTGTTCGGAATTTGGGTGATGATTGTAGAAATGAACAAAGACAACTACACAGAATAGAAATCAAATGTGTGAAATACGGAGAATGCTGCAGAAATACGGATACATGCCTTATTCCTTGACATGTACATCTTTTTGCGTATTACTGAGCGATACACTTAGGTGTTTCAGAAAATAAGACATCATATATTTTGTCTTATCCGATGACACAAATTCAAACCTTTGAGTCTCAGTCTGCGATGTTCTGGCTTACCAGCCTGACACAATTTTGAACTACAGTAGACATTTACTTTAACGCAGATAAGCCAGAAGCTCAACAAAGCGAAGAACTAAGATTATGTACACCCTGGATTAATAGTCTCAATAGATAAACAACAGCCACGTCTGCATATAAATTTTTATATATATCTATTCGATGTAACCTGCATAATATTGCTCATGAATAAGAGAAAGATCTCACTTATCTACAAGTTATTTGATAAAACGTATGAGTGTTTCTAAAAAACCTCTTCAATTATACATTGGTAGCAAGTACGAACTTGGAAGTATTGGAGTATTCCAAATGGTTAAGAAGCCCATAAATTATGTGGCAATAACTTTTACCCGATGAACATAGAAGAGAAAATTTGACCAGTGAAATTGCCAAATACTTCTTATCACAACAATTCAATGGTCAAAAATTATAATAGAATTAATGTCGACAATAAATGGATGAATAATAGTAAATTCTTCATAGATAATCTAGACTCCCTTAGGGTGTGCGTCTTTCCTAAGAAAAATAAATTCAGAATGTGATCCTTTATTGCATTTAAAAACCAACTCAAATCATTTTTGACATCCGTCGTGAGAGATTTAATGGTTTGATTATCCAAATGAGGGCGAAACGGCACTCCCGTCCTCTTGTTGTATATCAATCAGTGTTAGCACATCTCTGTACACTAAGTCGATGTTATACTCTAAATTATAGATATATTTATGTGATTAAAAGTAATATGGAGAATACATCGTTAAGATGCAATATGACTCAATCCCTAGTTTTATGTCGATTAAATCTGTCATCATAGAGTTCAGTGACTTTCTACAAGCCTAAGGGCACGCTAGCTGATCCAATAGACTTTGCTTACTAATTTGAAAGTTACAATCGAAATGAGTGAAGAGAATGTGAAACTATCTCCACGAAGCATCATCCGCAAGCAATCATTGCTCATATGTGGATAATAAGTACGCAGATGAGAGAACTTTGGCAATCGAAGTAGCTTTTAGGGATCTGCTATTTATGATGTATCTATTTAATCTTTTAAACCAGTGCACCACTGCGTCTACACGTGGATTCTTTCTTCAATACCAAACATGACGGGTATTACGGGAATGTGATTAAAGATGGTGAATATTAATTCATCAGAAACATCATCCATTACGCTCATATTTCTATACTCCCTAAAGGAGAAATATTCATACCAAACCGGCAAATGTTTATCAAAGTTTAAACGAAATGGAATTCTTCTCTTTAGTAAATGAAAGCACTGAATAAGTGGTCAACGTATTCTGTACTGATTCTGCTATTTCTTGGTTTTGGCATTAGTGATGCTTTTGTAGATACGTTAACATCCTGTACGTCAGAAGTATGAGTAGTCTCGTATCTAAACGAATAGTACAGCCCTCAACGTCACTGATAAAATAAAATCGAACTATCTCATCATTTCAGTTCGTTTGTATGGGGTTGGTACGGTTCTAGGGTCTATAGTCAATTGCTTCCTCTCAAATTACATAAGTGTGAGGACTTCACTGTTGATTTCGTCGGCGACTTGTGCAATTGGTGCACTTATTCTCTCATTTGGGCCACCAATGCCCGCATTCGTCTTTGGTATGGCAGTCTTGGGTGTGGGCATTTCAATGTGTAGGGTAATTGCAGTGTGTATACTCGTACAATATAGAGAGAATGCTGTTATTGGGATTATGTATGGGTTTAGCTCTATCGGACAAACTACAGCACCTTTCCTGCTCCGCTTGATACAAAAAGTCACTACATGGAAGCATTTCTTTTGGATAATTATGGCATATTTCGCAATAATTGGTATCATGCAGTTCTTTGTCTTGAAAGATGTCGTTTTATACGGCAGTAAAGGTGATCTACTGCCCATTAGACAGAAATGGCATGGTATACTCACCGACAAGAAGCTATGGAAACGGATAATGTCTTTGACGTTAAGTCAGCTTATAACAGAATCGTTAGTGACTAGTATTCCAATGTACGTCCCCTCACACGATGCACAGATGGGCTCACTGGATGAGCACTTACGTAAAGGACATAAAGAAACTGACATTCCACGTCTTGTCCATTGGTTCATTCGAGCTAGCGATATATCGATCGGGTGCGACGGTCAGCTCGATATGCTTCTCGCATCTGTACAAGAAGGTAGGATATAAGCGTTCGAATCTCGCCCTGCTGTGGTCGACATGTGGATTCCTCATTGGTATAAATGAGGCACAAGGCATACGTTCCGTCAGTATATTGAATGCCTTCATAGGTTTTGCGCTTGCACCAACGTTGGCTAACATGCTGGGCAGCATTTCAAGCGATATTAATCTCCCTTATGTCGAGACGACAGTATCATTCGCGTTGGCAGTATCTACAACGGGTGTTGTTGTCGGGCCCCTTGTATTGTCGTTCTTGATTAGGGATTTTGGTATTGACGTGATTGTTGGAACATCTATCGTTATGGCCTTCGTGGCTTCTTTGTCGAATATACACGAACCAGTCAGCCTTGTCAATAGTATCAAAGCGCTGCCGCGCAGGGCATTTCTTCAGTCGGATTTAGTTAGAAAACGATTGATGAACCACAAGGAACAGCTTTAATGTGTATTTTATTGTATTTTTAAATGTAAGAAATGTTATTCATAATGATAATGCTAGTATCCAAGCAGGGTCTCATACTACGGCGCATTAACACATTCAAGTGATTGATAATGATTACCTCCACTTGGGCGTTAGCACCTATGCAAAGGTTATTTTGGCGATTTTAATGTAACTGAAGAGTGAAACAGCTTTAAAATAAGATTTGGTAATATCCGTGATGAACTGGTTCATTAAAATGTACTGTTCCTGAAGCTTGTATGAAACAAGTTCCGGAAGTAAATTAACGAGAGAAATGAAAGAACTACATAGAATGGGTAGTTCATGTTGAATTTATAACTAATAGGCTACTATCACCACCCTCACACTCGATCGTGGACGTTGCAGAAATTTTTAATTAAAATTGCCGAAACTTAGTAAGTTCGAAGTTGACTTGCAGCTTGTCAATCAAGAAACGCTTTTTTAAAAGCCTTACACACTCATTTAATTAGACTCAAAGTCGCTTAAAATTCTTACATTTCGTAAACGCCCACTGCGCTCAGACCTTCAGATTTCATAAGAATCAACAATCATTTACAAAGATGGGATTATCAGGAGGAGCGATCGCTGGTATCGTTGTTGGTGTGGTAGTTGGTACAGGTCTTATTGTAACGATTTTGGTGCTGCTTCACCTGCTCAACAAGCGCACAAATGCAATTGAGAGGACGAGATCTGATAATATAGAGAAGATCAACAGCGCTGAAGCTGGTCAGAATTACGGTCACAATCTTACGCTAGTCAATGGCGATAAGGATAAGCCTGTCGTGCCAGACGATAACTTCAGAACATCAGTTGAACAATCAGTACAAACCTCTAATGCAGCAGCAGGCGAGGATGTACAACAGAACCTTATGGATAGTTACAAAGATACGAATCAATCACAAGACGCATTTATTTACCCCGGGTGAGTACAACCAATGCCAGACCTCTTCCCTGACTTACCCTGCTAGTTCAAACGTATTCGTACTTTACCCATACAATGCTGCTCTTCCAGATGAGCTGACGATTGTACCAGACCAGACTATAAGAGTTACGAGAATCTACGATGACGCGTGGGCTGCTGGTCAGATCCTTGGTTCATCGTTCAGAGAGGGTGCATTCCCATTGGTCTGTGTTACAGTTTCAGAGGGTGCTGCGACATCTATACATGGTTCAGCACCAAAGGCACCATCAGTCAGATCTTCGTCTGTCAATTCGAGACAATCTAGTTTCAAATCTGCATTCCAGTCACCATCTGAAGGTGGAAAAGCATCCTGGGTTGCAGGCAGACCTGTCTCTGTTGGACACGTTGCGGGACGCAAGCCAGCATCTTCAAAACAATCAAACCACTAACTTAACGGATAAACGGAAATGGATATTTCAAATTTCGCCTATACTACCCTTTAGATTGTCTTTTTAATATATTTTTATCGATGCATGTGATATTTTTGTTATTTAAACGTTCTAGGAAGAGGGAAGACACGCTGTGAAGGCAGAAAGGATAGTGTTTTTATGTATACTGATGGTTTATATAGCTGCACGAGGCTTAATAAATTTTTTTTTATATTCCCTCACACTTCTGATCAAGCAACTCTGCTCTTAGAATTCGACTAGAAACTAAAGTGAGTGGGCAAATATAAAAAATGGCGTTTAACTAACAAATGGACAGATGAGTGCAGAAGTTCCTACATTCAAGCTTGTTCTTGGTGAGTAGACGCGATTCCTCCTCTAGTTTGCTTACATTTATTCAGTTGGTGACGGTGGTACTGGTAAGGTAAATCATAGATTGCTTTTCTATTAAGTTCCTAGCTCATATATCCCCCTAGACCACTTTCGTCAAGCGTCACACCACTGGTGGTAAGTACGAATGCTTGAGCGTCATTTTACTAATAATTTACAGAATTCGAGAAGAAATACATTGGTAAGAAACATTTTTTATAGTGGTGTAACCCACAGCTCACGGTGTATAGCCACTCTCGGTGTAGAAGTCCACCCATTGGCTTTCGAAACTAACTTCGGTAAAGTTTGCTTCAACGTTTGGGATACAGCTGGACAAGAGAAGTTCGGTGGATTGCGTGACGGTTACTATATCCAGGGTCAATGCGGTATTATCATGTTTGACGTTACCTCAAGAATCACATACAAGAACGTACCAAACTGGCACAGAGATTTAGAGAGAGTCTGTGAAAACATTCCTATCGTCTTGTGTGGTAACAAGGTTGATGTCAAGGAACGTAAGGTCAAGACTGGTGCTGTTACATTCCACAGAAAGAAGAACTTGCAATACTTCGAAATCTCAGCCAAGTCAAACTACAACTTCGAGAAACCATTCTTGTGGTTAGCTAGAAAGCTCGCTGGTAACCCAACCTTAGAATTCGTCGCTGCACCAGCGCTCGCTCCACCAGAAGTTAAGGTCGACCCAGAACTCATGGCCAAATACAATGAAGAACTCCAACAAGCAGCTGCAGCACCACTTCCAGATGAAGATGACGCTGACCTTTAAACGATATAATAATTTCTTATCCTTTATCATTCATGAAATGCGTTGAATCTTACAAAAGGGCGAGACATTATTGTGAAAATTGTAAATTACAGTGTATCCAGAGAGGAGACAATGAAGATATATTAAGTAGATGCTAAACGCTAGACGAGTAAGCTTTCCAGCGGTGTCGCTGATTTGCCTATAGGAAACCATTTGATAAGTACGCCACCATTGCCGCCGTATTTATCTGGGACTCACGACGTTGTATGTGTTCGCTAGGCTTGTTAGCCATGTGTGTATCAATCGTTGGCCTCTTTGGAGATTTTCCCTCCCCGTGCTCGCCTACAGATGGTCTCCTGTGGGCGACGGTATGCGAGAGATGAGCTTGTACAACTGATGCGTGTGGGTTGTATTCCAATTGCATTGTATGTCAGTGTCGAGTAGAAAGTGTGATGTTCTTTTATGTGCGTCTGAAGCTGCACCTAGACCCCTGAGCAAGACAGCAGCTGACTTGCTAGACAATGCACTAGACAACCGAGAGCAAAGTTTATTTTTATTTTTTCTAATTATTTTTAGTGAGAATTACTTGAAAAGTCCCTAGTATACTCTTTATAGTAAACGACCATAATGTCAAGCAGCAGCAACAGCTCAATCGTTGCTGTACATTACAGAGTAGGCAAGAAAATAGGTGAAGGTAGCTTCGGTGTTATATTCGAAGGTCCGTCTCTACATAGCTATTTGGCGACTCTGACGTGGTCTACGCAGGCACAAACCTCCTGAATTCGCAAACTGTCGCTATTAAATTTGTAGGTATTCACTCTATTAAACTACCAGCACTCACTTCTCTAGGAACCTCGCAAATCAGACGCACCTCAACTACGCGATGAATACAGATCATACAAAATACTAGCAAATTCACCTGGTATTCCACAAGTCTACTACTTTGGACAGGAAGGTCTCCATAATATTCTCGTTATCGACCTCCTCGGTCCATCACTTGAAGATTTATTCGACATGTGCGGTAGAAAATTCAGCATCAAAACTGTCGTTATGACTGCAAAGCAAATGATCACTAGAGTACAGGCTATTCATGAGAGAAACCTTATTTATCGTGATATCAAACCAGACAATTTCCTCATCGGTCGTCCTAATACCAAGAACGGCGCAACAGTTCATGTTATTGATTTTGGTATGGCAAAACAATACAGAGATCCAAAAACAAAGCAACATATACCATATAGAGAGAGAAAATCCTTATCTGGTACAGCTAGATACATGTCTATCAACACTCACTTGGGTAGAGAACAATCAAGACGTGATGACTTGGAGTCATTAGGACACGTCTTTATGTACTTCCTTCGTGGTGGCCTCCCTTGGCAAGGTTTGAAGGCTGCTACCAACAAGCAGAAGTATGAAAAGATTGGTGAAAAGAAACAACTCACTCCAATTAAAGAACTTTGCGAAGGTTTCCCTGAAGAATTCGGTATTTACCTTAACTACGTTAGAAAATTGGGCTTCGAAGAAACTCCTGATTACGATTTCTTGAGAGATTTATTCACAAAAGTTTTGAAAAACTCCGGTCAAGTGGAAGATGGCGTCTACGATTGGATGTTGATCAACAACGGCAAAGGATGGGAAGTCGGTAATTCATCATCACATCGCGATCACCACCACAGACACCGTGAGAGAGAAAGAGAAAGAGCTGATTATAGAAGATCACAAGCAGCAGCGGCAGCAGCAGCAGCAGGTGCTAACGGTCAAAGCGGCGCCAATGGTGTTTTACCACCTTCACCAGCTTTGGTTAGACATGGATCAAAACGCGGTCGCACTAACAACGGTAATCTCAACGCATCTTCGCAAATGTTGGCTCCTACTTCACCAACTAACGCACAAAGTCCACCTGCAAATTCCCGTAGACAATCACAGCAAAATCAATTAAATACTGCCCACCCATATGCTTCAACTACAGGTGCGATAATGTCTCCTTCAGATCTCGGTGATAGAAATGCCGCAACCCCTTCACCTGCTAGAGATTTAAACAACCGTAATAAAGGATATATGAATCAAGATTCCAATCAAGGTATTTCAAACCAGAACGTCGATCAAAATGGTGAAATTAACCAATCAAATAATCAAGATAGGCAAAAGAATGGTGGTGCAAGTAAAAAGTTGGTCGATTTCTTGACTTGTCGTTGTTTATAAGAAGAGAAATTAAAATCAAAGATACCAAAAATTCATCACGTTTATATTGATAAGACATTAATATCGTATATGGTTTAAATACAAGTGAAAGTTTTACTCTCCTTTCTCACTTCATTCTTCACTTCTCATTGGTCTCAGATAATATACCCTTCAGAAATAACATCGAATTGAATAGTTCATGTGTCATTCACTCATTTTGTTTACATTCTTTTATAGTCAAGATTAATCATAATACATAGTTTAGTTTATTTTGAAGTTGTCGTTGTTTTGTCGAATTGTTCCCATTTAGATGCCGGGAATATGTGCTTATTTGAGTTGTACCAATTCCGTTCTACAACTTTTGCGGCTTTTTCTGCGTCCGTGAAATCAAAGAGATGACCGAGTTTACTCCGTGTTTGGTTGACTTGGAAATCGTAAAAGGTGTAGTGATGTGGTAGAATAAGATCATGCTGATAATGAATTAAGTATGAGTGAAATTAGCCATATAAAACTCACCATTACCATCATTAGATTGTCCACATTGTTTGACTTCAATTTTGGAAACTTCTGACGCGTTTTATCTAAACATTGTGCGATATTTTCACCTTTCTTGCAAACTGTTGTTGATTTATGACTCGTTCCATCGAAATAAGCGAATTGAATAGTCAAATCTTCAGATTTTATGTCTTCTTGCTTACGTAGGAACTCTTTACGAAGTCTTTCACGCTCGTTTATATCTGCAATATCTCTATCTCTATCTGGTAAAAAGGACGTATCTACTTGTGGATTTTTGAGCTTTTTTGATGTGTCTTTGGTGTCGTCACCGTCTAAATCACCATCATCACCAGCAAATGAAAGTTTGGTTGATGTCTTCTTTGTCTTTGATTTCTTTTTTGGTCTGTGTGTAGTTGATGAAGTACCTGCAGCATTCCTCGCTGCTTCTTCTTCAATTTCTTTACGCTTCTGCTTGAAATCATCCAAGTGTACTAAACCGATAGTATTTTTCTTAAGTGATTCTTCTACACTTTCCTTATTTTCTGTCTTTTTTATTGAAAATTCCTTTGACATTCCTTCTTCTGAGTTGACAGTGTATGCTGAAGTGCACACTCAGTAAATTTACGAAGAAAATGACAGAAAGTACTTGGAATTTACCTAATAAACTAATTGAAGAACCTTCTTTGAAAGTTTACAATTCACTTTCACGTTCAAAAGTCTGTTTATTTTATACTCTTTATATAACACAATTGATAAGTTATTTAGGTTGAATTTATACCAACAAATGGTAGAACTGTAACTTGGTACAACTGTGGTCCAACTGTGTATGATTCGAGTCATATGGGTCATGCTAGAAACTACCTTACACAGGATATCATAAGGAGAATTCTTAGGGATTACTTCAGTTATGATGTTAAATTCGTTATGAATATCACAGACGTTGACGATAAAATCATTCTTAAAGCTAGACACAGCCACCTGCTTGAAAAATATAAGCAAGACAATCCAACACCAAATGAAAAAGTTGAAAACGATTTACTTCTCTCTTTCCAAGCATTCGTGGAGAAAGTAATACCATTGTTTAATAATATACCGTCAATAGACGCCCTAGAGCACAAACAAGCAGCAGAGTTGATCGTCAGCCATGCCCAAAATAACCTTCAAGCTTGGTCAGAGAAAGATCCAAAAGCTGGAATGTACGTACAAACACTTAGGGATGGTTTAGAAGCACTTTCGAGTCAGTCGATTGATAAAGCACAAGATATTCTTTGTCCATATCTTGACAAACAGTTCGGAGAGAGCGTTAGAGATCCAGCCATTTTCAGATCCTTGGCTGCCTACTGGGAGGGCGAATTCTTTAAAGATATGTCTGCACTCAATGTCGAAAAGCCGGACACACTCACGAGGGTTAGTGAATATGTACCAGAAATCATCACATTCGTCGAGAAGATCATATCGAATGGGTTTGCATACTCTAGTTCAGATGGAAGTGTCTACTTTGATACAAAAGCATTCGATGGTGCTAAATCTAAAAATGGTTTCGAGCACAGCTATGCTAAACTTCAACCATGGTCAAAGGGCATTAAGGAACTTATCGAGGAAGGTGAAGGCAGTCTTTCGAGCGGAACAGGCAAGAAGAATAGTTCAGATTTCGCACTTTGGAAGACGTCCAAACCGGGCGAGCCTTCTTGGACATCACCTTGGGGTGAAGGCAGACCGGGTTGGCATATAGAGTGCTCTGTCATGGCTAGTGAAGTTCTTGGTCATAACATTGATATACACTCCGGTGGTGTCGACTTGAAATTCCCTCACCATGATAATGAAATCGCCCAGAGTGAAGCATGCCACGATTGCCCAGAATGGATCAATTACTTCCTCCATACGGGTCATTTGCATATCGAAGGACAAAAGATGTCGAAATCACTCAAGAACTTCATCACTATTGAGGAGGCACTCCGTAGATTCTCAGCTAGACAGCTTCGTCTTGCTTTCATGTTACAGCTTTGGAATACACCTATGGATTTCAAAGAGAGTGCAATGACTGAAGTCAAGAATTACGAAAGTATGCTCGCGAACTTCTTTACCAATGTCAAAGCAATCAAGAGAGATGTCAACGAAAATGTTCTAGAATGGGATGGTAAACACCACTACGACAATCTCGAGAAAGATCTTGATGGAAAGTTAACAAATGCAAAGGCCAACGTTAGAGCAGCGTTATGTGATTCATTCAATACACCAGCCGCACTCCAAGTCATTGCTGACTTAGTGGGTAATGCTAACGTATACGTCTCTCAACAGAGATCAGCAAATCGCGTAATCAATGTTGATATTTTGGAGAGTATAGCCAAATACACAACAAAGATGTTGTCTATATTCGGTGTTATTCCAGCAAATCAATTGTTGGAGATCGGTTGGTCAGATTCAGACAACGCAAGCGGCGGAGACAAAGAAGAAACTATCATGCCTTATGTGAAAGTTTTGTCTGGTTTCAGAGATAAAGTGAGACAAATCAGTATCGACAAACCTGAAAATGCCTTAACAGAGATTCTCAAACTCTGTGACAAAATCAGAGATGAAGAGTGTGTAGACCTTGGTATAGCGCTCGACGATCAAACGAATGGCAAGAATGCACTAGTTAAACTTGTTAACCCAGATCAACTTAAGGCGGTTAAGGAGGAAAAGGAGAAGCAAATAGCGCTTAAAGCAGCTAGATCAAAATTGGCCAAAGAGCAAGCCGAAGCTAAACGTATAGAGAAACTAAAAAAAGGTAGTGTTAAACCTGAAGAAATGTTTAAGAATTCAACAGAATTTTCACAATTTGATGATCAAGGTATACCAACTCATGACAAAGATGGTCAAGAGCTCGCGAAGAAACGTCGCAAGAACCTGATCAAAGAGTTTGAAAGTCAAACGAAATTGTATAAAGAGTACTTAGACGCTGGTAGTCCAGTATTTTAAAATTTTTTAATGTAATTTATAAAAAAAAAGATTGTTAGTTTGAAGTTCAAATATGACGTCGACAGCTTCGTTAAGGAATAATCTCGATGCTTTGAATAGAATACTAAGAATCGATAATATAACAATCGACGAACGCATTTCTATACTATCACTCAAAGTTAACCTCGTCAGCGACAGCGAGAAATGCGAAATACACCTCGAGTTGGCAGAATTATACAGCGACTTGAATAAATTAGAGCTCGCATTCGTAGAACTAGACCAAGCACAGTCGATCGTACAATCGAATAAAGATAAAGTAATTGAAATATTACACAAGAAAGTCGACATCGAAAGAAGAAGACAAAGGCTGAACAGAGCAGAGCAATTGGTCAAGCAAATAGAAAAGCTCAAGCAATGAACATTTATAGTGTAGTTTTAATAGATTCAGCTACAGGCGATAGCGGCTGGCTTGTATACTGTTGATTCGGCAACTGGGTATGATCTACTGGAATGGAGGGATCTAAGCTATAGAGCTCATCTTTAATAGCTTGTCTTGCGATATCGTTGAGATCTTTTGTTAATGTTATCAATATCTTTTTTAGTTTTCCGTCAGTCTTCCAGATTTGATCGAATGTGTGAACACCAAGGTCTGATTTCAGAGTAGATGACGACTGTTGACGTTTGAGGCCATCAGTGAATGGCAACAAATTCGTCTGAGCAGAGGCCAAACTATGTAATGACGTAGATGACGGCTGTGATGATAAGTGTGGTAATTGCGGTGGTGGTGGTGGTGATGTAGAGTAATTTGTTGGAGATATACTATACATAGGTGATAATGGGCTTGAATTGGCCATTGTTGATCCAAGTATTGAGGATAATTTGCAATATATCTGTACGAGAATATCGCATAATGTGTATATTACCTCAAAATAACTCAATTGAAATGGTATATTTGGGTTTGTTAAGTAGGTGATATCATTAGATCCACTTCCGTCATTTGAAGCACCCTTTTTTGACTGCTTCATTTTGAATAGATTCTTGATCTTAGGTTTAAAATTTTCATCCTCTATATTATCAAATTCAGATAAAGTGGCTGATAAACTCTTTACGAAATCTGATGGTTGATGATTATCAAGGTGATAGCTAAGGGATAAACCGAGTATAAGAAATTTGTTGGTTCTGTATGCTATTAGATAGTCAAACAAACAGAGATCTACGCACCTCTTGGCCATTTTGTAGTCATCCAATGTGTGCTCCAGGTCCTGCCTGGATAATAAGACTGTATTAAACCAGTGTAATTTCCTAGAAAGGCCTTTGAGTGGGAGGAAGGGTATAAAGAAGTAAACTAACCCTTCATAAGCCATTCTCATAAGTTTGAATGATTTTATACGTCTAACGATAGTGTCTTTTAATAAATCCATCCCGTCATTATCGTTCAGGGCTATATTCTCAATTGGATCGCTGCCTTGTCGCGATCTACCCGAAGTTGAAGAAGTACCAAGGGTTGAGAGCAAATTACTAGCTGATGATTTTCTACGCATGCCTTCCCTTTTGTTAATTGCCTCAGGATAGAATAATTGCTCCATCGTCGTTGCGCTCGAAGGTGTTTACTCACAGTCAAGAAGTTATAATGGAGTTTGACGGTAACTGGAATGCCTTATCTGAGCAGATGGGTAATCTGAACAATTTACTCGCTTGTCAGTATTTTATGCTTTAAATCACAGACCTCTGACGCTCTAGATAGCATCCGCTGGTACAACAAGCCACAATTCACCTTGTACGAGTTATCTAGACGATAAAGAAATGTCTACCTACGGTTCATTCCCGATGTCCTCACTCAACGATCTCGACGATGGTCTCAAAGTCGTTAATTGCACTGAATGCTTGAGACCAGTACAGAAATCTGCTTTAGAAGAGCATTCAAGTGAGTATATAATGTATTATACATATTTATACTAATATAACCCAAGTCAGTTGCTCAATTATGAAGCAAATCAATCAATCACAGCCGAAATCTTCGAATAACCGGAAATCTAAGTTGAAGAGAGAAGAAGCCTCCTCTACCCCAACGCCTGTACCTTCTTCTGCTGACTTAACAGCCAATCCGTCCAAGAAAAGAAGATTAAGTGATGGTATGCTCTTCTTCATGAGATAAGCTAATCTGACGACATTCTACAGCTTCACAGCATTCACAAACAAGTTCCAATTCCCCACAGAAGAAAAGCCGTAAATTAGACGCAGAGAGTTTGAAAATTAAATCAAAATCATCATCTTCTACCGGCTCAACATCGAAAGCGAGAAAAGAAGACGGTCCAGTAGATCTTGATAGTCAATGTGGTGTGCTCAACGCAAAAGGTGTGCAATGTTCGAGATCGCTCACCTGTAAAACCCATTCTATGGGTGCAAAAAGGGCTGTTATCGGTCGTAGTAAACCTTATGACGTATTAACATATGAATTCGAAGTAAAGAGAAAGCCAGAATTGGCTGACAAGCCAGTACCAAAAGCTGTCACACAATTTGAAGCCGATAGGGCAGCAGCTAAGAAGAGGACTACGCCAGTGCAGACACCTACACCTACACCACCTGTCAAACCGAAAGTATTACCGAAAGTGCCAGCTATCGAGGAGAAAGCCATCGGTGTTACATCCTGGGAGAGTCAATTACCAGCGCCAGATGAAGAGCTTCTACCTACGACTGGCTTAGAACTCGATATTGAAATCAGCAAAATAAGAGCAATCACGGCTGCACACACTCCAAAAGCACTTGGAGGACCTACTAATAGAATGTCTGGCTTGATACGCAAACGTACAATGATGAGAAGATGTTTAATGAAATAATTATTGTAAAATTGGTTGTATAATCTGTACTATCTAGACGACGAAAATATATATATGCAAAATAAGCGCCATCAGCTCACAGATGATGACACTAGACCACAAAAACGTAAAAGACAGGATTTAGAAAGATCTCTGTCACGCCTCCATATAGATCCCACTCCAAGGGTCGATAATGATGTCGAAATGGAGAAATCTGGGACATATGAGCCTGATAAGCATAGGATTATCGTATATGATTTAGATGAGTATGATAGTGAGCCAGAAGATAATAAAGCACAACTTCCGAAGCTCAAAGTACCAAAAATGATAAATAACACACAGAATATGATACTAGGGAAGATGACACAGCAGGAAGGACAGCTTGTGCTATATAGACCGTTAGACATACCCCAAAAGGAACAGCAAGGAGAGCAAACGCAATGCAAAGAAGACAACTTAGAACCAATGGAAATCTAATCGATCTAGTCAATCTATTTATTTATTTATTTATATTCCTCGTAGTTTCTTATATCACAAGTTTTACCAAAATCATCTAGATGCTTCCGGAGTATCTCAGTTATTTCTTTACGTGTCTCAATTTCATCTGTTTGGTCATTCTTTAGTTTTTCAAGAAGTGGCTCGACCGTCCAATTAATGGGATCCCCTATATCTACAGTTATTCGTGCATTCGTTGACGGCAGAGCTGTGTATTTCCTGCCGTCTTTGAATACATCGTTGAAACCAGTGAGGTGTATAGGCAAGATAGTTGGCGTTTGCTCTGTAAGAGTGAGCATACGACCGACACCCCACCTGAATGGACGAAGCGGTGATGGTGTGGTATGTGGATTGAAATTTGGTGGTGGAACGTTTATTCTGCCTTCAGGGAACATACTCACCTGTGATCGTTTAGATGTAATATGAAGTAAAACATAGAGACTCACCCATTTAGCTTCGTCTAGTAACTGAGCTGCTTGATAGACTGCTGGCTGATCGACACCATTCCCTCTATATGTCTCTAACACCTGGCCAGCTTGGAAGAATTTCCGAAAGATTGCGTTCGTGAATATGACATCAGATGCGCCTAGCGTCCACCGTCTGTATTTCGGCTGTAAGAGTGTCTTGAGCGGTAAGATAGCTGGCCAAAGTGGGTCTTCTCCACTGATAATTGGTGATATTAAAATGGGATCTGGTAATTGATAATGTAACCTACACTGCTCTGTGATTTGTTATTGTTAAAACACCTCTACTGCTTGATAAGGCTTTTGTCAACTTCTCTAAACCTCTAACCTTAAGAGAATGAGTGCCAAATTTGTAGAAGAGCTTAACTGCACTGCTAACAGTGAGCATAATTGGTAATGTTAGATTACTCGTAGGTGGTTTTGTATATTTCATTCAGAATTTGAAGGTTGAAGAACAACGATCAAGATGGAATCTGAGGGGAAGCAGCCAACATCAATCATATTACTTGGCATGGCTGGTAGTGGAAAGTCTACAGTCTTGCAACGCTTAAACAGCTACCTACACTCACAGAAAAAGCCACCTTACGTAATAAATTTAGATCCAGCAGTTAGACAATTGAACTATTCAGCTAATATTGATATAAGAGATACTGTCGATTATTCTAAAGTTATGAAACAATATAATTTAGGTCCAAATGGTGGTATTATCACCAGTTTGAACTTATTCACTACAAAGTTTGATCAAGTTTTGGGTTTAATTGAGAAAAGGAAGAGTGAAGTTGATCATATATTGATTGATACACCAGGTCAAATTGAAATATTCACTTGGAGTGCTTCAGGTGCTATTATTACAGATGCGATAGCATCTGAAGTACCTACCGTTATCGGTTTTGTTGTTGACACACCACGCACTATGGCACCAGCAACTTTCATGTCTAATATGCTCTACGCCTGTTCTATCTTATACAAAACTCGCCTCCCAGTTTTGTTGATCTTTAACAAGACAGATGCTCAAGATCACAGCTTTGCTACTGAATGGATGACCGACTTTGAGTCTTTCCAAGCTGCATTGAGTAACAGAAATGCGACGTCGACATATAATTCTAGCAATCTTAATGAAGAACCAAGTTATATGAACTCTTTGATGAACTCTATGAGTTTGGTATTGGAGGAATTTTACTCGAATATAAAGGTAGGTGATGATTTAGAAGTGAAGGTTCATTCTAATTATACAATAGACAGTTGGTATTAGTGCCATGACCGGTGCTGGGATGCAGGAATTCTTCGAGGCTGTCGACGAGTGCAGAGAGGAGTACTACAAAGATTATAAACCAGAACTCGAGAGACTCCGTAAAGAGAGACAAGAGAAGAGTGAAGAGAGAAAAAAAGATAGTCTAAACAGATTAATTAAGGATATGAAGACAAACGACGAAGAACCAATCGAATCTGACGCCAGTGAGGAGGAAGGTGAGACATTAGACGCACAGGATATGAAAGAGAGGGGTATAAATATCAGCAACAACTACGATGATGGTACAAGTTGGCCTAGACCTTGATTATTGACATGCATTTGCTATTTATTCTTGAAACGCCTTCTATTTTCGCATTTATTAGCTTTTCTATGTTGTTCCGTTGTTGATTATAAAGTGAAATTGCAGCATCGAGCTTCCCATCATTGACTAGCAGCTGTAATTTATCTGGTAGGCTAACGATCTGTTCTATTAGTACAACCCTTTTGAGTTTTGTGAGATCTTCCACCTTTGTGATCTTCGATAACTGTTCATTGAGCTTCTCTGCCGTTGGAGTGAGTTCTTCTAGTGACTGCTTCATCTGTCTGGTTGTAAGTATACATATATAGTCATAAATGTTCATTTACACCACTAATCTTGTCAGATGAGACGATCAACTCATAATGATGGTCGAATATGAGCTGCTGTCTAGAATGCTCAAGCTGTTTTATAGATTTATTTAGACTATTTGATAAATTGAGTAAATCCCGTATATTTAATTCCTTTATTTTATCACTCTCGCTCATTTACACTTGGTTGTTAAGTACAACGATGGTCAGTCTAAGAATACTAAAGAAAATGGAGTAATTTCTAATAGAGAGTTATAGCTGCCACTAACTTTGTTAAATGGCGCTCAAAACAAGCCATTAGTATGTCTACTCTCCGTTCTATGACAACTCTGACATTCTCCACTCTAGCTCGTTGAACTGAAATCAGGAGAAACTTTCAATGGTCATTTGATAGCTTGCGACAATTATATGAATCTCACGCTTAAGCAAGTATTCCAAACGAACGCAGATGGAGAGAGGTTTTGGAAGCTGCCTGAGTGTTATTTACGCGGAAATACAATAAAGTATATCAGAGTAGCTGATGAGCTTCTCGATCAAATAAAGACAACACAGGATAGAGACAGAGAGCAATACAAGAACCAAAGGACTGGCTCAGAGAGGCAGGAGCGCGGTAGGGGCAGAGGACGCGGTGGTCGTGGCAGAGGCGGTCGCGGAAGAGGGCGAGGTGGCCAGCAGAACAACTAAGCAGATTATTTATCCAACCATGTCCTTTTTACGTCCACGTAGTCTTACATCATTTAACTTGCTATTAACTTTATTCCATTCAGAAGATTTGAGCGTATCCGCGTAGCTTTCGAGTAGTTGACTGTATTCCTTGTTGAGTGACGGGTGCGTACTTCCAAACGCGCGTTCGAGAACGTAAATATCGACTGCTCTGTCTTCCGCACTTGTGTAATGGTTGATAGGCTTCAGAGAGGAGAGTCCAAAGTCGATAATGTAGACTTCTTTCGTTGAGTGCTTTAATATCAGATTCGATGTACTGTAGATAATTAGTTCGCGCTTCCTTTCGGTGTTCTACTCACGTCAAATCGCCATGTATGATACCAGAGAGGTGCAATTTCCCTATCTGCTCACCAACGAGCTTCATAAGCGTTTCTATAGAACTTATATTAGATAACGCGCTTGTATAATACTACCCTCACGTCTATCCAATCCAATGGCAGTCATATCTAATTTAACACCATCATCACTCGCTGTTATGTCGCCTTCTCCCTTGCTACCAAGCCATTCACGTACGCTGTATCCATCAATCAATTCTAATCCCAGCATTGAGTCACGGCTATCTGCAAAAAGTACTTTAGGCACGCTGACGCCGGCAGTATCTGCTCTATCGAGTGCTTTTATTTCTGACTGAATTCTCTGCTTGTTTAGCGTTTTGTCCAAAGTTGGATGTCTATACGTTTTTGGGAATCTATACTTCAAAATCATTGGCTTCTCTTCTGTTCTATTTAGATAAACTTTCTAGACGGTGTGAGCAGCTATTATGGTGCTATATACAAAACTCACTGCTTCTGCGCCTTGCTTTATCAAGCTCGATGCATTCCTCAACTCTACGCCCGTCTTCCTCTGATTTAATGACATCGATGGTTGTTATCAAAAAGGGTGAATGTACAGCAAATAATTTTATTACAATTTCTTAGATTATGCGACTGCGTTTAGTTCTTAATATGTTCGACTGTTGTAAACCTTTAGTTGGCGATTCCATTTCTGGTTGCACATCTGATTGTCGCGATCTTTTCTTCGACATCTGTGAAGAAACGTTTTCGGACTCATCGTCTTCTTCCTCAGGCAGTTTCGAAAGTGGTGACGATGAAGCCACGCCTCCTTTTTCTCCTTCTGGCTCTACAGTCTCGTCATTTTCTTCAGCGTCGTTCTCAGGTTCTTCGTCCTGCTCTTCAGCATGCTCGTTTTCACTGTTGTCATCACTTTCTTCGTCGCTTTCGACCATATCCTTAGATAACTCCTTGGCAGCTGTAGCCACAGCTCTCGGACGTGCTTGGCGAACCATAGATGCATCACCATCTTCAGTATGCCTAACAAGATCTGCAAGATGTCAGAATTATACCATAGACAACCGCATACTCACTCTTATCTTTCGCTATTAAATTAACTAACTTCTTCTCATATGATCGTGCACCATCCCAGATTTTGCTCGACGTTCCAACAGCAATCTCCGCTGATTTGAGCAACTCATCGTAGAAGTTCTTAACCTCAAGTACATGTTTGCCTTCTATGAGTCCGGATGGACCAGCAGCTAGGAGATGATGTAAAGCTTTGAAACCTGAGTTGATTTGGGATATCTTGGCAGCATTTTTACGTTGTTCACCAACAACTGGCTTGAGATTATCTACCAAATCTGTGAGTACCCTCTTGTGAATTGCTACTATCACATTTGGTGATGTTTTCTTCACTATCTTGAGTTGGGCACCTCTAACAATCAAAGACGAAGAGAGTGATCTTCCCAAGCTGATCAAATGTGAGTCGTCATCAACCTTTCCTTCCAAAAGTAGCTTATGGGCGGATATCAAAGATGAAGAAATAACTTGTACGATTCCCAAATAGTATTCGCTACCTGCATATAAAGAAATCTCACGTATTGCATCTAATGCTAGCTTATTGAGACTATCAAATAAGACCCCAAATCTTCCATGGTGGGCTAGTATCACTGGTAGTTTGTCTATTGGCATAACACCCAATCTTATAGATTTCACAGTAACGGCTATCATCTCTGAGAACTCGTACGTTTTATCAATGTGGTCTGGTTGGAGTGCCAACGTTGATTCCTGTTTTTTTGTCTTCTTTGATTGTTTTGCCTTTGATGTCGCCTTTGTTTTCTTCTTGGTCTTTGATTGAGCTTCGTCATCGCTACTATCATCGCCTTCAGATACTTCATCGTCGTCTTCCTCATTACCTTCGTCTGCATTGAAACGACAGTCTTGGGCAAATTGTTCTATTTCAGCTTCGACATATCCCATACATCTCAATTGAATTTCTTCACTGAACTCGATTGAGCTGTGTTTTGATATTCCAGTGCTGAATTCTTTTGATCTGCCGTTCGTGAATAAGATAGCCAATTCCATTAGTATCTTGAATGCTTTAGATTTGACACTTTCTGTTGAATTTGATGTCGAGCCGACAGATAAATCAACGACCAGTTGATAGAGATCATCACGCGATTGATTAAGTTGTGACAGTTTAATCTCATACTCTGAATCCTCCCTTTCAGTTGTGATTGCTTCCATCTTAACAAGATCAGACGCGCGCCAGAGGAGATTCAAGAAGAGTAACTGTAAAGCATTTTCAACCATCTGGAATTAGTTAGTATTTTCAGTTTCTACATATCTAAAACCCTACCTTGGCTTCGATTTCGTAACCAAGTGCACCTCTAGTGGCTAACGCAAGTACAATTTGCGAAACACTAGCATCATCGCCAGCGCTTTCATCCATGGTATCACCTAACTTGGCTCTGGTAGAAATGAAGATGAATCTTAACAACGCAGATTGTATTCTGTTTGCGCTATCTTCATCGATATCTGCATTCTCAATTTCCTGTCCTGACACGAGAGATTTGAGTGACGAGACGAGGTTATAAACCAAAGCGTCATAATTCCTCTCACTGATATTTACCAAAACATTCGCGTTGTTGAGTGCAAAAATACTCTCAGTAGCAGCTTCTAAAACGGATGGTAAGGAGTGCTTTTGAAATTGTTGGCTAATTTCATTGTATAATGATTCAAAGGCACCCTCCATTCGCATGTCCAAGTAGAGTGTGAGTTCCATCGCGCGAGGTAACGTCAGTAAATCTGCCATACGTGAAGGTATTGCCTGATGCTTTGAGTAGAGATTTGGAAGATCTTGTATCAATTGACGCGAGACTTTGGTTAACTCATCGCCAACTACTGGTTTCTTCTTCCTCCGAATGGACGTGTCTGAAGCTGCGTCTGATTCGTCGTGGATGTGGTTCACGCATGCGCAGAATAGTTCGACTAGCATGTCTTCCTCATCTTCAGTTAGTTTAAATTGCGAGAAGTTGTCATCAATTGTCGAATGGTCGATAATTAAAGTATCTAACATCGCCTTCCAGTCGCGCACAACGTCTAAGGAACTCCAAAGGTCATCCAGCGCAATTCTCAACCTACTTCCTGCTTCGTTTCCAGTTCGACGCTTTTCAGGACCGTCAATTATGCGCGTGGATGTTACGAGGAGACTTGTGAATGCCTTGATCGTCCCGAGTTGCTCAATATCATAATTGTTTTCGTTCATGTTAGGGGCCGTTCCAACGAGTCTCTTCTGCTCATCATCTACAAGCGTCTGCCAGAACCCTCCGCATGCTTTGCGTACTTTCGGGTTCAAGTCGAATGCTAGTTTTGATATCTGCATCCTTTCGTCGTCTTCAAGTAGCTCATGGTTATCGATAGCGGTGATGAGTTTTAAAGAGGATATTTTCACGCTAGCGTCGATATCCCTTAGACTTATCTCTATTAAACGCTGCTTGAATCTATCGGTGAAATGTTGCAGTTGTGTTAAATGCTCTTCAGAAGAATATAACGGCACGAGTGAATCGATGGCTGCGTGTCTGACTGATGCATCTGTATCTGAGAGTAACCAGCCTGTATACCTCAGGTAATTACCTTCGAGGAAGTGATTTGGCCATGTTTTCATCCAGAATCCCAAAGCTTTGACACATTCTGATCTGATAATTGGCTCTATATCCCTATATCTGTGTATAAAAACACCATCTGTGACTTCTTGTATGAAATTTTCTACTGTTGTCTTTCTTGACAGCAAAGTTTCAGATTTGTTAGAAGTTTGACGACGACTCGATTCTTTTGAGAACTGCTTATCAAAATCTCTAGCGAGTTTACACAATGCGCTAGACAAAGAGAGACCCCATACTGTGGCTGTATGTCTAAATGCTCTGAGCGGAGAAGAGGTCAAACTTGTGATCCAATGTTGGAGTGTTTCCATGAGAGTTTCACCATTCTCTGATTCTTCATAGAGAGTCAAAGATTCTGAGGAGGACTTCACGAGTTCGTCTAAGAATTTGGTTATTGCTACGCCAATTTTCTTGAGGTTTCCAGCACGGTGGATGAGAGGGTATACTGTATTAGATTGAGATTTAAATGAACGCTCTAGCGAGTCTATCACATCTGGTATACCATCGAAGTCGACGGCCTGATCTGCCGTAATAGATTGTTGACATCCTGTGGTCTATTGAATGGTAAGTAAGACGCGACTAACGCGATGGATGACCAACCTTAATGAGACAATTTATGAGTGTCTGAAGTGATTCGTGTCGATCGTCTACATAGGAGCCCAGCCATTCCTGTACTGCAGTAGGAACATCGACAGTTGCTTCTGTGAGCGTCTCGTAAAGCGCGTTTTCTGTACCGTTATCTCTAATAATCTGTACATTCTTTTTCTTAGTTCTATTAGATGTGCCCTTGATGGCTGATTTCCTGGGTTTCTTCGCTGGTGCTACATCCTCAAACTCGTCCTGGCTGGATTCTGCTGGTGATGGTACATTGTCGCTTTCGTCGTGGTCAGTCTCGCCGGCTGAATCTAGGTCCATCTCTCCCTCTGTAGGAGATGTTAGCGATAAAACGAGAGATGGAGGAAACACACCAGCAGCTGTTTCTTTGCGCGTACGCGTCGATCTTCTCCGTTTATTCGGCGTCGACGTCGGCGTCGTGACGTTTGAACTGAAGGGTACGGCCATCGTCGTCGTTATCAGAGAGATCTCGCGTCGCTGACTTTTGATAACGCGTGGAGGATGAGATTTTACAATGTAATACTATAACTCTATTGCAGGTATATTGACAATAGACTATTTATTTATCACAGTTTCATATCTGCACTCTTCTCTTCTCTCTTCAATAAATTACATGTATAAGAAGCTAGAAGCAAATTCTGTAGGAAGCATAACGACCGGATGTTTCTGAAGGTCTGATAATCTTCACAACCTGTCCTCTTTCCAATCCAAAGTATCTGGCAACAGGATCCTAGCGTTTGTTAGCAGCGGTCTAGATGAGGGCATTAGAGACCCACGCTAGTCAATATACGTGGCAATTGCGTTGGCTTTAGTCTATATTTTTGTAAAAGGAGCTTCTTCTCTTCTGCTGTGAGAACTTCGTGCTGGGGAACGAGTTGGTGGTGCCTATATATCGTCAATATGATGATGAATAGTGTGCGTAAATACTAACGTAATGTTAACTTGCAACTCTGATTCAGTAAATGCTTGCAATTTGTAGTCAGCCGCCATTTCAGCAATGACCTATGTTAGGATTGAATGTTAAGCTATGCAAGCGATTGAATCAACTGACCTTGTTAGCCGCTGGCGTGAGCTTCTCTGGGTAGATCAAGATACCCCTGCCTATCTTCCTCTCCTCCAAAACAGTCAAGAATCTTGTAGATTTGTCAGACAGAATCGACTCTGGAGTCTATACTAACTTTCTCATTGTCTTAATACCGATGCTTGGCTCATCGGCAAAGAAGACGAATATCTGATCGTCTGGGTTATCCTCCAGACTTGCGAAGAAGTGCAATGAAGCACGACTGGGGACTATAAGCGATCTCAATGTGTAGACAGCTTGTATATACTTACTCTATGATACCATTTCCAGCGTATGTTTCCTTGAATTCTGCGTATGGAATCTCAATCTCCTGTTGAGAGACTGCAAATCCCTAGAACAGAGATATTAGCATCTTCAATAAATATAGAGCGATATACTGACTCTATCTTGTACCATCTCATGTGCTGTGCGTGATACTTTCCATAATTTAGAGATAAGCTTCTCGTCCTCCATAGTGTAGCAAACGAAGAAGCTTTCTTCTCAACTACCAACTATTTGACGAAATTACTCATGGCTATACGGGATAGCGAGAAGAATATAGAAGGTGTAAATACAGCTAAGCAGCCTGTATATCCTCCTAGGATATTCTCTAAGATGAGATGGATAGCTGGTCTCTTTTTGGCGCTATATCTAATTGTAATACTCTTTATCCATTATAATGTAACTCCGTTGGTCTCAATCATCAAAAAATCGTTCAAACAGGTTCGTTATCCTCTATTCTATTCATCCCACGTTGATATCATAGCAGGGTATACTTGAAGGAGGCGTAGGCAGCTATATCATATAAAATGTCCAGCTAATACCTATCTAGATTGCTCAATACTCACCGCAATTTGATGTTAACTGGGGCATACCTGATCAATTGCCAGAGACTTGTACGGTCGACATGGTTAACATTGTGAGTACAACTTTGTATACTATTCTTGGTACAATAACACCATCATATTAGCTCGAGAGACATGGCGCTCGCTATCCTGCCCATAAGCAGCGTAAAACTATGGTAAAAACACTCGATAAACTTCACAGCTCAAAGAAGCCATCGAAGGACCCAAAATTGAAGTTCGTAAGCAAGTACAACATCACAAAAACACTCGGAGAAGAGGATCTCGTTTGGTTAGGTCGCCAACAAGCCTATAATTCAGGAACCAGGTTTCATGAACAATATAAAGACCTCATCGAGCGTTCATTACCACCTTTCTACCGTGCCCCAAGCTCGCCACGCGTTATTGAGAGTGCTCAGTTATTCCGTTTAGGGTTTAACAACCACTCAATCTTTGATCCATATGAAGACCTCGACGTTGTTTTACCTGAAGGAAAGGCCTACAACAATACCCTCGACATATCTAACTGTCCACTTGCGTCTAACCATTCTACTACAATCGGTGACGATGTTTCTGACGTTTATGCTGCTTTATGGACTCCTCAGTTGTCGAAGTGGTGGAACAGTAAGTTCCCAGGTGCGAATCTCAATCATAATGACATCGTAAACCTCTTTCACGCATGTGCATTTGATGTGAGTGGTACTTTCGTTCAATCTTCCCGCTAATTATATCCAGACTGTCGCAAACAATGGTACAATCAGCGATTGGTGCAAGGTGCACGATTTATCTGATTTCCACCATTATGCTTACTACTTGATTTTACAAAAGTACTACGACTCCAGTTACGGACATCCATTGGGAAGAGCCAGAGGTATTGGATACGTCAACGAGCTTATCGCTAGATTAACGAGCTCACCTGTTGTCGATTCAACAAGCACGAACACGACTATTGACTCCAACCCTGATTTATTCCCATTACCTCCACAAGAGAGGAGTGAGATGGGTCACAGGTTGTTCGTTGACTTTAGTCACGATACGTCGATGGTAAACATAATCTCAGCCCTCGGACTTGCTAGAACGACCCGTCACTTACCATTCCTGATAGACAGGAAACAGGAACCACCGAGGGATATGTTCGACATATCAAAGTATGTGCCATTTGCAGGTCGTATCGTCTTTGAGAAGATCCATTGTGGGGAATCGATAGGTGAATATGATGAAGAACAAGACTATGTACGTATAAAGGTCAACGAGGGTGTCTACCCTCTCAAACTAGCCGGCTGTGGATCGTTGGGCGCCGACACGGGATTGTGTAGGCTTGAAGACTTCCTAGAAAGCCAGAGTTGGAATATAAACGGAGGCAATTGGAATGAATGCTATGAAGATTAAGCATAACTTATGTTTTGTAACGAGATATCATGATTACATACTATGAGCTCACTTGATTACATACCGTCATGAGCGAAGGCGTGGAAAAGAACGAAGCGAGTGACCTATGTTTTGATAGTATAGACTTCTAACAGCACACAGAATGTAATGCTGATATCGTCTGATCAATATTCCTTCATTCTGCCGAAAGAAGCAGCACTCAAGGCAGGAATGTTGGCTGATATGCTTGGGGAGGATAGTAGGTCAATATATTGATAGTATCTAGCCTAAACATCTTAGGTGCATTCAGTGAAAGCCAGAGCAACATCTGTAGACTGGACATAAGGCGTGTCTACTAGTACTTCGATAGGAAATAACTAACGAGCTACTACAGGGGCGTTGTACTTGAAAAAGTGGCTGAATATCTTCTCTTCAAACAAAAGTACGAGGATGCAACGAACAAAGAGACTGTCCCAGATTTCCAGGAGAGGATACCGCCTGAGATCGCGCTTGAACTGTAAGTCTCGAGCCTATCGAATTGCTAGCTAACAAACTACAGGCTAGTTGCAGCAGATTATCTACAAAGTGAGTATAGGCTGTATTCTAGTGGCTATCTAACAAACAACAGCCTGATATTTATCTAAAATACACCTTTTGTACACTACATTGTTTTGTTTTCCTACCGTCATCAGACAGAGATAGACATATCAAACTAAAAGGCGATATGCTAGAGAATAACGCCAGTAATATACCTCAATTACCGAATCCGCCCATTCTTCCCGCTGCACCGATCTCTACTGGTCTTTCTAAATCTCAGATACTATCAAAATGGAGAGATGAGCAGGGTAGGCGTATATTTACACGCGAGAATACCTCTGACGTGATAAAAGGTCTGAATAACACACCATCTATTGATATCCTAAGAGATACCGTCAATATTCTCCAAGGTATCGACGGCGCATACTTCAGATTCGAAGGAGCAGCCAATCAGAGCGAGTTTAAGTTAATTCCCACCGATCAGCGCGTAAGACATTCTAAATAATCACTGATATCTGTTCTCATATTCCGAAACAGTCAAAACGCGTACCAAAACCAACACTCGAGCTCGTTATCCGCTTGGCTGAATTAGGTTGGCTTTATAAGCAAGTAGCGGCTTTTGTACGCGATTGTAGCACATCCACATCTCTAGGTCTTATCACACAAGTGAGTTTCTCCTGCTAGGTAGCAGATAAGCAAGACTAACTTTTCAGGCGCTCTCAAGACATGTGCAGAATCGCTTGTATGACTTTTACCGTCTGATCGCATTGCTTGAAGCACAACTCGCGCATACACCAGAGACTATGGATGAGCAGAATGATTCAATGGACAGCCTGACATTAGGTAGGATAGCCGTATGGACCGAAGAATGGCGTCTGAAGATGCGCATGATGAGTACTCTAGTACAGGGTGCCGCTGATGTCCATGGTGGTGCTCTCGTTTCCTTGATTCACGGCTACACCGAGAATGGCGACCCATTTATTAGAGGTTTTGTTTCTGAGCTTCTAGAAGAGGTACGTTTTTCCAATTCAGAGGCGCATTGCTAAGTTTTCTTAGGTGTCTCAACCATTTTTCAATACTCTGCACACCTGGATAACCTCCGGAGAATTATACGACCCATTCAAGGAATTTTTCGTCACAATAAACAATGATCTTGGTATGGACCTCAACTCATTTGGATGGATGATCGGTGCTCCAAACACAACAGAGCATAAAGCTAACATCGATGCTGGACAATTATGGGCAAAGAAATATAGCGTACGCGATGAAATGAGACCTCGTTTCGTTGGTCAGGCGTTCGCTAAGAAGATATTCAGTATTGGAAAGAGTTTGAACTTTATCAGACATAGTTGTCTTGATGAAGAATTTTTTGCTACAAATCAAATATCAGATATTGCAAATAAGGTTCTAACATACTCTGATATCCCATCTTTAGAGCAGTCTATCGATATCGCTTTCTCGATAGCGAGTCAGAGACTGCTTGAAAATATGTTCTCGAAGTATAAGCTGATGGACCATTTACAAGCACTAAAGAGATATCTTATGCTAGGAAGTGGAGACTTTGTTGATATCTTGATGGAGTCTATCGGACCATCCTTAGCAAGACCTGCTAACACTCTCTATCGTCACAATCTTACGGCAACACTTGAAGCAGCAATCAGGGGTTCTAATGCACAGTATGATGACCCAGAAATCCTCCGCCGATTAGATGCTCGCATGCTCGAATACACCCACGGTGAAATCGGTTGGGATGTTTTCACATTGGAATACAGAGTTGACCAACCACTCGATGTTATCCTGACGCCGGAAGTTATGTCGAAATATAGGAGAATTTTCAATTATCTATGGCGTCTCAAGAGAGTTGAAAGCGATCTAGTAAAGGGTTGGAGAAGGTGCGTTATGGGCAAGCGCTCCTATCTAAAAGTACCAAGTAAGTTTGCTTTATTTTAGCCATTTTACTGACAAATATTAGGTCTTGACAATGACTGGCATCAAGCGCGCATCGCAATGTCTGAAATGATCCACTTCGTGAAAGAACTCGAAGCATATTGTCACCTCGAAGTGATTGAATGCTCGTGGGAGATTATCGAACAATTTGCATCCAAACGCGAAGGTGATCTCGACGCGCTGATCTCAGCTCATCGTGAGTATCTCGAGAGAATCGTTAATAAGATTATGTTAGTTGGAGGACGTTCATCCCGTCGAGATGAGGAATTGTTGCACAAGATGAAACAACTCTTGAGCGTTATACTGTCATTCAGAAGAGCCGTTGAGGACTTGTATACCTTCACACTCCACATGTCTTCATCGCTAGATCACACACCGCTGGAAAGACCAGATATATACCGCCATAAGAGGCTGTCGACGGCATCCTCTATCCCGCGTGCACCATTCGAGGTAGCTGGCGGTGGATCAAGTTCGAGTGTCTCAAATAGCAGAACATCCACCCCAGGTGCGGCGAGCGTTGCTGATGAAGAAGAGGAGGGTATTGCTGGTATAAGATACAGAGTACAGACCTCAGCTGATGAGTTCCATGAACTAGCTTCATACGTCGTCAACGCCCTCCAATCGCATCCTGATCTTGATGTACGATTTTTGGCTGTTCGATTAGGTTTTAATCAGTTTTATCGCAAACCTACCAAGTAAATTAAAGTGTACAGTTGTAAATTAGCAATAATAGTTTATTTTTATCATAAAAAGCTTGAAATTACGCGTGCTTGCCTATCTAGATTCTTCGAGGATGACGTTCATTAAGTATGAGATAAATTTCAATGAGGAGGAGCTGAAAGGCAAGACATTGGTATTGCCAACGATTAGTATGGCTAATGTACCACAATTGGCTACTGAATTACTGCTCAATAATCACAGCAATGAACTCGTTGGGAGATTCAACAACGAGGGGTTCATTCAGGTAGCTGGAGCGTCTACCGATGGGCTAGTCACACCATTAGAACTGCACAGATTAAAGGAGTATAATGATATTTACGTCGTTGATCAGCGATCTCCGATATTGAAAGTACGTGGAGGTTCACAAGCAGAAATAGCTAACGAATGTAGAGCTACAAGTATACCTTCGTAGAAGAGCTCAAGAAATGGGCAGATGGTCTCAATTTGAGCGTGATCATCTTGTCTTCTGCAGACTCAGCATCGAGAAATGATAACGATATCGTGTCCAGCCAACTCAAACAGATATCCTCCAAGGATAGCAGATATGCCGATAAGATTTCGGCATTTGAATCACTAGACTTGGACACTCTCAACGGTACTGGTCTTCTCAAGTCTTACTATGGCAGTCTCAAAAATGTGGCTGGACTCTGTTTGTTTACTACAGAGGGTGACAATCGTCCAGATGCCCATCTATTAGTGAAAGCTCTATCAAATGTCTTAGGATTCAAGCGTGAGTAAATCTGAACACAATCTGATAATTCTAACAATCTGTAGCGATAGAATTGAAAGATCCACTTCATTGGGAAGGCCTATTTGGGAGATTGTACGACGATAAATTATTTGGATAGCATTTTCTTGTCTTCTCTCTTGAAGTTATACCACCACCAGATGCCAAAGAAACGCTCGCTTAAGCCAGTGAATAGAGGGTTTGCGACGACCTCAGTGCAGAAAAAAGTAGAAGAACCTAAGGCTGTAGAAGATACACCATCTACGCCTGCACCGCCAAGCAGACCAGCTACACCACCGTCTACGAGTCAGCAGGCGATAGAAGATGACAACGTGCAGCAGTTCTACCTTAAAGTACTCAAAGATGTAGAAAGAAATATAAAATCTATCGATTACGATCGTAAATTGGCTAAACAACTGCCATCTCTTGAGATAGACAATATCAACTATCAGGAATTACAGCCATCTTTTAGTAGTGACGATACAGAGAATACGGAGAAGCTATTTATTAAGCTGGGTATCACTTACAACACTCTCAAGAGGTTAGGATTCAGCCACGACTCAATAATCTCTGCCTTCAACTCGACGAATTCATTCGATCTCCAAAATGCTCTTGTTTGGGTGGGTAGTCATTCTCTATAATGACAACAGCTAATAGAATACGCAGCTTGCACTCAACATTCCCGATGACGAACTTAATACGACTGCTTATACTACTATTCCACCATCACCACCAAAACCACTTCCAATGCCTTCGCCAGCATCAGCATCATCGCCTAAGAAGACCCCGAGCAGTGCATCGACTTCAACGACACCCTCCAAGCAGTCGAAGCCATCACAACCGATCCCACAGATCGCACTATCGGATGATGACCAGCTCGATCCTACAAACGCATACGTCCGTTTCAAACTTCAACTTGATGACGCTGAACGCGCCGCTGGAATCGTGAAGAAGAAGAAGAAGTCGAAGACAGACGATTGCTCTGATCCACAAGTTATAGCGCTCCGGGCTATAGTCGAGGAGCTCCAGGGGATGTATCTCTTTGATAAGAAGGAGGCAGACAATGCTTATAAAGAGCATAGAAGTGAACTCGACAAGCAGCTTCTCCAAGAGCGTCTGAAACAGCCTCAACAACCACAAGGATTACCAGCAGAGGAGAAGGAGAAGGAAAAAGAAAAAGAGAAGCCTACCACACCCCCAGCTGATGAAAGCGTGGGTGATCTTTTCAAGGAAGAAGAGCAAGAAGAACTCACAACTGACGGAAAACCAATGCCTGTTGTTGAAATGACACTCCCAAGGCAAATATCTGCTCGTTCAATGCCAAGAACGATAGTAGAAGAAACCACCTTGAAGATTGACAAGTCAGCTCAATCCTATTTCCAAGTTATCTCGAAAGGATCTCGGGCTGTGAGAGCGTCAGGACTGATCCAATGGGGTGTTGAATATCAGTATGCCCGTGATGAATATGAAATGATTGACATTGGCTGTCAGAATGACATACAAGCAATCAATTACACCGCCTTGATACTACTTCATGCGGTATACCTCAAACATCCAGCAGCTTGTACGTTCAAACCATCACAATTCCCTGCATCTTTCCAAAACTTGTGGAATGAACTTGAAGAAAAGCGCAAAGTTATTGAGATTACAAGGCAGAGTGAAGAGTACAAGATGTTGAAGCAATATTTTGACGAGAAAATGGAAGCTACACCTTCCAAGAGCCGCTCTACACCACGACCAACGAAGACTGTAGGGATGGACGTAGAATCACCTTTGTCTAAAGCCGAGGGTACTCAAGTCGATACGAAGCTACAAAAAGACTTCGAAAAGAGACAGCAAACAGATGCTTACCAAACTATGTTACAAGCTAGGAATGCACTCCCAATCGCGGCTTATCGTCAGACTATCCTGGATACTATTGATTCTTCACAAGTTATGGTACTTAGTGGTGAAACCGGTTGTGGTAAATCGACTCAACTTCCTGCGTTCATTCTTGAAGACGCTCTTAGCAAAGGTCAAAAATGTAAGATTTACTGTACAGAACCAAGACGTATCTCTGCTATCTCCCTCGGTTCTAGAGTATCAGTCGAACTGGGTGAAAAACCAGGAATGGTTGGTGGTCCAGAATCATTAGTTGGATATGCTGTTAGATTGGAGAGTCACATTGGAAAATCGACTAAACTTGTCTATGCAACTAATGGTATAGCATTGAGGATGTTGGAATCAAGCAATGGTACAGACGGTAAAAGTGCGTTCGACGATCTCACCCACATCATCATTGATGAAGTCCATGAACGCTCAATTGAGTCTGATTTCTTGCTCATCGTTCTGAAGTCTCTCCTTCAACAACACAAAAATCTCAAGGTCATCCTGATGAGTGCAACTGTCGACTCTGAGAAGATAAGTGCATACTTTGGCGGATGCCCAGTCATAAGTGTTCCAGGTAGAACATTCCCTGTCGAAGTTCGTTACTTGGAGGATGCCATAGAGTTTAGTGGCTTTAAAGTCGATGAAACTTCACCATATGCTCGCAACCGTTATGACAAAATAGCCAATAAAGGCAAATCACAATTGACAGAGTGGAATGATGATGATGATGATGATGAGAACAACAGTGGTACATCGACACCAAAAGATCAGAGTATTACTCCGACGCTACCTAAGATTAGTGAAGAGACATTTGCAACTCTCAACCATCTCAATGAGTATCTCATTCCGTATGATTTGATTGTCAAAACGCTAGAAAGACTCTGTACAGATGGACAGTGGATTCAATATTCTAATGCTACTCTTATTTTCATGTCTGGTATGGCTGAGATTAGGCGTATGAACGACATGCTCCAAGAACATCCACTATTTGGTGATGCTGCTCAATTTAGCATTTATCCATTGCATTCTAGCATCGCAACTGACAAACAAGGTGCGGTATTTGATATACCACCACCTGGTGTTCGCAAAATAGTCATTGCTACAAATATTGCAGAAACTGGTATAACTATTCCAGACGTCACATGCGTTATTGATACTGGTAGACATCGTGAAATGCGTTTCGACGAAAAGAGGCAAATCTCACGTCTCTTGGACTGCTTTATCGCCAAGTCAAATGCTAAGCAAAGAAGAGGTAGAGCTGGTAGAGTTAGAGAGGGATTATGTTTCCATCTTTTCACTCGCGATAGATTTGAGAACAAACTTTCTGATCACCCTCTACCAGAAATGACTCGTCTTTCACTCCAGGATCTCGCATTGAGGATTAAGATCATGAATGTCCAGATTGGATCATCGATAGAGGACGTTCTTATGCGAGCACTCGATCCACCAACTTCAATAAACGTTCAAAGAGCAATTTCATCACTTATTGAAGTCAAAGCACTTAGGTCAAATGAGGATATCACTCCGATGGGCAGAATTCTTTCAAGACTCCCTGTTGATGTACACATCGGAAAGTTTTTACTCTTTGCTGTTGTTTTTGGTTGTCTTGATTCTGCCCTCACAATAGCAGCGACGCTGAACTCTAAATCACCGTTCGTTACGCCTTTCGGTCAAGAAGTTGAAGCCATGAACGCCAAGAAGGCTTACAATGATGGTGAGTAGATCGATAGTGCGAGGTTATATGCTGAATAAATATTAGGAAATTCTGATTTCGTTGTGATTGTGAAGGCCTACAATGGCTGGAAGCAGGCATTACAAAACCAAGGCTGGGCATTTATGAAGAGATACTGCGACCAGAACTACTTGAGTCTTCAAGTGAGTAACATTCTCTGTGAAAGCGTCGAGCTAACAACAACACCAGAATCTCCAGTCAATTGAAGAATTGAGGATACAATTAATGTCATACCTTGTTGATGCGAACTTCGTAACACTCAATCCAAAACAAATTCGTGAACTAAATGCGTAGGTCGTACACTTATACCTACTTTCAAGCTGACTGTTTTAGTGCTCGCATGGTCAGGACCGGAAGAGGATCTATAAGATTCTTCGAAACTCCAGAAGATCTCAACCATAATGCTGGAGATTACTCGATATTACATGCTGCTATTGCAGCGGGATTATTCCCAAAACTGATATCGCTAGACTGGCATACGAAAACTATGAAGACTATACAGAACAATGCGATAGTCTCTATACACCCTTCATCGCCAAACTCAAAGATAAGGTGTGTAAATATCTGTTTATTGGTTGTTAGCTAATGAAACTGCAGATGGCAAGAGTTTGGTTCATCATTTTTATGTTATTTCACATTATTGCAATCGAAGAAGCTCTATGCTCACGAGGTTGCTCCGATTGATATCATGGCATTGGCACTAATGTGCGGCGACTTAGATCTAAAGGTAGGTTTATCACTTATTATAAGATGTAGCTAAGAATCCGCAGATCGCTTCGAATACCGTACAAATTCATAATAAGGTTAAGATTCACCTTGATCTACGTACCTGTGCAGTTATCGCATGTCTCCGTGAGGGCGCTCAGGCAGCGATCAACGCTAAGATTAGAGGAAAGGAATGGTCAAGTTATCAAAATCACACATTTGGAATTGCATTGGACGTCTTAAAAGGCTTACATTAATGTATTTATCTAATAGATTTATGTGGACTCTAATTCTCAGCCGGTGTGTGCTTTCATCGTGAAGAATCCTATCTCACAAATGTGATAGTATAGATACTGTAAGTAAGACATCGCATAACCATACTGCAGTAGCTGTACCAAGAATGAAGGTAATGCTAAGTAAACTAATCGCAATGCAATGTCAGAGCTAATTTAATTGTGTGTATCTTCGCACGCTTAGGCAAAGGAAAAATACCATTGGTTTCTCATCTAGCGCCAATCTGAGCAATTTCCAGACTAATGACACCTGTTTGTAACTATACATAGTTCCAGTGTGTACCATTACAAGCTAACCGCTTCCTCCAATCATCGTGTCTTTAAATGGAATATCTAATATCGTGGGGTAATAAAACATGCGATTAGAATGCTATCCCTAGCAAAACTGTCGTAACTATATCGTCCTTCGCGTTCTTGTCCGAACCAAGTTGAAGATTTCCCGAAACGATCGAGGAAGACAGTGGAATGGCTAATAAGATTGTATTATATGAGTTATATACTAAAAATATACGAGCAAAACATCTTCAGACAATTTTTTAATAGGAACTGAGCTGTCGACGTCTTCTTTCTTCACAATCAGCAGCACATCCAGATAAAATAAGAAATGTGTGGTATAATTGGTCTGGTTTTGCAGGATACCAATGTAGCCGTATCCCCAGAGCTGTAGGCTATTTTATACACTACCGCTTCAGCTGACTAGCTTAGCGCTGAGGGTCTCTCTCTTTTGCAGCATAGAGGACAGGATGCTTGCGGTATCATCACATGTGGTCCACGTGGTAGATTACACCAAGTTAAGTCTAACGGTATGGTCCGTGATGTTTTCGACAACCAAGCCATTTCAACTCTCCGTGGATGCATGGGTATTGGTCATGGTGAGAAATCTTCCTTTTTTTATTGAGGCGTCTACTAACAACAATCTAGTAAGATACCCAACTGCTGGTTCTTCAGCTCAGTCTGAAGCTCAACCTTTTTATGTCAACAGCCCTTACGGTATCACTTTTGCTCACGTAAGATTCTTCTCTTTTTGTGAAGTGAAGCTAACAAAGTTTTAGAACGGAAATCTGATTAATACAAATGAACTTAGACATTTCCTCGATCAAGATGCTCACAGACACATCAACACTGACTCTGACACTGAGGTCTTACTCAACATTTTCGCAGACAACCTTCAACAAACTGGTAAATTCCGTATCAATGAGGAGGATATCTTCGCAGCAGTCAAGGATTTGACACGCCAATGTAAAGGTGCTTATGCTTGTGTCGCTATGATTGCTGGTTTCGGTATCGTCGCATTCAGAGATCCTAACGGTATTAGACCACTCGGATATGGTGTCAGAGCAGCTGGTGAACCAGTAAACGGTATTATTTCACCACAAGGTGACAAGCAAAAGACTGGTTTGGACTACGTCTTCTCATCCGAGTCTGTCGTCTCAGATGCACTTGGATTCTCTGATTGGGTCGACGTCAAGCCAGGTGAATGTATGATTGTCACAAGACACTCAGTCGCAAGAAGACAAGTAGCTGAACCAGCTGTCTTCGCACCAGATATCTTCGAATATGTTTACTTTGCCAGACCAGACTCTGTCATCGATGGTATCAGCGTTTATCGCAGCAGAATGTCGATGGGAGACACTCTCGCTGATGAAGTTAGAAAGCAATTACATGGTAGCAACACGGTCGATGTTGTTATTCCAGTCCCAGATACTTCAAGAGTAGCAGCTTTGCAACTCGCACAAAACCTTCACATTCCATATAGAGAAGGTTTCGTTAAGAATCGTTACGTCGGTCGTACATTCATCATGCCTGGTCAGCAACAACGTAGAAAGAATGTACGTCGTAAGTTAAATGCGATGGCATTAGAATTCTCAGGCAAGAATGTTTTGCTTGTTGATGATTCTATCGTCAGAGGTACTACATCAAAGGAAATTATCCAAATGGCTCGTGATGCAGGTGCGAAGAACGTATTCATGGCTTCATGTGCACCAGCTATTAGATATTCTAACGTTTATGGTATTGATATGCCAAACCGTAAAGAGTTGGTTGCACACGGACGTACAGAACAACAGGTCGCTGACTACATTGGTGCCGATAAGGTTGTATTCCAAACACTCGAGGGCTTGATTCAATCATGCAGCAGTCTCAATGAAGATATAAAGAACTTCGACTGCTCAGTTTTCACTGGACAGTACATCACCGGTGGCGTAGATGTTGCATACTTGGAACACCTTGAGAACCTCCGTGCAGACAATGTAAAGCACAAAGTTGAATCTGTCGAGACATCATTCACATCACTCGGTTGCTCCGGACCAATGAATGGTGCAGACGATAACATTGGATTGGCTAATCAACGTCGTTAAAATTTTACTTTCTTTCGGGATTTGATTTAGAAAAAATAGAATAAATCAATTGATTGTAAACTTAGTATAAAATGTATAAAATTCGTTAAATAAATTTATATTCTGACATGTCCGTAACTTGTAAAGTATCAGTCAAGAGGCAGCGATGAAGTTGTCATTGCTACCGCTGATAGCCTGTACACTAGCCTACAGTATAAAGAATCCAGTAGAGAAAAACTATGAGAGCCACGATTACTACGTATTGCAGAGTCATATCGACAGCTCAGAGATAGAAATAGCAGCTATCGAAGAACTATTTGGTATGGAATTCGTAGAAAACGTCGGCGAACTGGACAACCATCATTTATTTAAGATTCCTAAGGGTCATTCATTCCTTATAGACGATTTCCACTCTCATTTGTGAGTTCCTACTAGGGAAACTATCGTGAAACTTACGATAACAGGCACAAGAGAAACAACAACCAGTTTAGGTCTATCACTCAACAGACTCCCCGCCATAAATTGCACAAAAGAGCCCCAGTTTTACCCATCACTGAATCACGTATTGTCGCAGCAGCACTCGATATCAACGACCCAATCTTCTCAGATCAGTGGCATCTGGTAAATGATAAGAAGTCTGAACACTCTATCAACGTCGCACCCGTTTGGAGCCAGGGTATCAAAGGACAAGGCGTTAAAGTCGCTGTCGTGGATGACGGTCTCGATATGCATTCAAAAGATTTAGCCCCTACTTTCGTATGTTTATATCTCTCTCTAATCATTCTTTTTTGACAGAAAACAGTTTGCTGAGGGTTCTTGGGATTTCAATGATCATACCGCATTACCTGAGCCTCGCTTAAGAGAAGACTCACACGGTACACGCTGTGCAGGTGAAATTGCAGCTGCTAGAAATGATGTTTGTGGTGTTGGTGTAGCCTATGAAGCTCAAGTCGCAGGTATTCGTATTCTCTCAACACCAATATCAGATGCAGATGAAGCCACAGCTTTAAACTATGGATATCAACTCAATGACATTTACTCTTGCTCCTGGGGTCCACCTGACGATGGTAGATCAGTGGAAGCCCCTAGCGATTTGATTGCAAAGGCTTTCGTTAATGGTGTACAGAGAGGTAGATCAGGTAAAGGTTCGCTTTTCGTCTTCGCTTCTGGAAATGGTGCTGCTAGTGATGATCAATGTAACTTTGATGGTTACACTAACAGTATTTATTCGATAACTGTCGCTGCTATCAGTAGAGAGGGTCTTCATCCATATTATTCAGAAGCATGTACCGCCAATCTTGTTGTCACATATAGTTCTGGTAATGGTGGTACAATTCATACTACGGATGTTGGTACAAATACTTGTACGGATAGACATGGTGGTACTTCTGCAGCAGCACCTATTGCAGCGGGTATCTACGCCTTGGTATTGCAAGTAAGACCTGATTTAACCTGGAGAGATCTTCAACACCTTTCTGTGCAAACTGCTGAACCTATTAACCTTGAAGAAGACGGTTGGGCAGTTACTGCAGCTGGAAGAATGTACAACAATGCCTACGGTTATGGTAAATTAAACACTGAAAAGATTGTTGAAGCTGCACGCAATCACCAACTCGTCAAGCCTCAAGCTTGGTATGAAGGTCCAATCGTTCATGTACCAAATGCTACTGACATGATCGGTCAACCTTTGAGTGAAAATTGGTACGAAAGTAAATTCCATTTATCAGAGAAGCGTATGCGTCAGCATAATCTTGAACGTTTGGAGCATATCACCACAACTGTTTGGATTGATCATGAAAGAAGAGGTGATATCGAAGTTGAACTTATTAGTCCAAATAATGTTAAGAGTGTTTTGGCAAAAGTTAGAAGATATGATGGTGCCGCCGAAGGTCTTAATGGATGGAAATTCATGTCTACAAAGCATTGGGATGAGAATCCAGTCGGTGATTGGACAATCAGAGTCAAAGATGGATTCCATCCAACAAAGCATGGTAATTTCACAGCCTGGTCTATCGGATTTTGGGGTGAGGCAGAAGACGCTAGCAAAGCAGTCGATTATGTTCTTCCTTTTGAAAGACCAAAAGGCGAACTTGAAGACGATGATGATGATGATGATGATGATGAAACATTATCAACTGGAACACCAAGTCATAGCACTAGTTCTCCTCCTACTCATCAAAAACCAAAACCAACTGATCATCTCCCTGATGACCATCATCAAGCTGGCGAAGAAGTTCCTGAAACGTCGTATACCCCAACACCAGATGAAGGATATTTGGAGAATTCATCATTTTTGTTGAATCACCAAACTTGGCTTATTGGCGCTGCAATTCTTGGATTAGCAGTTGTTGGCGCAACAGGTACAATTTGGTTCATTAGACGCAAGAAAGCTCAAGAACTCGCACGTGCAGATGAAGATAGCCGTGGTGTATATGCATCATTAAACCCGGGAGGAAATGATAGTCATAGAATGACAGAATTCCCTTCGAATAATGGCGGCAGAACCCGTGAATTATATGATGCTTTCAAGTTAGCTGATAGTGATTCTGAAGAAGAGGAAGAAGCTGAGAATCAGGATGAACATGAGTACAGAGATGATGATGAGGAGAATGACAACAATGAGGGTGATGAATCTCAGGTCTTGTTTGACAATGACAACGACAATGGCAATGGTAATGATAACCACGACGAAACAAGTCCTTGGGATGATCACGAGCAACGGTAATTTTAGGGTTGCTTTGCACAGTTGTTTGTATTAGACAATTTCGATATTATTAATCTTTTTTTTCTGCCAATCGACATCAATGTTTTCTCCATTTCCTGGCGTGCCATTTGAGATATGCAAACTTCAGAAAAGGTGCATTTCGATTATGCTAGATATCTCTTACTGTAATAAAGATAGTGATACTGTACTGATAAGTTTTACTTAATGAGCTCTCCCTATGATGGTCGTCGACAACAGCGTGAACTATTTGAGACGAGAGAAGATTAGGATATACGCTCCTGCAACCTTAAAAAACTACACATTGCCATATTCCTTGTAGATTACGCTGCATTGTTTAGCTGAATGTCTATTCCCTTCTCATACACTGCGATACTCTTGTAAATATCAAGTATTTTGGTTGTGCGTGTGAAATACAACTGGATATAGCCCAATTATAGTAAATGTGCATTTAAATCTGCTTTAACTTGCCATTCAACTGCCCAATTATACGTTTTATACCTCTTGCACTTGAACTTTGATATGGGTGGTGGTATAAAGTTCTACTTAGCACTATTTAATGCAGTATCTACATTAGGATGGACTGCTGTGTTAGCTTTAACAATAAAGCATCTCTACGATGGAAACGTTACCGTTCCAGTGCAGGAATCACCAGTAACATACTTTAAGAGCGCATTTAACAGCCAATTCTGCGGTGAACTTCTCTCAAAAGCACGCACTACGTATTTTGATATTGGTAGTATCGTACAATTCGTACAAAGTATCGCTATTCTTGAGGTTGTGCACGTTATCATTGGCTTCGTGCGTTCACCACTTCCAACCACAGCAATGCAAGTAGCTAGCAGACTTTACATCGTATACTACATTGCGCCATTGTTTGTTCAAGTGAGTTAGATTGCATTTATGCTAACTGTCTGACGTTATATGAGGCCCAATATAACTTTGTCTACACGACGATGATAATTGCGTGGTCATTGACAGAAATTATCAGATACTCATTCTACACTACGTCACTCGTTGGATGTAAATCAAGCGTACTCAATTGGTTGAGATACACGACTTTCTATGTACTCTACCCACTTGGTGCTGGTTCAGAAGCCACCTTGATCGCGTCTACGATGCCAAAAGGCTTACCAAATAACATAAACTGGCCAGCATCAGATATCATTAGATCCTGGTTCTTTATTGGTTGGTGGCCAGGTGAGATTCTCTATGTTCAGTGAAATTCTACTAACTACGATAGGATTATATATCATGTACACCCATATGATGCGTCAACGCTCAAAAGCATTATCAAAAGCTAAAACTAATTAATTTTTATTTTTACATTTTGTCAAGACATTTAGATTACCAGCTTGTCCGCCGACGCTCACGATCGAAGTGCGAAAATGGAAACGTTATTTAGTGAGAGTTTAATACCGAAGTCTGTAGCTAGCACATTACCGGCTGGATACTCTATTCGTCCGCTCTCTCCTAGCGATTACGATAATGGCCATATCAGCCTCCTCACTGTACTCACAAAAGCACCCGATCCAGGTCGTCAAGCGTACATGCAAAGGTTCTACTTTTTAAAAAATATCCCAGACACATACTTTACTATTGTTATTACGGATAATAGCGGTAAAGTCGTAGGATGTGGCACTGTTTTCCTAGAAAGGAAGTTCCTCAGGGGTCTCGGCGTTGTGGGACATATTGAGGATATCGCAGTCGATAAGAATCAACAAGGGAAATCACTAGGAAAGAAAATTATCCTAGCCCTCACTGAAATCGCTCAAGCTAGAGGTGCATATAAGGTTATTTTAGATTGCTCAAAGGAGAACATTCGTGAGTAATTGATTTTTATTTCTAATAGTTTGTATTAACAATATTTAGCATTCTATGAGAAATGCGGGTACGTCAACCTTTATTTACTTTATTTTTATATCCTGATATCACCCATAGATATGAACATAAGGAGTACGAAATGGTAAATAAAATATGAGTAATTTACGCGTTAATAACGATAATAATAGGTTTATTACACTTCCCCAGATACTGCTTATCAATCTACCTCACCTTCTAAGCTCTAAATTTATATTTCCTTGTACTTTCACTCGAACTGTCATCATGAACTTCTTCAAAGCTAGGCCGAAGACGCCTGGTGATATTGCTAAAACCTTGAAAGAATGCTTAGTAAAACTTGATAATGGTTTAGATAACCGTAAGAGGGTGCGTTGTGTATTACTACAGCTGCTCCCTTACTAATTATCTAGAATCCGGATGATATTGCAAAGTTGTTACAGCAAATGAAGCACGTATTAAATGGTGACGGTGGTGTGTTTACTCTATTAGCTTTCTATTCCTCTAATAGGTCGATCTAGACTCACACCCACAACCAGAAGCAATTGCTCAGTTAGCACAAGAAGTATACGCTTTAGATTTGCTTCAGTTACTTATAAAAAAGATTGGAAAGTTAGAATTCGAAGCTAGGAAGGAAGTCACCACGGTATTCAATTGTTTGCTTAGACGTCAGATTGGTTTGAGGTATCCCACCGTTGAATATATCCTCACTAAACCTCAAGTCTTGTTTTTAACTTTACAGGGTTATAACGATGAGGATGTCTCACTCAACACAGGTATGATTCTTCGTGAAATGCTCAGACATGAAGCTTTAGTTAAGCTCTTATTATACGATGAGGATCACTTTTATAGTTTTCCAAAGTACATAGAAACTACAACTTTCGGTGTTAGTTGTGATGCTTTTAGTAATTTCAAGGTTGGTTTATTGGTTGTGATCTTATACTCAATAACCCGGTATATAGGAATGCCTCACCCGTCACAAACAACTCGTAGCAGAATACCTCGAAACGCATTATGATAGAGTGCGTTAGTTTTACTTTAATAATCTATTCTGATTGTTATATAGTTCTTTTCTGACGATCCTAACCAATTATCTTACAACACACTCATACACTCAAACAATTATGTGACTAAGCGTCAGTCGCTCAAATTACTAGGTGAAATTCTCCTTGATAGGTCAAACTTCAACGTTATGACACGATATATCTCTTACGAGAATAACTTGAAAGTTATGATGAATTTGTTACGCGATAAGAGTCGTAACATTCAATTTGAAGCATTCCACGTCTTTAAAGTGAGTATTTTATCTTTAAAACTTTACTTTTTTAACAAAGACAATCAGGTATTCGTCGCAAACCCTAAGAAAGCACCAACTATCGCTGCAATTTTGCGTCGAAATAGAGAAAAGCTTATTGTTTTCTTGAAGGACTTCCATAACGATAAAGATGATGAAGTATTTACCGTAAGTTTTAATTACTTTATGGTATAAAAATCTAATCAATATCGTAGGACGAAAAATTGTTCTTGATACACAACATTAATGAACTTTAAGACATTTTCACCTATTTAAATAATCAATTGCTGCATTTGTACAAAGCATACATGAATCAAAATAAGCTAATCACTTCTTCGTTCATTCCGTTCATTATCAAGCAATGCCACATGCAGACGCCGCAAACATAGACTCATATAGACCAAAGCAAGAGGTTTATGATGATATTCTTACTAATTTGGATAGCTTATTAACAGGACAAACGAATTGGGTGGGTTCGCATCACTTGAGAATGCACTAGAGCTAATATCGGGTAGATTAGTAATTTATCAAACACTGCATCTATTCTATTCTGGACATTGAAAGAAATCAATAAAATTAATTGGGCTGGTGGGCGTAACATATCGATGAGATAAGCATCTGACGAAGTATATGCAGGCTTCTATATATACAACAAATCAACAAAGATATTAGAACTTGGTCCATTCCATGGTTTACCCGCCTGTCAAATCATTAAAGCTGAGTTGAACAAAGGTATTTGTGCAGATACTTTCTGTAAATCACAGCCAATTCTAGTACCAAATGTGGATGAATATCCTGGTAAACATATTGCATGCGATTCAACAACTAAATCTGAATTAGTTTTACCGGTTTTTTCATCATCCGGTACCTGCATCGGTGTTATGGATTTTGATAGTTTGGTTTTAAACGGGTTTGATGAGGTTGATAAAGTTAATATGGAGAAGATAACACATCTATTAACAGAAAAGTGCGATTTCAGTAGTCTATTATAAAAATTTCTTATACAATTTCCTTATTTCAATTAGATTATTTATGCATTAGGATTTGGCTCGGTCTCATTTTCTGGTTGCTGCTTGCGTAATGGTTTGCGGACATCAGTTTGTTCATCGTGGTTATCTTCATCACTGGCTTCACCTATATCCCAAACTACATCATCATCATCATCGTAATCATCTTTGTTTTCATTGTCATGGGATGCTTCGACGTCCCTATTACTTGACCTAACGTTCAATGGTATCTCATCATTTGTTTGTTCCTCATTTATTTCCTCCTGACTCGGTTTCTTCGCTGAAAGTAGGTAGACTCCGCTCAAAAGCAAGATTGTCGAGAATCCGATACACCATAATACCCAAGCTCTAAATGCCATTAATTGGTTCATGAAAACTTGCAAATAGTTAGATACGTAGTAGTAGTGAAATTATTTGACCCACTCAAAGTGTTTATAAATCCAATTGAAGTGTATAGACCGTACTATTAATGTGTCAGATAATAATAAAAGGTGAAACCCATTCCCACAAATATAGGAACGACCATGGTCGTATCGAAAAGCGCTAGAGCTTTGTTCAAGCATATTATTTGACCAATTGCAGTCGTGGCTAAGAGCAAGATTGTCAAGATGAACAAAGGATGAGCGAACTAAGTTGGTTAGTCTGGTTGTCATGATATTAGACTGTCTACGTACTTGATTAGCTGCTTCATTGTGAGAGAATTGCGTGGAGACAAGTTTTACAGTTGCTTTTGCTAGAATAAGACACTCTGATGCCATAATACCACCTTCAATTGCCCATACTAGACCAACTACTTTCTTTAAAGATGGATCATCGATATTTCCGACGATATTTTCAAGCGTTTTGAACATTTTTGCTCTGATAGCAGTGAAAATGAAAGTAAATTTACTAAGGAAGACTTTAATACGCGAATTAGTTGGTTGCTGATCTGTTGTTGGTGTAGCATATCCGCTTTCATCTGCTCGCCGTCTAGATATCTTCTCCAGATCTAAACCAATGACATAAATACTGAATGTACTTATGAGCAGGATAAAGAACCATAACAACCAAGCGAGACGACCCCATAATTCAATCAATACGTTAATATCGAGGAAATCACTAATTCCATCATTAACGCTACCAAAACCGACTATACCTATAACACCAACGACAATTAAGAGTGTGCCTTGTATATCTCTCTTCGTAATTGGTATATTGAGCATGTAATTAGCGATTAAGAAGTTGAATATCAGATTAGTAGATCCTAAAGGTGCGACGAATTCTGCTCTCATGTATTGCAGAGCTAACGTGGATCCAAGGAGCTGTGACAATATGTATAGCGACATACCAAGAAACCACAAAGGTCTCCTGAGATCACGCTTTTGTTGATCTTTTGGTAGTGACTGATTGCTTAAGTGATCTTTTTGTACTATATTTAAACCTATTGAGTTCATAATTGAAGCTATTAAAATAATAACCAATCCTATAAAGAATGAACCAACTTGTGAACCCGTTTTGGCCTGATTTATGGCTGTTTCATCGCTAGTATTCGGTAATTCAGCAGATGACGTATTACTCGTTAGTTTATCGACATCCCCACTCAAATCAGCTTCATCATGGCTCGACATCAGATGGTAGTGGAGAAGAAAAGAATGCGAGAGATGAATGCGCACAGACATCTGATCTCTTAATAATTTCATTAAATTTCATTTATTATTCTAGATATCTCTATTTTTGACTGTCTTATTCCTTAACTAAACACCACCACCAAGATATGGTCTCTAGTATACCATCTTCACCGGGATCAACGAGGCAGTCACTAGATTCCGCAGCTGAGTCTTTAGCCTTCTCTAGAGCGTCCACTAGAGGTGACGCAGCTATGAGCTGGTCATTAGATCGATACAGAAGTAGTCCATCAATATCTACCCAATCAACTGGATTTAACGCTTTATCAACTGTTCTAAACCATCCAAACAAACGTCCGAAGCCGCTCCGGGCTTCTCGATACCCTTTACCTGCTATCTCCTCCGTCGATTTACGTCTTTCATCAACGAGTGCGATAGAAACTTATTTGGAAGATATACAAGGGGAATATACGGAATTTATAGATAATATCAATCAATCTGCTGCATCTACTTCCGCTCAACCTGAATCTGACCTGCCATCACTTGATGACATCCCGAGGTTATTCTTTAAACCTGATTTCGATTTAGGAGATCCAGCGACATTTGCTGCCGTTACCAAAAGTATTGGCGATTCAGCTGGTTTGGATATATTTGAATCTCCAGAAGACATTGGTATCAATGAGATTCTTCATTCCAGATTAGAGCATCACGCTAATGCAGTAGACAAAATACTCGTACATGAACTTTCACAGAGAGCTCCTTCATTATTCTCTGCATTGGACAATTTACAACACTTGGGTCGTTACGCTAGTGAAGCACTTGAGAAGTTTAACACTCTGAGAGAGTTATTGGAAAGTTCTATTAAAAGTAGATTTGAAACTAAATATAAGACTATCAATGGTGTGATTGATCAAAGGAATTTAGAAGAGATTCTTACTGTCATCACTGATGTGAAGAGTATAAGTCAGGCACTTCTAGCCTTACAGCAAATGTCAGAGCTTGGTCATTATTTCGATGCACTTGAATTAGTCGAGAATATATCCAAAACTGTCGTTGAAAATATCAGATCGAAAGACGTTGATGATATACTCAAAATACAATCATCAACTGATTTTTCACAATTGCAAGTTTTCAATGATGTCGCTTCCGATCTTGAGCAACATACCAGCGTTATTCTAGATTCAATATCCAGGGACCTCGCTGATACTTTATTCATTGATTATGAACATTCTCTTAAGGATACCGATCACGATCATCAGGAGCTTGTGAAAGACATTGAACAATCGATTTGTGTCCTTGATAGAGCTGGTATGCTCAGTAAATGTCTCGAGGTATATGAGACAAGGTTAATTAGGAACGTTGTTGAGATTTTATACAGTGTTTTACCAGTGGATTTACAAACTAAGCCACTCGATTTCAATGCTAAGTCTAATGGTAACATACTAGCCAGTCAGCTTCCTAAGGAACTGCGTCAATTAGGTCAGCCTGAATATTGCGATTTCTTAAACAATTGCAAAGAACAACTGAAACTCATGGTAAAGTCCTCCAATGCGCAGAAAGAAATATTAGAGAGTTCATTTGAGTGAGTATCATCTTACGCTTCTTTTTAAAATTAACGCCTCTCCAGTTCTTCGAGTGAAACAGTATCTAACACACTGGAGCGTATCTCAAACCGCATAATTGAAGAAGTATATTCTGAAATAGCCAGTGTGATCAGATTACGTAAAGATATCGAAGCTGAATTGTCGCTTGAAGAATACCTCGCGTTCGACGGAATAGTCTGGAAGTTCATCAACGAAACGGAGGTGCAAGGTAATGTACCAAGTAATGCACTATTTGTATTACCAGCTGCAGCATCAAATCAACTACAGGAATTCCTCGAACTGTTCCATGCTAATTACACAACCCAATCAGCTAAATTAGTTGAAATGGAAATTTGGTCGCAGGCTGAAGTCACACCAGCAGTTCAACATGTCATCAATATGATCATCAGATCAGCTGTCGACGATATACCTGAATCGTCCTATGACCTTTCAAATTGTGAAGGAAAAAACGAAAGTCAGCTTCAGATTGAAACCATGAGCTTCTTTACAGTAGAGGCATTGAACAAAGTCTTGGTATTGCTTCTTAATTACATACGTATTATGCTGCAGGTGCCTCATTCTGCTACTGAGATCATGACTCGTATCTTAGAAATATTAAAAGTAGGGTTGACTTCCTAGTATAAAGCGTTTGCTGACGAAATACCTAAGCAATTCAATTCAAGAACCTGTCAAGTAGTCTTAGGTGCAGGTGCCATGAGATCTGCAGGCTTGAAGAACATCACAGCCAAGCACCTAGCTCTAGCATCACAGTCGCTCTCTGTTATGATATCCCTCATACCATACATTAGAGAAGCTGTGAGGAGACGCTTGAAGACCAACCAGGCCACACTACTCATCGAGTTTGATCGCTTGAAGAGGGTGAGTAGAGTGTTAAATAACTGTTTCATCTAATAACGTTCATAGGACTACCAAGAACATCAGTATGAGATACACGCCAAGCTTGTGTCTATCTTGGGAGACCGTCTTACCGCTCACTCGAAAGCTTTGGCAGTAAGTTACAATATGAGACATTACACGTTCTGACATCTCTAGGCTACCAAATTCGACAGAGCGAAAGAGGAAGAGAAAACTAAACCAAATTCATATGCAGAAGGTCTCGTCAAGGAAACAGCAACACTTCACAGAGTTCTCAATAAGTACCTCCTTGAAGCCACTGTTCAATTTGTCTTCAAACAGGTCTTTGATGCTATTAACAAGCGCATTGGGGATTATTACCAGCGTTTGCCTATCAAGACTGAACTTGGTAAAGAAAAGTATGTGTATTTCTTTGGGATTACCAAAACTGACTCTTTCTAGACTTATGACCGATGCGCGGTTTTTATGCGCTCGTCTCAACGCTTTACAGGGAATAGATGAGCTTGGTACTGTGTGTAGTTCCTCATTTGTTTTCATAGCTTACATTAGTCTCATAGTCATTGATCGATATCGCAAACAACCGCCAAGTTAGCAAATCATCAATTGATTCACCTAGACCTAGTATGAGCATAGAAGCGGATCAAATGGCTAGACGCTCGATGAGTGTTGATTTGCAACGACGAGAATCACTCGATAAATCTCGTATGAGCATTGGTGGTACTTCGAGTCAAGATAATGTGCTAAAGATCGACGAGAGCGTAGAGAATGTAGATATATCAGCACCTCAAGAAGAAATATCCATGGATAAAAAGAGCCAGGATGGAGATAAAAATAAGGAGAGCGCGACAGCGAATATTTCGCAAGAGGCACAGAATAATGTTGAGTCGGATCAGCCGCCACAACAGCAAGTAAAAAGCAGTGATGAAGTCATAGCAGGAACTGGGAAAGAGGTCACAGCTGAGCCTGCTTCTGAGCCAGAACGTCCATCTGAATTTGAACAACCTGTTGAGTCCGCTTCTACTTCTGTTAAGCCAGAAGGTTCAATTGAAGCTGATAAGCCAGTCGAATCAGTACCTCTTTCAGAACCAGAGCATACGGCGGAATCAGAGAAGCCGGTCGAGTCAATTATCACAGAGCCGGAAACTGAGAAATTAGAGCCAACTACTGAATTTGCAGCAGATGAGAAGGAAGTAGTTGACAGAAAAGATAGTCCAATTGCTAGGACTGAAGAAGTGTCAATTTCAGGGACTCAAAAAGTAGAAAATACTGATAGGACAACTGAAAGTGCAGAGAAGGGCGATGAAATAATGGAAGCATCTCAAAAGGAACCAAACCTGGAAGCTAATAATGACGTTACTGAAGGACCAGAAAACAAAGATGAAACTAATGAAGATGCCAAAGATGTAAAGAAAAATGATCAGAAAGTCACCGAAGTGGGAGCTAAAAGTGACATTAAAGAAGAAATTAAGAATGATAATAACAATAATAACTCTAATAATGAGGAGAATTCAGATATGCCGATGTCTGCTGAAACTGAAAATTCTAACAAAACGAAACCAGCGAGCAGTAAAGCAAAATCAAAGAATCAAAAGAAGAAGAATAAGAAAGGAAAGAAGTGATTGTAGTTCTAAAATAAAAATTTTAAAAATATTTGCATATTCATACCAAACATCAAAGGCATCCCAATCTAAAAGTAATTGATTACCATTTTAAGATTATCCGCCTATCTTTTGAATACAATTGTAATTATAGAGGTTAAATACCCCAAAGTAATTAAATGTGAGTAAAAACATCTTGGTTGGCTGTAAGCTAATCTATTGTAAGGGGGTTCATTCGCCAAGCTACGACGGGTACTGTATTATCAATTGCAGCGATGTTCGTAAGACTATAGGATATTCTGATGGGCTAACAAAGATATAGTGTCATTTTCGCGATAGTTTCATTCAATGCTCCATTAATCAAGCAGTTGTACTTTGTACAAGTCACGACAACAATTGACATGTTCAATGCGAAGATTATACTGGGCACCCTAGGATATTGCGTCTACCTTGAGGATGGTAAAAGCTGTATTGAGCCTACATTAGGTTATAACATTAGTGGGTCACGTGTTTCATATCAATAATGTCTCTAATCACTCTCATAAGAGCTCGAAGAAGTTGGTTTAACAGATTTCCTTCAACTCCAGCAAGTACAAGAATTTATGGATACTATCCCACAAAATGTTTTGAAATGGGTAACTTACGTAGGTTTTGGTTGGAATGCTTTGGTATGGACTTATTTGACTAAACCCCGCAGGTATTCGTACTTAATTTTATGTGAGAGGGAATTTATTATGCGAACAGCATATACTTATTTATAATAGCTCACTTGGTTTATCCTTTTTCACTGTCTTGATTGGCATTTTTTCACATATCAGAGAATTAGGCAGATCTTACTGGAGCAGCTTCATATCTATTTTGGCAGCCGTGTAAGTAGGATTATTAACTTCTCTAACAATCCCACTCATCTTAAATATAGTGTGGCCCTTGCGACATTTGCTTTCGATATGGCATTCGCAGTCATTATACGCAACAAGTTCAATGAATCAGATATTGCATCAGCAGAAATTGGCCAATCAGTCTGGTTAGTCCTGGCTGCAGCTATTGCTGTGAGTATTGTTTAATTGATGTCGAAAATTCTAACCTGAAACAGCTCGTAATATCAGTCTTTATGTTCTTGACAGGAATAGCAATGTCACGTCGTCAACACAAAACCAGAGACTTATTCGAAAGTGAGAAAGACAAGAATAATCATCACTCGCAGCCTCAGAATGATTCTTACGGTATGGGTGAGAGACGCAAACTTAACAAGCAAGATAAAGACAAACAGGACGACAATTCATCAAGTTCATTCTCCCCACTTCCAGGTTCATACCCATCTGATCAACAACCATTGGCTTCGAATGCTGGTATGCCTTATGATAACGGTACTTGGGAAGACACACAATCGAGTGTTAATAGTGCACAAGGCCATGGTCAAATCCCACCACCTTTACCACGTAATCAGAGCCCAGCTCCACCATTCGAACGTCAAATGATGACACAGCCGATGTTAACACCATATATCCCACAACCAAGCATTTCACCATTACCTTTTGCGCGTTCACCACCACCACCAATGCCATACGCTGTTTCACCACCTCCAATTGGGAACTCAATGTCACCGCCGCCTCCAATGACCTACGCTATGTCACCACCACCGCAAATGCCACACGGACAGATGCTACCTGGACATATGTTCCCACCACAAATGCCACTATACTTTAATCCAGCTACTCAAGGTCATTTTAACGGTAATTCTGAGCATTCGAGTGAGAATTCGATGTCAAATGGCGGATATTGGCCAAATCCAAATGGTTTGACACCAAATTATGGTAATGATGGCAGTAAGTAATCTATTAGAGTGTTTAAGATAAATTTTAACTTGACGTATAGTTATAAGTAGAGTAGCGAGTCCAGCAAACACAGGACAATTCCAAATGACGAATAATGTAGCCCAACAAGCAGCAGCAGGTGCACTTTCAAGCTACCAATCTGCACCCCAAGATGAGAAGAAGGCTATTGATAATAATAATAACGATAATTTGCCTTCTGCGCCTGCGTCATCACCTTTAATGCAAACATCAGCTATTCCGATCACATCAGCGAGACAGAGGCAACAATGGACAGCGCCTTTAATTAGATCACCGCCACCACCAGAAACATTCGCAGAACCAGAAGGAGACCCTTACCTATCAGCGAGAGCTATACCACGAAGGGTGAATCGTGAAGAATCGAAAGAGCCACCACCGTACCAATAAGAGAATAATGTAAACAATCTAATTAATGCTTTTTATTTAATAAAAATTTTGTTAAATTGGGAATTTTTCAGTTGATCTGAGAGAGACGAACGACGTTCACGTAAAACGATCATGTCATTCTTCAGGTGGATAGAGACTTTATTAGTATTATAATAAAAATGCTGATAGAAATTTATATAGACGTGCTGGTAGCTCATCGGACAGCGATTCCTCATCAGAGGAGGAAGAACTTTTGTCATCCTCAGGTTCAGAAGACGAAGAAGCACCAGTGAGTAGGATAGTTATAGACGATTTCACTATAACTTAACAATGAAATAGCCACAAAAGCAAGAAGCTAAACCAATGTCTAGATTCTTAAAAACAGCTGGCGGTGACAGTTCTTCCTCAGATTCAGATTCGGACGACTCAGACGATTCTGACGAATCAGACGATGAAGACGGTCCAAAGAAATCTCGCTTCTTAAAAGACGCACCTTCAGATGAGTCCGATTCAGAGGAGGAAACTAAGAAGGTCGTAAAATCAGCTAAGGATAAGAGAGTAGAAGAAATGGAGGCTGTCATTAAAACTCTCGATAACGCTAGCAAGATCAGTGACTGGGTAGCTATCAACACCGAATTTGACAAGTTAACACGTCTCGTTATTCGTTTACAGACTTTGAATGAACCAATTCCAGCAATGTTCATTAAGACTTTGGTTAGCCTTGACGATGACTTGAAGTCTGACAAAGGTGATACTAAGAAGAAGCTTAACGCTACCAACAACCGTGCCATGAACGGTATGCGTCAAAAGGTCAAAAAGAGTATCAGAGACTGGGAGAAGGATGTTGCAAGCTACCGCGAAAATTCAGAAGAGTTCGAATCAAAAGCTGCCGCTATTTCAGCTGCGCACGCTCCAGGTGTCGCTCCAACCAAACCAAGAGCTGAAAAAGCAGCAGAGGCAGCAGACGCTGATGAACTTGGTTTCGCAACTATCGGTAAAGCTGGTAAAGCTACCGACGAACCAACTATAACTCCAGAGACTTTATTCAGACACCTTGCAGGTATTCTTGAAGCTCGTGGTAAGAAGAACACCGACAGAACCGAACAAGTTCGTACCCTTGAGAGATTACTCAAGGTCGCTTCAACTCCATACTCACGTATTCGTGTTCTCTTGGCTTTAATCTCTTCAAGATTTGATTACAACGCAACCAACCAAGCTCACATTCCTCCACAATCATGGATTCAAGCAAGAGCTGAATTTGACAGCTTAATTGACATTTTGATTAGCCAACCACAATACATTGTCAAGGAAGAAACCGTCGAATATGAAGATTCAGTGGAAAGAAAGCCACAAAGTGCTGATGACATTGTTGAAGTTCGCGGCTCATTGGTATCTTTCATCGAGCGTTTGGATGATGAGTTCACGAAGACTCTTCAAAACTCTGACCCACACTCACTTGAATATGTTGAAAGATTATCTGCTCAAAAGACTCTCTACCAAACAACTGTCAAGACACAAGCCTACTTTGAATTGATAAAGGCTGAGTTGCCTGTTTCAAGAACCGTCATGCGTAGACTTGAACACATCTACTCAAAACCAGATGCCGTTGTTGAAGTTTTAGAAAAGGCAGCTAGTCAAGCACTTGGTCAATTAAAATCAACAATTACTCCACCACAATCTGCTTTCTCATCAACCAAATTGGTTCATCAATTATGTACATACCTTTACAACGCTGCCGATGGTTTATTACGTACTAGAGCGATGCTTTCACACATTTATCATCACAGTTTACACAACAATTACCACACTGCTCGTGATATGTTCTTGATGTCACATTTACAAGAGAACGTTAGCAGAGCTGATGTTGCAACTCAAATTTTATTCAATCGTACAGTTGTTCAATTAGGTTTATGTGCATTTAGAACAGGTTTAATTAGAGAGGCTAGAGATTCATTGAGAGAAATTTTCCAATCAGGTAGACCAAAGGAATTATTAGCCCAAGGTGTCACTCAACAAAGATACATGACTATGACTCCTGAACAAGAGCGCGCAGAGAAGTCAAGACAGGTTCCATTCCATATGCACATTAACTTAGAACTTTTGGAAGCTGCCTACTTGGTCAGTTGTATGTTGATCGAAATACCAAAATTGGCTTCTGCGACTGGTGATCCAGATGCAAAGAGAAAGATCCTTTCCAAAGCTTTCAAGAGACAATTGGACTTTGCTGAAAGACAAGCCTTCAATGGTCCACCAGAGAACACTCGTGATCATATCATGCAAGCTTCTAAGGCATTGCAAAACAGTGATTGGGAGAAATGTCGTGACTTGATCCATGGTATTAAGATTTGGTCATTGATGCAAGGTGAAACTCAAACTAAGGAGATGTTAACCAGGTAAGTTACAATTCGCATGAGTACTAATTAACAAGCTAACTCATTTTTTAGCAAAATCCAAGAAGAAGCTTTGAGAACGTATCTTTTCACAAATTCAGCATTCTACGAAAACATTTCAATCTCAATATTGGCTTCTGCAATGGAATTGAATGAAAAGACAGTAAACTCGATAATTTCAAAGATGATTTGGTCAGAAGAATTGTCAGCAACAATCGATCAATCAAATAATGTAGTTGTATTCTCCAAAGCTGAACCAACTAAGTTACAATCACTGTCGAATCAATTACTTGATCGTGCTAACAGCCTAGTCGAATTAAATGAGAAGACAATTCAACTCAAATTTGACGATGGTACAAACAAATCTGATGATTTAAGCGCAAGAATACGTCGTGGAAATCGCGGTCATGGCCATGGTCAACCAAAAGCTAGCAGGCAACAGTTTGCTAACCCAACGAGAAAAGTACCTGTATAAAATTTCTATTCATTGATTTTTGCATTATTCTTATTATTGAATTGAATAAATATGTGTGAAAATCCTCATTATTTGTGGTGCAAGTTTTTATATTTTTGTCTTTGTTTATACTTGGAAAGAAAGCTAATACCGAATTTCTATAATTTATGAATGAGAGCAACAGAAGAATTGAATAGGTGTTTTGTAGTACTTCCTTTATTAACGTAAAACGTAAATACACCAGATAATTGCTGCAAGTTGCATCACTGATAAACATATCATAGTAGAACTATATTATTTCGACAAGTTCGAAGTAGTATATAATATTATGGTACATAATGAAATAAATAGATGTTTGGGAAAATGGAAAATGGAAGTTTCACGCTCCTTGGTAGTAAGTTCCAATTTGATAAGTGCTTCAATAATCTCTATTAATCCAATATTTATACTAAAACATCACCAACGCTTTTAGAGAAGTAATTTAGAAGCTATATAACAATAATTATTATGATGAAGCAGCTCGCTTGCGTACTTGACTACTGCTGCACTTCTTCTGTGTTGCTTGAGATAAGCGTACACCAGCTTCTCTGAGAGTGATTGGGCTACTGCATGCTTTGACATGTCAATCACAATCTTCTCATCATACTTTAATGGAATCAAAGCGGACAAGGATTCACTATATTCGTCTATAAAATGATCTTGAACATTTGTGACACCACGAGAAAGAGTTTCATCACAACAGATCGAATCGTATGCCTGATAATGCGTAAGACTTCAAATCTCTGAAAAAAATTCCCGAACCTACCAATAAGTTTAAATAGAGGCGTTTGGTAAATATTCCAACATCGCAAAATTGTTTTAGATTTTTTAAAATGTTTGCAATGTCAGACACGCGATCATGAATAAAGCCAGCTTTTATATCTTCAAAGCATGTCTTTGTAAACTGCGCCAGATGCAAAGCTTTAAGCAGTTCGCCTTCCTCCTCAAACTGAACAATGTTCATCGACAGATTATTAAGTATGTTCCAAGAATAAGTACTCCATCCGTCATTCGATTCAACTGGTATTTTATTGTTCATGTCAATGTTGTAGAATGCATTGATTAAGCCTGTGCCTGATGTATCTGAAGAATTTGTATACTTGAATAACTTGCCAATAATTGTATATTCTTGGATAGTTTTCAACGACTCCTCATACTTTAAAGCATAGGGTAAACGCACTGCTTCCAAATACAATGACTGGAAGAGCAACGATTTAGTATCACATAGTTTGTACCAACGTTCGGCAAACACTGTGAAGAGATTTGGTACGTGTGCTAGTCTGGCAGCATCGAACATATTAAACCTTTCACCTATAGCACTTGCAAACTCATTCCGTTTTTCAAGATACCTGACTATGAATGTTTCTATTGATTTTGTCCATCTACCATGTAAATTCACCGGTATATTACGAGGATGTCGATTTAAAACGGCTTCAATGAATGGCTTATCTTTGTCATCTAAATAGAAGTTCTTTTCAAAGCTGTTTAAATGATCTGCGGGAAACATGACGTTAGGATCTCTCAACATAGCGTAAACATCATCTGAAAGTGTCATATTTTGAATAATTGTGTTGAAATTGGCGTTTAAAACATCATCAATGACTTCAAATGTTACGTTGTTAGGAACGAGCCTTAATAATTGTGTTACGATGAAACCTTGAATACTAGGATGGGCAACTTGTTTGGCCGTATTGATCAAGTGACTAGATACCTCCTTGACCGAGAACCCTGACTGTGCATTTACTAAAATAGCGCTAATAATAGCCTTCATTGTTGTTAACTTGTGTACCTCCTTGTTGTTTATCAGGTCGATCAATTGAACTGCAATTTCTTTCGATTTTTCAATCGGCATTGTACTCAAGAAACCACCATTGAGTAATCTTAGCTGTGCTTTAATAAAGTTAGGTTCCTTGACAATTCTAACCAATGTCTCAATTATAACATCATCGGATTGAAGTCCAACAGGAGTAATAGCCTTGATTAAATCATCAACATTGTACATCCATGAAAATATGTCTACTTTATCGCCTTGTTCTTTCATCGTCGACAAAATTTCTCCTATTTGTGATGCACATAGTCCTTTTTGACTAGCTGCCAAGAAAATCAAACCTATCAGCCAGCTGTTGCTAGAATCAACATATTTCACAACTATCTCTTCATGGTCGGAATTCTTTATGATGTTCGATTTCAGGACGCGTACAGCCAGCTTTGCTAGCTTCTTTTGAAAATCAACGCTCAAATACCTTGATAAGCGATTTGCAGTGACTCTTGGATGTGAATCTGGACGATAATTCAAGTACTCTAATACTTTCTTCAAGATTTGGTATGGAGTTACTGGCCATTCTTCCTTCTTGAAAAATTCGATATATCTGTGAAAAGGTAATTAATTAACATTTCAAGTAATTATATATATATAAATATATAACTCACTTGTCATCAATGGTTCTTTGGACAAAGTTACTAGAATCATCCAAGACATTATCAAGATCTAACAATTTGAAGAAAAGCTTGGTATCACAAGGATATAAATATGACACAAATTCAGCCATGTCCGAGAGTAAATCTACCTGTGCAAGGCCAATGATTGCGTAAAGATAATCTGTTGGAGTTGGCACCTCTTGAGTCATCTTCTTTGCTAGACCTTTAACGGCATTAGTCAAGACAAGGGTCCTATCCAATTTGGAAGTGCTTTGAAGCATTTTGTACCAGAGGTTAATACCGAAGGCTAGTCTCTTCCAGTCATTCCTCAACTGCCCTTGGTCAATGTCTGCTAAATCCTCGTCTGTGATCTTGTTGATATAAGGTGTAAATTGGCCGAATCTAGTTCGTAAACGTTTCCCAGAATTTTTGTTACTAATACCTTGTGGTAAAGAAATTATGAAAGGTATGTGTGAATAATAATTACTGTTATCGGGTTTATCGTTTTCGCTGAAGTGTTGCTGACGCACTTTCAAAAGATCTTGAGCTAACGAATCGAGGAACTCGAAGGATATTCTTGAACCATACGCAGATATTGGTGGACTCAATGAGTTGAACCTCTCTTTCTCGCAGGAATACACTGGCTGAAGAGCCGCATGTGGTTGAACAATCATGCTTGGTGGGAACGCCTTCTGGTATATTGGGGAGCTTTCCTTGGAAGTGAGCTTTTGCGTGAGCCATTTGGCAAACAGATGCTTAAGTGGGTCCAAAAGCTGGTTGATTGGCTCTTCACCATCTTCAGACGTAGATTTCAGAATTCTAAGCCTATCTATAGTTTCTATTCTCTTGTTCAAAACACCTAAGATCAAGGATGACAGTTCATTGTATTCGTTACGAGAAAAGTCACTGTTGTGCGCAGATGAATGTAACGCGACATCAATGTACTTCTCGAGCAATTTGTTTCCAGATTCTGCTGCTCTCAGAACGCTCTCGCGTACATGTTTCTTGTTCACTACTTCGTCTTGACCGATACCTGACTTCTGTTTAGCTTATGTGTTCTATTAAAAGCACATACACACCTTCAAGAACCGAAAGTCCAGACAATTCCTCAAAAAAGTAGAGATAACACTCAATAAACGTAGAACTGTTCCTTCATTAGTCAAATATGTTTGTTGGATGTTATCCTCACCCATAACTGTTCGTAGCTGCTAAAATCTCGTATCTTGTAAAATCATCATTAATAAATCGACCTAAAATCCAATCTAGATTATCGTACAGATCATCCTTACTGATGGCAGAGTAAAGCAATAACGCGACAACCAAATTCTTGCGAAGATCTCTATCAGTTGTAGTTTTGCATCTGCTTTTGAGACCTTCGATAGTGACTTTTGTGAAGTTATCGCTTTCATCGTCACTAGTACTAGATAGGAGGCGTGTCCTGTTGGCATCCCTAGAGGCTATAGCTACTCTCAGCCCACTGACATAGCTTTCGCCGACATTACTCAGTGATGCAAGCCTTTTGTTGAGTCTGAAAGGCAATGCAGGCGAGAACTCAGTAGGATATCCAACTGACTTCGTGTTTTTGAGTAATAAAAGAGAAATATGACTTGGTAGGAGGTAGAGTATTGACAGACTTCTAGCTTCGAAAGTAGGTATGTCATATTGAGTAGGGTTTGGTGATCTGAATTGACCGTCCGCGGTCATGGTATCGGATATGGTTCTATCTATTGTGTGTATATATGTAAATCGGGCTTGTACTGGAATGGTCTTAATAAATTTGACGATTGCTCCAAATATTTCCACTTGACGACTACTTTTGTAGCTCAAAATGGAGAAATCAAAGTTATGTGAAAGTGTCTGTAATATGTGTGTCATAACCTCATCGTTTTGATTTGAATACCATAGCTTGGAGATGGTAATGAACAAGTTGAGCATTCCTTTGCTCGTAGTGCGGAACTTGATGCTTTTGGCTTTCTTTCTGTACATTTGAAGAGTATCAAAACCTCTGATCAATATATCAACGCTCCCTGTTGATTTATATGCCGTGTTTAGAAGTAAAGCGTAATTGTCCGCTCCATCTGAAGCCAGATTATGATTATCAGGATCAATTAGGTTGATTTGCTTAGTCGAACGTATGAATTCTACTAGTAAATATAATGGTATATTTACTGCTATATTGTTCAAGTTCTTAGCTATGATACCGTATCCTCTACGCTTTATCAAGGCTTTCCAAGTCTTTCTGGAGACATTACGTGAAAGTAACTCTACATCATTATCATAAACGATAAGCTCATTGTATAGATAATCATATTTCATTGATAGTGGTGAGTTGATATCTTGAGATTCTCTCAATAAACCGGTGAGTTGAGCTGGTGTGCATGTTTTCAAGAGCGTACCATGTAAATATCTCTTGAAATCCACCCAGTTTTTCGTCTTACAATTTTCTATCTCCTGACTTATCATGGATGTATTAGTTGATGAAGGTAAATAAAATGTATTACGAATAAGATTACATGCAAAACTTAAAGTGTATTTGGTTCCATTGTTGGTGCTAAGCGTATTTCTCTATCAGTGGATGATTCAAGGTCCTCCTTCTTGCTTGATCTTCTTATGAACCAACGTCTGAGTGCTTTATATCCTTCTATGTAGGCAATGAATATCAGGACAGAAGCTGCTATCATACCCCATTCCCAGCCTATCCCAGTGACTTGGAAAACACGGTCTTTAATAACTATGCAGTGTTAGAATTATGATGACATCATGGAAGCTCACAATCACTCACCAGGAATATAGATTACCGGGAAGACACTTAATGAGAGCAAACCTGCAGACCAAATGAGCAACTTGTTGTCTAACAAGTTCATTTGGAATACACTGCGTAGATATGATTAGTTTTTTCATTTCTAGAGTAGCTTCACGTACCTCCGAGTTGTATGTTTGCAACCAAAAGCAAGTACCATTAGCATGAGTAATAAGGACGCATATGCTGCTGCTCTTGCTCTGTAGATGACTTGACATTCTCCTGTGACTTCTCCCTCATTGCAGTTAGCGGAGACATCTTCATTACCATCGTATCTTCCATAGATGACAATAACATAGTTTGCGAATGTAATAGCACCAGATACGAATCCATAAGAGAACAAGTCCAAGAACCAGGTTGGTGTGAAGATGCTAAAGAAGTTGCTTGGTGGTTGAAGCATTGTATCATCAGCAGTTGGCTCAATACCGAGCGCAAAAGCTACTGGACCAATTGTCAAAGTGTTAATAACCCTGTTGAACTAATAAGATTCTATTCAATGTGAAGAACAAAGCAACACTCACAATGCACCAACTGGTGAAATTGGATAGACGGCATTTCCATCAGATCTGATAGCTAAACCAATAAGCAACACGAGGACTTCAGCAACGTTTCCTGCCAACAAGTATACCAAGAACTTGGACAAATTAGTGAAAACGGATCTACCTTTCCTAACAGCTCTAACGCATGTGGAGAAGTTATCATCAGCCAGGACAATATCAGCAGCACCTTTAGCGACATCAGAACCGTTAAGACCCATAGCAACACCAACATCAGCTCTCTTGAGTGCAGGTGAATCGTTAACACCATCACCAGTCATAACGGTAAGACGCTTGCGGCGGTGAAGAGCGTCGACGAATCTGGTTTTAGTCTCTGGCGCACATCTGGCAACAACGACTGGAAGTTCATCGAGTTCATCAATCGCTTCATCAGACATTGCATCAAATTCTTGACCTGTCATTACGGCTGATTTTGAATGGTTTTTATCCAATATACCAACTGACATAGCGATAGATGCGGCTGTGGCTGCGTGATCACCTGTAAGCATGCGTACGACAATGGAAGCACGTCTTGAATCGTATACAGCACCCTTAGATTCAGGTCTTGGTGGATCAAATATACCGACCAGACCAACTAATCCGAAACCTTTCTCAAGTTCATCTCTCTTGGTTTCTTTTACGGCTTGCGCGTTGGATAACTTATCGGTCTTACCAGCTAAAGCTAAGACACGCAGTCCTTCTGCTGCTAGTTCATCCATCTTCTTGAGTATGTTGTCTTTTGCTTCTTCTGTCATTTCAATTGCCTTATCGCCCATCGAAACATGGGTGCATCTCTCCAGTACTCTCTCAACTGCACCTTTCATATAAATGTAAACATGTTGCTTTGAGCCGTCATCACCTTTAGTGTCGACGAATTTCCAGGCTGTAGACATTCTCTTTATTGATGAATCAAATGGATGCTCAATGATCATCTCAAAGTGACCCTCTACTTCAGCTCTTGGGGAAGGATGGTGATCCTTCTTGGCCCTATGTTTAGGTGGATGGGTGAGGTGTGGTTTTCCATGGCCAGCTTTATGTGCAAATACTTGCAGAGCAATCTCAGTTGGATCACCATTGGCATCCCATTCGCTTCCTTCTTCACCAGCTGAAATTGTTGCCATATTGTTTAATGCAGCGGATTGAACGAGGTCTTGGAACGAGGGATCCAAATCGTTGACTTGAACAGCATCAGAGTCTGAATTTGCGCTTTCATCCTCCTCAACTGTGTTTTCATCAAGTGCTTGAATTGTTCCTCTTGGATAGTAAGGGTCTTTGCCTGATTCGACGGAGTATATTTGACCGACTTCTGTATCGACTTTCTCAGACATTGAAGGGACCCAAGCTTTCTTCAGTACCATCCTTCCTACCGTGATTGTACCGGTTTTATCTGAGCAAATGTCAGTTACACCAGCCAGTGTCTCAATCGCATCCATTTTGCGTACTAAGGCATTTCTCTTTGCTAACTCTCTTGAGGATGTTGCAAGCGTCAACGATACGACGGCAATAAGCGATGCAGGTAAAACCGAAATAGCTGTAGCTACTGCATATGTAGCTGTAGAATCTGGAATATCCTTATATCCAGTTGAACTAACTACGACAATAGCAAATATGATTGCTAATGCTAGCAACAAATAAGCAAGTTTATTTAATTTAATCTGTAGTGGCGTTGTGCCTTTGACGCCTAAAAATACTTGGAATTTCTCCCAATGCCTCTTCCAGCCGCGCTTCTTTGAGTCGGCCTTAGTAGCGAGCGCTTCAGAGATAGCACCAAGCTCTGTAGCCATACCAATTGATGTGACAACGCACCTTGCTCTACCTTTGGTGACTTGACTACCTGAGAAAACCATATTGATGCGGTCACCAACTGGGCAAGTCTTATCTTGTAGCGTTTCCGCGGCTTTTGCGACAGGGAGTGATTCACCAGTTAACAATGCCTCGTCAACTTCGAGGTTAGAGATGTGGTTATCAATAACTCTTCCATCCGCAGGTATAACATCACCGATTTTGACAATCATTATGTCACCTGGAACTACTTCATCCGTTTGTACCTCTAAAATTTTACCCTCGCGGCCTTTATTTGAGGGATCGTGGCGTACGACAACAGCTACTGGGCTTCCTACCTTTAAGGATCGTTAGGGACTACTTTAATTGCTAAATCTACTCACACTCTCGAGTGCAGCTACAGTTTTTTCAGCTTTCCATTCCTGGGTGAAACCAACAGTAACGTTGAGAATAACGAGTGCAGCAATAACACCTGCTTCAATCCAGTCTTGCGTACCGAAGGAAACAGCCATTGCTGCTATCAATACGAGCGTCATCTGATGACGAGATATGAGATATGTAGATTAGAAAGGGCGAGATAACTTACAGCATTACCAATTTGTCTACCAAATATCCTCCAAAGGGATGGCTTTGGCGGGGGTTTGAGTCGATTTGGACCGAATTCATTTTGTAGTTGTTCAACTCTCTCAAATGATTGTCCTAGCATAGGATCAACGTTATGTTGTTGGAGTAGATCTGCCGAATCTCTAACATGTGCGACAGCTGATGATTTTGTTAGTATTTATAAAGCACGAGAACTCCTATTGCCCACTTTGTTCAGATTTTTCTGTAATTGAGGACGTCTCAGTATTTTTCTTTGAAAACATGCTGAACGTTGAAGTGTAAGATTCTCTTTTGGAGCGCATGATCTTAAGTTTGATTAGACTGACTTCTTGGCAGTTTGGATTTGAGCTTCATAAACAAACTATCGCCGATCTTGTTCACACGTGAGTTAATAAATCGGTGAGTGTGAAGATTGTAAATAAACTATATTAGGTATAACACCGAGAAACACTCAAAATGGCAGCAAACATCTACTCACCCAAGAAATCTCGCTAGCTTTAATCTGTACCTGAGTCTAAAACTCTTGGCAAAATTTGGCGTCATGCATCATTAACGTCTTTTATATAAACAAGGCTCTAAAATATCCTTTCCTTGATTTAATAATTCATCTAAATTGCTGATGGCTTTTTTATCGGTCTTTATAAATACCATATTTGCAAAATGTGTGTTAGATTCATCCTAAAAGCTTATCATGAGAATGATATCACATGACAAGAAATACGCACTTTTTCAGTCAGCTTAAATCCGAATTTAGAAACAAGTTCGATAAAGTCTGAGATGTTTGAAAATCTCGATTTAACTTCTGCAATGTGTAATTTACCCCTGTATTTTATTATGAGAGGTTAATCGCATTTATTCAAAGCTACTCACTTTGGCAACAATATTCTCTCAGCTTCACTGATAGCTCCCACCCAGTTGGATCCCATAAGGCTGAGACAGAAAACAACTCTGTCAACAGAATGTGATGGTAAAGGTACTTTCTTAGCAATATCGCATTCAACTACCATACCCTTCTCAGCTTCTACCAAATCATAGGAGAATACTCTATGTTTCGGCAGCACTTTAGCTAATGTGGCTGGTCCAGAGCCCAGGTCAGCAATAATTGTAGAAGATGATGGTAGACTGGAGAGTGACTTGGCGATCACATTTACCGGGTTCTCAGGCCAAGACTTTGTTTGTTCGACGAATCCCTCGTGATACTAGAGCAAATTAGACTTTAACATGTAAATAAAGTGTGTAGTCACCTCATCAAATATAGTTGGATCATCCCGCATCAACTCGTGTGCTTCTTGTGAGTCAGTAGTGTAGAGTGTCTCGTTTATCCATCTAATTTCGTCAGCTGGTTAATAAACCATTCAAATCATACCTAAATCTAGCGCCAGAGAGTGATTTTTTCATTTTATCTTGTAACGAAGTAGTATCAGTGTCAGATTTGTTAGCTTTTTTCTTCTCTGCTTTACTAGGAGGCGTCTGTGTCTGCGTTTGCTCGGATTGCTCTAGTTTGCGCTTCTTGGATGGTTTAGCAGTCTCATTAGATGGTGCAGTTTTCTTTTTATTGTTATTCTTGCTGTTATTTCCTTGTTTAGCTGGTTTCTTAGTGTCTTCCTTCTTCTCAGACGGCTTGTTATCCTTCTTAGCTGGTTTCTTTGGCTTATTATCGCCAGCTGGTTTCTTATTATTATCAAGTGACTGCATCTTAGCCATCAATTTCTCGAGATTGCTCTCGGCATTTTTTAGATCTTTACTCATAATATCAACGTATATAAAGAAGGCGTGTAGATAATTAATCAACTATCTGTTATTCATTAAATTATCAATACATTATAAATAAGGTTACAATCATTGTTTATCTAACCATCCGTTTTCTTAGCGCTGAGCAGACTTTGGAAGAAGTTCTGCAATACCTCGTGCTGGCTTGGTGCGATAGTAGAAGGTGTGCCCTGGTTTGAGTGTGACTGTGGTGCGTTCGTACTAGAGCTTGGTGTGAACGGTTGGCTATGACTGAGTGAATGATTATGACCAAGTTTAGGTTTGTAGGGCGTGGTTGTAACATCATCATCGAGTTGAGTGTTCGCATCTGTTCTCATTGCCCTCTCCACTGATGGGAGGTTCAGACTGTTACTATCCATCGGTCCTACTATACCTGAACTGAATCCTGTGTCAAGTTTAGGAGTTTGTTTGAATGTATTACGCGGATCTCTCTGTGGATCTTTGCTGAGTGAATCGAAATGCTTCGCGAGGAAGTTTGTTTCATGTTCAGCAACAGCCTGCTTCAATTCAGTTGGTTGCGTGCTGTGATGGTTCTTAGTAGGGTCGTGTATAACATCCTGATAGAGTTTAGATGCTTTCGGCTGGCTGCCTTCATCATTTGATAGCTGATTGTCCCAACCGTCTGAAATGATGTCGTCGGTCGCACTTATTCCGTCCCTGAGAGCCGTGATTTTTCCCCAGCTGTCCCATCCAGCAGGAATAAGAACTGCATCTTTTTCCACAACGATAGCACGATGGTTAAATGGGAAGGAACGTGGAGCATGTGAGTTGGTCTCTGGCTGGAAGAGACGGTGGTGGATATATTCACGCGCTTTAGTAAGTGTATCTGGTTTGTTGACGGAAGTGTAGGCAATACCTGCTCCATCTGGGGTATTTCATTAGTAAGGAAGTCGTCACTCAGAAACATCAAACTCACATTTCAAAGCTATACCTCTCAAAACTTGCTGGATCCATTCAATATTGTCATCAGTTGACCATCCATCCTTATCGATGTTCTGCGCTTTCTCTATTACGTCTGACTTGTGACAAACGATAAAGAGTGGTATACCGGATTGGTTGTGTGTTAGTGTATTGTTGTCTAGAGGTGGAGGATCTTCCACATTCATAGCTAGCTTAGCCACAGCTGAATTTGTGTCTGTAATTGAAGACGGTTTAGTGTAATTTTCGAGGTATCGTCTTAATTTCGACTGAAGTTCCTGCAATTGGAGTTCGAAGTGATGTGAATTGTTATTTTTCTTCAGTTGAGCGATATGTTGGTCAATCCAGGATATCCACCTGCTCAAATCGTCTATAAAATTCCAAGGTTTCTCCCAATCGAGTTGTATAACAACTAGTAAATCACTGATAGATTGGGGAGTTATAACTAGATTTATCAAATCGGTATAAGTCTTGTTAGAGTTGGGTATCGTATAGATTGATATTCTAGCCATAACTTCGTCGTCAGCTGCGTCACGTACGTCTGCGTAATCAACGCTCAAACCGAGATCTTTGTGGTGATGTTCAAGTGAATTACCTGTTAAATGTGATATAAATGTTGATTTACCGGAAGATTGTTCTCCTACAGTAGGCTATTAACTTTGTAGCCTTATGTTTGTAAACGTACGCACCTAATAACAAAACAGTCTTTGACGGAAGCCTAGACTGACTATTAGACACGCTGTCCAATATAGAGGACCAAATATTCTCTTTATTCGCGCTATTTTCAGTTGGTTGCATCTAATAAAGAGCCTTTCAAGTGAATTATCAACTTCTACAATGTAAAAAAATGAATTTACAGACTTTTATAGTGATTTACTAACAATTTCTATAGGTCAGACCCAAATACAATCGCAAGCCAAGTGAGTTCCCCTATAGTCACAGATCATTTCCTCACAAATCGTTCAGTTCACACAAGTAGGCGTTTTCTAGTAATTTTAGAGCTTTTCTGACTTTCATAGTACTACTACAGTACATTTGATTCAAACAGATCACAACTCCGTGGATTATACGTATGTTTATCACTCAGATCGCTATTCTCTAACGAATCGATTCAGCGTGATGGAAGTATGCTCACCTGGGAATCCAACCAAATCTTGGGTGTCAATGCCATTCTCGAAAAGTTAGAAGGCCTCCCATTCCAAAAGGTCGTTCATAAGACAGACACAATAGACGCACAACCTAGCTCCGCATCCGTCGCATCCTTGATGGTTCTCGTTACCGGTCAATTGATCGTCGACGATAGTCCAAACCCTATCGCATTCTCACAAGTTTTCCAACTCATGCCTGAAGGTGGCTCATATTACGTACAAAACGATGTTTTCCGGTAGGTGCAATGTTTATTACCTGTTTACACTCTCTAATTAGTCTACACAGTCTCGTTTACGGTTAAACTTAATATTAATCCGATACATTCGTGAATTTTACTTGGGATCAACCCTATTTGATAGTTTCTTCTTTAGAACGTCGAGCGTACCTCTCCGGGCTTTTATAAGACGTTCTGCTTTTGCGTTGTCAAGATTGTCGTAATTTTGCGACTTATTTTCCATCCCAAGCTTACTTCGCAGTTCGGTTATGTTATCGTCTAGACTGGTGAGGGTGTTGACTTTCTCACGAAGTTCTTCTTGATTCCGCATCTCATCGCATACTTCCTTACAGAGGTTTTTTATGTGTTCAAACCGTATTGGACCAAGCATTTGACCTCCATACCATCTAGAAACAACTATTAAGGCATCAATTGTCTGACCATAGGGGGTTTTAGTGGTGATTTGCTCCTTTATATTCACTTACGTTTGTTCTAACACCTCGAGTATTCTTTTTCCGGCGTATTTTTCACCATCATCGTCATATCCAGACTTGAGGGTAAAATCATCCTCACTTAGACCACTCTTTCTTGGCTTCAAACCGAGGTATCTATACGCCGTGATTGAGTGCGTTGGTTCAGAATTTCTGGATTGTCTGAGTTGATATTTAGCTTGTGCGATCTGGTTTATTTGAGCAATTGTCTACGTAGATTCTTCACTCACGTCTTTGTCTGAGGTGACACTACATATGTTGGCAATAAACAAACTACCTCTATCGACAATTTCGCGTGATTGAATGAAATAATAAGACATTGATGATAGTTATAAAGAAAGGATATAAAATTACGGAAATATACAAAAAAGAAGCTACAATAAAACGCAATTCCTACGCTTTTTAACAAATTTAGTTAATTTACCTTTCATTGATTCCTTAAGTGCTTGATCGAATAGTTCTATAACACCTTGAGATTTCTTAGCTGAGCATTCAATATACTTTGATGCGCCTATTTCTTTGGAAACCTGCAAACCTTGCTCGTATGTAACAGGTTTCAAACCCTGCATACTTAGCATTCTTCTCGTTTCTGTATCCTGACGCAGATCGATTTTTGTACCGACGAGTATCCTTGGAACACCTGAGCAGAAGTGTGAGACTTCTGGGAACCACTGGAGGTGATTCATTAATAAATATCAAGTGAAAATATCATATACATACTTTATCTTTGACATTTTCCAGACTAGTGGGGTAATCAACAGAGAAGACAATCAAGATAATATCTGATTCAGGATATGATAACGGGCGTAATCTGTCATATTCTTCCTGTCCTGCTGTATCCCATAAAGCTAATTCGACAATCTTGCCATCAAATGTTGGATATGATACGTAATTCTCAAAAACTGTTGGTACATATTCCTAATAGACTGTTTCAGTAATGATCTTGTTATTACAAAGATGACAACAAACCTCTGGAAATCTATGCTCTGCGTATACGATCAATAAACAAGTCTATCAATCATCTCAGTTTTAGTTGTCGTATGGAGATATTGAGCGCACCTTTCCACATCCACCGTCGCCTGTAACTACTAACTTCTTTTTAACATCAGGCTTTTTACCTGGTGGTAGACTGTTGTTCATTTTAACTTTCTATATGGGAGTTGACTATGAAGACGCGTGAAATAGTAACAAAGTGATAAAAATACATAAATTATACAATTGAGCTTTCAAAATTCCAGACTTTTTAAATCATTTTGTAGGTTCTTCGCCCTGTCCAATTTCGATATTTGCTGTGGTAATTTCTAAATTCGTGTTAGTAGTGGTCAAAACGCGAAAATACGCGTTAATCTTACGGATAAGAGAGTATTTATATTGCTGTTTATATCATCTAAACCTTCTTTATGGAATTCTACGCATTTGTCACTTTCTTCTTCTTGTGGTGATGCTTCATCCTCAAGATTAGGATCCTGGTTGGAAGGTTTCTGCCTTCTTAACTGTCTGCTAAGGAGTTCTTCCAATTCTAATGGTACAATTCTCCTTTTTTCTGATAATCTATTCTGTAATTGCTCAATATTGCTATCTAATTCGGACATTTGAGTTCTAAGTTTATCGTCAAACTGTTCAAATTCGACCTCATCATCGAGGTTTATATCCTGATAATTCTGTCCATTGATTTTTATATTAGGATGTATTAAACTGAAGGTCTTATTGAAGTAACTATTGAGTAAACATTTTAGTGCGTCATTTGAGTCGTCTGAACTATCAATTTGACTGAATAATTCATTCTTATAATAACCTTCTAAAAATTTAAGGTGTTCCTTGCTTTCTAAGTCGATCTTTGGATAATTGATGTCCATGCCGATGGAAGTATGTGATAAAGTGAGGTATGTGAAGCACTTTAGCGTGTTTAATGTTTAAAATATCTCGTTAAACTATAACTATGAAGTTTGTTTTAGTATTTCTCGCGTTATTTGCTATAATATCCGCTAAAATGGTAAAGTATTGCTTATCAAACTATGGATCACGCTAAGAAAGAAATAGCTACAAAGAAAGGAAGATCCAGTACAGGAGTACTTTGAGCAAGCTAATAAGGGTGTTAGAAAAGGAACTTATGGTGCATTTAAAGGTATTGCACAAGGATTCAACCCTTCTAGTTAAACTACGATGAATTTAAAGCTCATAGATGAGCTAAATAACGATATTAATGATAAAATAAATAATTTTCATAAAAATAATTTCAATTGTTACAACTCTAGCCATTTAGATCTACAAGTACGCTTTGATATTTTAGAGGTGCATTACAATCTTTTAGTTAGCCAGTATATAGACGATAAGAACGCTTTTACAGAGTTCAAATCATGGTGGTTTAACCAAAAGCATTCGAAAAGTAAAAACATCATTAACAATCCACTGCATTCTGTCTTAGTTGATAAAGTTGAAACAATAAGGGAACCATTTAGCATAACAGATGACCAAATTAATCTCACAAAACACCTCAATAAGCCACTCAGACCATCGAATAGCATTACAAGTTCACCCTCATCGTCGACAACCCTCCAATCATCACCTTATAACGCACAGTCAGCGGTCACACCGTCAAAACGACAAGAGGATGACACCCAACACTGCCATACAAACACGCCGAAGAAGGCGAAATGGGATTCTGATGATGAGCTAACCCCCACATCTATCAAGTATCTCGATTATCATAACAACACTACTCTCAAGTTTGACAATGAAGCATTGCGCAAAGTAAGACGGAAATCAGATATTGACCACAAACAAAACCCCTACAAGGTGGGTTCGTTATTATTGCTTTTCGTTTTACTAACCAAAACAGAATAAAGGAAATGGTAGATATGCAACATCCCTACCAAAGTCAAACGAGAATAAATCACTCAATAAAATTTACCCTATCAATCCAGAGAGTAACCAGGGGGTAGCCTTTAAGTATAAGGAGACTGTGAGAAAAAAATCAGAGCGAGAACATATGGTAGGCGGCGATTGTCTTTGTTGTCGTGATTTCTGGAATTCCGTTGGTCAAGACACTGCGCAGGAGCATAAAAACAGATCATCAAAGCACCGCTCACATTGGCCTCGACCAAAAACGCCGCCAGGATATTGGGATGTCGATTTCCCATCTACCCAGAAAATAGCACTGAATAAAGAGCAAGCAAGGCAGATGCATAAGGAGAAAAGGGAATGGGCGGCTGCTGAAGCGAACAAAGATAATGGGAGACATCTAAGGAGGAAATCATCATAGTGCATATCTTTCCTATTTTTTGTATGGTATCAATTGTATTCTAAGCATGTTTAATCTACATCTACGCCTCTAGCACGTAGTTCATCCTTTGCTTGAGTAATTTCCTAGGAATGTGTAAGTTAGGAGGTTTAGATAAGATATGAACGCACGCTAAGCAGTTCATTGTATGCTTCTGGACAGTCTTTGAAGGTGAACAAGCCAAAACCAATACTTGCGAGTGAGTAGCTACCAAATGTGATTAATGCCCAATACGGGAACTGAGAAGTTAGTTGCTTCATAGCTGGTATTGAGATTAACTCACGAATGGGAGCGTAATATCAGCGTATTCTTGATTTACAAGAGGAATCTTAACATATTTAAACAAACTGAGTATATAAGCCAGGCTAATTATACCGCCATATAGAATAAACCTCTTCAATCCCGTCATAGTTTCAAGTAAAGTAATAAGGAAGTACAAATAAATAATTTTAACGTGGGCCACCTCTACCTCTACCCCTTGGACCACCTCTAGGGCCACCTCTACCCCTCATAGTTTTTGCTCTTTCTTTTATGGCTTCTTTACGCTTATTTACTTTTGGCTGAGGTGCGTCGTCTACTAGGAGAGTATCGAGTGGAAGACTGTCAGGGAGGATAACGTATCTTATGTTGTTCCCTCTAATTGATATAGTATCTAGATTGCAAGCTGGAAGATTCCTAGTGATCAGTTTAACGCTACGAAGGTGGGCATTCATAGAAGGATCGCAGTCTTTAGGCTGTTAGAAAGTAGATATTAATAAACGAAGACTCACTTATCATAGTACCGTGTACTACAGAACCATTCTTCAATTCAATCGTCACAGACTCGTTATTTAATTTCTGAAGGAACCTATTATTATTTTAGGTAAAATAGGTAATATATAGACAAGATACTAACCTGACTAATTTCATTTTTTAATTATATCGACACTCTTGGTGGTAGCGGTGTAACGCTTTAGTTGACGACCAAGTGCTAGTAATGTGAGAGAGTATATATACATTAAAAACTATCATTTATCAATATATAGGGCTACAGAAGCAAGCTCATACGATTATTTATTTAAAATGAGTAGCATTCTCGTTTTTTTGGATTTACTTTATTAACAAAGCGTTTACGTAGTGTTAATAGGAGGTTAGTAGCTTGGAATTATTATGTTCTTTATCTAATAACCTTACAGACAGTGGCGTTGGTAAATCGTAAGTTTATCTTCCACCTCTCGCTTATCTCTGACAATACACGTAGTAATCGTAAGCTAGAGAATGTTAGACTGGACACTATCTAATTACTTCAGTCTTATCCAGATTTACTAGGAATGAGTTCAATATGGACTCAAAGTCAACTATTGGTGTCGAATTCGCTACAAGATCCTTGGAAGTTGATCAGAAGACAATAAAAGCTCAGATTTGGGATACAGGTAGGTTTATATAGACTATTATACAAACACTAACACCATTAAAGCCGGTCAAGAACGTTATAGGGCTATTACTTCTGCTTATTACAGAGGCGCAGTTGGTGCATTACTGGTTTATGATATAAGCAAACAGTCTAGTTTCGCGAACGTAGAGCGTTGGTTAAAGGAGCTCAAGGACCACGCAGACTCTAATATCGTTATTATGTTGGTTGGTAACAAATCTGATTTGAAGCACCTTCGCGCCGTACCTACTGCTGAAGCTCAATCATACACCGAGGAGAAATCAAAGTTAGAGGATGGTACAGAGTCTAGCAACCCTATCAGATTCATAGAAACTTCCGCCTTGGATTCTACCAATGTAGAAGCAGCTTTCCAGAATATATTAACTGATATTTATCAATTAGTTGCGACAAAGGCTTTAGAGGGCGGTGATTCAATAAAGCCTACTAATGGGGAGACGATAAATGTACAGCCAACTTCAGATTCTGATAATAAGAAGGCTGGTTGTTGTTGATTTACTAGCGTGTATACCAATGAATTTCTCTTTCACTCAGACTGTCATGATCTATGATCAGTACAAGTTATATGAGAATAAATATTGCTTTATAATAATTAAATCTAATCAATCTGATAATTATAATAAACTTATTAAAATATCGAAATCTTTAGATTTGCAGGTAGAATTCGATGATAACGTATACAATAATAAAGATATAAACCAATTATTGAAGTTGATAGAGATTGATAATGGTAGCTTATCTAAAGTTACAACTTTTTATGGTTTAGTTGGCTTTATCAAGTTCACTAAATATCCGTACATGATCATCATAACTAAGAGATCGCCAGTTGGATTGTTAGGAGGTCACTATATTTATCACATTGATGACGTTTTATTTATTAGCTTATCCCCGAAGAAACTCTACTTGAATGACGCTACTGAATCTAAACTGTTAAACACTTTCAAGCAGGTCGATTTGAGCAAGAATTTTTACTTCAGCTACTCTTACGACCTCACTAGTAGTCTATACAACAACCTAAATCAAATTAAAACCAACAATAATCGATACATTTGGAATCATAACTTAATCAAAGACTATTACTCTCAATGTATACCAATCATCCATGGCTTTGTAGATCAATCAAAGTTACTAGTATATGGTAGAGTAATACATGTTACCCTAATAGCTAGAAGATCTCGTCACTTCGCTGGACCTCGTTATCTAAAAAGAGGTATAAACATCCAAGGAAACGTCGCGAATGAAGTTGAATCTGAACAGATAGTTTCTGATAGTTTGACAACTCCATTTAAATCAAAACATGCTTATAATGGTAATTTAAATCCAAATTTTACATCATTCTTGCAATATAGAGGATCAATACCTCTTTTTTGGAGTCAAGACCCACAAATGGGCATAAAACCTATGATTAATGTAGCACCAAATGATCCCTATTATAGGCAAGCTGCTTTACATTTTAAAAATCTTTTCAGAAGATACAATACCCCGATTTACATTTTGAATCTAGTTAAATCACGCGAACGTATACCAAGAGAATCTAAACTACTGGATAGTTATGATGAATGCGTTAATCAATTGAACCAATTCTTGGATGGTCGTAATAAATTGAGATTGACTTCTTGGGATATGTCTAGAGCATCTAAAACTAATCAAGATGTCATTGGATTTTTAGAAAAGTTTGCTAATGATGCTATACTTGAAACGAACTTTTTTCATACGAAATATAATAAAGCACAAAATGGTATTATAAGAACTAATTGCGTTGATTGTTTAGATCGTACGAATGCTGCCCAATTCGTTATCGGTAAGGTAGCTTTTGGTTATCAATTACATGCTCTTGGTATCATCGATAAGCCAATGCTTGATCATGACACAGATGCTGTTAATATGTTGACGGAAATGTATCACGATCATGGTGATAGTACGTTCTATATTAATTATGGTCTTCCTGTCTGACGAAAACATTTAGCTATTGCGCTTCAATATGGTGGTAGTGCGCTTGTCAACCGCGTTGAAACTTACCGTAAAATAAACCATTGGAATAGGTGGGTTTGTTTTATAGTTTTTAGACATTTATTGATAACCATTTTGTAGTCATTCACGAGATGTAGTGGAGAATATTAAGCGATATTACGCGAATTCACTCTTGGATGCAGATAAACAAGCTGCTATCGACTTATTTCTCGGTCAATCGCCTCCTTCGTCAATGGAGTCATTAAGTGATATACCAATACCAACAGATAGCTTTTTCAAACTTGATAATGACGAAATAAAAGTAGAAGAAAGTACAGAACAAGTTGAATCCAATCTATACCATGACTATTGGAAGTACTTTTATAGACCAACTTTGTTTACTTCTTTAGAGAGGCACTTTTCAACTAATATGAACAGCACTTTAAAATACCTCCCTCGTAATCTAAAGAATCGAAAAAATATGTCACCTTTTCATACGATTAAGACATCACCTAACACGCCAACTAGACCTTTCGCTCCTGTCAGACGTTGGATGAGTTTACAAAGTATACCTTCAACTAGAAGAAATAGCTCAATCGGTACAATATCTGAGGTTGATTCAGTTGATAATAACTCCGAAAAAGATTATGAATCTACCGCACTTGACGTTGAGGAAATGATTAGAGAGCGCATGCAAGATCTCGGCTTTGATCAACAGGATATTATTAGTGCTGTGGATCGTACTATTGATCCAGAAGTGAATGAAGAAGATATCTTCAAGTATGAAGAGTAAGTATATGTTCTATTTACAAAATAAATAGCTAATTATTACATTCATAGTTACACTGATTATGAAAATAAAATTTTCAATGATATAGACTCAAACGAGTATAGAGAATACCTAGAAGCTGATCACTTAGTAGTTAATGAAGCTGAACTTAGTTATTATCAGCAATATATAGATTCAATGTCTTATTAACTTGTATTATGTTGTATTACTATCCAGATGTATTTATAGCCTCTTCTATAAAGTTGTCAGTTTGTGTTGTATCCAGCATGCCATTAGGGTCGTATTCCTTTACTAGTTTTTTTCTTGCCTCTCTATATGAATAGACGCCTTGATTTCGTTTGTTCATCGTTTCGTCATGCAACGCCTTAAGTTCATCTATCTGTTGTTGTTTCACAGAGCTATCCCCGAATTTGTAGTAAAGAGCACCTCTGTGTCGTTGATCTTTCTCTTTGGTGGGGTCACGGATATATCCTTTATCTGAATAGTGAGCTTTGAAGCGCTCCCTTTCTTCTTCTGTTTGCTCGTATACATGCCAATCACCTTTCAATTTATCACCATATATTGCTTCACTGGTGGTCTTATCAGTATCTTTTTCATTAAATGATGTCGACTCACCCTTTAACTCTATGTGTTCTCTTTGATAATGGATCAAGCATTTCTTTCTCCCTCCTAGATATCATAACTGTTCTCCCCCATTCATCCTCTCCTTCTGTGAGCTCGTCCTGGAGAATGTTAACTAAATGACGACCACTTTGGGTATACATACGAGAGCATCAACTTCTGAATCATATTCTGATGAATCCGACGTATAATTACCATCAAATTGCAATAATTCTTTCTCCTCGTTTGTGGGTTTAGCTTGATTAGATCGTAAAGCGTTGTATCTATCGATACCCTCCTTCATTTTCTGCTTTCGGGCTTCATCTTGCGCTTCAGTTAATCTAGAGTCATCTCCACGTCGTTTGGACATTCTATCCATCCTTTGTTGCTTTTCAATTTCATGCTGATGTGCGTATATCTTGTTTGCTTTGATAAAGTCATCCTTCTTACTAGATGTTTTCTTATTATCAGAAGTACCAATTCCAGATCTTCTATTACTCAATTGAGATTTTAAGTATCCCAGATTAGCTGACATAATTTCACTCTTGATAGTAACAATGAGAGAGAAGGATTACTCATTTGCGAGAATATCAGATCTAGATAATACGAGATTATCTATCTATATGTTAGTATTGTTTATTATTCCTTATCCTTTTACTGACGTACCAAAGTGATCAGATTGAGGCTAGTCGATCTGGAAATATGTGAGATTGACGGTATTTCTATTGAAAAGCAATTTAATTCGATTTCAAAGTGAAGACGCACAGTTTCTTATCACTTTCCAGCTCATAGCTTCACGTAAACCACTCTTGCAGCCAATTTCTACAACACACCAATCTTCTACTATTGATTTGCATGAATATAGCTACACTTATAGGTTGGTTTATCTAATTAAATAAATAATAATCAGTTGATAATCACACAAGATTAAACAAATTAATTACTTTCCCGATTTCACTTGCATCATTACCTCTCGATACTGAGCTCATCGTTAATTTATACACAAAGAATGAACTCTTTGGATCTACTTCACTTAAACTATATAATGATAATTGGTCTGTAGTCTTCCACTTCGTCAATTCTATCTGACCTATCCAAGTACACTAACTGTAGCTCACCAGAAGCTCCTAATAAGATGTCAAAGTAGCTTGGATAAGGAGTTTATTACGAATAAAGGTTATGATGAGTTTAGCAGATTAGAGAAGGTGATTGCAATTCACGCGATTGACATCTTAAACTGACATTCCAACAGCTATCCTATAAACTCAACAATGGAGATATGCAAAGCTTGGGATGGCTGGATACTCTTTCTCTGAACAACATTCAACAGTTGCACAAAGTGGGTCACATTGTTATCTACTGAAAATTCACTCATCTGTTCAACAAGTCAGCCAAAGTTAATGAAAATGACGTCTACCTGTACTTGCAGCTACCTCAGTTTGACTTTCCTATAGTATACCACGAAATTGTAGGAACTCAATATGTTTTTCAATCAGATACTCTAACACTGTCTAGGAACATCGCATACCATCAATGATTGAGAAAAATATACAACCATTCAACCCGATTAGCCAGTTAGAAGCAGGCAACAATGGGGCTACGGCAATATCTGAACCATTAGCATCATCAATCGTCGATCCGGATGGTGATAGAGAGAATCCTGTTGAAGCCAAGTATCGTAGATTGATACGTTCCCATCGTTCAGGCTTGCTTGATAGAGAACTCAAACCTAATCCAAAAATACGAGATGATCTCAACGTGAGTTTATATGATAATTTATTATTTTATTAAACATATAATAGGTTATAATCAACTATCCACCAACAAAAGAACTCTCACAATCTGAAAAAAATCTAATCTGGAAGTTTAGATTCTATCTAGCTAGAGACAAGCGTGCGCTCACGAAGTTTCTCAAGAGTGTCACCTGGACAGATACATCAGAAGTCCATCAGGCAGTTGATATACTCCTACCACTCTGGACAGAGCCAGATACAGAAGACGCGCTTGAACTACTTGGACCTGGTTTCGTCAATCCGAAGGTACGTTCATATGGTGTACATCTTTTATCGAGAGCAGATGACGAGGAAATATTACTATATCTGTTACAATTAGTCCAAGCGTTGAAATTTGAAATATCAAAACATAAACATTCGGATAATTTCAAGTCACATCAATATGATTCAGGTCTAGTAGATCTACTAATAAAAAGAGCGGTATCGAATGATGTGTTAGGGAATAACTTCTATTGGTATCTCATGGTTGAATGCTCAGGTTCTCGTTATGGGAAGTTATACGCTCGTGTCGCTCATTTATATCTACAAAATTTGGTTCAAACTCCCGATGGTCCTGATAAAAGAGAAACAATTAAAAAGCAAGCAGAATTGGTCGAGACATTAAATAAAATCGCAAAGAAGTTGCGTTCATCTAAAGATCCACGTCCTAAGAAAATTGAAACTCTTAGACATATAATTAATGATTCACGTAAGAAACTATCAACACTTTCAATACCGTTACCAATACCGGTGGATAGTCGTATAAAGGTAAAAGGAATTGACGCCGATCAATCATCAGTTTTCAAATCGAATCTCTTCCCCATGTTATTATATTTCCAGGAGGATGGCAATGAAGATGCTTACTATCCAGTTATATTTAAAGATGGCGATGACTTAAGACAGGACCAGCTTGTCGTGCAGCTATTCACTCTCATGGATAGATTACTAAGAAAGGAAAATCTTGATTTGAGGTTAAAGTTGTTCAAAGTGTTGGCTACAGATACAACAGCTGGTATGGTTCAATATATTCCGAACAAAACACTTTCTACTGCTGTCAACGATCATGGTAATTTGTTGTCTTATCTCAGGTATCACCATCCAAATGAATCCAGCTTGATGACATATGGTGTGGAACCTGCTATCCTAGACAACTTTGTGAGGAGCTGCGGTAAGTTTTGATATCATCTCAGTCGATATACTCATTCTATTACAGCTGGCTATTGTGTTATGACATTCCTACTCGGTGTAGGTGACCGACACCTAGACAATTTGCTTCTCTGTCCAGATGGTCACTTCTTCCATGGTAAGGAGTGTTCTTATATTTGCACATAATTTAACGTCATGATAGTTGATTTCGGTTACATACTAGGTCGAGACCCAAAGCCATTCCCACCTTTACTGAAAATAAGCAAGGAGATGGTGGATGGTATGGGTGGTCCAACTTCGCCACATTACCACAAATTCAAAAACCTTTGCTTTACTGCCTATACAACACTACGCAAGAATTCGAATCTTATACTGAATTTGATAGCCTTGATGATTAATGCTAACATTCCAGATATACAAATAGAACCAGATAAGGCTGTTTTGAAGGTTCGTATTTAGTTGCTTTTCTGTAGGCATTTCTTATTTTTCGCAGGTACAAGAAAAGTTTAGATTGGATCTCAGTGAAGAAGACGCAATCAAACACTTTGAAGCACTCCTCAATGAAACTTCATACTTAAGTGCTGTATTTGATCAAATTCATAATATAGCTGTGTGTATTAGCTACCCTCAGTGTCTTAGTTCTGACAAACCTCACAGCAATATTGGAGATCTTAGGAGATACTCATTATTTTATGTTGATGTAAATATGCATTATTGTGTTCTGCATTATATCCGACTTGCTAAGTTGTTGAGTAAAGTTTTCGGGACCTTTCGAGGACCACAAAGTACATAAAATGTATACTAATTTAAACATTTCAAATATAAAGCAAACAGGACTAAGAGCTGATGTATATTCTAGCATCTGAAAGTGAGTATTCGGCTTACCTTGTCGTCTGATGATATCAAAACACACGTTTGATTGCCAAACTTTAGTGTTTAATTTTAGGTAGTGATAAAGGAACATTTTTCGCTATTACAAGTAGCAAGGGTTACTACTCTAATCGTACAGTTTGCGTGTTCATGTGAATCTCATTGTATTTGAGATTCTATAAACCTGTCAATACGAATTTCATAGTTCAAACTGTTTATATCCATTTGTAATGTAGCATATACACGAGCATTACAGTATCTTTTAGAATTTATTGAAGCTCATACTAAGTAATACAGCAAAAACACGTTATGTCAAAGAGGAAGATGCAGCTTGGAAACTAACTTTAAGAATAAAGTATACATAACATGTATACCAAATTGCTTTTAGTTTCAATTTGTTGATTTTTATCAATAATTGAAATCATAATTGGCACTCCCTTCATAAAGCATTTTGCAAGACAACATAAGCATTCCTGTAAAGTGAACTAAAGCAAGCTGATTATGTAAAAAAAAGCATTAATGATCCAATTTCAATCAATAAACCAGTTATTAATTTAATTTTTACGCATGAACAACTTTTTGAAATCTGAAAACATTGGTACGGCAGGCGAATTGTTCTTAGAGTTATTTCTAGAATCTGATGGAGAATCGTTGATATCTTCAGCTCTTGTATTGATGACTGATAAGGGTATAATAGGTCTGCTGGAAGGATTCATATCCAACTCCGTTAAGAATGAGGTTGAATTCAAGTTGGATTGTGTTTCATTTTCAGTGACAGCTTTGAAAATTTCTTGGAGCTGTGCTTGATCTTTTTTACCTAATCCTTTCATATCCATGACCTAAGTTTGTGGTTAGTGTATGTTGGTGTGGAAGGGAAGTTGCACACCTTTTGGAAATTTTGAGATGAGTTGTCTGCGATTAGGGTTGTATATGATTGCACAAATGCTTCAGCTGGTATTGATGGAGATAGCACCACTTTAAGAAGTGTTTCTAGTGGCATAAATGTTCTATTGACGTGTCTTGCATATCTATCAGGGGTAAACACAATTCTTGCATTAAATAATTTACTCACGCTGACGTTGTGGAAGTTGATGATGTAACGTCCTTTGGACTGTCGATCAGGTCGATGAAAGTTTGACGGATACTTTGAAGATCCAATAATAACTATTGGTTAATGTGTTAGTTATATCTCTAATAAAAATTTGAGACCAACCTGCTCAACTCCCAATGAACTCAATGGACGTGATTTAACAACAATTCTAGTAATTAATGCTATTGTTAAAGTGACGGATTTATCAAGATAGCTTCGATAATATCTACGATGATCGATAACTTCTTGTACTTGTCTACAGATTTCATTAATTGTATTGCTCAACTCTATGACATATTGACTCGGATTAGTAACTGATGAAGGTGAATTAGTATTCTTTTTCGTATTTCCCATTTGTGACCACTGTATTTGTGACATTTGACTTAGAGGCGTTTCAATACCAATTTCAAAATTGTGCAAATCCCTCTGTATACAGTTTGCAATGATCGAGTTAAATAATTGACGTTCTTCTTCGAAACTTATCTGTTCTTTGAGAGATGTTGCCACGTATTCCTTTAACTTTTCTTCAAGTTGAGCGGCAGTAGATAAACAATAATCAGCAGTATTGATAATTAAACCAGCAACCTTGACTTCATTAGTGTTGATACGTGATTCTAAAGATCTTCGACTAGTAGCAACACTATTCAACTTAGATTTCAAGACATCATGGCCATAAATTTTCAACCATTTACTGAACAGCTTTGAGAGATCGACTATTGGTTTATCGTAGGTGAGTGCTGCACATTGACCAGTTATTTGTCTATAATTAAAGAACAGATCACTAGATGATTCCAAAACTGATGCAGTGTGATTGTCTTGACCATCTTGCAATGATGTTGAATCTGAAAATTTCGAGAAAACATCGGATAAAACGTTGTCTTGATGTATAAAGTAAACGTTAAAGACATTCTGGTATGTAATTGAGATAGACTGAAAGTTTTTATCATCAAACTTAATAAGCTGTTAGTATATTTGTGATGACATTAATACATTATACTCACGATAACGCCAACATTGGTTGACATTTGAGTTTCAAACTCTTTTGTTAGTTTTATTGCTTCAATGAGGTTATCAACGTTCAATTTTGTATTTGAAAGGACGAATTTAAGATCTTCATTTGTATAACTGACAAATAGAGCCAATAAGGACTTCCTTACATTCCAATGTTTAGGCCAAATATTAGACAAAGACTGTTGATCTTGAAAATGGTTCAAAACCCTATTGAACCAGGAGAACCTCCTTGATAGATTGTCTAATTGACCAGCTTCGTCTGTTGGTTTAAATATTCTTTTGTAATCTTTCAAAGTGTATTGGGTGAACCAATTGATAATATCTGTTTTGTTATTTTCACCCAAACATTCAATTAAAATAGCTGAATCTTTGATTTTCTTTCTCTGTCTTTCACCGCCCATATCTAGAGAAAGGCTAGAAGACCAATATTGTTTGAAATCATTGATTAAGTTCTGCTTTAGATTTGATAGAACTAATTGAGATTGAGTTAATAGATCAGCTATTCTAGGAACTCTAGCTAGAGGAGTAAGGAACTCGATCAAACCATTCAATTCCTCAATCTGCTTGGCCAAGTTCGTGTACAATTGTTGATTCAATTGATAATTGATTTGATTAGTTAAGTTTACTAGTAATTGTAAAGATTTCAGTACTTTCATTGTATTCACGAGATTAGTCTTTACTTGATTGAGAGTTTTTATATCTAGGATCATATTTTTAATGATAGATTGAGAGTTATTAGATTCATTTCTTATATTTGAGAGTTTATCATTAGTTTGGTCGATGGAGCTGTCAATATCTAACAAGCTGAGATGATTGTTGACATTCAAGTAGTCTAATTTATTATATAGATTTTGATTATTCTGCAAAATCAATTGATTAGATAGTTTCGTCTTTGTATCTTCAACTTCATTGACTGTAAGGTAATAACTAAATAGATGATCACAAGTTATGATTTTAATACTCACGATTTAATATAGAATTATTGATTATAGCTAAATAATCAATTTTAGCGTCCAATTTTACTGTCATCTCTCTTGATCATCGACGTAATTGATCAAAAGAAAGTATGGAGGAATGTGCTACTAGTAAACTCGATAATTTACAAAGGATAAATTTGAATAATAACTCTTTAAGGTTCCAGCAAAATCCCGAGCCATCCACTAGTTACAAACCTACGAAATCTATTAGAGATTACAATCAGCCAGAGCGTTTTGAGGATAATAAGTTTAATTTTAATAAATTAAACGCTGAATTACATAATTTAAGCTATAAGAATACTTGGGTTGATGATTTTAATCAGTCGAACGGTTAGTTTAACGATATTACCCGGTTATCTTAAGCTTACCCTTTTTAGTAGCGAAGAATAAGAATACGTGGGTGAACGAGTTTAAGATTTCCCAGCCCAAAGCATCCGTCAATCCCAATAAGTTTATTAACCACAATCAATTGTCACATTCATCAACTAATTACGTCAATTTTAATCAACAGCAGCAATACACACAAAATAATTATACCAGCAATCAACACAATTGGGATAGACAGTTTGATAAGTTTGATAAACCAATTTTAAATGAAGAACCTAAGAGCTTCTCACAATCACAAACACCTAATGATGATTTAGCTAGAACTGCTAGAAACTTGATCGACACAGTCGAGCCAGATAAATATGATAAATTCAGGAATTCTGAGTTCTTTTCATTTATGAAGCAGCTCTCGACTGGTGAATATCGTTTGGAAAATGATGAATTTGTTAGTAACAATACAACGTCTGAGAATAATTGGACAAAAGAATTTGACATTCCAAACAAAGAAAGTGCTATCACCGGCTCAGCGACTGAGAACCCCTCGTTAATCAATGCACCAGAACCGTACAATAAATTATTGAACATATTTGGTCCATCAACGTCTTCAAACGATTACGATGTTAAGAGCAGTCTTAACGGTGATCTCGAGCAGGGCACTGGTACAGGAGCTGGTGTGAAAGGTCCGCAAGAAGCAGAATGGGACACTTTACAACAAGGTTTAGATGAGATTGATTCAACTTTCTCTAATGACATAAAAAGAGTAGACAACCTTGGTTTAGATCAGCCGAGAGAGTACGCGTTTGAAGCAAATAAATCGAAACCCGACTATTTAAATCATATATCACACATAGAATCAGTTTTAAGAGAGAATTCGAATAATGCTCAAGCGTGGTATGAACTTGGAGTTTGTCAACAAGAAAATGAGAATGATTCGCAAGCTATATCTGCACTATTAAAAGCGGTTGAATTGGATCAGGAATACGCTGATCCGTGGTTAGCTCTTGCCATTAGCTGTAAGTTTAGTATTACGAAGAATTATCCCATTTAACATCACTATCATAGATACGAATGAATCAGAGAAGGTATCTGCAATGAACGCAATTAACAATTGGTTGCAATGGAAACATAATCAGGTGAAATCAACCACGTTAAACAATCAAAACATAACCAGTGATGAATTGATTAGATGTTTATGCGAAATAGTAGTGCAACAAGCAAAAGAGGACATAATAGATGCTGATGTTCAAGTGGCACTTGGTGTAGTATTTAGTTTAAGTGAAAGTTATGAGAAAGGCATTGATTGTTTCCGTACTGCACTTTCCACGAAGCCTAATGTGAGTCGCATTGCATATGAAAGGAAAGAATGTAACTCAATCACGTAACAGGATTGGTTACTGCTTAATAGACTTGGAGCGACTCTATCAAATAGTGGTCAATGTAGATCATCGTTGGAGTTTTACTACCGAGCATTAGATTTACATCCAACATATGTCCGAGCCATGTTTAATTTAGGCATAGCGTTGATGAATCTAAAAGTAAGTTTAATACTTCATTGGTTTCACCACATTTAGACATTCTCATAGGATTATGATGAAGCAATTCGTCAAATACTTTCAGCACTTGCAATACAAAGCGAAGGTAACGAGCAAGGCGGAACTAATCAGATCAATTTCAATATGTGGGATACTTTGAGAAATTGTTTATTACAGTAAGTGGATTGTTTATGAAGGTACCTAGAGCTTAATGCGTTTAGGATGAGAAGGAGTGAATTAACACAGTACTGTAATACGAGAGATATTAATGGTGGGTACAATGCGTTTATAATATTACAATTGACAAAGAAAAGCATTAAGAAAGCATTATGAGTTTTAATGCTACTTTTTTCTCTTTTTTGGTAAAAAAATTGACTTTGATTGAGCAGATTGATTGTTCTGTTGAATTTGTTGAGGGTGTTGATTGTGTTGAGACTTTGTTGGAGTTGATATTGATGACGATTGTGTATTTCGTGCAGCAACTGAGTTAGCTACCTTCACTGAGGTTGAGATTACTGGAGCTTTCGTTTGTTTAGCTTTCGAGAAGGATGATATGACTGGTTTAGCAGGTTGTTGAGGAGTAAGATTCCTTTTAAATGGTTTAAGAAATCTAGCGTTTCTGCCTGAGATTGACATTCTCGCCTCTTGTTTAGATTTCTGGTATAAAGAAGACGAAGATCTTTTTGACTTTGGAGGTAGAAGATTGTTAGTTATGATAGTCTGTTTGTTTAATTTGTCTAACTCTAATTGTTTCTGATTAAGTTTTAAATTATTTGACGCTTTATTGAGTTTATTCAATTGATTCGTTTGTTCTTGCAAGAATAAATCTCTCCAGCTGCTTGGAGGTTGAGTTAGATCTTGGAATTGTTTAATAAAAGTTGATTTAAACAATTGAAACCAAATTTCATCGTCATATTTGATCAATTCAGGAGAATTTTCTTCAATTTTCAGCAATTGGTTGTGATGACACTTGAAGAGGATGTCTTTAATTAAGCTATAAGGGACATCACCTATGTTATCCAAAGAGTTTATATAATTTAAAATGCATTTAATCGTATAATATTTTAAACTTTTGATCATTTCTTGGATGATTTAATTGTTTCTAAGGAAGGTGCAGGTTTTGTTATCGTAGAGTTATCACCCAATTCAGTATGATTAGTGAACCTTAACTTATAATTATTATTATTTAATTGACCTTGTATAATATTCTTTAATAAAATCTGGTTAACTTCAACTAATTGATTTAATTCAGATTGTTGTTCGTCTTTTGAGGATAGATAGTTTATTTTATTTAACTTATTCCTGAGATAATCCTTAGTTTGGTTTATAGCTTGATGATCACCTATTATCTAGATAAGAAAGTAATTTTTTGAAATAAGAAAATTTTATACCTTTAAAAGTTAAATTCAATGACTTTAAAAGATTTCTATAAATTATTGTAGACTTATTCAACATTTTTTATAATTTGTTGATTTTTTATTTTTATTACTCAATTTAATTCAAAAGTAGGATTAAATAAGATCTCTGTCTTTTCACAATTTAAATAAAAAATGTTATCTAATAAGTTAGTAGATATTTATTAGCTTATTAAACATTCTAACACGTACTCCAGTTCGAAAACTATTAGATTAACAGGTAACTCGTGCTGATCTCTCGTTTATAATCAACGCTAACAAAACACAGTCGTAGCTGCAGATGGCGTCGTTAAAAGAGACGTTTTTAAACTACCCGATCCTTTCGCTGTTATTACCGTAGATGGCTCTCAGACTCACACAACATCCGTTATAAAAAAGACTTTAAATCCATACTGGAATGAGAGTTTTGATATACAAGTGAAGGATACTTCTATAATCGCAGTACAAGTTTTCGATCAGAGAAAGTTTAAGCGTCGTGATCAAGGTTTTCTAGGAGTCATCAATCTCAAAGTATCCGATATTTTAGATTTAGAAATTGGTGGAACAGAAATGAGAACTTTCGAATTAAAAAAATCAAACGACAATCTAATCGTTCATGGTAAACTTATTTTATACTTGTCCTCAAACACAAATCAGCCTATACCCTCAAACAATGATACTCCTAGAATCCAATCAAACTCTTCTTCCACTTCTTTAGCAGGTCCTTCAAACAACCCTCCTAGAGATCCTCCTGCTATCAACGCTCCTACTACCACCTCTGCTAACGCCACTCGACAAACCCCATCACAATCAAACTCCCCTAGAGATAACGATAGACAGTTATCCACAAGAGTTTCAAACGTCGGTAGACAATTTGATCCCCATGAAGATCAATATGGTGCTTTACCAGCGGGTTGGGAGCGTAGAACTGATCATTTAGGTAGAACTTATTACGTCGACCATAACACACGTACAACTACATGGAATAGACCAAATAACAACACAACTTCCGTAACCAATCAATCAGCTGAACGTCGTGCAATGGATTCTAGGGCTCTCCCTGATGACATGTTGAACGCAACTAATAGAGCTGCGCCTTCAAATTCTAACTTAGCTGCTTTATTAAATAATGGTCCGTCAAACACTCAATCAGGTGCAGGTCCTCTGCCTGCAGGTTGGGAGCAACGTTACACTGCTGAAGGTAGACCTTATTTCGTTGATCATAATACTAGAACTACAACTTGGGTCGATCCTAGACGTCAACAATTACTTCGTGTTCTCGGTCCAAATGGCAATAATCTTTCTGTTCAACAACATACCGTTTCTCAATTGGGTCCTTTGCCATCAGGTTGGGAAATGAGGTTAACTTCCACTGCTAGAGTTTACTTCGTTGATCATAACACTAAAACCACTACTTGGGATGATCCAAGATTACCTTCATCACTTGATCAAAACGTTCCTCAATACAAGCGTGACTTTAGAAGGAAGTTGATCTACTTTAGATCACAACCTGCTTTAAGGCCAATTCCTAATCAATGTCACATTAAAGTCAGACGTAACTTCATCTTTGAAGATAGTTATGCAGAGATTATGCGTCAAACTCCTAACGATTTGAAAAAGAGATTAATGATCAAATTCGAAGGTGAAGATGGTTTGGATTATGGTGGTGTCTCCAGAGAATTCTTCTTCTTATTGTCACACGAACTCTTCTCACCTCTGTATTGTCTATTTGAATATAGTGCTCACGATAACTATACTCTTCAAATCAATCCAAACTCTTCGATCAACCCAGAACATTTGAACTACTTCAAATTCATCGGTCGTTGCGTTGGTTTAGCCATCTTCCATAGAAGGTTCTTAGATGCTTACTTTATTACATCATTCTACAAAATGATCTTGAACAAACGAATAGGATTGCAAGATTTAGAATCAGTTGATGCTGAGTTACACAGATCAATGTCCTGGATTCTTGATAATGACATCACTGATATTTTAGATAATAACTTTGTTGCAGACGTAGAAACATTTGGTGAGATCCAATCAGTACCACTTAAAGAAGGTGGTGAAGATATTGAATTAAATGAATCAAACAAGAAAGAATACGTTGATTTGATGGTTCAATTTAGAATCGTTACAAGAGTTAAGGATCAATTTGAAGCATTCATGTCTGGATTCAAAGAATTAATACCACAAGATTTGATAAATGTCTTTGATGAAAGGGAATTAGAACTTTTGATTGGTGGTATGGCTGAAATTGATATTGACGACTGGAAAAAGCACACCGATTATCGTGGATATACGGAATCTGATGAAGTTGTTCAATGGTTCTGGAACGCAATCAAGAGTTGGCCAACTGAAAAGAAGTCCAGATTATTACAATTTACAACTGGTACCTCTAGAATACCTGTCAATGGTTTCAAAGATTTACAAGGTTCTGATGGTCCACGTAGATTCACAATTGAAAAAGCTGGTGAAATCAATCATTTACCAAAGTCTCATACATGTTTTAATAGGGTGAGTTTTGATATTTTGTTTTGTCTCACATACTAACACATGATAGATCGACTTGCCTCCTTATCGGAATTTTGAAGCACTCGAACAAAAGCTTAGTACGGCTGTTGAAGAAACACTTGGATTCGCAGTTGAATAGATTGATATTATTACGTACTATTGATCATTGAATCATATCTTTTATGTCTATTACGCATTGAACTTTACTTTTTAACTTCTCGTCATATTCTTGTACTCTTTTGTTCATTTATTCATTCAAACTGTTACAGTATTTCTCTTCTCACTTGACAGGTTCGCGTTAGATTTTTTTAGACAGTATTACTAATTTAAAATAGGTTACGAATGATACAGAGTTTGAGATACATTTGACTACTTATTTAAGATAGTTTACGAAGTATTTATTCACTGATGACAAGAACGTTTTTAAGAGTTAGATGTAAAATTAACTCAACTCAAGTATTAAATAAGTGTATAGTGGGTTTTATTTACACAACCGTTGATAATTAAAGAAAGTGAATATGCTAACCGCTGTAAGACAATATTTGGGTACCTTATCTAATGACAAAATCAGAACACGTGTTTGATCACAATTAGTTTATGTATTATTTTTGAGTAGCGATATTAAATAGTTTTTTCTTTGTTGAATATTGATAGCGAGATCATTGTCTAACGTATCATTTGAATGTCCACGAGAAAACCCCAAATAAGATGAGGATATTTAAACAAGTTAAGGACACATCTTGCGGTTTAAACTTGCTTAAATAATCTTATAATTTTGCATGAAAACGGGCATTAGGGTACCTTACTGTAATTGTTGAAGCTTAAACTCAGAGAGTGTTACAGAGATAATGCGACTGGGTCACATACCAAGGTATATTCTACTTCAAAAGCAGCCAAATAATTAATTAAAAGTATACGTAGATACGGATCAGATATCTTCTAGTTTCAAGTAATAAATGCTTATCATTGATTGACATCATACTTGACATCCTTGTAACAAAACATTGTCAGTCAACAGAATAATAGTATAAGTATATAACCCGACGCATATAAAAATGTATAACAGTTATTATACTTCTGATTGTGATTCCTGTATATACTCAGATATTGGAATTATCATTTTTTTCGGCTTTTTTTGGTTGGAATATTAGTGAAAGAATGAATAGATATGAAGTCCATCTCATATAAAAATGGATATATGGATAGGGAAGGTGATAGACTTTGAATTCAAGCCTTAATTGATAAAATCGTATAGCATTTTAATCACATTCAACTGGGTTCCAGGTACAGGCCCCATCTGGCGTATCTAATCCATCTATATCAATCATATCTTGCGCATCCAGATAGAAATCAGTGTCAAGTAAGAGGTTTTCGCTTAACCGTGACTCATTTTCAGTCTTTATCAACGGAACAAACCCATGTTGAAGCGACCATCTGTTGGAAAGATGAGTTAGTTCGATATGCATTCATTTTAACCCACTTTATCAGAATTTGAGCTGGTGTTACCGAATGTTTCTGGGATATTCTCTGTATTGTATCATCAGACCAACGTGATGCTCTTGCTAATGGTGAAAACGCCTGTATTACAATTCCATGCTCTCTACAGTAATCAACGATTGGTCTGTTTTGTAACCAAGGATGTAATTGTATTTGATTCACATGTGGAACATTGACAGAGACACCTTCTATTGTCTTCAATTCTTCAAGATGCTTTACACCATAGTTTGATACACCAATACTTTTACAAAGTCCAGCGTCATAAGCTTCGCATAAACTCTTCCAAGCATCGATACGATTTGTTCTACCTGGTGTAGCAGAATGTATTAACATCAGATCGAGGTAGTCTGATTTTAAGTACCGTATACTCTTCCTAACATCCTTACAAGCATGTGTAGAAGTACCAGCTTTGTCTAGCTTGGTCGTTATGAATAGTTCTTCACGCGATACGTGATTAGGAAGTGCAGCTAATGTTTCACCGAGTTCTCTCTCATTTCTATAGACTCTAGCGCAATCGAAATGTCTCCAGCCTTTTTCGATAGCTTTCGTTGATACCTCTTGTGTACGCTCCCTTGCTAATTGATAGAGTCCAAAACCGATAGAAGGCATAGTCCTGCCTATATATTATCAGATAATGATAGTATGTAACACAAATTTCATACCATTAGTCAGCACTTTAATTTCGGACATCAATGTGATAATCAAAGCTTGATAACTTACCACCAAATGCAAAATATAAACGATGATAGCCCTGTATATAGGCGATTAAAAGGTGTAAAGTCTATCATTTTAGTTTTAAGTGGTAAAGGTGGCGTAGGAAAATCATCTGTGGCGACCCAATTAGCCTTATCAGCAGCAACGAGCACGTCTTCAAAGGTTGGTCTATTGGACGTTGATCTCACAGGCCCATCGATACCTCGTATGCTTGGTTTGGATGGTCAATCCGTTAGAATGGGTCTCGAAGGCCAAGGATGGGTACCAGTCCGTGCAGATAAGGAAGGTAAACTCTCTGTAATGTCAATCGGATTTTTATTAAAGAGCAAAAATGATGCAGTCGTATGGCGTGGTCCAAAGAAGACGGCAATGATAAGACAATTCCTCGCTGACGTCAAATGGGATTGTGATACTCTTATCATTGATACACCACCAGGTGGGTAGAGTAATTGATTATTAAGGTTTAATATGCTTATACTTTTAAGGTACTTCAGATGAGCATATCGCCCTCACTGAGCTTCTCTCACCTCTGGCGGATAAGCTACATTCAGTAATCGTGACAACACCCCAGGCAGTTGCCCTTTCGGATGTACAGAAAGAGATTTCATTCACTAAAACAGTCGGAATACCAGTACTAGGTTTAATAGAAAACATGTCAGGTTATGCATGTCCTCATTGTGCTGATTGTACAAATGTATTCTCAACTGGTGGTGGTGAATCATTAGCAAAACGTGAGAAGATTAACTTCCTCGGTAAAGTTCCTATAGATCCACTCCTGGTAAAGCTACTTGACGATATTAAGGTAATTCAAGAAACAAATTCATCTGAAGCAGCATCAACAACACTTATTGAACGTTATAAAGGAATTCCAACATATAAAGTATTTGAAACTATCGCAAAGACTGTATTAGAAATAGCTAATAGATAGAAAAATAATCGTCCGGATGTAATTTAAATACAAGAATGAGTGAATGATATCAAATGATCGTTAAATGTGTGCTATCCCGCAGCACATGTATATATTTGAATGCAAAAAAGTCGTTAAAATGAGAAAATTGCTGCACGTCTTCTCTTTGTACCACCAAATGGGTGGGCGACAACTGCAGCAGCGAAAAGGCCTACTGTAAGACCAATAGCGGCTTGAATCAAGCTCCCGCTTGTACCAAGCCCAAGTGAGCTTAAATGGATTAGACATTTACTTCTTTGAACTGTATGACTTACGAATTATCTGTAGAATTAGTTCTTGCAACTGAAAGAATACCACCATCTGATAAACCCGTTGGTAGTAAAAGCATTATACCACTTGCTGTCATTGTAAATGCAGGTCTTGAAGTTGTAAATTTACCCCAAAGATTACCAATAAGACCAACAGTGAAACTACCAACTGCACTACTCAAATCTACACGTGAAATACGTTGTTTGACGAAGTAATTGACAGTGTAACCTGTACAATTTTAGCTGTGTTAGAAATTAAGATTTATACTTACCACAAATAGCAATGATAACCATCAATGGTAATTCACGTGATTTGATGGATGCTTTATTTCTTAAACTAATAAATATAGCGTAGACGGGTACGCAAAGTATGTACCAATAAGGATCAATTTGTTGCTGATAGAAAGGTGCACCATCAGGATGAGCAGCATTACATGAAAAGTCGTCAGCTGCCGTATCCTCATTATTCCATTGATTTGTTACTAGTTTAAAAAATTGGAACCCTATAGACATGCCAACGGCTAAGAAACTAGAAAATATAATAGCATAGAACATTCGAACGCTACCAGCGATGATGTTTCTTGCTGACATTTCGAGAGCACCACATAAAATGATATAACCAGGTAAAATCAATACTACTGAACCGGAAGCGACTGCTGAATAACAAACTTTATGTGTTTGGGCAAGAGAAGCCGCTAAAAATGAGTTCATTGCTGCCATTGAAATTTCGAAAATGTTCGTAAACAGATCATTTTTAACAGCTATCTGTTGAACTGCTACCAAAAACATACCAAGAGGTGCAGCAAGACAAGCATCAATAAGTGAACCGTTGAAGGCGAAAGGGGTGATGAATGCACTGCAAAAGCCAGCGATGACGATATTAGATAAGACGCTAAATGAATCCTTCTGAGTCATAAGGAAATCTAAATCTTTTGACGCATCACTGACTGACATCTCGTCGTGCGTTACCCTCCAGTATAGTTGGTGTGTGGCTAAAAGTTTCCGTAAATCAAGGGTAGAAGATTGCTTCAAGAATTTCGTCTCGGATGTGTGAGATTCTACATCACCAAAACTAAACAACATGAGTCCAGGTAAATAGACAACTTGAAGCGGAATGTCCAAAACCCTAGCACAAGCTTGTATTTGGGCTTCCAAACGATGAGATGGGGCACCAAACATCATCAGTGCTCTGCTTAATTTTAACAAGAATTCTTGTCTGTGTAGAACTGTGGCTACATGCATTGTAATATAAAGTTCCTCCTTCTTCCGTTTAGCAAGATTCTTCTTGCGTTCTTTGAGCTCTTTATCAGACCTAGCATCCTTCTCTTTATCCTTTTCTTTTAAAGGAAGACTAAAGTAATCTAATGAAGCATTACTACTAAACTTTTCATCTGGCGACGCAACTGGTGATTTCGATTTACCAAATCCTGTTACATGACTAAATTGATCTTTGAGTAATGTCTTTGGAGTTATCTTCTTGGATGACTGAGATTGGGCATTGAATGAGTCCAAATCAGTGGAGGATGTACCAGATCTTTCCAAATCAAATGAAGAACCTTTCTCAGACTGTTGGTTATCCTTCGTAAACTCTTTAATATCAAGCGTAGGATCAAGTGAGTATCTTTGTAATCTATATCCTTGATGTTTGAGATTGGGCGCGATAGCCGTGGAATGAGGACTAACAAAACCAGAAAGATTTTGCCCTGAGCTGATTAAAGCACCAAAAACGCCCGCCGATGATCTAGCAGTCTTTGGTCTGTACTTTTCTGGACGTAAACGTAATTGATCTGGAATGCGGAAAGCAGAAGGCTTGTATTGTCTAAAAGCGTTCATGTCTTTGTTGAGATCGCCATTGCCTATATCAGCTAAATCAGGTTCAGACTTGCTCCTTGGAAGTGTAGGAGTAACTGGAGGAGTAGCTACTTTGGCAGGAGGCGACTTTTCTGATATATGATCACCACTAAGAACGGTACCTTCAGAGGAAGAAGTGTCCGTTGATAAACGCCTTTGTCTATTAGCTTTCTTAGCTTTCTTTTTGGCTTTATGCTGGTCTCTGTATTCCTGTAAACCGAGTAAAGTTGATAAAACACCCCTAGATTTTGATGGTTTGTAGTTGAGTGAGAAGGGATCGTCTGAGGAATGACCAGATTCAGGGTCTTCTTTGTTGACAGGTTTATCTTCTTTCTTATTGTCTATACCCTTCTTTATACCGATAAGTTTCCTGGCCTTCTTTGTGTAATAATCAAATGTACCTTTCTTGGAAGAAGGAGCCTGTGGTAAACCATCTATTTCACCGAAAGGGATAGGTACAGCATATTCTTGTGGTGGAGTTGGCGCTCTCGAAGGTAAAGTAGAAGACGCAGGGGTAGCTGAGTCGTCTGGTAATAATTGAGCGTCCTGTGATATAGTTGTATCAACGCTGGAGACGCTCTCCGGTCTAGATTCCGTTTTGCTTAGAGAATTTCTAATAAGTTGACTGTCATAATGTTTCAGAGAGTGTGTAATGAGATAAGAGAGGAATGCTTACATTTGTAATTTTTTGAATGCATCTAAATATGGAATGTTAGTAAGCTCAGTTAAATATAATTGGACAGATAATCACTCACCGATATCTAAATGGCTGTCATCTAGAGACGGATCGAGTGAGTATGAAGGGTCTTGATTGTCTGTACTAGAAGTGAATTGTACTCTCCTAGCTGACTTTGGGCGTGAGTTTTCCTGAGAGTCACTCATCCCCTATAGCTATTTAGCTGCTCAACGTTCTCTAGAAAGAAGTTCGAGATCTGTCTACGGTCTAGATCGCTGCTTGACGGCAGAAATAGTTTAGAAGTATATGCAAAGCTTAATATAGAATATGTATAATTTTAATATTATTACTATCTTAGTATCTCACTATTCATTCCTTAACGTTCTGCAACTATGAGCCAGCAACAACAGCATACAGAGAATGATAAGCAGAAGGAGGCACAATTAAAGCATGATAAAAAATTGAGTGAATTTCTAGGTTTGTTAGAGACGAATGAGCCATTAGTGGGTTTAGTATCTCGTTTAGTCGTATAGTTTATTGAGATTTCTTCAGATACCAGACCAAGTTACAGATCACTATCTCAATAAAGCTGGCTTTGAATGTAATGATCCACGCCTGTGAGTCTTGGCTTCTAGCTTATAGTTTATTAGACCTTATCTTATCAATATCTTATAGTAAACGATTATTTGCTTTAGCCTCGCAGAAGTTTATTAGTGATATCGCCAATGACGCTTACCAATATGCTCGTATTAGAACGACCGCAGGCCCTGGTGGCAGAGGTAGACCAACAGGCACCAGTAAAGTGAGATATAGCTTACTCTCCGGAGAATAAGATCTAACTGCACTTTAGAGTAAAACCGTTCTCACTTCAGACGATCTCACCGCTGCATTAAGTGATTATGGAATGTAAGTAGATATGTCTTTCATTATACTAATACTAATAATATACTAACAAAGAAACGCTCGTAAACCTGATTATTATATTTAATTTATTTGTATTCTCACTATCTACTCCTTTATAGTCCTCATTCATGTCCTCTATCGATGATCTTCTAATGAAGCCTGAAAAAGGCACTAGAGTTGCTAGGAAGCAGTCTGGTCCATACTCTTCAACTGTATTTTATATTCTATTTCCTTTATCTCTTCTAATATCTCGTAGGATAGACATAAGTCTAAAGCAGATAGTGAAAGATGGGGCAACGACATGTATATAAAGTCAATTGGCGGTGAACTGGGTGCTAGAATGACAAATCAATCTTTATTGAAAAAAATTCCGCAATCTACCAGTCAAACACCTTCACTTCAATCTCGTATATCCGGCTTAGCAAAGAGGCAAGAAAAGAATACAGCCAAGGCTAAACTAGCAAAGAATAATAAGATCAAAGGTTCTTCTAAACAATCCATACAAGTTACTATTCTCAATTTGGCAGCTGGTACCTCAGCTGACGACGTCAAAGTAGCTCTAAGCTCATATGGAACTATCACCTCAGCAGAACTCAATCCTGCATCAAGTACCAACGATAGTGTAGCCGTAAATATCTACTTCGAAAACTTAGATGAGGCAAAGGCTGCCGCAGAAGCATTCGATGGTTTACTAGCAGATGGTAAAATATTGACAGTTAAAGTTATAGAGCAGAAGTCTGTTGACGACGTGAAAGACCTTTTCAAGGATTCTAAAATGTATGCAGACACACTTCCCCCACCAGCTCCATCTCCACCAAAAGCATCAGAATCTTCCGTCGCCCAGAAAGAGAAAAAGCCACCGAGATCTCCAAAGAAGAATCAATTAAGCTTATTAGAGAGAACTCAAATGCAACCAAAAGCACAATTAAGTTCTCAATCAGGAACTCAGCAATCAAAGAAAAACCAAAAGGCAAGCCTACTCGAAAGAATAAATAAAGATTCATTTGCAGGAAAAACTCTTGCTTCTCGTTTTGGTTTGCAGTGATATCTATAATTGTACTTTAATTTATTTTCCTTTTCGTTATCTATGTCTATGTACTATGTGATTGACTTAAGCTTATCCAATATTGCTCTTCCGTAGGTATAGAAGATATACCTGTGAGATAGGCTAGCTCTATGCCACGTTTATGTATGTATTCATCATTGATACGTGTCCATGGTCCAGGAATACTACCTTTACTTGGATGCTTCGCCTCAAAAAAGAGCTTCAAACCCGGTGATATCGTCTTCTTACTCTCTCCAGATACATCCATTATTACTACTGCTTGAATAGTGTCCAATATCACCTATTTATCTGCTTAATTGTTTTTCTTCATCAGTATTACATAGAGACGCACCTCAGTTAAGGCAAGGTTATAGTTATTAGCCTCCCATAATAGTTTTGGTAAGTTGTTAAACCATTTCGTGAATATCTGATCTTGCTTTGAATTATTCAATAATTTGAATAATCCTTGATATGTAATCTCAAATTGTGTGAGATACACACGTGATATAAAGTCAACAGAAAGAGTCTTTGTATCGGACTTTATTCCTGTTTGTGCGCAGTGCGTGATAAGCGCGTCTAGAATTACTTCTGACGCGCTTTCTGTAGGTGGTAAGTTGAGTAGTGCCCAGAATGATGGAATAAGTGACTTGTATGTATCTACTGAAATTGTGACACCTAATGGTTGAGCAGAAGTAGTCATCTAACGTCGGTTTAATTTTTAACTTCCTAGACAAGTCGGACACTCACGGTTCCATTAAGCATGCTACTCAGCCAACTACAAACTCTGTCTACTTGGGTTTTCATGCCCTTCTCCCAATTGATTGAATCTGTCTTGGCTTTACTATTGTCTTTACTATTTGAAAATTTGGACAGTATCCAGCAAGATACTAGTTCACAATACAGTGTGTTAAGTTTCAGCATTTGTTGTTCGATTTCCAGAGTCTGCTTTTGAACAAAATCACCACCAAATGGGAAATATTTTGACATATGCGTTAAAATATTATTTAACTCTTTACCACTATCCACTTTGTTGATGGAATTACGCAAGAGATATCCGTAGAGTTCTCTCGTAATTTCCACTACTGATACGACGGATTCAAGATGTACTGAATCTGTCGATGTGCCGGACATCGTAAATACAGACGGTGCCGATTCTAAGAAAACTGAGATGATCACACTGAACATCGATCGAGATAGTGACTTAAGTACATTAGAAGATACTTAAAAGGTCTAGTCGCACTTACTAGGACATCAGCTTCAGATTGTGTAGCTGATGACTCTGTCTCAGCAGAGCTTAATGACATAACCGCATTGTTTAGCTCTTCAAGGGTTGTACCATCAGAAATTTCCATAATATCAGCACTATAACCATTCAAATACTCCTCCCATGCAGCTTCTCTGCCACCATTACTTTCCTTCCACTGAATTGTTTGTGTTTCGACATCTCTTTGACCCGATCTGTAAATGCGTTCGTTGAATGCATTTAAGGATGTTTGTGATGGGAACGCGCTTGCAAATGGCCATAAAGGTAGTCGTTCATTATTGTCATTTGATACTAAAGCAGTTTTCAGGAATTTTGATAGTGACTTTAACACGACTAATCTGGACTAGTAAACAGTCAACTTTATCGATATTATTCTATAGTATCACTCACGTTAATACTCAATGTGAACATCGCATTTGCAGTAGTAGTAACCGTTGATCCACCGGCAGGACCCTTATCATCGCCCTTGGCATTAAGCAATGCCATATAGCATTCAATAATCTGCCTACCACCAATTGAAGTAACATTATTAGATAAAGATCTACCAGCCCAGCCCTGTACGACGAAATCTGGGATAAAATCGATCAGAATATCTAAGAACTTAATACTATCTAGTCTAACTTCGGGGAAGATGTGTGAGAGACCTGATGCAGTGAATAACAACAAAATAGGAGAGAATGGCGTCCAACTTTGAGCAGGTATTCTTGGAAATAGCTCAGATACGAATGACTGTAATGTCTTGCGAACGCCAGCATCTTCATCAACAATAATACGAGTGATTCCATCAATTATAGTGCTTAGATTTGGCTGTATAGTGCTTGGATAGTTTGTTATCAACTCTCGTAGACCCAATAAACCATCTTGAAAACATTTAGAGATTGGTAATGATTGTAAGTAAGCATACCTTTTCGCACATTAGCTGAATAATGCTTCATATGTATTATCAAATCTTTGAGTGTTAAGTTCCGTTTTGTGCGTGGTTCATTCTCGTCGATATCCTTAAGAATACTCTGTCCAGGTAATGCGACAGCTAAGAAATGTCAAATGAAGATAACAAACTGCTAGATTCTCACATCTCGCCTTAAAAGAAGTGTTCGTTGAATTTGAAGCCGCCTGCTTTCCTTTGCCCAGTTTAGTTTTCTGCTTCTGAATAATTGTGAGTTATACTAGTAATATAATATTCAACTTGCCCTGAAATCTGGCGCTTGTTTTGGCATCTCTTCGTTGTGTAGACCAAGGAGCTTCTTGATCACATTCTATCAAACGCGTATACCCAAATATCAAAAAAATGTCTAATAAGCAACTGAATGGGTGAATATCCGTCTATCTTCTTTTATATACTTCTCACATCTCTACAGGCAGCCTCAATCCGGGACCGCTCAAGTTGAGTTGCTCGGTAAATCACTCAATATCAATCAAAGAATGGGTGTTTTTGGTAAGTATTTCATTAGTTTTCTTATTTATCTAACCACATCTCTTAGTTACTAGTAATCCAGGTTAGTTCATCTCTTTATAAACCTATATCACGCTTAAATATCAAAGGATACGCTGGACGTAGCAATCTCCCAGATAACCTTAAGAAATTATTCAGATCTCAAGCTATGACTCAACCAGATCGTGAATCTATCGCCCAAGTTATGCTATTCTCCCAGGGTTTCAGATCAGCCGAGACATTAGCATCGAAGATAGTACCATTCTTCGTTCTCTGCGCTGAACAGCTTTCACCGCAGCCACATTATGACTTTGGTTTACGCGCACTTAAAGCTGTACTCATTTCTGCTGGTAATCTCAAGCGCGATCGTATTCTTACATCTGGTACATCATCTAATCAAGATGATAACGACCAGGTTGAACAAGAAATCCTCATCCAAAGTGTTACGGAAACTATCGTTCCTAAGCTCATCGCTGAGGATGTTCCGTTGCTAACTAATTTACTATCTGACGTTTTCCCTGGTATTGAATACGTTCCAGTTGATTTAACGGCCTTAAAAGAAAAGATATCTCAAGTTTGTCATGAAAGAAAGCTCGTACAAGGTGACCTTTGGTTGACAAAAGTGCTACAATTATACCAAATCCAACGTATACAACACGGTTTAATGATGGTCGGTCCAGCTGGTACGGGTAAAACTCAAGCATGGCAAACCTTATTACAAGCTCTAGAAAGATACGATGGTATTGAAAGTGTTTCTTACGTTATTGATCCAAAAGCAATGTCAAAGGAAGCACTCTATGGTACCCTAGATCAGACAACACGTGAATGGAATGATGGTTTATTTACTCACATACTCCGAAAAATTGTTGATAATGTTCGTGGTGAAAGTTCCAAGAGGCATTGGATTATCTTCGATGGTGATGTCGATCCCGAATGGGTAGAAAACCTGAATAGTGTGCTTGATGATAACAAGCTTCTCACTTTACCAAATGGTGAACGTCTCAATTTACCTTCCAATGTTAGAATTATGTTTGAAGTTGAGCATCTCAAATATGCAACTCCAGCAACAGTCAGTAGATGTGGAATGATTTGGTTTAGTGGAGAAGCTGTAACACAAGAAATGTACTGCAAGAACTATTTGGATACACTTTCTAACGTGCCACTTGATGGTGATGAAGAAACAGGAATTGATTTGGCCGTACGTCGTGGTGAAGTCATCTCATCTAACAATCAACAAGTCTCACCATCGCTTGAACTTCAAAGAAAGGTTGTGGAAATCCTCAAGCCCTCCTTTCAGCCTGGAATGATATTAGAAAATGCATTACAACACGCTATGAGTTACCAACATATCATGGATTTCACTTTCATGAGAGCGTTAACAACACTCTTTTCTCTAATAAATAAATCGATCAGAAATATCATAGAACACAACGTACAGCATTCAGACTTCCCACTATCACTCGAACGCATTGAACAATATATTAACAAACGTTTCCTCGTTGCAATTGTTTGGGCATTTACGGGTGATTCAAAACTAGACATACGTTTAGAAATGGGTGACTATTTAAGGGGTCTTACAACAATTGAATTACCAATGATTGGTCAAGGAATGTCACTTATTGATTACGACGTTAATGTAGCCAACTCAGAATGGTTTAATTGGACTGAAAAGGTTCCTACAATAGAGTTAGAAACCCATGCTGTTACCGCTGCAGATGTCGTAGTTCCTACTGTTGATACCATTAGACATGAAGAAGTCTTATACTCATGGTTATCTGAGCACAAACCATTAATGCTCTGCGGTCCACCAGGATCTGGTAAAGTAAGTTTGATAATTATGCTGAATTCTGTATGCTTACAGGATACTTAGACAATGACTCTATTCTCTGCCTTGCGCAAGTTGCCAGATATGGAGATTGTTGGGTTAAACTTTTCTTCTGCAACAACACCAGAGCTTATTCTCAAAACGTTCGAGCAATATTGCGAGCTGCGTAAAACTCCAAATGGTAATGTTCTTGCACCATCGCAAATTGGTCGCTGGTTGGTACTCTTCTGTGACGAAATCAATTTGCCAGCTTTAGACAAATATGGTACTCAAAAAGTTATCTCTTTCCTGCGTCAACTTGTCGAATCAAACGGTTATTGGCGCACTTCTGATATGACCTGGGTACAGCTTGAACGTATTCAATTTGTGGGTGCTTGTAATCCACCTACAGATCCTGGTCGTGTGCCACTCACTCAACGATTCCTTCGACATGCTCCTCTCGTCATGGTTGATTATCCTGGTGAAATATCATTAAACCAAATTTATGGTACATTTAATCGTGCTTTACTCAAAACAGTCCCCTCGTTACGTGGTTATGCTGAAGCTCTAACTGGAGCAATGGTTTCTCTATACTTAGAATCTCAGCGAAGATTCACAGCTGACATCCAAGCACACTATATTTACTCTCCACGTGAATTAACTAGATGGGCTAGAGGTATTTTTGATGCTATCAAACCACTCGATACCCTCACTGTTGAAGGACTAGTAAGAATATGGGCGCATGAAGCTCTTCGTCTTTTCCAAGATAGACTCGTACTTGCAGATGAACGTAAGTGGACAGATGACCGTATAGACGCCATTGCTTTGAAATATTTCCATAATATCGACAGCAAACATGCCCTGGCTCGCCCAATACTTTTTTCAAATTGGTTATCAAAGAATTATGTCTCGGTAGATCGTGATGAATTGAGGGAATTTGTCAAATCCCGTTTACGTATTTTTGAAGAAGAGGAATTAGACGTTCAACTGGTCTTATTCGATGATGTACTTGACAATGTCCTTCGTATTGATAGAGTTTTCAGACAAGTTCAAGGTCACGCACTCTTGATTGGCGTTAGTGGTAGCGGTAAAACTACACTTTCTCGCTTTGTTGCATGGATGAATGGTCTAAGTATCTTCCAAATAAAGGTTTCAAATAAATACACTGGTGATGATTTTGATGAGGACCTCAGAACAGTTCTTAGAAGAGCTGGTACTAAAGGAGAAAAGATTTGCTTTATTATGGACGAATCGAATGTTCTTGATTCAGGTTTCTTAGAACGTATGAATACACTTCTTGCCAATGCAGAAGTTCCTGGTTTATTCGAAGGAGACGAACATTCAGCACTTATGACTGCCTGCAAAGAAGGAGCTGCTAAGGATGGAATGATGTTAGATTCACATGAAGAGCTCTATAGATGGTTTACAAGCCAAGTCTCGCGTAATCTCCATGTCCTTTTTACAATGAATCCCCCAGAGAACGGCTTAGCTTCTAGAGCTGCTACTTCCCCCGCACTTTTCAATCGTTGCGTTGTTACTTGGATGGGCGACTGGGCACCAACATCACTTTCAACAGTGGCATCTGAGCTTACTGACCCTCTGGATGTAAGTTTTTAAACTTTTTCCATGGGCTAATTTGATTTACTATTTATAGGTTGACATGCGAGATTACATTCCTCCAACACCATTCCCTTCTGCACATCCTACACTCCAAGCCCCAATTACATATAGAGGCGCAGTTGTCAATGCGTTTGTATACATTCACTTATCGCTACATGAGATAAGTAAACGTTTAAGTAAAAGACAAGGTCGCTATAAGTGAGTGAATCTATCGTTATCTGGTACCTTCCATTCTAACATATTCAGTTATATTACACCACGCCATTACTTGGATTTCATTGATCAATACGTTAAACTCTTTAATGAGAAGCGAAATGAGCTTGAAGAGCAGCAGCGTCATTTGAATGTGGGATTGGATAAGCTTAGGGATACAGTTATACAAGTAGATGAACTGCAGAAGAGCTTAGCAGTCAAAGATACACAACTCAAAGCTAAGGTAGCAGAAGGTGATGACAAATTAGCTAAAATGTTGGAAGAACAAAAACAAGCTGAAAGTAATAAAGCAACTTCTATTGAAATTCAGGCCAAGCTTCAAGAACAAAACGAACATATAGCTCAAAGGAAGGAAGTTGTTATGACAGATCTTGCAGATGCTGAGCCAGCGGTCAAAAGTGCCCAAGAGTCTGTCAGTAATATCAAAAAGCAACACCTTACTGAAGTTAGATCTATGGGTAACCCTCCAGAAGCTGTAAAGTTGGCAATGGAATCCGTTTGTACAGTTCTTGGTCACAAACTGGATGGTTGGAAAACAGTACAGGGTATTATTAGAAGAGACGATTTTATTAGTTCGATCGTAAACTTTGATACGACAAAGCAAATGTCAAAAAACCTGAGTGATCGTATCAAGAATGACTTCATGTCAAGACCAAAGTATAATTTCGAGGACATTAATCGCGCTTCCAAAGCATGTGGCCCACTGGTAAGATGGGTAATAGCTCAAGTGCACTTTGCGGAGATTCTCGACAGGGTTGGTCCATTGAGGAATGAAGTCAAGTATTTAGAGGATAAGAGTTTACACACACAGAAGCAGGCAAGTGCTATCATAGACATGATCAAAGAACTTGAAGAAAGTATTGAAAAATACAAAGGCGAATATGCTGGATTAATTTCAGAGCAACAAGCTATCAAGAGTGAAATTGAACGAGTACAAAAGAAAGTTGAAAGAAGCAAGACGCTTTTGAATTCACTTTCTTCTGAACAAGAGCGTTGGGAGACTAGTTCGAAAACATTCGAGTCCCAGATGAGTACGATAGTTGGTGATGTGCTTTTATCAGCTGCTTTCCTTGCGTATGCTGGTTTCTTCGATCAACAATATAGAGAAGGTATGTGGAATGGATGGTCAACATATCTCAGTGATGCCGGAATCAAATACAAGCAAGAGCTCTCATTTGCTGACTACCTTTCAACCGCAGATGATAGATTGAGTTGGCAATCTAAGTCTCTGCCTGCGGATACTTTATGTACAGAAAATGCAATAATGATGAAGCGCTTCAATAGATTTCCACTCATCATTGATCCATCCGGTCAAGCATCTAACTTCCTTATAAATGAGTATAAAGGCTCCAATAGGAAGTTGAATGTCACCAGTTTCTCTGATAATTCGTTCTTGAAACAACTTGAATCAGCGATGAGATTCGGAAATCCTATTTTAGTTCAAGATGTGGAATTCTTGGATCCTATAATAAATCCAATCTTAAATAAGGAAATAAGAAGAACAGGAGGTCGTATACTTATCCGTATCGGTAATCAAGATATTGACTACTCACCTACATTTAACATGTTCTTAATGACTCGTGATCCAAGCGTTGAGTTCAGTCCAGATATTTGCAGTAGAGTGACGTTTGTTAATTTCACAATGACTCGTAGCTCACTACAATCACAATCACTAGATCAAGTGTTGAAATCGGAGAGACCTGATGTAGATGCTAAACGTACTAATCTTCTAAAATTACAAGGTGAATTCCGTTTGAGATTGCATTTCCTTGAAAAGGCTCTCTTACAAGCATTGAATCAATCCACTGGTAACATTCTCGATGATGATAAGGTTATTGAGACACTCGAAACCCTAAAAAAAGAGGCTGCCGATGTTACTTTACAAGTTAAAGATACTGATACAACGATGGCAGAAGTAGATCAAGTAACATCTGATTATCAACCGTTAGCGTCTGCATGCTCATCCGTGTTTTTTGTTATGGATCAATTGAATCTCATCAATCACTTCTATCAATTCTCGTTGAAGTTCTTTTTAGACATTTTCGATTACATTATTCGTCAAAATCCAAATTTAAATGAAGTAACGGACTACAAAGATCGTTTAAATATACTCACCAACGATCTTTTCTTGGTTACATTCCAAAGAACATCTAGATCGCTTTTACACGTTGACCATGTTATGCTGGCTGTCTTACTCGCTCAAGTTAAGCTTAGAACACTAGCTGGAGCATATGATGAAGATGAATTTGATTTCTTTATTGGGGGTGGTGATTCATTAATCGGTAAAACGAAACCCGAGAATGATTTACAAGAGTTGTTAAATGATGAGCAAGCTTCAAAAATCAACCTTCTGAGTGTACGTGTTCCATCATTCTCTGAAATCAAGAATGTTATTCGCACTGATTCAGATAAATGGAGGTCGTTTTTGCTTGCCAATCAACCTGAATTAGATGTTCCCTTAGGACACAATGATGGACTACCAGGTATGTATTTCGCTTTCTTTGGATTCTTTTATTAATTAAACCTAGCATCAATACGAGAGATAAGGGAATTGCTGATTATCAAGTGTCTTCGTCCAGATAGATTAGTTCAAGCAACATCACACTTTGTGAATGCCGTTTTCAATACAGATTTGACGGATTTGACAACGTATAACTTCCAAAATCTTGTGCAAAAAGAAGTCGGACCTCAGACACCGGTAGCATTATGTTCCGTTCCAGGATATGATGCCTCATATAGGGTAGATAACCTTGTTAGTGGATTAGGTATCAGGTGTAATTCTGTAGCTATGGGATCACCAGAAGGATTTCGACAAGCTGAGCAAGCTATCACACAATCAGCTAGATCAGGCCAATGGGTTTTACTCAAAAACGTTCATCTAGCTCCTGGATGGTTAACTCAAGTAGAAAAGAAGCTTCAAACATTAAATCCTACTCCAAATTTCAGATTATTCTTGACTATGGAAACAAATCCGCTCGTACCAATTAATATACTACGTCAATCTAGAATAATAATGAATGAACCACCACCAGGTATAAAAGCTAATATACTTGAAACTCTGAGGAATATTTCACCACAAAGTTTGCAAAATGGACCTGTAGAGAAGATGAGATTATACTTCTTACTTTCATGGTTCCACGCAGTCATCCAAGAGCGTCTGAGATTTTGTCCACTAGGATGGAGTAAACTTTACGAGTTTAATGATTCAGATCAAGCTAGTGCACTTAAGATGATCGACACCTGGACAAATAGGGTCGCAAAGGGTAGATCAAATGTTGATCCAAGCACTTTTCCATGGGAAGCAATTAGGACTTTATTGAAAGAGTCCATTTATGGTGGTAAAGTTGACAGAGATTTCGATCAAAAATTGCTGAACACATTTGTTGATAAGCTTTTTACGCCTGATGCGTATGAGATTAATTTCCAACTCGTATCCGAAGTTGATGATCAACCTGGTTTAAACATACCAGAAGGAACAAAATTGGAGCAATTTATTGCTTGGGCTGAGAAATTACCTGAAAGGGAACCAACTACTTGGCTTAATCTTCCAATAACAGCAGAAAAGGTGATAGCTGTTGCGCATGGTTCTGATCTACTTGGAAAATTGCGTAAAATGAAGAGTTTATCCGATGATGATGAGACTGTTTCCGTTAACACAAGTGAAGAAAGCAATCAACAACCAGCTTGGATGCGCACATTGATGTCTAATTGTCAAGAATGGTTGGAACTTTTACCGAAGGTTTGTAAACGTTCTTCTATCGATTTCGTTAACATAGTATACAAGGATATTGGTCAATTTGATACAGACGCATCACGAGCGCAGGATCCAATTTTCAGATTCTTTAAGAGAGAATCAGAAATCGGTAGAAGATTATATAACACTATCAGATGTGATCTTGACGATTTGATTAGTGTATGTAAGGGTGAAATGAAGCAGACGAATCATTTGCGTAAGCTTATGAATGATTTGACTAAAGGTGAGTCAATTGTTTTATTAGAACAATCTAACGTTTAACAGGAACTGTACCATCGCATTGGAAAATCTACAGAGTACCAAATAGTTGGACAATTACACAATGGGTACCAGATTTCTCATTACGTTTACAACAAATCCAAAGATTGGTTGGAGAGCAAAACACATTATCTCAATCAACCATTTGGTTTGGTGGTCTCTTCTTCCCCGGCTCATACCTCACCGCTACGCGACAAGAAAGTGCCCATAGAACACGCATATCATTGGAAGAATTGCAATTAGAATTATATATTGATAACTCTGAAGAAACTGGTTTTGCAATTGATGGACTCTATCTTGAAGGAGCTGATTATGAAGGAGGAAAGATTAATGCGACAAATCTGGATCCAATCAAGTTAAACACTTGCAAATTGAAGTGGACTGAAAGGCGTAACCATGAGATAAGCAATGCAGTTAGTTTACCAGTATACCTTAATCTTAAGGATAGAGAAGTTGTACTTTTTAGTGCAAATCTGAGCGCCGTAGATGGGCTTTCTGAAGCGGAAGTAACACAACGTTCAATTTGTTTATCTGCTAGTATTTAATAATGTATTTCAAATTTATATTGACTATTATAAAAGAAAGGAAAAGAGAATGATTTTATGCCGTTTATTGACCACCAATTTGAGCGACGTGAGCTTGAATTTGGTCATCATCTTCAATTTCATGTTGTTTTACAGTATCATCTGCTTCTAGTCTGTCACCGTTGAAAGTGAATCGTACGGTGGCTAATGATGTTCTTAGAGGGATGATAGAAAATGAAAAAAAGACTGACCTGGATCCTGACCTGTTCTTTGACAGAAAGCAGCAAAAATCTTACCAAGTTTTGTTGTTGGTTTAACGGAGAATTGGATTTCATCTTCGCTACCACCTATGAGGTATAGATGAGAAATAGAAATTTGTAGCTAAATAAAATAACGCACCCTGACTGTATGCTACTTTAAGGTTTACCTTACCATCATTCGCGTTCGTTTCACTGTTCTCTGCCATGATTGCAAATGATGAAGAGATATCTTAGTGGAGGGGGAATTGGAGATTCATGAGCTATAAAATGAACGATGATTTATGTAATATATGTATATTATTAATATATTAGAATAGAATAGTATTTGATTGCAGACGATTTAGTCAATCTGACGTTACATTACTATAGAAATCGAAATAGAGTGAGATAATTATTTGTCTGTCTCCCTGACTTAATGAATAGATAAATAATAGTAAAATTATTAAATTTGCGGGTATTCACGGTAGCCGCATCCATCCGTTTAACCAATACGATGATGTTTAAAAATCTCATAAACAGCGTTGGTGAGTATTCAAGCCTTTAAATAGCTTTTTAATTGTATTTTAATAGGTCGTCGCTCACTTAGCACTTCTGCTAGACGCACCAACAACCTCTACGATCAATCAATCCCTAACCTTGCAGTCAACAAGAACACTAGAGTCATTTGCCAAGGTTTCACAGGTAAAACTGTGGGTTTATCTTCTTATATATTAGCTACATCTTTAACTATTTATATAGGCCACTTTCCACTGTAGAGAAGCACTCGCCTACGGTACCAACATGGTTGGAGGTGTTAGCCCTTCAAAAGCTGGTACTGAGCACCTCGGATTGCCTGTTTTCGGATCTGTCAAGGAGGCAGCTCGTGAAGCCAACCCTGACGCAACCGTACTTTACGTTCCACCACCATTCGCTGCAGATGCTATCATTGAAGCTATCGAAAACGAAATCGGTTTGATCGTCGCTATCACTGAAGGTATCCCTCAAGCAGATGAGATCAAGGTAGCTCACGTACTCCGCCAACAATCAAAATCACGTTTGCTTGGTCCTAACTGCCCAGGTGTTATCAACCCAGATGGCTGTAAAATTGGTATCATGCCTGGATATATCCACACACCAGGTAAAGTCGGTATCGTATCAAGATCAGGTACTTTGACTTATGAAGCCGTTCAACAAACTACCGAAGTTGGTTTGGGTCAATCTATCTGTTTAGGTATCGGTGGTGATCCATTCCCAGGTACCACTCACGTCGATGCTTTGAAACTTTTGCTTCATGATCCAAAGACTGAATCTATCGTTTTGATTGGTGAAATTGGTGGTTCATCAGAAGAGGAAGCTGCTGAGTACATTAAGAAGAACAACGTTCATAACAAGCCAATCGTCGGTTTCATCGCTGGTGTTTCAGCTCCACCTGGTCGTAGAATGGGTCACGCAGGTGCAGTTATCTCAGGTGGTGGTGTTGGTAAAGCTGAGACAAAGATTAATGCACTTAGAGATGCAGGTGCAGTTGTTGTTGAATCACCAGGTGAAATTGGTGCTGCAATTCTTAAGGCTAGCAAAGACGCTGGTATTGCCTAAATTAATTTAGAAAATTGAAATTCATTTAAACTTGATTTTATACAAATTGTTTTGATAACTGATCAAATTCTGCGCTCTTCCTCTTGAGATCGTTTACTAAGATGTTATCTGGGTTTATTGAACTTAATCTTGAAATTAATTCATTGGTATCCTTGTTTTTTAAGTGAGTTGATATGACGATTTCATTCATGATACTGTATTCATCTTCTGAGTTGATACTATCTAATTCAACTTGTGCTTCCTCAAAATGTTGAAGTGCGCCGTGTGCGATAGCTCGAAGCAATTTGTTATATGGTTCGTCTCTATCAGGTAATTCTTCCAAAACGTAATAAGCTTGTTCGTAACTTGAGTTTGTTGAAGTTGATGTACCTGCTAGACCCAACCAAGCCTCAGATAATTGAATTAAGTAATGGTCGTCTGCCCATATGCGGGCGTGCTGATACTCATTCTTTGCTAAATCAAGCCTAGAGATTGAAATATAAATCTGTATGAGTAGTGCAACGGATTCAACATCTTTAACACCTTGACCTGCATTTAATGTAGATAAGGCTTCCTCAATTTCACCTGATTTCCAGAAGATGGTAGCAGCTAAAACGTTAAATAAGTGCTTATATTGATGATCTTCAGATTCAATCTCTATCAAATAATCCCTTAACTTATCTAAACTTTCTACCTTTTCTTTATTAGTGATATAATCTATATAAGATTGTATGACAGCTAATTCAATGTGAGATTGAGATAGCTCAGAGTCTATTGAAGGTAAATCCTTCTTCAAAGCTAAATGTGATAAAATTGAGTATATAAATTTAATACGATCATCTAAGTCATTCAAGTTATTGCTGTCAACTGCGTTAATTAGAGTCTGATAAGAACCTAAATAGAAATCTTTAGAATTGAAATAATTAATTAAAGTTTTATACTTACCTTGATAATAAAATTGTTTTATATCTTCCAACTTCATCGTTATAATTATAAAAGATTTCGCGTATCCGAATTTCTTCTTGAACGCTAAACAATCAAATGCAGAAATGCTGTCAAATAAGCGTAGCTTTAGAGAATTAGAAGGAAATCAAGATAACCTTACACCGAATAAGCGTAATCCTTCAGAAGAGCGTGAAGCTTTAGGCGATATCGAATTTGATAATAGACCATCTACGCCTTCAATTCATAATAACGTTGAAGATTTATCCATCTCTGAAGATATACAAAAGTGTTTAGATATCATCAAGAAAGGTTTATCAGAACCTTTAGTTTATGGACAAACTTGGTACATTATTCCAAAAGATTGGATCATTAATTTAGAAAGTAAAGCATCAGAGAATGAATCTATTCAAGTTGATAAAATAAATACTTATAGCTTAACTAATGGTAAAGATCTTCTTCCAAATTTGTCAATTGGTGATCAAATTGAGATCATTCCAGAGGATGTTAATATCAAGTTAAATGATTGGTTGGTTTATCATTCTTTATTAACATCCACCTTAACTTATTCTTAGGTTCGGTTATCAAGGACCTCAAATTAAAAGAATCGTTGTAAAAACATCAGACATTCCAAATACTGAAAGAGTTGAATTATATCCACCTACTTTCAGATTATTGGCTTTAACTTCACAGAAACCTACTACTTCACCTGTCTCTGAACAAGAGACAACGTTCGATTTATCAATTGATGCTCCTTTATCAATGTTACTGGGTATGTCAATAGCAACGTTATATCCTGATTCACTTGTTGATTCTTCAAATGTTTCACAAAGGGCACGTTTATGGCGTATACCGGATACAACCAACTCTCCTTTGAAAATCGATACTCTTTATTATTTACCAAATACACAAAGAGACTTAATTGATACTTCAAATGGTAGTTTAAAAATTTATGAAGCTATGCTTGAAGATGGTGGTACATTTTGCTTAGAAGTCTTAGATAAATTTGGTAATTGGCCGTATAATGACTATGAGCAAAGCGTTTTAGATCAACCATTTGGTAAATCGGGATTTTTAGATAGGCTTGAGTCGAAGCAATCTAGCAATACGAAAATGATGACCCGTTCACAATCTTCACAAAAAGTTAAAACTAAAGGCTTGGTTGGTTTACAAAATTTAGGAAATACTTGCTTTATGAATTCTGCATTACAGTGTTTGAGTAATACATCTGAACTCTCAGTTTATTTCCTTAGTGGATTATATTCAAAAGAGTTGAATCCGGATAACCCATTAGGTATGTCTGGACAAGTTGCTGAATCATTTGGTCAATTAGTTAATAAGCTTTGGTATGGATCGAGTAATTCAGTTGCACCACGTGAATTTAAATACACTTTATCAAAATTCGCCCCTTCTTTTGCAGGTTATGGTCAACAAGATACACAAGAATTCCTTGCATTCCTTTTAGATGGTTTACATGAGGATTTGAATAGAATTAAATCAAAACCATACACAGAAATACCAGATTGGGAGGGTGGAACAGATGCTGATGTCGCAAAATTAGCGAAAACTTGTTGGGATTTATATAAACAAAGGAATGATTCGATCATTGTTGACTTATTTCAAGGTCAATTCAAATCAACCGTTAATTGTCCAGAATGTGATAGAGTTTCAATAACGTTTGATCCATTCATGTACTTAACTTTACCATTACCAATTCAATCAAAATGGAATGGTAGTGTTTATTATATTCCATATGATTATAATAAGAAGAGGTTGAGGATTGATCTAGAGTTACCTTCAAATGCCTCGTTCAAGTTAATGAAAAATAAAATTTCACAAATTGTTGATACAAACTCTAATAATCTTTGGGTTGCAGAGGAATATAAGGGAAATTTATTCAAATCATTTTTAGATGATGAATTAGTTTCTGAGATGCAGTCAGGGGATTTATGCTTTGTATATGAGTTACCAATTCATATACCACAAGACAGACATGAAAAGATTGATAGAGTATTTGAGACTAATTGGGTTATGTTTCCAGTTTATTCATCTACCTTTAAAGAATCTAGTTCATTAAGTGGTGAAGTTTTTGGTAAACCAATGTTGATAGCATTACTCAGATCTGATGCCCAAAATTATCAGAAGGTTTATCAAGCAATTATTGAAAAATATTTACATTTTACAAAGAATGATGAAGCACTTAAAAAGATCAACATACACTCGAAGGATATTACTTTAAGACATCTTGAAGCTCCAAGCAATTCATATTATAGTTATAGAACATCAGACGTAAATACTGGTAGAAGTAACAACATTGAACGTAACAGTAAGACAGATCTGAAATTTAGAGCTAGTATTGTTGAAAACATACTCAAATCGACATTACTAAAGAAAAACGAAAAAAATCCTGTTGAGCATATTGAAGATGTTAATAAAATTGATGATCAAGGTGATTTAGAAATGAAGCAAGATAATTCATTACAAGATCAATCAATCGAAAGTTTATACGAAAACTTGGAGACTGAACGTCAAAAATCCTTATCTTTAATAAAATTTGGAGAAGCTCTAGTAGTTGAATGGAAGAATGATTTAGCAGAAGAAGTCTTTGGAGATGATTTATCATCAACAGGGTTATGGGAACAATTCGACGTAATTGAAGATCCACAATATGTTCAATCAAAGCAAACAAGTAAAAGCCCAAAGAAAGGTATAACAATTGAAGATTGTCTGGATGAATTCACAAAAGAGGAGAAATTAGGTGAAGAAGATCTTTGGTACTGTTCAAAATGTCAAAAACACCAACAAGCAACGAAAAAATTCGATTTATGGAAAGTACCTGATGTTCTGGTCGTACATCTTAAGAGGTTTGCGAGCTCCAGATATAACAGAGATAAATTGGATCAATTCGTTGATTTCCCAATTGAAGAGCTTAATATTGATGATAGAGTTGGTGAAAAACAAGTTGCAAATTCAATAAAGTTAAACGGCGGTAATCCTGTCGAAGTTGGTATTGAAAATAGTGAAGAAGATGCTATATATGATCTATACGCAATTGATAATCATTAGTAGGTTTCAATATTTCATGTTGACGTCATCTTAATGAATTACCTTCCTATAGTGGTGGTCTTGGTGGTGGTCATTATACATCTTATGCACGTAATAATGAATCAGGAGAGTTTTATCATTTTGATGATTCATATGTCTCGAAAGTTAATGAAGAAAACGTAAAAACTAAAGCGGCCTATTTATTATTCTATAGAAAGCGTACAACTAGGAGCATAGGTGGTAAAGCAAGAATAGATGCTGAAGAACAATTAAAAATTGATGATGCTACGTCATCCACTATGACAGCTGATCAAGTAGTTTCCGAAAATGAATCATTATAAGTTTATGAATAAAAAGTTGATAAAGACATTTTAATTTTATAAATTTAATTTAAAAATAACTTGTTATCGCATGTGTCTCTCGGGTAAAATGGAGCTCCTTGAACGGATATAAATGTCAGACAAGGCAATTTGTCGATTAGATCAAATCAATCATCATCTAACTACAATGACAAGCGCATTCAAACAAGCTGATCACCCATTACTTGCTATCCCGTAAGTGTTTCGTCTCTGTATAAAGTGTCATAAATCTCATTCATTTGAAGTGGTCCAGTAGAGATTTCTGATGAGGTTTGTTGAATTAACTTCAGTATTACTCTTCATTTATTAAAACTTCTTAGGTTCTTTTAGCTAATGCTCATCCTTCCGTGTGAGTGAAGTTAATTTCATGTGATTGTATGTCAATTCTAACATTCATTTAGCTCGCATGTATCACCTTCATTTGTTCAAGTTTTTGGAGAATCGCTTAAATTATTAAAAGAATTAGTTTATAGTAAATCAGCTCAACCTTTCATTATATCTGGCAGTGGAACATTGGGTTGGGATCAAGCAGCGTCAAACTTAATAGAAATTGGTGATAATGCACTGGTTATAAATACAGGATACTTCGGTGACGAACTTGGTAATTGCTTAAGCGTATATGGTGCAAATGTTGATCACTTGAATTCTGAAATTGGTAAATCAGTACCACTCGATAAAATTAGAGAGACATTAAAAGAAAAGAAGTATAAAATGGTAACAATAACCCATGTTGATACATCAACTGGAGTTCTTAGCGATGCAAAGGGTATAGCTAGAGTTATTAGAAAATCTCAACCGAATGCATTAGTTGTATTAGACGGTGTATGTAGTGTTGCATCAGAGCTGATCAAATTTGACGAGTGGGGTATCGATGTAAGTCAAAATGGTGACTTTTCGTTTTCTAAGTTAATTCAACAATAAAGGTACTAATTAGCGCATCACAAAAAGGTATCGGTGCTCCACCAGGATTATCATTAGTTTGGGCATCAGAGCGTGCGATTAGCATTCATGAAAACAGAAAGACACCTGCCAGCGGATATTATGTTAACTGGAAGAGATGGATACCTGTCATGAAAGCATATGAAGAGAATAAGCCAGCATACTTTGCAACTCCTCCAGTTCAACTGGTATTTGCCTTGAATACTACATTAAAGTCCATGTTGAGAAATAAAGACTGCAGTTTAGAAAAAAGGTTTGAAGAACACAAAAAGATATCAAAATACTTCAAAAAAGAGATACAAAGTTGGGGATTGAAACAACTTGTTAATGAAGAACGTTACGAAGCCAATGGAATGACAACTATTATGTATCCTGAAGGAGTTAAAGGTAGTGAATTATTACCAAAAATAGCTAAAAGTGGAATTGTAGTTGGAGGTGGATTACATAAGCAAGTAAAGGATGAATACTTCAGAGTTGGGCACATGGGTGAAACAGTCGTTAATGATCAGATCAGAGGGGATATCAATAAATTATTAAGAACAATACAGGAATGTTTGAATTAATCAATTTGTTCAAAGTCTTTTATTGATGAATCTTGAATTAAATTATAATGATTGTTGTGGTTATCAATCAACTTGAAACGTAAGATTTGAAATTTTTCATGTTTTGAATTCCTAATTGAAGTGAAATAAATTTTACCTTGATCAATTGAACCTTTTAAATCTAAACTTATATCAATTTTACCCTTCATCATTGAAATCTCGCCATTGACGTATGTATTCCCTAGTAGACCACCTAATAAAAACCAGTGATTAGGATATAATCTAATATCTCTACCTAAAACATCTCTTGTAGTAGGATGGAATTTAGATTGTCTAATTAATTCTTTAACTATTGAACTATTCAACCTTTCTTGATTATTTGAATATTTTATAAAACCGAACCAAGATAAACAACTGAAAGACAATAGCAAAGATAATTGTTTATAATAATTTTTATTTTTAGGTAATTCTCTATTAAATCGTTGATATTTCAACATCTTTATTAATGACAACGACGATTCAAAAAGTAATTGAAAGTTTAAACATTTTATATTTCAATGAAAATAATAATTTAAAAAATTTAGCAAATACTTTTTTACAGGAATTCCAATCTTTAGTTGAGTTGATAAATTAGATTAGTTAGTTATCTAACCTATGATAAAAGACAGACGCATGGGATATATCAAATCAATTATTAATTACGAATGATTTGCCATTAGAGATTAAGCTTTTCTCAATTCAAACTCTTAGATCAAAGATAATCTATGATTTTAATCAACTGAATGATCAACTTCGCTTAGAACTGAAAATAAATTTATTTGATCAATTAAAATTGCAATCAAACAATTTATTGATTAAGCATTTAAACTTAACTTTAGCCGATTTAGCTTTACAATTTGATAATTGGCTAGATCCAATTCAAGATTATTTAAATGAATTCGGTCAATCAAATCATTCAATTTTATTAGATTTCTTATCGACTCTACCTGAAGAATCTAACAACAATAAGTTATCATTGTCAATAGATCAATTAGAGTCAAGAACTTACGCACTTTTAACCAATAAATCTTCAGATATTTTACAATTATTATCAAACTACTCTCTTAGAAGTGATATCAACCTGGACTTACTATTTGATTGCATAAAATCTTGGTCTTTTGCTGGTGAATTCACTCCCTTAATGTTGAATTCAACGCCTTTACTAGATTTACTTTTCAATTCTTTATCAAATGAACAACTATTTGATAAATCTATAGATACTTTGTCCGTCATCATTCATGAAACCCAAGAAATCCATGAAAATCTGACCGTTATCAACATTATTTTAGGTAATTTAACTAATTTAATAGATAAATTACACTCCTCAATCCAACAAAATGATGATGACACAGTCAGAAATTATACTCGCTTATATTCTGAAGCAGGCGAAACCTATTTACCTCTATTCTTATCAAACTTTGATCAGATGGAACCTATTATTAATTCAATATTGTTATGCTCGAAGTATAATGATTTAGAAATTGTCCAGATCACCTTCAACTTTTGGTTTAAATTAGCACATGCCTTAGACGTTAAACCTCATTTAAAATCACAATTTATACCAATTTATTCTCAATTGATTGATATTATTATTGATCATTTAAAGTTTCCCCTTGATGAATCGTTACAATCAGCTCAAGAGCGTGACGAATTTAGATCTTTTAGGCATTACATTGGTGATACTCTCAAAGATTGTTGTACAGTCATTGGTCCTAAAAAGTCAATTTCGAGATCTTTAGAATTAATTTTACAAGGTATCTCAACTAACAGTTGGCAATATGTTGAAGCACCTTTATTTTCTTTGAGGAGTATGGGTTCTAAAGTTGATTATGAAAATGATAATGACAGTTTAGAAAGCATCTTCAATTTATTACCAAACTTACCTGAGCATCCTAGAATTAGATATGCAGGTATTTTAGTAGCATCTAGATTCACTGAATGGATAAATAAAAGACCAGACTTTATTCCTTTTTATCTTAGCTTTATAAGTACTGGCTTTGAATCGAATGTTCCAGATGTTGATATTCCAGCTGCTGCTTGCCAAGCTTTAAAGTTTATTTGCGAAGATTGCAATCATCATTTGATATCATATTTACCACAACTTTTTCAATTTGTTCAACAATTAACTGACACTAAATTACATGAGCAAGATCACCTTAATATAAGTCAGGCTATTGCTTTCGTTATTGAGACTATTGAACCAAAAAATGATCAAGCTGTGATCATAAATCAGTTTGTTAGTCCTTACTTGGTTCATATTAACGATTTCTTTTCCAAAACCGAGTCAACAGTCAATAAAGATGATATCAAGTCACTTATTTCAAATATTGAACAAATTGAATCGTATATAGCTTTCACTGGCCCTCTTTCACCACTCCCAGTTGAATGTCAATCGACACCTTTCGAAGTTTATAATTTGTTAGTTAAAGTTATAGTCAACTTTGGTGGATCTCACTCACTTATTGAGAGGGTTTGTGGGTTATTGAGAAAAGGTTTAAGATTTTTCGATGAATCAGCTGTACTACCTATTATTCCAAATCTTCTCGAAGTGTTAGTTAACGCATTTGGCTCTAATCCTTTATCAGCTTATATCTGGTTAATTGGTAAATGCTTTAATTTAATTCCAAAAGAAAAGACGATGATTTCAACATCATTTAATAATATTTCAAATAAGTTATTCACTATCTTACAATCGAAGCAACCAAGTCAAGTACCTGACTTAATTGAAGACTACATACATTTACTTTTACAAATAATGGATTACGAGCCGTCTTTGATTTTCAACGATAACGTTATACAGCCAATTTTCGATCTGAGTTTAACGGGTTTAAATCTTTATAATCCTGAAGCTATTTTGGTTTCACTGGACTTTATCAGAGATTTCGTTGATGTCATCAATGATAACAATTCGAACAGCAATATTAACAAAACTGTCATAGCAAAAACGCTATCAAATCATACTAATATTGCTAATTTGATTCAAATTCTTTTGGAAGGTCTCGTAAATTCCTTTCCAGAAGATTGTGTTAGTACTGTTATTACATTGATTCGGCAATTGGCACAATTCAATAATAATTTAATGAAGGAGGCTATACCAGTTGTTATGAATCAGTCGTCGTTAACAAGTGTTGCTGTGACTGATCAACAAATATTTATCGAAAGCTATACAAAGTAGGTAATCTTAATTTTAATTGCGCATATGTCTAATAATAACCAAAGTTCTATGAGCAACTGTGATTACAATGGTGTCAGGAGATCACTAAATGAACTTTATAGGGCTAGTAGAAGATCTAGGGAAAGAGCATCATTAATCGAAAACTAATTTTGTTATAGACATACATTATAAATTACATTTGTAACTCATCGAGCAGTTAGCATAACATTATTAGTGTGTAACTTTACATAACCAAATTAAAGAATAGAATAAGGGATTCAATACGGTAATATTGGGATTACTATCAAATGGATTGTAATTTACACATATCTAAATACAATATCTACAAAAAGAAATGTTACTCGCTGTCAATCTTTTAACTGTTATGGAATCTGAAAAAAATCTTGAAAACAATTTTCCAGAACATACCTAGATCGTTTTTGTTGAGAGCTTTATAATTTTTACATTCCAGATATGCAATGTTTGCTGATTCAGATACGGCTAATGAAGTTATACTATCTCTTAACGTTTTCTGAACAGACCCGTCGAACTTAATTGTAGCAAGACCTCATTATTGTTATTATTTTCTCCAAGAAAAGAGAAAACCGAAAAAGCGCGATCTATATATTCAGTTTATCAAAATTCAATAATTACAGGTGCTTGGTGCTATGTCAACCTTGTGAACCCTCTCACTCAAAAGATCGTACCCGCAACTGCTAATTTGGTAGGAACTCATAAAGGAAAGAAAAATAAGCTGAAATTCTAAGCATTCAAAATCTTTATTAACTTGTTTGTATGGGGAATAATATTTTTGACAACCAATTATAAAATAAGACAAACAGAAATTGAAGTGATAAAGCGGCGGAAGCGAAGCCTTCTAAAACAAAAAAGGATTGCAATTAATTCTGGTAAATCATACTAGGGCATACGTAATTGAAGGGTTAGCGTTTCACTTGTGTATCTGAAGGTTACATTTACAGTCTAAAGGCAATTCAAAGAACGTCGCGCTGTGACAAATCAATTTCACCAAACGAACAGTGCCTATCCCTAAAAATGGGGAAGGTACCGTGAAGCAGTACTTACGTAATACATTTATTTAAGCGTTAGACATTATAAAGTTTCATCGCTATGACGAGAAAAAAAAGAAAGTTATTAACCCCCCCCACCCCCCTCACACAAAGCACTTTGTTTCAAACACAAACATGTACAGCTTCGAAACTTTCCAGATTTATAGGTCACTTTCAGTAGCATATACTAACATAGACGGAAAGACATATCATTTACTGTAACATGATATAGCCACTCGTATCACCAAAAGATGACAAAATGTTATAAAAACCAGGAAAACGTCACGAAAAACCCCCAGAAAAGATGCCGAGAGAAAAAGAAAAATGGAACATGAGGCCACTTCCGCATCATCAAAAATAGATGCATCGTTATTTGGTTGATATCACGACATGATCCGGTGGACCGAACCAATCAGTTTCTAAAGCAGTTCGAAGGATGGAATGAAAACAAAAATTTCTCCTTTGAGGATATCTTTTTCAATTAACGAGAGAAACAGTGGGCAAACCTCCTTGGGAAGAACAAAGCCGAACCACTTTTAATAGACACGAAGTTTGAAAATTAAGAACTAAAACAACAAACTAATTGTGCTGCTAATGATACGGTGAAAAACGTAAAATGCAGAACAACTACTAGCGTAACGTATGGTTGAATAAAGGAGATAACACCGTTACGTACCTATCTCAGGGAAAGCAGCGGTAAGGCCGTATAATTTTAAGTCAGTCTTGCAAGGTGGGGCTTGCAAGAAAAAACTTGTACTTCAAGTAATCTCTGGATACAAACATTTCTGACGAAATGAGACACTCGAAAGTTAAGGGAACATTTCTAAGACGCGAAACCATATTCATAATCAAGTCTTCTACCTTGCCTGTCACGCATTTCAGTAGTATAATGCGAACTAGTCTTAGACAACATAACATGTAGCACCTAATTTATTTGGTGGTTGCCACACTGAGACCAAGACAATGGTTTTCCAACACATTTTCGCCATTTTATCTGCTTTTTGTTTAACGTGGGAGTATAGCAATAACGGCATACCTGTTAAAATAAATTTTAAAAACAGCACTGAAGCCTATACCAAATGTTTTTGTTTAAACATTAGTCGAATCGTCTACCTCGTACAAAACCCCTTATGGATTGCTCTTTGGATTTGCCGCTATTGATGAACTCATAAAGTAATTTTGATCCTTTACCTTGATAAGTAAAGAAAGCTTTTGAGTTATATTTCGTCAAGTCATGTTGGAACGTCGAAAGCATACTTTTAAGCTTAGTGGTAAACAGCTATTGAGACATAAAGAAAGCAAAAGTCAGACTGAACGTGCGCGTATAACCAAGATTATTAGGACGAAATCCAAGTTCTCTCGGCTTGGTGATATGACACGTCGAGATAGTAGTAAACTTGAGAGCACTGAACTGCATAATGGAATTGTCCCACGATACTATATTTGAATTTCGTAGGCGGACGCGTACTGTGTGAAGCGTTGACTAAGTATTAAACCAAAGCATCCTATATTTAGGAAATGGATCTTTATTCGCTCAGTTAATTACAATTGGCCAAGTAATTAAGACGATTGTATGACTTATTAACGCTTCATAATATCATGGCAGCTTCACACCAATAAATTTACGCATGTTCGAATTCAAAAAAGACGAAGGACTAATAGTAAGCAGCTGAAACATTTCACATTCTGCTTACCCTTTGACAATCGGTTTTCTGGGAAGCGGAATCAACTTTTCACTTTAAGACCCTTGATACGATGGAGTTTAATTCACTCAGCTTATGTGCTGTTTGTGCTTCACACCATCTGTCAACGATTTTATTCCCCGTGCTGTATATTGACAATAATTTGCTACCCACTATATTGATAAGCAAGGGTTATATACTAGGTAAGCCTCGTGTATTTTCAGATCACAACATTTGTCAAAGACCGAAGGAAGTTCCGCGGCATGTTTTACGTGACGTTTTAAGTGGGCACCATGTTCTTGAGCAAGCCCAGACGCTCGCAGGTACTGTGAGGGCCTAGAGGAATGCTCTTTGTAGTTTAAGAGAGCAACGATCTTAGTAAGAAACGGAATGTAAAAAGCGCTTATCCTTCGTTTACTTGTATGCCCCATAAACAACCTGAGACACCCAAATGAAAAACAGAAAATTCAATTGTGATGTACAAAAACAACAATATTTTCTTTAGATAAAATGAGCCTAACAGTTGTTCACATCACATGTCGACTCTGTGATCATACGGTAAGAACCGGCACCCTGCTGTGCTTCAGGTAGCACCATACACTCATTACCGCTAATATGCCAACAATCGTCTTGACAACTACATTCACCGTGTGGTGTATGAACTAAGCGAAGGTTGGTGTCCGATGAAACACTGCCTAAAAACTGTATTGATTTGAATCCGTCACCTGCAATACAGCCTGTGTTCGTTGTTCTGAAGTTGATCGAACAATCGAGGGTACAATATTCATCCTTGCAAAAACGGTAATAGCCCAAACCTGGTTTACCATAGTCCCTTCTATCCAAGGCAGGTGTTACACCGTTGTTGTATTTACTGACCAATTCAGTTTCTGCCTCTTTTGCTGATTCCTGAGATTCTCTCTCCGACTTTTGTTTTACTAATTCTTCTCCCTTTTCTTCTTGGTTTTCTTTTGACCCTTTTTCTTCGACAATCTCCTCGGTATCTTGGTATTCTTCGAGAACTGGGATAGATCTACTCGAACGATCGGGACAATTGCTTAGCCCACAGGTACCACCGATAAAGCGGAGCGATTCGGCCTGTCCAATGTGGTGGCATCCACTATCAGGAATGATTGGTGGTCCACATCCGCTGATTGTGCTTCCCACACTGTTTGGACCTGTAATACAATCGAATTGACAAGGGCAGCTTGGTGACGGAGACTTGACTAATGAGAAACATTGAGCGTTTGTGCCGTGATATTTAACGTATTCATTACCACCAGCACTGAAACATCCTATGATTCATGTCAGCATGAATTAGAACTATTTATGTATCGTACCAGGGTTGTTGACAGAAAAGTCCACGGAAGCGTCGTTCTTACACTCAGGGTCTGAGTAAAATGTTGCATATGTTGTTGCGTTGACCACCGTACCAGTTAGAGCAGCAGAAACAAGTAGAACTTTCTTAAGCATTATGAGAAATCTTCAGTGTTGATTCAAAAGAAGGGCGAAAGTGGTTATTTATACACTTTCCCCGCACTTCGGATCTTTTGATAAGGGAAGTAGTCATCCATTTAAATTAAATATCTAGGTACCACGAACGTCGTGCAAACGATCGGAAAAAGCCAAAGTAACCCGAAAATAATAGTCATATGTAATCTCTTGGAAATTGTATGGTGACCTTCCTGCATTGTGATTGACAAAATTTGGTGCTTTATGTGATTATATTCAAGCTGTACCTTAAACTTGGTGTTTGAATTAAACTTTAATTGAAAATAATTCTAGACAGTGGGGCATTTTTATCAGAATTGTTGAGGTAGTGTAATATAATCAGAAATTCCCATATACCTAATGATAAAACCTCGTACTAGTTAGCATCATAGGGAACAAAGATTTGAATGATATAATTATAGCTTTTCTGACTCGTTGAGAAAGTATTGAAATTGCGTGCCTTTCAATAAACGATCTCAACTCAGTATGTTTGTATTTGGAGATGTGCGATCAAAGTGTCTTCACCAACACTATTCATTATTGGATATTATATAAAATGAAATGTTGTAACTCGTATTATGGTGAACGTTTCTGTTCGACACGTTGTACAGCCGGGAAATAAATCTACGCAATGTTAGTCCGCTAAATGACTTTTCGAATATGAAGTTACTGTGTGAGAAGACGTTAACAATGTGAACTGTACCTTGTATAAGGTAATTATCTGTTTACAAGCTAAGCATTTCATCTTGTCAAAGCCAAACGGAGGTAAACTCAGATCCAGACAATGAACAACATTGGTTATTAAATTATGAAATAAATCAATTGAGTTTTTGAGTATGGACATCTATTGGAAAAGGCTATTGTTTCCTTAATTGAGCTTTTATGATTACACATAAGGCTTCATTTTTTAAGCTGATGTTTTGACATTATGTATTATCTCTCTTCCTTCAACATTTTCATTTTTAGAGTAAATTAAAATACCTTTTCGAGCTGAGAATTTCCTTAAACCATAGTCATTAATTTTTGAAAGTGAAGATGCAAACCTACAACAGCCGGGCCGATGTATTCGACTAAACAATAGCTTCTTGTTAAAATTAACGTCAAGAAAAGTAAGATCTAGATATACAAAATTTGAGCAGATTGTTCTACGAATTTACGCAATTTACGTGTAGTAGATTATATACGTACTCCTAGCTTATTAAAGTTGATATTTGCACGAGGATGGGGTGCTGCAAAACCAATTCCCGGTTAACAACCTTCTATGCTTAGTGGTTTGCGGACTATGATCTAGCTACACAAGTCTAGATAGTGAGAGAACTGTTGACATCTAACCCAATATTCTACATATATAGAAGGTAACGCATGCATTATGTTACGTTATTATGGAAAGTCACATCATGCTTCAGCTTGTTCGTATTATTATTTCATTCAGCAGCCTTCAATATCATTAGACAGACCCAAGTTATAGATAAAGTATTCTCATACGTAAACAACATAATTCACTTCGTGGAAAAGGATAAACGTGCTAAACTTGTACCTTGGCTATTTTACATCTATGATTTTTTTACTACCTTGATAAAACATTAGAACAAAGATGCACGTATTATGTATCTAGAGGATATTTTAATCAAGGTTTCATTTTCAATTATCAAATACATACCCTTTGTCTGCTACTACACCTCTACCATGCGCTATGATGGTGTACTTGAGCACCCAATCTACAGTCAATCCATCCTCTGGAACATTTCTATTAGGTAATAGTGTATCGTTGTTTTTCAAAGCCCTTGCCAATTCCGATGATGATAGAATGTCTAATATATATTAAGATGTGATAATAAAGTTCCAGTTTAAAACATACCATGAAGATCAGGATGCGCCGTTAATTGTATATCATGTTTCTTTGCTTGCTGAACGAGGTCTGTAGGTGGATCACAGCAATTAGATAAGCTTATTTGCGTAGATTGTGGTAGTCTAGCTTTATTGGTGAGTTTATTAAGAAAATTTTCTAATTCGAGCGGTCCAAAGTCGGCTACAGCAAGCTGAGTTGTTGGGAACTCTGGAGCGAGAGACTAAAATGTTAAAGACATGAGTGAAGAGTGAATGTACTTACTTGCCAAATTGAGGCTGCAGCGTCTAACCTATTGTTATCATGATAAATGTCATCAGAAATACCATTGAAACTTAAGATCAGTGAATCAACGGAGCTTAAAGAAGTAGTTCTGTTAAGACAATCAATCGCGTCTTTAATTTTAGCTATGCTCCAATTATTATATTCCTTCTCGGTTATGAATAGCTTGGCTGTGACTTCGTAATTAGATCTACGTTCCGATAGTGAAGGTGAACGACGACGTTGACTTGGTATTTTAACTTTATCGTCAACATTTAAGCTATCACTCGATGCTAAGGTATCATTCAAAGCTTCCAGCAACTCGGTATTATTACCTAATCTAATCAGCAGCTTACAAATCAAGCGAAGGACTCAACTAACAAGCTTTTGACGAAGAAATTGAGATTGGATTTAGATTGACGTTATCACAATTTATATAAACAATTTTCACTTCTGACTTCTTCATCGTTTAAATCAAAGAATCTTGCTTATCAAATTTCAACGATGTCGCAATCGCCAACTCCTGTAAAATATGGACCAGATTTATCCGTAAAATTGGTAAGCAATATTTATTTATTTTAGTCTTTTTTTATTATTTAAAGATCTGTCCAGAGTGTCAAATTCCTAATCCAAACGTCGTTGAAGAATTCAGCTCTGGTGATCTCGTTTGTGGCGATTGTGGTTTGGTTCTAGGCGATAAAGTCGTTGATACACGCTCTGAGTGGCGTACTTTTGCGAATGACGAGGGTGATGATCCATCTCGTGTTGGTGCAGCTAATAATCCATTATTGGATGGTGTAGATGAATTTGAAACTATGATATCTTCGAGGGATGGAAACACAGGTATTTCTAGAGAACTGCAGCGTGCGACTGCAAAATCATCGCACGGTCGTAGTGAACGTGGTTTACTAAACGCTTTCAGAGATATAAGTTCGATGGCAGATCAGATTAGTTTACCACGGTCTATTGCTGATATTGCTAAGCAACTTTATAAGCGCGTAGATGAGGAGAAACTTCTAAGAGGTAAATCTACAGATGCCATCATAGCTGCATGCATTTTCATCGCATGTAGGCAAGCCGGTGTTCCTAGAACTTTCAAAGAAGTTTGGGGTTTAACAAGAGTACCTAAGAAAGTTATTGGTCAATGTTTTAAAGTCCTTGAGAGAGCTTTTGGCTCAAATTCCCCTTCAATGACACCAGGTGTTGATACTCCAACTTTAAATAACATTCAAAGTGGTCCAGAAGATCTTATGGCTAGATACTGTAATCATCTTAACCTTCCTGTTTGGTTACAAAGTGGTGCTGTTGATGTCGCAATTGCTGCTAGGGAACATGGTGTTTTAGCAGGTAGATCACCAATTACGGTAGCAGCAACTTGTATATACTTTGCATCAGCCTTATTCGGTCATCCTAAATCCGCGTCGGAGATAGGTAATATTGCAGGCGTCGGTGATTCCACAATTAGATCAGCATATAAGATATTATTCAATGAGAAACAGCCAGTTTTAGCATCTATACATGATAAAAGAGCAAATGTAATGAATTTACCCGAACCATAAAGGAATCTGTATTTATATATAAATTAATTCTATGCATATTTCAATAATTAGATAAATCCATTCCAAGTTTTAACGTTTCAACTGAGTGATTTATGCACCATTCACTTATTTCTAACTCCCTTTCCTTTAAGTTATTTAAATCGATATGATTAAGGTACCATTTTATCCCGTTTGCTAGATTTGAAATTGGTGCTGCTTTTATCATTATACCTTCGATTATACTTTTATCACCTTTTTTACTATCTAGATTGAGCGTTGGAGATGAAGAATATGTTGAAAGAAAGAGATATACGAAAAACTTGTTAAAAAAGTCTTTGGCTTTCGGAGACAAAGTTGGAAATATCACAGGTTTAAAGATAGATAATGGTACTGATGACTTCGCGACCCACCATGCAAGACCTTTAGCTAGATTATCAATGCGACTACTACGAACGTTTGATCCATCCCCACTACTAGTGCTATTTTTAAGGATCTCTGACCCTCCAACACTTGACTCTCCCAATTCTCTTAAGAAATCCCATATCGCATATTGCAATGTAATTCTAGTTGAATGTGATTGTCTTAAAAGATGTGATGCCACTAGAGTGTAATATGGATTGTAGCGTTTTTCCTTCAAATTTATTGTTAGATCACTTCATAATGTTAACTGATGTCTAAAGCTTACATTTCCACCACAATGTAAAATAACTCTTATAATTTCTCGCTGTTGTACTTCCGTAAGGCCTAGATTAGACAATCGGTCGCAAGCGTCAATATAATCCTTGAATTATGATTAGTTTAACGAAGATACGTCGAACTATAACCTACCTCACTACTCATCAAAATAATGAAGATATTCCGCCTTACATCTGTATTCATACCCTGCCTTTTAGCTAATTTAATCAAGACATCATCGTCTGCTTTCTTATTCTTTGAAAATTCGTCTTTCTTATCAACTAGAGGATTGCCACTCCAGGCCGAACCGACTAACCACCATTTACCTTTAGAATCTGCTTGGCGAAGATCATCAAGGCTAACCGTTAAGGCTTCGGTTGAAGCAACACCAGGTCTCTTCTCAAGGTTCTTAAGATACTTTTTTATTCTATCCCTGGATTCTATCCCATTTGAAGTTCCACTCAAAGCTTTTGTTTTATTATTTTTCAAATTGTTCAAACATTCCAACATGAATTTGAATCTTGAGCTCAATTCGTCTTTTTCAATGTGTTCTACTTTATTTTGAATAGCTAAAACTATTTCTTTCAATGAACCTGGATCATCATGCCTTAATTGTTGCCCAGCACTTCTCGTAATCCGGAGAACAGCATCAATTTGAGCTTCATTGAGTTTATCAGTAGATATCAAAGATTTTATCAAATCATATATCAATGAAACCGAGATGCTACCCAGATTATAAAGTTCTGATAATAAACTTATTAAATTGAGATTAGATCTAACTTCATCTTCAGATACTTGATATAAGGGCTTTTCATCCAACTTTTTTATAATAGTTTGAGTTATATATGCCATGAATTCTATTCCTACTAGTCTATGAAGAGATCCGGTAAATCCTGCATATAAGATGACGAAACTATCCAACATATTATCTCTTGAACCGATGGTTGACAAGATTAAATCTGTAATTGAAGTAGTAACGTCATGCCTCGGTTTATTTCTATAGAGTTCTTGTAATTGACCAAGGATTGTCTCTATGTTTGCTTCTGAGAGTCTGTTTAATGAACCTTTGACCACTTTATTAATCTTGTGCATGTCTTCAGATTTTTGCACATTCGAAGACGATCTTTGTTGTAATTCATGTTCCTTGGCTGCTCTTACTGCCGGTGGGACATATTTGACTGGTTCTTTTGTTTCTTGTGCTTCTTGTGCTTTTTGGGTTGCAGTGGATAGATCTTTTGAATAGTCTTCAGGTGATTTGTGATGTATAGGTCCATTATCATTATCATCAGCACTATCGCTACGACCATCGTCATCATCATCATCGATTGAAGTGGCCATATTATCATCGAAATCATCATCATTGTGCATCATATCGACGTCTTCTTGATCAGAATCAGAGCCGGAATCAAGGATCCTTCCTTCTATATCATTAACATCGTCTAATAAATCATCCAAGTCATCCCTTAAATCGTCAGATTTCTTGTTATTGAGCTGATATTCCAACCAAGCAATCTCATCATCTTCCGGATCACCTTTCTGTTTCTTGTGAGGTTCTATAAGGTTTTCAATAGCTTTTAACTTGCTATCCTTATTATTCGTATTTTCTGGTTTTTGATAAGGCTTTTCACGACCTTGAGTGCGAGCATCATTTGGATCTAGAGCCTTCTTTTGTGTAGGTTGTGATTGTTTACTCTTATCTTTCTTAAATTGACGCTCTTCTTTACGTGTGTCTCTTCTTGATTTAAACTTACGAACTGGTGTGTTTTTACCATCTAGTAGAAATTTGTAAGTGAAATAAACCATAATAAGATCTACTAACACTTATCGTCAATTTCATTTATTAGTGCACTAGGTAGCTTTGTTGTCGAATGAGATTTTTTAGATTTGCTTATCGCCATATCAACGTTGAGTTTGAACAGTGAGCAGCTGGTAAATTTATGTTAAAAACATTTTACAGGCTTTCAAGGCAAGCTTATAAAGTACCCTCACAACCTGCAATGCAAGGTCCAGTACATAGCGCTATAGAAGAAAAATTAAACGAGCAATTAAAGCCTCAAAGTCTTGAAATAAGAAATGATAGTAGTTTACACGCCCATCATCATGCTATGGTAATACAAGGTGGTGGCAATGGCGAGACTCGTGAGTCTATAACTCCTCTAGACCCGTTGCACTGCTTACTAACTCGCTCAGATTTTGCAGTAACAGCTATTAGTGATCACTTTAAAGGTATGCTTCAGATACAGAGGCATAGATTTGTCAACCGTTTACTAAATCATGAGTTCGAGCATAACGGTTTACATGCCCTTTCTTTAAGATTGTACACTCCAGAAGAAGCTGAAAGGATAAAAAAATGAATTAATTTATTAGATTATTAATGTATGCTGCTAATATGCCCTATCTATTCCTAATTGCGCTTCATAACGCTTTATAGATGGTTCATCGTAGTAGCATTTTAACTATAGACCATTAAACCAGTGATATCGTCATTAGCTTTTCAGCTTTTATCAGATTCACAAAATGATGGTCATTGATTGAAGAAAAAGAAAAGATTAAATTAGTGAGATCATACGTGAAAATATTCATCAAGTGAGAACTCCAAAAGAATATAAAAAAATATCTATCAAATATTGTTTAATGAAAGAGAGGTATAACAAAGAAATTAGTCGTCCGTTAGACGTAACTTTTAAGTGTTATTAGACTGTCATCATCGTAATCAAATGCCTCAGGTATTCTCATTTAGGCGGTTGCGCGCTTAATCATCTGTTAATAGCAAAATTAATATTATTTTCCTTTCTCCAAAATTGTACTTACCTCTCTCGCCCATTTCGCTGTTCTTCTAATAGATTCAGTACCACCTCTCGTTCTACTCAACTTCAAAATTTCTGCAACCCATGGTTGTAAGAAGAAATCTTTAGCTTCTCCACGTGGGTAGGCATCAGCTAAATCCCCTAACAAACCAACAGCTGATGCTATAGTGGCTTGAGTGTGTTCAGTGTCACTTGCACAGATCTGTATAAAGTTGAAGATTGAAGGTAAGTAAGGTAATAGAAGATTGCTCTTGTCTGCGACCTTTAATCCGCTGACTATACCAACGTATGCCTCTAAAATACTTTCTCTTAATGTTGCAACGTAATCAATTAAATCATAATTGTTTGGATCTGGCATCATTGAACCAGCTTGTTGGAGAACTTGCATTGTGACAGGTAAATATGGTTCAAATTGACCACCGATGGCTAAGCCGATATCACCAAATGCAGATAAAATTGGTGGTTTAACTGATCTATGTAATTGTGATGCAGCTAAGTTTTCCAATAAAACATTCATAAAGTTATTGCAGTAAGCCGTTGATTGCTCACCTAATGCACGACAAATGTCACCAATTAAACCGACACTTATTGAACATAATTGATATTCTTCATGTGATTTAAGTGCTTGATATAAGAATGGCATAAACGCTTCTAAGTAAGGTAAAAAGTCAACTTCTAATGCAGTAGTGATTGCACCAATAGCTAAGAAGGCATCTTCAAGTACAGTTGAATGTTTACCTGATGATGATATCAAACTAAGTAAAATAGTCATAATTCTATCTGCTAATGGTTTGATCTCCTTGTTAAGTCTACGAATAACTGAGGTAATAGCAGAACATAAGTTAGATTGTAATTCATTCCAGTTTGCTCTATCATCTGTACCGAGTAATTGATTTTGCATAGATAATAATTGTTCCATACGTTCAAGTAAGGCTACTGTAACTTGACTAATTGTTTGAAGTGAATCTTCAGGTGATTGAGTGATAAATGTTGAAATTGCTTCATATGACGATGTGCGTGAATTGTTGTCGTTTGTAGGTCTATCACTAACTTGCATAAGAGTAGACAGGATGCCTTCATAATATGGTGATAATGGCGATGATTGGGTTTTTCCATCGGCATCTTCGATACCTTGTAATTGATCTGCAAGGTTCATTAATGACCAACAACAGTTACCAATGATTCTTGGATTATCTTGTAATCCTGCTACTAAAGCTAACACTAAATCGTGGAGGTGGACATCCAATTTAATACAATCGATGAGAACGTCAGAAATCCTACCGAGAGTCCATGCTGTTGTATCTTTTACGTGAATTGAAGGATCTCTAATCATTTCAATTAAAGTTGGAAGGGCTTGTGATACTAATGGAGCAAGAACTCTTGAATCTGGACCATCTAAAATAGAACCAAACGCCATAACTGCCGCTTCCCTAGCTTGCCAATCGGTTGAACGGATGTTAGATTCAACGAATGGTACGATTGGTTGAACAATATCATCAGTAACAGTTTGTGCCAATAAACTTAAGCAAGTACCAGCTGACATGGATACATTCCATTCGTCATCAGTAGCATCTTCATCTTGTTGGGTGAGTAATTTGAGTAAAACAGGTAAAATTTCTGGTAAAGCAACTTTTGCAAAGTTTTTTGATTCTCTTTCTACTGGTTCACCAAACTCAGCAGCTTCTTGAGCTTCCAAAGCTAGCTCGATTTCTTCGTCACAAACTGTTGACCAAAATTCAATAGCTTGAAGAGCTACACCTTCTTCAGGGTTTTGCATACCCAAAACAGTTAAACCAAAGAGAGCTCTTTCCATGTAGAAACCCATCTTTGAGTAGTAGAGGTTCATGATTCTAACTAAACATTTAAAAGCACCAATTTTAACATCAGTTGAAGATGATTGTGTAGCTTCACAGATGACTTGCATAATATAATTTCTTTCCCCTTCACGTTCAAAGTTTTCCTTCACGAAATCTAGTGAGTTGTTTAAAGCGTTGATAGCAGCATTTTGTACATCAGTTGAAGGTTCCTCCTTACGTGCACCTTGAACGACGGCTGTAAGGATCTCATTTGAACGAGTTGCTAATGTTTCAGCAGGCTAAAATGATGGTTAAAGAAAGGAGAAGAACAATTTTCATTTGAGACTTACGACAGATTCGCAAACGAAGCCAATGGCGACTAGGGTTGTCATACGCTTAGCTTCGTCTGATGCGTCAGTTACATTGCTGAGAAGCGTTGGTACAAGCTCTGGCCATTGATCATGTGGAAGTTCAATTGCAGCGACAGCAGAAACGACTTGAGCGGCGGCAGCACCGATAGCCTTAGTGGAGAGAGCCGCTAAGACAATTTGCTTTATTTGGGTTCTGTGTCCGGGGTCCAAAGCTAACCACCTCTGGGCTTGCTCAAAAGCACGACCAGAGTCTCTAGCGACGAGAGAGTTCTTGATAGCTAAACCAGCTGCTTGTCTAACGAAAGGTTGTTGTTGCTCGTTTGCGAGCTCGTTTGAGAGCGTAAATATGTATGAAGGGTAGTCCTGGCTAGCAGCCTGTTCAAGCTGCTCAGAAGCCGTAGCTCGAGTTTGTTGCTCTATAAAAAAATAAGACATGTAAACCACGGTTTGTCGACTCACCTGGTGAAAGAGAAGCAGATAAGAGCGCGGCTACGTCCATGTGTCTTCGTGGTTGCTAAGAGAAGAATCAAAGTTGGGAACGCGAGTCAAAAAACTAATCCACGGTGTAAAATATGATATTGGCGTATAAATAAATAGTTTTATTCTATTGAATATCTGCTCCCTTTATTAATCAACTCCTCTGCCATTCCTGACAGCTGAGATAGATAGCTAGCAAATATCGGAGATGGTGAGAGATGAGTGTACAAAGATCTATCTAACTAACTAAAATGCATTTATAAATCTAGTTTATTGACAGAAACAACCTTGATCACGAACAACGATCTCAACTAGCTGAGATGTCCCGTGCAGTGCCAATACGCCCACCAGACGAGGTTTCACAGCCTTCAACACCTAAATCTCAGACTGCTATACCGATAAAGGCATCCACTCCTGCCTTCGTACCTTCAGCAGCAGCTTTAGCAGCAACACAATCTCCATCTAAAACTGCTAGTCCATCGGGATTTGCAGCTACAGCACCAGTATTTGTACCAAAATCTGCGTTCGAAACTGAAGATCAGCAGCAGCTAGAACAACAAGAACAACAACAAGAGCAAGAGCAGCGCCAACAACAAGAACAACAACAATGGGATTGGTCTGGCGTTGAGACCGAACTAGACAACATTTACGACAATTTCCCAAGGTCTACGTTCCCTAGGCAGCAACTGCAATACCACTTGTATGTTCCACCACCGCCGTACAAGACGATGAACAACGTAAACCTCGCTTCTTTCTTCATACCATCAGATCTACACAAGGATATCACAGAGAAGCACGAAAATCAGCTTAGAGCACCTCCTCCAGGTCTCCGTTTACCTGAACGACTTCACGTTTATAGAGAGCTATACCCTCTCGATGACGGTACTGGTCCAGCTTTGGGCCTCGCCGGCTTAACTACATATGCCTACAGGGCAACAAGCGAAAGAGATGGTAGCAGGTTTTGCCTAAGACGCGTAGAAGGTTTTAGATTGACGTCTCAGGAACCGCTGAGTGCAATAGACAGATGGAAGCGCCTCAAACATCCAAATATCGTACCAATCGCTGAGGCTTTCTCAACTAGAGCTTTCAATGATTCGTCTCTTATCTTGTCATACGCTTACTACCCAAATTCGCATACTTTAGCAAACTTGCATTCACCAAATCCATTGAATCCTTCACCACCGCCACTTTCCGAGAAGCAAATGTGGACTTACTTGCTTCAAATAGTTTCAGCTCTGATGTACGTTCATAATCAAGGTCTTGCAGTCAGATGTTTGCATCCCTCAAGAATTTTGGTTTCATCAAAGAATAGGATAAGGCTCAATTGTCTAGGTGCCTTAGATATTTTAGCTTATGACGATTTCGCTAATGTAAATCTACAACAACAAGAGGATCTCGTTAGTGTTGGTACTCTGTTATTAAGTTTAGCTTTGGGTAACAGCAAGGCTGTGACTTCAAATCCAACTAAAGCAATTGAATACTTTTCTAGACAATATGGCCCTGACCTTCAGAGAATTGTCTTATGGTTATTGGGTAACAGAAGTCCATTAAAAACAGCTGAGGAACTATGGAGTATGATAACCAAGATAAATCCCGGAATAGTTGCTGAAGTGATTGATTCATCCCTTACCGCTAATGATAGGCTTGATAATGAGTTATCAAAAGAGGTTGAAAACGGCAGACTTGTTAGATTATTATGCAAGTTCAATTTTATTAATGAAAGAGCAGAGTAAGTATCTAGCAATTTAAAATATGTTTAAACTTATAAACTATGCAGGTTTGATTTTGATCCTCGTTGGTCGGAGACTGGTGATAGGTACATTATAAAACTCTTTCGTGATTATGTCTTCCATCAAGTTGACGAGAATGGTAAACCAGTACTTGACATGTCGCACGTATTAGTTTGCTTAAACAAGCTCGACGCTGGTGTTGATGAGAGTATCATGTTGATCTCACGCGATGAGCAATCTTGCTTGGTTGTCTCATATAAGGAAGTAAAGCAATGTGTAGAATCGGCATTCAGGTGAGTAAATTGATAAACTCGTTAAACTTCTAAACGAAACTTAAGCGACTTAAAACGTTAAAACGTTCATAAACATGTAAATTTGAAGAAATGCACGCATTAATTCGTAATTAATTACATTAAATAAGTTTATTGAGCAGCATCAAAACGCTGACCTGCTTCTTCAAGGTTCATAACATTCCAAATAGCGTTAAGATAGTCTGGCTTGACATTCTTGTATTGGAGGTAGAAAGCGTGCTCCCAAATGTCAATACCGAGTAATGGTACGAGGTGAGTGAGAGGATCTTGGTTGGCTGTGGTAGCGATTTCAAGTCTCTTTGCTTCCTTGTTGTATCCTAACCATCCCCAGCCAGAACCCTGGATACCAGCAGTAGCTGTGTTGAGCTTAGTCTTGAGAGTGTCAAAAGAGCCAAAGTCTTTGTTGATTTGGTCTGCTAAAGCTCCAGTTGGCTTAGTTTTTCCAGATTCTGGTGTGAGATTTTTCCAGAAGAGTGTGTGGTTGATATGGCCACCACCGTTGAACTTGAGAGCTGGTTGGAGAGCAATCAATGATTTAACATCGTTAGCTGATTGGGCCTTGACGTAAGATTCCTCGGCAGCGTTGAGACCATTGACGTAAGTAGCGTGATGCTTTGAATGGTGTGTGGTCATCTAATATACGTCAGACTTATTATTTAAATTGGGGTAGACTCACAATATCCTCATTAATGTATGGCTCAAGCGCATTATAGGCGTATGGGAGAGGTGGAAGGGTGTGCTTCAAGCGAAGTGAGGATGCTGTAAATTGACGTGCTTGTGTAGGTAATTGTCTAATAAAGAACATTCTTTAGCTCAAGTTAGAATTACTTATTTATCGTCGCTTATGTAAACCTACGTGATCGTTTGGATGGAAGGAATTGGGGCAAGGATAACATGATGTAAAGTACGGGTGAAAGGTTTAATAATCAAATTAATAAAACGTTTTAGTCAATTGAATCAACGAAGTCAGCGAATGTGTCATAAATTCCATATAGATCCTTAACCTTGTCTTCGTCACCTCGGCGATATTTTCCAGTACGTACTGTATGGTGTGAAAAATTTGCGATATAATAAAATGAAACCTACCTAAAACTTTCCTCAATGGCAAAGAAGTACCAAGGTCTGATAGTGCGTCATCACCAATGATAGCAACATCTTTCCAATCAGATTCACGTAAATTTAAACTTTTAAGACAACTTATAAAGAATTCATCTGATGGTTTACCGCAAATGATGGCTTTCTTATCTGTAACGTATTCTAAAGCCTTGACAAAACCACCGGGACCGAGACTAAGTTGATTGTCTTTGTCTGCGAAGTATTTGCTAGCATGAGTTGCTATTAATTGTGAGCCTGGCTGATTTAGTATTCTGAATGCATTATTAAGATTGGGATAATTCAACGATTCAGCTGATAAACCAATCAAAACTGAATCATAATCAGTTTTGTCACTTGAGTAATCCTTAAAATCATCTTTTGCAGAGTTTGATAATAAAAGTAAAGGGTTTAAATTTGAATGTGTAACGTAGCTCTTAGATGAAGAAATTGCTGTTATGACGTGATTTGGATTCAAATCAATTCCATCTAATTTAGTAGATAAATCACTTATTACTTTATTATGAGATTCCTTTGAAGCGTTTGAGCATATACGAAATGGAATGCCTTTTAGTTTCAGTTTGTTGATAGCGTTTATAGTAGATCTAGCTACACCATTAGATGTAACTAGTGTACCACTTATATCAATTAAAATTCCTTTTATTTATTTAATTTTTTATTTCTCGTACTTTAAATCTCACCTTTCATCTCCTCCTAATCAATTGATAACGACCGTCAAATATAATGGAGGATACTAAACCGTATACGGACTATAAATTGGTATCTTCATCATCTAACGGTTATGCATTCAATGTTATGCGCTTAAATTCTAATAGTTCCGTCGATCCTGCCAACTTTAGTCGTCCTGTCAAGTTGAATAGGAAAGATCCTAATCATTTACTTAGACCGGTACCTGATATCGATCCAAACACTGGAAAAGTTAAGCTAGATGAACAGGATAGGCCAATCTTGATTGATCCACAAACTAATCAAGTTATACCACCAATCAATGACAAAAATAAAAGATTTTTCAAGAGAAAGACAAAGCAAGTCTTTATGGCAGATGAGGACGCTATGCAACTTAGAAGAACTGAAAGATTGCCTTGGATTTTGGAGGATAGTGATGGTTCACAAAAGTGGCATGGTCAGTTAGATGGTAAACCATCCGATCAAAGTTATATTATGCTCGTCTTTAATGAGAATCATGGTTTAGATTTTAAAGTTCAGCCGACAAACCGTTTTTACAAGTTTAATCAGCAGCCAAAATACGATACTTTATCTATGGAGGAGGCAGATCAAGCCTATTCAAAAGGTGTCGATGATGTCTGGTTTATGCGTAATCGATCTAGACCAGTTGCAAGTACATCTAACCAATCTGATCCCGAAATTGATAACAAGCAATCTATTCATCAAAGATTAGAAGGTATGATGAACCAACAACCTGCTCAGTCTAGACAAGCGAACAGGCGCATGCAGGTTGATAGAGGTGCAGTAAAAGAAGAAACTTTTGATGGTTTATTCGATGAAATGGAGTATGATGAAGAATTCCAAGATGACGATGAACAAGTTATCCAAGATAATCAGGATGATGATGAACTCAAGGAGTTAGAGGACAGAATAAAGAAGGAAATGCATCAAGCCAACATCGGCCATGTTGAACAAACAACAAATCTTGACGACTTTGAGGAAGATATTAAGCCATTCAAGCAAAAGAGTACCTCAGAGAAAGAGATGAAGAAGTTCTTGCGTAGATACGATAAATCTAACGCGGACGCCTATGAATCTGACAATTCTGATGTGAGAAATCTTGCATATCTTTTGAATTTCTCTGACATTATCAGGACGATGACGATGAGGAAGAAGAAGAGCGTAAAAAACAAGAGCAAGATCGTGAGCAGCAAAGACGTGAACGTGAGAAGAAAGAACAACAGGATAAGGATCAAGCTACCAACTTGGCCAAATCGATAAAGAGGGAGCAATCACCTGCATCTCTCGCAGCTCATGAAGTAGCAAGACGGGCTACTAGTCCTTACGCCAAGCAACGCTCATCAAGTCCATCCACGAAACGTAGCAGAACAGATTTAGAAGATAAACCTGACAACAAGAAGCTCAAGGTGAAGAGAGAGTCGTCTTCACCTTCTGCCACACCACCGAATTCTGCAGATGGGCAAGTCTTACAAGATGATGAAATTATTGCATTCTTGCGCGGTAAATCTGTTACCACTAATGAGCTCATCCAACACTTCAAAAAACGCTTCAAAGCTCAGCCAAAGAACAGAGAAACAATTGGTGGTGTGCTCAAAAAGGTGGCTTCCAGAACACCAGATGGAAAGTTACAATTGAAAGAGGGTTTATAATGTTTGAAACTAGATGGTAAAATGTTATTAGTGAAATACATATAGTTTGCTGCGATCATGAAAGCCATACGAGTGTGCATTTTATGACCAGCATGTAAAATTCATAAATCTTCCCTCTCTGTGAAGTGTTTAAAGTTAAAGGTTATAAGTACATGAGGTATATTTAAACATAATAGCTGTCTATTCATAATCAACAGGTACTGTTAGCTGTCTTACATGACGTCGCATAAAACCCAGGTTATTATGTCATTGATTCAGTGAGAATATGGTAGCAAATCTATGAAGAAACCATTGAGTGTATTCTTCTAGTCATAAAATTACTGTATTATTTGAAATCGCCCCTCAAGTTACTTCATAATGATGGATAACATAATTTTTCTTTTGTCATTCTAGAAGACAACACAAAGAAAAGGAAGTATCTGCAAGGTGAGTAGCAAGATTTAATTTTTTAGTGCAAAGCCAGCTCCATCATGTCATCAGTGAAGCTGATAGAAGCCTAGCTACTCCTAAACTCTCAACGTCATTGTGGAACCACTCCATAAAGCGCTCGTAAACTTGGACTTCTCTCTTTAACACTTAACATCAACATAACCAAAATGTCAGGAGGTCCAAAACAAGCAACTTTCGGTGGATCAGAACCAAGAGCAGCTAACGAAGTTGAGAAGCAAGCTCAAGATATCCAGCGCCAAAATGAGACCAACAAGGGCGGTGCTGCTGGACGTGAAGGCGTCGCATCCACAAACCCATCAGACTACGATCGTAGAGGCGGTTCAGGTGGTGGAAGTCTGAATGGTGAGTTTATTACGTCACTTCAGAATGATTAACTAAGTATGCCCTCAGACCCAAAGATTTAAGCTATTGAGCCATTGTATGAATCTGATGATAAATTGTTATATATGCATTGATTACAATAAAAATACTCTTGATGTTCTACGTTGATGTCAAAAAGACTGAAAGTCGGTGATTACAGTCTACCAAGTCGCGATAGCGTACCTACTGAGCCAATTTCTGAGCCAATAAAGAAGAAGAGAAATCAGAAGACTTTACTTGGGAATACGTGCACTGATGGTTGGCCGGATCACTTCATTGAGCTAGATAAGATATACAAAGTAGGCGGGTAACTCGTAAAAAAATAAAACCGTCTGAATAAGCATCAGGCAGTGAACACAGTACTCGCTTTCTGCTCGACTCAGTCAGCAATCGCAGCCACTTTTGACCAGATTCTTACGTCAATTCAAGGTCTCCTTAAGAGGTAGTATACGTTTCTATTGAAATAAATGTGTTGATTTATATATTAGGGAGTTAGAACTCTTCGAAATCGCTCAATTGAAGTCCGCATTTCTTTCTTTTGCTATACATCTTAACAATCATATAGGGCAATCGTACCAGAAAGCTTGAAATTCGCTTATGTCGATAACTCATCGTTAGACATTTACAACGAAAAGAAATTTTTTAGCAGATACAATAGAAGTCATGATATGGATGTTTATGGTACTCAACCTACCTCTAGTGACGATACAGAATCGACTAAGCAGGTGCTAATATTGGAATTCACTGATGTGCGATCTATATACTCGCGTAATGCGATTAAACAGGACGTCCAACTTAGCAGAGCACCGACACTTTCTCGCAGTGATACACTCAAATTAATTGAACGTCGGAATGACAGATTCAAGGTTGCTGTCAATGAGTATGTGATTATAAATAACACTGAATAACTCTCACATAATTAGACTTCTCCAAGCTACCAAAGAAACTGGTGACGATCCTGTACAACTTGTTATATCGGCCGCGCACCATCATTTACCCTCTAAACCATTACTTAATCCTTCAGTAAAAAATTCCCTAGCACAGCAGAGCCTCCCAACCCAGCGGCCATCTATTGAGCAGGTGCTGGAGGAGTTCAGGTACCAGGACTGGTACAAAGATCAGTCAATTTTCCACAAGACTATCCCAGCTCGGCAGGCTTTATACTCTGATTGGGATTTGGTCATACCTGAGCCAATCAGACGTGGTTTAAGGAGCACTCTGTATGTCGAGTCACTTTTTGCACATCAAGCGCAAGCTATTCAGAGTTTAAACGAAGGGAATAATGTCATAGTTTCTACATCTACTGCATCTGGTAAATCTCTTATCTATACTGTAAATTTATCCTACTTTTAGTGATTATTCTTACTTTTTTTTCAGCTACCTTTTCTTATGTCGTTTTATCAAGATAGGGAGTCCACCGCGTTTTTCATTTTTCCTACAAAAGCGCTTGCTCAGGACCAGAACACTAAGCTTAAAGATCTTTTGAGGAGTATAGAGGGGATGGAAAATGTTATTGTGAGTACTGGTTTATGAATGTAGTCTCTACGTTAACATACATAAGGTCGACACGTTTGATGGTGACACGCCAACTGATAGACGAGACGATCTGCGTGATAATGCCAGTTTGCTGTTTACGAATTTTGACACACTACATCATACAATCTTACCAAAAGAAGACAAATGGCGACGCTACCTTGCAAATCTCCGATTTGTAGTCGTCGATGAGCTACACTACTATAGCGGAGTCCAGGGTACACATGTTGCGTTTGTGATGCGACGCCTGCGAAGACTCTGCGCTGCACTTGGCAATGTCAATATCAAGTTTATATCTACATCTGCAACTATTGGAAACCCAGTAAGACATTTCCAAACGCTATTTGGTGTCGAGAAAGTCACACTTGTCGATGTAGACGGTGCACCTAGCGGCCAGAAGGAGTTCCTAATATGGAAACCTGCCCTGATCGACGAGCTCATGCCAAATGGACCACGAAACAATCCAATGCACGAAGTATCCCAACTAATGCGTTACTTGATTAGTCGGGGTGTGCGTACAATTGCGTTTTGTAAGCATAGGAAGAGCTGCGAAATGCTTATGAAACACATACGTCATGAATTGATCGCCGAAGGACGAATGGACTTAGTTAGTAGAATCGTCAGTTATAGAGGCGGATACAATCAGGATGAGCGTCGTCGGATTGAAAAAGATCTCTTTTCTGGGTATCTTCTAGGCGCTGTAGCTACCAATGCTCTTGAATTGGGGATTGATGTTGGCGCCCTCGATGCCGTTCTCTGTCTTGGGTTTCCATATTCCCTGTCCTCGTTAAGGCAGCAGATGGGAAGAGCTGGTAGAGCAAGACGTGACTCGCTTGCTATACTAATAGCGGAATCCCTTCCACTGGATAATTACTACAGTAATTACCCAGAGGAGATTTTTACAAGGGTAGGCTAGTTTGATCATTACTTTGAAGCATAGCTAACTCAATAACACAACTATAGCCACCTACAGATCTTCAAGTAGATATTGATAATGATGCCATTTTTGAGCCACATCTACAGTGCGCTTCTGATGAGCTGCCTGTATCTCTCGTTGGTGACAGGGTATATTTCGGCAAAGATCAACTTGAGAGGGTTGCAGCAAGGTCGCTTGATAGAGATGACCAAGGTTGGTATCACTGTGATCCTCGATTACGCCCTTATCCAAGCCGTTTTATTAAACTGCGTGGTAATGAAGAAAGTATATATAAGGTTTACAACGTGTACAAGAATTCTGAATCCCTTATTGAGCAAGTGGAGGAGTCTAGAGCTGTTTTCGAGGTCAGTGTGGATAATCTGATGAGATAGGACGCTCAATAATACTTTCAGCTTTACGAGGGCGGTATATTCTTTAATGCCGGGCTGTCTTACCAGATATACGAGGTGTCGCATGACACTAAAATATGCAGAGCCAACCAAGTTAACGTCAACTTTAACACAAAACCAAGGTACGTTTGTCGGCCCATTTTCACAACCATCCTAACTACTATGATTAGAGATTACACTGACGTTGATCCTATTGAGACTTGCAGAATGCGCGCTATCAAAGGGTCGACGATGCGAGCGTTTTATGGTAGAATTAAGGTATCTACCTATGTGTTTGGGTATCTAAAACTTCGGTATGTCTTATTCGTTACGTGAATTCACAGACATTCTTATAAATTTATCAGGGACTTCAAAGTTTTGGACATTGTCGATCTAGACACACCACCCTATGTACGCTTGACGAATGGCTTTTGGCTCGACGTCCCAGCGAATGCTATGCATATTATGAACATAAAGTCCATAAATCCCGCCGAGGTTAGTTTTTCTATGATCAATTGCTTAATCTTATGATTCAGGCTATACAAGCTGCTCAACACGCTCTCATGAGCCTTACACCGCTCTACACAATGTCAGCTGAAGGTGATATTCAGACTGACGAGAAAAAATCAGTGAAGGAGTATCAACAGAAGGAAAGCAAGAGAAAGAGACCTGGAAGGTGAGTATTCCATCATCGATAGGTTTTAAAAATAGATAAATTATTACTTAGATTAATCCTGTATGATGCTGTCGGAAAGGCTTCGGGTATATCTCAGAAAGCATTTGAGAGAATATCCGAACTCTTATATCATACTTTGGACAACATACTGAAATGCGAATGTAGTAACGGATGTCTCAGTTGTGTTCAAGGTGAGGTGAAAGATGGACAAGCCTCTACATCCAAACTTGGGGCTATAGTGGTTCTCTCTTCCCTAATCGGCAAGCAATTATCGATGGATGACATTCCAGATCAGGTATGTTTTACAAGTTTGTAGACAAGCTGATTAATATACTTTAAAAAGGCACCTTTCGTTCAGTCTCAATCGGTTATCTATCCAGAGACTATCGTCCAAGCTGACACTTTAAGCAGCGTAGAGTTGGAGGAGTAACTTGTATCATGACATCACATAATAGACAAACATAAAATATACTGAAAGTAAAATAGATAGATTTACTGTGTAGTTAGATGTTGACAAATGGTTATTCATGAGAGAGTTCGTAAGCTGACTTAGCGATTGAATATAAATATGATTGATATACCGCTTGCAATGGTTATAATAGCGGACTTAGTTTAGAATCTGTCAAACAAACCGGAGTTCACAATTGCTGCCCATAAAAGGTGGGCATTTCTTTGTGACACGATTTCGAGTTCGTTCGAAATCGTGATCTTATCTGAGACTGTGTTGAAAAGAATCTTTAATGCAAGGAAGTTACGTCTGTCCCATTCCCTTTGAGCACGCTCAAGGAGTTCCTTTTCGTCGTGGTTATTCGGTTTAAGTATGATGTTATTCTCGTGTGTAAGCTCGGTGCTGTCGAGACCTTTGAGTTTGAGTGCGTCATCCCTCTTCAATCCATTGAGAACCATGTCATCAAGGCAAAGAAGTGCGAATGCGCCTGAGACTCTCCTGTACCAGAAACCTTGTCTGACAGAGCTGTTAGCTGGGTGGCGTCTCAGGAGATGCACTTACCTTGGAGGAAACCATAAGGAGAGACCGGAGTTCCCGGAAGGTTGTAATACTGGGAGTTGTAATCCTTCTACGTTTACGTGTACAATTGACATGATGGTAGTTTCAGACTAAGGTTCTTGGCGGATATAAATTAATTTATTTCGGCGCTTAATAAACGGAACATCACACAAATTAATTTAGTGATCAGGTTGACGGATCTATAATCACACTCAATATTTCCAGTAAGCAGTCAAGTAAACTGATCCTAAACAAAGGAGACTCTTATCAAAACATGACGAAGTACGTGAGACCTCAAGTATGACCACGCAAGTGAACATCAATATTCTATGAGTGGTCAGCTTGTCTTTATCATATCCGATTTGGCCCGTAAACCATTGCACTAACGACTGAAATCTCAGACAAACCTAAAAATAAAGTTTGAATATCAGTTAACCAGTATCAGAGTAATAAAATGATGAGTTATTTTTTGATGCATTCCCTGATATACATTTTATTCAGCTTTGTAAGTGTTGCGATTCTGCAATTAGTTAAACACATTCCAAATGACGTCAGATGACGTCACACGTGCTAAATATACTCATTGACGAAATCGACTTGGCTCTGATATTTTAATAGGTTATTTAAAGTTTTAACAATGTTTCTGAATAATTTGGACCGAAGTACTGCTATTTATGATCTTTGTAAACAAATCAGTACTATGATATAACATGTTGATAAATGGACTACCTAAGGATCGTAGAATTAATGAAAGCAAAGCGAGATACATAGCTCAAAGTAAATTCTAGATTATCTGGTTGGCATTCAGGTTCATTTAGACCTTCTCATAGTCACGAAGTCGTCCATCTCTCGAAATTAAGTATGGACTTTCAGCACTTGTGTCTACTATGCGATGCTTTATAGACTTCTACATGTCAAATTCATATTTCAATTATACTTTTACCTAGATTTCAATGTTTATTTATTCTTCCTCCTTTTATAGACTAGAGATCTTCGCATTTAAGGTAATTCGCGCTCAAGTTCCACAGATTAGTCTGGATGTCTTTCCAACCCCCTGTGACAATCATCCAAAATTACTATCGTAAGAGTTTGCCCCAATAAAAGTAGGGGAAGTAACAGTCATTAACTTGCTTTCAGCGTTGTATTCCCTATGCAATTATTTTAAGTTATGTTTTGGTCTTTTTCTATCTATCATCACTGCTGGACATCAAAGGCAATAATTTCCATGAGGAAAGACGAGCAGAGAAATTAGTTATTTGATACCCTCTTTTGTAAAAAATGGTTATTTTACAAGCAAAAATTCATGCTACTAAGCTCTGTGTCACTAAACCTATTTTTACGCGAGTGTTCGTACTTCATACCATGTACCACACGAAAGACACGACAGTGAAAAGATAGATAGTCAGTGCAATAAGAATTTTCTGAAGGAATGCTACTTCAAAACCTTGCACCTAATCTCCAGTTTGCTCTAGTGCGACAGCAAAATTCATTGCAATAGCTTAACAATAGCATAATATGAAACATTTTATTATCTCAGAAATAAATGCTGAAAATGAATGCGCAAGTTAGTATACTCATAATAATTATAGTTCACATAAAACGCATGGCGACTAGCTAGCTACAATCATCTTCAAAGCCTAGAAAAAAGAACAGTCGAAATCCACCTATTAGGTACCCTAGAAAGGCTAATACTTATTAGCCCTTACTATTGTCGAATCAATTCCGACGTACAAAACCATCAACTTCTTCATACGTTAAAGGTCTTTATGTGGATCTGATTCAGTTGTTAGCACACCTCTTCTTCCTTCACCCAATGAGTCGCATAATCACTTGGTAGTTACTAAAATAGCTCAGTTTCCACTTCGAAAGTAGGAAGGTTCTTAGATGCGACATAGTGTAGATTTTCACAAAAAATCGGGATATAACTGTGGGAGACAACGTCAAGTTCGCCACTTCTATATTCATGGATCAATCGAATCGAGATTTTTTCATGCAGTTTCTTCATAGGTTGAAGCCAAGCAGCGTAAGTGACATGGTCGCACATAAGCAAAGAAGTAAAACGCGCTAGTAAATACTAGTTGTGGAATTATACATGTTTATGTTATTTTTATTGTAGCCTATATTAACGAATCATATAGCTAGGGGTGATAAAGATGTTTGTTTGCTAATTATTTACAAACAATATTACTCATGCTTTAAAGGAAAGGTGTGAAACAAGCACGCTTTTATAGCTTACATCAACGTTCAAGGATAATAAGTTCAATAACGGCAAGGCCAATTAACACACCAATGTTCGCTCAACCGACAAACCTCCTCAAAGAGTTAGGGAACGAAATCTTGTGAGCAGATATTTTAATATATTATTGAATTAACAAAAATAGTCAAATTTCTACCCAAAATCATTTGTTACAGAAGCAGATTGAACAGTGTGACTATAGCCTTAACAAGCTCGGTTTGAACTTTGATACAGGCAGAGATGACGTCTTTAAGCAATTTTTAATGGGTGGACATCACAACAAGAAACCAGTTGCCATAGAATTTTATCAAGCAGAAAATACAGTCTCCACCAACTCACCAGATAATCAAGAGTCCGACGATGAATCAGTACTGCATGCAGCTATCAGACTTCCGGAGTTACTCGAAAGTTCAGATTACCCAGAAGCAGTAATGAATTACGCAAAAGCGAAAGCTGAAGCTGAAGATAGAGTACGAGAATTTGAGGGATTTAGCAAGTCTCAAGAGGAAAATTTTAAACCTGAGAGCGTCCGACGTTCATCCATATTTAGATTTCATTTCAGTAGTATCAGAAAAATTACCGATGGCGCAATACCGGCATTACGGAAGTCCTTCCCCAGTGACTCGTGGATTGATAATAGCGCAGACGTTCATATACTCAAAGAAGCGTTCAAAGCCATCTAGTTTGGAGGATCAGAAAATAAATTGCTTGATGTGTCTACAATGAAGCTTATCATAAATGTTTGGTCTGAATTCTTCGCTTGCGGTGAACTAAAGGGAGCTGACAACTCACCATTCGAGACCACCATAGTAGTCCGCGATTTATTGAATGAGCTTTACGATATTGCTAGATCCAGAGAGAAAGCTAAAAGCTTTGTGGAGCATGTATTTACAAGATCGTGGCTAAGATCTGCAAAAATCACTCGCAAGACAATATTCGTGGACTGTTTATGTAAACAAAGTATTCCAATTGACCTTGGTTGTACATATAGCGCAATTTAACATACCAATTAGCTCTAATGTTGTTTACTGAAAGATTCTGCGACAGCAACCAGTTTGTCAATGGCATCGTCAGTGTTTTGGAAGTGTAAGACTATCCTGCCTGGACGTAGTGTAATACCAGCAGCTTTTGCACGTGTATTAAATTCCTGAGAAGATACACCAAGCGATGTAGGATCGTAGAAGACCATTGAAGACTCAACTGGTGATAATATCTTTACGCCAGCATTTTCAAGTCCAATAGAGAGCCTTTTTGCCAGTTGATGGGACCTCTCAATCAGAGGCAAGTTATGCTGAAGAGCATAATCAGCTGCAGCAACCACGAATCCACACTGACGGACACCACCACCAAAAAGTTTTCTAAACCAAGTTGCCTTTTTAATAAAAGACTTGCTTCCGACTAGTACACTGCCGATAGTAGCACCTAAACCTTTGCTCAAGCAGACACTGACAGAGTCAAACGGCTCACATAGCTCTTTGACCGATAATCCTGTCGCAATATGAACTGTGAGGTGTTAAAAGTTGGGTCTAGAGCTAAAAGAGGGCACCAACCATTCCAGAGTCGAGCACCGTCAAGGTGCATAAGTAAACCATTAGCATGAGCCCATTCACTTATCCTCTTTATCTCTTCTTGTGGGTATATAAGCCCACCTGTGGCATTTTCAAGAGCAATGACTCGTGTGGTAGCATAATGTATGTTTTCATCTATGACAGCAGCCTTCTGAATGTCTTCTAAAGTAAGATGATGCCCATTCGACGGTGTGACCGGTATGACCTGAGCTTGAGAATGATAGGCTACACCTCCTGCTTCAAAACGGTAAATATGGGCTCTGCTATCACAAATGACACTATGTGGGGGCTGTTGAAGATTTGTCCTCAAACCGATTTGATTAGCCATGGTACCAGAAATGCAGAATAAAGCGTCTTGCTTGCCGGTGAGTTCAGCAAATTTGGCTTGGAATTCATTAGTAGAGTCATCCTCCTCGTATACATCGTCACCGCGGGACGCTTTAAAGGCGTAGGAAAGCATGCCATCTGTCTGTATGTATTGTGAGACTGGTTAGTCAAGCGTATGTAAAACGAACGGGAGCGGTGAGAGTGTCAGCTTTGGAGTGTTAGTGTGCTTCTTGAGTGGATTAGGCTTACATCTGAAATCTCTAGCTATGTTTTCGAGTTGTTGACACACGGACATTGTAAAAATAGAAATCACTTCACATCTAAATATAATGGAAATGACTCATCAATTAATCGAAGTGACTCGTGCATTAATTGCGCTAGAATTGTGGCATGATTGCGATAAGCGCGTATAGTGGTGATAGAATAGGGGTTATGTTAACTTATTCTTGTAGGGATAAAATTACATATCAGATGTTTTGTGCTGCAATTTATATGATACGTATTGTTTATAAATCTAAACCATTTTGTTGCCTTTCATTCGTCGTTATCATGGACCTCCATCAAGCCCCGATGGAGGAATACATTCAGAAACAGCCAAGTACAGACTGGCAGCCCTTCCAGAAAAATGAAGATAGTGAGTAATTTTTGTCATTATACATTCGCGTTGAACTTTGCCTGCAGTAGATACATTAACAACATCCACACAACACCCAGGTCCACCAAAAAGACGCAGGAAAAGACTGAACGAAAACCCAAAGCCACAGAAGTATGAATTTATTTCAATTTCAGAATATTTCATAATATCAAACACAGTGCTTGGTTAATTTACCGCAACGAATACCAAGACAATCTCAAGTTAGGTGACGTTGTTATCTGATTCGTTCTAACATTCTATAGAGCAAGCGGTGGTGATATCAGTGATATGAAAGTAGTCTCAGCAATGGCATCAGCCGCATACGCTAAGCTTACAGAAGAAGAGCGCTCTCGATACCTCACACTTGCAAAGATCGGAAGCGAGGAGTTCAAACTAAAGCACCCAGGAATCAAGTTCAAGCGCCGCACCAAGTCAAAGGAATCCAAACATGATGCAAACACAAACACATCTGTGAACTGCCAGCAGTTTAGAAATGATGCCCTAGAAGCGGATGGGTTGTCGTCCATAGAAACAGTCTTCTCATCCATGCTCTCAAATGAATCAATAGACAAAGAGCTGGATGGTGGTCAGCAGGACGTTCTTCCTCACGTACTAATGTACGAGTCCTGTCGCATAGATCCGACAAAATTGCGTCCACGTTTCTTTCCACGGTCGTTTGGACCTCCTGATACCGACTACAGTATGAATCCATTCTCATGCTTTGGTAACGAGCCGTCTCCGTACTTTGAAAGCTCATACTCGTTATTATCTTCCTCCGACTTCAAAAGTTTATCTGATAAGCCTCTTATTTGATCTTTATTTGGCGATATCAATCAATTTTTTCTTGCTTTAACTTCCACGATACCAAATCTATTCAGTTCTCTTCGATTTACAGTCATGAGCACTTTGTACTATCATTATCGTAATAAATCTTAAATTCATTAGTACATTTAACATTAAATTACATGCTGACAAGTTAGCCTCCCCCCGATGGCGGCGCAGATGGTACATAAGCTGGTGGACTTTGCTCTGTAACAATCGATTGTGTTGGGTCGCTTACTGGTGAGGTCATCAAATGGTTTGAAGATGGTGTGGTTACTTGATTTGGTGATTTAATCAACTGTATTGGCGTAACAGATGGCATAGGTAATGATGCATGACTAGCACGACTAGATGCTCGCGAAAATGGACTTTCTACGCGTTCAATTGGGCTAGGGACGCGCTCTCCGATACTTCTCACGCTGCCTATTGAAGATGAGCGTGGCATGTGGTTATCAGCACTGACGGTACCCAACGATGACGAGCGTGGCATGATTGGGGCAATCGGAGAAATTGGCGGTGTTTGCACATAAGGCCTTCTTGGCGGTTCCAAACCTTCCATTTGTTCATCTTCATAATCGGCCGGACCTGGTGTTGGTGGAAGATCGTGCATTGTATTAACGCTATGGAACATATCGCCATATGAATTGCTCGATTTGGTCATGTTGAGAGAAGAACTGCGCGGCAGTATGGTATATACCGGTGGGGGAGTTCCAAATTCTCGATCTTTTATTAAAGAATTGGCATCCGAAGGAGTGTTAATACACTTCTCGTTATCTTTCTTTGGGTCTGATCCAAGTGCTTCAATTCTCTTCTTCCTCTTTATATAACGTATGGCCACAGCTGCAATGATTAAGACCGCGACAATACCGATAGTGAGTGACGGTGCCAAAGCAGATGAATACTCATTGTGGTTCTCATTACCATGCTGGTGCTGATCTATCTGTGGCTGATCTGATTTAGGTGGGTCTGAAACATTTCAGTCTTTGTTATGGTAAGTGACGACAGATGACTCACCTTGAGGGAGGTTTATAACATCATCAGCGTCCTCATCGAATTGTATACCTGATGAGTCTGGTGATTTCTCGTTATCGGTAGTGTCGCTATTACTGCTACTGCTGCTACCAGCCATTTTCAAGCCAGAGCCTTCAAAGCCCTCAGGTAGTGTCGCCTGCCTTTTTACCACCTTTTTTGTTAATTTGAACTGCATCGCTTCACGATAAGAGTAAAAACGAACTACGGGTCTACTTTGATATTTGGTATGAAGAGCTGCAATCGTTTGGAACGTGACGCACTAAAGTGGAGACTGTACGCTAAATTAAGGAAATATATTTATGATATATTAGACCTATTAATGTGGCTCAAAGTGAGCTATATATTATGCATTTTATTGTCCAATTACTATAATTGACACTCAAAATAAAGAGAATATTTCCCAATTAAGTAATTATTATGTATAATCGATATAAAACTCATTAAATGCTTGTTTTCTACATCTGTATTATGGTGGTATCCGACGAAGTTTGTATAGTGGATAAAATCATTTTGTGCATATCAATTAGAATGCTAATTAGTGTCTTACAAACGTATCTTCGAATGGCGTGTACGTTTTCGGTGGGATCATCACGCTTGAATGGTGTGATGATGCGAGGCCATCGGAGCGAATGCTATCCCTCCCGGTATGTGAAACTGACAAATTGGACACAGACGTATTCCGAGATGGTATTTGGGTCTGTGCAAACTGAACCGTTGGTGCAGTCAATGCATAATTCGTAAATTCTTGATCGTAACCGGAATTTCTGGTTGAAGGTACCAAGCTGCTGCTTCTAGTATAAATTGGTGGTGGACTCTCCATTCTCTCAAACATCAAATCCTTTTCATCTTTCTCATTAGAATTGATAGTCTCTACTTCAAGTCTTTCATTTTCTTCCTTTATGAATCTTTTTCTCCTGCGTGTCCAATACAAGCAGGCAACAGCTATGAGTGCAATGACGATAAATATCGTCAACGTGGGTGCAAGTGCCGATTTGCCCTTATGATGTGAGCTGGTGTTGTCTCTATGATCTTCTTGAGTTTGTCCTTGTGAGGACGGCGTAACTGATCACGTTTTTAACATCTTTGAGGTCCTTAATATATTATACACTTACCAGCTGGGTCTGCTGACTTTGCCGTATTGTCCTGCATTTTGGTATCCTGAGGATTCTGCCACTGTCCCTGCCAATTAGACTGCCAGTTCGAGTCTGACTGTACTGTTTGACGACGTATCATGACGTTTCGGTGTATAGCTGTTATCACCCTCAACCAAAGAGGCCAAACCGGCTTCAATGAACATTTGCTTAGACTAAGGAATGTACTAGTGCAACTCCACCTTCCAAATTACCATAATAGGCAAGCGGCATCTATATGTTTAGTTCACCACGTCAAATTTAACTCAGACAATTATTCAACATTATTTCAGGCACATTGGCAGTTGATCAAGTGAGTGAACCAAACAGGTGATTGTCAAATTTATAACTCCGGTGACAAGGTTTTTGTTACGCTTAAAATAGAACGACAAGATTTCCTGTCTTCTTCCCACATCCAACTTGAACTTTTCTGTTTCGCCGAGACATCCAAAACTTCCTGCCAACAACAACAATAACACTATACACAATACGATGGTTGAATATAAACGCGCTATTGTAGACCACTTCAAAGTCTCGAAAAATCCTGACCAGTAAGGAGGGTCTTCATAAGGTGGATTCATACTAACTTTCCCTCGTAGACAATTTAGCTTGAATCCGTAAGTTCATTGTGAATAGAATTTATATGGTGTTGACTATGATGGTTTAGATTTAAGGTCTGCAAAAATATGTAGGAATCTTGTTCTATCTATGAAATTTCGTCATTGACAAGACTCTTAGCACTTGGCTTGGCTATTTGCAATTCTTCAGTGCATGGTTCTGTAAGTAGTCTTTAAAAGTTCGAGTGTCGCAGTTTGTGTAGTGGTTCTTTATAATACTACCTGGGACCTCTTGATAAAAATGTTTTTCCGAGAAGGTAACTGACAAGACATCTACAGGTTGGCTCATGGATGCCTATGATTACTTCAGGTAAGTAAATATTTTAAGCTTTTTTTTATTTCTCATACTTAATAGTGTTTCCTTATCTGTCACTGGACTGGGTGAATATTATGGACAAGATACGACCAGCGTAACTACTTCAATGACCCTCACACTCCTACTTCGTTCCGCTGGTGCGCTCATTAGCGGTTTGATCAGTGACAAGTTCGGTAGACGTAATGTCTTAGTCGCAACAATGACGATTATTGGTGCCCTATCACTCGCAACTGCCTATGCAAAGACATTCCCACAATTTTTAGCAGTCCGTGCACTCTATGGTATTGCTATGGGTGCTATTTTTGGACCAGCTAGCAGTATTGGATTGGAAAGTTTGCCTGCTGAAGCAAGAGGTCTTTTTTCAGGTTAGTAGGAGCTGAAACAGTCAATATATTACTAACGTGCATAGGTATCTTCCAACAAGGCTACGCTGTTGGATATCTTATTGCCGCAGTCGTAAATCTTGGTTTTGTCCCAGATATGCCAGAGCACATTGGATACCGTGGTCTATTCTATTTAGGTGCAGCTCTCTCATGGGCAGCGGGTATTATTAGACTCTTCATCCCTGAAAGTGACACTTACAAAGCAGCCAAAGAACGTAAGAAAGAACAAATAGAAGCGGGTGACTATCAGCAGGTCTCAGCCAAAGTTTATGCGAAAGAGATCGGCAAGATGGTGAAGAACTACTGGATTCAAATCGTCTACTGTTTCTGGATTATGACACTTTTCAACTTCTTCTCTCACTCTTCACAAGATCTTTACCCAAAGATGATGGAAACAGCGAAATGCCAAACTGAACATGATGCAACATTGGCAACTATCATTAGTAACGTTGGAGCCATCGTAGGTGGTACTATTGCTGGTGCCGTGTCCCAGAAAATTGGTCGAAGATTCACTATGGCATTGTTTGCTCTTCTCGCTGGTGCGTTCATACCGCTATGGATCTTACCAAATGATTGGAGCTCTCTGGCCGCTGGCGCCTTTTTTGTGCAATTCGGAGTGCAGGGAGCCTGGGGGTAAGTTGTGAAAATTTTACGAACAAAACTCCAATCTAATAAATTACGAACAGTGTCATACCTGTATTCCTTCAAGAAGCATCTCCACCAGCATACCGTGCACTTTTCTCCGGATTGACATATCAGCTGGGTAACATGGTCTCATCTGCATCAGCCCAGATTGAAGCCCGCGGTGGAGAAGACAGACAAATCGTCGATTGTCATGGTGAGGTTGTTGATGATTATGCTACAGTCAGTGGTATCTTCGTCGGTATTATTGCTGCGCTCATCATGATCACTGCTCTTGCTGGTAAGGAGAATCTTGGTAAAGCAATCGAGAAATCGAAAACAGCGGGTGAAGCGGGAGCTGGTGAGCAAGAAAATGATGAAGTTGGTCCAATGGCTACCTTCGATGACCGCGAGAAGGGTTTAAAGAGAGTCGGAACAGACTCACTCTACTCAACTGATAAGGCCTCAATCACTCACAAAGAACATGTTTAATGAAATACGCGGAAATTAAAATATATGTCTACGAACACAGAAAAAGGAAAAAAAAGAATGTTAACAGTAAATTTTTCACACTTCTTTTGTACTTTAATCACTTGCATCTGTATAATAGGAATTTGATAGATGTATCTTTTTTGAACAATTCATGCAAGTTCTCAACATTACTATAACTACACGATTACCGAACAGCAAGTCGTCCGATCTCACCTCTCTTGCTAGCGTCCCATAATTCCAAACACAGGTTAGCCATAAAGCATGGTATAGATTCGCGCTCATTCACCCAAAACTTCAAGAGATCTTCAATACCTTCCAAGCTACCATCTTCGACTTTCATCGTACCTTGATCGTTATCATTTGATTGAAAGAGAATACCACCACCATCTGGTGGTGTGTGATAAGCTGAATTGAGTCTGACTCTACCGTTTGGTAAAAATTGTACTTTGTAACCCAGTAAAGAATAGATTGCCTCACGAAACTCAACAGCTTTGTCACTAAAGATGTTCTTCAACCGAAGCATACGTTTGTCTTTATCAGAGAGTTGCCTTTCAAGTGTTTCCTTCTCTTTGGACAGGTTAAGCATCGTCTGTTGTGGTAAACCTGTTTGAGCGGAATCGGAACTACTAGCGTTACCGCCTCCATTCTTTAGCTTTTCTAACAAGAGACGGTTTTCCTCCTTAAGTGCGTTAAGAGTCTCTGAACGAATAGCGTAATCTTGCGATATTGGGTTGTCGCGCATCTCCAAAACCCTCGTTGTTTTAATGTTAAACTCGCCTCTACCGACTTTGTGTTCCAAGGCTACCACTTCTTGGCCAAGTTTGTTGATTTCTTCTTGGGCTTCCAATTTAATATTCTCTAGGGCTTGTTCTGCTTGTGATACTTTGAGTTTAAGTGCATTTTCATTGGTGGTATCTGTAGTTTTCGACAGGTTGAGGATATCCTTAGAGAGCTTCTCATTCTCTGATTTATGTTGTTGAAGTAAATCTTCTAGTGAATTGATCCTTTCCTTCTGAAGAGAGTCGAACTTCTGTGAGCTGAGCATTTCTTCCTCACTTATTATGGAATCCAACTGTTTCTTAACTAGGGATGTCTCTTGTTGAGATAGTTCTAACAGCCTCACTTGACTCTTCGCTGTCTTCGAAAGATTTTCGATGGATATCTTCTGCTCCTTTTCGATCTTCTTGAGATTTTCTATACCCTCTAATAATTCGGATAATTCACTGTTATGTCCTGTCTGATCAGCGCTCGAGGTACCAAGTTTTTCTTTCAATGAAACATTCTCTAGACGCAACTGAGCCACGACGTTTGTGATTGATGATGGCGATTCACCGGGCTCTAAAACAGTCGACCAACTTTCTTTCTCTTTGATTAAACCGTCACGTTCTAATTCCAATATGGATACCTGTTGATTGAGTCTATCTAGGACCTTTAATTTGGATTGCAATGTCATATTCTCCTCCCTGGCAACATCAAATCTAGATGCTTTTTCCTTGACAGACTCTAGTTCACGTGTGAGTGTCTTATTCGTACTTTCAAGTTTCCTATTTAAAGATGTCTGCTTCGATAACTCATCCCTCATAAACGAAGTATATGCGTGCGAGGAGTCAAGGTTAGCTGAAGACCTATCTTGTTCCAACTCCTCGAGGGATTTCCGTGTGCTTTCCAACAAAGACTGTCTCTGATTAGACGTTTCAGTAGCAGATTGTAAGTCTTCTTCTAAGGATGCACATCGACGAGTAAGTGAGCTAATAATCGTGTCTTTTGATTGTAATTGACGCTGACAGTTTGAGTTAATGGACTCATTCTCAGATTTCAAGAGAACATTCTCCTCTTTGATATTCATCAAGGAGTGCTTAAGCTGGCTGTGTGATTTATCGTATTCAGACTGGACTAGTATGAGTGATGTGTGTATATATTCTGAAACCAGACATACCTTCTTCTCGATAAGAAGTGACTGTGCAGCTTCTTTCTCGCGCTGTTCATTCTCTGCTTTATCTTTATACCAGGCTAAATCCTTCAAAAGCTTGCTATGTTGTACATTCTTTTCCCGCATCGTTATCTCAAACTCACGCTTCGAAGTCTCAAAAGAGAGCAGCTTTCGCTCATAATTAGATTTACTAAGTGATGATTCATAGGTGCGCTGTTTGAGGGATCGCGATAGTTCTTCCTCCTCGTGATTTCGCTTGAGTGACCGTTCACTCATCGTAGTTTGGGTGTAAGAGAAAGATCTGAAGTAACTAGGAATTAATAGTAGGATATTCTATCAAAAAGACGCTCTCCTTCTCCCTCCTTTCTCTACTACGATGATGGATAGGCTACCCCCTGAGATAATACTAGATAATATACTGCCATTATTAACGTTGAAGGATATCTTGCATCTTTCTAGCACGTCAAAGAGTCTTCATTTCCTCATATCAGATCAGATCGTCTGGAAACGGAGATTGTTAGACGATTACAATAGCTATCTAGCATTACGTGTACTCACGCAATCTGATAATATATCCCTTGATTGGCAAGATATATACCGTCGCACTCTTACTCCCCAAGTCTATGTATGGGGCGTTGCAACGAACGGTAGATTAGGCATAGATTTCAATGATGAGCGGATAAAGCGAGGAAATTGTGTACCTCAGCCTATAAAAATAGACACTCGTTCCAACCTCGTCCAGCTCGTCGCAGGCGGCTGGTCATTTCATGGTTTAGATAGGAATGGTGATATTACCTTTTGGGGACAGTATAATGGTGATTCTTTCATATATGGACCAAGAGACTACCGCGATTCCGGTGCCAGGGTTGATAAGCCGACAAAGCTACGCTTACCTTTCAAAACAATAGAAATGAGGTACGTCATCTTCATTATAATTTACAATACTCATGCTAATCGAATATTTAGTGCTGGACGCGCTCATATTATGCTTCTATCCGATGACGGTCACGTCTACCAGTCAACTTCCTGCGCTCTATCTCATCGCATTATCCATCCACTTCTCGTCAATGACGAAATCGAACAGATAAGCGCTGGTTGGACACACTCTGCAATATTTACCAAAAAGGGTAACATTATGGTTTATTGGCCGCTAGATTATGCAGATTCAGAGACTTACAGAGCCAATCATGAAAATGGACCAAGACAGCGCGTCGAACGTGGTGTAGAATTTATAGATACTCACGTATTTGACTTTACACCTCCTTCTATCACCTTACCTTCAATTCCAAACGAGACTATCAGCAAGATTGCAAGCGCTGAGGGTGCGATCCTCGCGTTGACGCAAAATGGAAGACTATATAGAATAGATCTACACGGCCGACGTGGTTTGAGGGGTGAAGAAGCAGTACGAAACATCGCAGATCTGATTGCCAATGGTGAAAAGCGATGGATCGAGGTGTGTACTTCTTTAACTCTTCGATGTGTTTTCTTGTCTTACATGATATAGCTGACGAGTTTCTCACCTCAAAACCTACAGAAGCTGCTACCGGAAGGTGCAGCTACACCCGTTCTGAGTCATGTCAGTAACAAGCTTGAAACATCGATGACAAACATTGACACGATTTTCAGATAACATCGACATTTAGACAATTCACACTGTATGCACCCTCGGTGGCACATTCAAGAGTCTTTACGGGTGATGCAACCAGTAATAATTCAAAACCACAACTTATTGATCTCGATAACGTGATTGATGTTGTCAGAGGGGACTATCATAGTATAGCCTTAACTAGAAGCGGTGAAGTGCGTTCATTTGGCTCACAAAATGGTGGTGCTTTGGGAGTAGCTTCTTTGGATTACACTAGGAATGGAACAGTGACGACTCCCCTTCCAGTTCAGTTTGGTGGAAACAAACGCAAGTTTGCGTTCACGATAGCAGCTGCTGGATGGCACTCAGCTGCGTTGGTAATTGATTTGGAGGGTGATGACGGAGATCCGCCAGAAACGGTAGAAGAGACACGTTGGTGCGCACTTACTATATATTGCTCAGACTAATGACGACGAAGGTCCTCCAGCAAGCTACACTGACAGGGCATTTCAAATAATGGCCAACATAAGAGTCGGGATGATAAGAAGGCCATGAAGAGCCACGAAGGGGCCATGAAGGAGACTGAAAGATGACCCAAACAGTGAAATATTGTATAATAGCTGTATTTTGTAATTGATATAATGATTTTTACGAATGATTAAAAATTAACATTATGTCATCATGTCTTCAAAAGTTAAACTTTGATTGTGACGATGGCGATGTCTAATGGAGAAATAAGTAAAACTGCGAAAGTGAGTTGAATATTTTTATATATTTCTACTACTTTCTAATAAAATGAAGTCCTCGCTCAGAGAAATGCAAGATCCACTGCTCGCATTCCCGCCAGAACTGGTCTTAAGAATACTAGCAGAGCTTGACGTGCAGAGCTTATCGAATATGCGCACATCTAATAAAAGTTGGAATACCTTCATAGACGTACACGAGGACGTCTTATTCAACGTTGTCCGTGATAAGTTTGGTAGAATGTACGACGATATTTGGAAAACGACGGAAACTATCGGTGCTGGGTATAACGGATGCTCAAACTGGAGAGATTACTGTAGGATAGCTTTCATTAAAAACCTCTCGCTAAGATCCCACCAGTCAGGAATGACAACAGGATAAATGAAAACCTGAAGTCTGACGCGCCAAAAGTATTTGAGAGGTTTGTCAACACTGGTAATACCCTTACCTGGAGATTTAAGCCAGATTTCGAAAAGCAGTTTGTTGTTGTCACTGCACATCAAGGTGGTGTTAAGGTCTTCGATATAAACACATCAGAATTGCTTTGGGAAATCCCAGAGGTGGATATATAGTACATATGACGTATTATCTGTTGACTTCTCTTTTCAGGCAGACGTACGCCCACACGCTCACCTTGAGTACTCAAATGGGTATTTCTGTATCGACAGATTTGGCAACGCATTGGAGGTTTGGAGAAGAAACGACATAGAAAATCAATACCGAAGTGAAGATAACAAAGTTGAAGAAAAGCGCGGACACTTTACCCGCGTAACCATATTGCCGCACGAAAGGGAGACACGAGGTTTCCAATTGTGTTACCCACACTTATCAGTCGTTTCCAGTGAGGGACATGGCTATCTCTACGATGTTGCCGGTGCACCATCCTTAGTTAGACAGATTGATATCGAGTCAGGTGCAATTGGACACCTCGACCAATGCCCAACTGCGATTGCTTTCTCAATAGGTACACATGGATATCATTTCCACAGCAAGGAAGATGGTAGACTGCTTGGTGTGTTCCCACCGGAGGAAAGCAACCTCACACCAGCCAACTTTTTCCATGTACACCACCCTCAACCGCCTATGCCGGGCTCAAGTGCAAGAACAGAAGAAATTTCAAACCAGCATATCGCAAGCACGCGTATCGGTAGAGGCAAACTGAAAGACCACCCTTCAGAGAGGACGATGCCGCAAGATCTGCCGGCACTTAGAAGCGATGACTGGGGTGCTGGTATGATAGATGGGCCATATTTTGTGGGAATAAGCAGGTCAGGTAGATTAGTCCTCTGTTCGGACTGGGAAGCCACTCTAGCTGAACCAAATCTGGCGTCCCAGACTGTGAGCGTTTTGGAGTCTGAAACGGATGACTCGAGATTCGATTTAGGTGGATGGTTAAGTGTCAGACATGGGAAAGTGCTCTTCGAAGTATCAGACAGGATATACATATTACACCTACCAGCACAAGGAGAGCTGATAAACCCAGAGAACTCACCACCAATACAGACATTACCTTCAAACTCCTATGCACAATTACCAGTGCCGATTAGTTATATGTCGGTACACTCTGATGCAATAATGTCGACATATGCCACGTTGCTTTTCAACGCGGTTAGGATTGGAGTGGCAAAACACATTAGAATATCGTCATTTGCAGGCCAAGTGGATGATGAGAGTAAGTGGATTGATCCTCAATCACCAGAGAACGAGGATCCGCACAGAAGTCAGTGTATAATTGCATGAATGAGCATATTTGACAAGAGTTGCAGATTTTATACTAGAAGTAATGACAGAACATCACGAGCACATGGTCATGCCAGATGCAGAAGACCAAATTGAGGATATAATCGAAGAATTTGATCAGGAGGATGGAGACTGGGAAGATGTCGACAGCGAAGAAGAGGAGGGTGGCGAGAATAACTCAGCCGAGGAGAGGACGGTAGATGGCTCATAATTTAATTTAATTTGTATATCACGACGCATTAATTAAATAAATATATAGGGAAGGAGCTATGACGTATACGTCACGAAGATAGGGGTAATGGATAGACGCCAGAGCCTTTGAGATGCAAGTCGAGAGCTCAGTAAAACACTAGAAGAGAGCGAGTAATAAATATTTTAAAATCGAAGGCGACGAATTATTGCCGTCGAGACTCTCAGACTCGTACCACCACCACCTTCGCGACTTAAATAAAAGAACTGCATTCTAATACTTTAGTGCTTTGACCAGTCAAGTTCTTAACTGAAATTTGGCTATTTGACGGTCAAATTAAAGTATTCCCTCCCATAGAAATTAACGAAGCGTATACGTATCTCTCTTTTTCTCAAGAATGAGTCAGTCCTTGTTTTTTTACATGCCCCTATTTACAAATCTCCCAGACTCCACTCAATTGTCTTCTCCTCCCGCTTCTCCAGCTCATCGTTTCATCTCAATTCATCAAGCTCAGCAACCCCAGCAACCAGTTTCCCCACGTCCAGCATTCTTAGAACGCAGATCCTCTGGCGTACCTTTGACACCTTCCTCAGAGAGCTACCTGCCATTCCCACGTACAGGCTCTCCAGCACCAGCTCAAGCACCTTCGCCATTACTCACAAACGCAGTCATCAACTCACCACTTGCCTTGAACGCTACTTTGTCACCTCCAACGACTCCCTCACTCTCAAAAAGACCGCTTAACCCAGTCACAAGCAGCCCACGTTCATCAATTGCCTCTATTACTTCCCCAACTCACAGGCAGTCGATGGCTTTAGCTGTTTCCCTTTCATTGGCAGGCAGCGTTGCTTCTTCCAGATGCTCATCCACTTCTGGTCAATCTAGACTTTCTTCGAGAAGGTCTTCATTCCAGAATTACAACTGGTCAGATCAAAACGCACGTGATTACGATGAAAACGACGACGATGATGATGTTTGTGACATTTTCAGACTTGGCGATATCTTTGGTGAAGGCTACGAATTTGAGGGTCAAACTGTCAGATCAGTTGAACTTGGTATTCACAGCCAACAACGTCTCACGGACAGACCTAAAAAGATGGAAGTAGTTAAAAAATTAGGCACTGGATCTTACGCTGCTGTTTACGCTGTAAAAGAAGTTCTAGAACATGATTCAGATGAAGATGATCTTGAATTATCCGGCGTACCAACAAAGACGCCTGCCAGACGTCAACCAAGGATGTTTGCATTGAAAGCGTTATCCAAGAAGAATCTGGATGATTCTCAATTAGATATTCAAATGTATGAAGCAAGAATTCACCAATCCTTACCTGTCCATCAAAATATTGTTACTCTTTATCACACTTTGGAAACTTCAGGTTGGTTATTCTTGTTAATGGAATATTGTCCAGGTCAAGACCTCTATTATTGGTTACAAGGTCGTTTGGATGAATCTAGTTTGGATGTTGAAGAATCTGATGAAGAAGTCACCATGTCAAATGAAATGACACCTTCTGCATCTACTCTAGCTGCTACTCCTTTAGCTAGAAGTCAACATTCATTTATGGATAAATACCTAGGCGGTGTTGGTAGTAAAACACCCTCAACTCCTTCATTACTCGCAAACGTTGATACAAGAAATACAATGGAGGGTAGAGCAAGATTGAGATTGATTTCAAGGATGTTCGAATCGATGTGTGAAGCTGTGGCTATTTGTCATGATAACGGTATTAGTCATAGGGATATCAAACCAGAAAATTTTATTGTTACTGATGGTGTTGATATCGTTGAACTAGGCGATGGTAGAACTAAGAAAGAAAGAAAGGTTGTTTGCAAATTAACTGATTTCGGTTTATCCACTTTTGATCAAGAATCGTCAGATTTTGATTGTGGTAGTAAGTCTTACATGGCTTTCGGTGAGTGTTCTTTGATACAATTAATAATTTTACTAACTTTTTATTAGAATGTCGTAACAACCTTAATCCTACTTACAAACCAAAGCCAGCTGATGTTTGGTCACTTGGTATCGTTCTTCTCAATATGCTCTTTAAGCGTAATCCATGGGGCGAACCAAATGTTGAAGCTGATGAATCATTTGATTATTATTGCCAGGATCCTCAAATGTTCTTGACTGGTGCATTTGCTTTAACTGAACCAGCAGCCGAATATTTGGCTAAGAATGTACTCTGTGAAGAAACAAATGAACATCACAGAATCACTGCTAGAGAATTCGGAAGATGGGCAAGAGATCTACATAAATATGTTAATTTACCAAACCAACCTAGCCCATCAGTCAAACCAGCTGTATTGAGCAACGGATTCACACCATTACAAATACCATCAAGACCTCAATCACCTGTTAAATTATCACGTTCACAAGTCCTTAAGAATGATTTATCAGAGATCGCTCAAACAGCTTCACCTAGAGCTAACAAAGTACAAACTACACTCTCAAATGCTGTTGAATTTGATCCAGATCTTGATGATACTTTACCATCACCCTTGCCAATGCCTGAAAGGAAATTACAAGATCAAAGCGAAGCTGATAACATGTTCGAAGAGGCAACACCACGTGTTAATAAATCACCAAATAAATCAGCATTACTTGAGTTCGAAAGTAATGAGGAGCCAACGCCTATGAGATCACCAATTTCGTTCAAGAAGAATAAACCAACGAAAGTACAAAGGGAAACGTTTGAACATACTACTACACCAACTATGGCGACTGCATGGAATTCATATGGACAACGTAGGGATAGAATAGAGAAAAGACATCAAGCAGCCAATCAAATAGGAAGTACTCCACCAGCGACTAAACCAGGATTCCGACCAATGAACACATCAGCACCTGCTGCTGGTGGAATTACAAGGGATAAACCTGTTGAACCTAAACCGGTTGGAGTATACAGACCACCAGCTGCTAGATCTAAACAACAGCAAGAACAAGGGGATAGGAAAGTAAATAATGCAAATGCGATTGCGAATGAGTGCGTTAAACCACCAATTTGGAGGAGGAATACCTCTAAATTGGTTGATAATCGTAAGGCCAATAGTAGGTCTAACGCTACTTTAGGCAGACACAACCTAGTCAAACGCAATCGCAGGTACCCTACAAGTCGGGTGGTACGAAGGTATGCAGTGAATTTTCACATTGAAAGTTATGTTAACACACCTTAGACCTCTTTTAGGAAACCAACAGACAAAATCAACGGATACCAGAGCACCAATACGTCAACGAATCCAACAAACGCGTACGGACAAAGAGCGTTTAATCAAGGAGGACAGACAACAAGACAATTGGAGGCTAGTCAAGCGTACAAATCGTTTAACAAACACAAACCATCAAAGACTTTTGAACAAATCCAACAAGCGTCGAAATCAAGCAGGCCTTTCGCAAGGCTAGTCGGTTTGCCTTTTGGTAATATTCAAAGTTCTAGGGAGTAGTGGCTGGCTATAAATGAAAAAAAGGTGAAAAATGAAATAATACAAATAATAAACGTATTTTATTTTTGTTAAAGAAATCACTCAAATATAAATGTCACACTTCTCTCACGATAAATTATTTTATTGTTCGTTCGTCTCTTTAAGTAAAACGACGAACAAGGATGAGATATGGTCACACTCAGTAGAAACTATTTGGATGTTGATAAAGAAACGTTGATAGAATTAATATCATTTGTTTTAGCTAGGATTGTCAAGCATAACGATCAGCTTCATTTTGATAGCAACAAGCTTACTAGGTTTCACTCAAGAGCTGCACCCGGAATAACAGTAATAGACTATTTGAATAGAATTAATAAATACACTAATACTGATGTGAGTATATTAGACTCCAAGAGTATAATTTTGACGGAATTATTTATAGCCATGTTGTTTACTCATTTTACTTATTTATATTGATAGAATATCTACGATGATGCCAGACTTAACTATAACGAGCTTAACCGTCCATAGATTCATCATCACTGCTATAACGGTCTCATCGAAAGCGCTCTGTGACGTCTTCTGTACGGCTAGCCATTACTCAAAAGTAGGTGGGCTATCACTTAATGAGCTCAATTTATTAGAAAGGGAATTTTTAAGAATCCTAGATTGGAATCTCACATGCGAAGATCAGCAACTACAGAAGTATTACTTGAATTTAGTAGAAGGACATCCAAATTATACGTTAGGAGATTTCACAGATCAAAAATCATCTAAAAATGTCGAAATTATGCCCATAAAAACTCATAGTCCTGTTGAAAGTAATCAAATTATCCCACAATCACGACCATTTGTTGAGGCAGATATACAAAAACAACAGCAACAACAACAACAGCAGCGGCGGCGTATTGATTAGTTAGAATGTATTATATTTGTACTTTACAATCTATTTATAACACTGTTCTTGGCTTTTGATGATATCGGATTCTTATCTGCAAAGTAAGCCAATAGGAGTTGTGTAGAGATGAAAGCAACTCCAGCGTCTCTACTGTCTAATTTACCAAGTGTGTCACCCTAATTGGCAATCAGATTGCATGATGTCATCGTTTAATCTACTCACGTTGTAACTCAGGATGAGATCTCCTGCAGAAGTTTTCGTGAGTGTCAAGTCATTCCCTTTTGGTACTTTGCTCGATGGGAAGTATGACTTGAATGTCTGCAGCGATTCGTTTACTTGCTGGTGATCTAATTAGCATGAATGTTAAGAAGCAAATGCATTCCCCACTTGTGCTTCCTCTGCATCTATTTGTACAACCTTCATCCTGGCCTGTACAGCGCGTATAAAGCCATCTCTAAGATGTCCAAAGTCTGTATTCCTGACGGGGACTTTTGGAATCAACATAGAATTTGTATATTGTACGTTAACTCACTGATGCGTACTGCAAATGACGATTGCTTAATCACACTCTCCATGAGTTTCTCACCCGTGAGCTGGTCATCATCCGGTGTAGCAGTCTTTGCGAGCTTTTCTTTGACATTCTATAAGTATTTAGCAAAATCTATCCAGATAATCCATTGATGACTTACTTCAATAGCTGAAAGTGCGCGTTGTGCACTCTCATCAGCGTATATACCAAGTGAATAGACTTTAACGCGAAGGAATGAAACAGTGCGAACACCTAATCCTAACAGATTGAGTTCTTTGCTATCTGACTGAATATGGTTTGGAAATTCAACACCCGTGTCTATATCTTTTGCTCTAACTTCCACTAGTGGTTTCTTTGCTTCGAGGCTTATACTAGCTAATTTTGTTGAATATTTACTATAAATATACTAGAAATCTCACCTTTATCGCGACTATAATAGCCCAATAGCAGTACAGACGTTAGTCCAGCGATAGCAACACCACTTGAGAAACTCCTAGCTGGTAGTCTAGTAGTTGATATTCCCCTCCATGGAGTGTATTTTGATAGCTTAGTAGCCCTCGGTAATAGGCGAAACATTGTTGAACACAATCAAGAAGTAAAGTACTTGCAAACGTCATTAGAAAGTTTGATATGAAAATAAATTGGTATATTCAAACATTACGTTTTAGTATTACAATATCACCTCTCCTACGGCTATCTTCGTGGATGATTGAGTTTGATATGCGATGTATTGGGTGGTATTTCTTCCCTAGATATTCCAAACTATCTGGAAGGTCTAAGAATAACGCTTCAAATACAACTACAATGTCTTCCATTTGTTTTCCCTTCATGAACACCTGCGGAGATGCATAAAAGGCATCCTCTTCGTTGTATCCAATTGGTGGACACTGAAGGGAATACAAAGAAATGTCAGGACGATGTAAGTGTGATTGCCAGGGTGTAGAATGGCAAGGCATGTAGAATCCAACGCTAGATATATTGTCAGATGCGCTAAGCCATTCCATGACTTCAACTTGACCGCGCATGTGTGTAGTCATTAAATAAAGCGCTGGTAAGATACCCAGCGAGAGCAATATCACAATTTTTCTCGTTATGTGCATCTTGGATGCTGCAAGCACCATAGCGAAAGGTAATAGCGGTTGAATAAAGCGCCATTCCTTGTGTGCAAGAAGGGAATAAACGAGTGTGACGAATATGATGGTATACTGTAAGCATTTTTCGTTAGGTGTGCGTGCCTGTATGAATCCCTTAATAGCATAGATTGCACTTGTATTGAGTAATAGAGGCCATCCTTGGATGAAGTAATAGAATACGCTATTCGTACCATAGAAATGCGAAATTGAATTTAAAATATTTGCCTCTATGAATGTTATCGGAGTGATAACTAGTCTGCCATAAACTAGCGAGTCTAGAAAGACTATAATAGCAAGAGAGGATAAGCTACTAAATGTAAGCAAGAATGATTACAGATGAATCATCATTAGCTCACCCTATACTAGCTGACAAGAAGACAAATGTCTTAAACTCGACTGTCCTTCTGTATATCAATTGCAACGCGAAAGGTATCCAAACAAGAGCATTGGTTGGTCTTACAGCTACAGATATTACTATCACTACGAGTGCCTTAGCCAGTTGCTTGCTCCTACAGCAGACTAAGATTATGAATATAAAAATGAAACTGTACCCACGCATCTTCTGTTCTCTTAAATGGCCAATAATATAAGGCACAGCTGGTAAGAGCTGCCTCTGCCGTATTAGATAACGATCTGTGACGCGTATAGAGATCGTACACATTAGTGAATGTCAGAAGAAGCTATAGAGCAATCAGAGATAATAATTTAAAGCTTTCAAGCCCACATAATTCTTGGCTTTATCATTACCATAGTCTCTCCTCAAAAAAGCAAGCAATGCGACATCCTGTAAGGTCGCCAGCAACGCGTTGATAAGCCTCGGTGATGCAGTAATAGGAAGTGATAAGAAATCACCAAGTAAATACCCAATAGCGTAGATAGCCGGGTACATAACAGAGCGAAGGCCGTCCTTCCATTCCCAAGTCAAATGGCCATATCCATAGTACATCCAGTGTCCAACTTCGAGGGCCTGGAAATACTCATCTGGTTGGAAGAATGTACGCGTTGCATAGGACAACGCTATTCTAATTGATAGAATGAGCAAAATGTACTTCATTCGTCATGGACGTATATTACATTCAGATATTACAAATATTCTTTAATAAAGTAAACTGCGGGATGAACATTGCGACTTTTTTCTTATAGTTTTTGTAGTTTGGATACTTGGATGAAGTTATACTCTCCGTGAACCTTGTTGAACATTCGAACAAAAGTGACATAGAAATAGGTGAAATGAAGGTACTTAAAATCTCTTCAGCTGGTTGTTTACTACCTAGTACAACCAATAATGCCCATATCCACCAGTTGGTCTGTTCGAAGGCAAAATTTGGATGTCTTGAAACCGCAAATAATCCAGAAGTATTGAATCCATCGGTGTACTTTTTTTTCTCCTCCTTTGTGAGTGTACCGTTGTTATAAGCTACTATCGTAGATTCTGCATGCTTCCAGCTTTGATATGCGTATTGTTGGTTATCAGCGATAAATTCACCGAAAATGTTCATTACACCTAGCGTGAAGAGAAAATAATCGTTCCGGTTGATATCATACTGAGGTGTCTTTGTCAACACGAAAGCGGGCAAACCAGTTAACAAATGGAGTATATTCTGAGCGATTGCAATAAAGAAAAGATTAAGAAGCTTAAATTGCCACCAGTTAAGCTTCTTTTTTAGAATTGGCCATCTGTAGTCCTCCGAAGCGAATGCCATGAGACCTCTTCTCGCTGTATTGAATGTCAGCCTGGATGACCATATGAACTGTAAGGCTAGCAACAGTAGTGCTCTTTGGTTGACAGTTATCTTCAAGACATCAACTAATGACGTAGATTGGGGTGCTTGTAAATATGTTTTTATTGCTAAATCAAACGTTGGTATGGCTGTATACAACAATGGTAAGACGGTCCATACTCTATCAACTTGTGAGACATTCCCCGTAATCTCACTAAGTGAGTATGTCCATAGAATATTGTAAATGCATGCAATAACCATAAGTTGATCGCTTGAGGCGTTCAAATAGAGAAGCTTTAAGCTACCTGAGTGCTTTAAGAGGTCAAAATAACTATTTAAATTAAAATTGAGCATGGTTGTTGATATTCTTCTCGCTTTTTGTGTAGCCGTGTGTAGCCCCAATGTCGTCACTAGCTTGGCTGAGGATGGATAGATACCACCATAGGGTAAATAGACGAATAAGGATACACTTTTCTAGCAATTAAATGGAAAAACTTCAAACGGTGACTCTCGCTTTAAAACGGCACACGTGGTCAGGCAGTCGTCAAACCCGACCGACGGGATATTCCGCTAGCGCTAACTTGTTTGTAAACAATCAAGATGTTTTATAAGATAAATAAAAAAGACGTTTAGAACAATTTTTCATTGGATGTTCTGACTCTAGGAGTTCCCCAATCAAACGACCAACTAGGAGATGCACCGTAGATTTATCCAAAAGCGTTTTCAGAGCTCTTCAACTAAGAATTTAATTCCTATTAGAACATCCCTCAAAGGTGCTGCATTGCTCCAGCAACCTGTACTCAACAAAGGCTCTGCATTCACTAGAGAGGAGAGAGAGGTCTTCCAAGTAGATGGTCATATACCATACGATGTACACAGCCTTGAGAAGCAAATGGTTAGAGCCTACGCTCAGTTTAAGAAGCAGCCTAGTAATATTTTGAAGGTTCGTCTTACAACTCCCAATTGAGAAGACGATCTAACAAAATACACAATAGCATGCTTTCTTAGCGTCCCTTAGAGACCAAAACCAAGTTCTTTTCTATGCTCTCGTCAGTCAAAGACTCAAGGAGATGCTCCCTGTATTGTGAGCACGCTGATTGGACGATATTTTTAGCTCACACTTTTAGATACACCCCAACGGTCGGTGAAGCCGTCGGCCAATACTCTGAGCTCTTCAGAAGACCAATCGGTTGTTTCCTCAGTTTGCCAACTGCTCACTCAATGAAGGAACAGCTCCAGTCACATGCGAATGCTGCTTTCCGTTACAAGTACCCACCAGGTATGAAGAACACAGACCACGATAGACCATTCGATATCATTGTCGTCACTGACAGCGAAGGTATCCTTGGTATCGGTGATCAAGGTGTTGGTGGTATTTCAATTTCTACTTCAAAGGCTGCACTCTACGTTGCAGGTGCAGGTGTTGATCCTAACCGTATTCTCCCTGTCGTACTTGATGTCGGCACTGACAACCACGCTCTTTTCGCAAACCCTCTTTACATGGGTTACAAGCACGTCAGAACTAGAGGTGTCGCTTACGATCACTTTGTACATCAATTCATGATGAACGTCAAGGAACTGTTCCCAGGTGCTTTGGTTCACTTTGAAGACTTCGGCTTGAACAACGCCGCTAGACTTCTCGAAACTTACAAGCCAGTATTGCCTTGTTTCAACGACGATATTGAAGGTACAGGTGCCGTAGCACTCGCTGCAACAATGTCGGCCATTGGCGTTACAAAGTCCAAGCTTAGCGATCAAAGAATTGTAGTCTACGGTGCAGGTACAGCCGGTATGGGTATCGCCAACCAAATTAGAGATGCAATGGTTGAACTCGAGGGTATCTCCGTCGAGGAAGCTAACAGCAAATTCTGGTGTATCGACAGAGACGGTCTTCTCTTGAAGAGCAACTCTAAATTACAAGGCAGTCAGCATGACTACGCACGTGATGATGAGGAGTGCAGAGACTGGAATAGAGAGATCCAAGAACAACCAAACTTACGTCTCATTGATGTCGTCAAGGCAGTCAAACCAACGATGCTTGTCGGTTGCTCTACCAACGCTAGAGCATTCAACGAGGAAGTCATTAGAACAATGGCTGAACACACTGAGAGACCAATCATTTTCCCAATGTCTAACCCAACATCACTCGTTGAAGTTGACCCTGTTGATGCTAACGAGTGGACTGATGGTAGAGCACTCATTGCAACCGGTATGTGTAATTTTTGTAATGAAACGGTCTCTAACAATCGACAGGATCACCATTCCCACCAGCAAAAAACCCAATTACCGGAAAAGATTACTACATCGCGGAAGCCAACAACGCTCTCATCTACCCAGGTTTAGGTTTGGGTACAATTGCATCAAGATCCTCGAAGATGAGCAAGGGAATGATCTTAGCAGGTGTTAGAGCTTTAGCTAGCGTTTCACCTGCTTTAGATGACCCAGATGCACCGCTTCTTCCTGATTTAGCTGATGTTAGAAAGGTCAGTTTACACGTTGCAGCTGCAGTCGTTAAGCAAGCGCTTGAAGAAGGCGTTGCAAATGTCAACCTCAAGAAGGATGATGAAGCTATCATCGAACATATTAAGGTCGGTATGTGGGATCCAGTTTATAGACCATTAGAATTTGAGCCAGAAGATGAGAACTAGAATAAACAAATAATTAATAATAATAATAAAAAAACGGATGTTATTATAGAAGAATTTGCATAAAATATACCAAAAATAATCCGCCTTTCTGTTTGTCTCGCTGGTTTCAATGAATAGATTTGCTTTTATTGTTTGTTTGATGGTGCACTATAATATATCAATGTAGATATAATTTTTCTCCTTACACACTCTTTCTTTGCTTTCTTCTTGCCATACAAGTGAGATTCTTTCATTCTAATCGATCTTAAAGCGAGACATTACTTATGCACACAGACTGCAGAAAGAATTTAACGGTTCGAAGACACTAATTATTAACTCATATTAGTTTTATTTATTTAGGCAATTCGCTATGTGATTGGTTATATGTTTATTCATAAAGGTGAAGTTGAAAAATGTTCTCAAGTTGCCGAGTCTCACAAGACGAACGGCAATATACAGAAGGAGCACTGTCAATAGGTGGCAGTCGTATAATGCACTCAAGTATATGTTACATATTATTACATTCCTGGTAGTAATTTGTAGACAATCTCAATAGTTAAACATGTATTCTTATTATTTACCCAGATGACGCAATTTGAAATGTCCACCGCGGACGTGTAATGAAAGAATATGAGTAAATAAATAAATAAAAATAAAAAACAAATTGTATTATACAATAAAATGTTTACTGTTGCTGTGTTACGGAATTATTTGCACAGCTTGGCGTATTTATTCCAGGGAATACATCACTTTCTTTCGCACGACCAAGATATTCCGAAGAAAAAACAATGGGAGGACACAGCGCAGGATCACGTATATTGAACGGTATACTCGCTTTATTCTTTCCACCAATTAGTGTTGCAATAGTAACTGGTTGTGGCACAAAAGGTGCTGTACAAGTTTTAATAAACCTCGTTTTATGGGTTTGCTTTTGGTTACCAGCTTGCGTTCACGCTTGGTACATTATTCACCACTACCGCAACGGTTTTCATGAGAATGACGATAAAAAAGTGGTCTACATCCAGGGCTCACAGCCTCCGCCTGGACACGAACATGGGCAAGGACCAGCAGGCCACCCAGCCAGTGCTCCGCAACCACAACCACAACCACAGTCACAGGTCCAGCCACCTGCTAACCAAGAGTATTCCTTGCCTACATACAACGAATCTCAGCATACAGGCACCACCGTAGACCATGGTAGACCAGTTGACAGTGCCAAAGTTTAAACTTTTCACACCAAGACGAACTTTTGATATCCTTAATGTTTCACTTTCGCGACTGTTTTTACATTTAACGCTTGTTTTATTTATACATATATTCATATCATAGAAGAAAGAATGATACAAGAAAGTGAAAAGAATTAATTTATGCACCCGTATTAGTACTCGTATTCGCGCTTGTGTTGGGACTAGAAAAGGACGATGCGATTGAAGTTCTTTTAGCATTTTTTGCAATGCTTTTTTTCATCTGCGAGTATCCATTTGTCAATCGAGTCGTTAAAGAATAAGATTTCGATACCTCTAGCTGCTGACCGACGAAGTCCTTGGTCGATGGTCTCATCCGTAATATTTTGAGTATAATATCACCATGATCAGATTCCTGTAACCTTCTCTCCTTTTTGCGCGCTTTTATTGTACCAATATTCCTCTGTGACTTGACTGTCTTGGTCTTCTTGCGCAATGTTGGTGCTTTTCGTAGGCTCATTTGCATCATTTTCACACACTCCTCCATCAAAGGATCACTATAGGATGTCAGTGAGAGTAGTATTCGATAGATATACCTACGTTGGCCAATCATAATATAATCGTATAGAAACTATCTCATTATACTTCTGATTTTGGAGCATTTCGAGAGGAAGACCCTCCCCGTCAGCATGGAAAAACAGCCTAAGTGACTGAAGCCACTTGAAGACAATGTCGACTTCTTTATCAGGCAATGGACGCATATCACTAAGATTAGCAGATAGCGGTGGAACAAGTAATTCCTCAATCGTAAGCAAAACAGCTTTCCATACTCGCGACATGACCGTAATTTTTGCTGTATCAGTTAAAGTTGAAGCTAATACTGCAAAATTGGCGTCAAAGTAATCAAACAATGGACCAATAGCCTCCTCAATTTCTTCATCTGTAAGAACCTCAGGACGATTACGGACAACTGTTGGTGGAGCAAGTTGTGGTATTTCATCCTTCGGCAATGGTATTTCACTATCTGATTGTATCCCACGCTGACTTCTCCAATTTTTATAATTAGCAGTAATATTATCAATTGTTTTCGTAACTTGTTCAGAGTAACCACCACCTCTACGAAGACTTCTCAAAACTGTTCTGTTGAGTGATTGATTAATAAATGGAGTCATTTTATCTACTATCGTGCGACACATATCAGATTCCGCTCTTTTGAGTGATATATTGGCTCTACCAAAGTGAAATTGTATATCATCTTTCTCACCTTCCATGCTAACTCTGAGTAATATCTGACCATTATTAGAATCAAGTTTGAGCCACCTATCTTGAGGAAGACAATCTTCAAATTTCGGTGGATCCAATTTGAGGTAACCTCTTCCTATTAGTTTATGCTCCCCGATGGTACTTCTATCCCATAATGTAGCACCAATCCAAAGAGGTTTCGTTAACGATATATCAACACTTTCTTCCCATCGTGGATTACGAGTATTGTAGATAGTACGACTTTTGTAAATTCGATCACCACGTTCGTTAGCGATAGTAACAAATGGATCTAGCCGTACTGGCGTTTGATCTCTCGCACGTAGCTCTTCTGCCATAACGATCTTGATTGAGAAGAGAAAGCGTTCATCACGAGATGTACTATATTGTTGTCCTTGAAGTGTACTGGCCACTTCGTCTGCATCGCAGAGGTTATAGAGACTGTCAAGGAGAGTCTTAGCTGCCTCAATATTGTTTAACTTTACACATGATTTCTCATCAAAGTTGAATGGTTCGATTTTTTTCTCTCCTTGCACAAAATTCTGGGCGCGGGTGACCCATGCCGATTGACCTGGTTGAGGCGTCTCAGGTAATGGAGCTGGGAACATCTCGTTCATGAACATCTCGAGTAGTGTTCTGCTATATTGATCGATAGCCCGACTGAGTGTGTTAGCCTGACGAGTCATGAACTGAGCATGTTCTCTACTATCTCCCCAATCCAGGTTCTTAATGTTAACAACGCAGGTCTTGAGCGAATCGAATAAGTCAACAATTGAAGATGAATGACCGATATTTTCATCCACTTCGAAGTTATCCGCACGAATTGCAGCATCAACCCATTGTTCAGTTTTACGCGCTGATTGCTCAAGGTAATGATCAACAAATGGACCGAAAGCAGCACCTATCGAAAAATCAAGCTGTGATCTGAATAATATTAAGAAATTGAACGTCCTTTTAAAAAGTCAACCTACTTTGGACAAGCTTGTTTGAAGAAAGAGATTAATCTGCGAACGCTAGATAATAAACTAAAAGCATCATCAATTGGAAAACCATCCGGATTGTTTCTAATTTCCGTCAAGAACTCGGGTATCTTTAAACTAATATCTGAAATACATAAAGGCGTCGCCTTTTCAATAAATAGCGGAACTATATCTATATATTCAAGTAATGGCATTGGGTATAATTTGTCAAGACTCTTTCCTGTCTTCTGAACCCAATCAACTAATGCAAAAGCTGGATCAACTTTGTTATTATAATGAGTGTCATTGACTAATTTACGGTGAGAGATATAGGAATTTTTTGAATATTCTCCAACTCTTTCTTTAATTCTATCAAGCTCATATTGAATATTGAAACCTCCAACTGTAAGTATGCCGGTATCGTATAATATAGGAAGGATTTCAGTATCACTGAATAAGTCATCAGCACTTGAATTGATCGCGTCGTCAAGTTTATCTCCAATTCTAATTAGAGAAGTGTATGCTACTCTTTTGTAAAGACTTATTAGACTGCTACGATCTGGTGTTGGCCAAATATCAAGTTGCCATTCTGCTAATGTCTTTTGAACGATTCTTACAGCTTCATGTATGCAATCAATAGGTACTTCATCAACTTCATACCGTGAAACCATTTCATTTACGAATGCTGCTGTCTTATATGGTGGACTAATACGCCAGCGTACCGCACACTCAGCGAGTAACTCGAGGTGACGACTAGAAAGAATACCAAGGGAGACTTCGTCATCCTCTGACATGTTCTGCATAGCTTCCAAATCGTATCCCATGCAGGTAGTTAATAAAACGGCATAAAAGTCGCGTGGTGATGGTGGGATAATAGTATATTCGTAAGCTTTTGGTGTTTCGGTAGGCTTCTCAGGTTTTTCATTCTTCTCTTCGTCATTTGATGTTGTTCGAGAGATTGCGCCAGCGACAGAATTAAGTGAAAAGCGAGAAGTCATTGAAGCTTTACGAGTTATTGGGGAATGTGCATTGAAATGATCATCCTGTGAAGATTGTTGAGATGAAGGTCTAGGTGATGTAGCTGTAGCAGCATCAGATGGGCTGGATTTCGCAAGTGCTGGGTTGAGTTGTACCATCATTTTCATAAGCTGAGTCAAAGTCTCCATCTCTATCAATCTCCAATGTTCATAAGCGTTCTCAGTTTCGAAATCATTCTTAGAACCGGTTATTGCCTCGTCTGAACCGAGTTGTTGTAAACAGGCTTTGATGTCATTGAAAGCAGCCTTCTCTGTAACGATTAAGCTAATAACGTTGATATCTTCTTGTAGAGTTGCAGTAGATTTACCAAACAACTGACCAACAGTCATAACCATTGGCATGTCAGTTACTGAATTGGATGTAGCACCTGGTGTTGGACTAGGAGGTCGAGAATCACGTGACTTTACAGCTAAGTAATCATTTTGGACTTGTTCTGTACTTAGTTTTGATTCATAACCTTTAACCCTATCAAGGAGTTCAGTTGATACGCCGGATATAGATTTCAGGGTAGTAGAAATCAACTGAATGAATTTTGCTGACTGTGTGATAATTAGATTCTGCCAATTCTCTGATGACACCTTCTTCAAATGGACGGCTGCTTCTGATACAAAATGCATGACGATCTCCTCTATCTTGCGATTTGACTTGTATGTGGGCTTGTACTTATTAAATTTACCATAGTAAACGCCAACGATAGCTCTAAAATCTCTATCAGTGTATCTACAAGGTAGAGTGTTAATGGATGCTCAAAATGTTCTAGTACTACGCACTGTGGATCTCTACCCATAGCGACTTGTTCACATTTCTTCTCTAGGGCTTTGACGAACTTCTCCGGGAATTTCACGCCTTTAGCATCTCTACCGAGGGAATCCTTGAGAACGTCGGAAATGGATATATTGGTTATTGAGGTAGCGAGATGCTTGGAAGGCGTAGACTTATGTCCAGGCGTGAAGCTAGTCGCAATCTTTGGACGAGTTAAATAGGAGAGGTATGAAACTCTCAGTGCAAAGTTATAGACTCCTTCCCTTTCTGGTTGCTTTCCCTTATCGAAGCTTGTCATCGTCATGGAAGAAGAAGTAAATAATCGTTTTAATCGTTTATTAATGCAATACACTATCATTATACTTTATTATGCTAACTTTGATGTTGGTGCACCACCAGAAACTTCGATATTTCCATCGGCGCCAGCTGCACCGACATGGCTGTCAGTACCGTGTGACTTGTTGTTGACTTCAATTCCGCTAACAACAGGTGCGTCGGTTCTCACAGGTGCGCTCTTGAATGCAGCATCTGCGTCTTCTGTAGTTTGGTGACCTGGTCCTGCTCTTTGTTAGCTCATAATCTGATAGAAGAAACTAGAACACACCTGTACCAAGTCCTTTTGCTTCTTGTTCATTTCTGAGTGCTTTTCCAGATGCACCACCAGAGTATTCGTTCTTTGATCCTGCCATTGTTCGTCTTAACTTCTTCCAGCTTTAGTAATAATCCTTATCACTTATACTTCTACTCACTTTAAATATCTAAGTTGTAGAGAAAGAAGGAGTGCAGGGAGTTCTCGCATTATATATCTATCGGTGGATACTAACTCATGTTGTCATCGATTTTGTCATAGTAAACAATGAAAGTTTTCACGACTCAAGCACAACGTCAATTACAAGCCTATAGTCAATTATTACTATCAACAAGTAGTTTAATTTGTGAAACAACTAAATTATCACGAACGACAACGCCATTGATGACATAATCCTTCTGCATTGCGAGTTCCAAAGGGAGTAGTCATTAGCGCCACATAGTTTCCAGCTCTTTCTGAAACACTCTCATCTTTCATTGAGACATTAGAGAAGAAAGTTGCATAATTAATCAAATAAAGTCTCATCTTAGTAAAGTTAAATTCATTATATCGATGAAAGTGAATCAAGCATCCACTCTTGATACATCCAACAAAACACTAATCTTGCTTTCGTCGCCGTTCTCGTCATCCATTTTAACCAAATGAAGACCGTCTGCAAGGTTGGTAGCGCGAACACACCAGGTTGCGAGGGTCTCATCACGGTGGAAAGGAATATCATGTGTGATCTGATTTTCAATGTTAGAATGATGCTAGGGTTATATATCCATAAAGAACCCACCTTGCAGCGCAAGATTGCGAGAGAATCACTCTCATCGTATGTCCAGCTAAAGTCCTCATCCCAACGTGGGTTTGGTGCAGCGACACTCTTTGTCTTAAAACGGACATCTTCTTCCATTGTATACAACTTTGCGCGGAAGAACATCTTACCCTTGGTTTCAATATCTGAGGCACCAACGACGCGTATGTTGAGCTTTCTCATACGAGTGTCCGCATCAGTTTCACCCATTCTGACATGCTTTGGTTTAAGGATGAAACCACGATTAGCGAAGAGTGCCTTATTGAGTTGCAAGCCTTTGTCGAAAACTTGGAAGTTGAGAGCAACAATTTGGGCACCACCACGCCAAAGTGGGAGTGGATCGAGGTTACGACTATCTATGCGCAATCCGTGTGGGTATACTCTTACAAGTTGGGTTTTGGTAGTGTGACGAACATCTGCGAGTGCACGAGTGTCGTTACAAACCTTACTCATCGCGCTCTCACCCACGTTAATAACCGCATTCCTTGGTTCGGTAATACGTGAACGAGCATTCCACCATTCTCTGTTACCCGGCTTGACGGACATGGCTATGACACCCAAAGCACTCAAAGAGGAAGACATTTTAGGGCGTACTTTTTCCTTTTCTTGACGTAACTTCTTTGTTTCTTCGTCATCGTCGCTACCTGACTCAATCTGTAAATGCTCGACTTGCTCTTGAAGCGATTGGAGTGAATCTGGATAGTATTCAACCTTTACGACGACTTTACCCTTCAGTTGAGCGAGTGTTGGAACTTCAACCCCCTCTAATGGTGTGCTGACGAGTTTATCGCCGAAAGATTCCTTTAAGATATCAACGGCTTTATCTTGTTGTGGAATAGAAGCGTGATTCTCTAATGAAATGATAACGGGGAAGTCATCTGAGTGTATACATTCGTTGATCGCCTGACAAGCATCTCTAAGTGAGAGGTTGGAAGTAAGTGTCCAACCGTGTGTGACTTTTGGCTCGTCGTTGTCGCCATCCCAGAGGTCGATTTCCACACAACGTGCGCCTGCATCAAGGACGTTTTTGTATTGTTCAGCGGTAGACTGGCCGTATAGTTGACCTTTTGCGAGGTAGGTATTGTGAGAAGAGCTGATAAAGTACTCGCTAAGATGTTTGCTCTCATCCAACGGAGGCTGGCTGAGTACGGGGGTTAATAAGTCACTATCTCCGACGTGTGTTGACATGGTTGTCTCTCAGGAAAAAGAAAAATAAATAAATATAATACAAAATAAATTATTCGAAGAAGTCATCGTTTGATATATTATCGACGTTATCCTCGCCGTTCTCGAGATCTCCTGGGTTATCTGAACCGATTTCTTGGGCTTCTACTGGAGGTCTAGATGACGTAATGTTAGATTTAAAAATGACTAATTCAGGCTCTGCGTCTATTTGGTTATTCAACATCTTCTCGGATAGAGTGGCTAATTGATTGTCCCTTTGTTCTCTGTCCTCTGCCTTAGAGGGTGTATTGAGAATAGAGATGTATTTGATAGTCTTCGGGTAATGGATAATATAATTAAGGTTAAGTCGCTGTTTAAACAATTCTTTCTCTTTACCCTCCTTCTTTAACTTGTTTATTATTCTAACTAGTTTACGTTTCTCAAAAAATTTAATTTTATGGTACTTTTGTGAAAATTTCCGCTCTTTCTCAGATTGTGTAGCTTTCTGAAGATCATAACGCAAACCGTCTAGCTTTCTAGTAACCGACTGTTTAGTTTCCTCGTTTATTGATTTATTCAAGAGCCTCTGCTCTGATCTGATTTTTGATTTTATTTTTGAGATGGTCATTGCTAGATTTATAGACAGTTCTCGTTGGGATGTCATCTACAAAATATCTGACGAAAGAATTAGAAAATTATGATTTAGATATAAACCTTAGATTATTATTCAAGCAGATAAAACAACTCACGAGCTCACACACAGCTAATAATAATCACCAAGAATGGTTCGATACCTTAGACAAAGTTATACATCAATTAAGATCTTCACCAAACTCTATTGCCTTCCATAAACCAGTCAGGAAGTTTGAAGCACCAGATTACCACCAGATTATCAAACATCCGATGGATTTATCGACGATTTCAAAGAAAATAAAGTCAAAGTTGTACTCAAATAAGCTGCAATTTAAGTATGATCTTGATTTGATTTGGTCAAATTGTTTGGTTTATAATGTAGACCCGAATCATCCTTTGCGGTCTCACGCTATTCACCTTAGAACAAAATCGAATCAGTTGTTAGACTTTGTAGCCCACTCTCCCGCAACTACACAGGAGGAGGACATTGACGACGACGACGAAGGTACACCTCTGCCCTCCAAGTTCCCTCACAAGAAGAGGAAACTTGATGATAGCGCAATACCGACGAAGAAACAATCAGATTCACCCCAGCCATTCTCATTGTCACATCCTTTTTCTAACAGCAAAGCCATTCTCAGATCGTCGTCTCCTCCAAACCAGTCTGAGGATCCCTATCAATTGTTCTACACACAGGATGACAAGCTACTCACTTTCTGGAATACACCGGATGGTGAAAGCTCACTAACAAATTTCATCCCTTCAACGCCTTCAGATTGGATTTTTGACCGTAAATTACAAGTCAAAGGCGATGTATCAACACAACATTCAACATTTAATCAACATCTCAGTAGATTTTCTCAATTGATAGAAGGTACTCACGAGGATAGACACTGGGGAACACCCCTGTTATCCCCATTGGATGGTGAAGTTGGTGAGATTGATGATACACTCACGATCGACATCCTACGGAGGGTTACAATTGGCCATCTAGCTCACGCTGGTTTTGCATCATCGTATGACCAGCCGTTAGAAATTCTTGTAGGGTTGTTACACCGTCGCCTCGGTGATATAGCACACACTCTCAAGGAACATTCCGAGTTGTACAGTGATACACTATCACCAGCTCAAATTATCGAACATACTCTCACTGATCACTCAACTTCAGTAGACAGCCTACGAAACTTCCTCGAGGATGACATGGGTGAGGGTTATACCAACAAACTCGATCACAGGATAGCCAATCCGTTTAACCCTGTTGACTTTAAAGAAAAAAGTTGTGAGTAAACCAAAATTATACAAACATATTCATTAATATAAACATTACAGCAGAAAATGCAAGCATAGACATGTAAAATTAGTCAAAACATATATATTCATACTCAAAACTCGATGTACAATTATTTATTTTTAGTGATCTTCATACTCCTTCGTGAATCCCGTCATGTGGTTTAATTTTGCAGAGCTTGTCGTTCGGCTGACTAGTGTCGTGAGGTTCACACTCGAATTGTTACGACTAGAAAGGCTCGCACGGGGAGTTCCAGTTGGGGGTTCAGCTTGGAGATGTTTTGGTTGCTCATCCCGTGGAGGGGTATTAATATTTGAGGATGAACGGTTTAGCGCAAGTGTATTCCTGAATAAACCAAGTCCAGTAACTCCGTCATCATTACTCATCCTGCTAGCTGTTGACAACCTTGGTGACGACCGTTTTGGACTTGTTGGTGCACTTTTAACTGTCATTATTGCTGGACTACTGGCTGTTTGCTGGAGAGGTTGACTAACTGGTCCAGGTGGTCCACCAGAATGACGCAGTTTTGGGGTACGCGAGCGCGCACCTCCACGGAAATAACTCCTTAAACGACGTACCCAACCATTCACATTTTGCAGCGCATTCTGTCCTCTTGACCGAGCGCTAGGTGAATTGAGATCATTGAGTGAGATAGCCTCTGTGCCTTCCTCTAAATGCGCTGGAAGACTAGAGTATTCATGCCTCCTGCGCGAGTTTCTCCCCCGTCTTATCCTATATACGATATAGACGGCTAGTACGACAAACAGAGCGATCAATATCCATTGAGCGTAACTACTCAATCTGTCATCTAACATAGACGACATCTTAAAGTTGAATATCTTTCCAGAATTTTTTGTGTACTTTGGCAGATCCTTCGGAGAATATGTTACAAATGGTGATTGACTGCCACTCGCAGTGAGCAAAACCGAACCGAGCGTCCAGGAGATCGGTACACTATCGACACTATTGACGGATTGGAACACAGGTTCATCGTCGGGCCTTGCGAGACCTTTCTGCTCAGCCATTTCCTTGCCTTTCACGGAGGGGTCTTCAGAGTTGGTGATGTTACCACCAGGATCGACTATACGGGGTATACCAATACCTATAAGCTGTCAGAAAGTTATAAATACCGAAAGACACCCACCAGAATGTAAAACCTGTACTATCCAGGATGCTTTAAAGCATTGCATCCGGAGACGAGGGAGGTCAATTTGATCACCCCACTTTCCAGAGACACCAGAAACATGACCTGCTTCCCACTCCTCTGTGAGGACATTCCAGTCGCGGGAGCAATACTCCTCGGCAGCACGTTCAAAACGGACGAGATCCCAGGCACCGCCTAGACCAAAAACATGTTCAGAGCTGAACCAATATTCGCTCACACCGACGAAACGGTCAAGTTGGAAGTCAATAGGAGGTACACGCTGTCCACCAAAGAGACATGGAGGGTGAGCGCAGAAAGCTTCGCGTTCGAGGAGGGGCTCCAAGGCGCGCAAGCAGCCGGGGAATGAACCCGTGCCGTGTATGAAATTATCCGTATGTGGGTCCACGACGTCAAGGTTGAGGGGAAGACAAGGGTCATCAATTGTTAGCCTTGATGAGGAGTTGTCGGGAATCTGAAGACCATCGTCATCGTCATCCTGGCTGACATCTTCAGCGGGTTTCTCGTAACTTTTATAATTAGCTTCACTCTGTGCAAGCTGTAGGAGATGACTGACGTGTCTGTCACGCGCTTTGTTCGTACCGTATCCGAGCCACGTCGCGACAAAAACAGTGTAATCCCTGTAACTACCATCTGTCATTCTGAGCTTAAAATCGATCAAACCGTCGTCAATTTCACGGGGGATTCCATCGCCCCAACCACGTTTTGGTTCAAAGGCGATTTGCGTCGATGCGCCGCCCATATCAAGGAAACCCCAGGTGTGCTGACTACCTGGTTTGCGCTTACTAACGAAGCCGTCCATGAGGTAATTAACAGCGAGCCAGCCGAAGAAGCCTTCCTCTTCACCTGTGATAACGCGCATCTTCAACTCGGTGTCTGTATCGTAACCAACGATACGTTCCAAGGCAGCGTCTGCAGCATTTACTATTGCCTTCTGTCTGTCTAAATTGAGAAGACGCATACCAGCAGTCGCTAGGACGTAGACTGGGGTATTCTGACGGGCTGAAGGTGGGATAATATTCAGTGCTGGTTCTAAAAGCTGTCGCAAGTAGACTTCGAGTTCATTAACTGAAGGCTCTAAAGTGCTGATACCTATCTAAGATAAGTTGATATCTTAGATGATAGCAAATACCCACCGGGTTCGACTTTCCATCCAGAAGGCTTATCGCCGGCTACAGCTCTGCCTAAGCCTAGTTCAACGTACGGGAGCTCTGGTGCGTGTGCCTCTGTCGCTATTGAGTTATCCCAGCTGTAGATCTGAGAGCGGGAGCCAGACGAGCCAGCGTCTATGATTATAGCGTAGTTCCTGGTTGATATTGCAGGAGCCATTTTTTATTTTTATTCTCCACCCGCTAGTTGGGTATTTCTTGGTCGTTATGGAGAATCAGCGATCTCGGCGATGAATCAGAGGAGATACTTTTGCCACGCTTGCACAAACCAGGGAGCATTGAGAGATGGTCTATGTAGCAGATGTAGCAGCTCTTTTGTAGAAGAAGTGCGTTTATATCTCTAGCTCTGACAGTTATCTGACAGCAGCAGCTTGGGGAGCAGACCACCGGCGAGGATCCTAGGAGCTTTACTCTCGGGACACTAGGAAATCCTATACAGGATTTCTTAGCCTCTTTTATCGGTACGCAAGAGCAGGAAGGCCAGGAGCAATCGCAATCTTCCAACTTCAGACCACCGAGTCCCCCAGCGAATACAGCAACACATCCAGGACAAAGACGTGGCTTTGTCATGCTTGGTAATCCTGCAAATCCGATACGCTTCTCTTTTGGAGATAGCAGAGAAGACAGGGAAATGCCGTCATTGAGCGATTTCCTAGCAAACTCATTCCAGCCACCACCAATACACAGAGAGACACATCCTAATAGCACTGCCAACCAGCCTGATCAGCAAGCTGGCGTCGGTATTGGTGGATACCTACAACAACTCCTTTCCTCACTCTTTAACGGTCCAGCTGGCGTACCAAATGTAATGTTCAACAACGGCCAAGCTCAATTCGGTGATTATATACTCTCACAGGCTGCATTTGACAGATTCATTGATGATTTGATGCAGAACCAGCAACCACAGGGACCACCACCGGCATCAAAAGAGACAATAGATAGTTTACCACGTGGAATAGTTGACAAACAGTGGTTAGATGCACAGGATATTTTAGATTGTAGTGTTTGCAAGGACGACTTCCAGATTGGTGACAAGAATATTACGTTACCGTGTAAGCACGCCTATCACCCAGACTGCCTAATACCCTGGCTTGAGCATAATGGAACCTGCCCAATTTGCAGATACAGCCTCTCAATGTCTCAAGAAGAACACTCTCGGCGGCAGAACGAAAGACACAGACGGAGCACAAGTGATCCAACCCATAATATGCCTGGATCATTTGGTGTACACCCAGATGAGCTAGATTAAACGACTATTGTATAATTTTATTTTGCATTTTCTTCAGATTTAATGATTCTTGTCTTCTTGTTAAGCACGACGAAGAATGTCATTACCAGGGATGATGGTGGGTTTATAAGAGCTATTGAATAGCATTCTAATAACTTTATAGCAACCGCCTATTATATTATTAAGAGGTAGGCTATAGGACATTTTACGCAAACCTTCTGACGTCTTCGACAGATGGCACAGACAGCTCGCAAGGTAAAGGACAGCTGTTATCTAATATAGGAGCCTGTCTAGCAGTTGTAGACTGTGTAGCATCCACTTTGGGTCCACGTGGTATGGATAAACTCATAGTAAGCAACAGAGGAGAGGCTACGATATCAAACGATGGTGCAACTATTTTAAAGCTTTTAGAGATCGTACATCCAGCAGCTAAGTCTTTGGTTGATATCGCCAGAGCTCAGGACGCAGAAGTCGGTGACGGTACAACTTCAGTCACTCTTTTAGCTGGTGAAATGCTCCGTGAATGCAAATCATTCATTGAAGAAGGTGTAAACCCATATATCGTTATCAAAGGTTACAGAAAAGCTACTCAAGTCGCACTCGAAGAAATTAAAAAACTCGCTATACCAATTGACAAATCAAACCCAGAGAAGTTCAGAGAACATCTCTTGAAATGCGCTGCTACTTCAATGTCTAGCAAACTTATACAAAATGACAAACCATTCTTTACCAATATGGCTGTAGATGCTGTTATGTGTCTCAACCAAGATGACCTTAATGAAGAACTTATCGGTGTGAAGCGCGTTCCAGGTGGTGGTATGCAAGACTCACTTCTTATCAATGGTGTCGCATTTAAGAAAACATTTTCATACGCAGGTTTCGAACAGCAACCAAAATCTTTCACCAACCCTTCAGTACTGTGTCTCAACGTTGAACTTGAATTAAAAGCAGAGAAGGATAATGCTGAAGTACGCGTAGAGGATGTTAACGAATACCAAAAGATTGTTGATGCAGAGTGGGATATCATTTACCAAAAGCTTGATGCTATTGTAAAGACAGGCGCAAAAGTCGTTCTCTCTAAGCTCCCAATTGGTGATCTTGCAACTCAATACTTCGCAGACAGAGATATTTTCTGTGCAGGTCGTGTCGCATCTGACGATATGAAACGTGTTGTACAAGCACTTGGTGGTGCCATTCAATCAACAGTAACAGATATTGATCCATCAAAACATCTCGGTCATTGTGGTAAATTTGAAGAAAGACAAATTGGTTCAGAACGTTTCAACATTTTCACTGAATGTCCTGCATCACAAACATGTACTATCATTCTTCGTGGTGGTGCAGAACAATTCATCGCAGAAGTTGAAAGGTCACTCCATGATGCAATTATGATTGTTAGAAGAACAATAAAGCATTCAACAATTGTAGGTGGTGGTGGTGCTATTGAAATGGAACTTTCAAAGAGATTAAGGGATGTTTCAAAATCAATACAAGGAAAGCAACAATTAATCATTTCAGCATTCGCCAAATCACTTGAAGGTATACCACGTCAATTATGTGATAATGCAGGTTTTGACGCTACTGATCTTCTCAACAAATTACGTATGCAACATGCAAAGGGTGACCTTTGGGCAGGTGTTGATATTGAAAATGAAGGTGTTGGAAATAGTGTAGAATTGTTCATTTGGGAACCTGCACTTGTTAAAATGAACGCAATTGCAAGTGCATCAGAAGCAGCATGCTTAGTTTTATCTGTTGACGAAACGATTCGTAACCCTCAATCTGAAGCACCAAACCCAAGTGCACCAATTGATAGACAAACAGCGCAATCAGCAATGAGAGGTAGAGGTGGTATGAGAGGTGGTAGAGGTAGAGGCAGAAGAATGTAATAAATAATAAAATAACATTTATAATATACAACTCTTTTCTTTCTTTATCCTTTAAAACTCAGTTCGTGTAGGTGTTGTTGTTTCAATTATACCAGCGTAAGGATTACAATCAATGTATTCTTCACTTTCACTGAGATCATAATCAATAACTTCTTCATCCTGTGAAGTCAACGATTGATGTTGGTAACTAGGTAAGTCTTCATCTATTTTACGCTTTTGTAAGCTTTTCTCTGTTATAACTTCTGTTTGATAATCGGGTATTCGGTTTATTTCATCATCTGGACTTCTTTCTGGTATAATTGATTCACCTCTGTTTGCATAATCGAATGCTATTGGAATATGGTTTGACATTTTATTATCTAGAAGATTATCTGGAATTTGACTATCATATGCTACTCTCCTATAATCGAATGATTGTTTTGAAGATAAATCAGCAGAAAGTGAAGACGAAGCAGTTTCATCATATGATCTCTTTGTTGGAATTTCAAGATGGAGTGACCTATCAAACTTTGTATCATTGATTGATTGTTGTGTAACATATTGTAATTCTTCATCTTGTTGAATATGTAATGAAAGTTGCTCATATTCTTTGAAGCTATTTTCAATTTCATTGAGGAGAGTATTCAATTGTTGATAAATGAGTTCATCTGGTGTAAAAGTATCCGAATAATCATCCAAAATGCCTGCAATTTTGTAGCATTCAACTGAGAACTTTATATCTTCATTCCTATTTTGCCTAGATTGAATTGATTGAAAGTGATAGAACTCTAACTGAGGTTTATACTTAGATTGGAAGTCTAGACACTTTTTATAACTTTTTGCAAAATCCTTTGAAGATATTTTATTGTAGATTAAGGAGTTGTTGAACAAATCCAAAGCGAGCTGAGTATCTCTTTGTGTATCAAGGAAAGAAAGCTGCTGCTGAGTATATTTATGCTTTATATAACCATCAACTATATCTAAGACTGGCTGATACTTATGCTCGAATGCGTCAACTATGAGGTGATTTGTCGGCTTTAATCTGAGGTATAACTTTATGAACAACTCATTATAATCGATTAGGAATGAAATATTCTTCGTATTATTCAATTGACTGTAGAATACTTCATTCTCTACGAATTCCAATATCAGAAACTCCAACTTTCTATAGTTCAACTTTAACTTTAATCTAATTGCTTTCATTAGGTTACTAATGTTATCCTCAGTTAGCTGCTGCTTTAGAACCCTAAGGTTCTCCTCCGTGCTCTCTTCTATCCACTTGTCCAAATATCCCTCCTGCTTAGATTTCAGCCACTTCATAGTTAAAAACAAAAGTCTTAATTAGAAAGTTACAAAATAAAAGATTAAAAAAATTTATTCATTAGTTGGCTTATGAACGTAAGAAGCCTCTAGACTTCTTCTGGGTAGATTGTGTCGCACCTCTCTCTGGTGTCAACGGTCTACCAGATTCTAACCTTCTCCTCTTGTCTTCGAGTTCTTGTCTTTGCTTCTCGAGTGATTCCTTCATTTCTCTATGTCTAGCGTAGAGCTCTTCCTCTGATTGTCTCAGTTTCGCTTCCTTCTCTTGGACTTTTTGTTGGAAAACAAGTTTCATTTCTGCCTCCATCTTACTCAATTTGGCATCGTGAAGTGCTTTCTCTTCAACTGCCTTAGCAGTTGGGTTTACTTCCTTGAAGACTGATGCATCTTGTTGAACACCCATAGCGAGAAGTTTTTCAGATCTGTAGTTCTCGTAAAGTACGTTAGTTGATTCCTTGAGTTCTTCCATATGGGTTCTAATAATCATTTGTCTTAATTTTACGAAATCGCAATGTTCTTCATTGTCAACTTCGACAACGCCCCATGGGTATGATCTACCTCTGACGTTCCTGCCGTCTGGTGTCTGAATAGTTTGAGTTGATCCGACTATAGCGAATGGTATCTTTGATTCAATTTCTTGGTTCTCTTGTATAGTCTCTTCATCCTCTTGCTCATAGACAGGTGACTTGAAAATTTGGATATTGTGGTGTTCAATGTCAGACAAAATACGTCTCTTGAATGACTCGACTTCTTCTTCGCTGAGAGTGTCAGACTTTGCGATAACTGGGATGAGGTTGACCTTTGTGTGTAATCTTCTCATGAATTCGATGTCAACTTGACGCAAGGAGTGACCAGTTGGTTGAATGAAGTAGATACAAGCGTTAACTCTGTTGTCATTGAGCTTTGCTCTGTTTACTCTGTTCTCTTGCTCGAGGAATTGATCGAATCTAGATTCAATTGAAGTGACGATAGGGTCCCATGAGCTGTCATTGTTGACAAAGTCACCGAAACTAGGCAATTTATATTAGAAAAGGTTGTGTACTTAAATAAAAAGACTCACCCAGGGGTATCAACAACGGTGAGCTTTAATCTAACGCCATTCTCTTCAATATCAGCTGAAATGTTCTCTATTCCAACGGTAGAGGCTGATTCGGAGCCAAGTTCTGGGAGTGTCTTTGGCTGGTATAAGCTTGTCTCGAAGAGGGTGTTGACTAAAGTTGATTTACCGAGACCAGATTCACCAACAACCATGCAGGTGAATGAGAAACCCTTGCGAACACTCTTGCGGTGTACCTGTAGTCTGTTAGAGGATGTAGAGTAGCCACGTCAGAATACGCACTTGGTTTGGTAAATTGGCGAAACCGACGAATCCCTAATAAAATATAAGCAGAGTCCTCCATTGTAATATTCCTACTCACGCTCAACTTCTTTCTAACGACGTTGCTGACTTGTTGAGCTTCCTTGTTGACGTTCAATGGCGCTGTAGGTGGAATAGCCTGAGCTGGTGAAGTGTTAGAGCCCGCTACAGATTGGGCGTCTGCATTTTCTCTCTCAATTGGGCTGTTTTCTGAAGTATTGCTCATCGTCGCGAAGATAGTTCAGTCTGCACAGACCTCGGTCCAGGACCTTCGCGTTTTCTAATTTTTTATTAAACATTCCTCAGACTAGTGCATTCAAATATTCAAAGCATGCCAATAAATATTTTAATACATTCTATCTTTCTCGCCTTCTATCGTCTTATAGAGTTCTGCAAGTGTCTTAGGGAATTCTCCGAGCTCAGTTGAGCTAATTTTTTCTTGACGGAGCGTCCAACTAAGCGCTTTGAGTGTTCTGTGGTGTGCAAACCAGTTCATATGATTACCGCCTTCGCTTTCTATGTCTTCGATATATCGCAACAGGTTCTTTTCTCTGCTATCAGGTTCAATTTGTGTGTTCTCATTAACTATTCTCTTCTCCTCATCTTGGCGCTTACCAGCTATGTTGCTCCTTCTTATTGATGCTCTGTTGGGCTGGGGTATATCTTCGGTCTCGATTGTCTCATTTGTCGTTGGTTCTCTGGGTCGCGCGTTAGTTTATAAAAAATTATCAACAAATACCCCCTACTCTATCAGATCTAGAGGTTCATCATCATACGTAGCCGTATACGTTCCTCTTCTACTCTTGCTTTCGCATACAGTTAATATCCTTTCAACAACACTAAAGGCGAGATAATAATCACCGAGGCGGTTCAAGCCAACAGCAAGATGGTTCCAATTATGAGCATCAAAACCGTATCCATTTTCTCTCACAATCTTGAACGCTTCGTGTAAGTCATCTAAACGCCCCTGCGCGGTCAAGCTATCGATGTATATTGAGAGTGGAAGGCAAAGGCCATTCTTCGCTAGCTTCGTACTAGATGCTATCCTTATCATATTTCCCCATATGTCATTCACAACTGCGTGGTTTCCTACTCTGCGGTATCCATCCATCAACATAGTCAAGTTTTCTATGTTAACTGAAATACCAACTTCTGTCATATACTCAAACGTTTCTTGGGCGAGCTGTGGTGTGAACCTTTTTCCGTAGTTTTGTATAAATGGTTTAAGAACATTTGATAGTGTCTGTTGCTTCGACTTTGATTTCTCCATCCAGTTTGCTCTGGCGTCTAGAATGTCCTGTCCAAGGAGGTTGCTCAGTGTTAGTTTAGCTATTTTCACATTGTCGTCACCACCTCTACTGAGATAACTGGCTATAATTACACCATAGGTAACTGAGTCAGGTTGTACTCCTTCCTCCTTCATTTTGCCGTACCAGAATTTCGCATCGGACATGTGTCCAACACGGAGCATGGCTGCAATTAGTAGAGTGTAATGGACGACATTTGGCTTATCAATTAGTCTGTTCTTGTACCATCTCTCGCATTCTTCGAGGAAGTATACCGCCGTATCTAATCGACCCATATCGCAGGCACTTTGCATTGCTAGTGCGAAAGTCACTTCATCTGCACGAATACCCATCCCAAGCATCGCTTTTATAACCGAAAGGACATCTTCAAAGGGACTTCCAAGCATGACATACGCTTTGAGAAGTGTGTTGACTATCTTGGTGTTGATGACATACTTCTTCGAAATATGTTGATAAATACGCACAACTTTTCGCCAATCATTGGCGTTAGTCGCCGCATTCATCAATGCTGACCAGGTTTCCGTCGACGGTTTAACACTCTCTTTGATCATCTGGCGAACGACTCTTTCGGCCATTTCAATATCTCTCCGTTTGGCATAGAGTTTGATGAGCTGTGTAAAGTGATCTTCTGTGAGTGCAATACCTTCCTCTCGCATAGCTGTGTCAAGCGCCATAGCGGAATCAACGTCGATACGTCTAACGAAGAGCGATAAAAGACGTGCATAAACTCTACGTCTATTCATACCAGGCGTCTTTCGAACCCAGCTCAATGCACCCTCGAGATCATCATTGCGGATGTATGCCGTTAAAACTGCCTGTTTATCTCTGTCTGATGGTTCATCAAGAGTACTGTACATCTCTAGGGCACCATGGAGATCTCCATTCTCCGCAAATGCGAATATCCTCGTCGTTATCGATACTTTGTCAAGTCTATTAAGCTCACTTGTTTGCCCATCTCTTGCAAATGCCTTATGTGCAACTCTGGTAACCTCTTCAGATGGAGTTGGGAGGGTATAATAAACTGTCTTTGCCGCTGTCGTCTCGTTCTTCCGTATAAGGTTCGTCATAAGGATTTTTGCTTGATCTTCTGAGACACTGAGAGACCGGCTGAGAAGCAATTCGTATATAGATTGTGCGCTCGTACAGTAGCTCTGACGACCGTTAGCTATGGCCATAATGGTATCCGCTGCGTCGTTTGATTTGACATGCTCAGCTGCATGTTTAAGTGGCAAGCTATACAGCACCCGACACAATGGTTTGATATGCTCTGAATAGCCGAAAGGGCGGCGAACTACGGGAGTTGAAAGGACGAAATCCAGCCTTGATTTCTTGATAAGGTTCTCGCGTAAAAGCAAGTTAAGGAGGGTGTCACTATCCATATGTTGGATAGATTCAGTTACGAACGCCGTGAGAGCTTCCAAAGTAAGCATATCAGGGAACGATTTACGTCTATAATTCACTGAAGAGGCTGTTGAGAGTATATTATCCAAAATGGAGATGGATTCTGGTATGTTGTTCATACGAGCAAGTGCGCGCACTCTGAGCAGCTGAATATGCCGTATAGGAATGATAGGGGCTGTGGAAGACGTTGACGCTGTCTGGTCGAGTATATGTAGTGCCTTCCTCGCTCTTGTTGATCTATCATCTTTGTTGAGCTGGCTGTAATGCGCGGGCTGATTATCTATAGGTAATAACTGGCTAGCCTCTTCCAGGGTGTGTGTGCTGTTCCTCTGCTCAGCTCTGGGTGTATATCGCCGTCGAGAGTACTAAAGAAGATTAGAAGTTGCCCTACAAGAAATGCTAGGAAACTAACCCTTGAAATGCTATTGTAAAGGGATCCCCAGCGTACTAAGACGGTTCCACCTGTTTTCAGACTCCCGCTCATGGCTGTAGCTCTTAGAGAAGAACGTCCATCAGCTATGGTCAAAATTACGCCAGAATTGCTGGCAAATACGCCCAGTAGGTTGCTTATTAGATTATTTAATACAAATTTACTAGCATTTATTAGTCAGAATAAGCCCAATCGAACCATCCCATGAACTCATCCTTTCTGGTCTCAAAATCCCATCAATAGAGAACTTAGGTGTTACAAAGGACCAGCTTAGTACTATCATACTATCACACAATCTCATACACTCTATACCGCTCCTTCCACGCCTCGTCAATCTCAACTCTTTAGTGTTGTCACATAATTTGCTGACGAATATACACCCATCGATAGTAAAATCAGCTCCTAGACTCACGACTCTAATCTTGGATCACAACAGACTCGAACTCGGCGAATTGAACTCGCTTGCTGGTCACCCCAGCCTCACTTATTTGGATATACGGTACAACCCTGCTGCAGAGACGCCGCGGTACAGGCATTGGTTGATACATACCCTCCCTAAGCTCAGAGTCCTCGATTATGATAGGGTTACCGACAAAGAGCGCAAAGAAGCACGTGAAATATTTGAGACGCAGGACGGCAGACCGACAGCAGTTGCGCAGGAAATTAAAGCATTGAAGAAGGAAGATGTCAGTGAAACATCCAATACTTTCGTGCCGGGAGAGGATACTAGCAAAGGCCGTTTGCTCAGTGCCCAGGATAGAGAGAACATACGCAAAGCAATTCTCGAAGCCAACTCACCAGACGAAGTCGCACGTCTGGAGCGCATGCTCAGGGATGGTTTCATTCCAGGTCAAGAATAATACGTGTAACTCTACAAAAACTTTATTTATACATTCCAGCTAACTAGTCGATGTTTGGTGTCCGTATGTGTTCCAGTAAGCAGATCCATTTCTTTTTTGATTTGCCTTCGTCAGAATTGTTGAACGATCAGCAATGGTCTTACCTCAAGGGCTTCGATGCGCTCGATTTTCGGAAGCTACCTCTAGTAGTGAACGCCACCAGTCTGAATACCGTCACTCTGATTCATTTGCTTCAAACACTACTGTTCAAATCGGTGGTGATCTCTATCATGATTTCCTCTCGTTTGCGCCTCATCGTAGCTCCCAACATGCGGAGACTTTTTATGTAGGTGTAGTTTGGGATAATCATAGAATAAACTTATTGTGGCCTTGCTTTTTACGGTTTGTGTACATGTAGATACAGTGCTGTGAGACATATAATCGCTAGAAGATACTCTACGCCAGATAATTTGTGAATTACACACAACTTTCGTTGAGCCTCACAGGAATACCGTACAGCTAAACATAGGCTCGTCTGTACTAAGAAGCACCTTCCGAATTCGCAGTTTCTTCAAAATTGACAAACTGTTCTCTGAAATAGAGTGTTAAGTGTTTATACAGCTAAAAGTAAAATTACACTCACCCCTCGTATCTTCTTTTGTGTCTCATTCATGGGGATAATGTAAGGAGAAAACATATACTCTGAAAACGACATCATCTACTTCTCTGGTGAATCTTTCAGTAATTCCTATGCACTTAAAAAAGACAAAAATAGCTAAAACAAGTATTTTATAGAGACACTATGGAGCTTTTTGTTAAACAATGACGATATGTATATGGTATCTGTTACGAAAGACATAACAACGTTTATCAATGTAATTTGCGATACAAAATGTTATTAAAGTCGAGTAAACACAAAAATCATCTCTTACTTCAATTATTTAGAGACTTCCTTCCTATTCTGGATGAAACCTGGCTTGGGCTCTAACGATCAAAGTAAAGCACGTGAATTAAGCGATTTATGATAGGCAGACTCTTTAGTCTATCAAAACACACATTCAGTAGTACGTACAAGCCGCTAATAAACACGTCACGCTCCTTGATTAGACACAATCATATCATGTCCAAAGACGCACGAGAAGTTTTCAGAGAGTTATACAACACGACGAGTGTAATCTCCGCCCAGATAAGACCATCTAAGCAATCGAGCGTCTATCTTGCATACCTCACACTATTACAACCGCATATAGAGCGCAAAGCTAAAGTCAAGACCCAAAGAACTCTCGTCTTGGACGATAACAGCCCAGAGCCTATATCTTCCACGATCACCGAACTCGTCGATGTCGTTGACCAAGCTGTTAACGTGCAGGGAACCCATCAAGCGATACAGCGTGCTATAGAGGATAAAGGTAAAGGTACGAAAACGTTCTATATCGATATATATGACCTCCGTGATGGCCAGCGTACCCATTCTATTAACGTCACCGGCAAGCATGGTGCTTTCTGTGCCGATCCGACATTCGGCAGGCTCAGATGGTCTCCAACTGGTAAGACGTTGGCATATACAGCAGACAGACGCAAGCAAGTTGATGACGATGACATCAGTGTCTTTGATAAGCACCGTTATGTTCCGACTTGGTGGGTATGAATCTATGCGTTTGTGTTGACTAACACAACACCTGGGGGTGAGCAATTCTCACCTTCTCTCCAACAACCTAGAGTCTACTATGTAGATTTAGACACGCCGAAGCCAGAACCGAAGGAATTAACTGACCAATTGTCTGAACATTCACTCGGCCAGCCACAATTCGAATCAGATGGCAAAATTATTTTCACAGCCTACGAAAACACCCCAGACGGCCGTCGCTTAGGTATAATTTACTGCCAGAATCGACTAAGTGGAATCTACGCGTTGGATGTTGAAACACAGCAGCTCACACTTCTCTCAAATCCTAAGCGCGCAGTCAGGAGTCCTCGCTGCGTTCAATTGCAAAATGGCAAGAGCGTTGTAGTCTACCTCTCAAACGAGGCTTACGGTCCACATGGCTCAAACTGTCGCATCGAGAGCGTCACGACTGCCGGTGAACCATACGGCGCTGGCTGGGCTACGATAGATAAACAAAATCTTAAGGATCCAGGGTTATACATTGATCAGCTGCCATATGAGCCATTCATCAAGAATGATGCCCAACATGAGTCACTCATCGTCACTTCAAATATCGAAAGCAGGAAAGCAATCTTGGAATTTGACTTGATAACAGACGAAGTACGTGACATTAGCAAGCAAGTCGCTGCAGATGCTGACAAGAGCTCACTCGATTGCTTCGGTGCATTCGGTGAAAGAATAATCATGTCCCAGTCAACATTCAATAAAGCCCAACAAGTAGTCGTCTACAACGGCACATCAAAGGTACTTCCAAGGAATAAGAGTGATTTATTTAGTCAACTCGAGTCTCTCAGAGTTGAGTACGACGAGCGCACGAAGTCATGGGTGTTACAATCAGTATTGGCGAGCAACAAGCCTACCCGTGGTATCATACTCCCGCACGGTGGGCCACATGCAGCAATGACACCAGCCTTCTCAGCCGCGATCGCAACATTCGCCTTGTCGATGAACATTACTGTCGTAATGCCAAATTATCGCGGATCAACAGGTTTCGGCGAGGACTATCTGAAGGAGCTTCTTGGAAATGTCGGTACATATGACGTCGAGGATTGTATTGCCGCGATGGACATGACCGAGAAGGAGTATGCGGTCGAGAAAGACAATTGGTGCGTCTATGGTGGTTCGCATGGTGGATTCCTTGCTGCACACCTTACTGCTCAATACCCTACAAGGTTTAAGACTGCTATTGTGCGCAATCCAGTCATCTCTTTGGCAACGAATTCAACCCAAAGTGATATACCAGATTGTGAGTTATTCATTACCGGTATATAACATTGCTAACAAATCACAGGGTGTTTCGTCGAAAGTGGTATTCCATTTGACCCATCCCTGCAAGCCCCAACAGCCACCCAATACGGCAAGATGGACGACGTTTCTCCACTCAAACTCGCCCAGAATGTCCAAGCAGCAACCCTCCTACTGGCTGGCGCAGATGACCAACGCGTACCAAACCAACAGACCAGAGTGAGTGTAAGCTTTATCATTAATATCGCTAATATATCCCACTAGCACTGGTACCACGCTCTTAGGAACCATCAGAAGGACGTTGATATGCTCGTGTTTAAAGGCACAGGACATCCTTTAGACTCTGTCGAAGCTGAGACTACTGGATTTGAAGTTACATTGCAATGGTTTGAGAAGTATTTCAAATAAACGCAAAACTTAGATTAAAATACATGGATGAATATTTTCTGCAACTTCAAAAGGTAGAAGTAGTCTTACTGGCCATTTACATATGCCTTTCGACTACTTATTGAGGTGCATTTGGCGCGTTTTCATTTGGTGCGATGGGATACTCTGCCGATGGGGGTGCTGCAACTCTTGAGAACCTGTCCATAGCGTCCTGTCTGTATGGTACATTTGCTTGTCTTGCGTAAATGTCTGTGTCTGTCGATCATGAGCTGGTATGTCTATGTAATACACAACTCACAATCGGTGGAAGGTACGACGACAGCAGCAACAGATGTCATGAGAGCCATGAAGAGAGCGCAGTTGAAGTGCATTTTGATCTTGTATGTAGCAAACCAAGAGTGTGAGCTCTTTTATAGGCACTGTAAACAAACATTGCGTAATATAAGTGACTAAGCTGGCAAACAAATTGAATTGTACTCCCAAAGTGTCAGATTGCTTATCGCAGTTTTTTCTACCTCTTTGTCTGCTTGAAATTGTGAAATATCAGCTGTCTTCTCTCTTGAAGCATTTTAAAGATCAACCTCCAGGATGTCTGAACCAGCGCCTAAGAAATTCAAGTCAGAGAACATTCCAGACGTCAGCGAACGCTTTAGTGATAACCTCTTCAATAGCACTAGCGTTGAGGAGTACAGAAATGCATACAAGCAGTCAGAACCATACAAACATGCCGTTATCCCGGAGTTATTCAATAAGGATTTTCTCTTACAAGCTAGAAAAGAATTACTAAAGCTCAGTTTCAAAGAAAAGGAAACAGATATATACAAGGTGAGCTTATCGCAGATCTTATGCAATTCTAATGACACCGCTAGATAACACAGAGCGGTGATTTCTCAAATATACACCTCCTACCTGAAGAAGAGCGCAAGGAGTTACCTACATTACTCACACTACGTAATACGCTCTATTCTGCCCAATTTAGACGCTTTTTAAGGGACGTTACTGGCTGTGGACCGCTTTCAGGCGTAAAAACAGATATGTCGACCAACAACTACGGTTCCGGATGTCGTACGTTAGTATATTCGTCGTTGAATCACACTTAATAGACATATAGACCTCTTAAACCACGATGATGTTATAGGAACACGTAGGATATCGTTTATCCTTTATCTTCCGCTCCCAGATCCAGCTTGGGAAGCCCACTATGGTGGTGCACTCGAGTTGTATCCCCTTAGCACCCCGCTTACAGATCCAACGACACCGGCACCAAAGCCAACAGTCAGCATTCCACCTTCCTTTAACCAATTTGCGTTCTTTGAAGTGCAACCTGGACATTCTTTCCATTCTGTCGAGGAGGTCGCCTTTCATCCGAAATTACAATTTAAGACAGTTGACGGGGGTGTCGGTCAGCGTGTATCGATAAGTGGCTGGTTCCACCGTCCTGTACCTGAAGAAGAGGAGTATGAAGGCCCACAACCGGAGCTCACGAAGAGCTCTCTTGAGCAGTTGGTAAGTGCTCTCCATGAACATCTCAAAATTTGACGCCGTTTAGTATGCAGCTGCACTCCGTCCACTTGGCTCATATGATGATGATGGCCTGAAGAGTGTCGTGGAAAAATTGGATGCTTCTGAAGTCACTGAGTTGGAGGAACTTGTCAATCCAGTCTATCTCGATACAAAGACGATTGGATTGTTACAGAACAAGTTCTTGGAAGACTCCCACATTCTCCTCACTGATTGTAGGTAATCTCTCACTTAACAATATTTACTAACACCTCACCTAGTCCTCAAAGAAGACATAGCGACATCGCTCAAGGAACTAGTCAAAAATCGAGACGACGAGGATGAAGTAACAAGAGGGAAGCGCGTATTGAGAAATGACTATGGTACGAGCTATAAGATACCAGCACACCCAACAGGTGAAGCTGGAGATTGGAAGCTCGTTGGACCACCGCATGTACAGAGATATGTGTCACTCACCAAGCAAGACACAGAGGGAGACCTTTTCGGGAGAGTGAACAAACTGTTTAGCAGCAAGGCGTTCCGAGCACTCCTGTCTATTTTAACGAGTTCCGTTCCCGAAGCACACCTTATAGAAAGCCGAAGATTCCGACCAGGATTAGATTACACGCTTGCACGAGGAGAGAAAAGCAGCTCAGAGACATCTAGACTAGACATAGGCTTGAACCTGACGCAATCTGACGATATTTGGAAATCCGGCACAGTTGGAGGTTGGGATGTATGGCTTAGTGGAGAAGAAGACAGCGATGAAGCAACGTATGGGGCCGGAGACGACGACGGACCGCTGCTATCACTCGCGCCGGAGTTCAACCGCCTCCACATCGTATTGCGTGATCCGGGATTGTTGCACTTTGTGAAATACGTCAGTACACGAGCGATGAATTCCCGCTGGGATGTTACTGGAGAGTGGATAACAAGATTTTTGTAGAGGAAACTAAAATATTTTAATAAGAAACTTACTTATTTACGACCATCATTGCGTATCCAATGGATAACAACAAACCGCTAGAAAGTCCATATCTATTGCACTCCTACTTGGATCAGTGTGCAGCTAGAATGACAGATTTTGATAGGCACACCCCCCACGATAATCTTGAAATTGCTCCAAATCTCGTTGGATCTGATAATCAAGTACTAGGGAATATAGCCGGCGAACTTGAAGACGAGGCGGACGACGATGAGGAAACTGCACACTCACGCCAAAACCTCACTAGACATCTCGCTGAGACCGCGGTTGGCGTGCGTGAAATGTCTAAGCAACTTGGTCGGTTTCCGTTGAAATTTGAAACAATGCTAACTAGAAATTAGGTAGAGCGAGAGTTAAGAGCAAAATAAAGTCAGTCATGATCATCACCAAAGCAAGAGACCATCAAGTTATACGACACACTCGCAAACTGGCCTTATACTTGATGAACACCCCTAGAGGGGACTTAAAAGGACAGGGTATGGTCGTTTATGTAGACAGCCAACTCCGCACATCAAAAAGATTCAATGTTGCCGGTATGAGGGAGGAGTACCCTCATCTTTTCACACCCCGCCCCCGTAGCCGTAGTACTTCTCAGCAGGACTTGAAGGATATGTCTTTTAGCCTCGCCAGTACGAGTATCTCACCTGAAAATAACAAGTTCTTGCATCCGGATCACAACGCACATTCTAAGGAAGAGGGCCAGTTACGTTTTTGGACCCCAGAGATGTGCACAGAGAGCCCACATCTTTTCGATTTAGTTATCACTCTCGGTGGTGATGGTACTGTCCTCTTTGCTAGTTGGCTCTTCCAGACGACGGTGCCACCTGTCTTGCCTTTCTCCCTTGGTAGTCTTGGATTCCTAACCAACTTTGATTTCACGAATTGCGAAAAGGTAGTCAATGGTATACTTGATGAAGGTATCAGAGTTAACTTAAGAATGAGGTTTACGTGTACAGTTTATAGGTGTGTGTTATTTTCAGCTAGAGACCCATTTAACAATACACCAGATCCGAATATCGTAAACAGGATCCAAACACTGAGAAAGCACGCAGACCAGCCGTCAGAAGAGGTGAGACTGGTGAGATTATCATGCGAAACATCGAAGGAAAAGGATGGGATGCTTTGGAAGGTAACACACCTCCAACTACCACCAAGGAAGGTAAAAAGCGTGACAAGGAAATTATGTGCTTTACTACCCGCCCTGTTGAAACATTTAACGTACTCAATGACTTGGTTGTCGACAGAGGTCCTTCACCATATGTATCTATGCTCGAGTTATTCGGCGATGAAAATCACTTGACAACAGTACAAGCGGACGGTTTATGTGTTTCAACACCAACTGGATCTACAGCCTACTCACTCAGCGCTGGTGGTAGTTTAGTACATCCAGAAATACCAGCTTTGCTGATAAGTCCAATATGTGCACACACTTTGTCGTTCAGACCTATGTTATTGCCTGATTCTATGGAGTTGAGAATCTGCGTGCCATTTAACTCAAGATCAACAGCATGGGCTTCGTTCGATGGTAGAGGAAGGGTCGAATTGAAACAAGGTGACCACATTAAGGTTACGGCATCCAAGTACCCTTGTCCAACTATCTGCGCGGATAAGCAATCATCAGATTGGTTCCAATCACTCAATAGGACGCTTCATTGGAATGAGCGTGCACGTCAAAAATCATTTGTGGTTGTTGAAGAAGGACCGGACCATGCCGAATTGAAGAATACTGGTGAAGGTGAAAACGAAGAAAAAGAAGAATATTATGATGATGACGACGATGATGATGATGATGACGATCAATACGACATTGACGAGAATAGTGAATATGGCGATCAATCTATGGGCAGCCTTAGTGGACCAGGAAGAGCTAGACCTATACTATCAAAATCATTCACTTCTGCATTTGAACCTTCAGTATTGAATGGACGTGGTTCTCCTGGACGCTATGCTACGACAACAACACAGCCAAAACCCCAACCAGTGTCTTTGAGACATATGTACAATCCAAGTGAAGAGCTAAGACATAGACAAAGCAGAAGTGTGAGTAAGGAGAGGAACAGCAGGAGCCGTCAACCAAGTTTAGACAATGTAAATGAAAATAGTACTATGGGTACACCACGCTCGAGAATGAAACAGCTAAGTGAAGACACTCAACCACCAATGTCACCAACGACGTCTGCAAGAGCGTTTGGTGTCTATGGAGAGGATGCATCAGAGTCTGAAATGTCAGATTAAGCGGATATAGTGATACTTTAACGATATTATATGTATTTCTAATAAAATGCTTAACGATTTCTTGGTAATTGTAGCGTATATGGTATCTTGATCTACTACATCGATATGCGTGTGCGTTTGTTGGAGTGTACAGCAACGTATAGCTAATTAAATGATAGTTTAGATGTGTTATATCAAATGTGAAGCTGTTCAAGCAAATAACACAAGCTTTCTCAAAGTTACTAGGGAATGAACATGCTGTTATCAGATTCACGAAGGATATGGTGTACGTAGGGCAGAGTGGAGTGGATACCGCGTTAAAATCCTGGTTGTGGGTGCTAACCACTTCAAATTCACCGATTAACGCGTCACAGACAAGTTAGCGTGGTGTGTCTGACGTCTTCTCTAGACAAGATCTGAAATGACGTATAGGATACGCTCTTCACGGCCTATAGATGCGAGAGCAGCAATAACAACGAGGTACATATTGAAGTAAGCATGGAGCAGCTATACAGGGCGATAAAATCAGCGCATGAGACAGACGACGTATTGTTGCGTCTTATGAAGAAGGGAGCTATACCGACTCTCAATTTATCAATAAGCACGCTGGTGTGTACGCCTTTAAGAAGATTATCACCCTAAAGCACCCCTAGAGCCATTACAATAGCAGGTTCACGATCGAGCAAGACGTACCATGCAGGCCACAGAAACAAATATATGTTGATACGTTCGACCAACCGGCTATACCAGAGCGAAATGTGGGTATGTCTCATGATACGAACAAAGGAAGGCTTACAATAAACAAAGGTGACAGTCCAGCTACCGAGCATTCCGAAGCTTAAGACGGTATTAGAGAAACTACGGATTCTTGACAACTACGTTACGATACGAGCTAACTGGGAGGGAAAGCTTGAATTCAGCATCCTGAATGACCAAGTGGGCGTTAGAACGACGTTTGAGAAGCTCGGAGTACAATCGAATGAAGGTAGGGACGTGATTACTTCTACTATTACCCTAACTTTCGTAGGTGCAAGAGGTACGGTTGTGGTAGATAGCAGGCAGCTAATCAAGGTGTTCCAAGTACCCGAGCTCTCTAATAGAGCTTTCATAGGTAAGCTGGCGTTACTCTTGTGTCGATGGTCTAATCGGGATACAACAGGGATATGTAACAATAACTGTATGGCCTTCTACGTGAGTGTGAATGAGAGCAGACATAGCAGCTAGTAACACCCCCTAAGGGCTTCCTAGAGTCGCTCTCCCCGTCCTCAGAGGGCAAAGACGACTATCTGATGTTCGTGATACCGTCGAAAGCGCTCTGAGAGCGTCTGAGGGTTGGGTATAAAATAGAATAAAAGATATTGTATATTTTATGCTATAATTTATATATTCACTTTCATAATAATTTTTTATCTGACGAGCACTCACTCAAGCTCACCAAATCTTCTTTTCTCAGAGCGATACTGAGCAACGTAAGTATAAAATTAAAATTATAGGGAAACTAGTTATGTGGGAGTGTATTATACTAGATTTTATACGAGCATATAGCTATATACCTATATAACTAATAGGCAGCCTTACTGACTCTCACTCTAGAATGGCCCCAAAGGTTCGTAGAAAGACTAGTAGTTGAATGCTAAAATTAATATTCACCAGATCGATCCAAATGTGCGTTCTTCTTTTCTCTCTCGAGCCTCACTCACACCCCCGTAGGAGGTTAAGATCATCTACCTCCGTGCAGTTGGTGGTGAAGTTGGTGCATCATCCGCACTCGCACCAAAGATTGGTGAGTTTTTACTAGCGTTTCTTAGCAATTTGAACAAACTCTAACCTTCTACCAGGTCCACTCGGTCTTGTAAGCATTTTTATTGAGAAGCGCTAGAAATTTAAAGCTAACGTCGCTACAGTCACCAAAGAAGATTGGTGAAGATATCGCCAAGGCATCCGGTGACTGGAAGGGCTTGCGTGTAACTGTTCAACTTACCGTCCAAAACCGTCAAGCAGCTGTCTCTATCGTTCCATCAGCTTCATCTTTGGTCATCAGAGCATTGAAGGAGCCACCACGTGACAGAAAGAAGGACAAGAACGTCAAGCACTCCGGTTCTATCCCACTCGATGAGATCATCAACATCGCCAGAACAATGAACTACAAGTCTCTCTCAAAGAACTTGTCAGGTACTGTCTTGCAGATTTTGGGTACTTGCCAATCCGTCGGCTGCACCGTCGACAGAAAGCAACCACACGACCTCATTGAAGCTATCAAGGAGGGCGAAGTTGAAATTCCACTTGAGTAATTGTATTTGGCATTTTATGTATGCTCAGTATATTTTCTTTTCCTTGCGTTTGTGATTCTCCACCCTCCCCGTCTTTTCTCTTCTCCTTTGTTTATTCCCCTCATGATCTACAGTTTTGTGAAATTTTTACCCAGAACGTCAAAGTCTTTTAGTAACGCTATGAGACCAACGATACCACTAGGTAAATCAGCCGTCTTCGCTATTTCACTATCTGGATTTTCTATCCTCGCTGCTGCTCAACTTACAAATGACAAAACCCAGGACTTAGAGAAAAACAGCAGCAATTGGTTTGGTATATCAACTAGCAGATTAAAAACGATAAAGGAGATAAACCTCGCTAATAAATTACAATCTGGTTTGAACAGTATACGCACTGCACCTCAATCAATACAAAGAGTTTATATTTTAGCTAGTGAGAGTTAGTAACCAGTTTAGTTGATAATACCTATCTAACTCGGCTATATAGACTATCTCACAATGTCAGATGGTCAAAGAACTGTCGCTGGTATTATCGCACTCAACAGCGTCATTTTCTTCGCCTGGCAAGTCCCAAATCCTGTCTTACGTAGCTTCATGAAGAGGCATTTCCTTCATGCACACGATACACCTTTACACACGATGCTAACATCTGTCTTCAGGTTCGTTACTTTATATTATCATTCACTATCAGCATCTCACAATATCTTAGTCATCGTAGTATAGCTCATTTGGGTTTCAATATGCTTGCTCTTTATTCATTTGGCCCCTTGAGTTTCAAATTTTTAGAGAAACAAGAAACTGAACTCGAGGGTACGTCAGTATACAAATGGCTCGCACTGTATTTATCAGCTGGTCTTTTGTCCAATCTTGCATCAACCGCGGCTACAAAGTATACGCAAAGAACTCTAATGCCAAGTTTGGGTGCCAGTGGTGCAGTTTATTCAACACTCGTTATGAGCGCATACAGTAATCCAGATATAAAAGTCAATCTAATCTTTTTCCCTTGGTTTGGTTTCCCTATATCTACTGGTGTACTAGCCATGGTTGGATTTGACATCGTTGGTCTTCTACGCGGTTGGAAGTTGCTCGATCACGCTGCTCACTTAGGTGGAGCTGGTTTTGGTGTATTTGGCAGCCTCTATTTCAACGATATGTTTAGACGGACGAGGGGTGTCTTGGGTTACAACGCTCCTGCTTAATTTATACCTTACATTAGAACATTTAAATAGAATAGTACATTTGTATTTCTTTATGGTTGATCCATCTCCCCGTCAAGCTCACTATCGCTATCAAATGAGAGATGCAATCCTTGCTTTGCTAGTTTCGGGTAGGTATATCCATCTGATGTCGCTGGTATCCTCATAGGAACGAGAAGTGTCAACCACGACCTGCAATAATGTGAGAGATTACAACTGACTGTGAATCACCCACCATCTTCCTTTTCCTACGTTAAAAAACAAACAGAGATTGTTGTATACTCCAAAGTCATATGGGTTGATTATTTCTTGAGGTTTTAACTGCTTATCCTTGGTTGTTTCGTTAGAAAGCAAGGAAACAAGATTATTCAACCAACCATATGACCTCTTTCAGACCACTTCTTGTAATCCTCCTTGTAAGATTTCCTGAAAACACTATTATCTTGATTTTCAACGCTGCTTTCAGCGCGTATGACGAGATAGAGTTGCCAAAGCAACATAATAGCTACAGCCATACCGATAAATATGGCCAAAACCCAAAGTAGAACGACGATAAAAGCAGGTGTTCTGTAAGTCCAAGCGTTTTTAATGTGCGGGGATGTCGATCTTCTTACTGGTAGGGCAAGTTTAAACACAGGCGTGAATCCCAACCATACGACGATAAATGCAGCTGTAGAAAGGTAAAACCTTAATTATGTCAACTAAATTGATGTCTTTTGATGAAACTCACATGAAAAGAACGAAATAACGCTCATTATTTAAACCAACGCATTGATTTATCCAAGGACAGTGATGATCGTATTTTAATACACATCTCTTACATACTTTACAATGATGTGTGCGTTCCGGTTTGACTTGGTTGCATTTCTGGCATACACGAACATTACCACCAACGTAAGAGGCTGAAAATCCTGGAGAGACCATGATAGAGCAATAGTAGTGATAGAATATCATAGTTGCGTGCCATAAACAATAAAATAACGCGATATATTGAGAAGTTGGATGAGATTGAGGGAAGTTATACGGGAATACGACTTCAACTGTGTACCTTTATTAGATTTGAAATATCTACAACATCCAGTTAGACACCTACAAAATGCAATTGTACATGGTATAAGCAAAATAACAGCGAAGAAGACAAAAAGTGGTCCGGTCATGCCGACGAATTTGTCCATCGAACGCTCAAATCTGCGAAAAAGCCTATGCGTACACCCAACCAGCCGCCTTGGAATTGAAGGCATTCTTCTTCTTTTTGTTTTTCTTCTTTTGACTTTCTATCGTCGTTTGATAAGAAGCGAAGATCACTATCGCAATGGAAAATTGAACTAAAAAATGGTAACGACGAGAAACAAAAGCAAGACACAGTGGCTTCTAAAGAAGAAGGATAGTAAGAGCGATAGCATCCAGCCATCAGCATCGAAAGCCAGGCAATTACTCACTAAAGAAAATCTCAAGAAACACAACGCCCAGTATACAGCACACGGTAATAAAGAGAAAGGCAATTCTCTATTACCAAATAAATGCAAGAAAACCACCGCGGAGGATAACCACATAACCGAGATGACACCCCGCAAATTATCCCGTATCAAAGAGTTCCAAGCAATAGACAGCTGGGAACTAGATGAGGAGCTCGTTCTTTTCTAAATAACATGCATCTATCCAGTCTACTCCATTTCATTTACAGCCTTCTGTATCTCACTCTTGCGAACTTCGTTGTTCTCCTCCCACCAATCCCTACCTTGCTCGTCGATCCAGTTCGGCAGTGGTGCTTCGAAACACCATTCAGGACTAGTATAACGGGTCGCATGGAGATATATGAATAACTTCTCGCGCGGTGGGTCTTCGATAAGCGGTATAAAGCACGTAGGACAATATCCACCCAAACCTTGAGTAATTTTCTCCAAATTTTCTTTCTCTTCAGCAGCATCATTGGCCTTCTTACTATCAAAACCTAGTACATCTCTCCATCTTGCCCATCCATCACTCTCATCTTTCTGAGCACGTAAACGACGTATGACCTCTTTGTACTCTTCATCAAGTTCAACTGGACTGTTGAAGCCTATATCCTGGTCACTCCGCACCAGCTGCTTGTCATCCTCAGCCATGTGTTTTTCGAGTACTTCTATTGGTGCATTCTGCTCTTTCTTCTGCTGGTATATCTCATCGAGGATTCTTCCAGTTGAATAAGCAGGCCAACCGCCTTTTCCGCGCTTTTCACCCCATATGTCGTGCCCAGAGTAGAGCGGATCGTTCGCAATAGGATGTCCAAGGTACTGAAGGTGAACACGCAGCTGGTGTGTGCGTCCAGTCAATGGTTGACAATACACAACACTTGTGTCTGTTGCTTCATCATACGACATCCTTTCAAATATCGTCTTGGCAGATTTACCATTTTTATGTCTAATAACTAAGCCCATTTGGCGATCAACTGTAATAATTGGCTCATCTACGACCTCTCTGTCAGGGAATTTACCAATTACTTTAGCGATATACTCCTTCTTAATGCTTCCCTTCATAAATGCTGCACCAAGTTGCGATCCTGCGGCTTTTTTAGTTCCTATAACCATTACACCGGATGTCAGCCTGTCGAGTCTGTTGCAGCAGTACAAATTTTCGATAGCATGTTCGTCTTTGAGAATTTCGAGCAGGGTGTTCTTTCTATAGCGTCCTGTAGGGTGTACAGGCATAGAACCAGGTTTGCTCACTACAAGCCAACCTTTTTCGTCGTCCCTGTATATAATGACAGGTAATTCTGCTACCACCGGTGGTTCATGAGCATGTACTTTATTTCTATGGAAGTGTAAATGGGTGTATATTTGTGTGTATTGTACATACTGTATCAAATCACCATTTCTAAGAGCTGAATCGAGTGTTGCCTTCTCTCTATTGATCGTAGCGATACCAGACTGAATAGCCCATTCCTGAGTATGTCAATTGTGGTTTATTAGTTAGACAAAGTATCCCACATAGTAGCTTTTCGACCTGTCTCTGAATTCCGTCGTACATCTGAACAAAGAAGATTAGTGGAATGGCGAATGAGAGGATATACGAACACTTCAACTAGTTTCCTGCCAAACCAACGCTCCTACGAGTTTATTTAGACAACCAAAACCAACTTCCCTTAATGTACAAACCTTCGCGTAAGTTTGATAAACGTAGTAATATGGGAGGACGCAACGTAAGCCATTTTTGTTAATAATCTTTGGTGGATCTGCAGCTAATACGTCTCTGACATTTGTTTTCCGTTGTTGAGGCATTCCCCTCCTTCTCATATAACTTTGATATGGTAGTCAGTGAAGAAGAAGACATAAGCGACAACGAACTACTAGAAGGATTAGAGGATGATGAGTACAGGGAGAAGCGTATAAGGGATATGCAGAATGAGATAAAACGTAGACAAATAGAAGCTGAATTCGTTAGTAACGGAGGATATAGAGAGTATACATCTGAGAGGGAAGTTATGGACGTTGGATTGTAAGCTAAAGTAGACTACTAGTTAATAAACTCATAATATAATAGAAAGGAAGCAAAAGCAGTCGTTCACTTCTTCCATCCGAGGTTTAAGCGTTGCGAGATTATGGATAACCATTTAGAGGTGCGATAATGGTATATTAGCATACAAATCCTAACACCAATCTCAGCTAATCGCTTATCAGCATCCTTCTACGAAATTTATAAAAGTGAATGTTGAGAATGTACCATTCTTAGTTGAGAAGTTGAAAATAAAGGTTCTTCCTTGCGTTATTATATTCAAGCAAGGTGTAGCTAAAGAAAGGTAGGATTTTTACACGCGTTTCATATAGCCAAAGCTTATTGTTCAAAGGTTGATTGGATTTGAGGAACTCGGGAATGAGGACAATTTTAATAACAAAATATTAGAGTGGAAGTTATTCCAAATGGGTAAGTACTATTGTTCAATGCAATCTATTTTAAATTCTAAATATACAGGTGCAATTTCTAGTGCGAATGACAATAATGATAGACAGGAGGAAGGAGAGAGCGATTTTGACGATTAATAAATTTCATCGAAGGGCCTTGTATCATTGTAACAGCTCTCGAAAACCTGATTAACGACACTTTCTGCTTGTTCTGCTGATTTACAGTTAAAATTTGCTTGTAATGACAAAATTGCTCTTCTTCGTACGCATTCTTGTTGGTGTTTATTAAAGCCGACATTCCCTCTTGCGAACTCTCTGAAAAATTTACAATCACCACTTAGATTTGCTGCTCTAATTTCAGAACAAGCGTGATGTTTCAAATTGTTCCAATCAACTTTAAAGCGGTGATGATCCCAGCTGTGAATCAACTCATGGGACAAAATGTCTTGCATTTGATTATAACTGAATATTTTATTACTACACAATAAAATACCATTCTGGGGAGAGAAACCACCACCGCGTGTTGCAGAACAAGGTCGGCAATGTATTGCGTCGCTTGGATTAAAATCAACACCAATCCTTCGTAAATGTTCAACTAAGAATATTACCAAAGGAGAAGTCTTGAGAAGACTTGACTTGTACTTCTCGCACCTCTCAAAATCCTTAGCTTCCACCCAATTTTTGTATTCTTCTTCCGATAAACCAATGCCTGAAATCAATTTAAACTTATTTAACCATTTTTTATTGAAATCATCCTCGGCAGTCATCGTCATACGCACAGACGCAGTCCTGACATAAACCATCAAAAAGGAGGAAATAAAAAATAAAAAATTAAATGAATAACCATTCTAATGATAAAATTGTAATGAACGGTTTATTCGACGCACCAAAAAAACTCAAGGGTTTGTCAATAGCGCAAGTCGTCGGAGAAGACAATGACGAGGAAGCTACAACCCAGAAGCCAGACTGGATAAAGAACGTTAAAGGTACTAGGCTCGACCCTCAAAGGTTAGCCCTCGTAGCTAGCGTATTCGGTTACAAACTCTATCAGGCTCCGAGAAATCAACTCAAATCTGGTTATTTATTGAGTGTTATACCACCGAAGTCTCTCTCTATTAAGAGAAACAATCACAATCAACTCAATAGAGGTATTCTTTTACCCTTAGAGCTTTCGATTTCAGCTCAAAGAGCTTCGATTGCTAGAGAATTCAACTTACCAAGCTCAGGCGGTTTGATCATTTATCTTATAAACGAAGTACAGGATATTAATAACGACAAGGAGCTCATTGATGAGCCAGGTCCTCTCATAAACGAAAAGTCATGGAAATTACTTTGGAAATCTTTCTTCCACTCTCCAAATTTTGAAGAAAGACATCCAGACAAGTTACCAAATGATCCGGAATCTGACCAGCCAAATTCAACTCCACCTTCTTTAAAGGTTCCGACTCAGCATCAATCAATAGCAGGAAAAATCGAATTTGATATTGACACATCCTCTAAATCAGGACATTGGTATAAGAACTGGCCTTCTCAGACTCCTCAAACGAGTTACAACGAAAACGAACAACGTCCTTTCAGGTTACGTTCAAATACTCAAGAGATCGTTTACAGTCACGACAACTCTCAAGTTCCTACGCCTGCTGCTTTATCTGCAGCGGCTAAAACGAAGTTAGATACCACACAACAGGATTCTCCGAGATCAACTTCAAGTTTACCTTATCGAGCATTCGAATTAGAAACTATCCAATCTCTTTTACAACCAGGTTCTAAAGTTCAATCAGGTAGGAACTCCCCAACATCACAATCTAGAGCTGGCTCTCCAAGTGGTGCTCGCAACAGAGGTTCTGTTCACGTCATGCAAGACACACTCGATGAACTTGAAAAAGCTCTTGCTGATCTTAGTCCAAGACCTATTGAACAAAATCAGGATTTTGGTCAGCGCCGTGATGCTGTACACAAAGCCGCTCGCACATTATCTAAAATTGGTAACAGAGAAGGTTTCCATTTACCACGCAAAGACGATGGTACATTGAAAGCATTCGATGAGCTAACGGAGGAAGATGAAAATAATTGTGGGTTACTTAATTTTAAAAAAAGTTAACTACTAACACCAATTTTCAGTTGAGCAGCACGGCACAGCTAAAAATAAGAGCGACTTAGAGAATGACTTAGTTGGTTCTGTAGATGGATATCGCGAAGATGATGAGCCTATCGATGTTCCAAAATCCCCATCAAGATCCACAGAATCACGTAGTAACAGTCTATCAAATAGCAGTGAAAGTAATCAAAACGAAAGATTGACTGAAACACCCGCAACTGAGACTGATTTAAGTAGATACACACCACCACCTCAAACGCAAACGCAAACAAAACCACATTTAAGTATCACAACCAATCAAAACCCTCAATTCAACATCTCACCATCGTCGCCAACGCCTATACCAAAGACTGCACCAGCTGAAGCAAGTCAAATGCATGCACCTTCACCACCACGTTCCGCCATACCTAAGTCACCCTCGATCGCAAGCGTTGAAGAAAGACGATCTATAACCAAAACTCCATTCAGCTTTGGTAGTCGTCGCAAAGAATCAATACAAATTGATAGGAAAAACAGCACCGAATCGAAGAGAAGTCTTAGTATTAAAGATTCCGGTTCTAGTTTAGATGGTTTGGGAATTAGAGGTTTAAAATTCTGGTCATCCAAATCTAATCAGAACAACAATCAACAACATCGACAAAGAGAGCCTAGTATAACTATGCCAGTGGGTGTTGTTAAAACTGCATCAGGTGGTCCAGGTAAATTAGCCAATACTGGCCATTCTGGAAATTCACCAAACGGTTTGCCTAGTAGGGCAGAGTCGATGAGGTCTGTATCACCAACATTCTCCAACAATGACAACGGTAATAGCTCGACAACGTCGATGATTGAACATTTTCCTGATAGTCGATACCCTAAAGATGTAGAACTGGGTGATGGAAGGCGTAAGTAGAAAGATAATTCAGAGAACAAAACTAACGACATAAAGCTGAAATGATACCATTACCACCATCAGTTCGTCAGAATAGTGTGGAAAGCATACATACACACAGGACACAATCATCAACGTCAACTGCTGGTTCTTTAAAGGGACGAGGATTTATGCCACGCAAGCAGTCACTCGATTATAGTACTCTTCCAACCGCATTGCCTTCAACTGGATCCCACTCAACGCCATTGCCAAGTACTGCGACATTCGCGCTCCCTGAAGCTATACCTGAGAATCTCGAAGATGCTCGCCGAGGCTCAGCAGACTCTGAACAGCGGAAAATCGATGAAATAATATCCAAAGAACGTGAAAAAGATTTCGAAGCTAAGGTGGAGGCTTTCGAACAGGAGCAGCTCGCGTCGCAAGCTCGAGCTAAAGCATTGACACAACAGGAGGAGACAAGAAAAGCCATCAAGCAGGAAGAACAAGACCCAGAACCAAAGAAGAAAGGTGAGCCTGGTTCTAGATTTAGCGCTAGTCCACCTCCTTCTCCTCCACGGAAATTACCAGCGGTTCCTGTCTTTTCAAGGAAGCGCAGGGATTAGCGCTAAGGATTAACTCATGCACTCTTTAATTAATCGGATCGTCGTTTTACATACATTAGGGACCCTCTTAATTTTTTTTTCGTGTTCTTTTATATTCCGGAAAATGTTACACAAATTATATGTACATGTATTATTTGATTTGTTATATTTGAATATGCATATGTTTATGAAAATTTTAATGCTTTGGAATGAAGACGCACTAAAAGAGTACTAAATAATTATTTCAATTTTCCTAAACCTTCTTAAATAATTATTTAATTTAGACTATAAACATGAGATCTGCAATCTTACTCGCAGTAATTCCAGCAACAGTACTCGCTCATGGTATTTGGGTTAAGAACCCAGTTGAAGGTGAAGATGCCTACTGGAGAATCAAGCACAGCAACACGATAGAATGGGGTGCAGATGGTCATGACAACCCAGAAGCTTTCAGCGTATACCTTAAGAATGACAACCCAGATGTCGATGGTGACAACCTTGGTATTGCAAACAATGTCAAGACAGCAGATGGTAAAGCTGAAATTGGTGAATTGCCAGATTATATCAAACCAAGGTGAGTCAAGTCTAAATAAAATCAAGACAATGTTAACAAATTGTAGCGATGGATGGAGACTCGAGTTTGTCCAAGTCGACGACATCAACAATGTCTACACCTCCTCATCAGACTTCAACATCAGGGAGAAGGAAGCACCAACACCACCAGCACAAGAAGGTGAGGACAATGATGACGTCAATGAGGACAGCATTGAATCGAAGACTGAAGATGAGGAAAGTAAGACATCAGAACCAAACCAGAGCTCTGGTACAGCATCTGTCTTGAACATGCCAACACACACTAGCTCAAGCTCAAGTTCCAGCTCAAGTTCTTCAAGCTCTCACTCAATTCCAAACCCAACACATAACGCTCCTTCAAGCACCGATGAGTCAACTAACCAATCAGCTGATGAAGATGATTCTGCTGCTAGCGCTGCTACCATCTCTACTATCCTTCTTGGTTCACTTTCACTCACATTGGCAGTTACTCTTTTCTAATGACTTACTAATGAAACTATAAACTATCTTAATGAAACTATAAACTATCTTAATGAATTGTTCTTTTTTATATATTGATAAAACGAATTAATACAATAATTATAAAGAAATGTTGTGCAGATTTATTTAAAACAAATTAATACCCAAAATGATTATTACTTAAATCCGAAGAATGATTTCGTGGTTGACCTAAAGCTTGTGTCTGGAGTGTATGATCGTGATGGTGTCGCAGATCTACTACCAATACTTGAGAATATGCTACCTCTCAGACTCTTCTTGTCGTAAGTTGACTGATTGACACCTTTAGTTGAAGATTGTACGCTGACTGGACCATTCTGATTCTTCGTTGGTGTTGGAACGCCCTCCTGTCTCGATGCCAGACTTGCCATTAGACCTGGATGAGCCATACCTGTCGAAGGTGCTGGTGGTGGTCTACGATTTGTAGATGTGTAGAGTGCATGAGCAGATGGAATAGGAGATGCCTTAATAGGTGACAATGTTTGACGAGGCATTTGAGGTGCCTGTTGAGAAGATGTAAGATTAGAGGTTGTACGTTGTGGAAGTTGTGAAGGTGGTGGTGATTGGCGTTCTTCTAAGGCCTGTGCCCAGAGTGGTTTTGGTGGTATACGGCCAATTATTCCAGAGAGCTCCTTAATCCAAACGTCTTTGTCATCGTCGGTATCACTGAAGAAATGGAGCTTTTCTTCAACGTCGTCAACCTTGAGAACAAGTATGAAGGAACGTTCTACACTAGCATCGCCTTCATCTACCCATCCTTTCTCGACTGCCTCTCCGGATGCGTTGTTGGCATCTTCAACAGTGACGGCCGTTTGTAGATCAATTGTAGCTATGGCCCGCTTTGAAATTTCATTGAATACTATAATTCTTCCACCGACTAGACTGTACATCCTACGTCTCCATGACTGCGATATTGTTAGCTAAATTTCCCGACAAATACAAAACTTACAGTGACACCTCCACCTAATTGCGTTAAAACAGATTGACAAACTTTTTTCTTATGCCATTGCATTTCTTTCATGACCTTAGCAGTATGATCCAAAGACATTGGAAGGTCCTTCTGAGTGACACCAGGTAAATTAGGTATACCGAGCATATGTAATACCAATTTACCAACGATACATTTCGTAACGCTTCCATCATTCTTTGTGAACTTGCCCTCGAGTGGTAGGATTAATTCAATCATCCTTCCTTGACATCTATGCGCGACCTCATTGTAAATAACGCGTGTACTTCCAAATGAACCATCCTTTTGGAGGAAATTCAACATTGGCTCAGTTGGCATTACAGGTTCAAGTTCTTCCAATTTCGATGATGCAATTTCACGCTCAAGTTGCTGTTGTTGCTCCTGCTGGGCTTTCTTTTTCTCCTTCCTTGGCGAGCTGAAGAGTGATCTGAAACCGAGGCTACTCTTTGATGGTGAAGGAGGTGGTTGTGTAGGTGTTACCATCGCTGGTCTGAAACGTGGTGGACGTGGTGGCGCTAAATGGTCATCCATACGACATTTGAATGAAAGCGTGAAGAATAAGTTTTTGTTGAGAATCAAGTCAAACTCTTGGCCCATTGGTGCTTCCTTTTTAAGGACTGTGTAAGGAGTTGCGACATGATTGATACCATTGTCAAGTGTACAGCAGAAATAAGTTTGCTTTGCAACTGGTATTGGCAATTCCACATCACGAAGCCCAACAACCTTAACGAATACTTTTCCAGTAGCTTCACTAAACGTTTCTTTACCACGTATATCCTTAAGATGGCTTGCATATTCATTCATATCTGATGGCCGTTTTATTACCTTCCAGGCTTTCCCGCTATCGATATCACCAGCTTTGGTTGAATGACTAATCTTAGGCTTTTGAACTTGCTCTTCAGAAGATGTTGCTCTAATAACCTCATCATGTTCAAATAAACGATACTTTCTGTCAGAATCTTTAAAGATTTCTCTCATTTCGAGGTCAAGATCATGTCCAAAGTCACTCTCAGTGAGCGCACCAGGAGTTGGTAACCCACTTGAAGGTCTATATACCGCTTTCCTTCTTGGGGTCTCACTGGCATCGGCTGATACGCTTCGCCGTCTTGATGGTCTTTCGCCCTTGTCAGCGCGGGATTTACGACGTGATAAGAGAATAGCATTTTCACGATCTTGGAGACTAGCATTACCACGCAGAGACATTTGCCTCTGCAATGCAGCATCTTCAAGATTTGGTGAAACAAATGGTGCGAATCCTTCTAGATCTGCGGTAGTTTCCTCTTCAATTGGAGTAGGTTCAGGTTCAGGTTCAGGTTCAGGTTCAGGTTCAGGTTCAGGCTCTTGCTCAGGTTCTTTTTCTTGCTGTGGTGCTTGAAGCGTACTAAATGATTTAGGTGTGTTATCAAAGACATCCTCCCTTCCACTCTTCATTGGAGATGGCGCAACAGCAGCAATAGCAGCTTTAATTGGTGATGGTGGTTGGGATTCTTGCGGCTCATCGAATTCAGGAGTCAATATTTTTGGTGTCTGGGATTTATTAGCTCTATTAGAATAGATACGCGTGTTACTCACGAAGACCTCTTTGTTGCTATCCTTCTCGCGTTCAGCAAGTAAAGCAGCATTCGCTTCTTCCGCTTCCCTCTTCTTCCTCATCTTCTCTTGAACAGCTTCGCGAAGGTTGCGACGTCTGGTGACGCTTCCAGCAGCATTAGGAGAGAGGGGATTTCCAGCAGCATCCAAACGAGGAGAGAGCAAAGGTGAAATTAGACTGTCAATATTTGGTGTGTTCTCCTTGTCTGCACCTGGCTGTTCTGGAGGATGGACTTGTTCGCCATACGACAGGCGTTCAGCGTATGATAGACGAGGCATTTTGGCCACATCCTCCGCAGGTGGTGATAAAGCCCATAAGGGCGATGAATGAGGTAATTCAGGTAAGACTGATCTGTCTCGTATATCATCGTCACTTTGCTCGTACTCCCCTGAGAGGTTTTGCTTTTGCTCTTCAAACTCGATGGAATGATCTTCTTTCTCCTCTTCCAACTCAACCGAGTGTTCTTCCTCCTGTTTCTCTGGCTGCTTTAGTCCGACTATTGGGTCATCTCTGACCATGTCCTGAGAAGTATACTCGAGCGAGAGATTAGGTGATGGCATTGATTGTGGCCTTCCCAACCCAAGTTCGCGCATCTTACTTGGAGTAGTTTCCTTTACTGGTGTTGATTGACGTTTGTTCGTGGAAGTTCTCAGCGGACTTGTGGATGCATACTTAGGATCTTCGAGCGATTTCCTGCGCTCACTGTCTCTTAATAGTTCATCTTTCAGGATAGAATCAACGAGGTCCTCCATCTGTGTACGTTCTGGATCTTGACTATGCTCGTATTGCTCTTCTTCGAAAGTATGATCGATAACTGAAGAGTTGTCATCATAGTGTTCATCATCCTCATAGTAGCTTGCCGATTCATCTGGATAAGCCGATTGGTAGCTTGTGTCCACTTCCAATTCTGTATCATTGTACTCATGAGGATACTCATGCGAATATTCCTCTAAAATGCCCTCATGTGCATAATCTTCAGCGAGTTCAGGGGTGTTTTCCAGACTTTCTGGAGTTGGTCTATTCCTGTTGAGTGTATGCTGATCAACGAGAGAAGTAGATGATGGTGGCATTGGAGGCGTATCTTCCCAGCTAGCTCCAACAAGAGCATCCTGGGCGTTCTGAGCATCGTATAAGTCAATATCCTGCTCATCCACATCGACTTCATCATAACTATTATATTCGTCATCGTATTCAGGACTAAATACACCTGTCGCGATTGAATCAAGTTCAGGTTCCCTCTCAAACTCATGAACAGAAGGACTGTTGTCAAAAGTGACAGTCTTGCGTCTTGATAAAGTACTTCCAGCGGATGGTGGTCTTTCTTGTTCTTCCGATTCCTGCTCTTCGTCTACCTTTTTAGAGACGGATAAGGGCTTAGTTTGATGAGTTGGTTGAGGAGTTGGAGGGGAGAATGCAGATGCTGGATGCGCTTCAATGTCTTCAGCCTCCGATCCAGCGGAACTATTAGACGTGTCGCGTATTCTCCAGGGTGACTGAGTGACGCGTTGAGCGGATGGCAGGAGATTGTAACCTTTTGATTTTCTTGGTGGCTTCGGCTTTGGAATCGAAGTTTCCTGTGGCTGAGTGTGCCTATGTGGAGACCTGCTTGGGTGGAGACCTAATCCCATACCAGGTGATGCTGCAGGCTTTGGTGAAGCACTGTAATCAATTGAAGGTGATGGCACGCTTTCATGATGTTGCTTAAAAGGTGAATTTTGTACGAGTGAATTGTTCCTAACGTGAGAGAAACTAGAAGACGTCCTCCGCTGTGTTGATTCAACTCCTGCGCCAAGTCGTGAAACTGGTGGGTGCTTAGGTGAGCTTTCTTGCTTAAATAATCTATTAGGGCTGAATTCAGCGTTTGGAGACATCACAGAGTGGGCTTTGAGTGCTATTTTTGAGCTAGGTGCGCTTCTATTGGACCAGCCACGTGAAGCTGCAGAAATTATGGCATCCCTTTCGCGCTCTTTCTGGATTGGTGTACCAGGAGACCGCAGCTGTGGAGAGTTTGATGTTTGTAGTGGCTGCGTTGGTGTAGGCATTCTGATGTAGCTTATAATCTGAGCCTGAGTTAGTGGATAGAGAATAAAAGCATTTATTTGCCTACGAATGTCTTCTCTTTCCTAAATTAAGAGACTTTTGATTTTAGATAATTATGAAATGCGTTAAAGAGGTCAATCGCCAAATTGACGCGTCAAATTACAGACGGAAATGGTTATTAAACGTGTTTTTATTTATTTATTTATAATAATCACGATCTAAAAAATAAAACAGACGCGTCAATTTTGTTTTAGGTGTTTTACCTTATTCTGACACCTCGGACTCCATCTCGATGTCATCACAATTTAGAATTTCAGTCAACTACTATAATACATTATGTACAACAATAAAAATATTAGATGGTATCATCTATAAAAGCCTCCTTTATCACCCTTCTCACTTTCTCCTTTGGTTGTCCCGATTTCTTGAGTGCTTTGATGTTACTCTCGAGCGCATCAGTAACTTCTTCTAAGCTCTTCATAGTCACTTTCTGTGAGTCATCCAAATATGGTTTGAGTTTCCTGATTGCTTCGTTATTGATGCCCTTTACCTCTTTTGTCTGAGGTCCGAGCTGAGCAATCGCGATGTTAAACATCAACCAAAGCGTATGCATAAAGCTGATGATTTCGTATGGCATAGGTTTTGCTATCATTGCCATCTTAAAAAATCCTGGAATGGGACGTGTGAGTAAGTGAAGTTCCATTGTCAACATTGCGAAGAACAGCGTGAAACGCATGTACGCTGTTGATTTGTATGATGTGTTGAAATATGACAATGCAGTCATTGAAAGGAATGTTGCGAGATAGTACATAAAGACTCCTGGTAAACCTCTCTTGATATAGTCTTGAAGAGTAATACAATGTCTCCATTGAGAAATCGATGGTCCGAATCTAAGAGTTTGGTCAATTATTTTACCATCCAAGGAGAATGAATCCTACTTTTCATAAGCAACTCTTCTGATTGGATCTTGTATAAGTTGATAAGATTCGCGTGCATGTACGAATAGAGTGGTGTCCTTGTTTAAACCAACTCTATCTGGATGGTTTCTTCGAGCGTATGCCTTCCAAGCCTTATTCAGGCGTGTTTCATCGGCATCGATAGGAACATTCAGGAGCTTGAATACATTTGGTTGGTATCCCCACGCCATTTTCAAGAACGTGTACGCTATGTAAAGACCAACGATAGCGCATCTAGCACGATATGGATGGTTGGGCGCGGGTTTGACATCAGGCCTTAACTTGTAAAACGCTCTAAGTGCGAGATTTTCGACTATTGGAGGAGCAAAGTAAAAGAGCAAGTCCATCTACCAATAGATACTAGTGAGCGGTTAGAAAAAAATAATCTAGTGTCGAGAAAAGGCTCAGAAGGTAATATTCCGTCATAGCAATGTCCCGAACGAACCAGCGCATCTTTTTGTATACTCATATCCTCGCGAATGCGTATATTAGCTAAACACGCGTCGCTGTTGTTATAGAGTAGCGCTTAATGTAACCAAATATGTCCACCCAATCTGACAAGGCTCTGTCGACCGGGCTCGGCTGACAAGGTCTGTGTGAGAGCTCCTTTACCGGAGCTGCTAATGGCCTACAACAGCTCAGCCAATTTCGCTCTCTGTTCCTGTGTGATCCCGGCGAGCTCGTATTTCTAGATATAAAAACACAAGAAAACGCCAAAATCAAGTTATAAAATGCGCTGGCTGTTATATTGGACTTGCTCCGACCTTTTCCCTTGTATTCATCCCAGCCGAATTCACTCACTTGGTTGTTCGAGTTCAACGTTCACGACGCCATAGAGAATGAATATAGAAATTGGTACAAGAGTGTTAGTCTAGTGCTCATTAACGAAGTATATGAACTCATGCTTTTCAGCTGGATTAGGGACTCTGTACATGGCTGGGTAGCTGGAGCCGTCGCTGAAAGCAGTAGAAACAGCCGAGGAGAGCAGGTTGTCGATGTAGAGTCCAAGGATGGCGTGCGTAGATATTTGCTTACCCTGCGTCTCTAATAAATCGTTAGAAAACTCAACTTACCATCAACAATAACGCAGAAGACAATCTACCATTGCGGAGTGTTTCAGAGGGGCAGGATACTTTGGATGATCTCACCCAGCTGCATATCCTCAATGAACCAAACCGTGAGTGTTTCATTCATTTCGGAACTTATCTGATATTCATCAGTTCTACACTCTATAAGAACACGTTTTGAGCATAAATTGATATACACATATTCTGGAATTGTTTTGGTAGCACTCAATCCATACGCAGATACTTCAATTTACTCAAATCAGCACATCCACGACTACGCATCCGCTGATCCGCCGGGCGAACCTCACATTTACTCTGTAGCCAGAGCTGCACACGATGGTGTCTCCAATGCCAAGCGCAATCAAACGATTATCGTTAGCGGTGAGTCTGGTGCGGGTAAAACCGTCTCAGCTAGGCATATAATGCGTTACTTCGCTGTAGCTGGAAAAACGAAGGACAATAACAGTATTACTTCAACGGAAGAGCGTATACTAGCTACCAATCCAGTCATGGAAGCTTTTGGTAATGCCAAAACTCTCAGGAATAGCAATAGTAGTAGATTCGGTCGTTACTTACAGATATACTTTGATGATAATAACAGTATCATTGGGGCACATATCCGTATTTTCTTATTAGAGAGGTCTAGGCTGGTTTATCAACCGCAAAACGAGCGTAACACACACATTTTCTATCAGCTTTGTGCTGGTATAAAGACTGACTTCAGCCTCAAAAGAGAACTTAAACTCGGTAACGCGGACGAATACAACTACCTCAATCAAGGGAAGTGTTCGAAATTACCTGGCGTGGATGATGCTTCACACTTTGTCACTACCAGACGCGCTATGTCATCTTTAGGAATAGATAATAACACTCAGAAGCAGATATTTAAATTATTGGCTGCATTATTACATTTGGGTAATATTGAAATAAATCAGACTTCGTCTGCTAGACAAGACGCTTCCATCTCAACCACCGATGCAAGTCTCTTACGTGCAGCCGAATTGCTTGGTGTTTCAGCAGCTGCATTTCAAAAAGGTCTGATGCAGAAGACAATCGGAGTTGGAAGGATAAGAGCTGAGTCTGAAAAGATCGTCACTTCACTAAATCGCGATCAGGCAAACATAGCACGTGATTCTCTAGCTAGATTGATATACACACGCTTATTTGATTGGTTAGTAATCAAGCTCAATTCAACCCTTTTATCGAAAGAAAGTGGTGCGTCCGATAGAGCAAGACAATTCGTTGGTGTTCTTGATATTTATGGTTTTGAGCATTTCCAAAAGAATTCATTTGAGCAATTCTGCATTAATTATGCGAACGAAAAGCTTCAACAGGAGGTAAGTTCGCGACATTACCATAATACTTACTAAATAGGTTTAGTTCAATAACCATACTTTCAAATTATCACAACAGGAGTATGAGAGGGAAGGACTTAAAGTGTCGTACATTAACTATCCCGACAATCACCCATGTATTGACATGATTGAATCTCGCGTTGGACTACTTGCGCTTCTTGATGAGCAATGCAGACTACCAGCAGGTTCTGATACAGGTTTAAGAACCAAGATGGACGAAATTTTACGTCCACCATACAAAAAAGCTCTGTTTTCAGGTAGCAAGTCTAGTTCGCTGGATGCAGGGGCCTTTACGATCGCACATTACGCTCACGATGTAACTTACGACGTTGATGGATTTTTAGAGAAAAATAGAGATGTCGTTCCTGAAGAACACAAAAACTTGCTCAATGAATCCCAAAACCCATTCGTAAAAGAGGTCTGTACAGCGGATCTCACTCCAACGACGCCACCAAGCATTGTTTCAACGCCAACACAACCAATTAGAACACCTTCGCAATCAGTACGTTCACCGCCTTCAAGAATGTCAGTCAATGGCAGAACAAGTGTAGACGAGCTCTCGAGTGCCTTCAACAAGGGACATATTCGCTCCCCTTCCGCTTTTTCACCTAGCTGGCCACCAGCATCACCGGGCTCACCGTCTAGTCCCAATGTGCCAACGTCAAGGAAACAACCGACACTTGGAGGTACCTTTAAAATGTCATTAAACAACCTCATGGCGACTATAAATGATACTGACACACATTACATCCGTTGCATTAAACCGGCAGGTCAAGAAAATGCTTCATGGTCATTCGATAATCAGAAAGTTCTCTCACAATTGAGAGCTTCTGGTGTACTTGAAACAATTCGAATTAGTAGAGCAGGATACCCATCGAAGATGATGTTCGACAAGTTCGCTGAAAAGTGGGTAATGATTCTATTTATCTATATATTAATAACATTTCAGGTACGAGATATTAATATCTCAACGTCCCACAAAACTGAACGATAGCAAGACAACATCACAAAAAATATTGGAAGGAACAATAACCAATAAATCACTATATGCTATTGGTAAAACCAAGGTATTTCTTCGAGTGGGTGTTTTGGCTCACTTAGATAAACTGCGATCAATTCTATTGGCTAGAATTGTTGCAATTCAAGCGAGTGCAAGATCCACTTTATCTACCAAACGCTATATACGTCATCAGGCTAGTATAGCTGTCGAAGCAAAATTATTTGTGCAGGTACAGGCAACATCACGTTCAAAATTGGTTAAAATACGTATGGGTAAAGCTTTACAAGAAAGGATGGAGAGTGCACGTATCAGGGAGGCTGCGAAATTGCAAGCCGAGAAGGAACACCTTCAGAGGGAGATTCGTAAGCAAGAAGAAAAAGAAAAAGAACGCCGCGAGGCTTTCGTACGAGCTGAAAAGGAAAATGTACGCTCATCAATGCTCTCGTCGTCAACCGTCATGCCAGGTATGAATATCTCACGTCCTGAGAAATCACCAGGGAGGTATAAAATCACTTACAACAGTCCCGAAAATGAAGAAGACGATGGCGCAGAATCCGATGCAACTGGTAGTGTCGAAGTCCTTGAGCATTCACGTAGTGTTTTCCATCATTCAAGTAAACCTTCTCTAGCAAGTACGTCATCATCGTATGCTACTGCTTACATGGAGGAAATCCATCCACCTGCAAAGCCACCAAGAAGTGCGGCGAGGGCTACTAGAGCAATGTCGCCAATTTCGGATTCGAGTTCGCGCACATCTATCGGTAAGACCAGTTCTATTATTAGAGGACCAACTCCAACCCCACCAGAACGTACGACTAGTCTTTCGAATGCAAATGATCCACGCGTGAATAAAAGATCATCTAGAGGTTTCTCATCACCTTTTTTTATGGGATAAACTAGTGCCTATGCATTATGCATAAAAATTGGATAAGATTTTTCGTTTATTTCCTACAATATACCACTTACTTACAGTTTGTTCGATCACGTTTTTATCACACCTTCTTACCTTTCCGTCAAACATGGAATTTTGTATCATTTAAAACTAACATTCATTTTGCTTGTTGATTATGCAGTCGCGTGTGTTATTTTAATTTTTTTTTTGTCGTGCTTTGCTTTGTCAAATATCACTCGCTCATGTGGGCGTAAAATATAAAGTACGCTTTAAATCTAATTAAACAATGAATCGCAAGATACACACAATTTATTCCAAACTTGGTGTAAGAATACGGGGATCTTCTCTGTCGACACTACGATCGGTGAAGACACGCCATCCACCGTCGATTTGAAGATCATGACCATTCATCATACCGTTGGTGATCAAATAGTTAACAGCGCCCTATGCTTTCGTCAATATGGGTTAGATAGGAGGTGAAACACTCACTGAAATTTCCTCTGGTTCGATCGGTCTAGCTGGGAAGGAAGCTGATTTGGAGAGGTCTGCGATAAAGTATGGAAGTCTAGCACCCATCATAGCAGAATTTATAACACTTGGACTGATAGTGTTGACACGAATACCTGACGAATTTAGTATTTTTCTGGTGTATTACCAACATAACTCACCAGAAGTACCCAAGAAATCAGCCAATGCGCGCGAGAAAGCGGTGACGGCAGCTTTTCCTGGAGCATATCCCAAGATTCTGGATGATGGCTGAGCACCGGCGATAGAGCTGAAGTTGATGATGATACCGCGTTCTTCTTTCGTAGTGAAGAGCTCTCCCTTGGCCATTTTCTCTGGCTCGAAGCGCTCGTTGACAGCATCAGCGAAGAATGCAGAAGTGATGTAAGTGCCCATGAAGTTGATGTCGGTCATACGTTTAACACGATCGATGGTTTCACCGAGGCGGTTAGTCCATGGCTGGGACATAGAGACACCAGCACAGTGAATGAGACCAGTAAGACGCTTCTCAAAAGCAGCTGAGGCTACTTTCATTGCATTTTTCACGCTTTCTTCATTTGTGATATCAGTTCTAACATAAACAGCCTTATTCTCACTAAGTTGCTTAGTAGCTTCTTCACCGGCCTTTTGCTCTATCAGGTCTAAAATAACAACGTAGGCACCTTGGTCAATCAAGCTTGTTGCGATCGATTTACCAGCACCACCAAGACCGCCAGTTCTGTTCTTTGTTATTAATTGCGTAATTTCTGATAAGAGCTTACTTACACTACGAATGTGTTTCTCAATATCTGCATTTTGTGTTATAAAGGAGGATGTTTGAAGTTATGTGAAGTAGGTTAAGAAGAATGTGGCCTTTATAAATGTCTGCACTATGTCCCATGTGAGGTCTCATTTATTTCCATGCGCATCGGGCTTCAACGTAAAATTTGGAAAAATATGTGTATTAGAATAAATAGAGTGCTTTAGTCTTGCAATAGGGATTTTAATGCCATAACTATTTTGTTTACTCACTCAAAATTTTAAAACAAAACTCGTTTGGCTCGGCGATGTAATGACGTATTAAAGGTTTTCGATAAGAAACCTAATATTCCACTAACTCCAAATGTATATATGGGGTCAACATGAGTGTGTCTATTATATAACCACACAAATATTACATATCGCTTTACATTAGTAGCACTAATTGACGTCATCAAATGAATATAGAATGATTATAGAAGTGTGCTTCGGCAAGCGGTCCTAAATTAAATTGGTTAGCGACGTATATGCAGCTAGGGAAACTAATGTTAAGTTGAGCCTAGTGCGTTATATCTGCAACAGATAATAACCTGGCTTGCAGAAATCTAGGCGATATTTCATGCTTCCTAGAGATATCTGGGAGAACAATAAAGTTGTGTTGGAAACTATATTAGTTGTTAAAGGAAACATTCTGAGGCTCACAAGACGAATACACAAGAAAGCTTGTCTATAGACCTCACACCATCTTCCTCATAGAATAGTTCAGTAGAAGGAAAATACATTGATTTACAATTCAATACGATCACTCTAATCCTGGTGCAAGAATGCGTGGATCTTCTCTATCGAGACTGCGATCGAAGATAAGACGCCATCCACCGTCTATCCTCAAATCATGGCCGTTCATCATACCATTAGTAATCAAGTAGTTGACTGCACCCTATGAACTTGTAAAATTTGTATATATAAAAGTTGAAACACTCACTGAAATTTCCTCTGGTGCGATAGGTCTAGCTGGGCAAGAGCACGTCTTTGTGAGCTCCGCAAGGAAGTATGGAAGTCGAGCTCCAATGTTGGCAGAGTTTATGACGCTTGGACTGACTGTGTTAACGCGGATACCTATACGTTTAAGCGAATGTTTCAGCCAAATAGTATTCACTAACCTGAAGGGCCCAAAAAGTCTGCCAACGCGCACGAGAAAGCGTTAACAGCCGCTTTACCACCTGTATAAGCCAAGATTCTCCCATATGGCTGATGACCAGCTATAGAGCTGAAATTTACAATAACGCCGCGCTCCTCTTTTGTCGTGAAGAGTTCACCGCTTGCCATTTTCTCTGGTTCGAAACGCTCATTGACAGCATCAGCGAATAAGGCATTTGTGATATATGTACCCATGTAATTGATATCGAGCAGACGTTTTGCACGCTCAATTGATTCCTGGAGACGGTTTGTCCATGGCTGGGTCATAGCAACACCTGCACAGTGCACAAGACCGCTAAGACGCTTTTCGAAAGCCTCTGAAGCAACGCTCATTGCATTTCTAACACTGTCTTCATTGGTAATGTCAGTTCGAACATATGCTGCCCTATCTGTGCTGATGTGTTTAGTGGCTTCTTCACCAGCTTTTTGTTCTGCTAAGTCTAATATAACTACATAACCTCCCTGGTCTAGAAGGCTAGTTACTACTGATCTACCAGCACCGCCTAGACCGCCAGTACTTTTTTCATTTTAGATTGCGTAATTATAGATAAGATTGCTTACACTACAAAGGTGTTTCTCAAGATTTGCATTTTGTATTAGACTTATAGAGTTGTGTCAATTGAGTTAAAGATAATATTACTTATAAATTCTCTACCATTGCTTCCCATGTGAGGTATCGCCGAATTCCATTCACGTCGGACTTCATGGTAAAATTTGACTGTCTATCCGTATCGACATGAACATAGAGAAAATTGAACACAGTAAATTCAGTTCAGTTTGCAAAGTGCAGGCACTTCTGCTTAAAATTTCAGAATCAAGCTTATATATCTCGGTGAAGACCATGAAATGCAGCTGAGCAGCAACAGCTGAACAACAGCTGAGGGATAAGTCCAGCTGTTTCTGATAAGGGACCTAGGTGCTTATTAGATATCTTTCAGTCACATGATAGCTCACAACTACTATCTAATTAAGTAGTATAATGGTGAAGTCTCACCATCTTCTTGTGCCGTCGACCTACCGTAACTTACAAAAAAAAAAAAAAATTCGAAACATCATCGAACAAGACTAGTACAACTTCATTTATAGATAACAAGACTATAAGTACATCTCTTTACAGATTTAATACAATCATTCCAACCCTGGTGCAGAAAGGCGAGGATCTTCCCTATCGACAATACGATCAAAGATGAAGCGCCAACCACCATCAATCCTCAAATCGTGATCGTTCATCATACCATTAGTAATCAAGTAATTAACAGCCCCCTTTGATTTTATCAGTACAGGAAATCTGTATAGTGAAACACCTACCGCGATCTCATCAGGTGTGATAGGTCTAGCTGGGAAGGATGAAGTCTTTGTGAGCTCCGCAAGAAAATATGAAAGTCTAGCTCCAATGTTGGCAGAATTATGACGCTTGGGCTAACAGTGTTAACACGGATACCTAAACATATGAGCAAACACATGAAAGTACCGTATTCTCACCTGAAGGACCCAAGAAATCTGCCAATGCACGTGAAAATGCAGATACGGCAGCTTTGCCTCCTGTATAGGCCAATATTCTTGTGTATGGCTGGTGTCCGGCAATTGAGCTGAAGTTGATAATGGCACCGCGTTCTTCTTTAGTAGTGAAAAGTTCACCGCTCGCCATTTTCTCTGGTTCAAAACGCTCGTTGACAGCATCAGCGAATAAAGCGTTTGTAATACAGGTACCCATGTAGTTGATTTCAAGTAGACGTCTTGAACGGCCAATAGTATCTTCGAGGCGGTTTGTCCATGGTTGAGACATAGCGATACCAGCACAGTGAACAAGACCACTGAGACGCTTTTCAAAAGCATTTGAAGCGACCTTCATCGCATTCTTTACACTTTCTTCGCTTGTGATGTCAGTTTGAACATAGGCCGCTTTATCAGCATTGATATTTTTAGTGGCTTCTTCACCAGCTTTTGTTCTACAATGTCCATTATAACGACATAGACGCCATGATCGATGATATTCATCACTATCGGTTTCCCAGCACCGCCAAGACCACCAGTTCTGTCAATGTTAGTAGAAGTGCATAAACTCATAGGGGTTGGACACACACTATGAAAGTATTTCTTAAGATTTGCATTTATGCGAAATATACAAAGGTATCTGGAGCTCATAGAGAGTAAACATCTTCTATATGTCTGTATCAGTGCCCCCCATGTGAGGTTATCGAGCCCGATATGTATCGGTATCGGGTATGACATCGCAAATACAACGTTCTGTAGTATTTATGCTGAATGGGGTAGTCAAGGCTGGTGTCATTCAATCTCTAAACGTTTAAATTTCTCAGTCTGGAATAAAACACCGTCTTTCTACAGGAAAATAGATGTAACATGCAGTTACGAAGCAGCTGATTAAGACCATAGTTTCATTTAATAAATGAAGAGTCACTAATGATCGACTAGCACTTATACCGTTGTGTCATTAAACAACAGCGTCATCGATCAATAACCTTACAGTTTATACTGCTCTCAGCGAAATGCTACTCATTGTTGACAATATCGGTTTTTGAATGAATAACAACATTTAAATTGGAGTACCCCTAGGAGCTCCGGTAATGAGACATGTTTGAAGCATACAACGACGTCATCAGATGTTTGGAGTTTCAATAACTTATATTTCTTGAAGGAAACGCCTCCAAGAGTAATACAATTATGACCAAATCTCAAGAACACCCTGTGCTACAGACACCACCACCAATACACTCACCAGATCGCGAAGCTCAGAGAAGATGTGAGTTCTTGCTCAGTGACCAACAGAAACACTGAATAGAGAATAGACAGCGACAGTATACGGTCATTCACAGAAAGTATGTGGCAGAATGAGCGGAAAGAGGTATGTGTAATATACGAAATACACTCTCCAATCGGTTTAAGCTAACAGACGACAGATGGAAAGCAGAGCCAGAGCAGGTGAAGGTATAAATCGTAGATCATCTATAAAGCGGTATAACCATAGGAATAAGTAGAATTGTATTCCAAGTATGACGTTTTACGATTGTATTATAACCTTCAGCATTGTAGAATAACTACAGTATTTATTAGTATATATTCATGGCATTCTATCCAAAGAGACTCAGAAAGAACGCAGCGAGTGGTTGTTCTCATCAATGGTGTGACCAGCTGCTTGAGCTAACAAGAGCCAGTCACAATTATGTGTGGTGCATGAACTCTGTCATCCTTGTCTCTATAATGGATTAATTGTGCTACTCACAGTCTATTATTAAGTACTTTGGTATGAAAATTTATTACGGCTGAGCTATCTAGTTTAGTTAGTACGGTATAGAACAATGTCAGCTGCTATTCAGTTGGCAAAAAAATTAAGTTATCTGCTCATTATAAGTTCAGAGAGATTCCCATTTGCAAAGTTCATCAGACAGCAGCTCGCATATTTACTCACAATGGGCGTATAGTACACTGGCTGTAGAGGAAAGTACCACAGAGTCATACTATCCTCTACAGCCAGCGCATTCCCGCACCTTCGCCTATAATTAGCACGTGGTGGTAATGAACGAAGAAGTCAGCGAGGAGGAAAAATTATGAGAGTAGTAACCCTAGCAGGTACGATGGGGGATCCATACAGCGGGGCTTCAGAGATCATATCGTCTAGATTTTGTCCGCAATAAATCGCTCTATTTCGTACCATCTCGATAGAGGCTACGTAAACGATTACGTAGTCTTCAACCAAAACCATCAAGATGTGAGAGATACTAAGTAATACACGCGCTATTCTCACACTATTGCTAGGACCGATATAGAGGACTACAGCAGCGATGACTCGCTAGATTCTGATATCGATCTCACGGAGGACGAGATGAAATTCTCGAGAGATGACGACTCCAGAGTAAAAGCTACCCGCCAGTTTAAGGTCTGTACTGGTATATGACTATAACATTTTGTTCTCACGCTGTTACAGCATTTACCATATCAAACTGAATCACTCGACGAGATGGACGACAGATTAGACTTTATTATTAAGAAATTGATAAACGCTGCTAAAGCAAAGGATTTTGATATTGGATTCAATATCTGGGATCACAGTCTCCAGTGCTGGCTATCACTCAAGTACCCAATGCTCAGGGAGAGAAGAGTGCAACTCACACGGCTGTATTATCAATTACTCGTTAGTCCGGGAATGGACGGTAGATTTATTAATTTATTCGCTACTCGCCTTATGTCGCTCATCAGTTCGAAGAAACGTCTCTCAATCAAAGATATTGTCTTACCTTGGAAACCACTTTACGAAATACTAGCAAAGGAACTTTTCCCAAAACAGCGTGAAACTAGTCGTAAAAACGTTACCAACAATCTACTCACCTTGGTCGAATACGCTCAACGCTTCTTCCACCCTTCTGAATATCAAAATATGTTAGACACAATTCTGCCTAAAATGGATGGCTCCTCAGTTGACTCTATCATTGCCACACAAGCATTTCTGGTGCATTTCTTACCACTATCACACCCCCAATATTGGTTGCCTGTAACTTTCAGAATTTGGGAAACTTTCAATTCATCTCACATCGATGACCAGCATTTGGATTTGCTTGCTAGACTGACAGAGAAGCACTTAGATCCGTCAATCAGTGATCCACGCATTATCGATTCCCTCGCACCAGCTCCTTCAGAAGTGCCTACAGTGAACAGACCACCAAAAGACAAAAACGCAGACAGCAGTTGGAGAGGTATTAGGAAGGACGTTGGTTTACTCACTGAATCACAATTTGATACAGTAATGCAAAAAGCTTTATCTTCTTTCAACATTTCAGTCGGAAAATTAAGAGGGGGCGATACACTTGGTCCAGACGGAAAGATTAGTCAGAATGTCGTAAATTTGAAAAAGCCTACCAACAGAACATTTTCTTTGGCCATCATTTTGGTGTATTCAATGTCTCAAGAAGCCGGCGTTGCTGTTTCATCTGCTGCAGGTACTCCTGTCTCCGAAACACCAGTCAATAAAGGGAAAAACCAGCTTAGTGCACCGACGGTTGGTAATTTTAATTCCGTCAACAAGTATCTTGGTGGCTCTAAAGCTCTTGATGCTCTCAATAAGCTTATTCTGAGCACAGAAACTTATTTTCATCCTTCCAATTGGGGTGCTCACACCTTCGCGCTTACTTATTTCATTTCTGATGTTTCATCTTTATTTTTGGAAAGATGGACTGATGAACAAAAGCCTGATTGCAAGACACCTCTTCAATGGAGATTGACGAAACAGATGAAGAAGGAGTTCGTTTTCTCGTTACGTACTGTAGCATTACTTGCGATGTTTTCTAAGGTGTGTATATCAATCGCCTATGCCGTTTTACTAATCATTTTTACAGGATCCAATATCAATTACCAACACTCAAGGATGTCTTCGTAATCTCGCACTCCTTGAGCCGGATCTAATCTACCCTGCGCTCATGGAAAGAGCTTATCCCTCATTGGAAGCACTCACTGAAACTCATCGCACTACCGCAGTTATTACAGCATTGTCCACAATTGCACCACATCTCATATCACGATCAAAGTACTATGCAGGCGCAAAGGATCTTCTCCCCTTACTTGAGTTCTCTTTACCTGGAATTGATATGAATGATCCGACCAAGACCGTTGCTACTTGCATGTTCATCATTATGTCTCTTCATTCTGTCAGAATTGGAGATGCTACCACCGAAGGTTCTGATGATGTAAACATTTATCGCCGCAAATCCGTTAATCCAATGGACCTAGACGGATGTGCACCAATTGAAGTTGAGAATGATTCAAACAATTTCTTACCAGAGGGCCGTGAAGCTAATGATCCACCCTTATCACATGAGGAAGTTGATAACCTCATACGTACTTCGACGTCTTCATTTGGAGACTGGGTTATCGAATTTTTCAGAAGAGTTTTCATATTGTTCGAAAATCTGCCTGAAGAGGGTGGGAAGCACAACAGAGTTGGTGGACGTACTGAGGAGAGTGTTCTACATACGATTATGGTAGCATGTGAAGTAGTCTGTGGTGGCTTATCTCCATACATCTTTCAACTGGCCTTGAAGCAAGTGTTCCAGTATGCATCCACCACAACGCGTGCAAATGGTGTCAGGGTTATTGGTCAGCTTGTTTCATGCTTCGCCAAAGCGGATCCTGACAAAACTCTCAAGCAATTCTTCAGCTGGACTACTTCCACTATTAGAGTAGAAATTAAACACGGCGCTTCTAGTATTGGCACAACGTCCACTTCTACTCCATTCGCTGGTGATACTGCCCTCCATTGGGCTCTTGCAATCTTAACTGGTTGCGTCAGTCATTCTGGAAAAGCCTTGCTGGATTATAAGGATGAATTAATCGATATACTCAAACTTACTGTCAACTCATGTAAATCTGAGAGGGGTTATATGTGGTCCTCCAGCATCTTACAGAGGGTATTACAAACTCTTACGCAATATTATACGGTTTACACCCGCTTCGTTAATGACGCTGAGTGGAAGAATCCATCATTTGCTCGTAATCATATTTACCACTGGGGTAAATTGTTCGAAAGCGATGAAGTTGAACTTGACTGGCATGTACCATCTTCAGACGAGTTTGACATGGCTGTAGAGTTATTTAAGGAAGTTCTCGAGCCTGAGTTGAACAGGATGGAAGCGCTAATCACAAGTACGAAAGGGAAGGACTGGTCGAATGATTTCTGCAGAATATCACTTCATATAAGACATTCATTAACTGCAATTGCATCATTATTGCAAATAAGTGCACCAGAAGCAGGTGATCCCATTTCGGATCATGGTGTTTTCCCTAAGGAATTCATTCAAAGACAGCCAGAATTCAAATGTCAAGGTGTTTTAAAGGATGATGACCGTCGTCTTCTCTATTTCAACCAATTTCGGTACAAATTTGGAGAAACTCTTCACAAAATTGCTAGCGTATTCAACAATCCTTCAGAGCAAGATGAATCTTCAGACTCCATTGATTGCGTTAAAGCATTTTTGAGATCGGTTAGAGTATATATGAGTGAGAACGGTATGGATTCAAGTCATTACGAAAATACAAGACAAAGGTACACTTTCCAAAAGTCCGTTAATAAGATTCTGCCAAGACAGAAACAATGGCCTCGATTGGTTTTCGCTAGAAGAGCAGCATATCTACATGCAACTAGATTACACTTGAACACATTCAATCGCGAACGTTCAAAATTAGACGATCAGCTACTTGATGATGTCCTCGAATTATCACTCTCTTCATATACTGCAGTTAGAAAAACTGCACAGAACACGTTACAACAATTAGCTGCGTTCTATGACGGTACGAAAGCGTTATCAATGGACAAAATCATCTCATCGCTCAAACCTGGTACCGATGCTGATAGAATGAAAGGTGCACTTTACATACTAATGAACAAGTCTTGGATTAGTTACTACATTGTTCAATTTGGCCAGTTCAAGAAGGTCATTCTAGCTTTGTTGGGAGCACAAACTGAAGAAAAGCCTTCTATACAGAATCTTATACAAAACCTTTCTCGTGAGATTATAGTGAGAATGCCTGAAATTGCTGCGCTCTCTTCACGCCTGGATTGCGATAACGTCAAGGATGTCATGAATGATGTTGAAAATAGCATTGGAGGTAACAGTGTTGACAGCCAGGAAGTCATTCAAGCTGTCGGCAATGTTGCTGTAGAGCGTATAGAAAGTCGTGAAGTACTTTACGATGAGCTGGTACGTCAAATGAATTTTGAAAGTCTTTACTAACTAAATGACTAAAGATTACACCATTGTTAGACGTAGCTGAAAGCAACAATACACACTGGAGATATCAACTCATTGCTCAACGAGTGCTCAAGAACCTGATACGCAGAGACAAGCCAACACCCGAAAGATTAACGTCTTACTTCCTTGCCCAAACTATTTCCGATCAGTAAGTTTCTTTCAAATACCGAGGTGATCTACCTAACCGGGTTATTTAGTCCTAAGATTCGCGAGCATGCATACGGTAGTATGATTAAAATCTTACACTTCATCAAGTTACGTACTTTTGGCCAAGGTGATAATCTCAGAGAGCAGTTGTTATTGCGAAGCACAAAGAACCCTCTGAAGAAGACCATAAGTATAGAGGAACAAAAGGATTTCACAACTGAGAAATATCTTCAAGCTTTTAAACAACCAATTGTAGAATGGAACGAGGATGTGCAGCTTCAAGATAAGACACAATCGGGATGGTTGTGTTGGGGTCGTACACTGGACGTATACGGATTACCACCAACAGATCACTTTCCATTTGAGTGGGAAGTTGATAGCTCTGCATCAATCAAAGCTATCACTGACACCGTTATGTCAAGTGAATGGTGGTACAAATTCGTTTCGCAGTTGTCAATCGAATCTTCCTCCAATGGTCCATCATATGATCACGTCAATTTCATAAAGAGTATTTTCGCAATGTCTGAAAAGCCTTTGGGTCTACTCAAATCAGTTATTGAACCTCTGTTGGAAGATGTCAGCGATAGACACAAACAGAGGGCTGCATCTGAACTTTTGTCTGGATTACTTAGAGGTATAAAGCACTGGCCAAAATACGCTTTAGATGACTTGTGGAATTGGCTTACTCCAAAGTTCCCTCAATTTTTAGGCAATGTCAGACCAGACAGCGCTGCTACCTGGGATATGTTCGTTGTAAATACTTTATACCACCGCGACCCAAGAAGAGTGTACCCGCTTATCAACTGGATTGTCGAACAGGGCGATCTCATGAAAAATGCTTCTAGTTCCGCTTGGTCACAAGCTTATTCGATTAACCTTCTCAGAGTAACTGTAAAAGTAATAAGTTGGAGGTTTTCCGCATGGTCCGATGATATTAGTGATATGTACTGGTCAATAGATGCTCTCAACCATGACTACGCGGAAGTCAGGGCTAACATTGCCAAAACACTTCAAAAGCTCAGCAGATCACAGGTGAGTTAAGTTTGAAAATTTAATTAATGTGCTCATAAATCGATAGCTACATCCAAGCTTCAAGAACGTCGCAGAATTCAAGAAGCTCTCCGAAATAGTACCAAGTGACAGAGTAATAATCAAGCATAATGCCGAAGACAAGATACTCCGTCATATCCAGAAGGTCAAGCAACACTTGGCGAAGGAGCACAGCAATAGACTTCCCCCACCGATGTCAGCTTTATCTACTTATGATAAAGTTGGTTTGACTAGTACGTATGTTGCTTTTATACTGTTCAAGCTAATGTGAGACAGCTTTGAGATTTCTTTGGGATGCACTTCACGACTCTACAAGATGTTCTTTCTATCCATTCTCGATTGGACTCCTTGGTGACTTCTTCAATATGCGAGAGCTGTCTGATTCACCAGACCTTCAAGCCACAGCTCAGTCCGTACTGAGCTTATTTGCTGTCATTCCGCCACCAAGAGAGTATTCTGAACCTGTCATCCGTACCCTTCTGGATGTCGTTAGTTCATCAACTGTAGGTAGAATTTTTTTATGTCTGCAGTATTTTAATATTTTATCAATAGAAATATCGGGTCCGTTTACATGCACTTCCTATAACAGGTGAGTGACTAAAATTTTAGTACACGTAGCTCACCTAATTACAGCTGTCTTCTACTTCTTCCAACTGCCACATATTTCTCCAGCAACAATTCTCGGGGTTATGGAAGAGCTTTACAAATTGCTTAGAGATCAGAATATCGAAGTTAGAGAGGCTGCAGCTGAGACACTCTCAGGATTAGTTAGATGTTCACAGAGGTCATTCACACTTGACCTTAAGAAGCGTTTCACGGAGACAGTATCTGCAAACTCAGTGTTACCAAGACGTAGATTGGAAAATGGAGACGTCAATCCAAATTATGCACCTGCAGTGTTAAAGCTACACTCAGGTATTTTGGGTATATGCGCTCTAATCAATGCTTTCCCTTATGATGTACCATCGTGGATGCCGGAATTACTCGCAGGGGTATTAGCTGAACACGTTTCAAACTCAGATACTGTCATTAGCTCTACAATCAGAAAGACAGCTCAAGATTGGAGACGTACTCATCAAGACAGTTGGTCTGAAAACATACACAAGTTTAATGAAGAGCAGCTATCAGAGTTGAGCTCTTTGTTCTTAGGTGAATGCTATTTTGCTTAATACAATATCAAAGCATTAATCAATTGCATTTAAATCAACTGCATAAAAATATCTTTCCATGTTTTAGTTTCTAACTTTACTTTTCTATCTTATTCTTCTATTTTAATTTTGTAAACATCACGTTACGATATATTCCTTTAGTTTACAGTGTATCCGATTGATTCATAGAATGCTTTTCCGTAAGCCACACATTGTTCATATGTTCTCGTGAATCCCACTAGATGCTGTCAGTAGATGTGTTTATTGATAAGTTAACATTACTTTGTCCACCATAGTATGGGCTTAGTATTTTAGTTAGGAATGATATAAATTACGTATAATACTCACTCCTGTATTGCTTTTCCATCCAAATAAGAACCGAACAATTTGATATCAGCTTTACAGTTCTTTGGCGCAATTCTAAGTAAATTAGAGAGGTTGCTACCATCCATCGCTAGAATATAGTCAAACTCTTGGAAATCGTTTTGTCTGACTTTTCTAGCAAGTGAATTCATAGGAATACCATGCTTTTGGAGTGTAGCAATAGTTCTGTCATCAGCATATTCACCTTCGTGGTAGGCGGCCTATAGAATGTTTAGACTTGGTCGCTGACTGTCGGGAAGACACATACAGTACCAGCTGACTCAACATAGATAGGAAGGTTGTTCTGGTCTTTCAAATGAGTAAGAACTCCCTCAGCCATTGCTGTATCCTGTCAATATTTGTGTGATATCTGTGTACTAGCACTTACGAGATCTACAGATATTTCCTAGGTAACTCTTAGTAAAATAATAACAATAATAAATTAACATACCGAGGCATACAGCTAATACTTTCTTTTCTACCGGTTTGCTCATCGTTGTTATTGAATAAGATACCCTTGAATTGCAACGACCAGGATATCAGAGATGTCAGTCGCTGACGCGTTGCAAATAAACCCAGAGCCACCGCCAGCTACAGAACCGATAGATGAGGGTTTAGACGCGCACTCTTTTAAGCTCTATCTCCAGGATCTCCTACCAAAATTATTGAATGCAGATACGAGCGATCTAATCACGTTATGGAATGAAAATACAGAAGAAGATATCCTTAGATTTGCCAATGACCAATCTCTCATGGGTCTTTATATCCAACAACTACGGACAGACGATGATCCACCGAGATTTACTTACAATCTGACACACACGTTGACGCACCCCCCAAATTTAGTTTCTACTGTATTTATGTTGAAGAGATTCCCCACTCTCTCGCCCGTAGATCCCCTCTCTTCTCAACTCGTCATTCTCAATCTTGCAGATGGCGGCTATGAAGTATTGCACGCGCTTGTGCATCTCGCAGCTGCACCATACTTTGATGCTTTTGTTAATGCGAAAGGAAAAGGTGGCGATATCAACAAATCGAAAGACTCAGATGCGAAATTGGGTATTCCAATGACAAAGAAGAAGTTTGCAGAATTAGAGTTGTCTTTACTCCATTTACAACAAAATGTTGAAATACCTGAAACACATCTTGTTATTCATTCTGCTGTCAGGGATGCTGTCACTATGGCACATAACGCTGGGACGAGACCCGCACCATCTGATGTTCAACCGCAATCACTTCTCAATGATAGCACATTCCTCAATCGTCTACAAAATGATGTCAATAGTTGGATCAAAGAAATTAGAAATGTTACCAAGTTAAACAGGGATGTCGCTAGTGGTACTGCATCACAGGAAATTAACTTCTGGTTAAGTATGGAGAGAGCACTCGAGAGTATTGAAGAACAGCTGAAGTCTGAACCAATCATGCTCACTCTTGAAATCCTTAAGTATGCCAAACGTTTCCATGCAACTGTCTCATTCATCGCTGATACCGGTTTGAAAGAAGCGACTGACGTTGTACACAAATATAATCAACTCATGAAAGATTTCCCTCTAGATGAACTCTTATCTGCGACCGATTTCGATAAAGTTCAAGACAGTTTATATCTCATATTTGGACATATCAATAAAAAGCTCAAATTATCACCATACCCAATTAGACGTGCATTACCTTTAGTAGAAGCCATTTCGAAGGACTTTAATGATCAAATGCTTAGAATTCTTCAATCCCATAGACTGATGTATATGGAATATGAAAGTTTTGAACGCTCTATCAATGCTGCAGATTCCGCTTTCAGAGTCTGGGATGATGTACTCAAAGAATTTACAAACGTGGCGCGTGAAGTAACACGAAAGCGTTCAGAAAAGTTCTTACCAATTAAGATTAATGCAGCCCATTGGAAGTTAGCTGAAAGATGTAATTATTTACGTAACTTCCGCAAACAGCATGAACAACTACGCACGATGACTGCAATGAAAAATACAAAAGCTGGCAGTGGCGTCGTAGCTGACAACCTGACTGATCTTGATATGGAAGATGAAGTTAAGGCTGCATATGATACCTTAAAAAATGTCAATGTATTGGATATTTCAGTTGGTGAGTATTAATGCAAGTAATAGTACCCTTACTCAATCCTACAGAGGGGACGGAGATCTGGATCGCCGCTGAGACTGCTTACAATGAACGTGTGGCTCGCGTCGAAAACCAAATTATTGCACGTCTCAGGGATCGCTTGGGTACCGCACGCAATGCATCTGAAATGTTCAGAGTATTTGGTTATTATAATGCACTTTTCGTTAGACCAAAGGTTAGTAATACTTAACTTTTTCCACATTATTTTGATAGTCCCAGATTCGTGGAGCTATATCAGAATATCAAACGCAACTCATTGATTCCGTCAAGGAAGATATCAAACGTTTACATGGAAAGTTCACGATGCAGTATAAAAACACGGAAGCATTTCATATGTCCCAACTCAGGGATATTCCTCCAATTGCTGGTGCCATTATCTGGGCAAAGCAAATTGAAAGACAATTGAACATGTACATGAAACGTGTTGAGGATGTCCTTGGTGAAGGATGGGACTTATATGCTGAAGGTGCCAAGCTACAAAGCGAAAGTACATCATTCAGAAAAAAGCTTGATACTAAACCAATCTTTGATGCGTGGTTACATGAAATTAATCGACGTGATATGCGTATTGAAGGTCGTTTGTTTGAAATCAATCGCACTCGTAATTCTCTCACAGGTGAATTAAATGTCTACCAACTTGGTGTCAATTTCGATCCACAAGTCATCACACTTTTCAAGGAAGTGCGTAATTTAATTTGGAGACAATTCCAAGTTCCTCATGCTATCGTTAACATTGCCAAAGATGCCAAGCGTGTCTACCCACACGCAGTTAGTTTAATGGAAACTGTAAGAACTTACTCTTTGACGGTAGAAAGAATACTAGCGAATCCCGGTATCGAAACATTGATTGCTGAATATAGGATAGAAGCTCAAAATATAATTACTAGAGGTATGCCTTTGAGATGGGAGTTTTTCGTAAACACTTATGATACACGCTTTGGCGCCTTGTCAAGTATTGAAGGTCGTGAAGGAAGACACATGTATTTCATACGCGAATTCGCAAGCTCTGTTAGCATATTACAAGTGAGATAGAATAAATGTCTACTATCGCTGCTGACTTTATATAGGATAAAACAGACGATCTGATAGATACGTATAATGATGTGATGAGAATAATTGATGAGCTTTCAACTTGCCCCTTCAATAACGAAATCTTTACTTCACATCTTACTACTATTCAAAAGACGATCGACAAGCTCAACCTTGAAGGCTATGCAAACCTTGATAGTTGGGTTGCAGCGCTGGATAGCAAGATCGAGAACGTTTTGCTTGAGCGTGTCAAGCAAATTATTGACGAATGGTGTATTGCCTTCAATAGAAGTAAAGAAGAAGCACCAGTTAGTCGCTCAAAAGAGGCCATCAGAAAGAAAGTAAAGCATGAACATGAACATTTTGTCGAATTGGAACAACTCTACCATGAAATTAGGATCAGAGATCAAGTAATTTATGTTGATCCTCCAATTGAACATTCACGGACAGAGTGGTACAAACAATTACATGTCTGGTTAGGTGTTATATGTAACCTCCCTCGAATCCAGTCATCTCGATATGAAATTGGACTACAATTCGATAAGGTATCAGAGTCAAGTCATGATAACACTTATACCACGCTTTTGACGAAGCTTCCATTTGAGACTCTTTCAAAACCATTTGCACTTATTGAAGATAAAGTGAAGGATGTTGGGGAATACGTTGGTAAATGGTTACAATTCCAATCATTATGGGATCTTGAAGGCGAACAGGTTTATAGCCGTCTTGGCGATTCATTGGCTTTGTGGCAGCAATTACTCAGTGAAATCAAGAGAACGAGAAGCACCTTTGACACTTCTGACACCCAACACACATTCGGCGCTGCTATCGTTGACTTTGCTCAAGTACAAGTCAAAGTCAATGCCAAATACGATTTCTGGCAGCGTGATATTGTTACTAGATTTGGACAAAAGCTTAAGGACGCGATGAAGGATACTCATTCAGCTATACAAAAGGCCAGATACGAACTAGAGACTCAATCAATTGAAGGCAGCTCAACTGTGCAGGCCGTATCATTCATTACCTTCGTCCAAGATATTAAGAAAAAGGCAAAGAAGTGGGATCCCGAAATTGCTATTTTTGTTGAAAGTGAAAAAACACTCGACAAGCAACGTTACCAATTCCCAAGTGACTGGATGTGGGTTGATCAAGTTCAAGGTGAATGGAGTGCTTTCAATGAGATCCTCAAACGTAAAAATGATCTCATTCTTGAACAATTGTCTGGTTTACAGCTCAAGATAGATGCAGAAGACAAAATTGTTCGTAACAAAATTGAAGAGATTACTAAGGAGTGGGAGGACAATAAACCAATCCAAGGTAATATACGTGCAGATCAGGCCATGAATACTATCAATATTTATGGTTCACGTGTTGAACAACTAAAGAGTCAATACGATTTGGTCTTTAGAGCTAAAGAGGTGGGTAAAAGGTTACATAATTGCTACTTACTGACTAGATTGATAGGCTCTAGATCTTGAGCATATGAATGACGATCGTTTGGAACCTGTTCTTGAGGAGTTAAAGGACTTACGCGCTGTTTGGACTGCTCTTTCGGGTGTTTGGGATCAAATTGCTGAAATTAAGGAAACAACTTGGGCGTCCCTTCAACCCCGCAAGCTGCGATCATCATTAGAAGGTCTCCTGAATTCCACTAATGAGATGCCAAGTCGTATGCGTCAGTATAGTGCTTTTGAGTTTGTGCAAGATACTTTGAGATCCTATTTGAAGCTCAACTCAACCATTTCAGACCTTCGTTCTGAAGCTCTTCACGATCGCCATTGGAACCAATTGTTCAAAAGCCTAAAGATCAACAGAGTTTACTCGCCTAATAACATGACTTTAGAGAACATTTACGATATTGATTTGAAACGTAATGAATCACTGATCAGAGATGTCATTACTCAAGCAGCCGGTGAAATGGCATTAGAAGAGTTCTTGAAGCAGGTCCGCGAAACATGGTCAAGCTATCAATTAGAATTGGTCAACTACCAAAACAAGTGTTACTTGATTAGAGGATGGGACGATCTGTTCTCTAAATGTACAGAACATACCAACTCACTCACAGCCATGTCCAATTCACCATATTTCAAGGTATTTGAAGATGATGCTAGATCATGGGAAGATAAACTCAACCGCGTACACAATTTATTCAATCTCTGGATAGATGTTCAACGCCAATGGGTTTACCTAGAAGGTATTTTCTCAAGTTCAGCTGACATTAAACATTTGCTACCGATGGAAAGTCAGAAATTCCAAACAATCAACACAGAATTTTACAATATTCTCAAAGGCGTTAAAAGATCTCCTTATGTTTTAGAAGTCCTTGGCATTACAGATGTACAAAAGCGCATGGAAAAACTCGCTGAGACCTTAAATAAAGTTCAAAAAGCTCTTGGTGAATATCTTGAACGTGAGCGTTCATCATTCCCTCGATTCTACTTTGTTGGTGATGAAGACTTACTTGAAATCATTGGTAATAGCAAAGATATCTTAAGGATTATGAAGCACTTGAAGAAGATGTTTGCAGGTATATCTAACGTCATTCTTGATGAAGATATCACTGAGATTCAAGCGATGGTATCGAAGGAGGGAGAAGTAGTTAAATTCTCTAATGCAATCCAGTTGAAAGATTATCCAAAGATCAACGATTGGTTGGCCAAGATTGAGAGTGAAATGAGAACATCATTGGCAGACCTTCTAACTGAAGCAGTCGAATCTCTTCGCGAATTCTATTCTAATGAAGATAAATTGGACGTCGATATTTTCTTAAATTGGATGAATCGCTTCCCTGCTCAATTAGTTGTCTTAGCTATACAGGTCGAATATTCTACTATTGTTGATAAAGATCTACAATCTGGATCAGATCTGAAAAGCCCACAAACAATCATTCTTAGGACGCTTGATGTTTTAGCTGATACCGTTTTGACGAATTTGCCAACGATACAAAGACGAAAATGCGAACATCTCATTACAGAATTGGTTCATCAAAGAGACGTACTTCGTTCACTGATACGTGACGAAGTTAAAAGTCACAGAGATTTCAATTGGCTCTATCAAATGAGATTCTACCTTGACACAAGCGTCAGTAATTCTATAGATCGACTTAACGTTCACATGGCTGATGCTACATTCGATTACGGATATGAGTACTTAGGTGTTCCTGATAGACTTGTCCAGACACCACTCACTGATCGCTGTTACTTGACTTTAACTCAAGCATTGAATTCACAACTCGGTGGTGCACCTTTCGGGCCTGCTGGTACAGGTAGGTAATATCCATATAACCTTATTCTATTTACATTCTACAGGTAAAACTGAATCCGTCAAAGCCTTGGGTGTTCAGCTCGGTAGATTTGTATTGGTTTTCTGTTGCGACGAAACATTCGATTTTCAGGCCATGGGTCGTATCTTTATCGGTTTGTGTCAAGTTGGAGCATGGGGATGCTTTGATGAGTAAGTTTATCTTACCTTGGTATGACTAACGCTAACGTATTTCAGGTTCAATCGTCTTGATGAAGGTACATTATCAGCAGTCTCGGAACAAATCCTTCAAGTACAGCAAGCTCTTGCAACTTCCTTTGGAAAATAATGTAATGATACCATTTATAACATATTCTCAAACGCATGTCTGTTTATTGAGAAGTAATATATATGCAAAATAAAAATTAAGTAGTTTTATGCTAAATAACGTATCTATAGACCCATAAGTTTGTTTGTCAATAATCAATCAGGCTAACTCACCTAAATTGTGGATGTTTATCGCCCAATAAAGCTATATCTAGGTCAGACATACCCATAAGTATATCCTTATCTCCAACTTTGTCTCGACGTTTATTTTCTCTCTTAATCGTCCAACGCAAGATTGAAGCGACTATGAGACCGGTCAAAGCCAAAGCGAGACAATAAGCGTGTCCCGGAATAAATCTTGGCGCTGTCGATTCAGCTGTTATTTATATGTTAGCGCGAATAATTCATTATGTTTAGGAACATACGATAGATGAATGAGCTAACAAGACCGCCACAATTGCCCAACATTACAATGAATCCTACTGCAAAGGCACGTTTATAAAGTGGTGCGTATGTGGCACCGAACCATGACAGCAAACCGGCATTGCAAATGTTCGTTCCGCTGACCATCAGGAACAGACTGAAGAACTTCCCGCTCACAGCTTGAACAGACAGTATAATAATGAATCCAATACCACTAACTACGAACCCGATTATACAGAGGATTCCGCGCTGTTGGAAGTGATCTGAAAGCCACGCCGCTGTAAATGTAACTATAATACCGCAAACATATACTGGAGCTAGATTGTTTTAACTCGTAACCCTGTAAAGAATACTAAGACATACCAGTTAGAAGGTGCGACTGAGCGGCATCGAAATCACCCAAAGACTTAATAATAGTAGGGATCCAGGTAGCTAATGCGTAAAATAGTGAGCCGTTACTAAAATATGTAAGTTCTTAAAGATAAGAGAGACTTTCACGTACCAATAATTAATAGCGCTGAACATGTAAGTTCTACGATCCTTTAATACTGACGTGACTTGGCCCATAGTGAATGGGACATTCTTGGATTCTGCCACGCCTTGTTGTTCTTCAATGTACCTAAACCACACGCCTTTCTCATCTTCATTGAGAAGTTTAGCTATGACGTATTAGATAAGTAATAGAGGTGATAAAACCACTCACACTTCTGCGGGAAGTCTTGTATGCAGAAAATAGAGGTAAATGCTATTATAAAGCTCAGTAAACCTTCGATGATACTTTTGTATGTCAGAGTTGTCTTTACTAGTATAACGAAAACTCACATAATCCAGCGCCAGCCTCTCAATCCACCAACACCGTCCAGTTGAGCTAGTGCATAGGAGAATATACCGCCAAATGCACCTGCAAATTGACTCGCGTTGTAAACAGTTGATATTCTAAATGCCAATTTTTTTCTAGGATACCAGGCAGACAAGAAGAAAATCATGCCAGGAAAAATACCACCCTCACCCAGGCCTAGGAACCAGCGTACAGCTAGAAGTCCAGGATAGTTTTTGACGATACCAGTAAGAGTGCATACCACAGACCAGGTTAAGGCCATCAAAGGGATTGTCCTTTGCGGACCAATCCTCTTTGTTAGCATATTCCATGGAATCTAATATTCTGTCAGATGTGATCATCCATCGTAAAATTTCTAACCTCAGAAACCATCTGTTGTATTTGTCAGTTACACTACTCATAACACTATTATACGCACATAACTAATGTAAAAGACAGTCAAAGCTATTTGAAATTGCTTATCTGACTGGGGAAAGTGTGAGACATATATCAAAAATGACCTCATCACTCACAACATTGATGTCTTCAAGCATACCTTCAAGCTTGGCTTGACCAACTGCCACTCTATCGAGAAAGTTGACTGCGTAGATGAATACCAGAATACCGACAACATTCCAATCGACTCTCCTTAGAAGCCTCTTACGTATTGCGTCCTCATTTTGATTGTAAAGACCGATGTTCTTCTCATCTGAAGAGTTTAGGGTGGAGCTGTCCATTAGATGGTACTCTTAGATGCTTTCAAAGAAGAAGAATATCGCTGATATTAGACATGCCGCCGCAATTGGAATATTGATTCTCACGGTCTGGGATGAAAGGACGGACGGCCGGCTAGCCGCTATAAGCAGGTGAAGGTATTTATAAATTAACGGATTAGTTCATAGAACTTTATATGCTCATGTCTTTTATCAAGTTGATCGCCGTTTGAAATTTGAAACATCAGGTGACTAACGAAAGCACAATAAAGTTATCTAAATAAATCAGCAGTTTCTCCCGTTTCTAAACTATTTCGCAAATTGTACACCGAGATTTCGCTTTCAAACTCCGAAACGGTCTGAGATTTTATAGAATGTTCCTTTAGGCACGATAAGAAAATTGACTTTCAGTTAAACGATCATTACATTATCAATGAATGTTAATGAAAGATAATTTTAAAAAGAGGAAAATCAGTAAAGTTAGGGTCTGTGATACGTGCAGAAAGCGAAAATTGAAATGTATGTGGCAAACTTTATATAAAACACAATCTCACTAAATAATAGGCGATATTGAGGAGAGATTGGAGAATGCAGAGAGTTCATGTACGCGGTGTGAACGAAGCTACATTGACTGCACATTCGATGAGGCACCAGTGCGGGGTGCAAGATATAAAGAGATGTATAAGGACTTAAACAGCAAACATGAAGAGTTACTTGGCTTGCTTAGTAGATTACATCCTGGAATAGATGTTGGAAAGTTACAACAGCTTAATATCATCGATGAGGGAGCACAATCTGAAATAGTCCCTGAGCCGTCGTCTGATGATATGGAAGCGAGTGCCTCAGAGGCATATATACGGTCGAAAGATGCACATGGCCATGATCCTAGAGTACTCGGTTCTGCGAGCGTTTTTAAACTTAAATCAGTCGAGAAGATTAGAGAGATGGCTGTAGGGTACACCAGTAATTTCAATATACACCAGCGATCTCAATACTGGTCTTCACTCTCTTGGAAAACTGAAGATGATAACTTCGATCCACCACAAGATCTAATAGACAACCTTGTTGAGATTTACTTCAATAATACAGGTTTACATAGACCACTATTACACAAGAAGACATTTAAAGAGGGAAAAATGTTCGATAAGGATTTTAGGAGATGTCTCTGGCTCGTATGCGCGATTGGAAGCAGGTTATCTGACGATCCACGTGTCTTAGACCCATCTGAATTAGGCCCTAACGGCAAAGCGTTATCATTTCATAGTGCGGGATGGCCATTTTTCCTAAAATATGCATCCATAGCTAAGACTATCCCAGCACTTTCTCCAAGTTTAGCCGATTTACAGCAATCAGCCCTAGCAGCTGTATTTCTACATTCTAATCCATATCATAGTAGCTCATGGACGATTGCAGCGCAAGGTGTTGTTCTATCGAAAGATATCGGTGCGCATTTTCATCGGAGTTCTGGTGATGTAGTTAAAGACGAGTTACGTCGTCGGGCATTCTGGAATTTGTATCAAATAGATAGTGAAATGTCGACTTTTCTCGGACGAGATTCTACAATTGCTGAACATCTAATCAAAATCCCAAGACCTGCAGCATTACCCGATGAAGATGAACAGGATATAGTTGCATTCAATGCATTTTTGGATCTCATCGTTATTGCTAGACATGCTTTGGATTCACTATATGATGATCGCTCAATATCACTTGCTCCTAGTGATCCAATGAAAGCTCATCAGTTAATTCTAAACGTAGCTGAACTAAACAACAAATTAGACAATTGGGTAATGAATATCCCAGATTTTCTGAAATGGAGCGACGACAATAATGATAGCAAGATCTTCACACAGAGGTCTACCCTGATGTCACTCTACTTGATGGTACAGACTTTGGTTCATCGACCATTTATTAATGCAACCGGGCATCTTCGTTCACTTTCATTGACGTCCTCAGCAATTTGCGTCAATGCAGCACTCAGCATGGCGCATGTGGTAGATCTATTCAAAGAAATTGATCCGAGAACAGACACAATCGTTACATATGCTTTCATAAGCTGCGTCAGTGCTTTAGTGTGTAAATGGACGGGTAAAATGAAAGGAACCGTAATTTTCGATGATCTAGAAAAAGCAGTCGAAATGTTACACAATTACATAAAGTCGAGAGAATCTCGTTATTACGTTGCTGGGCGTTTATCAGACATAATCACGTGGTTGCGCGATGATAACAACGGTTTAGACATCACTATTGAGAAGCTCTTTAATTCTGATATAGAGAACATGTTAACCACTACCATACCTAGTGCTCAATTCCTTAACACACTTCCTTCGTTGACCAGCTTGGACGATAATTATCCTTTTGATTACTAAGTAATGTAAATATTTATTTGATAGATCAGCATTTAGATTATTAGAAAGCATCCTAGTATATAATTAGGATATGTAGATCTCTGGAAATAATAGCCAGTAAGTATGTCTCCAGGTGCTCTACAATGTAATCAAAGACATTGCAAGTTGGTAGATCATACTGATAGGGTCTGCTAGATGGACATGTGGACTTGAAATAGCAAGAGATCCCTGTGAAGGTATATATAATACCACTTCTCAAAACTACGCAATGAAATTAACCAACGCTGATGAAACTGGTGAGAAAATCAATTTTACGGTTTCGACGCTATATTTCTGAAGGAAGTAATTCACCTCACCAAAGATTCAGTGTTGTAAATACCGCCTCGTCGATAACAATGTGCATAGTTGTAGTTATCAAGATGATTAGTCTTCCTCAACTAAAGTATAATCCATTTAAAGCACATAAACTAACTACATAGATAGAATGTATGAATACAGCTTCCTTAAACCTCATTAATTAGATTATATGAAAACTATAAACAAGCACTACCTACTAAGCAAAAATAGTGCTTTGTCTGATACTACTGAAAATTTGTCAGTTTAAGTATTTAAAAGAAACATTTGGTTATACAGATTTGATTCTATTCAAAAGAAAAGTAGGAGCCATGTTATACAGTTTTAAGATTGTTTCAAGCATCATCCTTCCCCTGATCAGCTGTATTTCCCTCCGTTTGTTTCGTTGTTGGAACTAAATAATGCACGATAGGAACATTATTCTCTATAAGCAGACTTCGTGCCTGGCGTAGGTCAAAGTCTGTACTAGTATAGCTATCTACTCGCAATAGAGCTTTAATTGTGAGATTTTCTAAGCATTTGTTCTGAAATCGTGCAAATGGCAGTTCAATTTGTTTGCTTTGCATGGTATAACATTCTTCTACGTTTATTATCAAATGACGAATTGTGTTTATATTGAAATAATCCAGTACTTCATATATTCTATCAAAAATCCACTTCCTTGGACATAACGGTAAGTAAATTTCCACTGAATCTAGTGAAATCCCCTCAAAGTCGCTACGTCCAAGTATTTCTAGACTTTCTTGTGGGTCACCATAAGAATGGAACGTTTGAAGATCTAAATCACTGACATATATGAACTTCAAGTGTCTAAGACCAAGCTTTCTGAACCACGCAATTTTTCTAAGTGTTTTATACTGTTTTTTATGTTTGAAAGTGACCGTACATCGATTGAAAATCTGTGGTTCCCTAAGAAGCGTATTTCTCCATAGTGAACAAACTTGTGTAAGATTATATAGAGTTTCATTATCAACGCGTGAGAGATGCTCAGCAATATAAACCAGAAATTCAGGCGTCACCTTTGATACACCGATACGTTCATAGGGATTGCTGGGACGTGGAGTTGGAGGCGACCTCAATATAACATTATTAAGTTCATAATATTTTAAGTTCGGAAACATACGTTCAATCGTTCCCATTGATACTACAGACCCATTGATAATAACTGACCTAACCTGAGGAAATATGTAAAAAATTTCCTCATTCCTTTCTCCCATGAATCTCCCGATACATGTGAGCTTCTCGATGTCTTTGTTCACAAATTTCCTTAATGAAAATCGTGGCAAATCACCTAAATCATAATAGCAAAAACTTGCGTTGATAATCAAATTACGAATTGAGGTGATATTAAAATGTTCAATTATTTCTGCAATTCTGTAACAGATGTATTTCCTCGGGTATGTCCCTAAAGTTGTTGTGATTTCTATTGATTCCATACTAACTTCATCATAGTGACCTTCAAGCAATTGTAAAACTCTATTGGGATCATCTTGTTCGGGTGGACCATACATTGACAAATCGCTGAAATGTACAAATTTGATGTGTTTAAGATTAAACTGCATAAACCATTTGATTTTCCTTATACTTTTAAACGTCGTTTTCAAATCGTATGCAACTATGCACTTTTCAAAAAGTGACGATGTTTCAAACAGTGTTCTTCTCCACCGTCGATTTAGTTGAGAAAATCGGACAAGATAATTGCTGTCTACCTCTATCAGTGTTTCAGCCATGTATATCATCAGCTCTGCAGGCAGTTTAGAGGTATGATCTTTTGTATTACTTTCGTTGATTTCTGCTGGCTTCTCATTCATTATTAAGTGAGCACGACGTGCAGCATCATTTTCCCTATGATGATCAGGATTTTTTGATTTAGTTGTAAACATATTTATGACTTTCTGCATGGTGGTTAATTAGAGAGTGCTCAAACGTCATGATAACCCGGAGCACAGGATCTATCTATCATATGCAGATTAAAGTATAAAAGTAAAGATTTCACTTCAAAGTCCCAAGACTTCAGTCTTAATATGCACAATTCCAGTAAACGCTTTCAGAATCCATGCATTTGAATACTTCCGAGAAATACTATTTGGGGTGATTGTGAGTACGTAATAAATTCTGTGATATTTGGAGCTTTCTAATTGCGCATCACCTAATCAACAACACGCCTTTACGTTGTTGCTTCACATACACACGGGGTGACTACGTACGTAACCAAAGAAGCCATCGTATGAAATATATTAAGACATAATTTCTAATGTTATACAAATGTCACCATTAATCGTAATCTTCTCTACTTAATTAATACTGAGGACTTGTCAATATAAGCCCTTCTAAGAAACATCTGCCTACACATACTTGATACTTTCTATAAGGAAGCAACGTTGACGCTGTGATTCTTTCTAAAATATTTTCAAATACTATCATCCTCTTTGTCAGATGTATTTCTCCCAATTTGTTTTGTTGGTACCAAAGTATGTAGGATAGGAACATTATTCTCTATAAGAAGACCTCGTGCCTGGCATAGGTCAAAATCTGTACTAGCATAGCTATCTACTCGCAATAAAGCTTTAATTGTGAGATTTTCTAAGCATTTGTTCTGGAATCTTGCAAATGGAAGTTCAATTTGTTCCCCTGGGCTGGTATAACAATCTCTCACATTTATTATTAAATGCCGAATTTGAGTAATCTTGAAATACTCTAACATTTCATATATTCTGTCGCATATGTGCTTTCTTGGGCATAATGGTAGAACGATTTCCACGGAATCTAGTGAAGCCTCCTCAAAATCGCTATGTCCAAGTATTTCTAAACTTTCTTGGGGATCACCATAAGAAGAGAATGTTTTGAGATTCAAATCGCTGACATATATGAACTTCAAATGTCTAAGACCAAGCTTCCTGAACCACGCCATTTTTCTAAGTGCTTTGTATTCTTCTTTACGCTTAAAAGTAACTGTACTTCGATTAAAAAGCTGCGGTTCCCTAAGAAGCGTATTTCTCCATAGTGAACTAACTCGAGTAAGATTAGACAGGGTTTCATGATCAATGCGTGAGACATGCTCAGCGATACAAACTGCCAACTCTGGAGTCAACTTTGCTACACACCTACCAGCTTGCGGAATGGAAGTGGTCGCATTATTTCCTTGATACATCTTTGCTTCGTAATGTAATAAGTTTGGACACATTACGTGGATACTTCTGGTATATGCACCCCAACATTCGACTGACTTCACATAAGGAAATAGATACGAATCTCTCTCATCTTCATCTACCCAAATTGGGCCGATCAATGTAAGCTTCTCGATATCTTTCTTTCCAAATTTTCTAAATGAAAGAAGTGGCGCTTCACCCAAATCACGACCAAAGTTTTTTCCGTTGATAATCAAATGGGCAATTGAGACAACATTAAAGTGTTCAAGTATTTCTGCAATTCTGTTGCAGATGAATTGCCTCGGCTTTATCCAAAACTCCGTCGTAATTTCTACCGAATCCATTCTCATATCGTCAAAATCGGCTCTAAGCAACTCTAAACTTTCGTTGCGATCTCCCATATCGGATGGATCAAAGATTGACAAATCATTGAAATGTACAAATTTGATGTGTTTGAGATTAAACTGCATAAACCATTTGATTTTCCTTATAGTTTTAAACGTCGTTTTCAAATCATATGCAACTATGCACTTTTCAAAAAGTGACGATGTTTCAAACAGTGTTTTTCTCCACCGTCGATTCAGTTGAGAAAATCGGACAAGATAATTGCTGTCTACCTCTATCAGTGTTTCAGCCATGTATATCATCAGCTCTGCCGGCAGTTTAGAGGTATAATCTATTGTATTACTTTCGTTGATTTCTGCTGGCTTCTCATTCATTATTAAGTGAGCACGGCGTGCAGCATCATTTTCCCTATGATGATGACGATTCTTTGATCTAGCGTTATACAGATTTATGATGTTCTGCATGGCGGTTGATAAAAGAGTATTTTCGACGTCGATACAACACAGCGCGCAGGTTCGATCAAAGGTAAATAAAAACACCACTGAAGATGGTCCGAAATTTAAATTATAATAACCCAATATTTATATGCCGAACATCAGTAAACCCTTCCATACATGCGGTGCATTCGAATACTTCCGAGCGGTGATGATTCACATGATGTGTTTTGGATACTTAAAAAAGCAGTGAGAATGTTTATCTCGGTTTATTATCACAATGTCAGTAATTGAAACAGCTTCGACGACAACAACACTCGTAAATACTAATGCAGTAAATGATAAGTCAGCTAAGACTTATACAACACAACGAGATTGTGACATAAACTACACGGTTGCTGAAGCACAAGAAGCAAGTCAGTTATCGTATATGCATATTTATGATAAAGGCAGTGCATGTAATATAGTCGCTCGCTACGATGGTAGCTACGCCGAGAAGGGTGCACCAATCACAAGTACAGTATATATGGACCAATGGAAGAAAGACACCCTAGCTGAATGGGTACAAGTCACAGAGAATAAGATGAAAGTCACTATCAATGGATTAGTTACATACTTTGATATTATGCGTGACGTTGAGCGAGTCTTTCATTTGTTTTGTTTATGTGATTTGCTAATTAGAATAACAGGCAGTTCAAGTTCACGCTGTTTGATGGAAGCACCGTGACTATTGACGTATATGGGAATAAATATGAAGCTGTAGGCGATAAAGCTGGCTTCGTCTATGCATCTGCAAAGCAATCGGTCAGGCATGCCATACCACTAATGGGACACAAATATGCCGCAATGACATTACATCATGCACCAGAAATAGACGACAATGATTCCATTCTTATCACGACAGCAATGTTATACACCGAAGCACGCCTACGGGGTTTGCATTCTTTCGTCGAGGGTGCGAAGAGGCGGAACATGAAACAAAGTGGAGATTCAGCAATGTTCATGGGTGGACACAACTGGGCTGAGAAATATAAGTAAAGTATACCGTATTTATTTTTTGTCTACGAGTATGGACCATAAATACAATTAAGAACAGAACAAATTAACAATTGATTGTGCAATTATTGGCGAAATAAAATAGCCTTAACCGCCGAGGGGAGCTGGCTTACCTTCGCAAGTCCAGGTCTCGTCTCTAGCTTGTGGCTCTCCAACTTCGAGGTAAGCATCAAGGTCGAGGCACTCAGCGACGGTAATAAGGTTGAATCCACGCTCCTTGAGTGAAGGAACAACCGATGGCATGACTGTGTATGGTGTAGTTTCGTATGTCTCGTGATTGAGAGTGAGGTGTGGTTCGTTAACGTCTGTGAATCCATCGTAGATACCAATGCTCTCATCAGCAGATGCACCTTGTGAGTCGAGAGAGTCCTCGCTCCAGTTTACGACGACCATACCGTGTTTTTCTTGAATGTAGTTGACAGCCCCTTGAAAATTTTAGCAAAGACATCCAATGTATTTCAAGAACTCACATTCTGGTGCACTACCATATGGCGGTCTGAGGAACTTTGGTCTAACACCGATGATCTTCCAGATTGCATCATTGACGAGTTCGACTTGTTCGTCAATTTCTGCTTCACTCAATTCGCCGAGATTGCGATGCTGTTTGTCTAATGAGATGGCGCAATATACAATGATAAATAAGCACTTACAGACCAGGTATGTGATCCGATTAACATGCCACTGTTATATGTATTTCTAATGCGTTCGACTGAATCTTCTTCATAAATGCAATTGTAGTTGAATCCGTTCAAGAACATTGTAGCCTTTGATTCATTCTCGTTAAAGAGGTCGACGAGATCATATTCGGCACCGACACTGCCATCGTCGAATGTGATTGCGAAGTCATGGTAACAATTTTCCACTAAACCAAGGTTTTGACGTTTGTCAAATGGTTTAGCAAGTGTGGTTGCTGTAGCGGCAGCAAAAATTAGACTTTTCGGAAATACCATCTTTTTAAAGTTGTATGAAACGAGTGTAAGAAGTTAAATTAATGAATGAGTGAGGTTGTTTGTTTATTAATATAAACACAACGTGTGAATTTATAAATTGAAATGGAGAGAAAGAAGAGGTTTAATAAATTACTTTTTTTAAGGCGCGGATACCACTTTTTAGTTCTATTCATTTTAGAGCTCTTTTCTGGAATGCTTTAAATAATGTTTCGCACGTCACATACCAAATGTTACGGAAGTTTTTATATTCAAAAATGCGTTAAACAGTCAACTGCAAGAATACCGTCAATTTCAATGAAAGGATATCTAACGATGTGTTATTTGCCGGATTAATGTCTCAGAAATTAACTCACCCCCATTTATCAAGGAACTCCTTAACTCCGGCATTGAGACGCTGCTTCGAGGCACCTCGCAATGGATCTTGCGTGCCGGTGTGCTTAGATTCTCCTACAATAACATATGCAATACCCAAAAAGTGTTCGCGTTCGAGAGCTAATAAAAACTCCTCTAGTACTTCTGTCGCTTCACTAGAATGTAACCCGTGTACTTTTGAGATGTGTTAGTCAGCGTTTCTAAAAAAATTCAAGTTACTAACAATCTAAAACACTTTCCATTCTCTCGTCTGCGCTTGTTAAACCTTCGCGGGCAGCCATGCCTAACACTACACCCAAGCCATTACCACATGCCTTTCCTCTACTCCTTCTTCCCGCCTCATCACCTTCATACCCAGCAGTACCTGCACCTGCAACTATCGCTTCTTGGATTGCTTTTCTTCTTTCTTTGACTAGATTACCAGCGGCTTTAGCGTTCTCGCCCATCATCCGTTCATTTAATTCGTGCGCTTCTTTGCTGAATTCCTTAGCTGCTGCACCATCTCCTTTCCTGTAGGCATCTGCCGCTTTCGATAGGAGTGAATTACGAGCAGTGCCTAATGATATCGATGAATTCCGGTATGACATATATAATGAATTCAATGTTGATCCAGTTGGTAAAGTAGGCAGAAGTGTTGGTTGGCGTAACCGTATGCGAGGCGAAGATCTTGGTTTTGTTGTACTAGATTTCTTGAGTGATTCTACTGGATTAGCTTTCGTCGGTTTATTTTGAATTGGTTGGTTGACTTTAACGGCTGTCGACCATCTTGGTGTGTATTGCTTTTGAGATGTCGCCGAATGTGCTTTATGCAAACCTGGAAAAGCCTCTTCGACAGATTGAACCTTAGTGGCTTTTTCTTTTTCTTCTTCTGCTATGATACTGGCATTAGTTTCGAACATGTTGGATAATGTGCTTTCGACTTCCTGTTTCGGCGGCAGCTGATGGAGGAAATCGCAGTTTTGTTTAATGCAGTTACCCCTCAGCCAGAATCTACAGAGTGCTCTTTCTATATCGTGCGAGAATCTACAGTCTGATCTTCTACATTCACCTGCGAGATAGTATCTGCATACTCGTCCACCGGCTGGATTCTGATGACGTTGAGAGAGGTTGTTAGGTGGGGCCTTCTGGGCCATCGCAATAGCAGCAAGACTTCTCCTCTCAGACAATTCATTGAGTGTTAATTCGAAATCGAAGCTGTTTCCTATTAAAGTTGATTCTAATTCATCGTAGGTTATACCGGATGGAGCGAAAATAGTCCAGAGGACATCCAAAGGTGTCATACCATTTCCTACATCCTCTTCTACTGTATCGCTAGTACTGGCGGGTGGTTTGAACTCAGCTGCCCGTTTATTGAGTGGACGAGGGCTCGCTAGGGGTGAACTAGGTTGACTACCGATACCGGGAGGTAGAAAAGACTGCATTTGAGAAGTTGATAAAGAAGGGGATAACATTAAGGGTGTAATTTTACCGAACGTAGGCGTCGTTGGACCTTGGGTTGGTGTCCAGGGGCGTGAATTCGGCCTAGAAACCGGTCTAGAAGGTGTACGCTTTTGTGTGAAAGGTGCACCTGTGATATCATCCTTGTGTGCGTGCATTAATTGCAGTATTTCCTCATCAGACGGTGTCTATACCAAATTCAACATGTATGACCACATAGTAGAAAGCGGAACTTACCCTGCCAATAAGAGTTGCTAAATTTGAGCGCAGGATATCCTCCTTGTCTTCAAATTCCTTACCATCATTTTCCAATTCGCTTATTAACGTCGCAGTGATATCCTCAGACGTTTGGGCCTGCGGGCCATTTGCTAGCTTTGGGGTTGAAGGCGCAGATTGAGAGAATTTCTGTAGAGTGGACAAATAGCTTCTTGTATGTAGGTAGGCATTCGGACCTTCTCTCATATCTTCTATCGTCACCGTTAGAGAGTATGATGCATTTAAAATAATTTTAAGTTTCCAATCGATACATTATCAGTTTTTTGTTTATTCTCTTCTTCCTTAGCACCTAACAAGCTAGAGAATAGCTCGTTGATCTGTGATTCCGCCCAGCTCTCCTTTGGTGGCGGTATTGGTACCATGAAGTTTTGGAGCTTATCGTGGACATTATACCTATATAGCTGGTCAGAGAATCATCTGCTAAGTTTATATATACTCACTTTATCTTTCTACCTTTAGTAGCACGCGTATCAACGTCCTTCTTTACTTTCTTTTTGTTCGTTCTCACAATTTCTTCGTCCTCGAGCTGACCCGTCTTGCTTTCTATAATTTCCTTAAGCAGCGTTTGGTAGAAGTCGCCATCGTCGAATACTTCAGCTTCAAATTGTCCGGTCGCATCGCTATTACCTCTCCTCACACCTACTCTCTGTCTGAGCTTTGGATATTCACGGAGGACATCTTCAACTTGTGACCAAGCGTCTTTGTTGACAGCAGAGAATCCCTTTGTGTTGGCTAAAGATACTTTATTAGATGTTGTCTTGAGAGTGTCTATCAAATGTGGTTCGTAGCTATTTGGGACATCAGTATGTAAGAACAATGGACTAGTCTTAGTTACCTTGTAGCCATATCTATAGAATCCTTTGCTGCACCTTGTATGAAATTTTTATCATCCAGACGCGGCCTTTTCCGTGGTGGAATCTCAGTATTGGAGTCATATTTGATAAACTTCTCTCGTATACTGAATACACTTTCACTGAGTTCGTTGAGTGCTTTTATTGTGTTCTCTATTTCGTCTTCATTACCAGACTTGAGTGGCTTTGTTAGTAGAATTGCATACAATGACGAGTCTACTTACGATAAAGTCCTTATCTTCATCCGCACAGATGTTGTTCACCTGAGTGACTGCTTTCTGCATACCAATTCTGACCTCGAGAAGTTTATCATAGGATTGCAATTGTGCGACGACAGCTTGACCGCGTTGCCTGTCGAGGTTCTGTGATGCCTTGATAGACTTGTGGATGTCATCATCATCGTTGTCGCTTTCGTTTTCGCTGTTTTCACTCTTATCAGCGCTCTGTACGATCAATGCTTGATTTGTATCATCATCGTCTAAATCCTCTTGAATGTCATTGTCGCCTTCGTCATCATCATCATCATCACTGTCCTGTACAGCACCGAATGGCTGAGCTTGCTCGTATTCCCCGTCAATTTCTTCTTCTTCGTCGTCTTCATCGTCTTCATCCATCGCTGGTGCACTCCTAGCAGTCATGAAGCTCTCCTCATTATCATCTTCGCTATCAGATGCGTTCCCAAATATCTTTGCTCTCGAAGATTTGTTGCCTGCATACTTTACTTCGTTTAGTTTAGTAGAAGGACCATCTATTTCTGAGCGTAGGTTTGATCTAATAGTCTAATTAACAAAAAATACTAGTAATTTCTTGTAAAACTAACTTATTCGCCATGTCTTCTTTCTACCTCGATGAAGGTTGAAGATCAAGAAGCAAAAAGTGCTAGTAGCAGTACATCAGGCAATTATTATGAATTAGCACAACATGATTTACTAATAGATAACCCGTTAACTACCACTTCTATACTTGATAACGATGAAAATACTAATACGAATGATACACAAGAACCAGAGGGATTCGCTTTAATAGAGGATTGGGATGGTACATTGATATTTGGCCATATAGATGAGGAGAAACATCTGAATGACCTCCTATCTGAGATACCGAATCAACATTTATCTGAATCTACAGATAGCGAGAGCGAGAGCGACATATCAGACAATAGTCAGGCTAACACAGAATATAGAGATCAAACGGGTGATACCACGGATGAGGATATTCCTACTTTACCACACGGTATATCGGCTGTGCAGGCTACACAAGTCACACCATTGCCAACGCCAATGCCACAATCTAGTCCACTTAAGGAAGGCAGAAAGCCACCAATGGGACACTTCCAAAATGAACTCAGACCGGAGATACAGAGGATTGCGAGACCAGGCGTGCATCCGTCTAAATTTAAAGCTAACACTAATCAACAAACAAACGCGAATTCTATTATTGTCGATCCTAAACACAAGCCGATCCCATCGCCATACAAAGACTTTTATCTCACTGGTAGACGGAAATTGAAACAGAAGAAAGCAGTAAGTTGATTTTAACATATTATTAGCTTTTCTGATCGTATTTAGTCTTCTGATGAAGAAAGTAGTACTGAGAAGGAGCCAAAACCATCAGTTTTGTCAATTGATGACCTTATAGACACATCAAGCTTGACTACAACGCAATTAGAGTCTAACGACGAGGACAATAGCCTTGGTAGATGGGATAGAATTCCAATAGGTGCCTTTAGGAGTACAATGTCGCAAGCTGACTTCGAATCAAGCGAGAAGTCAGCTGCTAATCCGACAAACCCCCATTTACTAGCAAATGCAAGGAGTAGATCGTCTAGTAAGAGCAAAAAGAATAAACCTAGCAAACCAAGGATGCCTTCTCCCTTGCTTTTCGCGAGTGACGGAAGTGGCCAAGGACAGTACAGCACGCCAAACAAAAAGAAGGGGAAGTCTAAGGATAATCAGGATGTCAGCAAACTAGAATTGTAGTATTATTTAATAAAAATATTTATTTTTTGCAGTTTTTCATATTAGCCAATCAAGCTTGACGCTTTAATAGAGACGTTTTTGTTGACGTTCACTACAAAATGATTACAAGAGGATATAGCAAAGTTGCTAGTAATTTGAAGCCATTCGGACTAGTAAATATTAGAACGTTCGCAACTCCACAGTCTGGTCCTCACGTTTTGTCGACTCAAGCACCTTCAAACCAAACGAAAGCAAACGCAATCAAGCATCAAGCCCAGAGACCTGGCAGTGCGCTCGACAAAGCTAGCGAACTTTTCTTTTTCACTGAGATTCTTAGAGGTGCGTTTTCCCAGTGAGGCTGGTTAGCCACTAACAGATGAGCTATTAGGTATGTGGGTCGTTGCAGAACAAGCTTTCAAAGCGCCATAGTGAGTTTCTCGTAAATATCCATGTATTTTCTAACCAGCGGATTAGCACAATTATGTACCCATTCGAGAAGTCACCACTCTCACCTCGTTTCAGAGGTGAACACGCCCTCAGACGCTATCCAACCGGTGAAGAGAGGTGTATTGCATGCAAGCTCTGCGAGGCTATCTGCCCTGCCCAGGCCATCACCATAGAATCAGAAGCTAGAGACGACGGCGCACGTAGAACAACGAGATACGATATTGACATGACAAAGTGCATCTACTGTGGATACTGTCAGGAGGTGAGTAATTGCCGTTATTTTCATTTTTCATTTTATAACACAACATAGGCCTGCCCAGTCGACGCAATCGTGGAAACCCAAAACGCGGAATACAGCACAGAAACACGCGAGGAATTGCTCTATAACAAGGAGAAATTACTTGCCAACGGTGACAGAGCAGAGGCTGAAATAGCAGCCAACATCGTCGCTGACCATCCATACCGTTAAATGTACAACTTTTTACTTCTATATAATGCACTTTTTTTCTAGAATTCAGTACCTTAATTCTATGTTCCTTGATTGTTTACTCATTAATCCTTAACTCCTTAAATCCGTTCGACCATCATCGAAAACTAAAAGCTCAAAAATGCCACACTCGAGAAACTCAAGCACACACTCACACTTCATTAGAGAAAACAGTCCACCTAGTGAGCCAATCGGTTTGGGTGCTGATAGAATAGAAGTAGGTATCCCTTTCGGAATTCTTTCCACTTGACTTACAACCCACAGGAAGGTGCTGGACACGCGGAGGAAGCAGAGGAGCACAACTTTAGACTCGCTTCAGCCTTCGATATCCCACCAGCATATGAAGAGAGAAAGGGAAGATCACACCAACGTTCACACTCTAGACAGCACGACAGAAGCCAAAGCAGACAGTTCAGAAGTCGCAGCAGACACGCCAGCAACCCAAACAGTGCAGCTAATTCACGCAGAGCGTCTCCAGCCGCTCCTGCTTCTCGTAATCAAAGCCAAGAACCGGAAGTTTCTCAGCATAGCCAACAACAACAACACCCACACGAATCTCACCAACGCAATAATAGCGAAATACAGGGTGTTTCCCAAAATCTCCCAGAATTGGGTTACGGGTATGTTTAGATTAACGATTTTTATCAATCTTAACAAAATACCTCGCAGTCAATCTAAAAATGGACACTCACATGAATCCAACGCTGGTGTTGAACGTAAACGTAGCCAATATATGGGCATTGGCGCTGATAGGATTGATGTTAGTGCAAAAAATTTCAGAAAGGTGTAATCATTAACAAATCAACAGGAGGGTAAAGGAGGTGCTAGCATGGGACAATACATGCAGTTCTCTAGCGATGGAAGATAATAATGATCTGATTTATAAACCCACATATGACATGATATGACTATTCGGATATACGATACTTTTATTTATTAATATATATAGATGGATTACTTTTATTTACTTTCTCATATAATATAGGTGCGTATGAGAACGATTGAGATAGCTACCAACTCTGCGAAGCTATTTAATGAAGTTGTAAGATGTCGTAATGTTTTGGCATCTAGCAAAGAAAGAACGCTAATCAATCAACTAGTTAGGGCTATTTGAATGTATCGTATAATGATAGACTGATATCGTAGTGACTTTTCTTGCCTTCATACAACAAACAGCATCAGGTATATTACAGGATAGCAGATGTTATCGAGCACTTTAACATTACTTTCATCCATTTTTCTATCTATGGAAGGAGACATTAAACTGAGATTGCCTCAGCAGTCTAAATTCACTTGATTTTAAAACGACTCATCTCATCAGATAGTTTCGTTTAGATAATACAACAACCTTTTCTTTGCGTCATGTGAAATAGGCTGTTAATAAAATGCATTGATTAACTTAAAAGTGTCTCTGATATTGACAAGTTCGTACACAAGATATAACTCCCTCAACTTTTGTTACTTCATCAGTATCTCGTCTATAAATCTGATAAGTAATCTTGATTTGGATAAGTACTTCGATAGAGCAAACATTCAAACCGATTGAAAAGAATAGCAGACAGTAAAACACCCAGGAGCTCTATTTAGAATTTATATATGCGTTTCATACAATAGTACCGATTAAGTATAATGAAAATGTCTATGCTTGTTATCTACCCAATTAGTTTCTGCGCTTAAAGTGCAATCTAGATCCTGGTTGTGGAAGAACAATCATGGACTGTGTGGTGTCAATTAATGGAATGAAAGGCCATGATCTATACTCACTGTGTAATCTTGTGGAGGAACTCCATTCTTTGCTTCAAGCGTCATATGACGGATGAAAGTTGCAATAATGGTTGATAATTGCAAGTATGCGAATTGTTCACCAATGCAACGGTGTCTTCCAGCACCGAATGGTTGGTATGGTGAGCTAGTTCCCTTGGAAATAGCACCAAAACCGTAATCGACAGTCTCACCAGTTTCGTCAGCGTTAGCCAACTCTTGTTCTTTAGTCTTGGTAGTCCATCTAGTTGGCTCAAACTCGTTCGAGTTGTTCCATAAAAGTGGATCAACTGCACTAACACCTGGGCATGCAATTACGAAGTTTCCTTTTGGTATAACGTAGCTTGATTTCTCTGATGGTGCACTCAAAGATTGTGGTACTGGTATTTCATTGATAACTTTTCTTATGATAGAGTGGATTGGTGGGTGTAATCTCAATGTTTCCTTAATTACACTGTTGAGAATTGGACAATCACGCATGTCATCAAGGTTGAGTGGTTCGAATGTACCATCATCTTTCATGAATTTCTCCTTTTGTTCTTGGTAGAGAGCTTCAACGACTTCTGGCTTATCACCAAGATGGAAAAGAATCCAACTTGAAGTTGCAGATGAAGTATGTTGACCAGCCATCAAAAGTGCAATCATAATGTGAGCGATTTCACGATCTTTGAGTTGTCTACCATCTTTGTACTTGCATTCCATAAGGGAAGCAATCATGTCATATTCGTGGCTACCTTCTTCTCTTCTTCTTTGGATGATCTCACTGTAGAAGTCTGACATTTTCTTTTGTGCGACATCTCTTCTCTTGTAGGAAGGAAGTGGGAGATTTGGGAACATAAAGTTGAGTGGAGTGAAACCACCGTCAAGATCGTGATACATATCAGCGAATGACTTATCAAGACCATCTCTGACTTCCTTACCTTGGAGGGTACGACTTGCTGTAAGGATAGTAATCTCAGACATTGTTTGGAAGCAGTGGAAATCGCCACCATTTGGATTGTTATCTTGATAAGCTTTGAATGCAGCATCACGGTTAATGAATTTGAGTGTCTCATCTTGAATCATTTCAACGTATTTTTTCAAGTTTTCACTGCTTAAACCGAACTTGACGAATTTCTTTTGTTCCATAAGGACGCTGTTTGGTACATCGTAAACAACATCTTTACCGAAACTAAGTTTCGTTAGTTATGACGTAAACACTGACACGTAAAAACTCACACTGGGGTTGTCAAGTGAGTGTATGCCTCTTCTGCACTAACTTGGTTGAGTTTCCCGTTCAAAATGAGATCATTTCCTTTAGGTCCAAGCGCAACGGTCATTTTGCGACCAAGAAGGATGAAAGTGAATACATCTCCATACTGACCGGTGTTAGATAAATCATAATAATTATTATATAGCCCACCTTCTTACGATTGTCGAACATGAACTTATATGGGTCCATACCATAAGTAATTGTGCTACCGATAAATGGAACGATGTGGAAAACCATAGGAGGGCTGCTACTAGACTTTATTGGTAGCTATTCGATGTTAGCTTGGGCGAGAGAGCTGTCTTCTACGTACAACTTGACTGAGTACATTGAGAACTATAGATATAACCACAAAGGCTATAGCGCCTAGAATATACTGTAAGGTTGTGCTTAAACTGCTGAAATCAGCTAGTAACGATTGAACGCAGGGCATCTTGATAGTAGCTAATTAACCAATAGACTTGCTTACATCTCATACGAGGAAGAAGACATCAGGTCATTTATGAGAATTTTGAAATATAAGGAGATATAAATATTGTAATAATCAGCGTAATTATGTGATTCAGAATATGCTAATATCACCCTCTCATCTCTCTTCTTTTATCTATATCTAAAGTCAGGCCATATATGGTGCTTCATTGGTCAGCAGATGAGCCACAGTATTTCGAGATAGATATAAACGAGATATGAATTAATTTATCCTGTGTAAATGATATAATTCAAAATTTTCAAGGCCGAGCCCAGAGAACTGCGTATTTCGTAAGATATTGGTGACATTGACAGATAAATTTTAGACGTCACTTGGGGTTTTTCTCTTACGTTCAACTGTTTATAAAGAAAAAGCGTCAGCCAAATATGTGAGTTGTCTCTTTGTTCGTAGGATACCAATCATCCGATTTGGCTGACAAACACAGCCTTAGAGTATAAAATACTTTTTACCAACTACTACCAAGACAAAATTCTCAGAAACCTCGTCAGTCGTCATTCACTTCTTCTTCCCCTACTCACACGTGATTAGAAATGTTGAACAAAGTTATCGCATCAGCAGTTATCGCAGCTGTAGCTGCATCACCACTCACTTCTAGACAAGATCAAGGCACTTCTGCTGTATTCAATTGCAACCACGACTTCGCCTTGACTTACGATGACGGTCGGTTTAGATATTTCAGTGCACAGACGTCAGCTGATCAACCACAGGTCCTTACACCTACGGTAACGAGCTCACCGATAGCTTTTCAAACGCTGGTCATCTCTACGTACGTAATTCTAAGTTAGGATGTCTTAGACATGATGAGCTAATTTGTATCCATAGACAAGGTTCCTCAACGGAAACAATTGGAGGTGAGCTATTTTTTGAAACAAAGATTACACTCCTCTAACAGCCATATCAGATGTATCTACGATGAAGACATGGTCCAAAACATCCAATATGCTCACTCAAAGGGTCACCTCATTGGTTCACACGGATGGTATGTTATACTTCCCATGACAGCCAATCTAAAATCATTCAGGTCTCACGCTTCCTTCAATGACATAACTAGAGAACAACTCGATAGCGAAATCGATAATGTTGACGAGGCATTGAAGAAAATCCTTGGTATCGTTCCAAAGTATGTCAGACCACCATACGGTACTTGTGACGCCTCCTGCGTTGATTACCTCCAAGCTAAGGGCAAGACTGTCGTCCAATGGAGCGAAGACAGTGGTATGTCCGATGTTTAAGATTTGTTTCATTTTTAATGTTCCCACAGGCGACTCAGCTGGCGTTGAACCATCCGAGATTATTTCTAAAATCCAAGGTTGGGCTGCTGATGGTAAACCACATTTGATTTTGGACCACGAGGTTTACCAATCATCTGTATGTTATCATTTACAGCTTACTTAATTCCTCTAACTTGCTACCCAGGTTGAAGAAGTCGTACCAGCTGTTTTGCCATCATTTGACGGAAAGAAGTTGACAACCGTCGCTGAATGTATCGATGCTGAGCCATACTTAGAAGTTTCAGCTCCAGGTACTAGAGACGACACCTGGACATGCTCAAATAAGCCACCAATCAAGGCTACCCCAGGTTCATCAGCCTAATTTGGCAATGCTTAGAAAGAGCATATTTTTAAATTTTTTACTAAACTATGGATCAAGCATGGACATGGATAATTTCTATTGAATTTTTTTCAAAAATTTCTCATTTGTAATACTTTCTTGACAATCATACATTCGTTTTACTTGATGTGTAAGCCCGCTCAGCTATCCGATTACCTCGCGAATCGGATAGCGCGTTCTTATTTAAACGATAAGCTAATTCTTTTTCGGGGTTCTGTGAGTTATGAGATATCTGCGGGGCACCAGGAATACCGTTTGGATTGGAGATGTCTTATCGCGTGTATCACGTCAGCCTAGACAAAGAAAGTAAGGCCAATAAAAATGCCAAGATTTGTAAAGTAAATAATGTATTATAATAAATCTTAACCTTTTGTGTATATATGGCGTGATGTGGTAAGTAAAGATACTTGGTGTCTTCATAAGCATTAATACGGTTTTGTCGGAGGTAAATAATAGTAGTTTCTAGGATATAGTTACTATTGTAGAAATGAATAAGATACAAGCTATTTAGCGACTTGTTGGAGGTCTCGACTGTCATTAAATCGCCGTTTAATGATCTAGATAAATAGTCCATTGTTATCGCAGATCACTCGTCGGCATTCTGGACCGATGAATATATCGCACAGAAGATAAAAAGCAGCATGTTGTTTATTTTCTTCCTTAATCCTTTACCATCATGTCAGTTTTTCACTCGCCTGATCTGATGATCAATACGGCCCAGGCTTCCTAGCGAAGGGAATGCTAACAAATTTCTACAGAGCAATGTCAACAGCAACCGTACAACGTGGCTTAGCACCAGCGTCAATCCTCCAAGGAGGTGTTGTCGACAGTGTACAACGTGCACTCAGCCAGCTCAAGTAAGTCCTTGTTGACTGTATAACTTCGAAACTAACAATAAACAGTGCTAAAGACACTCCTATTGAGAAATATATCTTCCTCAGTCAACTCAGAAGCACTGCCAAGGATACTTTCTATCGGTAGGCTTGGCTTATGGCTTCCCCCACATCGCAAAAGTACTTACACGCTATTTCACAGCCTCTTGATTGACAACATTATTGACATTTGTCCGTACGTCTACACACCAACGTAGGTTTTATTTTTTTTATTCATTTTACGTTTTACTAATATTTACTTAGCGTTGGGGCGGCATGTCAAGTATGTCGATTTTAGCCGAATGAGCCTAAAATTTTAACAATCAAACAGCTCTACTCAAACATCTACCGCAAACCGGATGCTTTATACCTCAGTTATCAAGATCGTGGCCATCTCGCTGAGATTATGTCCAATTGGCCACAAAAAGATATCAGAATCGCAGTTGTCAGTGACGGTAGCCGCATCCTAGGTCTCGGTGACTTGGGTATAGGTGGTTGTCAAATTTCTGTTGGAAAATTGACCCTCGTAGGTGTTTTTTTCTTTAGAATGAAGTCAGTGAAAATTCTCATATTCTTCCTCATAGTACGTTGGTGGTGCCGGTATCAAACCCGAAGGCACCCTTCCAATCATCCTTGACATGGGTACCAACAATGAAGCACTCCTGAATGATCCTCTCTACCTCGGTCTCAAAATGAAGAGAGTTTACGACGACGAATTCATGGATGAGTTTTACACAGCTACCAGAACCGTATTCAAGGACTGTCTTATTCAATTTGAAGACTTTTCTTCTGAATCTGCATTCAAGTACCTTGACAGATACAGATACAAGAAAAATGCTGTAATTAGCAACGACGGTACGCCATACGGTGGTAAATGCTTCAACGATGATATCCAAGGAACTGGAGCTGTCATACTTGCCGGTTTCATCAATGCCGTCAAATTAGCTTCCGCTGCATCAGGACGTTCTCTCTTCGATCAACGTATTGTCTTCTTCGGTGCAGGAAGTGCAGGTGTTGGTGTTGCCATGCAACTCGTGGAATTTTTCACAAGGAATGGCTTTACTCTCGAAGAAGCTAAGCAGAAGTTCTACTTGGTTGATAGTAAAGGTCTTGTCACCGACGATCGTGGAGATAAGCTCCCTGAACACAAGAAAGCACTTTCACGTAAGGCAGGTGGCCCACAATACAGAACTCTCGAAGAGATTGTTGAAAATGTACGTCCTACGGCTCTTATTGGACTGTCTACAGTTGGTGGAGCTTTCAACGAGAAGGTTGTCAGAATGATGGCTGAATTTAAGACACGCCCAATCATTTTCCCATTGTCTAATCCATCCCATTTGTCAGAATGCACATTTGAGGATGCCATCAAGTGGACGAATGGTAAGGTCATCTTCGCGTCAGGTTCACCATTCAAGGCAGTTACCTACAATAGCAAAACATATGAATCAAACCAAGGTAACAACTTCCTCAGTTTCCCTGGTATTGGATTAGGTTGCATTTTATCAAAAGCTAACGAAGTAAATGACGATATGATCTACGAATCTGCGTTAGCATTATCAGAATCATTAGATGAAACTGAATCTGCTACCTTACTTTACCCACGTCTTCACAGGATCAGAGACGTCTCCGCTACTATCGCTACCAGAGTTGCTCAAGCGGCCGCCAAGACTGGCGTAGCGGAGAATGAGAAACTCTATGGAATGTCAACTGAGCAGATCCTCGAATACATCAAATCAAAGCAATACAATCCATCACCATTCTAGATATCCCGATGGATAGCTATTAACTTTTCTGTAAAAGTTTTTTTTTGGTCTTATGTTCTTATGTATAAATATACGTTCTTCGCTTACGTCCGTTACGTCATGAAGTTGATTGATAGAAAATTGGACTTGATCGTCGTATACAAGCTTAAAAGTAACGATGAGCTTGTAAATCTACTTAAAAAAGTAGAGAACTCCTTTAGCTGGACTGTCAGATCTGGTGCTCAACCAGACGAGATTCTGATATTCTTACAAGCCAATGCGAGCACTAGAAAGACGGTTGAAGTGGAATGTAACAACATGTACGACTACTTCAATAGCTACTACGCAACTTCTAGCGTTCGCAAAGTTGTTATCCCACATGACCACAAATACAACAAAGAGTTATTGCACAGTTTGACAAGCAAATACCTTATTTCAAACGAGCAACTTACAGGTATAAAGAACGCATACGGTACAAACGTGGGCTTTTATTTCGCTTTCTTGAGGACTTATTTCCGTTCATTGGTTTTACCTTCACTCGTAGGAATTATCTGCTGGTATTCGAAAACGGAGTTTAGTGCATTATATGCCATTTTTATAAGTCTCTACGCTATTGGTTTTGTCGAGTATTGGCGTGTTGCTGAGCGCATCATAAGCGTTGAATGGGGATCTGATGGCTCGAGAAGTGTTGAACTCACGAGACAAGAGACTAAGCAAACAGCTTGGTATGTCCGTGAAGCTAAATTGTTAGCTTCTCTCCCAATTTTACTCCTTTTTGCAGCCTTGCTTGCTGCACTTCTAACTTCGTGGGTTGACATGCTTGTTAAGATCATAGGCTAACACAAGACAGAATCTTCATGCTTGAGGCATTTGGTTTGCATTTCTACGAAGGACCTCTAAAATCCTATATTGTTGGTATATCGTCACTCGTTTAAACTTATCTTACCATTATTCTAGTCACTCGTGCCTACCGTTCTCTTCTGCGTTGTAGTTCCACAAGTTATAGCAGTATATCAACCAGTATTGACATGGTTAAGTAAATGGGAAAACCATCCAACGCATTCAGATACCGACTCAAGTTTGACTATTAAGACATTCACTATCAATTCACTCGTCAGCTTTGGTGGTCTCGCTTTAACTGCTTATGTATACGTTCCATTTGGAAATACATTGATGTCAATCGCAGGAGAGAAACTTGGTCGTGATATTAGCAATGTCGTCGCATTAGATGGAAAACGCATTCAAGCTCAATTATTTGCATATATGGTTACATCACAAGCTGTGGGATCATTTCAAGAAGTTGGTATGCCATTTATTATGTCATTTGTCAAATCGCACACATCGAAGAATACATACGTACCTGTTGATGCACCTGAGGAGAAGGAATATCTTGAAGAAGTACGTGCGGAAGTATCTAAAGAACCTTACGAGTTATTTGAAGACTATGCAGAGATGGTCACCCAGGTTCGTAAACTAATACTGAAATTACTTATCTAACACAATTTTAGTTCGGTTATATTGCATTATGGAGTGTCGCATGGCCATTAGGTCCACTTATGGGTCTTATCAACAACTTCTTTGAAATTCGTGGAGATGCTTTCAAGTTAATCAAGCATCACAGTAAGTGCATACCTCGCTCAACTGAAAGTATTGGCCCATGGTTAGATACTCTCTCATTCTTGAGTTGGTTGGGTGCGATGATTAATACATCACTGGTTATTCTCTTCAACAGTTCTTTCAAAGATAGTGATTTACTTAACGGTCATAGTGGTGTTCTAGTAGCATTCATTGCTGCTCTTGTTGCATCACATGGTTATTTCCTCGTACGTGGTCTTTTTGCTAGATTATTCAAGATAGCTGTTTGGGATAACTCCACTAGTGCTGCTATCGTGCGCGATCGTGCTATGGCTTTACACGGAAGTGTTCACACTGTACGCGATGATAATGATCCATTAGATAGTAATTTCGGTAAACTCAATGAAACGATCTCAGAATTATCAGCCGCACAATCGAGGAAAGATCAGTGAATGCAAGTAAAGGAAAAATATCTCGTAGCACCAAAAAAGGATGTATATCAAAAGAAATAAATAATGTTCTGTTTAAAATAATAATAATGATAGCCGTGAATATTTCAATTTGTTTAAATAAATTGTTCGTTAATCATAAGTTACCTCATTGATAAGGTACTTTGTGAACGTAGCTTAGTTGGGTTTTTAGGTATGGAAGAAGTTGATGATTGACCTTTATAATGTTTAATAGTTGGCGGCGGCGGAGGTGCCTTAAGGCTTTCTCTTGAAGGCGCTTTACGTGTAATCTCGGAATATCTCATTTGAGATCTCGCCTGAGCTTGTTGAGCCTGCAAGTAGTTACTTGACCGACGACTATTTGCACTACCTGGTGATATGCCCCCGTAATCAGATTTAGCGGCTCTGCTGTTTCCTTTGAGATAATAATCATCATCATTGAGATCAAAACCAGCTTCTGATCCTCCATACTGTGAGTGTTCTTCATCCCATTGCTGTCCTGCAAGGTATGCAGCGTGTTGAGCTACGTAAGCTTGGAATGATTGCTTTGCATTCATCATAGCCTGGAAATGCATTTGAGCAGCCACCATAGCTTGTTGGTTGAGATCACCGTTGCTAGAGCTAGGTGCAGATGGTGGAGGTGTTGGAAGATTGTTCGCTGGTGGTGGTGCGAATGGATATGCGCCAGGCATACCCACAGGAGGCATTGGCGGCATTGGTGGCATTCCAGGCATACCTGGAGTACTATATGGGTTGAAATATCCAAATCCACCTGGTGCACTCTGCAGAGACATCGCGGGTGATGGCGGTGGCCGTAGAGTTGATTGCCTTGATTGTGGAGAGTAACTCGCGTGTGATTGCCTCTGATAATTAGGTGAAAGTTGTGAATTATGCTGCAAAATGTTAAACAAAAGCGGATGTCTTAGGTCGAAAACACACCTTTATCGAACGAGAATCGCGGTTCGCGCTAACGGGTGGTGGTGGTTTACGATAGTTGAGCTTATGTGAACTTCCTTGTAATTTGAGCGACGGTGTGCTTTTATTAGGTTTGCTTGCTATCGAGTTCACTAAGCTGACTTGACTTTTCGAGCGTAACTGTGAGAGTGGAAGTGTATCGTCGCTCTCGTCGCTATCATTATCCTGTATCGTAGTAGCGGCTTGGCGTATCGTGCTTCTCGATTGTCTGATCCTCTGCTTGAATTTTTCAAATTCGTCGTTATCGCGGACGTTGTCATCAGAATCATCATCCGAGGTGTGCCAATTGGATAAATCCTGGTTGGGCTTCGGCGCCGGCTTCCTGCGTGTTTTAAATAACGGCTGGGGCTGGTTTTGATTCCCCAGCAACTCGTTGCTCGACCGCCTCTTGAATTCCTTGACAGACATTTTGGCTGATGAATCAGAGGAATCGACTTGGAGAGGTGACGGCTGGCTTATTTTATCTTTAAAACTCGTCACGCTCTCACTGTACTCAGATTCCTGCCCTAGTTTTTTACTCTTATCCCTTTTGAACAGCTTCCTAAATCCCAACCTCATAATAGTACATAAAGAAGCGCAACATTAAAAAAATATAAAAAGTTTTATCACTCAAGGTCTTGTAATTCCATGCTGTTCATATTTGTTAGCTTACTTTGCATTATCCACGCTTATCATGTCACCCACGCGTAATGCCAATCGAGGTGCTCGACTTTTTCGGCAACATTTAGCTTCTTTCCGCATTCCTTACAGTTATATACATCTCCGGCTACGTCCTCTTCACTGCTATCAATTTCGATAGTCTCTTTCTTTGCTTTTGGTTTCTCTTGTCCCTGTCTAGGTTTCGTCAGGAACGCTGTGAGCCCTGTCTGAGGTGTTCCTTTCGACTTTTTCTTCTTCACCGCTTTTTCTGTTTTGTCTGCTTTGGTAGAATCCGTTGAATGCTGTCGTTTTAGCTTGCCGTCATTGCCGTTTTTAGTCATCTGACCGAGAAATCCCTCAATTCCCCGCTGTCCCTACAACTTATTAGCTATAGATAGAGCTTATATCAGGACTCACTGCTTCCACCGTTGCTAACCCTGAAAATGACAACGCGAGTTTGTTGACGTCATAGCCTAATTTATGTTCATCAGGCATTTCTTTCGTGTCGCAGCGTACAAACTCTTTGAGGAGTTTCTCTGCATGCTTTTGTATTAATTCAGGGCCAAATGAGTTGTTATACGGGAATGCACCCTGATGTGATCGTGATGACTGATAAACCTGATTCATAGATAACACGATACTCTTCGGCCACATAGTCTTCTTGCCTTCTTCACCTCTCACCTCTTTCAGCCGTTGGGATAATTCGCTTGACAGGATTTTCAACCAATGTCGCACTTCGCCCACCGTGTTGATTGGCGGCCTTAACGACTTTGATGCTAACATTGACTTCGTGATAACACGTTCCTTTACTTCATCTGAGTTTATACCGCGGATCGTGTTATATATCCATATACTCTCTTCACCAAATTGGCGCTGCATCTCTCCCAGAGGTACTTTCCAGAGATCTGAAACGGTAGCTGCATCGTAATGTGCTGCAAGCGCCTCTCCAAATTTCCCACCAAGACTTCTGATTTTCTGGAAGCTCATAGGTCCCAAAAAGCTATCGACAGCATCTCTTCGGAGAACAGTCTGGTCGTCTGGTTTCTTATAAGCCGAACAAAGCTTTGCCAGTATCTTGTTATGTGATATACCTGCCGAACATGTATAGCCTATCTTCTCAAACATTATTTTACGCGCTTCAGCAACAAGTTGAGCACCGACTTGGATAGCGACATCCTCCCAGGTAGTTTGCATTTCTTCATCAGCAATGATCTCCCCATCTGAACCCTTCTCGCTTGATGTTGGTATCACGTTGCCGACATCTGCGAATGAAATGATAGGTGGTTCCGGTAAGACGTCATCGAGCGTCTTATCTGGAGGGAGTTGCTTCAGGAATGGATACCTAGGGTGGTTAGAGGGGGATCCTAAGAACAGCTACACGTACCTCTCTAGTATTTTATTCCTAACCAACTCTGTCAAATCAATGTATTGTTCGTCGATTGAAGCCTTTTCGATCTCGCATCCGACAAATATTTCCTGCATACATTTCAGCACTTTTGCACCCTCTCTACGATAAGGTTCAAGCGACACCTGTAATTTATTAGTGTGCGATTTATATCTATCGTGCACTCACTTTGTGGCTGTCTGGGCTGGGCTTTTCATTCCAGTAACCAGGTTCTTCTACCCCCTCCTTGTATGTAGCTACATGAACAGGTACAAGATTCGGGCATTTCTTCTTTGCCTTTGTCTGATTAGCCGATGACATAACTCCAGCATAGCGAGACAAACCTCGAAAATATTCTCATGACGCGTAATACCATATGCTCTGGCTGGGTAGGATATAGCAATCAATCCTGACCATTGTTGCACGACTATCGGTGCATCTAGCGGTAAGTTTAATCTCTTTCTTTCAAACTGGAAGTAACTGTGAGTGACTAGTCCATGTATCGTGCGTATAGCAGACCTGAGCATATGCTAAAGCTTCTTAGATATCTCTGGATCTTATATAGATACACTCACCAGCATCTAAATCTGCGTGACAAATCACTCTAAGAGGATTTCTAAGTATATCGCTAGTAAAAGAGACTACGCGTGCAAATATCAAGCCTACCGTGCATCGCTGGGCTGGCTCGTCAATAGATGCTTATATGACATTTCAAAGACGCGTTCTAAGAAGCTTGTTCTCCAACAATCATGTCGACGCGTGACAAATTGAAGGAATTACGCGAAGCAAGAAATGCAGGTGGGAGATCTAAACAATTTAAAGTCCGTACTTTATTTTATCTCTCAACGTCCACCATAATATCTAACTATCTCTCAGTTTGAAGAAGATGTCGATATATACGATGAAGTCGACGATGACGGCTACAAATCCGTATACAACAACAGAATGAACAGACCAGATTTCATCGAAGATGACGATGGTTCGGGATACATCGACAATGGAATGGAAGATGACTGGGGTGCATCTGATACGCGATATGACAGCGAGGAGGACACCAAGAAGCGCAAGAAGAAGAGTAATGCCAAGGTTAGGCAAAAGGAGAGTCTTGGTGCATACTTTGCGCGCTCACAATCTAAGCCTACACCTCAACCATCGATGAACGCTTACAGGAAAGTAGTATCAGAAGACAAAGCCGATAGTTTCATGCAGGATCTGTTATCTGGTTTAGACTCCGATACTAAATCAAGTGCGAGTCTCAAGCAACCACCGCGTCGTGAAGCGCTTCCAAAATCAACTGTGTTCAATCAGTACAGACCCGATGATAGTGACGTGAATTTCAGTTCTCAGTCTAATCAACAACTCAGCTCAGACCCTCCATACTCCTCTGATATGGACAGCTACCGCTCATCTACAAAGACTGGTCAGTTGCGGAGAAAGTTCACGGACAACGCCAACTTGACTGCTTCACCAACAAAGAAAGCACGTAACCAGCCACCATCATCTGATGATTTCGATTTCGAACCTTTCGAAGAAGATATTAAACCTCCAGTTAACAGAATTCCAAATAGTTGGGCAAAGAGAGACGTAAAGAAAGAGCCTAGTCCATCACCAATAATGAAACCCACTGAACCTGCTAAAATGGAAGTTGACATCGAGGAGAAGAGCGCTGCTGCACCTAAAGCTTGGATGTCAGTTTTGGAAAATATGGCTCCATCTCCACCACCTTCACCTAAAGCAGATGAGGAATTTAAGAGAGAAGGTTCGGTCACTGATAGTCCACTGTATGATGACGATGGCTGTGTCCGTTTCTACTGGTTAGATTACATGGAAGATCACGGTCGTGTCGTGTTGTTTGGAAAAGCTTACGATACAGAAGCCAAAAAATGGCAATCAACTAGCGTAACAATCGAAGGTATCCAGCGTAACTTATTTGTCGTGCCGCGTCAATTTAAGCTTGACGATGATGAAAATGAAACTGGTGAAATTGTCGAGAAGACTGATGTATTCACCGAAATGGAATCTATACGCAAAGCATCTAAAATCAAGTCATGGGCTGCAAAGTTCGTCAAGCGTAGTTATGCATTCGAAGAAAAAGACGTTCCTCGTGAAGAAACTGATTGGTTAAAGGTTCTTTACGGTTTTAATGAGCCTGCTATGCCACTTGGTATGACTGGTAAGACCTTCTCTCACGTATTTGGTACGCAGACTTCTCCATTTGAATTATTTGTTGTCAAAAGACGTATAATGGGACCCTGCTGGCTCAAGTTAGAAGATGCTTATGTTACTCAGAAAGGAACTACATGGTGTAAACACCAATTCACAGTCACTGATCCGAAGACAGTACAATTTTTCAATGATTCAGATGCTGATGCACCAAAAGAACCACCACCATTGACTATCATGAGTCTTTCAACTAGAAGTATCGTGAACCATCAATTAAATTGCCGAGAATTGGTAGCAGCAACAGCTAGAGTATGGGCTGATGTCAATATCGAAGATCCAACACCACCTGAACAACAAGCATCTTCATCTATCACGCTCGTCAGGCCTTTGGGTATGTATCCACCCGGATTTGAGATGAAAGCCCGTCAACAACGTCCAAAGATTGAACCAATGAGGAATGAAAAAGCCGTACTCAGCAATATCTTGGCATCCGTTCAAAGACACGATCCTGATGTCTTAGTTGGACATGACCTCCTCGGCGAAAGTTTAGAAATATTGCTCAACAGAATGAATGAAATGAAAATACCAAATTGGTCTAAAATGGGAAGAGTTAGGAGAGACAAGTGGCTCAAAGCCAAGTTTGATCGTAATAAGAAGATCACAACTGGTAGATTGCTCTGTGATTTAAGCTCAGATCAAGGAAAGGTGTGTCAGATTTGATATCGATTGTAATGTCTAACAATAAGTCAGAGCATGATATCCTCAACAACATGGTCTATGACAGAGATGGTTAATACACATCTTGGAACCCAACGCGAGGACATTGATCCAGATGACACAGCAGCTTACTTCGACTCATATGCTACATCTCCAGATCGTCTCATCCACTTTGTGAAGCATTGTGAAGTTGATGCTGTTTTCAATATGGCTTTAGCTGCCAAGGTTCAGATTTTACCATTGACAAGACAATTGACTAATCTTGCTGGTAATAGCTGGGGCAGAACACTCACTGGTGGTAGATCCGAAAGAAACGAGTTCATTTTGTTACACGAGTTCCATCGTCAGAAAATGATCTGTCCTGACAAGTTGTCAAGGTTCGACAAGAAGGCTGCACAACTGGAAGCAGCTGCTGAGAACGGTGATGATGAGGCGACTACCAAAAAGAAAGGTGGCCGTAAAGATAAATTCAAAGGTGGTTTGGTCTTCGAACCAAAGAAAGGTCTCTGGGATAAGTATATCCTTGTTATGGATTTCAACTCGCTTTATCCATCTATTATACAAGAATACAATATCGATTTCACGACAGTCGAGAGACCAGAAGACGACGACAATGGTGAGGAAAAGATACCTGAAATACCCGCGCCTGGATCAGGTCAAGGTGTTCTTCCTAAGCTTATTGCTACCCTCGTCAACCGTCGTAAACAAGTCAAGAACTTGATGAAAGATAAAAATGCGACACCAGCGAAACTAATGCAGGTATGTCCATCTTTGGATAACCATCGTTTATACTAAAGCCAATCACAGTTAGATATCCGTCAGATGGCCCTGAAGCTCACAGCCAACTCTATGTATGGTTGTCTTGGTTTCGAAGGCTCGCGTTTCTATGCACGTCCATTGGCAGCCTTGACTACATTCAAGGGTCGTGAGATTCTTACCCATACCCGTGAACTAGCAGAATCCATGCAACTTGATGTGAGTGATTATTGTCTGTCATAACATAACTAATAAATGTTCAAGGTTGTTTATGGTGACACAGATTCCGTCTTTATCAACTCAAATGCATACTCATATGATGATGCTCTCAAAGTAGCAAACGAATTCAAAAAGCATGTCAACGATAGATACAAGTTATTAGAAATAGATCTCGATGGTGTCTTCAAGAGATTGCTCCTTCTCCAAAAGAAAAAATATGCAGCAATAAAGATGGCTGAAGGCAAGGAGTCTACGGAGATCAAAGGTTTGGATATGAAGCGTAGAGAATACTCCCAACTGTCCAAGAACGTCTCTCAATACGTTCTCGACCAGATCCTCAGCGGAGATTCAACAGAAGTCGTTGTAGAACATATACACGATTATCTTACTGAAATGGGCGAAAGTATACGTAATGGTAAGGTACCACTGGATGACTACATTATCAATAAGCGTCTTGGTAAAGACCCAGAACAATATCCAGATTCAAAGTCCCAACCGCATGTACAAGTCGCGATGCGCATGAAGTCTAAAGGAGGAACGGCGAAGAGTGGAGATGTTATCAGTTACGTTTTCTGTGCAAGTCCCGATGGCGTGGCTTCTAAGACAGGTAAAGCAGAGAATGCATACCACCCGGAAGATTTGAGACGCAAGGATAGTAATTTATCGCTTGACTACGAGTATTATATTACTTCACAGGTCCTGCCACCAATAGAGAGACTTTGCGACAATATTGAAGGTACCGACCGGTCAAGGTTAGCTGAATGCTTGGGTATGTGGAATTATATTCTTATTTGTTAATCCTAATACAACCACAGGTCTCGACCCTGCTCGTTTCCAGAACCACTCAGCTGGTAATTCCAATGACAAAGAATTCCAAACATTAGAATCACAAATGTCAGATAAAGAGAGATTTAGAAATGCTGAAAAATTCTCTATAAGATGCCCAGGTTGTACTGAGCATACCGAATTCGGCAGTATGCTTGATAGCGTGCGTTATTTCTTTAAGGTCTTCATTATACTGACTAGTGAACAGACGAATAGCGTGCAAACTCGTGGTATTGTTTGTCAATCCTGCTCAAACATACTTCCACCTGGTAGTGTCAACATCCAGCTCGAAATGCAATTGAGACAATTTATCGCCAAGTACTACGATGCTAACTTGGTTTGCAACGATCAATCATGCGGAAATAAAACACGTATGATGAGCGTTTACGGTAAACGCTGTCTCATGTCAAACTGCCTCGGAGTTATGAAGCATGAGGTGAGTTGTTGTCTTCTCAAAGTTACCGGATCTAACATATCTGCAGTATGATGATCAGATGTTGTACAACCAAATGCTGTATTTTGCAAGATTATTTGATGTAGAAAGGATCCTAAAGCAGTCTAATTCTAGTAGTAATTATGGTAAGGATTCTAGAACACATTTGTATATATTTGCTAACAACTCCTAGCTGAGATTCAAGTCCTCTGCGAAAAGAATAAACCTCTTCTTCAAGTTCTCCACAACACAGTCTCCAAATTCCTCGAACGCAACGCCAGATCTGTCGTATCACTTACTGATATCTTCTCATTCATGAATCTCCAAGGACGCAGATGGAAAGTAGCCACTTGAGTTTTAGGTAATACCAAAATATAATGTATATTAATATTAAGACTTTATTATAAACTGCATATCATCGATCAAACTCCTTTAGCAGCTTCTTTTGCTACTTTGCACATCTCGCAGTCGAATACAACAAAATCTTTCTGTTCTAAAGATGTAATGTTAGACGAGATAAGTGATAGAGGAAATGACGTACCGCGTGGTGCAACAAAAATTGCGATGAATTCAGCTGGTTCCGTTTCGGAAGCATTGCCTGATTCAACGTGGAGTGCTCCCGGTAATTCTGACCAGCTTTCATTGGTTTTGTGGATTTTGAGAGGATCAGGTTCAGCTGCACCTGGTTGATGTACAACACTGCGGATGCTACCTTGAAGTACAGTTCCTACTACAAATGCCATACCGTGGTGATGTTTTGGTGTTGATGCACCACCTTCGTAGCCTACTTTGAGTCCCACAATGACTTTAGTAGAGTCTTCAGGGAGGGGATAGCTGAAGAGATTAGTGAATGTATGACCAGGAATGGACATTTTGAATGGTGATAAGTAAACCCCTGGTATTCTTAAGTAGTCGATCCCCAATGAGTCGACTATTGCATCACCGAGATTGAGACCGAGACCGAGTTTTTTTTCAATTCTAGCAATAGGAATCCATTCAGGGATACTGTTTGTAGCTTTTATGATAATAGGACGATATGTCCAATCAAACTTCCATTCTAGTGTAAATGGAAGCTTTTGTCAGCTCCCGCCAAGGTCTTGTCATTCTTGGTTCGCGTCTAATTCAAAATAAGACAATTTCTTTTACTCTTACTATCATTTTCAATTGCAAATTTTCCTAAATTGACTAGACAGTGGAAAGTCCGCGCATTTCGCTGCAATACTATTTAAATAGACGAATATAGAGTAAATTCGAAATGCATCCCCGTTGTACTGGTATGATAATATGCCCCATTACGGTTAATATTCCACTATCACATGACTTAAAGAACGGTATTATTTGAGACAACTTTATCCGTATTTGGAAATTCAGAAGACACACAATATGTGATAATATCGCGGAATCATGTTAATATGCGTAAATTCCTTTGTCTTTTATTCCTATATTCTCGCTATAACTTAACTTCGTGGGTCAATCCACCTGTCACCGGTCTTTTTTTTTTAATTAAGCTCATGTGTGAGCCTATGTTCCTAAAGAACATGTATCTATTTATAATACTGCAGATTCCTGTAATAGGATCTCTCTCACTTGTCGATTAAAGAAATGAAAAAACAGACAGCTTTCACTGAAAAAGTAGATCAAATTCCCCAACAGCAGCAACAATCGGATAGTTACGACTATGAATCTCAATCGCAGCGTACATCCACAGATGTCAGCTCAAAGAAACGTCGCTGGTCATTTTCATCATCCTCCATCAGATCCGCTGGAGAGAGAGATAATGACCCAGACGTTGTCAGCAACCGCAAGTTAGTGTGGAAAATGGATATGGCTATTATGCCTTTAGCGTGAGTTCAAAATAAAACTCATGGGTATACTCTCATACATTCTTAGTGTATTACTCTATCTAATGGCATATCTAGACAGAGGTTTGTTGGGACTCCCCACTATTACTAAACTGATACATATCGTATAGGTAATCTCGGAAATGCGAAAAATTTTCCAGGATTCGAGGAAACTGTATTAGATGGCGAAGAAGACAAGTATTCGTTACTTAGTTCAATATTCTACATTTCATATCTTGTTATGCAAGTTCCTCTGACCTTGCTTGCCAAATTCATGAAGCGGCCAGATATCATGATCGGTTTTGTAGCCATAGTTTGGGGTATTTCCAGCACACTTCAAGCTACAGAATACAACTACGCGGGTGCTCTCGCTTGTAGATTCTTTTTGGGTTTTTCTGAGGCAGGTTTCGGTCCATTGATGCCATTCTACTTCAGTTTGTTTTATGTCAAAAATGAGATGGGTTTTAGGACAACAGTTTTCATTGCAGCAGCACCAATTGCTGGTGCTTTCAGTGGTATTATAGCGTATGGTATAGAACATATTCATTCATACATTGCCAGTTGGCGTATACTCTTCTTGGTAGAAGGATTACCATCTATAGTTTTGGGTATTTTGGTCATCCTTATTCTCCCATCTCGTATAGAAAACACAAAATGGTTTAATGAAGAAGAGAGAGCTAAAGCTTTGGCTCGCAAAAACACTGAAATGACCCAAGAAAAAATCGGTTACGTGAACTGGCGACATGTCCTTTCTGGCTTTACTGATTTCAGAACATACCTAAACTGCGCTATATATATGGCCATCAATATTGCTTTGAGTTCCATCAGGTGTGTTTTATATAGCAGATTGGAGATTCTCTAAACATTATCATAGCAATTTCCTTCCGCAAATTTTAACTGATCTGGGCTACCACGGTGCTGATGCTCAGTTGTATTCAGTTCCACCATACGTTTGCGCAGGTGGCTGGATGGTAAGTCTCACAGTTGTCATAAACGCTCTATTATTCACGTCTTGCAGATTATCCTTTCGATTTTCTCCGATAGATACGAAATGAGAGGACCGTTCATTAGTGTAAACTTGCTTATTTCAGGTGTAGGCTACGCAATGTTACTCGGTTTGCCAACAGTTGGTGAAAACGCCTTAAAAGCCAGATATGGTGGTATTTTCTTAGCTGTTATGGGTACATACACAGCCATCCCATTGACACTCTCTTGGAGCGCCGCAAATGCAGGTAGTGAATCCAAGAAGGCCGTAGCAATTGCTATGTTAAACACGATAGGTCACACTTTGAGTGTCTTGGGTGGATATATATATCCTGATAGTGAAGGCCCGGCATACACCAGGGGATACGCAATTTGTATGGCTTTTGCATTCTGGGGTTCATTCTTGGCCGCAACGCACACTTTCATTTTGTGGCAAATCAACAAGAAGAGGGACAAGAAAGAGGGTGTTGTTGAACACACACCAGATACTTTCGCAGATGCAGACAAGGCAGTAGGTGGATTTTTCTATAGCACCAAATCTGCTAACTTATCTTGCAGGTCGGATTTAGGTATATGCTTTAAATTGTAAAATTATGTACTTATAGTGAACGATTTGAATAATCTTTGTAAACAACGGAGACCGTGCTTTGTAAATACACTATAGGTCTAGATCACGTAATTGGCGTCCCTTGTCAAACTCAATAACCGGTTCTCTTGGCTCGCAATTTTTTGTGATTGTCAGATCTAATATTTATTCAGCAGGAATGCATATTAGATGGCCTGAATGTATTCCGTAGTAAATCCGTCGGTAGGTGGAGGTATCTAGTAATTAAAATCCTTCTAGAGTATATCCGAAACGAATCCGGTAATAGCTCGGTCATCGAGAGTTAACATCGAGACCGATACCGAGATTCAAAGTTTATAAAAAGCTACTTTCATTAGACTATCCATCATAAATCATTCCTCGGAAAATCATTTCTCAATGAAAGAAGACGACAATCTCACACTAAGGAATGCATCGGAAGTAGATATAGAGAAGAAAGCGGATGTAAATTTAACTGAAGAGGACAAATTCCTAGTTGAATTCAAAGAGAATGACCCTCACAATCCAAAGAATTGGTCAGTCAGTCGGAAGTGGTACACAACTGTACTCACTTCTGTATTCATTTTGAGTAGTACAATTGCATCCTCGCTGCCATCCACAATTATTGCCAATATGATGATCGAGTTTCAGACTACACAGACTATTGCTATCTGTACAATTACTGTCTTCCTTCTTGGTTATGGTGAGTGTGATATTTTACGTCAAAGCCGTACTAACATGTGTTCAAGTTTTCGGACCTTTGTTCTTTGGACCAGGTTCAGAAGTGTTTGGTCGTAAACCCGTGTTCGTGGTTACGCTATTCGTATATGCGATCTTCAACATTGGATGTGCACTTTCGCCAAATATTACCGGATTGCTACTCTGCCGACTTTTCAGCGGTATAGGAGCCAGTTCACCACTCACTAACAGTGGTGGTGTGCTAACTGATATATGGGAGATGGATCAGATAGCAATACCGATGGCTTTATTCTCGTAAGATATGATGACATTCTGAAAATATTCACTAATACGCTTCTCAGCATAACACCATTCATGGGACCAGTTATCGGACCAATTATTGGTAATTTCATGATTATCAATGTAGATTGGGAGTATATTTACTGGTTGTTACTCGCTTTCGGCGGTGTTTGCTGGTTACTCACAATATTCACATTGAAAGAATCATATGCACCAATTATTCTCCAAAATCGCGCTCAGAAGCTGAGAAAGGAAACAGGAGACGATAGATATTACACTAAATATGAAAAAGTTAAACCACCAATGAAGGAGTTAATAAAAGTTTCACTTACGAGACCACTTCTCTTCTTATTCACTGAACCAATCGTCATATTCTCCTCAATTTACGTTTCCATCGTCTATGCAATTCTTTACCTCTCATTTGAGATTGTTCCATACGTTTTTAGAGGTGTCTATGAAATGAAGCAACAGATTGCTGGGTTAATGTTCATCCCAATCGCTATTGGAATGTTTATTAACCTTGCGATTAGTATTATATTGCAAACTTTAGCTAAAAGAAGTCAAAGAAAGCCTACATCAGAAGATAGACTCGTCCCTGCGATATACCTTGGTGGACCATGTTTGGTTATCTCGCTATTTTGGCTCGGATTCACCAGCAAGCCAGAAGTTCCTTGGCAATCACCAGCTGCATCACTTATATTATTCGGTATTGCTATCGTCTGTATTTTCACTAGCTTTTTAAGTTATCTTGCAGACGTATACTCAACTTACTCAGCTAGCGCACTCGCATCTAACACAATCGCAAGAAGTATTTTAGGTGCTGTATGCCCATTATTCGTACAACAGATGTTCGACGCTATGGGTATCGACTATGCCTGTATGCTTCTTGGTATAATCTCATTCGTCCTTCTCGGAGTACCAATTTGGTTTAAAATTAAAGCAAGTAGTCTTAGAGCTAGGTCGAACTATGCTCGTAAGGATTAGACAAGACGGGTTGTCTTGCACATTTCTCTTTCTTAATATTTAACGGAGTGGACATTCTATAGATAAGTTAAGCACATTAATTCATTGTATTTTAATTATTATGCATCATGTTTTACATAATTCGCAACAAACCTCTATGTGTAATTGAAAAAATGCAAATAAATTAGGAAAATCCGTGTTGTGTTCTATTATTAGTTGCTTTTGGATTGTGATTCGGAAGCTGCGAGAGTATCAGGGAGTGTGTAACCTCTTGCGACACCCGCTCTACCAGACTCCAACAAACTAGGTTCATCTTGACCTTCGCGTACTTCCAAACCCTTCCAACTCCTTTCAGTTTGAAGATATGCACCCGCTGCTGAATTATTCATAACTTGTAACGCATTCTCAGTTGTGCGTAAAGTAAGCGCGTCAACTCCTTCTGCGATTGGGACATCCATCTCGTTATCCTTGTTGAATTTGCGATGTTTGATGAATTTACCAGTAGAAGCCGAGAAAATAGGTTCATCCTGATCATTTCCACCTTCTGAGTGAGCTTCTAAGCTGTACTTGCTAGATGGGTCAAGAAGTTGACTGAAATCGAGAACATATTCGCCCGTCCATATTCTGTCAGTGTCTAAAGCCATCTCGAGTTCGAATGGTGTGATTACCGGCACATGAAACTCTTTACTGTTTACTATGCTGTTCTCAGCGCAGGCTATGACACACCAACATTGAATTTCAGCAAAGTTACCAAGTTTGGCCGGATTTAACTTTCCTACCGCGACTGTGTAGACTTTCTTGGATGCTTTTTGTAACTTCGCCCGCAATGCTTTTACGAGAGGGAGGTAAGATGCTGTCGAAAGTGTACCGACGGCTAGACCAAAGACATCACAATCTTTTGCTTTGTTAACTTGTGCGTATCGTCTCTGGAGTAGTCTATTTTCAGTTCCGGTTGCCTCAAATGTGGAATTAACAGTTGGATCAAATGCGATAATTGATGCTGGCCGGTTCGTCAAGACGATATTTGTCAATTTGAGTGAAGGTGGACCAATGTAAATGATGATCGTTGACTCATCTGCAGTGATTTTTTTAGGTTCTGACGAAACGGCACGTTGTGCAAGTGATAGCGGTTGCTGAACTGTACAGTCGCAACTGGTGCAGGTATCACCACATGATTGCTTTTGATCACTACATGTTGGCTTTTCCTGAGTACTGTCGGTCCCTAAAGGTGAACCATCTGCCTCATGATCTTGTAAAAGTTCTTCACCGGGTTTGACACCCGCTGGAGCGCCGCTATTTGCAGCAGGATAAGCAACCGTAGGTGGTAAACCATGCAAAATAACTTTCATATTGTCCTCAACAGCTTGTGACAATCTATCAGCTATTGTTTGCGCTTTCCAGGCGTATGCGACGTCAGTTGAAATGATAGTTTCTCGTGCAGTTTTCTGGCGCAGAGACGTAGATAAAGCATCTACGCAACTGTCTACATCAATTGTACGTTTACCAAAGACATAAATTACTGGCAAGCGTGCCGTTGGTTCAAGACATGCGTGCCCATAATGTACAACGACGTCAGCATCGACGTGTTGAGCAGCTACTTCATCTACACAGCAGCTGAAACGAATAAGAAATGATGACATAGTAAAGTGATAAGACTCACGCATTGTATGTAGTGTCTGCGAGTATATATAGCTTTTTATCGCTGCCCAAATGACGCTCAAGGGATTTGAAAACGCGGACGGAGTAGTGAAGGAGTTCGTCTGGGAATTGCAAACCAATCTTGTTCTGTGAGTAATGCCCTGGTGCTAGAAATATGCACCTACTCTAGTAAATCCACCGTTTAGAATATCATCAACGGTTCTAGGAATTTCAAAGGAATCTTCAAATGAATTGCTAGGATCGTCTGCAATATCAAGTTGAGTTACATCTAAACTATTGCTTATTATATCCTCGCCTGAATTCGTTATCGTTGCCATATCGTACTTAGAATGAAGGGAGAAGACCTTCTTTTTTCAGAACGACGAGGTGCAAAATGTTCGCAGACTTGAATATTCCTTTTATTTACACTGAGAATGCGATCGCTAATAAAAAGAAAGGAAAAACTCCTACAAATTCACTACAAATTGATAGGGACGATAGCGAATTACAATGGTCTGGTATAAACAGCAACGATAGAAAATCTTTAGAGACACGCACCAGAATGCTCATACACCGTGCGTATTTACTTCTTTATACACCTCCCCTAATAAAGTTCAGTCGGTTATCGTGTTTTAGCTTACGAACACTACGTTAAAAACTTCAGTATAGCATCTAATAGCAACCCATTCCCACAAAATCGACCTGTTTTCCCTGACCTCGATACCAGAACGACGAGTGCGACGCGGTCAATAATACAATTGAGGAGACTCACAATCGAGCTGGATGAAGGTACAGCAGTATCTTCACAAATTTCTCAAGCTGCATCTAGTGTTTTCAGCGGTTATGATATCCTGGCCGTCAAAGTAGTCGGTCCAAATAGCTTCAACAACGCGTGTTTAAACATGGCGGCACCCTCACCATTCGCTATCAACATAATTCAAATTGATCTCGCCGCTAACACTCGTTTACCGTTTTTCTTCAAGAGGAACACCGCCGGGAAGGCAATATCTGACGGTGCATTCTTTGAAATATGCTATGGAGGAGCACTAGATGGTAGCAATGAGTATGGTAGGAGGAATTTGATAGCTGGTGTCAAAGAAATTGTCAGAGTTACAGGTGGTAAGGGTATTATATTCAGCAGCAACGTGAAAAATGCTTTGCATTTGAGATCACCGTACGATGTTATTAATTTGTGGGTAGAGATTACCACTGATATTTATGGTCTAATGTTAAATTCAGAGGGACAGTGTTTGGTATCAACCAAGCTACTGCAAAGGAGGCTTTGTTTGACAATTGCAAGGCACTCATCAGTAACGCAGGTGAGTATTGATGCGACAGTGTATGATATACTTTAACGAGCTTTCAGAATCACGGCGGTTGTTCAAGGGTATATTTGATACCCCAAAGATCCATCAAGCGCCTTCGAAGCGAGCAAACACAGAAGAGAGTACAAATAATAACAACACAAAAAACAAAAAAGCTAAACGACAACAAGAATAACATTAATGCGAGATAATATTCAATCATACAATCGTAGAGAAGTGCATTATGACGTCATACAAAGTTAGCTATCCACCGAGAGTGTTTGACGATTCTGTGTCGACAGTGCCTTGGCTTGAGAGGGTATGGGCAGCACCTGGGTATGATGAGTTGTGCGTATCCTCTTTTGCTAAACCAGAAAGTTCGGTTGAGGAAGTTGATTGTGGAGTACCATCCTCTGGTTTGGAATGTATACCTGAGTTTGCAGATAAAGTGCCACCTGTGCCATCCAGGCCTGCTTGGTTTGACCTCGAGAAAGCGTTTCCATAGGCGTTAACGCCATAGCCACCTTCATCTGTAGCTGTATATAGTATTAGAAAAGATTACAAAATAGAGTGATAACGAAATAAAACTCACTGTCGGTTCTGAAATTTTGTGCCATCGTTGTAAGTGTGTAAGTTCGGAAACTTGCGTCACAGATATCAAATATCCCAAGGTGATCCACAGTGAAGAATTTAAACTGTAGTGTTTAAAATAAACAGTCTGTCGATTATGTATGTCTCTAATGTTCTCATATAATATATGACTTCTAAAACTAGAAAATAATCACGGCTTGTCTCGAGTGTAGAACATACATTGGGATATCATGAAATCACGAGACACCTTCAGAAAGAAGTACTTCGATGACGACAACTTCCCTTGCGCGCGTTGCTTCCTATCAATTAGCACATTCGAAAATAAGGCGAATAACGCAAAATGCTGTGGGAAAACACCAGAAAGCAGAAAGTTGAAGCCAGCGGAGCAGTTGAAGGTGAAGACGATTTTGAAATTGACGTAAGTACTCCTTCTCGTATGAAGTACGCTCAAGTTGGTTAGTCTATCATGGATGGTAGGTAAACAGGATAATAGAAACCAATTTGACGCATTGGTAGCTATGATTGGGGGTGTCAAAGGTCGATCCGTCAGTTTCAGATTCTTAGCTCTTACTAGGCTCACAAATCGCAGAGACAATTATCATACAAAGTTAGCTGGAGAGTGAGAAGAACGCATATAAAATAAATAAACTCATGCTTATTCATCCGTAGGGATATCCAGAAGATGAAAACAGTTGGGTCACTGATGAAGACGTCAGTAGTGCCTCGGAATTAGTCAAGAGGTTCTGGTATCACAATCCAGACCTCTACTTAGACCTGGGATTGACTCCAAAAGTCGTTGAATTACCACTCAGCCTGTTAGAACGAGAAAACCAGCCAGAGGAAGATGTCGAAGAACAGAATTCGAATGAAGCGACTGACGACAACGTCGAAGACTATGAACCTGCAGCCAGTGAGAATGGCAGCCACTTCAGAGAACCAAGCGAACCTTCCGAACCAGAAATGCTTCAAATTCAACCAAGAAAACGAGGTCGGCCAAGCAAGACGTCAAGTCCACCAAAGAAACGTGGACGAGGTCGGCCCCGCAAGGTTTCAAGTCCACAAAGGACAAATCAAGCGGAGGAATCTTATGTCAAATCATATGAGTACGCTGTCTTAGTCTCCGTTGAATAAAATCTGAAACATACCCTAGTGATACAACACATTGGGACAACCACTTGAAAATCTTGGGTGCACGGGAATCCAAAGATATAAGCGAAAAGGCTGATTTCAAATGTCAATTGTGAGTTCCTGTTCAAATACAGCAAGAATGTATCACTTATATAACAAAAGCGACGATGATTCCATCAGAATAGTTGGTTTTGAAGAACTGGTAGAAAAGGCGCCAAAATCTGTGAGTGACTTTACAACACTGTGAAAACTTCTGATAGATATGAAGCTCTGTCGATTCTTGTCTATGCACATTAACGTAAGTGAAAATTAATCTTTGAGAGAAGTGCTCTAATAATGTACTCTAGTTTGAAAGGCAGTGACAGCAATAGCCTAATAGTTACAACATTATCACAAACATAAATAGAACGTACAAAGACATATTCTACTGTTCAGTTTCGAAATACTTAATCATTCTGCCTTGTATAGATAATATCTTATTATAAATTTATTAATTTTCAATTCTAGATGAATATTCAAAATACTTTATTAGAGCTCCTGATGCTCATGATATTTGTGTGTAGCTTCAGCAGATGCAGTTGGCGTTTCTGCTACGTGATATATCGTACCGTGTGTGCCTTCTTCGGTTTTTTCATCCTCTTCAAGATCACTTGGGAGGCTGGTTTCATTGATATCTGCGTTTTGTGCATCATTGAACACTTCGGTGGAAGTATCAACATCTTGCTCTTCTTCTTGGAGGTCTTCCTCTTGTTTTCCTTGCGAGTTCTCGAATTCCTCGACTTGTTCTTCAATTTGCTCATCCTCCTTTTCATCTTCTATTTCATCCTTCTTCTCATCTTCGTTTTCTTCCCCCTTTTCATCTTCTATTACTTGCTCTTCGTCTTCTATTTGAGTGGACACTTTACCAACCTGTTCGATTTCCGCTTCAGATTGACGCTCAATTGTGAGTATACGTTCAAAGAGCAACTCAAAGAGCACTTCAAGGTCATCACTCTCCTCTTGGTATTCACGCAGTTGATCGAGTTGACTATCGAAGAGTGCAGCCAAACCGTGGTATTCTTGCCAATTTTGGTATGTAATTCCATCTGTCCAAGCGAACAAAGATCCAATTTCTCTCTGTGAATTACGCAAATGCTGACTAGCATCATTGAGACTCTCACTAATGGTGTTTGTCTCATCATTGTCAATCTCATTTTGCCAATTTACGAGGTAATCCAGACTGCTTTGGCTGAGTTCACGAAGTTTGTTAACTACTTTACGACGAACATTAGCAGTGTTAGATTCAAAAACGTCTTTTGTCAAATCACCATCGACAATCTTCGCGAGTTCACTTTCATAATAATCGCCAAAACCTTTAACGAGTCTTGTGAAGTCTGCTTCCATTTCAGCAATCGCTTTGTCAGATTTTTGACGAATCTCTGAACTCTTTTCGATTCTCATCGATGATAATTGCCCTTTAAACTCTTGAGTTGCCTTGTCAAGATGGTTGATAAGTGTCTCTCGAGCACTGTTAAGAGATGATAACGCATCAGATAGTTTCTGCGCTGGATCTACAACTTCTTCGACAACTTCCGTTGTTGGTTCTGGAGTGAACACCTCATTCGCACTTGGATCAGGCTCGCCCATACTCTTCAAAAACTCTCCGAGTTCATCAACCGCTGGTGGTATTGTCTGTAGGGATAGTCAGCCTTGTCGGCAAAAACTTGTTTGTAGAAATACACGTGCATTGCTTTTAAAAAAGGAGAACAAAACAAAAGACAAAGAATGTGCACTCTAGTTAATGGGATGACTCACATTATTACGTTGAATAGCTACCCATTCAGCTAAGTGTGCTAATACTGGATCAAGGAATTTCACTTTAAGCGCCTTGATATGATCGACGTTGACGAGTTTTTGGTCAAGACCCATACGAGTGTATTGAGTAAGTGCATGACGACTCAACCATGACGTGGTCTTTTGACTAAATGCTATCCATTCTGCAAGTCCGCGTTTAGTGTATTTTACAGCCAAACGACGAGCAGGTGGACCGTGTGTTTTTGCAGCTTCCCAAGATTTGTCGAGGGCAATGTAAATGGTACGACGGACGTAAGCAAAGACTACCCTTGCATGAGGTTCTACGACTTTCCAACCGGTTGTTGTCAAGTCAGATACCTTAGTGAATAGGTCATTCGAGAGTTTATTAAGACGCACGATGCGCTCATCTTCAACGACTGGGACAAAGTACTTTGAGTGATACTCGCTAGCAAGTAAGTGTGCACGCGCTTGGTAAGGTGCTAACTTCTGTGCCAGTCTCTTGCGCTGAATTTCTACGCGTGGCGCTAAGCGAGTATTGTAATGCCTCCGTGCGGATTTCTTCGCTTTATCAAAAACTGGCGCGAGTTTGACGAGCTGATTAGTGACTGGAGCAAGTTTCTCAGTCGCGTGCGCGCGATGTGGTGCAGTATAATCGATAGCTTGTTGTACGTAGGGCTGGACAATGTCATTATAGTATGGCTCAAAGTAGTCGATAGTAGTCTGGTGGCGTTGGCAAATGTCGCTGCTTGATGGTGTAATAGGCGTTGAGCAGAAGAAATGCGCTGCAAAGGAATAAAGAATGAAGAAGATAGTGAATTTGCGAACGAGAGTTGATATTCTCCAGGCTTTAGGCGCAGGCTCTACTGGCGTGACACCCTTCTTCTTTGTGTCGATCTTTACAGCCTCCTAGAGGGAGTTAGAAAGGAACTGGTGTGGCAGACGGCGTACCTGAAACCTTGGTTTATCTGCCAAACTACTGTCCCTTGGAACTGGCGGTGTTGGCTTATTGACGTTTCCAGAAGTTGAACGCCTCATCGTTGGTGGGAAGAGAAGGAAGAAATATCCGAAGAAGGAAAGTGCGTCTATAAAATAAATACAAAAGTAAAACTAAATAAACCAATTTGCTTTTATCTCTTCTTCTGTATTGCCTTCCCATTGGGTGATAAATGTGTCAACGAATGGTTTCACTATTTTTCCTGTTTTTGAGAGGCTATCCACTCTAGTCCAGCTTTCAATGTATACCATTCTTGGGTGTGGCAAGCCAATAAATTTGGCTACCCAGACGGCACATACGAGTGGTATTGACGTAGCTGGACCGTTCATGATGAGCAAATCACCGAGCTGTGGTTGTGGGAGATCACCAACCGAATTGTTTCTGCCAGATGGGTTTGAAGGTGAGGAAATATCACTTGGTGGGAGTATAGCTAATACTATGGCCTGGAAGAAAGTGATGAAAAAATTCAAGGGAACTGAAGTGATAGATTGTCCAGGTGTGCGTGTTCTGTGGAGGTAGCTTATGTCATAGTAACCTGCGCTGGACCATTCCAACATCGCGTCGGCTGAGCGTTTGTTCTCGAGTGTTCTAACTTTCGTAGTAGAAAGACTATCGCCAGAGCTGATCAAGTATAATCTAGGGGAGAACTTTATGAAGTCTAGTGCGTCTATTATTTGTAGCAACTCGCTAGTGTGTCCACCTGAACCAAGGAATAACGAGATAGCAACTTTCTCTTTACCAATTGGAGGCTTATTGCTATAAAAGTGCTTATAAACAGTTAGAGTACATTTGAAAATTAAAAATGTCGTTAATGCTGCAAATATCGAAACGTAGTTCACCATTGTAGACAACAACGATGGTATGTTTATTAATTTTGTAGAGAAGCTTTCTAAATAAAACGCAGCCAGCAACTTTAGAAACCATAAGACCAGGCGACGGTGTAAACAAGCCACAACCAGGTAACACTATCACTATGCACTACCACGGTACCCTCGAGGATGGCAGTGTATTTGACAGCTCATACAGAAGAGGACAACCATTCTCATCCCCAATTGGTGTTGGTAGATTGATCAAAGGTGTGTTCTTATTCTTTAGAAAAGCTGTCTAACAGATCACAGCATGGGATCAATGTGTCCCTCAAATGACAAAGGGTGAGAAAGCCATCATCACAGCAACCCACGATGTCGCATATGGTGAGACCGGATTCCCACCAGTTATCCCAGCACGTGCTACCCTCAAGTTTGAAGTCGAATTGATTGATTTCAAGTAATGTTTTGTAGTAATATTGGTTAGGCAAAAATTAGATTGTCTATCCAGCGATCTGTTGAATTTTATGAGATTTCACTAGATAATATTATCTCTGAGCTTCGTTTTTCTGCTGCTTACTACGCCCTTACTTTTATCAGACCTTTGATATCCGTTTAAAGACATTTCTTGTTTCATAATTCTTATAGCTTTCAACAATGAGACTTTAAATCTTACTAAACTTATTACTATCGAATCGATACAGACGTGATATCTTAATTTTTCGCTTTTTCATACCCCCACTAAGGCAAATTCATGACATTACAACATGGTTACCTCTATATCATTCTCTGAAATGATGGTTTCATAAAGTCATACACCCCCTTTCAGCAACTTGTATACAATCGTCGCCCTTTAGGCGGTGGAAGACCTTTGAAACAAACAAACCCCTTAGCAAGTTATTAAACTAGGTTTTATGTAAAAGAATTCGTGTTTAACGACACTTCCAGCTAAAAATTAAGAAATTCACGTCATTCTAGACACTGCAAGCAGGTCAGACATGTTATTTAGACATCACAATCATAATATTGATCTCACTTAAGATGATGTGACATTTATTACGACAGGCTAACCAGCGAGTATTCAAATCACGTAGTGAAACATTATGGCATGATTGGATTTGAAGATAAATCACTAACTCTGACTTCTCATGTTAATGGAGACATAAGTCTGTTTTAATTAGCCGTATACATGAATGAGACACTCTTTAATGTTGATATACTCCATTTATATGATACCCTCGTGTATCTTTTCTCAATATGGTCGAGTAGCCTCTAGACACCCTTTAAAGATAGACTAGCGACACTAAGGCAAACCATTGAAAATAAGAAACATCTAAAATCACGAATTACGAAGATGCATTACATGAACTCCACCGAAGACGTTTGATATTTCGGCATAGAAACTGAGACATACTTAGTGCTGCTCATAGTTTTTAGAGACTACCATGTGCAGTAAAGGTATCAGCCGTCTACCTCTATCAATTATGAGCTTGCAGGGTAGGAACCAATGGTTAATCCGAAGTTAACAAGTGTGAACAAACAACACAAAGATGATAGATACGTACCCGAGAGTCTCAACAAGGATTTCTGAGAGTTCTTTTGATGTAATTCAGTGTTAGTTCTGAGAAACCAAAAGAAGATAAAACCGCTTTAGTATCTATATGATCAACTGACGGGCACCTTATCCAGCTATATCATTGGCCTGTTGACTCTACAGTATGTACAATAAGCAAAACCCACGCTGTTCTAAAAAATTATGTTTTATATGTATTTAGGTACTCTATATTTAGATGACAGACTTAATTTCGGTTGTGATTTTTCCGATGAAGGCTTGGAGTTCAGCCGACGACATGACACTCTCGCTTGCACGAGCCGCTACGCCTACTGTGTCCTTCTGTGCGTCGAGTGCGATATCCAAGAATACGGCATCCTGATTAGTTGTCAGATATATTCGAAAAAACTTCAGTTGAACTCACTTGTGATACTCCAGCAGTTGACAACTCACGTACGCTTGAGCGAACGTCGATTCTGTCCTTGCTGACGAAGTCTGTTGGTGCACCGACCTATTCTGTTAGATGGGGTTTCACATAAGAAAATAAACTTACATCCATTTGCATAAGTGAGCTATCATTGAGTGAGAAGATCTTTTCAGCGTGCCAAAGAATGTTGACATAGACATTAAACAATGGTACACCGTCGTTGAAGACAACCTTGGCAATCGCACCGAGGTGGTCTTGCTCGACGATAGTTCTTCTTGCGATATCACGCTGTACTTCTCTTGCAGCAGCAATAGTATCTCCCGGCGCGACTGACAATGGGAGAAGATTGAGGCAGGGTCCAGAAACACGATCGATACCTTCTACTGTTGCAGCACGACCAGTGTGGTAAACACCTACAATAGGGTGTGCAACTCCACTCATTTCACTGACAACTCTACCAACGGCAGTAGTGCATACTGCTTGAAGTGAAACCTGGTGAGATTGGAGCCCAGAAGTGGCTTCGGATGCTGACTCTACAACTGCGGGATCATGGAAGAACACTTGCTCAGTAGATTCGCGCACGCGTGGTAAAAGTGCTGGTTGACTATCCTTAAGATCCTCTTTCCAGAACTCATCATTACAACCATTCTTCGCGAGTGACTCGACGATATTCTTGAATCCACCAACGGAGTCAGACTTACGTCCCTTATAGCAAGACCACAAATCTGCTGCTAAGATTGGGATACTCCAGGCATCATATAAGGCGTGATGGACTCTGAGTAATACATAAGACTTCTCATCAGATTGGACAAGGTGGAGCTTGACAGGTGGTGTAGCTAACGTTGATGGTCTATTGAACTCCTTTCTGATTGTATCCTTGATAAACGATTCAGCATCTTCGCAGTAGTGGGTTTCGAATGCCGCATCGTGCTCTTTGAGAAGAACTTGAAGAGGGCGACCGTTGACAACAGTGAAAGCTGTTCTCAGTACGTCGTGTTGTTTGACGAGACGCCTCCAGGCATCGGCCATTTTAATGTTATTTACGCGGACTGGTGCTTCATAAGCGAATACTGGCTCGTAGAATGTATGACCGTTTAACAACCACGCTTGAAGGTGATAATGCTGACCAGGAAGAAGTGGTAAAACGGCCTGCACATCATCCTTTCTAAGATGCAAGTTTGACATTGCATTGACAGCTTCAGTTGCAGATACCAATGGTTTACTGTCTTCCTTGACTTCCTTAACTCGAGAGGAGAGCACTTCGTCCAAACCAGCGATCGATTCACCGACGAAGATGTCAGATACACCGAGATCCTTGACACCCATTTTGCGGCAACGTGACGCAAGTTGGATAGCACCAACGGAATCCAATCCAAGCGCATAGAGCGGTGTACCGTAGCTGATCTCCTCAACTGGTAGCTTAGCAATATCCGCAAAGACAGCACGAACGGTCTCCATTGTCTTAGTGATTGGACCTTCAAAGTTGTGCTCTACGTACGAGATCTGAGCATCGACTTTCTCGTCTCCTAAACCGCCGAGGGTGCTTGGGAATCCAACGCATGACTCTTGAGGGTGGTCGACAACGTCCGCAAGAACTTCAACAAATTTAGTCAAAAGCCCATCAAGTTCCTCGCCAGTCATTACTGACGCTGCGCAACTGGCATGAATGCTGAGTGAATCACCACCATCGACGAATTCAGCGTTGAGAGGGTACTCAACACTTTGAGTTTCGTCACGTGTTAATTCAGCTGGTTTCCAAAATGTATCCTCTTGTGCACCATTGAATGGCTTCTGGAAGACGAAGAGTGACTCGAATAAAGTCCTTTGGCGAGCGTTGCGTTGAATATCTCTCAGAGGAACGTGTGAATGTGCTTCCATGTCATTGTATTGTGCATATTGTGCGTGGAGGGCTTGTGCGTTCGTCATATCCTTCTTCAATCTGAATCTATAAGGGATTGTACTACAAGATTGTTAGCTATGTCAATAAGAGAAACAAACACATACTTGAAGAGTGGACCGGAGGCAAGAAGAGCATCTTCGATTGGAATCGAACGACCAGCAACAACTTGACCAAATGCGATATCAAGTGAACCCAACAAAGTAGAGAGCGTTTTACCCCATGCGAGTAAAACGAGTGATTGGAGAGATACTCCAGCAGCGCGGACGATACGGGTCATCTTTGCAGTAACGCCAACAGTAGTATTTGCAAAATGAGCAGAAGCTTTGACGCCATCTATGCGTGGCAATGACTTTGGAACATAACCTTCCATTTGCTTTTGCCAGTATCCTTGTGTGTCGCGTGCACCATCGAGAATGTATGGCGCGGCTTGAACGAATTGCGGACGACGTGCTGGGATTTCACCACGGTATCGCTTCTCGATGTCCCCGAGTAAAAGTGGAAGTGAGACACCATCGTACAACCTACCTATAAGTCAGTGTGATGGATGAAATGAAGTAGAACTCACGCGTGGTGCATTGTCATGTTAACGTAGGTACCCTCGGAAGTATTAATGACCATGAATGCGTACGGTGGACATTCAAAGTCTGCTTCTCCACGTGGGACATTGACTTCAGCGACAAGCTTGGCTGCATCTTCAGCAGAGTCAACAGTGTGTTCTGACCATGGGACCTTAACGCTCTTGTGTACGAGCATAACCCAAGCATACTCGTCATCAGTTTGGAAAGTGGTTCTGAGAATGTCAACTTCTTGAGCAGTTGCTTCGACAACTTGATGAAGTCTGGCAAGATTAACGCCATCATCCAAACGCAAAGTGTGGTGAATATTGTAGTATTTGCCTTGTGAAGCGATTGTCTGAGTGAGCATACCACTCTGGAGTGCAGTAGCGGGTAAGACAACTTGGATGTCTTCGCGACCATATTTGTTAAAGAGCGCATTAGCAATACGATCAAATTCACCAGTAACATCACTTTGATCACCGCCAACGAAGGCCGATAATGCGCCAATACAACCTGCGCGCATAATTGCGGAGGTTGGCACATCCACGCCTTGTTTGCGGAGCGCTTGGGCAAATCTAACTGACGAAATTGAATCGATACCCAGTGAGATGAACGTTGAATCCTTTGTGATTGTCTTTTCATCGAGTTTGCATAATTCAGCAATAGATTTGCGCATTAATGTCTCAGCGTCTGACCATTCATTGTCATACTTCTCACCATCATCGACAGTGAGATCTATAGGAATGAGCGGTTCGACGACTTGCTGGGCATCTTGAAGGAGTTCATCAATTCTACCAAGAAGGTGGTATACGTCGCGAGCATGTCCAAATGAAGAGCTGTAAACAACGCGCAAGACAAGCTCATCTTTATCTGTATCGGCTGTAGCTTCGAGCGCAAGTGGGTACTAGATTAATGTCAGCTGAGGAATCCAGGGAGTGAGAGACTTACATCCACACGAGAAGATTCTTCAAGTTGCTCCCAAAGTTGTTCACCGGATGCAGATGATTTGTTGTAAGCAAAGAGGGAGTTGAAGAGTGCTGAAGGTCTATTGAGCCACTTTTGGATATGACGAAGTGGTGTGTATTGATACTCGAGAACCTGAGCACTATCACCTTGAGCTTGTTGGGCGAGATCTGCGAAACGAGTCTTGTCGGAGACCTTTACGCGTACTGGAAGGGTCGTGATACATGGTGCAAGCATGCTCTCTACACCAGTAACTGGTACTGTACGTCCAGAAAGAACAACACCCGTTGTCTAGTAGTTTGTTAGGTAAGATTTCATCTTAAATTCAACCCACAATGTCAGAAACTCCATTGGTTTCACCAAGTGATACTCCATAAGCAGTTTGTACGAGTACGCGAAGAGAGACGTTCATAGAACGAGCCAACAACTCTAACTTCGACAAAGGAAGCGTAGCAGTCTTGCTTATCTCGTCCACAGATGTGTTTCCAATATGTATCTCGCCTGACTGTGGTAGATCTGCAAGATACTCGACAAAGAATGTCCTAGCGATCTCAAGTGACTGACTTGAAATGTAATCAAGAAGACGATCAACTGATGGTCTCTCGAGAGAGAAACGATTTTCGTAGCGTTGCTTGATTTCCTCGAGGAACATTGGAAGAGTCTCGCCATCGTATACTGCATGATGCATTGTGAATTGAACGAATGTAGTCTTGTTTTGGGCTTCCTCAACTGTCACCCTAACTGGTGCGACTGATTGGATATTGTCAACGATGTTTCTCTCCAATTCCACTTTCTTGGTTTGTAGAGCTGCCAATGACGCTTCCTCTGAGACGTTCTGTGATCTCTGGATAATGTCTACTTCCTTGAGAGCAACTTGAGCGACTGCTGATTGACCAAAGTAGAAGCAAGTGCGGAAGATGTCGTTAGCTGCTATGGTATCTGAAGTTGCAGCGACAAATTGGTCGACGTTTACTTCAGATGACAACTTGAAGGTAAAATGGTTAACATAAACTGGCTCAGTTGAATTGAGAGTACGCGCAACCAAACCCTCTTGAAGTGGTAAACAAGGTCTGATTGCGTCGACACTGTCACCAAAGACTTCTCTAACGTTATTCTCGAATTCTTTGTCAAGCTTGCGGACAGCAGAGGTGTCCTTACCACTCTCGCTTGGACTTCCTGCAAGACGAGCAAGTTTCTCAACTGATGGACCAGAAAGAACGATGTGTGGAGGTACACTCACACCTTCTGATTTCAGATGGAAACTGAGAGAAATTGCAGAAAGCGAGTCAACACCCAACTCGAGGGTGGTAGTTGACGGTGTTATAGTGTCAACACTAACACCAGTTTGCTCACTAAGTGCAACTGCGATTGTCTTTTCTTCTTCACTAAGTGGGCGCTGCGTAGTAGTAACATCTTGTGATGTCTTTTGTACCATGTTACGAAGCGGAACTTGACTGAATAATCTTCTGAGGACCTTGTGGTTTGTGCGTCCACCAATAACATCAGAGATAGGCAAGAACGTCATTGGAAGGACTATGTCAGGTCTGGCACCATATTGTAATTTCTCAGTAGAAGACTGTACGAGTGCTCTGGCGAATGATTCATCTTGAGCATTTATCTCAGCTGGAGTACCATCCAATGGGTCAGATGTGTATGCACGTGCAACGAAGGTGATGATATCTGGTTGCATACTCTCTGGATGCTGGATGACAAGTGATTGGCATACAACATTTTGAAGGGAGACACCTTCTACGTTACGTGAAACTTGTTCGAGATTAATAGTAGATCCTCTGTAGTCGACAACATCGCTTGCTTTGTGTTCGAAGAGGACATTGTCGTTATCCAACATTCTAGCTACAGTGCCTGAATGAATAAGCTTACCCGCGGAGTCGAAAGCGCAGAGCTCCCCAGCTTCACCACGTAAACCAAAATTGGCATCGGTGTTGGCGATGCAAGCACTAACTAGTGGCTTTCCGATTTGGTGTGGTTGGTCAATATCATAACGTGTCAAGAATGAAGCCAAAGAAGATTTGGCGATAGCGAAAGTCTTCCAGACATTAGCTTCTTTCCATGATTCATGAAGGGCCTTGGAGGAGATATGACCAGCTAAAACGATGTGCTCGAGCTGAGGAAGCTCGGATCTGACAATACATTCTTTTTCGAACCAAGCCGCTGTGAGGATCGCATGTGTCACTTGGGAGACCTTCAATACATTTCTTGGGTTATCCTGCAAAGATTCTACGCGTTTGCAGAGGATTGTACTGCCCAGAACGAGTGGTGCGAATGTCTCCAGAATGTGCAATCCGAATGCTGAGTAGATTGTTGTCAGTATAATTAGCAGTAATTTACAAAGCTACTTACTACCAGGAAGCCAGTTAAGGAATGTTGAAGTACTTGAACTGGTCTTGAGATGCTCTGCAAACACTGAAATATTCTCGAATAACTGTGTTGAAGACCATACAGTGTAATCATGAGTGTCAAGCTGACCATTAGCAAAAGTGATAGCAGCAGATTCGGTTTCCTGAAGTGTAGGTCTTTCGCTTGAAGCTTTGGTGAGTTCAGAGATGTAGCCTTCGCTGTCAACAATGACAACCTTGTCTGAACCTAACAGTTTGAAGTCTTCAGCAAACTTCTTGGTGGTGTATACAATATCAGCATTGAGGGAACGTGCAATAAGTCTTTTGCGGTTAGCTGGAAGGTTCTCACCAATGGCCAAGTACGTTTTTCCAGATTTGAAAAGACCTATCCTATGAGCAATGGACTCGAGCGATGGAGGGATACACAATCCGACAACTTTCTTCGATGAAAGCGAGTTGGCAATCTTATTTGATTGCTCTTCCAATTGCTTGAATGATAGAGTGCCCTCATCCGACCTCACAGCGATATCGTCTGGACGTTCTAGAGCATTTTGAGAGAGTGCAACGAGTGGATTGTTGGATTTAGTAACATCACTGTCGTAAGACTTTGCCAAGAGCTTATCGTCAATCTTGCTGAGAAGTTGTGAAACTGGTAAATCAGCATTATCGCTCATTGAATTGACGAGTGCTTGCATTTGGTTCGCAATAAGTTGGACCTGTGATTCAGACCTGCGTTAATTATTAGTATTTTTGTAAACTACCTAGCTGTGACTCACATCATGGAATTGCTGCCAAGGATGTCGACCTGTACGCTATCTCCTCTGACGAACGCGTTGATAGCTATCGGATGTTCTACATCTAGCTCTCCGATTTCGAATCTGTCTTTGAAAAGATCTTCTTCGATAGTCTCACCAGATTCAACAATAAGAACAAATAAGGCTGGGAAGAGTGGAGCACCTGAGGCATATTTAAGGGCTTGACGAACGTGCTGGAGACCAACAAATCTATGAGGTGCACTTTCAGCAGCTAACTGTGAAAGACGTTCGATCAACTGCTTCGCCGTTGCGTTCTCGTCTACTCTGACTGCAACTGGAAGCGTAGCTATTAAAGGCGCCACAGCACTATCTAATCCCTCTGCTAAACCACGCAAGCTGAGAGTCTCACCGAAAATAACATCGGTTGTAGATGTGTAACGTGATTGTAAGACAGCCCATGCAGCTTGTAAAAGTTGATTAATTTGTGGACGCTTAACGTCACTGAATCCCTTTGTCCAAAATCTGAGTGAGTGTTGAGCTTTGTCGTTGTGAAGTACAGGCCATTCAGCGTTGCTGGATTCAGCGAATGGCTCAAGAACCTTCGTCCAGAATTCTTTTGTTTTGTTAGAATCTGCATTCATGAAGGCCATGGCGCTCTTTAGTGAGGTACGCTTGACAACATCAACCTGCTTGTAAGCAGCTTCGACATCTTGGTAAATGAATGAAAGTGAGTCACCATCGTAAATAGCATGGTGAAGAGACGTCATGAGATAGCGGCTTCCATCTGATTTAGTTGCAAGTGTGAGAGCGACCGGTGGTCGGTTTGAGCTTGACCACGAGTTGACGATGTTACGTACACGCTCTTCAAGGATCTTGTCCTCATTGTACTGTACTTCCTCAACTAAAAGCTTTGGTGATGCTTGTATACATTGAAGAAAGACCGATTCTTTTAAGCCATATGTTGCAGCTGGTACGAACGACGTTCTGAGAGCCTGAGTACGGTTTGCAACTGCGTTCCAAGCATTGAAAAGTGCAGAGATGTCGACGTTGTCTGCCAATTTGAAGACATGGTGAGACCAATAGGTAGCAGGATCTTTGATTGTTTCACTAAGCATACCCTCTTGAGTTGGTGTGCATGGTAACACAAATTCGACATCTTTGACATCATCTCTGACCTTTTCAATCACAGCATCGTTAAAATCTTGCAGCCATTTTGGAGTATCAGTGGTAGTCTGGTTTGATGTAGCCCTTGCAATGGCTTTGGCGAGTTGCTTAATTGTTGGGAATGCGGCAATTTGGCTAACAGCGGCGTTAACACCAGCGTTACGAAGTTTTGAAGCAAGTTGTAATGAACGAATCTGTTCAGATATTAGCAGATGTCCTGAAAGTAACCTAGATAACTTACAGAATCAACACCAAGTGCTGGAAGGTGTGATGACTTTGAAATACTTTCGACAGTGACATTGGTGAGCTTAGCAACAACCTCGCGAATCGTCTGCTCCATTTCGTTCCATGAACCGTCATCACCATCGTCGATACCACTTAAGCGACTTTCCCAGTTTGCAATATCAACATCCTCGTAGTACTTGGCGAGCATCTTTCTGTCTATCTTGTTTGAAGGAGTGTGTGGAAGATGCGTGAGTACTAAAATGACATTTGGAATCATGTAAGCAGGTAAACTTGATTCTGCGCGCTCTTTACAAGCAGCAGCGACTTCTAAGGCAGCATCGTCAGTGCGTAATCCATCCTCTTCATCACCTTTTAAGGCTGGAGCAGCTACGAATGTACAGACAACCTTCTGTGGTCTATCATGTCTTGTAAGTTGGAAGGTGGTAGTTTCACGTGCAATTTCATGACAATTGCCCAAAGCAGCACTAATTTCAGACAACTCAACTCTGATACCGCCAAGCTTGACAAGATCATCATTACGACCAACGAATTCGCAACTACCGTCGTGCAACAAACGGACGACATCACCAGTAAGGTAAACATTTCCAGCTTGAGGGTGGTTGATAAACTTCTTGTTAGTTTGCTCAGGGTTACGGTGATATCCTCTGGCATTTTGGAAACCACCTAAAGCCAATTCACCTACTGCACCTCTTAAAAGGACCCTGTCATCTGAAACGACGTAACATGAAATAGTTGAAAGTGGAAGACCAACATTGTGAGCTTTCGTAATCTCATTTGGAGTGAAGCGACGGTAAGTTGCAATAATAGTTGATTCAGCTGGTCCGTAGGTATTAAGTGAGACCGTTCCTTCCTTACACCAAGCGTCTGCAACGGGTTGTGGAAGCTTTTCACCAATACTGATGAGGGATTCGAGCGAATCACAATTTTGAAGTGAAGATTGTGCCATAAATGCAGGTGTAAGGAAAGCATGAGTGGCTTCAAATCCTCTTACAAGTTCTTCAAATGATCCGACAAGGTTATCGCGAGTAGAAGAACAGAGGGTACCGCGTGTTTTACCCCATGCATAAAACACGTCGAGAACAGAGACATCGAAGGTGTAAGCGGAGAAGTTAAGACAACGAATATGTGTGTTCTTCTTCCAAGGGATCTCTTCTTGTAAGACAGTCAAACTCTGAACAGCAGCTGAATGTTCAATTGGAACACCCTTTGGAGCACCGGTGGTACCAGAAGTCCAAATAAGATAAGCCAAGTGCTTAGACTGTGTGTTTATTTCCGGCTTAGTTGATGGTTGATTGTTGAAGACGTCTTCAGTGAATGAACGGACGTCTATTTTGCCCTCAATAATGTCACTAACGAGCGCTTTGTTCTCATCATCCCGAACTAGAACAACAGGACCGCCTGCACGCTCGAAGAGGTCTTTCTTACGTAAAGCAGGTGCGGTGGTATCGATTGGGCACCAAGCACCACCAGCCTATGTCTTGTCAGTAAAAGAGATGCACTCATAGATGTCAACTTACCTTCACAATACCAAGGATAGCCATAAACATTTCAGGTGTCTTTTCAATGTGAATTGGGATAGGTACGTCAGTGAGATCACCGTATGTAGAAGTAAGGTAGTTTGCAATCTTATTCGCGCGGGCATCAAGTTCCTTGTAGGTCCATTTTATATCCTGTGTACTGTCAGCTGGATTTGGTTTGAACCAGAGTGCAAGAGATTCAGGGTTTTCTTGTGCATTCCTCTCGAATTGACTGTGGATAAGCTCCTTCTCGACACCTTCAACGCGTACTGGATTTTCATTGACTGCAGATTTGAGAGATTGATTGACATCCACGGCGACATCCTTGAATTTCCTCTTCAAATCCCCGTTTAGTATACTAGAGAGGATGTCATCAAACTGAGTTAGCATCATCTTGGAGGACTCTTCAATGAGAACGTTGTTTGAGCAAGTAGCTCTCAATCTGATCGTGTCGTTTGGATCTGGCCAGATTTCTAAGACTACCGCAAATTCAGTTACCATTGGTGGATACTCCGAGTGAGACCAAAGATCAGTTTGTGAAGCGCCCTGAGCAAACTGTTGTAAAGCAATAGTTGTGTCGTAGATAATACCGTTATCACCACTGAGTACTTTTGGTGGTAAATGACGATGGACCATTCCATCGGCGTTGCTGTTGACAAGCGATTGTAGTACTGCAGAAAGACTTTCGTCATCTGGGTTGGTCACACGGATAGGTGCAGCTGTGAAAACCGGTCCGACAGTGTGTTCGAGAACATCTGTTGTTCTACCACCAACTATGCTACCGAAAACGACATCGTTTGCATCAGATTCTGAGTAAGCCAACAGAATGCTAGACCATGCAGCCTGTACAACTGACAATGGTGACATCCTGAGCGACCTTGCTTTCTCGAGGAATGAAGTGTAAGACAACTTTGAAGTAACATTTGTGACATGATGACCATCCTTCTTTGCATCTTGTCTCAATCCAGTGAGATCCGGGAAAGGATCAGGAGTGAAATTTTGCAACTTTCCACTCCAGTAGTCGTTATTAGCTTTCGCGTCGGCTGTGAAAACATCTGTGAGGGCATTTACAAACTTCTCTCTGTGAATATCTGCTTGAGGGTTGTTGTAAAGCGCAGCAAGTTCGTCGAGCATGAGAGCAAGAGAAGCACCATCTGTAAAGTGTGAGTATACAATTATGTTGACATGTTTGACCCACCAAACAAAGCGTGATGAAGACTGACGACGAGCTTCTTTGACTTGCTGTCAGAATATAACGCGGCGGTTTGCGTCCTTTCCAATAATGAGAACTTGCTGGAGGCATTTTCTATGTGACTTTGAACTAGTGCATTTGTGTCATTTCCTTCAACTTTCTCGAAAGTTGACGATGGGTCAATATCAACGACCACTTGTGCAAAAGCACTAATTGGGCTGTTGTCGACAAGCACAAAGCGAGTACGAAGGATTTCATGTCTCTTGACGAGCTCGTACCAGGCTTTTTCTAACTTGTTATCGTCGATATCTTCCTTCAAAGTGTAGACAGAGTGGTTGATATAACCAGTGCCAGTCTTAGAGTAAAGCGCAAGTAAACCAGTCTGCATAGTTGTAGCAGGTCTGATAATCTCAGGCTCAAATCCTAAAGCCTCGACGACGGCCGGTATTGCTTGACCACGAAATTCCGATTCTATGTTTGTATAAGCTACCTTCTTGCTATCGTCGTCAGCGAAGCCATCCTCCATTCTTTTAAATGCGATGTTCGATAAAACAGCAGGTGAAAAACCTTTGATGACATCCTCAATTGTTATTCCAGTCAAACCCGCTTCACGTGCCAAACTCAAGAAGCGGACACCTCTCAATGAGTCAATACCAAGTGCGAGAAGTGTGAGATTTACATCGATCTCTTCTTTGTTGAGATCGACGGTCTTTGATACGCAATCGACAACCTTGTCAAGCGTTGGGGTATCCAGGATCTCAATAATTTCACCAGATTGTTCCTCTTCAGCAGCTCCGACGAAGTGGCCCTCGCTAATGTGATCCTTCACATATCTAGAGATTGCTTTTCTGTCAGCCTTCCCGGCTGTAGAACGAGGTACATCTTCTGCGGTAAAGTATACCACTGGTCGCATGTGAGATGGAAGCTGCTTCTCTGCGCTATCAGTACACTTGTCAATGAGATCCGTAGAGTTTGGCGTAACAAATGCACAGAGTTGACCTTCCGGTTGATTGACAACTGTGTGTACAGATCTGACACCTTCAGTGTTTGACAATACAGTGTCGATTTCTCCGAGTTCGACACGTTTTCCATTGAGTTTGACCTGTTCCAATCCTATACGGCCGAGGTACTCAATATTGTTCCACTCGTTGTTCTCATCCAGTACGACACGCGCTTTATCGCCAGTTCTGTAGAGTCGACCGAGACCTTCAACATCGATAAAGACTTTATCAGTCTGCTCTGGCATGTTTAGGTAGCCCTTCGCGAGCTGTGGACCTCCTATGACTAGCTCACCTGTGAAACCCATTGGCATAATCTTGTTAAGAGTTGGGTGGAAAATGAGAAGAGATGCTGTCTTAATTGGAGGACCCAATCTCGCACCAGATTCAGTGGAAGGATGTCTACGGAGTGTGACATTAATTGCTGCCTCCGTTGGACCATAAGCATTATAAAGTTCATTTCCAGGGCGAGTGAAATTGCTGATGACTCTATCTGAGAGTTTTTCACCCATAGTCCATAATTCGAAGCCTTTTGGCAGTTTATCTGGGTTGAATAAACCTGCAATGGATGGTGTAGCCATCATGTGCGTACATCTCAAGTTTGAGATTACAAGTTCTGGGTTGGTGAGGAACTCTGCACGTGGAGCTGCACAGATAGTAGATCCTGAGCTAAAACTCATGAATGTCTCCATGATCGACTATAATGTATCAGTTTGGCATGTCTCATGAAGGGATAACTCACTGGATCGAATGTAGATGGCGCGAATTGGAACCATCTGACTGTGTTGTCGAGTGGTCTAACTGCTAAGTGTGATTGTATCGATGCTGCTGCGGCTGAATGCTGTATTTGTACACCTTTTGGTTTACCAGTTGAACCAGAAGTGAAAAGAACGTATGCGACATCATCTGGAGATGCTTGATATGTGAGTTTGCTGGTGCTATCCTTTTGTGTGTCTATAAATGTGGTAACGTCTATATAATTTACGCTAGCTGGGATCCACTCTTCCCGAGGACCTAAACCGAGAACTACTTCTGCTGAAAGATCCTCTAAGAGTCCTAAATGTCTCTCTATTGGCGCTTGTAAGTCGAATGGACTGAATGCATTGCCTGATTTCAATGCTGCGAGATATCCGACGTAAAGTTCCAAAGATGGTGGAAGTAGAAGTGGTACGAATAGCTTCTTAGAGGTTATTTCTAACGCTAAGGCATTTGAGACGTTGTCTAATTCGGTGTAGGTTAAGGTAGATCCGTTGAAGTCAACTGCGACCGAATCGCCGTTCGATTGTACCTGTGCAAGGAAATCTGAATGCAGTAACTTATCACTAGGAGCTGACTGTGGTGGATGATTGAGGCTCGAAAGCGGTTGATTATCCTCCTCTCCGGTAAAGCTCTTTCTAAGTGTATCAGCGAGAGTTTGGGGCAGCTTGTGCTGGACTGTGATTTCTCCATTTATGATCTTAATTCGGTATATGTAATCGCTAGAGTCGCTTTCGTAGTCTTCGTGTAGCTGGAAATCCTGCTGACTGAATGCAGATTCCTGGTAGCTACCATCGACTACGCTTATAGTTTTTCCGTTATGCTCAAAACTAAACTCATCATCGCCGAGGTAATTTTTAAGTAATTCTATGAACCTCGTCAACTGTTGCATTTGTTGTGGTTCTAGATAGAGAAGATTAGATTGATAATCAGGATAAAGATCTCAGGAACGGAGATATCAAAGGAAAAAAAAAATCTTACAATAATAAATAAAAAGATAATAGAATCAAGTGAATAAGCAGGTAATATCTATCACTACTAATTTTTTTCCCTATTCTTGTCACGGATCTGCGCCCGAAGTCAAAATTGATCGAAGAGGCACTAAGCATTTATTCGGTAATCAAACAATAAATAAATAACATTAAATAAGTGGAAGTGGCTATTATTTATTACTTTGGGTTATTTCGGATTAGTGAATACTTACTGAGCATGAAATACCAATAAGACCGCCTTGGTCAGTGTCCTCACCTATATGGTTTTAGTGCTGTTATTTCAAAGGCAAATGACTTACAGCAGACTGGTGTGTTTTTGCACTCGTCTTCTATTGCTACAGCAAGGATAGGAATCTGGACACAGTCGAGAGCGACTTGGTCGAGGATGTTTCCGAGTGATAACAATGAATCTTGCTCGCCAGTGCTTTCTTCAGATGATTTTGAAGTGTTGCAACAGCTGATTTCACCTTCAAAAGTTAGATATCTCCTAATGTTAAGGTGCGTTCTTACCTGTGTTACAGGAGCCTGTATCTCGTCAGAATACATATAAACAGCATTCTTGTGAAACGACTCACCAGTCTTGGATGTCCATCCAGCTAATGCAAAGCTAGAAAGTGCGAGAACTGCAGGGATATAGATCATTATAATCGTTGAGGAAGTAAAGAACATATAATTTGTTGCATTTATACTCCGCTTTGAATGTGATATTCATTCGTGATGCTGTCATACAGTCTAAATGTCATTAGGGCAAATATCCATACCGAAGGTCTGAAAACAGACCTAAGGAAGCTTTTAGTTCTTTAAAGCGTTTTCAATAACCTTCAACAATGCGGACGTATTCACTCCTCTGCAAGGAATGCGGAGCGTTTTACTTTGAAAGGAAAGTCACTATGGAATCAAACATTCTTACATATCTATATGTATGCATTTATTTGGGGTTTTTCACATCATGTCTATACCTTAAATAATTTATTCAGTTACAATTGCGTGTTTTGATATTTTCATGACTTGAGGTCTTTAGACGTAAATTTTGTGATCGTGGAGCCCATCGATATCAAATGTAGTACATCTAAATAAGTTTACAATCTATAATCACTTAAATCATATCGCACTCGCATTCTGCACTCAATAACATGTTAAATTGCAAAAACTAAGATCTAAAATATTCATGGTATTAGGTACAGATAATATCTACTCAGACCTCGAATGGAAAAATAACGCTTAGATACTAGCTTAGATGATTGACAATGGGGTGCAGTCGATACCGACGAGACCATCATCCTTCAAATCTTCACAACAGACCTAACCACGATGTTAGAAAGTTATTGAATGGTTATAAAAACCACTTACTGGAGTGTTCTTGCACTCATCTTCGATAGCAACACCGATGAGCAATGGAACTTGGTCACATTGGACACCAACTTGTGAAAGGATGTCGCCAGTTGAGATGAGGGCATCGTTCTTACCGGTGCTCTCTTCAGCCTTCTTGTCGAGGCTATAAAGGGTGTTAATATTGTGTAATAAAACTAAGATAACAACTTACTTGCAACATGAGATCTTGCCGGTGTTACATGAGCCAGTCTCAGACTTTGATTCCCAGCCAGCGGAGACTGAGGCGACGAGGGCAGCAGCGAAGACAGTTTGAGCGATCATTGTAGAGATAGAAGTGAGAGTTGTGTAGAAACAGAAAAGATATTCAATCCCTCTTTATACTTCCGCGCCAAGCCACTAGTTGTCTGCGCTAAAGTTTTAGTATCGAGATAAAGAATGAAGATGAATATGCACGCCAATTGCTAAACTTTTCTCCGAAATGTGATCAAAATGCATGGAACTAAAACAAAATCTATGAGCGATAACTGCCGAGGTGTTAGAAATGGACGGTAGTAAAAAAAAGCTTCCGACGTACTCTCCATTAATGGTAACATCTGAAAGTTGTTAGTTTCAAAGTCGATTGAAATAGTTGACTTACATTCCTGAAGTTTTAAAGTCAACGATGTTTGAATATTAAAGAAGTGACTCACGTGAGATAAATCGCAGGTCCAGTATTGAGCTTTCTCAGTACCTTGACCTAAATCTATACGTATATCCAAGTCTTCAAGCTTCAGAACTTCAGCTGCTCTAGCCTCGTCGACCTGCTCAGGCTCGCCATTTGTGAGTAGGGCAATATCTGGTGATCCATCAGTTGGTCTGAACTTGACAGTTACCTTGCTTGGATTGATAGGTGATGGCTTGTCCAAAGGAGCGTATCCAACGGCGCAGAGGCTGTGTAGGAGTTAGCAAGTATTATCGGTGGTGATACAACCAACATTCTACCCCAATTGGCATCTTGTCCATAGAGTGCAGTTTTGACAAGTGAAGAAGTAGCTACCGTTCTAGCGACAACCTGTGCAACAGCGTAAGATGGGGCATTCTCAACATTGACTGTGACAAATTTAGTTGCACCCTCACCATCCCTGACGACGAGTTGAGCAAGTTCGATTGCGAAATCTGTCAATTGAGACTTAAATGAGGCGAGATCTTCTCCAGTAAGTTGGGAACCACCTTCTGCACCGTTCGCAAATGCAAGAATGGTGTCATTGGTTGACATATCACCATCAACGGAAATTGAGTTGAATGAGCGATCGACTGCGTGGTCGAGGACGCTCTGGAGGTCCGCACTCGCAACAGGGGCATCAGTAGCAATTACACCAAGGAGTGTACCATGTGGAAGTCTTGGTATCGAGCTTGGTGGGCCCATGTGTGGGTGAATCATACCAGCACCCTTATCTATACCTGCGACTCTAACATTTCTGCCGCTAGGCAAAGAGAGTGTCTTCGCCCTAAGTTTTGGGAAAGTGTCTGTCGTCATGAATGCCTTTGCGAGGCTCATCCAGCTCTCACCGTCTTCCTTTGTAGCATTAAAAAGAGGTGCGATGCTATCTGTGATCTTTTTAATAGGTAGGAGCTGTCCAATGACACCAGTGCTCATAACCAGCGTGCTGTCCTTTTCTTTGAGCATTTCATCAACGCCTGCAGACATCGTTTGAGCGTCTTTAAGCCCTTGTTGACCAGTGACAGCATTCGCACAGCCTGAATTGACGATAAGCGCCTTGGCAGTGCCATTTCCCTTCTGAAGCACTTCACTAGACCAAACAACTGGGGCTGCTTTGAATACGTTCTGGGTGAAGGATGCGGCCGATGTACACCGAGCTGTGGTAGAGTGAAGGATACCCAAATCAAGAGCGCCGTTCTTCTTAACGCCAGAGTGTGTAGCGCCAACCCTAAACGCCCGCGGAAGTGTGTCCTGCGCGAGTGCCTGTATAAATCTCGTTTTTGAGGACATCGTGGTGAGAGATAAAGAGAGATAAGGATCAAGCGCGCGGATAAGAAGGAGGAATTATTATATGATAAATATAGAGTGTATTGATCAGTTAATTGCACGATAAAGAATATCTACATTATGACTCAATAGGGACCTATGTAACTTGTATATCCGGTATGAAGTGTATTAAACGTAAATATTACAGAAGTAGTCTATAAAATGGAAATGAATGTTTTATTTATCCTTCATAGTTGAAAGCAAATTTTGAGCGTTGACGCAAACTCTTTCCTTTGTAGTAGAACCAGAACGGCACCTAGCGATGTCAGCATATGCGAAGAAACTGTGACAAACTTACAATGCAAAGGACAGTAGCAACCGCAGCGAGGAGGGTACCAGCCCATTTAATAGTCATACCGTCAAACATTTGTTCAACGAACTGTTCTACTTAGACACTTGTATTGATGGGAAAAAAAAAGGAACTTACGAGGGGGCAAACAGCACCGACGATCGAACGGGCGATGGTGTTTGATGCAAGAGCAGAAGCAGAGAATGTGACATAGGTTGAAGCCAGGTCTATCCAACAGTTAGCGCGTTTTGCTTTCTTATATATCCACTTACAGTTAAGGAAAGACATGAAGATCATGACAATACCAAATCCAAGAGGAATACCGGCTGCCTAGGGTAGTGTTAGAGAGCGTTCCATGTACACTTCAGACGCACCATTGGAGCCTGCCATGGGACGAAGTCGTAAGACGTCCAAGCAAACCACCAAAGAGATATAGCAAAGGCAAATGATCCAATCCACATAGTTGGCTCTAAACGCAATTCCGGTGGTGGAACTTTACCAGTTTGCATTGCTACCTTACGGAAACGCTTGTCGAAAATGATTGTGACCACCAAGAAAAATGCAATACCAATCGCGATTGAAATGAATGACAATCCGGACATAGAGACGGACATGTGATGGACACCTTGGAATACCTGCGAGAGAGGTTAGTAACGTCATAGAGATAGTGTTCACATACGAGAGGGAACATCTCGAAACTAATGTAGAGAACACCATAGACAATAGAGACATAGATTGAACTGAAGATAATAATAGGTTCAGTGAACTGCAGTCTTATTGGTCTCGTAAGGGATACTTTAAGGAGTTCGCCAATTGGAGGGCGGTTCTTCATGCTACTACAATAGTAACGATCATCTTTATGCTCTTTGCGCAGTTTCTTGACTCTCTTCTCGAGAATGGTTGGTCCGTATGTTTCTGGAAGTAGGAAAACAACCATTAAGAAACAGACAAATCCGAAAATAAGACATGTGTAGTATACCCATTGCCAATTCTTGGAGCTTCCTACATTCGCGTATTGTGCTTCAAATCCTCCCAAAATTGGTCCTAAGACTGGTCCCAAGAATGGCGCGACAGAGAAGCAAGACATTGGGATACCCAACTTGTCGATGGTCCAGATATCAGTCAATACACCACCAGAATTGGTGAGTGGACTGGCAGCAGCCGTACCGGTGATCAATCTACAGAGCAGTAGACAGGTGATGTTTGGCGCGAGTGCACATCCAATAGTGACAGCAGTGTAAACGAATAAGGTAACGATGAAAACAGGCTTTCTACCTAGTATTTCTGAAGATGGTGCTAACACAGTTGGTCCTATCGTTGATTAGAAACGTGTGTTTACAACAGCGGAACGTACCTATAACATAACCAAGCAAGAAAAGAGTGATTTGCAGGATCGCAACTTCCTGGTCAACATTGAATTCCGCCATAATCAAGGGCATTGCAGAGGTCGGTATACTAGATGCAAGAGTGCTGTTCAAGATGAGGAGAGAGGAGAGCATAGTGCAGTGCCATTTGTACCAGGTTTTCCAATTCTTAGGATTATCCGGATCGTTTGGCGTGAATTCTACGAGGAAGGGATCGGTTTCAGTCCTGGGTTCTTCTTTGGCACCACTCTCGTCTCCCTTTTCGATATCCTCCTCACGTCTTTCTACAGCGTTGGCTTCCTTGACTTCCTCAGCTGCCAGAGTACCGTCTTCTGAGTCAGAAATCAAGTTCTTTGGTTTCATCGAGCCTGAGCGTCTAGGTTTTCTAAAGACGGTTAGTTTAGCGGATTAGGTTAGTGATTAGCTCACTCTAAGCTCCTACCATGTTCAGATATATTCTGGCCATGGTGATTGGTCGAACTGAGACCAGAAAGAGTGGACGGACGGCGCTGTATTTCGTCAGAGAAGTCAACGAAGTCCATTAACGATTAGTGACACGGTGGTGTTGATGAAGGAACCATTTCGGCTAACGAAAAAGTTTTCTTTTATCCGGCAACTCAATAAAAAGCGTAGTAACTAAAGTAGGACGCAACAAAGAATATATCTGCATGGAACTTGTTTCCAGAGTGTATGCCTCCACAGCATCCGTTATTTCCTAAAATAGTAGGCGCTAATACAACGTTGCCATCGGCACCAGTGAACATTCTTCCAGTAAATAAATCTGTCGGAAGAAATAGCTTAGAGTTGGTGTAGACACACGGGCTTGCAAAACTCAATCTCCGAGTTCCGTTCGGCAACTACATTCTAAAAGCACCCGGCGCACGGCTGACGCGATTTATATTATGGATGAGAAGATTTAGAAAATTGTAAATGAGAGTACAAAGGTTGGATATAGAAAACGCATTTAAAACGCTACCAGAGCTGTATGGGTGTTAGTTTATTATATTAATCCGGGTTTCCAGCTATGTCTTCAAAGCGGTTTAGTTAGCACCGGCGAGGGGAGCGCGGCTGAGGAGTGCGCGACGGGATGCGACAGCTGGACCTGGCATTGTGTATCCTGTTATTAGTTAGCCATAAATCGTTCATTTCAATATTAATAACTCACCAGACTTGACACTGTAGATGTTGTTGAGAGCAATGCTTTCCTCGACATCAGCGTCTGAGTAGCCAGGTGGGAATGAGATAGTCTCGCCGCTTAAGCCGCTACCACCACCGGTGATTTCGATAGTTGTGCAACTTGGGTAAAGCTATCTTTGTTAGAAGTGAAACCATGACATAATAAAACAGCTCACCTCTTGTGGAATAGAACCAAGGTTGTCAACCTCGTTTCTAATAATGTAAGTGCCATCAGCAGCGCTCGTTGGGATGGTTGCAGAGACAGGTTGGCCGTTAGTCAACTTCTCTTGTTCCCAGGTACCGTCGCTGTCTGTGATACCCTTCTCATCGATCTTGTAGAAGTCGATAGAGTTTGGATCGCAAGATGAACCGGAACATTTACCAAGGTATGTGATTATAGGACCTTTCTATCGGCATGTTAACGTGTGCTCGGGTCTAAAAAACGAACCTACAGTGTGTGGCCAAGAAGAGCTCCAAGTAAACTCGACTGTGTCTCCTGCAGTGGCGGACGCAGAGGTTGATGGTGCCGTAGCACCCGGTCCACATGCGAGATCCTGGTTGCCCATGTTGTTTGTAGTAGCAGCAGGGCCATTGTTGTCAACTTGCCAGACAGCGTCTGAACCGAAGTCCTTACCGCCAATGGTGACCTTTTCTACCACACCGTGTGCGGCGATTGGAGCAGTGAGTGTAGCGACCAGCGCAACAACTGAGAGTGAAGACTTGTTAAAGAACATTTTAAATGCGTGTTAAGAAAGTGATAGAAGATGTTAAAGGAAGTGATTTGCACCTCCATTATTTAAATATTTTTTGAAAGAACTGAATTTGGAAAATTGTCTTACTATATTTGGAAGGTCCGTGGATATGACGCGTTTATGGGGTGTCATATTCCAACTAAGGAATGTCGAAAATCCGCAGTAACAATGTTGGCCGCTATAGTCTAGTATTTAATCGTACGTGAGCAGTAGTGAAATTTTTAGCAGACCAAACTAGAGGAATTTAAGAAGAAAAAAGTTATATAGATACAAAATTACAATAAAGATTGTCCATAAATAGCATACATGTTCCGCTAAACCTTCCCAACGCCTCTTCGTAGTTTGTTGAGCGAATTAATGAAGCTCATCCGGGGATTTGTTGGCGTAGTCGGGGAAGGCACCACTCGTGAGACTCGCGTGGTATTTTCTATTGGGTCGCTTTCGATATCGTCTGCGCTATCTTCCATCATCTTACGTTTCTGCTGCTGCTTTTCTTCAAGTTCAGGCATATGCCATTTTGAGATATGAATCGTTAAGGTGGATGGTGGGACGTAGACCTTCGACACCCGCCTATCCTTTAGCAGGTCATCTGTAATCACATAGAGATGAAGATCCTCATCGTCGCGCATACCTCCTGGTCTCTTCATGTATCTCCTTTTTGCACTTTCTGCAACGCGTATTGCGGTCTGTACGGCAGCGCTCTCAGGGGCATGTAAGGTGACGAAAACATTACCATCAAGCATATTGAGTGTTTTGCGTACTTGCCCTTCGAAATCCAAGTCAGGACTAATGTTTAGCGTATTTGCATCAATTGTTTGTAATTTTGAGCGTGGGTGCTCATAAAGAGAAGGCTTGCGGTCGGGTAGAGCAGGACCTGCAGGGGCTGCCGAGATGGGCACGGCTGATGTCATCATCGGCTCATCCTTTGCTGGCTCTCCAGGACCAACCTCTTGGTTTTGCATGTCTAAGAATGTAAAAACTGAGCAAAGAAGAACTATCTCTAAACCGCGGATGTCTTCCAATTCGAACCTGGCCAAGTTGTAATCCAAAATGGTGAAAGTCGGCGGAGATTTCTTGTTGCCAGGGACGTATTTGCATACTTCAACGCTGGGATCTGGCTTGCGTATGAGTGAGCAGTATATACTGCCGAGGAGCCCTTTCGACCACTGCAAGGTGTGACCTTCAAAGTACGTAGTCCACTCGAAGCTTAGTGTCCCCGTATATTCTAATCCAACCTCGCTGTCTGGCTGGTAGAGGTTTATCGTCTTTTTCTTTGCGCTAACGCCAGCTTCTGTGATAACATCTGCAAGATGTGAATCGCTGAGGGCATCTATACTACTATTAGAAGGATATATCTTTGTAGGAATGAAGCGCACCTCTCAGAGCAAATGCGTACTCACTGCTGTCCTTTAACAGGCTACGAACATAGAGAGGAGAACCAGAGCTATGGTTTATGAGTGTTTTCCTAAATCTAGCGTCGTCTTCCCCGTTAATAAACTCTGTAGTGAAAATGCTAATATTTCTAATTGTCATCGAGGCTTTAGAAGAGGGAATTTGCTGCGATCGAAGTTGCCGGGCGATGCTGTGTCAACGGGTTTGGTGGTGAGTTGATAGCGTAATCTGAATAAATATCTAGTAATTTACTAGTCGGGATTTCTATTATATTCTATTCTGTAACTGCACCTTCAAACTAAACACCCAAGAGCCACGAAATGGACAAGAACTGGGATGAAGGGTTAGCAGACGACGATCCAGAGTTGCTAGATGAAAAGGTGAGTGAATTATCTTGAAATGTAACAACATCTTAGAGATCTCAGCTCTTTACGAGAGATGCGAGCTTATTCGTGATAGACGCGGCAGCAGGAATGCAAGAATATCCACCTAGTCAAGATCCCAATGATAGAATCGACGAGGAAATGCCGTTATTACACCGCACATTTGACGCCATACTACGCTGTTTGAAGAGAAAAGCGTTCAATTCATCAGATGATTTAGTTGGCGTCATTATCTACAATACTGTATGGTGTTCCTTTCTTCTTGCTTACTTTCTCACCCAAAACAGGAAGAAACGAAACCAGATAAGGAGGGCTCAGATGTTAAAGAGCACGTCTATTGCTTACAGCCAATTGAGCAGTTGAATGGCAACAATATACGCAATCTCAAGAAGTTGGTGGATGGTGCGTCGCTTCTACGTAATCTACATTCTTCTTAAACTATCCACAGGTTCACGCGCAGATCCTGAACTTCTATCACGTAAATTTAAACCAGCTGTGTTTGAAAACAACCGTACGAGCATGCCTATTGGTAATTTGTACATCAGCTGCAACCGCTTTTTCAGAAACAAGTATGTCTTCTTATGACGACATCTGCGATCACTCATATCAATCAGCCCTCAGACGAAAAACGCATCGAAACGTATTTTCCATATCACCTGCAATGATGAGCCTCAGAAGAATGCGCCAGAAGACTGGCTAACAGCCAGCCGAACTAATGCAAGTGTGAGCACCTTTCTTAACTTCACGGAAGTCACTCATTAAATCCCGACAGGACCTCCTCGAGTCTGAAATCATTATTGAACCTTTCTTTATTGCACCCTCATCTTCAGATTTCGATATCAAGACATCGTTTGACGTTAAGAAGTTCTACGCCCAGATACTCCCAAAGAAAGAAAATAATGAGGATGTCACAGACCCGTCCATGGGAGAAGGATTTGCAAAGTTCGACAATTTGGAGGAAAAACTGAGAAAATTGGAAATACCAAAGAGAACGTCATTCACGCATATGTTCGAATTGGGTGACAATTTTTCTATCTCTGTGAAAGGATATCGTACGGTAGTCGATCAGAAATTTTTCCCTTACGTTATGGTTGCCGAGAACAAGAAAGGCGAACTCGAGCAGACAGAGAAGGAAACGAGATTGCAAGATGAAGTGAGTGTCTGATGAGTGCATTCATCCTTTTAACTAACAGTCGAAGTTCACGCTGAATGAAATCACACCATCTGAAATCAAGCAAGGTTTTGTCCTGGGAGACAAGAGTAGTGATGGTGCACTAGTCGTTAGTACATTCTTATCAACTGTTAGACGACTCTTACATTTCGCAGATACCATGTAATACTCAGACATATAACAGTATCCGCACTTTCGACTTACCAGTCGGACTGAAACTACTCGGTTTCCAGGACATAGATACCCTCTCACCATTGCACAACGTTGGAACAGCAAGTTTTATATATCCCACTGAAGATCTCATTGAGGGTAGTACGAGGACATTCTCTGCCCTTTTAAAGTCCTGCCTCAAACTCAAGAAACTTGCGTTGGTGAGAACAGTGATGCGAAAAAACGCAGCACCAATAATCTCTGCTCTCCTACCACAAGAGGAAGTAATAGACAGTGATGATGGTTCACAAATAACGCCTAATGGTTTCTATTTAATCCCACTACCCTTCGCAGATGACTTGCGGAGTGTACCTCAGATCGAAAATATGAAGGCTAACGATGAGCAGACCGAAGCAGCTGGAAGATGGCTTAAGAAGCTCAGGAAGAAATCTGGTTATGATCCAAAAGAATATGAGAATCCGTATTTCAGATTGCTAAGAAGAAACATCGAATCACAGGCATTAGATGAGCCGCTAGACGAGAATGATGTGAAGAATGATAAGACTTTGCCACCAATTGAGCAAATGAAGGATCGTGCTGGTGGTTTAATCGATGAATGGAAGTCCACTCTGGGTTGGGATGTTGTGAAAGTCGACCCTGAGGTAGAGGAGGCCAAGCTAGCAGATGTGAAACCTAACAAACGCAAGATAGATGCGACACTCGATAATGACGTCGATGATAGTGCCTTCATTCAGAAATGGCGCGCCAACCAACTTGACAAGTGTAGACTGGATGATCTCAAGAACTTCTGTCGCTCTCATGGACTCAAAGTTCAAGGAAGGAAGTCAGACCTCATTGAGCGCATTTCTGCAAAGCTGGAATCGAGTTATGGTAAATAATAAAATAAGGATGAGACTAAGTATATTTATTGCTATGTTGTACACTAATATATCATTACATTGCGTTTTTTTAAGATGAAGCAGTTTGCAACTTCTCGAAAGAGCTGTGCCAATCCCGTACCTGTGTGTCGTGTTTCTCAGGAATCTGGGACGTTTCCTTCTCGAGCTCAGCGAGTTTTTCCTGTAAGCGTGGGATGTCTTCGTTTCCATAGTGTGGTTCAGGGGGCGTGTACTGTTCTAAGGGTTGTTAGATAATCACTCAACATTCCAAGCAAACTCACTGATATGATACGGAGAAAAGACGTCAGCGAGCAAATCGTGGTTCAATCTAAATCTTGAAATTGCAAGGTCTCTATGGGAAAAGCTGTCTATCTGCTCTGTAGAAGTGTTAAATACGCTCAAAAATCAGACTATACACCTACCGTAGCTGTCATTTGACTCAACCAACGACGGCCTATCGAGACGGTTTGCTGCCTGGAGTCTCTGCTGTGCTAGTGCTTGCGCTTGCTGCTGTGAGGCAGCCTGGGCTTGTTGCTGCTGCTGTTGTTGCTGTTGCTGTTGCTGGAGGAGCATCATCCGCTGGCGCTGTGCTTGGATATTCGCGGCCTGATGCTGAGCTTGCTGCTGCTGTTGAATCGCTTGTGCCTGTGCCTGCGCCTGCTGTTGCTGTTGCAAGACCATCATCATTTGCTGCTGATTCAATTGTGGACGCATCTGCTGCATTCCGCCAGCAGGAGGTGCTGCCTGTTGCATCATTTGCTGGTACATCGCCAGCTGCTGTGCATTCATCTGGTTCATCGCTCTTTTCTTAGTATGATGGTGATAGTACAATAGAAAGAAGTAGGAAAAGAAATTTACTATATTACAATCCATATTCACTATATTATCTCAGCATCGCGTACTCCCCTTCTGTTTTTCCGTAAGAAGTTATCCAGGAATGCTATCAAGTAGCCAAAGTAGAATAGACCACCAATTGACACTCTACCAAGAGTAGACGCGAAGTTGCGTGATATTACTACCTTATTTCCTCTTTTGAATGGCAGTTGCGACACTAAACTACCGCCGCCTCTTTGGATGGCATGCACAAAACCTTGATCATCAACAGCTGCACTTATAGCTTCTTCACCGCTATCACACCACAGCAGTGCAGATGAAGATTCCCTCGCATGCGCTCTTGTCAATTCATAGATCTGCCTACCGACTTTGGCATCCCCCGTCTGGGCAGGATAGAGCTGTAGATTAGAATGTCTCATCGGGAAAGCACCATCGAAGCATATACCACCACTAACCGTCAGAGATATACTTTCACTGTGATTGTGTGATTCTGCCGGTAGTGGTATGAGACTCGTAGGTGGATCTACCCTCCCGCGAACAACACCAAAAGACTGTAGAAGTGTTAACTGGTGAGACATAAAATACTTTATTCGCACCTCTGCAATTACACTCTGTTAACGCGTCGTTTTGTTTAAGAAGCACACTCACTCGGAACTATGTACCTCTTCATATACTCAAATTGGACGCCTTCATGGCTCAACCATACCAGTTCGTCTGTGGATTTATTCTCGACATGCCCTTTCAATGTCATACCAATAAACTTTTCATTGTTATTATCTAGAATACTCATGACATCTAGTATCAATTGGTGTCTTGCTTCCTCGTTTGCTACTTCGATTGCTGTTTCAGGCCAGAGGAGAATATCTGCACGTGTTAAAAGTCGCTGGCTTTCCTTAATGTAGTCGCCGTCGTCTGGACGAACACAAGCGACAGATAGCGTGTTATCGTGATCTGATTGATGTATGCTTGGTTGACAAAAGCTTAATACGATAAAAAGGCAGAGTAGGAGCTTGGTCAACCCACAACTAACCTTCTTCAAGGATGGTAAGGCATCGTGTTTTTGAGAAAGCAATGGATCAGATTCGTCCGGTGTGTGCTCAATTGATCTTCTATGGCATTAGTTATTTCTATAGAATACTAAGTAACTCACCTTTGAGTGAACCTTTTATAAAGAGAAAGCTTCAAAGTTGCGATAATCAAAGCTAATGATGCAACGACGAAATCAACACCAAAGAAACCAAGATGCGGAAGTATAAAGTCAGCCAATGTAGATCCCACCGGTGACCAGCTACCTTGTCTTCCCAAACCAGAAAATGACTCAAACAAAGCCCATAGCGTCGACCAAGCTAGTGGGAAGAGGGAGATACGCAGATGATCAATATCTGCATCCCATGTTATATCTTGAAGCGGTATTAACGCTAATATAGTCGTCAACAACGATAATACGAATAAGAGAAGTAATTCAAAGAAGTTCCAACCGGCGGTAGATTCTACTTGTATGATATGACTAATTGATCTACCTAAGGCTACAGACAGAAACTGAGGAATTAGATATCGTTTGCTTTTATTTATTGCCGTTGTTACGATTAGTGTAGATAGGAGAATGACGACAGCAATATTGGGGAGGGGGCCTAATGCGATAATAGACAAAATTGTAGAAACGCCTATAAGAAAGTGGTTTGATGAATCTGACACATAATTCCGTACATTTTCTCTGAGTGTGAGTACATCAGCCATAATGGTAGTGATCTAAGAACAAGAACGTTTTAGAGATGTAAGAAATCACTCTATTATATTATAATTGGCTAAATCTACGAATATCTCTTGAATCTCCCTATTCGCCTCTTCTTATCTGACGGTCATCGTCATTTTACAGCCAAAATGGACAGCGACGTACAGAGACCGTTTCTGAGTAGGGAAGACACAGACGACGCAGAAGAGCACATAAATAATAGGCAGTCCTTTAAATATGTCAGGCCAGTAGAGCGACGGTGTAAGTTATCGACTATTTCTTGTGATCTCACTAAGAATTTCAGCATTCCTTAAGACGGTAAAACAAAATATAACCGACCACTTCAAATTCGTAGGCGCTGGTATCATTGCAGCCGTCAGCTAGTATGTCTTTCCTCCATATATCGCAACTCTAAAACATCCATAGTTTCGATCCAGGGAATTGGGGTACAGATTTGGTAGGTGGTCGATTTATAGCACCTTTCTAGTGCTGAAGAATCACTTATAGGCTGCAGGATCTCAATATGGATACAGTTTACTAGGTGTCGTATTGTTAGCCAGTTTGGGCGCAATTCTCTATCAAATATTGTCATGTAGACTTGGAATAGTCACTGGATTAGGTTTGTTAGACTATCCTATTAGTTCTAGCTAATAAATGACAGATTTAGCACAACATATACGTCTACAATTACACAATAGAGAGAAGAACCCAATGATTTGGCGCTGGATGGTTTTATACCCTCTATACGTTCTCGCTGAATTCTCGTTAGTCGCTACTGACTTGTCGGAACTCCTTGGTAGCGCTATTGCATTGAATTTGTGGGTTCATCAGTCAGAAGTCTATCGATCTCATGAACTAACTCAGGATATTCCCATTTATGCCGCTTTGGGTCGGTGTCAGTCTTACCGCGCTCGATGTTTTGATTATTCTCGCAATGTACAATCCTAGCGGCAGCTCAAGAAGTATGCACATTTTTGAGGGTATAATCGGAGTAATGGTGAGTAACGTGCGTCAAAATAACATACTCTAACACAATCAAGACAATAGCTGTATTCGCATCATTTGCAGTTCTTGTTATTAAAGTTCATCCTGAGTGGTCAGAGGTTATGCGCGGATTCCTGCCCAACAAGCTAGCATTTGAGCCAGGGGCTACCTACATTAGTATTGGTATAATTGGTGCTACGATAATGCCTCATTCTATGTTCTTAGGATCGAAGTTAGCTACGGCTGATAGACTAGCATCAGCATCTTCCGTCAACAGTAGTCGAACAAGTAGCAACGAAGATAGATTCTCTCTTAGTAACATCGAAGAAACTTCTAGGAATCCACTAGAGTATGTTGCCAAAGCTATGAAACAAGATCCAGATTACGAGCCATCACCGCGTATTGGAGATGCAGATGTTTACGAAGGTGGTCCGGGAAGATTGCCGTCTATTTTGAAGCACTTAAAACATGGTAGTTGGGACATAGCACTATCACTTCTCACCATCGCTGTACCAGTTAATGCTGCGATCTTGATTGTCGCATCTGCGACGTTCTTCAATAATCCAAATAGAGATTCAGAAGGTGTGGCTGATTTATTTGATGCTCATGATTTGATTCTGAAATATATTGGTAAACCCTTTGCGTTTATTTTTGCATTCGCACTCTTATGTGCCGGTCAGTCAGCATCAATAACAGCAACTCAAGCAAGTCAAGCTGTCAGTGAAGGATTTATCAACTGGAAAAGTCCACCTATACTTCGAAGATTGATTACACGTCTTCTAGGTATCTTGCCATCACTTATTATAGCTGTTATCGCAGGAAGAAGTGGTGTGGATCAATTGCTCAATGCATCACAGGTAGTTCTCTCAATCATGTTACCTTTCGCGATTGGACCTCTAATATATCTCTCTGGGAGAGAGGACGTAATGAGAGTCTGGAATCCAACTGATGAAGGACAATCAACTTCAACTACTAATCTATTAGATCCATCGAGGTTAGGCCCTTCTCATGCACATCGTAGAAGACAATCAGAGAATGTCACAATTGATGGTGGTTATCAACAATTTCAATTAGCAGATCAATTACAGTTAAATACGACTGGTCAATGGGTCGATCTTCGACCTTCAAAGTACATTCTAATAATATCTTGGATAATTTTTGTTGGACTTTGCCTCTCAAACGGATTCGTAGTTGTACAAGTTTGTAGAGGTAAAGAAATATAAACGAATTTTATGGACATTAAGACAAATTGTAAACCCAATACGCAAACGAAATAGATTATTTGAAATTTTTGCTTCATTCTTGTGCATTTTAAGTATCGTACAGGAATAAAAGACATTGTCAAATCATGCACATACTTATTGAGAAGCTTGAGCACGACGACGACGCATATCACGTTCCTCAGTGATGGTTAACTTAACACCACCACCCTTTGGAAGTGAAACCCATGACTTTTGTTGACCAACAACGAAAACGTTAGTTAAACGTGTGGCGAATTGACGGTCGAGTGGGTCCTTGATGTTGACGATATCGTAACCACCGAGGTGACGTTCACGACCAATGATGGTACCAATACGACCTTGGTTACGACCACCGGTAGCCATAACAACGTTACCAGTCTGAGGGTATTATGTTAGTAAAAATAAATGATAATATAGCAAAAACATACTTCGAACTTGACAAAGTCAACGATCTTGTTGTTGATAAGGTCGAACTTGACAGTGTCGTTAACCTTGATCAATGGGTCTGGGTAACGGATAGTACGACCATCGTGGGTGACAATGAATGGAACACCACGAGCACCGATAGCTTGCTTCTTAACCTTAAGGAGCTTGAATTGAGCCTCCTCATCGGTGATACGGTGGATAGTGAAGCGACCCTTAACGTCGTAGAGAATACGGAAGTGTTCTCCTGAAGCTTCAATAGAAATGACGTCTAAAGAAGATGTTAGAAAAATTTGACTAACAAAATTTGAAACACACCTTGGAAACCGGTTGGGTAGGTACGGTCGGTACGAGCCTTACCGTCAATCTTAACCAAACGTTGTTGGAGGATTGAGGTGACTTCTTCGCTAGAAAGAGCGTACTTCAGACGGTTTCTGAGCAAGATGGTCAAAGGCAATGATTCACGGAGCTTGTGTGGACCTGGAGAAGGACGTGGAGCCTAAGTAAAGGTTAGCACCCTCATGTCAGCGTCACCGCGCTCGCTGTGCTGAAGAAATTGCTCACGTATGTACCAGAAAGCTTGTCCAACATCCATGAGGATGGAGCTGCGAGACGCTTGAGGTGCTTCTTTGGACCGCGAGGCTGTTGTATTTGTTAGTATAACATTTATTTTATTCTTCTAAATTTACCATTCTGAGTGTTCTTCCCTAAGAAGTCATTTTCTCAATTCAGGCTTAAATTTGAAGCTCGAATTGAAAAATCAAAAATTTCTGAAAAATGAATTATTTTAGACTGAGAACTGGACAGTTAACTAAACGTACATTCTATTCTTCATCAAGAACATTCTCCGCCCCAGAGTCTCCATTTAGCAAGTTCGTCAATGTACTCAGAGAGGAACTTCGGAAGAATGCAGAGTTCCAAGAGAATTATAAGCAACTATCCGGTGAAGCTGGAAAAGTACAAGATAGTGAAGCTATGCAGAGAGCCAGAGAAGTATATCAGCGTGCCACGATCGCGAATTTGATGAAAAACAACCCAAGATTACAAGCAGCGACAGAAAACTTAAAAAAGAATGGTGGAAAGGTCTCAGAAGGTGTAGGTGAAGCACTCCGTGGTATAGAGAACTCCGAAGCTTTCAGAGCGTTATTACGTGCAACAAACGCAGCTTCAACTGCCGTTTCTTCAGCTACGCAACCAATTAGAGACACAGAAGCATACAAAACTTTCGCCGAGACTATCTCAGATGCTCTTGATGATACTAGCAGAGGTGGCTATGAGGACAAGGAAGCGAGAAGACTGCGTAGACAAAGGCGTCTGGCGAAAGCAGGAAAGGATGGAATAGCAAAAAAGAGAGTCAAAAAAGATGAATTGGCAGGTGAAGCACTCGTTTTACATGAGAATGCAAACAAACCTTCAAAATGGCAAGAATATAAGGACAACTCACCTTTATTCCAAAGAATGGCTGATTTGTGAGTTTATCAGAGCTTTGTTATTTTAATTTCTTACCACAATAGGCATGAACAGTACCACGAATCTGAATCACCAACTGTTCTCACACTTAGATCAGTCACTGACAGGATAGGCGGTCTCTTTGAGGAGAATGAAACAGCACGTGTTACTAGAGCTTTCAAAGCACTTGATCCAGACTTCACACAAGATAACTTCCTTGTTGAACTCCGCGAATACATCGTTCCAGAAGTCGTAGATGCTTACCTTAACGCTGACAAAGATGCCTTGAGAAGATGGTGTGGTGAAGCTACCTACAACGTTCTCTGGGCCAGTATGGAAGTATACCTCAGCAAAGGTCTTATCTCTGATAGCAAAGTACTCGATATCCGTTCAGTTGAGGTAAGCAAAGGACAAATGCTCGACAATGACGTTCCAGTCTGGCTCGTTATCTTCCACACACAAGAAATTCTTCTCTTTAGAGACGCGAAATCCGGTAAACCTGTCGTTGGTACTGAAGATGGTGTTGAGCAGGTAGCTTACGTCGGTGTCTTCACTCGTGTAGAGGATGAATTAGAAGATGAACTTACAGGTGGTTGGAAAGTTATTGAAATGGCTAGAAGAGGACAGAAAGCTTACATTTAAATTTACAATTATAGACAGACACAACCACAACCCCACTCAGAAAATTTTTTAATGATGATGCATTTAATTTCATGTAATCAAGTTATTGCTGGTCAGGTTGTGATGCATTAGCTGTGTCAAGTGATGTTGATGTTGATTCTGTCGGTTCCATAGCAGCTGTACTTCTGAGTGGAATGTTAATAGCAGGTGCACTACTAGAAGTTGTTCCTTGGCTTGAGGCACTGTCATTGCTCCTAATGGCCAAACTTGCCAATGTTGAGGTAGGTGGTGCTAATGTGACAGATGGTGGTACAGATGAATGGGTAGGAAGAGGTTGAGCTGGCTGAAGTCCATCCTCGAGTATCTCTTCAGAGTTGTCATCATCATCATCATCCTCATCTACGTCGTCATCCTCGTCAGACGAATTGATACCTTCTTGCATCTGTTCTATCAGTGCATGACATTCCTCGAGGTGTGATATTACAATCGCTTGGCCTAAGATGTGTTAGTCGGGTTTCAGAATGTCGAAAAGCTCACCTTCTGGAATGCTACCATCGTCAGAGTAGAATTTGCCATCTTTACGAAGATTATCAATCTGGTACAGTGCAAGGTGATACTAAAACATATTAGCTGGATTTCTTTTGTATAATCCACACCTACTGGGTACAGATCTCTAGGTGTAAAGTCGTTACCATGCTTGAGTACCTCGTTCAGACACTTCTTCACAGTTCTGTAATACGTTAAACTTGTTAAGTAACAACAATAAAAACGACCTACAGTAATTTGTTGGATATTGGCATAAGCTCCTCTGAAATTGGCTCGCTTGATGAAATAAGCCTATAAAGTAATCCATGGCAACGACGAAGAAGATATAAAAGTGCAAATTGGCCTCCTGGCTGATTTCCTTCACTATCAACCCATTTTCCATCTACTCTCATCTTATCAATTTCTTGTAAACTAAGTTGATAATTCCAAAGATCAGTCTCGCGGAGTGTCCATCTGTGTGTCAAAACCAGCCTTTCGAGTTGCATTCTTATCTCAGTCAATCTATCGAATATTGGCTTAAGTGGTATAGCAACATCATCCCTTCTCGCGTTGACATCTTGAACAATTTCGAAACATTCTTCGAGCAACCCAACGAGAATAGCTTGTCCTGGTGGTACAGATGAGCCACCTGGACCTAAGAATTTACCGTCTTGTCTCTTTCCATCGATTTTTCTCAATTCTTCAAGTAAAGGCTTGATTTCTTGCTTTTGTGGCTTATCTTTACTGACAATCGCCGCCAATTGACGACGTATGGCGACCAAACGCTGATGAATAGGAACCAACTCAACACTGAGTACACTAAGTGAGCTGACAAGGTTCCTGTAGATCCTCTCGCAATCCTCCAATCTTCTCAACAAAAATTTCGTCATTTGATCAGGATGCTTTCCATTCTCTCTATCTCTCTTAATGATAGCAGACAAATGTGTCAATCTGTCCTGGAATGGCTTAAGGTCATTTTGTGTGTAAACACCAGATTCATCCAAGTGTGAGAGCAACTGACGTATAGTTGCCAACTGACAGTAAGTAGCTGGACTCTCTTTGTTTTTACCGATAGTGAGGAAGAACAAAGAGAGCAGCTGCATGACATCGTCTAATGTAGTGTCAACCCTATTTGGTGGACCGAGTATTGGCTCTTCCTCTTCCCTCGCGTCGTTCAGCTTTGTGATAAGTTTTATAACTTGTGAGTAAATAGATTGGACATCTGAAGCTTTAATGTATTCCTTCCTATCTTTCTTGAGAGCTGTGAGCCTATTTCTGATACTGGTGGAATGTTAAGAACGTTCTATCGACAGGGGACTATAACCAACTTTACTAATGATTCCAAAATAGGTAATTCTGCCTTAGCAAACTACATAAGTAAGTACATCTATAAAAACGCCAGTTAACTCACTTGTGCGACTGGCATTACGTCGTTGTTGAGGTCAAAGAAGTGAATCAGTTGATATTCGTCTCTGATGGGAGTACATTTCCTAGAACCTTTTTCTTGTAAACGCGTCCAGAGGATATCGAAATAAGTGTACCCCACATTGATAAAATATATTCCGGGATAAATATCTAGTAGCGACTTAGACAACTGTTTGTTTAAACTATTGTAAAGTTAAATTATAATTCACCCGTATTCTTCTCCTTTAACTTTAACTTCAATGTTGCTTCTCCCTGAAGACATCATTTTTGACATCTTTGAACGAGTGGATATTGTTGATTTATTGCGCATATCAGAATCTTCTCGTTACTTCAATAGTCTGGCATTATACACTTTGTCTATCAGACTGAACTCTCTCGAGCCACTCAAGCGGATACGCATACAGAAGAGGTGGGATATACAGAAGTTTAAGCTATCCTCTAAGAAATTAGAGAGGTATTTTATAAAGTTCGTCTATTTAGTCGCTGGTCTGATCATCAGCTGCTCCTCTAATAACGTTATCAACGTCAATAACGAGGCATTTATAAGATGTAGCGATGATATCGTCGCATGTACAGCTACACAGGTTAATCCGGACGAAATAATACTAGCGACTTCATATTACAGTTCGTGAGTGCGCTCTTTATCACTATACTCGTGCTTAATATCTATCCAGCGCACCAGCTAGCAGTGTCTATAGTATTAGTATTAGTAGTCCTCATAAAATAAAACTATTATCTACAATATACCCCCAGAAATGGATAAACGCACATTGCATCTCAATAGATCACAATCTCATCGTTTATGGCTCATACACTGACGACATACACATTCTCAATTACAAATCAAATAGGATATTGATAATAAAAAGGGGATGTGAACAATTACAACCAATTGCGGCTATTAGATTATTCAGTAAATCACATTTCATCCTCGTCCTCACTCGTTCGTTTAGGCTGGAAATTTATGAAACACCACAGGACATCTTGGATAATAGTAATACGGTTGAGGACAATGACTTATCATCTATCAGATCGTTCAACGAATCGCATATGTTCCTTGATAATAAAAAAGCGTCATTTGTTCAATGTGACAGTAGACTTACCAAATCATTCGTCAATACGCGTTTATCAGGTAGTAGCAATCTAGTCGAAGCCTCCAAATTCTCACAATCATCATCTAACGATTCTATCGACAAAACAGAAACATGTTACCTCTTATCAGTTTCGAAAACCCATATTCATAGAACAGCATTCAACTTTTCAGACATCCGTAATCCAAAAACAATAGAGTTTCCATTATATAGTACAAGAGAATTTGACTTGAATTTCAGTTCACTCTCTAAAGGATATACGCTCAGCGTGAATGAAAATACCTACTTTTTTTCGACAATATCTGGTGGACTAAATCCTAAATGCACGGTAATCGATAACAATTCTAATATAGTATTCCCACCATCGGATTGCGAGCATATGGGTATAATTACAGATGGTGATTTTGATGAAAATCAAGGAAAAGCAGTTTTTAGTACTAGTCAAGGATATATCCATATAATAGATTATCTCAACTGAGTAAATTTCTTCTTAATTGCATTATTGATGTTGGGTCTTTCACTGATAACTGGTGTATTGGTGGTGTAAACGTCGGAAATCTTTTTACGAGATCGTTTTGAATAATTTCAAGCTGTTGTGTTAATAAATTTGTTGGAACGGTATCAGATTTTGTAAATGCCAATTGAAATACCCAATTTACAGCTGATTCTTCCCTTTGTCGATTCAGGTAGTCGAGAAAAGCAAGATCACTGTCGAGTAAACCATGCATAGCATTAATAAGAACAACGATTCTATTCAAATTCATACGCGTTTCAATATACTCTTCTATTATATTACCCCATACGTCCCTACCCATACTACCATATCCTGGTGCATCGACTAGAGTTAATTTACCATTACAAGTTGAGAAATAACCCAAATGCTTTGTATGTCCTGCGTGTCTACTCGTACTGACGAGATCCTTCGTCGATAAAATGCTATTGAGAAGACTAGATTTACCGACGTTTGATCTACCAACGAAGAGAACTTCAGGCGAACGTGATTTCTGTATATTCTTCCAATTAACTTGTTTTATATTACTAGTGAACAATTTTTGTAACTGCTTATTTGATAACATAATGGTTAGAAACAAACCGTCATGCCCCAAATTGTACTGATATTAGTCGGCGTCGTCGGTTCTGGGAAGGTTGTTGTATCCTCTCCTATAAAATTCCTCTAATCAACACTACAGAGCACTATATCGAAATCTATAGAGAGACACATACCAAATTGGATAAGAGCGAATCAGGACGATCTTAAGGGTGATAGGAGGAAGGTAGAAAAACTAACCCGTGAATCCCTCCAACAGGGTTTCAACGTCATAATAGACAGGACAAACATAGACCATAAGTAGGGAATTATACGATAAAGAGAAGATATTCTTAATGAGAACCAGACAGCGCTCGCATTGGACAAGAATAGCAAACGAGTTTGGTGCTATCACACAGTCTTTAACTCTTGATATTTCGCTAAATGTATGTCAAGCAAGGTTGTCAGCGAGAGTAGACCATCCAACACTCCATGATCCAGTACAGGCTATTAAAGTGAGTGTTTAAACGGTACTGAAATGTATGCTTATACACTCAGGTTATGCACTCATTCAAGAATACCTATGTTCCTGTATCAAATTTGGAGACATCCATCGAGAACGCTCTCTCTATAACAGAGAAGGATGCATTATTTGACAGCTACGATCCTTCAAGAGACGATTTGTCCCCAGATGCCCTTCATGACCTTATAGACAGGTTGAAGAACGCACCACATCCACCACAGCCTGTATTCAAGCCAAAAGTGTCTAGGAAACCGTCAATAAAGAAGACAGATAAGGATATACGTACATTTTTTAGACCTCAATAGAGACAGCTCAAATGGTAAGCCAATCGTCACACATTTTAGACTTCCAGCTAGATTAGCTTATAAATTGTACAACTGTTGTATATTATTTTAACACTCAGACTGTTATTTAACTTAGAATCATATGAATACAGTATAGAAGGCTGAAAATAAATGCTGAAATTGCTAAGCGTGTGTGAGTTTCGTCTGTAAAGTCTGTTAATAGAATCATTAAAACACCTCTTGAACATACAGACATTATCAGTGCTGGTTGAGATTGAGATTGCTTGAAATATCATTAACAATTTTATCGATGTCTCCTTGTAAAAATACCTTGATGAGGATGAGTAATGTTTCAGAAAAGTCTAGTATCACTCACATCTGGTTCAATGGCTTTAATCGGCGTGTTATTAATAACAATAACAGGGACTTTATGTGGTATATGAGCTAGGATCGTTAGTTTGATGAACGCTCTTATTGATTTCATACCTAATAGTTCAGATATTGGGGCAACCTATAGAGTCATTGAATAAATAGGACGAAGTCGCTCCTTCTATACTCACAGCCATCGATGTGCCAAGTACTAAAACCAAATCAACGATTTGCGAATCTTCAAGGACGTTTTGCTCGTAATCTGGATGAACATCCTCTCCGAAGAAGGTCTACGAGAGGATGTTAGTATAAACATTAAATATAATATATACTCGCAATTGTGGGCTTCCAATTGTTAGCTTTCATTTACTAGTAATCATTTTACTTACTTTCAAAAAGGGTATAACTTCATTTTTGGTATCAAAGAAGTTGATGATAGCTTCATCTGTTATGTCTAAAGTAGTATCTGTACTAGTTTGATCGCTTTTGCGCTTGCGACGTCTTCTTTTATATTCTCTTTTGCAATTCTCCGTACAGACAGGAATTTCACCGTTTGTTATCATCTCTGAGAAGTCTACTACAGGTAAGCATTACGAGCGTAAAGGAAGTATGGTAATCACCATCTGAATTGTATATCCTTTCACATCTCAAGCATTCCAAGAAAGCGAACGACCCTGATGTTTGTATAAGCTTTATGTGATAACGGTGTAATGAGAAAACACACCGTGACATTCTAATAGATTTGTTATACCAGCTTTCCTTTCCAAAGTGTCAATATTCTGAGTATAATTACGTAACAATTTGTCGTTGTCTTGTAAAGCTTTTATAAAAGAGTGAGCTCTACCAGGGCTGAAATTTGATGGTAAGATTGATTTCACGATTGAATAAAACAGTTTCGGATGATTAGTGAATACATAATAACTGAAAATTTCCTGTGGATCACTTATTTCAGTTAATTTTAAGCTATTGATTGAATCATAGAGTCCACCTTTTGATCTGAAATCTGGTATACCGCAATTCACAGATATCCCTGCACCAGATACGACAACGATCTTTGACGACTTCTCAATTAACTTTATTGCGTCATTTAGATCTTTTGAGGTTATTACATTTTCTCTTTTTATTAAGAATAATCTACTTTTTAATAATTTTTTAATTTGTAAATTAGATTTATTTTCTAAGTTTATATTATTATCTAAAGTGTTAACTAGATCTTTTATATTTATATTATTATCATTAAATAAACTATTCAGATAAGTTCCAAGTCCCTTAGTTTTCACTTGATTTTTTATCTCATTATAATTCATTAAAAGAGATGATATTAGTACAAAAAATAGCTTGTCATCCGTCGAAATTTTTATTTTTTATTGACATTATCCTATTTTTTATTGATAACTTATACTTGTTTATTAACTCTTCGTCATCCTTCGTTACATCATCGTCCAACAAGCCTTCTAATAAATATAAACTTGTTTGATAAGCGGCTTCACACTTATAATTATCTATACCTGTTAATTCATCTAATGCAGATGCTCTTGAGATTTCCATTGATCTTTCAAATATTATCTGATTCGTGTTATCAATCATTATCTCATTTCCGCATCTTGCTTTAGCGAAATCTGCCTTATCAAAGCATTCATTATATTTTCTTCTAAACCATTGTACACCATCATTTAAGCTATCCGAGAATGATTGTGTAGTAGTCTTATTAGTCATGTATTTAACCACTAATTCACCACCCTTCGTTAACATCGTTGATGCTCTTATGTATAATAAAGTTGATTCATATGATAACCTTTCAATCGTTTCGTTATTTAATTCAAAACTACTGTTTTGCTCTTGTAATCCTCTTTGTTGGCGGTAATGTTGAAAACTTTCAGGCATCTTATCATTATCTTCATTCCTAGTTGCTTGATATAGTTTATTATCAGCGAAATCAAACAACACGAATGCTTTTTTGGCCAACTCTTCCAAGTCTCTTAGTATATCCATTTCTTTTTGTTCGTTATAATTATTATTTTCTCCTTTAATTAAAGTTAAAACATTTCCAGATGTACCATTACCAAATAATTTCAAACTAGCTAAATTTATTGCTCTAGTAAGTGCACCCTTTGGTTGTTGCTGCTGATTAGTTTTTTCTTTATCTTTTAATTTAACATCTTGAGCAACTTGTTGATAGGTTTGATTATAAAGATTCGTTGGAATTGTGGGACTAATTGATGCTCTTCTTGGTAGTAAATTAGTTGGTGATGTACCTGGTAATGGGAATTTCGATATATAATTAGTTGGTAATGGTATATTATTTATTTTTGGAGATGGCGTGGCTCCATTAACATTAGGATCCGAAACTCTTCTCATAGTTTCGCCAAAAACTCCAGGTCCAGGTCCACTTACGTAGTTACCTTTACTATTTAATCTTCCTACAACTGGTTGTCGTCTAGCGGCAGCCGCCATTTCATCTGCTAGATTGTTTATTTCAACTGCATTCTTTTCGACCACTACATATTCTTTTCCGACGACTGAATCTTCGTTAGCAGGCAATTGAAATTTAGTTATCCTTGCTTCGACGTTGTCGTAGTTTCCTTCGTTGAAACCAATTTGTAATCCACTTAGCTTTTCAACGCTAGAAATGATAAAATTAATAAAACACACTGCCGGTCGAGCATGACTCACCTATTTCCCAAACTAGTACGCCTAGTTAAAGCATTCTCTTCTGGACTACCTGATACAGGACTTTTAGGTGAAGTTGATGGTACAGCAGTTGTCGTTACTGCACGCGATGGACCGACAATATATTTTGGTGTAAACGAAGGCCTTCTAGTTGTAGTAACGATGGCTTTATTGGTACTACCGTTACTACTACTACTAGGTGAGGTAAGATGTGTCGCAAGTGGAGGCCGAACAGGTGATTGATTTGATGATATACTAAATGGTGATGTACCAAACTGATCTTTCGCAGCTTCGGCATGTAGTTTTTGATTGGTTGATTCGCTTTTGTCAAAAGTCAAGAAACCTTCCCAATCAAAGAAATCTTCGAATGAAATTCTTTCAATTGGATGCCTTTTGAGTAATTTTCTTATTATATCCTTAATATCTCGGGGTATATCGAACTGCATTGATTCTGTAGGTGAGGGAAACTTTATTTTATCCTCAGATCTTTCAATTTTACGTAATAATTCAACATGATTCTGCGCCCTGAATGGTGGTCTACCAGTAGACATCTCATACATGACAGCTCCAACACTCCATAAATCAGCTTTAGCATCATATTTTTCATAACGTAGAATTTCAGGTGCCATATATAACCTATTGATAAGTGTCAGCTGACATCATACCTTAAGAATGAGACATACGGAGAACCACAAAGAGTTTCAGCCATTGCAGCGGCCGGTAAATTTCTAGCGAAACCAAAGTCAGCGACCCTTAGTATTGGAATACCAAGAGGGTGGCCTCTCTCTAGATCAGCAGGGTCGGCGGGCTGTAACAATAAATTCTGAGGTTTTATATCCCTATGAATTAGATCTTGTGAACGTAAAAACAATAAGGCTTGTGCTATAACGTAATATATTAATAAATGATTATCATGTCATCATATCTATGAGCTCACCTAGTTGGCCTGAGAAAGATCGTACGACATTCTGGTCTAGACCACCAGAATCTGGGTGCTTGTAAAATGCAGGTGCGCCTACACCCTCAATTCCGGATGGCCAGTATTCAAGAGTAGGTACCTGTCCTCGTTTCTTGATATAGCAACTGAGATCGCCACCGGAGCAGTAGCTAGTTATTAGGTGTATATGTGTATTTGTTTTCTGTATAGTTGTAAACATATATTTCCAAATAGATAAATATATCTTGTACTCACGAAACAATCCATTAAGCCAACGATATTCGGATGATGTATACGCTTTAATATACTAATCTCACCCTCTAGATTATCGAGGAGCTTAGCTGTAAGCTTAGATTTTATTACAGATTTAATAGCGCAAGAATTATTCTCCTTAATTAGGAGCTGTCAAATCAGGCTATCTGACTGCATATCACTTACATTTCCCGTACGCCATCCGTGATAGACGATCGCAAATGAGCCTTTACCAATCTCTTTACCAAATGTCCATTCTCCTATTTCTTTCTCTTCGTTGTTGCTCATATGATGGTGATGGTCAGAGATAACAGTCACAACGGTATTACGTTATCAGTCTTGGGTTTTTAATTAAATAGAATATATTTTATACAATCATATTTATATCATGATATTCGTTATCCTGAGTTGTGATTTAATGTATTTCATCCTAAATACAGCTTTCTATGTCCTTCACAATGAACCTATTAAAATCTTCTGGATTGTCCAAGTAGAGGTGATGTCCTGAAAGGTTTCTTGTTAGTTTATTACCAGTCGGCTAATAATTACCTACCAGAACGCGGTGTTTCCTCATATTTGACGTCAAAACCTAAATTTTTCATCTTTTCAAATGCTGCTTCACCACCATCAACCCAATCAACTGAGCCGTGCATAAACGTTACCGGGATTCTTTTATCCAGTTTTTCAATCCTATCTATGAGTGGTAATCTAGCATACGCTCCAAAACTTAATAAATGCGTAATCGAATACTCGGATGAAGCCTTACGGACACTTATCGAGTAGATGTAATGGTACAAATCTCTTTGTAAATCATCTGAGAGTGTACTAAACCGCCTCAAACTGTAACTACTAACTAACATTGGTCCAAAGAAGAAACTCTTTCTTAAAATATCAAATGGAGAGAAATTCCTATCCTCCCATAAATACCTTATTACGCTTTTGAGTGCTTTGCGGGTACGCGTTTCGGGCATATCAGAAAATTCGTGGGTGCGAGATTGTGATTCAGCTTGTGCAAGGTCCTTATTTAGTGATTCAGCTCTAACACTTTCAGGATTTTTTGGGAAACCGATAGGTGAGACCAATATTAGCTTCTTAACATGTTCTGGATACTTCAATGCGTAGACTGTGCTAATGTAACCACCCAAACTGTGACCGATCAAAATCATCTTGTTGATTCCCTGTGCCTTCCTCCAAGCTTCTAAGGCATCTGTGAAGAAGTCTTCAGCCTGACCAACTCTCTTTTCAACCGGTTGTGAAGTGTTTATATGCGGGAATTTGACCCTCTCTGATAATCCCATTCCTAAAACATCCATACCATAGAACCTGGTCTTTGGTATATTACCCAAAGCATGTAAGTTGTTCAAAAAGAAGAAAGTTGCTACGAATGATAAGTTGATGACGTAAGTGTATAAAGTGACCAACCTGCTGCATAACCGTGACTACAAACAATCGGGATCTCTTCCGCTGGGTTAGGTTTAGGGTAGCTACCAATTTCAAGGGTATTTATCTTCACAGGATTGTCGAAACTCGGGTGATTTATATCTACCAATGAAGTATACGCAACTCTCTTCGGAGTATCAATAGAAGGTAAATCTTCCTTGTTCACTTTATCAAATGGCAACTTTGCAAACATTCTCTCTTGTGATTTCAATCCATCATCGTCTGTATAAGACCACCAAGCTTTGAAAGATTCTTTTAAAGTGCGTGGTACTTCTAAAACTGCTTCTGGTATAGCGTCTACCATTTTAATTCTAATAAATCTGTTAATCTTGCCTTATCACTCTTGATAGAGAACGTTCAAGATGTCTAAATCGTAAGTGAATAGATAGGGTAAAAAAAATTAGTATACTGATTACAGAACACAGTAAATACGATCTAATTGTTAGAACGAGATATCAGAATCCTATACCTGCACCGAAATTTGGACCAAAGTTGATAAACTTAGAACCAAGCTTGGAAAGACTATCTGAGTATGACTTCAGCGCACCTTTAGTAGCAGAGCAACCACATCCTATGATAGTCGACGCGGAATCCGGTATGCCCCTACAGCTGCAACAATTCGCTGAACTTTGGGATGACGAAGACGAAGAAGATCAACTCGAGTTAAACCCGAAGGAGGAAGTTGAACTAGATGATGAAGATTTAGATCTATTAGTTGACCCTTCACAAATATCCAATCAACGTTCAGCTAACACTTCAGGTGCATCCACACCAATAGATAGGACCTCAAATTCCTCTAACACAGCTTGGTTATATAAATCTAAATATAGTAATAACACAGATTTAAATGAAAAGCGTATTACACACAATAGGGCCGCTTTAAATCGTCTGAAGTCTCAAGAAGTTAAGGTTTTCGATGATTCTCCAGAAGGCAGAGCACAAGAAATTGAATCAACCTTCAGATTCGAACCAACATCAGTTCATCAATTGGATGACAAAGAATTATCTGAAATTAAACATCCACAGAAGAAGCACCTCAAAGCAGTTGATACTTACGATTTCTTACCTGATTTCGAGACTTTCGCTAATGATTATTTCATTATGCGTTTCGCTGATGATCCTTCAGATCGTAACACCAGCTCTGATCCACGTCTTCATAATGGTATACTCAGACCTAGATATAATGAGCAAGGTGAAACTTGGTTACAATATTATTTACCTGAGAATGATGAACAGTATACCCTTTTAAGATCAAAACTTGAATCAGATTCCTTACCAGAGAATATTGAAGAACAAGAAAGAGTTATTTATAATTATATCAGGGAGTACAACATCACAAATGAACAAAAAGATATGACAGATTTGTTGTTGATGTTTGATGATGGTTTAAGCAAACAGCCAGGTTCATCTATTGTCAATTCATCACTTGCTTCTGCTAGACCACGTGGAAAAGGTGTTTACTATAAGAATATGCCTACTAGAATGACTCTCAAAAAGCGTAGGCCCAAGGTGTGTGACAGTTTTACCACGTAGTATCACCACTAATAAAGACATCATAGGATGAAGAAGATGAAGAGAAATGGGATAAAATCCAACTTGGTTTAGAACCACTGAATGAGGAAGAGGTAAACGATAGAATAAGTGTGGAAGACTATTTCATGCCTGGAGGAGCACAGCGTGCGGTAGCAAAGAAAGAAGAAGAAAAGAGAATAGAAGAAGCTGAAAAAGAAGAAGAGAAATTACGCATAAAAGCTGAAAAGATTCAACAAAAGCAAGAGGTTGAAAGGGAGCGTAAAGCAGCTATGGAAGAACAAGCCAGAAAGGAAGAAGAGGAGAAGGGCTCTGCAGCCCTCAAAGAGAAGTCTGATGAAAGTGATGATGAAGACTTTGCAGATAAGCATGATAAAGACGAAGATAAGTCAGACGCTGGTTCTGATAATATGAACAAAGAGGTTGAACGAGATGGCTCGGGATCACCAGAGAGCGATAATGAAAATGATAAATTTAACAATGAAGCAGTCAGCAAAGAGATTGATGAAGCTATTAGTAGGGAGGTTGATCAAAGGCAAGGCTCAAACCCTACCAGAGAGGTCGACAATGGCGACAATGAAAGTGATGTACAGAAAGACGCCAATGTTGATGATTCACAAGATGTCGAAATGAAAGCAGCGACGCCACCAATTGAAGAATCTCCAAAAGACGTTACATCAACTGAAAATGCTGAGACAAGCAAAGAGAACGGTGATAGCCAAATGGAGGATGTACAAGAAAGTGATAAGCAAGCAGCACAAGAGAATCCTGTACCAGCTATTTCGGATGAAAGTGTACAAAAAGCCGGATCACCAAAAGATACTCTGAAAGAAGCAACGGCAGGAATATCAGAGAGTGGAGATAAGCCATCTGCACATGATTCTCAACCAGAACAGCAAGCCAATGCATAAGTTTAAGAAATATATATATATTGTAATCTGTTTTAAAATCAGCATATAACGTGTTTTTCATAATACTGCTGCTAACTTAGTTCACAATCCGAAACTAAACTAAACTTAGATCAAACTTCAGATCTTATCATTGCCCGCCTAGGCTGTCGTAATTTAGGCGTATATCGGCATCAATTAATAAAGTGGCCAACTGACAACATATTAAGGCACTATTTGAACCATAAATGTGTAACTTAAATTAACTGTCAAATTGAAAGGAATGTAATGACTGTGCTAATAAAAAAGCATCCTATGTGCCGACGGACGGACGGGCACACTCCACCTAAATCCGGGTAGACTAATCTTGATAGTGAAAACGGCGAAAGATATGGAATCTACTCTTAGAAATGAATTTTATAAATCTACCAAATGAAATAATAGAAAATATACTAATCCTTACTGAAACGTATAGAGATTATCTCAATCTATCAATGACGTGTAAATTATTTCATCAAATCGCATTTTCAAGACATATTTTAGATACACATTTATCAAGGAAACTTAATAAGCATTATTGTGATGCTGATAATGAATTTAATTGGCATTTATTTAATGAAGGCGTTGATCAATGCTCACTTTGTGCACGATGCGCTATCAATCGCGTCAATCGACGTACATCATTTAGTTCCATTTCAAGTAATAATTTAAGCAGTAGACGTGGTAGTGCAGATACGACAATTTCAAATATAAGTTCAATATCTGAAGAACAAGCAGATGAAACCGATAAGATTAAATGCATGATCCATTCAGTTTCACCAGCAGCTGCGTCTATGCTAGCTTATTTGCTATAGCATCATTTTATAGGCATACTAATCTATTTATTTACATATTATTGTACTTTTAAGCATTCATTAATTTCAAACATTGATTTTAAAAACTATAGAAGTGAAATTTACCATACTAATAATGTGGCTGTTGTCCTCCTTGTGGCTGATTATGACCATTTGCGAATTGATTATCAAGACTGGTCGTGCTTCCCAAATGATGAGCTGGTGGACTTACGGGTGTCGCATCAACTATATTCACTTCAGGTTGACTGGTTTGTTGAGGGTATAATAAAGTATTATGTTGCGCGTATGGTGATGCTTGTCTAGGTAATTGTGCGTATGGGCTGACAGCTGGATTTGATGCAGCTGGGTTTACGAATTGATTTGGTGAAATAGCTTGACGTGCACCACCATCAGCTTGTTGAGCAGCCGCTTGAGCAGCGTAATATTGCGCCCATTGTTCATCATATGGACCCGGTTGATAGTATTGCTGCGCTGGTGCTTGTTGTGGGTATGTATATTGTTGAGGTGCTGGTGCTTGCTGGTATACTGCACCAGCACCCGCTGGTTGTTGTGGGTAACCTGAAGGTCTTTCCATCATACCAGCGAAAAGATCTCTAGCTTGATTGAACCTATTATTGATAGCAACCAATTCATCCTTCTTGCGCGAATACTTTTCTATTAGCTTGACAATTTTTGGACGCAATCTGAGTGTTTTATCGTAAAGATCCTAAGGTGATGTCAACAAAAGTTAATGAGCGTATGATCAAAACATACCTGAATTTCATCATTATCAGCGATATTATCACCAGATGCTGGGTCAATGTCTTGTAATAATCTAAGTAATCTATCTATGTCACCAGCACTGTCAAATAACTGTGCTTCAACTTGAGCCTCCGAGGATATTTGCGATGGTGTTAAATTTGGCAATACCTGGATGTAATTGACCGGAAAGATACCAATCTCACCGGAAAGCTCACCCCTCCACCAATCCTTATGGATTGATTCCAAAACGGTAATGACATCACCCTTCAAGAAACCCAGTTCGTTGGCTTCTTGTGGTTCAAAATCGTATAAAGCCTTTACACGTTGAGGCGCTTCGTTGGAAGATGTCTTGGTTACTGGTGGGGGTGGCGATGCAGATGTAGGCTGTTGTTGGGTGTTGAAAGTATGAGATTGAGTGCTAGTTGAAGGGAGAGAAGGCGAAGTAGCTACTTGATTGAAACGACCGCCTATGTCCATCTTCGACATTTCGAGCACCTTTTGTAACTCATCCTCCTCTTGCTTCAATTTTTGATAGTCTGGCGAAGGTGGACGTGGACGACTGTTTTCCTGTTGAGGGTAGATGTTTTGATTTGCAAGATTATCAGCAACTTCTCTCATCAAACCCAAAGTGGTTGAATCATTGGAATTGTCGAAATCGTCAGCCCAGGTGTAGACTAATTTAGTTGTCAAATACTTTAGCTCTTGATCGCTATTTCTATCTAATATAAGCCTTTGCAAGGACTGAGTGAAAGATAAACTAGCGACCTCCTTCTGTATTGATATTGGTGGATTTGTATTTTTCAATAAGAAATCAACTAATTTCAAAGATAACAATTGTGTCTTCAGATTTCTATGACTAAGTCTTTTATGTATTTGTTGTATGACTAATTTACTATTAGATTCCACGTCATCTGATTGTAATTTATCCAGTAAATCAAAGTAAAGATCGTATGGCTCATCTTTATTTTCTTCATTCGTCGCGTTTATAACTTCTGTTATAAATTTATCGTCATTTTTATTAAATAAGTTCATCTTTCACTACTCTGATGGCTGGAATAAAGAGTGTGTAGTTATTAGCACAGCATTATTAAATAAAACTAAAAAATACTATCTAGCTCCTAGAAACTTTAGATTATTAGAAGAATTAGAGAAGGGTGAGAAAGGTATCGGTGATGGCTCTATCAGCTATGGATTGTCAGATAGTGACGATATATCAATGACAAACTGGAATGCCACAATAATAGGTCCTGGACATAGTACACATGAGAATAGAATCTACACTTTATCTGTTGAATGCCAAAAAGAATACCCTACTAAGCCACCTTTATTGAAATTTATCAGCAAAATTAATTTACCATTTGTTAATAGTGCAAACGGTGAAATTGACGTTAACAAGTTTAACACAATAAAACAATGGAAAGACAGTTACACTATTGAGAAAGTGTTGCTTGATTTGAGAAAGTGAGGTGCTCTTGTTCTCGTAGTTATTAACTTACCCTTTAATAGGGAAATGGCTGCGCCAGATAACAGAAAGTTACCACAACCAAAGGAAGGAGAATACTTTTAATTTAGATTGTAGCAAACTGATGTCATATTCCTTTTTCAGATTACTTTGCAAATTAATTAATTATTATTATTATTTTTTCTTTACTATTCTTCTTTTCAAACCCTTTATTACAACAATAGCTTACATTGTCCTCGGCCAAGTATGGTATGATGTAATATCTTTAATATAATATAATTTATTATAAATACTACATTTTCTATGGATCAAAATGATACGCCTTAAATATACCCAAATAACTTCCTTTCCCAAGTTTTCTTATAACAAACTCCGATGTTTGGTACCTTTGATTTCGGCCAATAGAAGTGTCAGAGCGTGTTGATTATTTTGCTGGCCGCTGGCATTTAATTGATTTTTAATTATTTCTAAATAAATATAAAACATTCCTTCTTCAAATTCAAACATTCCCAATCTTTTCTTCAATCACATCGGCAGATTTCATACAACTTTTAAAAGAACAATCATGCCAATAGGACGTACAAACACACAACACATTGTCATTTTGGGCTCAGGTGGTATGTATTCTTCTAATATACATAGACATCCTTCTAATGCCAGAAAGTCATCGGTGTCACTACCGCTATTACACTTGCGAAGCAAGGATATCAAGTTACTGTCTGTGCAAGAGACTTACCAACTGACTCTGAATCAACCGGTTTCGCTTCCCCATGGGCTGGTGCTAGTATGTATACCCCACGTCCCACGTCTTCTCTAACAAATTACCCGACAGACTGGTTCACCTTTGCTTCCAAGTTTGATTACAGAATGCAAAGATGGGAGGAATATACTTTCAAGAAACTTTGGAGCCTCATTCCTAGCGGACACGTTATGGAATTACCAATAAAGGTCTACAAGTCTGAACAAGCTATAAAAGACTTATGGCATCAACATCTTACACCAAACTTCAGAAGAATCCCAGGCCCTTCAAATAACCCAGACATTTCAGGCGTTGCATTCACTTCTGTCTCACTTTCCGCACCAGATTACTTAAAGCACCTTCACCAAGTTGCCAAACAATTGGGTGTTAAATTCGTTAGAAAGTCAGTTAGTTCAATTCACGAACCTTTCGATTACACACAAGATTTGCCTGTTGCTGATTTAGTCGTAAATGCAACTGGTTTAGGCGCTCGTAAATTACAAGGCTGCAATGACCCACAGGTTATGCCAATTAGAGGTCAAACTGTCGTCGTTGACGCTCCAAATGTCAAAGAATGTGTCATGGCTGTTGACAGCTCATACGGTTCAGAATCTGCATATATTATTCCAAGACCAAACGGTCAGGCTATCTTAGGTGGTTGCTTCCAAGTCGGTAACTGGGATACCACCATAGATAATGACATGGGTAAAAGGATACTCGAGCGCTGCTTCGAGCTTAACAAGAATCTCTCACCAACTGGTAAATTCGAAGATATCAAAGTTTTAAGACACAATGTTGGACTTAGACCTGCAAGAGAAGGCGGTACTAGACTTGAAATCGAGATGCTCGAATCAGACAAAGAATACGAGCAAGGTACTATGCACCCAGTTGTCCACGCTTATGGTATTGGACCTGCAGGTTTCCAATGTAGTTGGGGTATGGCTAGAGATGTTCTCAACTTGGTTGATGAGCACTTCAAATCATCTAGAACAACAACAGTCGACTTGTTCACATCAACTGAAGCTGTTAAGTCAAACACAACACCAAGAAGTTGCCCAACTGTTACCTCAACAACACGTTCTCGTTCATCTTCACAACGGTGGATGCCAAAGTCTCCAATCATTTCCCCTCAAACAGTTTTGATCTAAGTTTAGGACTGAAATGTTAATTTATCTGCACATTGCAAAAATAATATCATTACGAATCAAAGCTCAAAATTATTATTAGCTCTGGTTAGCTAATTAATTGCACAAAAATTGCATATACCCTTAAAATTCAAAATTTTCTCAGAACGTAATTCTACTTTAAAATGCTTGTATTATAATAACACTATATTGAGTAATAAAATTGAATGTTGTTTATCTCTAAGAACAATTAATTTATGAAATCTGATACAACAGCTTTTGTTGATTTGAATTGGTTTAATTTTGATTGTGCGGTTGATTCGCTGTATCCTGTAGCATCTATGATAGTTTTTATATCTTCTTTGTTTAACGCTTTCAGTTCTGCAGCACTTAATGTAGGTTTAGGGAACTTCTCTGGCAAAATACCAGGTTTCGTTTCATCTAAAGATCCGAATAGATGTTCTCTACTATTGACTAATTTATTCCTTGAAAATGATCCACCATCTACGTACTAATTGAGGTATAAACACATTATATCACTCCAACCAGAAACCTACCTCTGAGATAACGTCTCCTTTAGCATTTGCTGACATTCTATAAGATTGATTGTTAAAAGTTGATTTTACATTTTATTGTATTTACCTTATCGTTCGTGGTTGTTTTCTAAAACCATCATCATAAATACCAGCATTTTTAATGCAAGAAAGAAATTTGTACACATTTGCAGCATTAGCTGCTGTACTTACAACACTTCTATTGAAGTACCTCCTTGGCTCTGATGTTTTCACTATCACCGCAGATAAAGCTTTATTATCCACTTCATACGAATTTCAACCTGCTACTATACAAATAAATAAGAAAACTGGTAAGATTCTAGATGTTTTTGGTGGTATTCGTAAGGATAAGAAAGTCGGTAAATCAATCCACTATGGTAGCTCACAATTGTTACTTCCTGGTTTAGTTGATACACACGTACATATTAATGACCCTGGAAGATCTGAATGGGAAACTTTCGATAGTGCAACTAAAGCTGCCCTTGCTGGTGGTGTAACAACTTTAGTCGATATGCCTTTGAATTCTATTCCACCTACAACTTCAGTAAAGGGTTTAGATGAAAAGAAATCTGCTGCTCTTGGTAATATACACACTGATTTGGCTTTCTGGGCTGGTAGTGTACCTGGAAACACTAAAGAATTATCAAAACTTCTCAAACAAGATGGTGTTAAAGGTTTCAAGAGTTTCATGATTAATAGTGGTGTAGATGTGAGTTGAATATACCAGATTATAATTAAGCTGACAATCAGCAGGAATTCAAATCAGTTTCTCCAAAAGATATCGAAAAATCATTCAAAGAGTTATCAAAGAGTGCAAACAAAGGTCACAACGTCACCATGCTCTTCCATGCAGAGAGCAACTCAAAAAAGATTGACAAGCAAATCAAGAAAGACCTTGCTGGAAAAGACAGTCGTCAATATGAGACTTACCTTCTGACACACCCAGTTGCTTATGAATTAGATGCAATCAAAACTCTCATAAAACTCATGAAGAAATATCCATTAATTAATGTTCATATCGTTCACCTCTCAACTGCTGAAGCTTTACCATTGATTAGACAAGCAAGAGCTGACGGTCTGAGATTAACTGTTGAAACCTGCTACCATTACTTGTATTTCAACAGTGAGGATATACCAGATGGCTCAGTTAAACACAAATGTGCACCACCAATCCGTGACAGTGAAAACAACAAATTATTATGGAAAGCTATAAAAGATGGTGATATTGATTTAATCACTTCAGATCACTCACCTGCAGATGCGCTCACCAAAAACCTTGAAGAAGGTGATTTCTTGAATGGTTGGGGTGGTATTGCCTCATTAGGTTTAGGATTACCTGCACTCCACAAGAAGATTTCTGAAGACACTTGTGAAAACAACCTCTCCTTGGGTGAATTAGTCGAATTCTTATCACACAAACCTGCTACTCTCGCTGGATTAGGTGATCGTAAAGGTCTCATCCAAAAAGGTTATGATGCAGATTTTGCAATCTTTGAACCAAACTCAACACATGTTTTGCAAGAACAAGATTTACTCTACAAGAACCAAATTTCACCATATGTTGGAGAAGAATTTAAAGGTCGCTTATCAAGAACCTACCTTAGAGGTGTTAAAGCATATGATAGATATCAAGGGGGTGTATTAGAACCTTCGAAACATAGGGGAATTGTTGTTTAATTTATACTACTAAAATTTTGATGAACTTACTAATACACGGCTTATGTAAAGTTTTTATATTATAAATGAACGATTTATACCACTTATTCTAAGATAGATGTTTGTAAACAGTAAATCCCGTGGAATCGATTGTAAGATAACTTATTTTTCTATCGACTTTTATTGACTTATGTCATCATATTGCTACCTTTTTTAACTGCCATGGCTTGGGCAACTACAAAAGACAATTGCGAAATTTACTATGAAGATAAAGGTGCCGGTCCGGTATTAGTTTTTGTTTCTGGATTTATGGGGATTGCCGATATATGGCATAACCAAACAAAGGAACTTCTTGATTATCGCTGTATCGAACACGACAACCGAGGATACGGTCGTTCAAGTAAACCCGAATCTCCAGACTCATACAGTATTGAACAGCATGCAGAAGATTTAAAATCTGTTCTTGATGATGCCAAGGTCAACGGACCGGTAGTTCTTGTTACCCACTCAATTGGATCAGCTATCGGTACTGCTTTTACATTAGCGCATCCTGATATGGTAGCTGGTATCGTCTATACCGCTGGAAATGCTTACGGCAACCAATTCGTTAAAGCTGGTGTAACTGAAAAAGCGTTAGTAGAAGGTGTTTCAGGTCCATCCGCAAGTTATAGATTCTTCAAAAACTTTGGACTAAACGAAGAAATTGCAGTGGAAGCTTCAAAATGGCCATTACACGGTTTTAAAGGTAATGCAAAAGCACTTATTAACTACAATCCGGGTAAAAAAGAATATTCTACAATTAGTGTTCCCGTTTTGATTATTCATGGCGACAAAGATATCGTTAGTCGCTTGGATCCATTTGCTACAGAATTAAAAGAGCTCATTCCTAATGCTAAGCTTGAAGTACTGAATGGCGTAAATCATTTCCCTCAAGCAGATGAAGTCACTTCTCTTATCAAAGAACATTTACAGTTTTGTTTTTGATTATAAATAGCTTACAATTAATGATAACTTTTAGTATTTCATGAGCTGAAACACTTGAATCTTACTTTCCTTGCGTTTACAAATAGCGACCATTAAGAACATGTAAACAGAAAACCTGTGAACCGGCAGGCAGGCCTGTTCTGTGAATTAGTTGTCTGGATTTTCATGTCTGTCTATATCTATATTGAAGTTCAGTTTCTTCAAATATGCAGTCATATTGTGACATCTTGTGAGATAAAAAGTCAGTTTGGTCGTAAATGGAGTCTTAGCTTCTCCAAATACTTGTAGAATATCAAAAAGACATTGAGTCGAAATAACACGATCAGATTCTTCATGAACTGGTTTTAATGGTTTGAGAAGACACTTCGTATCATCGAGAAGTAGATCTAAGAACTCCTTAGTACGGATTTCAGGAGGTATACGACTCCATATGCTATGTACAGCTTCTCGAGGATTAACGTAGGCGAAATTACTTCTCTTTTCTTTCAAAAAAGGTAACAACCGTGATAGTTCTCCTTTAGCATCCCTTATATCCCTAGATGTGTTTTCTAAATCTGATAAATAGCGTAATCCGAACCTTCGCAAAATGAATGCGTAAGAGAACATGATAGCAACTAAATTTGATGAGAGTATTTCGCCGCCTGGATGTAAATCAAAGGATTTTGCTTCTGGTTTATCTAATAGGTCATCTGATTCATTTTCACTGTTGTTATCATCATCTATATACCACGGATGAAAAGATTGTTGATAAAGATGAAGTAATCTAGTTAAAGTAGCAGAATTTGAAGGATTCGTTAAATTCTCAAATTGGTCTCTCTCTTCTTTACTAAGTGCATTCAATATTGTACTAGGATCTGAACTTTCTGAAAGATTGTCAACATAATTGTGTAACAGATAATGAAAAATATAGACTGACCAAGATCAAGTGAAGCAAGTCGTTGCATAGTATCATCATCTATTTCATTAAATTCATCAATATCATTCTCCTCATTAAACTTTTTAAGTAAATCCAATGCTTTCTTCTTTTCAAGTAAGTTTGATTGATTATTGATAGACAATTCATCCTTAAGTTGATTATTTGTAAAATTCTGATTACAATCTGAATGTACTTCACTTTTGAAGCAATTTAAACTACAATAAGGTATATTGCAATTTGGACAAATGTATTGACTTGTATTTATTGTACATATAACACAAACGGATTGATTAGCAGATCCTTGTATCTTATTAAAATCATTATTGGAGTAAGGCAGAATTATTTTTTTATCATTTAAATCTAATTTTGGTGTATTAGATGATGATCGCATATTCCATCATTTGAATCAATCATCATCTGATAAATGAAGTTGAAATTTATTTTAACTTTTGCAGTTGCAATTGGTGTAGCTTTAGCTAACAAGGAGTTGTTCAGTTTACACAAAGACTTAATTATCAGACCTTCAATCACCAGAAATGAAACCCTGGCTGTTGATTTCTTAAGTAATTATTTAGAGCAGAATGGATGGAAAGTTGAATTACAAGACGTTATCAATCCAAACATCGATAGCTCAATAAAGAGACAAAATATATTCGCATACCTCAACAAACCAGAAGATGTTAAGATCTTATTGAATTCACACACTGACGTTGTTCCACCTTATGTTGAATACAAAGAAACTGTAGATGACCAAGGTCGTGAATTGATCTATGGACGTGGTGCAAATGACGCCAAAGGTCAGATCGCTGCACAAGTTATTGCAGTCGAAGAATTGCGAAAGAAGAATCCAGAAATCGTCAAACATGTTGGTGTTTTATATGATCCAGGTGAAGAAGGTATCTTTGATGGTGCAACTTTCGCTCAAGAGATACTTCCAAAGAATTTAGAATATGTTATCGTAGGTGAACCAACTGAATTAGTTCAAATTACTGGTCACAAAGGCAATATGGGCTTCGAGATTAGAGCTAAAGGTTTAGCTGCACACTCTTCTTCCCCACATTGGGGTGTAAATGCGATTGAGAAACTTTCTGAAGCTATTTTGAAACTTGAAAGCGTGACTTTGCCGAAGGACAAATTATTGGGTGATACAACAATGGCAGTAACTAAAATCAGTGGAGGTACAGCTATGAATAAGGTACCAGATGAAGCGACTGCATACGTAAACGTTAGAACCTCAGTACCATCAGAAGAAACTTGGAAAGCGATTAAAGGATCAGGATTAGAATCGGAATGGATCGATTTAGTCTTAGTGGATGATCCTCATGATCCTGTTATCGTAAGTTCATTATGCTCGAAGGACAATGGAAACTGAATGACTTTATGAAGCTTGACACGATAGAGAACTGGAGATCAAGCCAAACAATGCCATTCGGTACAGATTTATTCGCATGGAAGCATCCGACCGTCAAGAAAATATTGATTGGTTGTGGCTCAGTTGCAAGTGCTCACAAATTAGATGAGCATATCTATAAGCAGGAGTTGTTAGATGGTGTTGACATGTATGTCGAATTGGTCGAAGGGCTTCTAACCGGAAAATTGAAAGTTGCAGGTGGACATACTAAACATGAAAAGGACGAGTTGTAATGACTGAATACGATGATTGATTATTTTCCAAATTAAGCGCTAGTTTTACAGTGATAATCTTTGCTAGGCTGCTGATCGATTTAACTATCAGTTTCAAACATTCTGGCAATTTGTGGGAATAAGACATGTTGTTTACCAATTGTGTAAACCACCCAAAACTTTTGAAGCACTAAACGCTCGACTAGTTCCATCCTAAGCTAGTTGCTCCTTTTGACTAGTAGGTTGTTCAGAAACCATCGCAGTTGATGTGCAGATTGATGTGATGTTTGTGTGTGGACGAAGTGGTTTAATTTGAGGCACGTGAGGTTGTAAGCTTTCTTATTATTATTATTTACAAGTTCATACCTCAACTGACAACGTACTCAAGATACACCGGTAGTTCGGCGTGACCGAGAGCAATCGAGGGGACGCAAATCATAAAAACATATTACGCAGCTCATCTGAATCTTCACGCTATAAGAAGTATAGATGGACGCGGTTGAATTGTTTAATTAATTTTAACCTAGTTAGCGTTTAATTTCACGCAGAAGTAAATCTAGGAACTCCTCGATGTGATTTCAGAATGATACTACTCCTTAAGCTATTTACATCTTCTCGAGATTTCGTAAATGTCTTTTCTTTTCTTTCTTTCAACAAAGCAACAACCGTGAGAGTCTGTTTTAGCATCAATTTTATCCTTGGATGTGTTTTCTAGATCTACGAAATAGCTTAAGTTAGATCTGCTTAATAAATACGTGAAAAGGCACGATAGCGACTAAATTTGATGAAATTCTTCACTACCTTTACTTCACTCAAAGGATTTTGCTTCTGGGTTTTCTAAAAAGTTGTCTGATTTACTGACATTCTTGTCATCATCTATAAACCAAGGTCGCAATAATTCTCAAGAAAGATGAAGTAATCTAGTTTTGGTGGATGAGATGATGTCATACGTAATCCATTATATATGTTTCATGGTTTGAATAGTTCATCATCTAATATTAAATCATGTTGAAATTTGTTTCAACTCTTGCAGTTGCAATTGGTGTAGCTTTAGCTAACAAGGAATTGTTCAGTTTACACAAAGACTTAATTATCAGACCTTCAATCACCAGAAATGAAACCTTGGCTGTTGATTTCTTAAGTAATTATTTAAAACAGATTGGATGAAAAGTTGAATTACAAGATGTTATCAATCCAAACGTCGATAGATCAATAAGGAGACAAAATTTATTCGCATACCTCGATAATCCAGAAGATGTTAAGATCTTATTAAATTCACATATAGATGTCCTACCACCGTATTTTGAATACAAAGAAGCTGTAGACGACCAAGGTCGTGAATTGATCTATGGACGTGGTGCAAATGACGCCAAAGGTCAAATCGCTGCACAAATTATTGCAGTCGAAGAATTGAGAAAGAAGAATCAGGAAATTGTTAAAAAGGTTGGCTTTTTATATGATCTGGGCGAAGAAGGTCTCTATGATGGCGCAACTTCTGCTCAAGAGATACTACCACAGAATTTAGAATATGTTATTGCAGGTGAACCAACTGAATTATTTCAAATTAGCTCTCATAAAGGCAATATGGGCTTTGAGATCAGAGCTAAAGGTTTAGCTGCGCACTCTTCTTCACCGCATTGGGGTGTAAATGCGATTGAGAAACTTTCTGAAGCTATTTTGAAACTCGAGAGTGTGGCTTTACCACAGGATAAAATATTAGGTGATACAACAACGGCGGTAACTAAAATTAAAGGTGGTACAGCTGTGAATAAGGTACCAGATGAAGCGACTGCATACGTAAACGTTAGAACCTCAGTACCCTCAGAAGAAACTTGGAAAGCACTTAAGGAATCAGGATTGGAATCAGAATGGATTGATTTAATCTTGGTGGATGATTCTCATGATCCTGTTACCGTAAGTCTATCCTGCTTGAACAAGAATACAAATTGAATAACTTTATGAAGCTTGACACTATAGAAAACTGGAGACCAAGCCAAACAATGCCAGTCGGTACGGATCTATTCGCATGGAAGCAACCAACAGTTAAGAAGATATTGATCGGTTGTGGCTCGAGTGGAAGTGCTCACAAATTAGATGAACATATCTATAAGCAGGAACTATTAGACGGAGTTGATATGTATGTTGAATTGGTCGAAGGGCTTCTAACTGGAAAGTTGAAAGTTGCAGGTGAACATACTAAGCATGAAAAGGACGAATTGTAATGATTAAATAATGATTAAATAATGATTAAACGCGGTGATTAACTATTCTGCCCAATTAAGCTCGACCTTTTACAACAATACAACCACTGCTAGGCTGACGGTCGATTTTCCAACCATCGTTTTCCAGCATCCTTGCGATTTGTGGGAATAATACAGGTTGTTTACCAGTCGAGTGCAAACCGACACCAGTAATGAAAGTTAATTGATTAAGTTTTGTGACTTCTTTGTTAAGTATGGGCCTCTTCGACCACCATCTATGTACGCAATCGTGGGCAACCGCTAAAGCTTCTTTTGCAGTTAAGTAATGTAAATCAATTTTATCGTTTTGAGAGTTTGAAGATCGCGAATTCGTGTAAGCTTTGGCCGCTTTGATTGCCCATTCATCTGCTAATTCACCGAATGTGGCAGCTTCTTGAGATTTCATCAGAGAAGCTTGACCACCTGCGTTAACCTTCCAAGATTTGGAAGCTTTGAATATTCTACTGGCTTCATTCAGAGCTAGTTGCTTTTTATCTCTATACTCTTGCTCCTTTTGACGACAGAAGTCTTCGGTTTCAATCTCAGTTGATGTAGATTGATGGGTAGTTGTGTTTAAATGTGAAGTGCGCAGACCAACCTGTGGTAAGTGTGGGTATATAGGTTTCTTATTATTATTACTATTATTGAGCTTTTTATTGACTTTGACCCAGTTGGTGTTCACCTTCTGCCGCTGTTTCCTTTGTTGTTGTTGTTGCTGATAAGTTGGCTGCTGCACAGATACTTCGGAGGATTCCACGTTTGATAAAGTGGATAGTACGTCTTCTGCATCTTGTACTCTGTTGTTGCAAGCTTTTAAAATTAGCCGGCATTTGTCTAGCTGTTGACTTCCTGTTAATGCTAATAATAACTCCAATGAATTATCATCTAGAGTGTGATCAAAGGTTTCCAAATAATTGTATATAGCTTCTGATAATGTTAAGCTACTATGTGACTCTAATATTGCAACTAAATAGTTATTCATCTCGGAGTATTCAACGTTTAATTGTTTATATAAATTGGATATTAATGAGTCTACGACTATCCACTCATCGTTTGTATCTTTAATTGAAAGGTTTTCTAATATTTCATCTAAATCTGAATTATATTCATTATAAATTAAACCAATTAACGTAGAATCAACGGATGGATATTTTTTCTAAATAATTCATTCATATTTACATAAAAAAACATCACAAAAACTCACAATATAATCATCTAAACTTAATTTCCAGACTGTTGACATTTATTATTAGAAAGCCGAATACTCGTCGTTCATCAAACATTTACAATTTAAAAAAAATTTAAATACTTGATGGGTAGAGCATCTGAGTAGTTTGTTAGATAAAGTACAATAATTTTAGATTAATTAACTCACGATGCGACATGAAGCACCGAATGTACGTGGTGGAAGGTTTGATGCAAACTTTGCACGTACAGCACCAGAGTTACCGTGGGTACGAGTGCACTTTCCCCAAATAACACGGACCTTTGAACCATTTACAGCCTTCTTACCCTTGTATACGTATGCAATTCTCTTGGTTACTGTTAGATAATCCAAGTAAGGTAGGCAGTTCACTCACCTTACCGAGGTAGAACTTGGCATCCTCGATCTTTTGTGCACCCTCAATTTGGATTAATGAGGTCTTTGGGTGCGTAATACGCTTTCCTCTTTGGTGTGAGAGTACACGACCACGGGCGTAGAGGCTGATAGAGTGAGTATAACATATTGAAATTTGCTATAAAACCTACCGAGTCACTATAGATTTATTAGTAACTTCTCTCTTTTTATTTTAAATTACTCACTTGCAACGATTTGATTTGGTCAAGAAAAGAAGAATTGTAGTCAGGAAACATCATAACAAGAGAATTTTAAAAATCAAAATAAAGTTACATCCATATATTCTCTTAGTGTCTACAATATATTCTCACTATTCACTCCGCTCTCTCTCTCGTTTGCCTCCGCTTGATTGGCGATTGTGACAACCTGGCCTTTGAAACTTGCTCTGCATTCGACGGTCTTTTTGAACCAACATTCGTCTTTCTTCTCGGCGTCATAGATTTACCTCCTTTATTACTCTCCTTCAGTCTGGCCATTTTCACTCTCTCGGCTGCTCTCTGCTGAGCTTCGGTTGCTTGAGCAGATGGTTCAGCTGCTGCTTTACTTGGACCAGCAACTACCGGCTTAGGCTTCTCCGTTGCGAACTTAAATGGTGCCGGTTTCGTCAGTGACGTCGTTCTAGTAGACACCTCTTGTGGCTTTTTCAGCTTCCTAACCACCCTCTTTGGTTGCTTCTGATCAGTCGTACTGCTAGTTGATGGCTCTGCATTAGTTGTTTTCTCGCTCTCATTCGCACTACCTCCGAACAACTTCTTTCCAACATTTTTTATCAAACCAGCAGCACGACTAGCACTACCGATCCTGGTTGGTGGCTTTACACTCGCTCTACCCACACTTGGTCTGGCTGTAGGTATACCCCTCGCGTTAGCCGCCATACTAGACCTCCTTTTTTGTCTAGACAACTCAAGTCTACGCTTGACATCATCACGACGTTCACGTTCTTCTTGTGTTGGTGCTGCAACGCGTATTCTCTTGTTAGGTTGGCTGGTTTCACCGCTTGATGGTCTAGCGTTCACTTTCCTTGGCGATTCAACAGAAGTTGTTTTTCTTGGAGATATCTTTGGCCTAGCCGAATAGTGATTCGCGATACTGTCCATCTTATCAAATTCATTTTTATGTGCATCGTCGAATTTCCTTTTTATCTTCAAATTAGTTCCACTCTTGAGACCCAATTCCGATGCACTCTTACGAGTGTTTGCATTTTCAAACTGTTCTTTGATCTCTGGCTTTATCTCAGCTGAAGGGAGTCTCTTATTGAGTTCTTCCATAACATTAGTGAAGCCTGCATTTGAAACACTAGATTGACCAAACACGAATTGTGGTAATGGTGGGTATATCTTGTTTGGTGTGTTGCTTTCTTGTGAAGGCAGACTTGGTCTGTTAACGAAAGAAGGTGATGGCGAAGGTTCACGTTCATTTCCAACCAATTTGACGGTATCATCCACAATAGTATCTTCATGAATCGACGCGGCTGTTGACAACCTAGTTGGCTGACATTCACCTGGTACAACATTCCAAGACTGTGATTGCTCATCTTCCGACTCGTCACCACTGCTATCATCTTGCTTCATTTCGACGACAACATCTTGATATTTGGATGGACTAACAGTGCTCTGCTTAGATGGACTGAATTCCTTCAATTTTGACTTGATAGATGAGCCTATACTCCGCATAATTGATTTAGATTGCGTACTTGAGTTATCTTAACGTGATTTCAATAAATAAACGCGTCACAAGGTAAGCATACTCACAACTTGATTGCTTTGAAGGGGATGGTGGATTAAAGTCGATATCCTCTGATTGACTAACGCCTTCAATTAACTCCCATGGCTCTGTAGTTCTGGCTTTCTTAACTGGTGATTCCTCAGGTGCGCCTGCATAGTCATCAAGCTGCTCTTTAGATATTGAACTAGCCAAGCTTTCTAATCTTTCAATTAGTTCGCTGTTCTAATAAAATGACGCGTAAATATAATGAATGTTTGTCGCGATAGCCATAGCCTACCTTTCCTTTAGCGTTAACGCCAAATCGTTTGCATAATCTATTCAACTGTGGTCTCTTTAAAGAGTTTAATGCCGCGCTATTTGATAATATTTCCCTCGAAGGTTCTGTCATATCGCTGTTAAATAGAAAGGGCGGTTTTGATAAAACGATGAGGGTAATCGCTGTTAAAATAGCCGATTGGAATCCTAATGATGAAGTCAGTAATAAAGGTCTTTAAATAAGCTATCTAAATCACGTATAAGCTCTTTAATGCACTCCTGTCAACACTCGATCTGGCTTCAATAGAGCGTACGAAAGCTTACAGGTTTAGAGACGATGCAAAGAGTAAATTAGCGTGTAACATCTTAATCATATTACTAACAACTATTAGGGAGTATCATTGGTAGACTCCTCCCGAGGTACATCCTTACAAAACACTTCAACGTTGATTGGAAATCAATTGAATTTGGCGCAACACCAGAGAATAGACCTTTCTATGTAGGTATGAACATCCAATCAAAACAGCACTAATATCATTCTTCATAGACGTCACCAGAAAATATCCCAGTATCAGATTATAACGTCTCACATGATGGTGATTATGTTTTGATCGGGTATACGTGCTCTCCTAATTCACGCATCGGTGTTGACATTACAAGACTAGCTTTACCAAGAAACACAACTCATGAGGAATTCTATGAAGCATTTGAGACACAAGTGAGTCATTCCTGACTACCATGCTCTCACTAGAACTTAATAGATGCATAAAAGCGAAAGCGTGAACCTCAACGCTATGCCTGATCACGAATCAAAACTTAGAAGGTTGTTATCCTTATGGACACTGAAAGAAGCATACACGAAGGCACTAGGTTTCGGTTTAGGGTTTGATTTCAGTCGAGTAGCATATGAATTCCCTTACGATAATTCAAATGCAAGCTCTGAACAGAAAGTAGAAGTTGCCTCTGCACGCATATCTGGACTGAAAGTTGATGATAGAGTTTTACATTTGGGATATGTTACAGAAGGTGTTCTCAACAGATGGGACTTCTATCAAGGTCAACTAGATGGCCATTTGATTGCAGTTTCACTCAGAGATGGTAGTCGAGAACAATATGAGCATCATTCACAAACTGATTGGCTTGATATACTAAAAGTCGATGATCTAGTTAAAGATGTATTATCTATAAATAAAATATAAGTTACTCCCATTGTACATAAGCTAATTCCTCTATCCATTGTTCCCTCGCTTCTTTACTCTGACTACCTGACTCTAAACAGCAATCATTTTCACAAACGAACAACATAATCGTTCCCCATTCCATATCTGCCTTTGTTGAGCCTTTGGATTTACCAGCTAAAGCCTCTTCAAGTTCCTTCTTACGTTCCTCTTCACTGAGGTTGTTGTTCTGTGTTGTATTGTTACATAAGTTGATAATGTTTGGTGTAATTTGACATTCAAATACACGTTTGCTACCACAGGTTTCACATCTTGGTAATTTTGCAGTATCGTAATTAGCTACGCTTGCTTCGTTCGCACCACCGAAGAGTTTCTTATAAACACCATCCTTGTTAGTATAAGCAAGTGGTGTACCTCCTAACTCATAACGTATACACTGTTGAGGTTCGTAATTTACGTGTTTGATGAAATGCTCAAATGCCTCATCCATGCCATTACCCATGCTCTTTTCGAACTCTTCAAGCTCAGAATTACCACCCGCACCTTGAAGTGTTTGTTTTACATCTTCTATTTTTACTTTACTATCTTTTGATGGCTTTGGAATGACTTCCGGTGTGGTTGCGATATATTGAGTAGCATAACTTGGTTGTTCTGGCCAGTATTGTTTAGTTGGTGCTACACCACCATCTGATATCTCTAATTTAGCTAATTCTGCTTCTAATCCTTCATCTTCGTCTTCGCTGCTTTCCTCGCTATCAGATTCTATTATCTTCTTAAACCGAGGTTGTTCTTCTTCACTTTCACTGTCTGAATCATCTGCACCAAAAGCACCTGTAGTTTGACTAAATGGATTGCTTTTACCGGCCTGTTAAATTCGTTACAGGTGTTTGAAACATCCAGTAAAGTTACTTACGGTGAATGGGTTAGTTGTTGCTTGCTCTTTAGCTTTTTTGTCTTCCTCAGCTTGCTTTTTCTTCTTCTCTTGATCCCTTTGTTTTAATTTTGCAAGCTTTCTAGCCCACTTTTCATTCCTAGAGAGACACCTAAACGCTCTAACGCTACCATCCTTCTTCTGACAGGAAGCCCTAGAGCATGCGAAGAAAAAGAGAACTCTATCGTTGACAGAATCAGGATATGGTGCAAAAATCTGCAAAAGAAGTTCCATGTTGTTGTTGCAAACCTTACATAAGTTGCTAGATGTACTTGGTAGATTTCTCAAACGGGGGAAAGACTGAATAGGTTGTAATTAATATACATAATCAATTTACAAAAAGAAGGGCGTACAGGCTGACCACCAATTCTTGAAATTTCAATCGTTCTGTCATCTAAATCGGATATTGGACCACCGTCAGGTAAACCCAAGTGAACGTTGCTCTCATAGTCGCTGAATTCTGAATCGTCTGAATCGTACACGCTCATTTTGAGACTAAAGGGAAAAAGTTAGAAGATTTTCTCCAAATATGAAGGCGAATAAGTAGAGTACTATATCAGGGCCAAAAGTATCATCAAACTGAGTACGCATTTAGAGAAAGCATCAGACTCTTCTCAAATAACTCAAGAAGAGAAGTCAACTAAAGCTAAAGTCGTACTAGTGAATATGACTCGTCATCTAAATAAATATATAATTTCATCCTATAAAGACTCTATTTATTCGCCTTTCGTTTACTTACACTTCGTCGTTGATTTTTGAAAAGAGAAGATTTCAGCCGAGGCTTCTTTTCACTCAAATCAAAAATGAGCGCTGGTGACCAAATCTGGAGCAACCTATCCATCGACGCGCTATCTATTTTAGCGACTTCTGAGCTAATCAATAAAGATATAGAGAATGCAATAGAATCTGAACAGAAGCTTGACTATGATCCAGACACTAGATACAAAATAGCTGGTAGATATCTCAATGATTATTTAGAGTCATTTACATCTAACCATAAGTCAGTATCGCTTTTTTATGTTATTTTATTACTAATTTAACATCACAGCGCTCGTTCTTTGCTTGAAAGTGATCATACTAAAGTACTCGAACCTGATTATAATACGCCATTCAGCAGTTATAATGATGTACTTGATAGACTACTGCCCTATCACGTTTATCAACATCCAGATGCTGATTTAGATTTATCAACAGATCACATTTTTAGCGATGACAAAGTTTTAGATTTCTACAGACGGCGGCGAAACTTATATGAAAGGTTTAACAAATCTAGAAGAGTTGATCTTGAATCTAAATCACAATCAAATTTCATCTTGCGTCAGGTAAACAGCACTATGAAAGAGGATAACGTCCGATTATCGCAACAACTGAGGGAACTGAAAGGTGCAGCCACATCGACTAGATCAACATCGGCTACAAGCAATTCAGCAAACAACGCTCAAATCCCTTTAACACTACCATACACGAGACTTGGTCAATTGATGTCATTAGGTATCACACCAATTCCAATCGCGAATGTCCAGCCTGGCGATCAACCAGCTTGCGTTTTACATGGCGTTTTAGAAGATAGGAATATGGTACAACTCGTCGTTAACTTTGGTAGTTTAAATCCTCAACAGCTTAGTTCATTAGCTCAGATATTACGAACTTGTTTGTTTACTTCTTTTATGTTATTATTATACTGACAAACACAGGGGTCGCTGAAAATGAACGAAATTCGCAAAATGATAACGATAGTAGTAGCAATCAAAATAAAGATACCAAACCGAATGAATAATTGACAAATATAGATACAGATTGTATTTCGCAAATTGAATGTTGTACAAATAAGATTTTTACGTTATAGCTCAACGCACTTTAGCAGCTTGTTTATTATTTAGTATATTGTTTAAAGTAATCTCTGATCGAATATACCAACGTCATATCTCTCATTACACCATCATGTCAAATAGTGATTATCAAGAAGAATCAGTCGAGAAGAATGCAAGTAAAAGAAAGGTAGATGATTTGATATCTACCGAGTCTATTAAGTTACCGAAGCTTGATCACCCAATAAATCCAGATAATCCAAATGAAATAATGCCATCAACGAATTGGAACTTGAATGAAATAAAGAAACATTACATTCATCAAGATTATCGATGGTCTTCAATCTTTGACGCTGTGCCTTGCAAACCATTCGAACAAGGTTTAGACAAGCCTATCAACCCATTTAGAGTTATTTGTGAATCAATTCTTGCTCAACAGATATCATACAAAGCATCAAAAGCGTGAGATACCCGTTGACAGATGTCATCAATCTGACATTATTGCATAGTGTTTGTTACAAGTTTATACGTTATTTCTACCCACATTTGCCTGAGAAAAGGGAGAAAGATGATCCAGAGGAGTTTCCAACTCCAGAACAAGTTGCTAATACAGAGGTTTCTAGGTTGAGGGTGGGTTTGCGATTCCACTCCAGATGAAAATTAAAACCGTCCAGGAAATAGGGTTCTCTGTTAGAAAGGGAGAATATGGTGAGTTATTAGAGGGTATCTGGCATTTTATAACAGAATACAGCTGTTGGCTTAGCACAAGCTTTCGTGAGGGGTGAAATCACACCAAGAAAGTTAATTGAAGCATCTGATGAGGAGCTCATGGAAATGCTTACAAATATCCGGGGTATAGGACCTTGGACAGTGCATGTAAGTCTTGATAACGCGTCATTACATTCGTTTACAATATAGATGCTGAGTATATTCATGCTTAGGCGTGTTGATATACTACCGCCAGCGGACCTTGGAGTTCAGCTAGGTTTAGTCAAATTTTGGCTTGGCCATGAGCTAAAAGCAGCGAAGAATCACGGTCATATTGATGTATCTGACGAAAAACAGAATGAAATGATAAATCAAAATGACGACATCAGATCAGCTCAACAATCAGTTACAAGTCTAGATTCGAACGGAGCTGTTAAGGCGGTACCTCTACCGAAAGAGGCCCTAGAAATCGGTCTAAAGGAAAGTGTACTAAGGGAGCGTTTAAAGAAGCGTTTAAAGTGCGTTATACCAAGATGTCAACTGACAGACTAACTAATATTTATTCGTGCCATAGGAAGGGAAATATTTACTTGACAGCTAAAGAGTGTGAAGCTTTAACGGCTAATTGGAGACCATGTGAGTGTACATTAGACCATTCACGCGTATATTCACGCGTATATTTTTTTAGATCGCAGTATCGGTGTTTATTGTGAGTGGTGAAGGCAAATATGCACCCACGTATTAACGGAAGAGTAGATATGTGGATAATAAAAGGCGATAAAGAGTAAACGATATTGTAATAATAAATAAATGATTAAATAAAATTTTAGATCGATTTCAACTTCTTTCTTGATTAACTTCTTAGATAGAGACGAGATCAAAAACAAATAAATGTGAGTAGAAAGAAAAAGCCTGGAGTTTACTAAGACAAAAAAGGTCCGCTAAGAAATCACAACAGCGGCCGTCCATCAAACATCCTCACGAATACGTCGGTTCGCAGCAGATATCGTCGCCGATACTTCCAGCAAACCAGCGCAGATCTATACACCCTTCAATTGATTTGAGAAATATCAATTTGGAATCCCACTTTGGCGAATATAGACCAAAACGCACGGCTCCCGCACCTCCTTCACAGGCATCCTCAAATGCCTCAAATACACACACTCTCAAAGATATCGATCTGGGACCGCCATTGTCTACATCATTCTCTACCTTCCAGTCCAGTTCTAGTCTCACGCCTTCGACATCCATCAATCCTTCTCCACGTTCATCCAACGACGATAACGATCAACAAACAGTAAAGTCTCAAAAGTCTAATAGCACGCTTCCACCGCCACCATTAGTGCACCAATCTAGCAGCCCAATGCCTTTAGATAATAGTTTTCATAATGATGATGATGACAGCGGTACACCACCAATTTCTCCTCCTAGACCTCCTATCTTGCAACGTTCTGCTACAGTCGCAGGTAATATAAAACCTAGGGATGGATTTGATAAGGATAAAAAGCGTGGTGTCTTCTCTGGCTTTGCTTCTTCCCTTTCTGATTTACTTCAATTACAAAAGAAGCCAGAAATTTCTACGCCATATGATCCAGTACATCTAACACACGTTGGTTTCAACTCCGATACAGGTGAATTCACCGGTTTACCAAAAGAATGGCAACAATTGTTGCAAGATTCAGGTATTTCAAAACAAGATCAAGAAGCTAATCCTCAAGCTGTTATGGATATTGTTGCTTTCTATCAAGATGCACAAAAAGCTCAGCTTGGTGCTGAGGATTCTCAGGTTTGGAAGAAAATGGGTGGCGTTGCAAATGGTCAGCCAACTGGTCCTGTCGAGAAATCATTTACTGCTAGACCTGCACCACCACCACCAGGTCCACCAGCTAGATATGGTAATCCACGTGCAGCTCCACCACCACCACCGATGAAGAAGAGCATTTCAAACCCTGGGTCAGTTAGAGGAGAGGCTCCTAGACCTGCACCACCTCCACCTAGACCTGCACCTCCACCTCAATTAGATAGATCAGTTTCACATCGTATTCCTCCTAACCCAACGTCAGCATCACGTACCCTTGAAAGAGCCAAATCGCAACAATCGCAACAATCCAAACCAGCTGGTCCTTCTAGTAGTATTGCGACTCCAAATTCATATAATCGCGCTCCACCACCAATTCATAACCCTCAAGTTCAATTAGCTAAGCAACCATCTGCTGCTTCTGCAGCACTTGCTAGAGCAGCCTCTAAAAATAACAAAGTTATACCACAAATACCACCATCACTCCAACCACAATCACAACCACCACAGCAACAATCTCCACAACAAGGTCCTGGACCTGTTCCACGTAGAAGAGAGAATAACAATGTTTCAAAACAGCAATCAGAAGCAGAAATTATTCTCAAATTACAATCAATTTGTACAGACGCTGATCCAACAAAGTTGTACAAGAATCTGGTAAAGATTGGTCAAGGTGCAAGTGGTGGAGTTTATACCGCTTATCAAACAGGAACCAATTTATCAGTTGCAATTAAACAAATGAATTTAGAACAACAACCGAAGAAAGATTTAATTATCAATGAAATTATAGTTATGAAATCATCTAGACATGTTAATATCGTGAACTTCATTGACAGTTTCCTCTTCAAAGGTGATTTATGGGTAGTAATGGAATACATGGAAGGTGGTTCATTAACTGATGTCGTTACTTGTAATATTATGACAGAAGGACAAATTGCAGCAGTTTCAAGAGAAATATTGGAAGGTTTAAGACACTTGCATGATCATGGAGTTATTCATAGAGATATAAAATCTGATAACATATTGTTATCGATGCAAGGTGATGTAAAATTAACAGACTTTGGATTCTGCGCAAGAATTGGTGAAAACGCTATGTATGCTAAGAGAACAACGATGGTCGGTACACCATATTGGATGGCACCTGAAGTCGTTACACGTAAAGAGTATGGAAGTAAAGTTGATGTTTGGTCACTTGGTATTCTTGCCATTGAAATGGTTGAAGGTGAACCACCATACTTGAATGAAAATCCACTTAGAGTGAGTCAAATGTCTTAGTTTCTTGACTGAATATTAACATAAATTTACTAGGCACTATACTTAATTGCTACGAACGGAACACCAAAAATACAAAGTCCAGAGAATTTATCGCCGGTATTTAGAGATTTCTTAGCACGTTGTTTAGAAGTTGATTGTGAAAGGAGGCTGAACGCAGTTGATATGCTTAGACATCCATTCTTGTCTTTAGCTGAACCATTAAGAACGCTTGGACCATTAATTAAAGCCGCAAGGGAACAATCAAAGAAGTAATCTTTATCGGACATTATATCAATTCCTTTCTTTCAAGATTTAATCACAGCTGTACTTTTTGAACACTGGCTTGCACTTAGGACAAGCTACATACCAAAACACGTTTTACGTTTTGCTCATTTACGTTTTTATTTACAAAATTGACATTTATTTTCTTATATTTATTGTTATTGTTCAATATATTTTCTTCCATTGATGTTTGAGAAGATAAAGATAAATGGGAAGCAAGAAGCAAGAAGTAAAAGCAAACAAAGCTTTAATCGACATTGTTTAGAATGATAATAAGAATTAATATGTATTTGTATATCTAATATCAAATCAACCCGATTTGAAGATTAAGAATGCCATGGATGTACCCATGTAGAAGTAAATCTAAAGTTAAGTTTAGTGAGTTATGAATAAAAAAGCATCCGCTTACGAAATGATTAGTCTCTTTTATTGGTATGAATACACGTAGGATTGGAATGAATATTTACTCACCGTGCGTAACGAATGATCCAAAGGATTTACCAACGACGACGTGCCAAGTAGCGCCATGAACTCTATCAAATTCTTTCTTTATGAAGCTCGCTATGTCTTTCTCTACTGTGTACTTCTCCAATGCGTTTGAGCTGTCAAGAGGTGAGCATAGTAGACAAATAGATAAAATAAAGATACGTGATGTCAATAGCAGATTGTTGTAACTCCTGGGACATATCCACATTCTATTAAACTGTCAAACCGTGTATTGATAAAGCTAAGAACGTACTTTGATAACAGCTTTTGGAATCTTTGGCTTGTCGTCTGCGCTATTACCAGTCCTGTAATAATAAATTACTATAATTAAAGCGCTGTAATTTTAAATTTACATTTTCTAATTTCTGTCTTGATTGTCTGATAGTTAGAAATGCCTTACCAGCTAACGTCCAACACATTCCAGTGAAATTATGAACGATTGTGAGAATATATAGAGATTAACATAAAAATATTAGACTAACTTATCATTAGCTGATGTAAATCATCAAGTTTCTATTTTGAAAGCTCTACGGAGGCGGTCGCTGTCACAAGGACAACGTACTGCTATAGACCCAGATTTACCGCCAACAGATCAAGATATACAAAATGATAACATACTAAATCAATACGTGGGTCCTTGTTATATGGCATCTCCATTATAAACTCACCATCTCTTATTATTAGTGGGTTCCGGCATCCGCTCATCCAGAGATATCACAGAATGAATATACTCAATTCGTGCATTCAAATTCACCTCCTCAGCAACATGCAACTAATCTATCTAGGATTAGATCTAATAGCTCACTAGGTTCAACTCTCTCGCGTAGAAAGTCGAAGCTATCAAGACAATACAATCCAACTGAGGATGATGGCGTTGGCGACAATGATATCCTTTCAGTGTCTTCTTCAAAACCTAGCTCTCTGAATTTAGTAAGTTTATACCGCGTTTTCTTTCTAGTTATCTTATTCTTTTAGCTCCAATCACTCACTGAAGAGACAACAAAGGAAATGAATGACGAACATCTTAAAAAAAGTCACTCTTCCTTTCGAGACAAGTTATCAAAATCTTCTAAACAACCTAATAAACTAATTAAACACGTCTCAAAGATACCGTCAGCTGATAATAAATTCAAGACAATCGATAATCAAGTTGTAAATAAACCCAAAAAGCTTAATTCTCCACTTAATTCTCCTTCAATTTCATCACCTCCTCGTTTAGACTTGAAATTCGATACCAATATATTGGATTCACCAATTAAAGATGATGATAGACCTTTATCATCACTCACTAATGATATCTTCGATGCTTACGCGACAGCTGATGAGCGTGCTTCATTCAGTTCAATTTCATCTGCACCTTCATCTTCAGAACATTCCCATCCTTTTGAACACGATTTAGAACGTAAAGAAGATAACGTAATTCACGAAAACGACGATTTACAAGAGAATGACATCCAATTAGAAGACGACGATAGTCAAACTATACATGGATCACCAAATCAAAAGAAAGACAGACTTAGAGTTGTTAATACCACAATCTCACCTTCAAAAGCTAGTTCCAAAAATGATAATTCAATTACTTCATCTGAGGATGACCACACTACACAAGAGGATGATTGTAATGAAACTACTTCTGAAGAGAAATCAGGTTCGATTGAAACTGGTGAGAGTTATGAAACAATCTCAAGTGAAGAAGTTGAAAATGCTTTTTTGATTACTAAATCTTTAAAGAATAGAATTCAACCTCCAACACCAATACCAAGTGATCATGTTGAACCAATTCCCAATACAGTCAAATTGTCAATGGATTTATCTGTTAGCTCACTGATACCAGAATTTCCTTCTGCTACTAAACCAATAAATAATATAACGAAATTGAATACCATTAGTAGTATTAATAACGTTGATCACAAGTTATTCGAACCTTCAAGGCCGGCACCTGAACCTCCAATAATCCATGCGGATTTACCATCTCGTGACACACCCTCACCAACACCTTCGGCAGCTTCTTCTGCATCTAAGAGGAAAGGTTGGAATTGGCTGAAAGAGAAAGAGAAAGCCAGACTTGACCGCACAAACAAGATCAAAGAGGCTAAAGAAGCTAAAGCTAGAGAGAAGATCGAATTGAAGGAGAAAGAGAAGGAGAAAGAAAAGCGTGAACGTGAGGAGAGAATGATCCGTGAGAAGGAAAAAAAGCGTGAAATGGAGGAGAAAGAGAAAGAGAAAGCTGATGCTAAAGCTCAAATGAAAGCTCGTGAGAGAGAAATCAAAGAGAAGGGTAAAAAAGAGCGTGATGAAAAGAGAGAACGTGAATTAAAAGCTGCACGTGAAGAGAAAGAAAAGAAAGAGCGTGAAGAAAAGCAACGTAAAGAACGGGAGCTTGAGAAAAAAGAGCGTGAAGAGCGTGAAAAGAGAGAACAAAAAGAGCGCGAGGAAATGGAAAAGAAAGAGCGAGAAATGAGCAAGAAAGATGCAAAGAAACTTCGCGAAGAGAAAGAGAAGAAAGAGCGCGAAGTTAAGCAAAAAGAAGAAAAGCTCAAGAAAGACTCGAAAGAAGAGAAACTGAGGAGAGAGCGCGAGGAGAAAGAGGGGAGACTCAAAAAGGAGCGTGAAGAGAAAGAGCAAAAACTTAAAGCTACACGCGAAGAGAAAGAACAAAAGCTCAAAGCTGCACGCGAAGAGAAGGAGCTGAAGATAAAGGCTGAGAAAGAAGAAAAAGAGCATAAACTCAGAATTGAGCGCGAAGAAAAGGAACAAAAGCTTAATCTCGAGCGTGAAGAAAAAGAAAATAAGATCAAGGCCGAGCGCGAGGAAAAAGAGATCAAGCTTAGGACTGAACGTGAAAAGGAACAAAAGCTTATTTCTGAACGTGAAGAAGAGTATAAGATTAACATCGAGCGTGAGGAAAATGAAAATAAGCTCAAGGCCGAGCGTGAAGAGGAAGAGTATAAGCTTAACATCGAGCGTGAGGAAAATGAAAATAAGCTCAAGGCAGAGCGTGAAGAAAAAGAAGAAAAGCTCAGACTAGAGCTCGAAGAGCATGAGCGTATGACTAAGAAAATGCTCGAAGATGAAGCCGAGATGCTGAGAAAAGAACTCGAAGAAGAGGAAAGACTCAAGAAAGAGCGCGAAGAGGAAGATGTAAAGTTGAAAAAGGACCTTGAAGAGAAAGAAGAAAAGTCCAAAAAAGATCGCGAAGAAGAGGCAAACATTAAGCGAGACTTAGAGGAGAAAGAAGTGAAGGCCAATAAAGAGCGCGAAGAACAAGAGGAAGAGGAAGAACGTCTTAGATTAGAGCTTGAAGAGAAAGAAGAATTGTTAAGATTGGAACGCGAAGAGAGGGAAGAAAACCTCAAAATCGAACGCGAAGAGAAAGAGCAGCTTAAGAGAGAAACCGAAGAGAAAGGAAATAAAGAACGTGGTGAGAAACCAAAAAAGGGTCCAGAGAAGAAAGATAAAGATAAATCGTTGAAATCTTCCTTCAAATTGAAGAAGTCTGATTCATCAGCATCATCAAAGTTGAGTAAAGAAGCTGCAAAGCAAGCCACCAAAGACAAAGAGCAAGAACGTGCTCGTAATAAAGAGGCTGCAAAAGAACGTAAAGAAGCAGCGAAAATTGCTGCTGCTCAGTCACGTGAAGCTGCTAAGAATGCTCAATCATCTCATATTGGATTTGTTGGTTCACTCTTTGGATCAAAAAAGAAGAGCAGTAGTAGTCTCAAGTCAAGCAAATCTTCCATAAGCAGCCAGTCTTCTAGCAAAGAAAAGAAGAAGAGCAAGGTAAAGGGCAAAAAGGATAAGAAGAATAATGAAGAACAAGTTCAGGAATTGCCTGTTAACAACTTCGATCATCGTTATCCTATTCAAATTGAACGTGCTATTTATCGACTGTAAGGAAGCCTTCTTATTTGAAATCAGCTTACATTATCACAGGAGTCATCTTAAGCTTGCCAACCCACGTAGATCACTTTATGAACAAGTTCTCATTAGTAACTTCATGTTCTGGTATTTATCTATAGTGAACCATCAAAATCAACAACAAGTTGAAGCCAGACAGAGACATGAACAGATAGAGGTTCACACACAGGAATCATATCCAGAAAATGTGGAAAAGCATGATATTGTAAATCTCGAAGCATCTAACCTTCTAACTGGTTCACCTACTCCTCAAAACTCGCCAACACATTCTTCAATACCTGAGTTAGCACCGACCCCGAGCTTATCATCGGATATGATTCTTCCACATGACGAGCCAAGTGATGATGTTATTGAGGAGAAGCATCCACTTGCTATTGCTAATGTTAGTGATGACGAATGGACAGAAGAAACCCTTTCATCACTTATTAGTGAAAATGAAATAGAGGTAGATACCAATGAGCCAGTCTTGCCATCTCAAACAACCTTCAAGGAGGCCATTGAAGAGGTTCCAATGTCTTCATCCACCAGATCATCACCAGGTTCTCCAGAAGATACACAGGACCCAGGAGTAGCGCCTGCTTCAACCTTATCAAAGTCACCTTCTCCACCTAACGTGCTTGGCTCACCAGTAGAATTAGATTACGACATTCCAGTTTCACCAATAACAACATTTGAAGATCAGATTCCAAGACCAAGTGATCCTCAAATTGAGCATCGAGAAGAGAGACAAATGAAGTATGGGAAGAAACAGGAGAAGAGAGAGTCGATTATGATCGAACCACCAGCATCATTACCTGTAATGACTGAAACAGCTCGTCCGGCTACACCACCTCAAAAAAGACGTGTAGAATCGCCAACATCTCCTGCTCCTGCTCCTACTCAACCATCTCCTGTAAATCAAGCGCAGCCGACACCTAGTGCACACCAACTCCTCAACATTGTGAATCAACCGGCTGGCACATCTTCGAAAAGTGGTAGTAGCTCGCCTCTCATGCAGTCCAATCAGCAGTCACGAAGCTCCTCACCTATGCCAAAGAAAAATAGGTTACAGAAAATGGCTAGTACTGGCAGCTTCGACAAATCATCGTATGAAGATCCATTGAAGATGTTAGATAAACCAAGACAGTCGCCTCACTCATTGACTTATTCATCACCTTCGCCAGCTTTACAACCTCCAGTACAAGGACAACGGATTATGCGCACACCTTCACCAGCTCAAATGCAGCAACATCAACAAGCACAACAAATGCATTATGTACAGCATCTACAGGCCCCATTCCAACAATTCTATACAGGCTCGCCTTCACCACCTCCGGTACCTTCTCATTCACCAAGCCCAAGTCCAGGTCCAAGGCCAAGTCCTAGTCCAAGTCCAAGTCCGGTTCAACAGAACCAAGGCTATGGTATGCATGGTTGGGGAGTGTATCAGCAGCAGTCTCAGCACCACCAGCAATTAATGAGACAGCAGGCGTATATGCATCAACAGCAAGCTCAACAACAACAAGAGTTCCAGCAGCAAAGGTATTTGAATGCTATGACTATACAAGAGGTCCGTCGGGGCTCGTGGTCGCCACAACCGATGCCACAACAAGGTTATCAACAACAAATGCAACAACAGCAGCATATGCATCATCAACAGCAGTTGCAGCAACAACAGCATCAGCAACAACAACAACAACAACAAATGCATCAACAACAATTTACTGTGAGTATTTCTGACTATTAGATAGACATCTAATAATGATTTTAGCAACAGCAGCATCAACCATCACCATTTGATAAAAGATACTTCCCAACGCGTTCAAGTTCAACGTCGAACGTACCTACTCAAAACGTCTTGCGTAGACCAAGTCTGCCGCATTTACAAACGATAAATGGACCAATACGAAATGATGAAATCCAAGGAACGATGTCAGCACCAAGTTCACCTGCGTCGACAGGTTTTGTAATTGAAGACGCACCAACGTTGCCAGCGATGACTGGAATATAAATTATTTTAAATTAATTTTGTAGTTAATTGTAATATAAGTTAGTAGGGTACTTTAACTTGAACTTGAACCACCAAGATGTTAGCAACAATTGCACGTCGTCAGGCATTGAAAGATTTAGTTCCACCAAAGATTGCTACACCATCAGCAGTTGTGCGTTTATTTATTTATTTATAATTAGCATTTTTAACCGGTAGCCAGTCTGGTTCAGAAGCTGGCGCTAGAATGAGCTCCGTTATTGACTTTTACAGCAAATTACCAAAAGGTAACGCAACCCAAAAAGCATCAGGAATTAAAGGTAAATACTTTGACGGTCAAAACTCATCACGTACACCTTTACTCGCAACTATTGGTGGATTATTCTTAATCGGATACACACTCGATTGTGAGTTTTTATTATTGACTTTGTTTACTAACTCACACTCCTCTTTTAGACCAACGTAAGTTCTCCCGATGTTGTTTTATTGCTCATACTCACTACACTCATTTTAGTCCACCTCAGTAAGTACTATAGTAAAATCTACAAGCTAGAGCTAACAACACACTTAGAGCACCACAAGAACAACCACCACTAGATTTTATTGGCTTCTTGTCCTTGACGATGAATAGTTTATTTACAAATATTTTACCTTCTACTAACATTATCGATATGCCTGAAATAAATAAATCAATTAATTGCGTGATTTCATACATACAAGTGTTGATAAACTCAAGATAAAGAATGTTGACTTCTCGGTCGAATACCCATTTCAGTTCATAGGCCGGGGTAATTTATCGGAATGACTTTTATCATGATACAACCGAACATCAAACTAATCGAAGTTTTAAAGAATAGTAGCTAGAGAGGTTACAAGTAATTCCGACCATGTGGTTTAGATATTCGGTAAAGGAAAGAACAGACCGATATATCCTTTGGTGGCAATTACAAACAGAGAAGGCTAGAAAATATTAACAGCCTACCATTGAGGTTAATCAGTGATGTCAAATATCGATTCAGATCCTTGAGAAAAGTCTCAGATTATTATTTGTTTCACCTCCACATTACAATACATTGTGGTGCTAGCTTTTGCAAACATGGATTAAAAGAATTGCGGTATTCTGAAAATGTTCTGAAAATAAACGAAATTATCAAAAAGTGCTTAAGCTAAAGGGTGCGTTATGGATAATGCCATTCTACAGAAAGCAAAAAGATTTTGAGATGTCAAGAAGATCTTGACGCTCAACTAGAAGTCTGATCAAGGATTTAGAGATTGTATAATCACAGTCATTTGGCTAATCAGACCATTGTCAAATTCATTTGATAGTCTTGGTATACTATTTGCTTTTATATAAATTTTGAAATGATCACTGTCGAAATTGAATTCGAATTAGATATGCTTATTAAGAAGGGTTATTTATAACTTCAAATCTTAGACAAATTGAGCAAGCTTTATGACAATTATTTTCCAGAGCAACAACTCAGATACCAAGCAGATGCAGATTGTAAATGTACATAAACAGTTTATTATGATCCGGAAGTTGTCGAAAGTAAATTACTACCAGAAAATTGAAAGATAATTAGTTCAATAACCTCATCATCCCTTTGTTCGGATGTAACAGGAGATGGATGAACTGAGTTACACAAAAAAATTAATGAGCCTATTTAATTCGCATATACTTATAGAACATATTGTGTTGCATTTACAAAAATTAATTAATGCTTTATACTCTTCAATGTTGATTATCAAAAAAAAAATTGATTCAATTCTCAAGACTAAAACAGGTCATTACCCAAATGATGATAAAGTGAGGTGAGAAGCAGCCATGAAGTTACTTCGTAACAAACATAAGGTAGGAAATTATCTTAATCAGGGTATTTACAAACAAAATATTAATCTTTAAGCTCCTTCTTGATAATTGCTTCCATCTCATCAAAGTCGGAGGTTTCTACCCTTATGATAGGCTTTTTCAAAGCAACTTCAATATCGTGCATGTCTTGCCAAGATTGACGATCATGTATGAAGTTGACCGCAATACCCTTTCTACCAAATCTACCAGTTCTACCAATCCTATGTAAATAAGTTTCACTATCTGGTTTACCTGTAGCATTCTTTGGCATATCATAATTTATGACCATGTTTACTTGCATAATATCAATACCTCTAGCAATAACATTTGTTGTAATAAGTACCTTAGTTTTACCTTCTCTGAAAGAATCGATCGTTAAATCTCTATCACCAGATTCTTGTTTACCGTGAAGGGAAACGACTGTGTGTCCTTCTGCAGTCATACGACGAGCGATTTCATCCGCAGTATCTCTACGATGAACGAAAATGATTGATTGACCAACAGTCATTAATTCATAAAGTTCAACTAAAACTTGATACTTGTGTTCAACATCCTTGCAATCCATATAGAATTGTTTAATACCTTCAACTGATAATTCTTCTTGCTTTAATCTAATTTCATTAGCACCTGGTGCGAATTTTGCAGCAAAGTTTCTAACGACATCTGGGAAGGTTGCAGAGAATAATAATATTTGGGGTTTTGATGTGATAAGGTTTTTTGCTTTGATTGATTGATCACCCATTGAATGTTGATCAAGCATGTTATCAGCTTCATCGAGAACGAAAATTTTTACTTCTTTAACGTTTATTTGATTTTTTCTTACGGCATCAACAAGTGCACCTGGAGTTGCAACAATAACTTGTGCTTGAACTTTCTCATTCTTAGGAATTGCATCCTTGATAGCGAATGCTGTTTGTACGTTGGTGAATTGACCCATTTGTTGTATGACTGACATAGTTTGTCTAGCAAGCTCTCTAGAAGGTGATAAAACGACAGCTTGTGGGTTAGGTGAAGCGTAATCGATTCTTGAGAGGATAGCCAAAGCGAAAGCAGCTGTTTTACCAGTACCTGATTGTGATTGGGCGATCATGTTACGTGGACTGTTTTATCATTAGTGAGATAACAGCCGTAGAGTCTATTATACTCACGGATTTTGCAATAATAAAGGTAAAGCTCTTTCTTGGATCTTTGAAGGCTTTTGGAACTTCATTGCGTATATACCTTTAAGGAGGTTCTCATGACTATAAAATTAACGCGTTAAATTGTTTCGCTACGCCAAATTGATAACTAACAGTCCGAGCTCTTCGAATGTTTTAGCGGAGTAAAGTGGTGAATTTGGATCAGCTTGTTGATCAGCGAGTGTGACCTGATAAATATAAGTGTATATACTCCACTATGCTGTAATACTCACAGACACCTCCAATTCCTCTTGTTCTGGTTTATCTGCTTTTTGTTGCTCTGTGGATAAGCCAGAAATTCTATCAGCTAGATTATCCGCTGGCTTTGTTGATTCATTAATCCAACCTTCTTCTTGTGACATTTTGTTAGTTGATAATAAAGCCGCCTTCCCTTGTAATTCAACCAAGTGAAGTTTTAAAATGTCACAAGAAGTACAAGTTTCTGATATGACAAGTAAAGATTAGTGAGTGTCTTTTTATATATCCTGCATTTTTTCTAACGATTTCACTCCCAGTTATGCCGATTCTTACAGGTAAGAAGAATTACATTGGCTGATTTATGCATGAAACTTACAATAATTTAAAGTCACTTCGGTATCCATGAGGTCAGTATATGTCTAATTATATAGATACCCTTCTCATACCACTCCAGGAAATGCTCAAAGATACAGTTAGAACTCTTAGTTACAGAAATGCGATTTTCAGCAATAGCGAAGCATTCAAGGATAAAGTTGTTTTAGACGTTGGTGCTGGTACTGGTATTCTCTCCATGTTCGCAGCTAAAGCAGGCGCACGTAAAGTTTACGCCGTGAGCGCCATCTTCTCTTTTGAAGAAACTAGCTTATTATGGGATTTAGATTGATATGTCACAAATTGCAGACCAAGCTAAAGTAATTACACAAGCTAACGGATTTGGTGATAGTCAGTATATCCACTTATCTTCATAGCATTTCTAATTGAAACACGCAGCCATCGTTGTCATCAAGGACAAATTAGAGAACGTAGAATTACCTGAGAAGGTTGACATTATCATTTCTGAATGGATGGGTTACTTCTTGTTAGTGTACCATCTTCTATGATGAGAAACGCTTATAATTTGCTACAGATTATACGAGTCAATGCTTGACACCGTTCTCGATGCTAGAGACAAGTTTTTGAAGCCAGGTGGATTGATCCTTCCTGACAAGGTCACACTTTACATGGCTGCAATCGAAGATGCTGAATATAAGGATGAGAAGATTGGCTGTGAGTTGCTTAATTATATATGATAAGCCAACTAATAAGTGTATACAGTCTGGGATGACGTATATGGATTCGATTACAGCTGTATTAAGGATATTGCTCTCCGTGAGCCATTGGTTGACTGCGTAGACTTAAAGAGCGTTGTCACAAACCCAACACCAATTAAGGTGTGTATTTCTAACGTGTTGATCTCCCTTATTAACATATATCAAGGAAATTGATATCAACACCGTCAAGAAAGAAGATTTACAATTCCAAGCTTCATGGAAACTCGAATGTACACGTGATGATTGTGGGTAGAACATTATTATGTTGATGTGACTAACAAGCTCTAAGATATACACGCATTTTTGGGATGGTTCGACTGTTCATTCCCAACACCAAATGGAAAACCAGTTAGATTTTCAACAGGACCACACGCTAAATACACTCACTGGAAGCAAACTGTATTCTACACAAAGAACACAATAAGCGTATACGAAGGACAACAAATTGAGGGTACGATCAGTGTCAAACCAAATGAGAGAAATCCAAGAGATTTAGATATAGTTATGCATTATGAGACTATAGAAGAGAACAAGCAGGTTGAGACTGTTGAATTCAAGATGTCCTAAATTATTTCATAGATTACATATATTTATTCCGGGTTTTACTTAATAAGATTAGCAGGTGGTTGTGATACATATGTTTTTATATATATATATATACCTACACTACCCATCTAGACAGATATCTCTACGACCTATGACCATTCTCAGCAAAACTTCATCTGACGGACAGAAAATGAGATTTAAGAGCAGGGAAAGAGGGATATATTTATCTAATAGTATATATTTAATAATAATAATAAATTTTATTAAAATATTAAATATTTTACAATTTTTAGTTGCGACTTGAGAAGCATTTTTGACTGACGAGCATCTTGTACTTGAACCAATACGAAATGGCTGACCGTGGTAGGTATTTAATAGAATATAGGGATTCTATATCGTCTAATTGATGAATATATACATCCCTGATTCCCAGACTCGTACTAACAACTCTCCAGGAAGAGGTTTCGGTAGAGGCAGAGGTCGTGGCCCACGCCGTGGCAGACAAACCAAGGACGAAAGCAAGGAATGGGTCCCTGTCACTAAGCTCGGTCGTCTCGTGAAGGCTGGCAAGATAAAGTCTATGGAAGAAATTTACCTCTTCTCCATCCCAGTTAAGGAGTACCAAGTCGTCGACTTCTTCCTTCCAAAATTGAAGGATGAAGTTATGAAGATCACCCCAGTTCAAAAGCAAACCAGAGCTGGTCAACGTACACGTTTCAAGGCTTTCGTTGCTATTGGTGACTCTGACGGCCACGTTGGTTTGGGTGTCAAGTGTGCTAAGGAAGTTGCTACCGCTATCCGTGGTGCTATGATCGCCGCTAAGTTGGCTACTATCCCTGTCAGACGTGGTTACTGGGGTAACGCACTCGCTGAACCACACACCGTTCCATGTAAGGTCTCAGGAAAGTGTGGTTCCGTTATGGCTAGATTGATCCCAGCACCAAGAGGTACTGGTATCGTTGCTGCTCCAGCTTCAAAGCGTATGTTGCAATTGGCTGGTATCCAAGATTGTTACACCCAAACTAAGGGTAACACCGCAACCATGGGTAACTTCATCAAGGCTACCTTCCAAGCTATCTCTGGTACTTACGCTTTCCTCACTCCTGACGTAAGTTTTATTAGCTAGAGTAGAGAAAATTTTACTGACAAACACTTCAGCTCTGGCGTGAAATTGCTCCACCACAACATCCATTCGAAGAGCACTCAGCTCACCTTCAACTCGCTCAAAAGCGTTCAGCATACTAATTGTATTAATGCTTTTTGTACGAGTATGATTGTTCTTTCTATTTCTACTTATTTGTCTTGTGATTTTACTGTGATCATCTAGATAATGTCGAACGAGTTATCTCCACTCGGTATAGCTTTCTCAGGTGCATTAGGCGCTGTAGTTAGTAGTAAGTTGTTATTAATATGTGTCTCCGTCTAAATATCTACTCAGATGGACTTGTTTATCCACTTGATACTTTCAAAACTCGCATTCAAGCTAGAGACGCAAATAACAAAGAAGATTCAGAGGATAACGAAGATGAAGAAGACTCCGAGCTATCTAATGAACTGCAACTTATACCGAAAGACAGTCTTATAAAGGGTGTAATCGATATCTTCAGGAAGGAAGGTATTGCAGCCGCATATGGTGGATTTGGTGCTAGTATGATTAATACATTCTCTCAGCGTGAGTAGTTGTCTTTTATTTCTATTATTTAATATCTCATTTAATTAGAATTCGCATACTTCGTACGGTTACCGCTTATTTGTAGTACCACTCTAACCGGGAATATAGTATTGGTATGGAGCAGTCAGAACTGCTTGGATTAAATCTACTACAAAGAACGGACAACCTGTTTTATTGTCAACTGCCTCGGAGTTGCTCATGTGGGTTGATAATTGGATTATTTATTATTCTAATGCACTCTTAGTGGTGCACTAGCCGGCGATTTAGCTCAAATATTCACAATTCCCGTTAATGTTATAGCTACAAGACAACAATTAGGTAAACAAGATAGTTCATCTGACCAAGATAGCGATTTCGTCTCAGTTGGTAGACAAATTATTAAAGAAGATGGTATAACAGGTTTATGGAGAGGTCTTAAACCATCTTTGGTTCTCTCAGGTGGGTTATTTATTATTATAGTACACAAAATTTTGACGGGAACTCAAGTAAATCCTGCAATTACATATGGCGCATATGAGAAATTAAAATCAGCTGTAATTGGAGGATATATACCACTCCTTTCATCATTGAGTAATGAAGGGAGAATGTCACCATGGGGTAACTTCATACTCGGTGCTTTGTCGAAGACTGCAGCAACTGTCGTGAGTAGATTTATTATCTAAGTTTCATAATTAACAGATAGCTAGGCAACTTATCCATACGTAAGAATGAAATGGTACTTTGTTTATTCTCCACTAATCAAACCACAGATAATGGCAAAAGTTAGAGTAATGGCTGGTGACTCTGTTAATGAGGATAAAACCATAAGATCAGAGCAAGACAAGAAAACTTTGAAGAAAAACGCCGGTGCACTTAAACTTCTATTACAAATCTACAAGAAGAAAGGTATGATTGGGTGGTATAAGGTATGTTTCACTTGTTTGTTATTGATCTACCTTACAATAATCAGGGGATGCATGCACAAATTGTCAAAGCCGTCCTTCAACAAGCACTTTTGTTTGTTTTGAGAGATATCTTTGAGAAATATACCTTAATGGGTGTACTCATTTTACGTGGTTTACAATCATCATAATATATCAAACTATTTCACCATGTGATATGAATTATTTTCAACCAATAACGATTTGTACACAAATTTATCTTTATAAATTATCGATCTTACTACTGAACTAGATGCAAATTTTGGAATAACTGTAATATCTATTTTCAAAGAACATAAAACAGCATTGATAAAAAAAATATTAGATATAATATAACAATCATTTAATTTTTGTCAAATGAGCAAAGTGAAGAGAATTAGTAAACATCGGTTGGTTCAATACCTGATTGACCTTTTGCGGCCTTAGCTTTAGCCCATTGTCTGAGACGAATTGACTCAATAGCAATGAAGCCAGTAGTGTCAGTTGGTAAGAAACCTCCAAGTTCATCCATAGATGCAGCTGATTCATCGTAGAGACCTTCATCAGATTTTCTACCACAAACGATAACATTACCCTTGTATAACTTGAGCTTGACTTCACCGTTAACTGTCTTTTGTGAAGCTGGAATAGCACTAACAACAAAGTCACGTTCTGGAGAGAAGAAGTAACCGTTGTAGAGGATGTTTGATAATTGTGGTGTGATGAATTGATCTCTAAGTGATCTAACATTTCTGTCTAAAGTGAGACCTTCTAAGTCCATGTGGGCAGCTCTTAAGATAGTTGCACCTGGTGATTCGTAACAACCTCTTGATTTCAAACCAATGAAACGGTTTTCAACGATATCAATTCTACCAATACCGTGGTTTCTTGCTAAGGCGTTGAGTGTAACGAAGACATCAACCTTGTCTGTGTGTGTCTTTCCGGTCTTTGCGACGTTAAGCTTTACTGGTAAACCTTGAGCGAATTCAATAGTGATATCTTCTGGCTCTTCAGGTGCCTTTTGTGGTGAGTTTGTCAACTTCCACATGTCTGCTGGTGGAGTTGTGTTTGGATCTTCAAGAATACCAGCTTCGTAAGAGATGTGGAAGAGGTTTTCATCAGTTGACCATGGTTTTGATTGAGTTTGAGTGACTGGAATACCCTTTTCGGCTGCGTATTGAAGGAGTGCAGATCTACCTGGGAATCTATCGTAGAATTCTGGGTTTCTCCATGGAGCGATGACGGTAATCTCTGGGTTAAGACCATAGAAAGCCAATTCGAAACGTACTTGATCATTACCTTTACCAGTACATCCATGTGAAACGAAGTCACAGCCTTCACGCTTTGCGACGGCCATCATACCTCTAGCGATGACTGGACGTGCGAGGGATGTACCTAAGAGGTAAACACCTTCATAAATGCAGTTTGCTTGAACAGCTGGGTAGATAAGTTCTTCAACGAATTCACGACGAAGGTCCTAGAAATCGATGAGGGAGGAGAATGGAGAGAAAATAAGAAACTTACATCACAGAAGAAAGCCTTAGCACCAATTTTGAGTGCTTTTTCTCTAGCAGCGTCGAAGTCTTCCTCTTGTCCGACGTTTGCGAGGTATGCTACAACCTCGTAACCTTGTTCTATCAACCAAACTAAAATACAGCTGGTGTCTAATCCACCTGAGTATGCTAATAATACTTTTCCTTTGCTTCCTGGTTGTACTGCTCCTGACATTTTCTAATAAAGAGAGAAGACAGCTTTCGGTGCGCAAGTCAACAGAATTGTCGAGTCATTGAGAATTTTTCTATAGATAAGAGATAATTGTTTTTGTATCTATATAATAATTATTGTCTGCTTATTTCAGTCTATATTATTTATTTCATCTTACAATAGGAGTGATATGCCAAGCTATAGAGAGATACCAAGAAAGTAATGAAAGAGTGGTCAATAGAGTTTAATATTCTAGAAGCGTAATATATTATCAATATTATACAGTTCAATAAGAATATTTTTCCTTCACACTTTATCTGACGGTGACGTTTCTTGATTACTTATTACTTATTATGCTATTACATCTACATATAGGTGCGCTATTAGTATTGGTAATCGCTTTAACAGTTTTGTGTGAGTATATATTATTAATATACCCCAAAAAGTACTCAAATTAACCTTAATTAGACGCTTATAAGGGACCGTCATTGAGTTCGATCAAATCCACTATCAGGAGACGTATGAACAAACATGAATATATACCACTCGACTTTAATAGCCAGCTTGAAGCCGGTATATCGAGCAATACGTTTAATCTAGATGAAAATATCACAGAAGATGAAGCTAGACAGGGTCTCGACGCAAGAGGCGTTGAAGAAATAGACAGAATGATGAGAAGAGAAGGTTTGACGTAAGTGGTTTTGAATAACCTCCGTCATAATGTTTTACTAACTTATCAAGTTTTGATCAGGCGAGACTAAAACGGCATAATAAGATCTTAGCAGACAACGGGATCAGCAGCGACGGGAAGCCAAAAGATCCTAAATTTGTATCATTCGATTAATTCATATTTATCTCATTTGAGCATATCTGACCGGAATGTTTGAAGGCGCAGTGACGTTATTTCCATTTTAAACATTTTAAACTTTATTCACTACTACGACAATGGAGAGCATCTTGGTTGATCAACTCACCATGCTCTCTTTCAAGATGCCTATCGCGGAAGAGGAAGATAAAGAAATTGTATCAAAATCAATTCCGATTCATCTCAGAAATGGCGATGACTTTTGGAAGGAGATCCAGGCTTCATCTCCAAGCTCAAGCTCAAGTGCAATTAACTCATTTCCTTGCTCCAGAAGATGGTCAAGTCAGAGTGTACCACCGTCTGTTTACTCATTACCGTGTATTAGTCTCAAAGAGTCAGACAAGTTGAAGCTTGCCGCTAGCAATGTTGTAATTGATCAGCAGGAGATCTTTAGGACAAAGTTGTCAAGTAAGATCTCACTATAATCACTGAAAACATCAACTAAACCAGCTTAGATCTCACTCTTAATGAAAACAATCAATAAGTTTTCAACATTCCGAAGCCAGCTACTCAAGTATCTTAAAATGATGGACTATTTACTTGATCTTGATATTTATTATTGACATGACTATATTTAATTGACTAATACACTCTTTCTATATTCTTAAATGGTTAACCCAGTTTAACTAGTTTCCTTCTCTGAAATTTGAGCCGCTTTAATCTCTGCCTCTATTTCACTCTCGTCGATACCAAGCATATCGGCGACTGATTGTCGAACTTTATCATCGTAAGCCTTCCTATCCGTTCTGAAGAGCTTTGCGCAATCTTTTGGAGTGAGTTAATTGGTATATTCAGTTAATGTTCTTACCGATATTGGCTGGTGATTCAATATTTGGTTCTATTTACCTGTCAATGGGTGTATTCTATGTAGTATTATCGATAACGTACCTGCTAGCATACTAATAACGCTTAGTAATACCTAATAAATGGTTGAGATGATTCACTGTGTGTTTACGAGGATAACAAACCTTCTCTACTGATTGTACTGGTGACCAACGTTCGGACGACCTCTCATACATAAGAGGATCATCACCTGGGGGGTGCAAGATACTTATACATACGTTACCATCATCGTATACTTGACTGAAATTAGATAACTCCTTTTAATAAGATGACATACCATTCGGATGGAAGATAGCAGGTGTGAATTTCATTCTAATTGGATAAGATAACACTGAGAGGAGAGACAATGAACTCACTTAAATGGTGCTAATGGGTAGTCTTTCGGCTGTTCATTTGTGAGTGATGTTGATTGATCGTCGGTAGTTTAATCTCACGAACGAAAGGGTGGCAGCGAAAACACCACCCTCCTGAACAAAGAAGATGAGAAATAATTGAAACGTACTACTGATAGTTACTCACAAATGGAGTATCATCTGGACCTTGTATGAGTGCTTCCCATTCAAACATATTATCCTCTGATATAGGACCTGCAGTGAACATAGAGTCTTCTAAACTTTGAGTGGATAATTGCTTATATTCTGTCATTAATCTCCTGGATGCTGTAGATTGCCATGACATCTTGGTTGTTTGACCAGAACAGTCAACAAGTGAGCTGAGGAATAGAATGCAATCACAACAGCCACCCCAGCAAGGACAGCGCATACAAATAACGCCGCAAATGGCGCAACAAATGGCTGCTCAGATGCGTCAGCAACAGCAACAACAGCAGATGTCTAGCCCACCACCGCCAGCTATCAGTCCATCTGAAGTAGATTTTGAAGAACAGCCTATAACAAGCAAAGGAAAAGTTGTAGAACCATTGAAAGATGCTTCCGATAAAGTAAAAGATGTGGCAGATGTGAGTATAACAGTCAAAGCATTCCAATTACTTATTGACAATCAACAAGTCGATCAATTACCTCATAAAGAAGCTTGAACAACACCCAGAATACGCTGTACCTCCTCCACCTTCGATTATGAAACCAACACGTACACAACAATTCAACAAAGCAAAAGAAGACGGTAATGCAAAGTTCAAAGAAGGTGATTTGGATGATGCTCTCAAACTTTTTACCGTCGCCGTTGATTTGGCTGCTGATAGACCACCATGGGAGAGTCACGTACTCGCACGCGAAGAACTTAGCTTAGCTTTATCGAACAGAAGTCTCGCATATCACAACAAAGGTGAATTGTGAGTCTATATTATCAACCATTAAACAAAGTCATCTCACCTGTACACATAGTGTAAAGAGTCTCGCTGATGCTGACGCAGTTGTACAAATAAAAAGACCTTGGAGTAAAGGCCATTTCAGAAAAGGTAAAGCATTGATGGCTTTAGATAGACATGAAGAAGCACGTGATGCTATCCTTCTCGGTTTAGAATTCGAACCATCTAATGAGGTAGGCTAGTTGTTTTAGATCTGCATTCCTTAACAAAAGACTAGGACCTCAAGAAAGCGCTTTCAGATGTTGACACGATCATTATTGTGAAACACCACCAAAAGCAAGGTACTTTGCCTGTTAAATCTAGTGATAAGACTAGTGAACAAAAGAGCGACGAGAAGGATGAACCGGCTAAGCAAAACAGCTAAATTTACAAATAACTAATGACTGTTTTATACTATTACTTCAATGTAAAGATGCTTTATACATACCACAGAACATTATATGATAAACAATGAGCAAACAATGTAACTTTATGAAGGTTAGCGCGTGTGTTGATGTTCTCAAAAACAAACAATTATGTTCAATGCAATGATAATAAATATAAAGTACAAGGATATGTGTTTTTAGATGTATAGCCTACTCATCGGGTAACAAACAATCCAAATCGAGCTTGAAAGATTTCAGCGGTTTTGTAAGAGCATCATCATCAGGTGATATAACAAATACAGTGCGATTCTCGTCAATAGTTTTTATGGTCACCCTATGATCGAGCAATTTTGATTGTTTGAGTGCTAATGTGATATCCTCTTCTTTCAATCCAGTTTTCTGCGACCATTGTGATAACGTCCATTCAGTTTTTTGATCTGGTAGTGATCGCCTTAGTATATCCATCCAGAAGCTCACATAGCTACGCATTCCTAGATCAGATAATGGTCTTTCAGGTGTACCATAGTAGCCATCCAAATGGGAGAGTGCATAACCTAATAGAAGTTAGTGGTATAGTATCACAGTAAGTATATCTTACTGCATTCTATGAGCAATCTACCGTAACTTTTATTTTGAAAAGGTGGGAAAGTGACTATGCAAGCCAAATTGTATTGATCTACGTTATGTTTTTCCTTTTCAAGTGATTAATAGAGCTCTTTATAACGACATCTACACCCACTTTAGAAAAATACCCCACTGGTTGATCATTATCTGTTAAAACGAAGTAATCGAATGATTCCAAATCAAAGTACACAGTTTTATTGTCAATAAATAACTTTCCAAAGAGAGAGAGGTTTTGACAAAATGACTAAAAAACGTAAGGATAGTATACTTTATTAATAAATACCCACTTTAAAGAAATAGCCATCTACTTTGTATATACGCTGACCGTGTCCATCGTAGACTTTCTTACCAGGTGGTATAGGATGTGGACAATCAGTCTATCAGTTGTCAGGATATATTGCTATATCGCAAGGCTGAAAACCTACTATATGCTCCTTGTACGTAGTTCTGGATGTCATATATTCAAAGCATCTCGAGCATACGTAGAGTTTGTTTATATTTGTAGTTTGCAAAATAGGATAAGGTGATCTACTCGCTGGATGTATAATCCACTCTCCAAAGCGTACGCTCTCTAATTGCTTCAAAACACTAGCTTCATCAGTTTTGGTCATAGAGAACAAAGAAATGAATAAATTAATTTAAAATGTATTATTAATATCTACAAATTAATTCGTCAGCCTTTATTCTTATAAAACTCCAGTGTGTCATCTTAAAATCAGAAGTAAAAAGCGGTAGGACATTTATCAGCAGACGTGAATCAGACTGACGTGCAAATAAATCCTGATCATCCTCTTATACAACACACCTTCAATTTAAAAACTTACATTATCCTGATGGTCGTAGTAAAGAAAGGGTAGACGGCTAAGTTCAAAAAAATGCATTCATACTTCAATTTTACATAAGTTTTTATTAATTTACCTGTAGAACTCATGAGTGTCATCAGATTTCTTCACAACGGAGCTGTAAGCTTCTTCAATATGTGGTGTTAATACGACGTAAGAGTTGTTTCTGATCGCGTTCATACCACTACCTTGAAGAATCGATGATATTTCAGCAGATGAGATCTTATCTGGTCTTGAAACAAAGTCTTCTAAATCTACATCAGGTCCAATGTTCATGTTTGCTGTGATTGTTTGATAGATCAATCTCTTTTCACGCCTTGAAGGTACAGGGAATTCAATCTTTCTATCTAATCTACCAGGACGCAAGAGTGCAGGATCAAGAGTGTCAGCACGGTTAGTGGCCATAATAACCTTGAGTTTTTCTGTTAGACAAGAACAAATGATCAAGGTAGAGACTCACTTTAACGTTGCTATCTTGATCGAAACCATCCATTTGATTCAACAATTCAAGAAGAATACGTTGTACTTCTCTGTCTGCACCAGTTTGAGCATCGAAACGCTTAGTTGCGATTGCGTCAATTTCATCAATGAAGATAATTGCAGGAGCATTCTCTCTTGCTAATCTGAAAACGTCTCTAACCATTCTAGGACCTTCACCTAGGTACTTCTGTACGAATTCTGAACCGTTCACTCTAATGAATGCAGCGGTTGTATGGTGTGCTACTGCCTTGACCAACATTGTTTTACCTGTACCAGGTGGACCATAAAGAAGAACACCACGTGGTGGATCGATACCAATTTGTTTGTATAATTCAAAGTGAGTTAAAGGTAACTCGACGGCTTCTCTGATTTCTTGTTTCTGAGTGTCCATACCACCAATATCCATATAAGTTTCTGCAGGTTTCTCATTCTCACTGAGCAAACTAATAGAACTGTCTGCTTCTGGTGGGAGGATATCAACTAAAGCGTTAGAGTGTCTGTGTAAGGCAACGGATGAATTTGGTTTGAGTAATTCACGATCGAGGGTGGATAATATTCTAACGATATAGTTTGAGCCTGTAGTTGAGCCAACAATACCAGTGTTTTCATCGATGGCTTCCAAAAACTGACCAATAACGAGTGGTACGGATTGGATACGTTTAACCTCCTCTTGGGCTCTAACTAATTCAGTTTTCAAGTGCTTTTGCTCGTCTTTAATATATTCCTCTTGTAATTGTAAGAATTCCAAGTGCTTGTTCAATGCGTGATATTTGATGTACAAATCCTTTGGGTTTACTAGCTGTGATTGATATTGCTTTAAATCTGATAGTTGATTCCTAAACGTTGGATCCTCTTTATTTAGTTCTACTTCCATTTTGCTATTTTAGACCTTGGCTGTTAGGCTTGAAGAGGCACATTCGTCATCATGTCGTCGTCCCAGCATCTCAGACGAACGAGTAGAGCTAATATTCAAATTATCAATAGAGATATTGAAGATAACGATAGTTCGACTTCTGAGCCCCTTTTGCCCTCAGATAAGCAGTCGAAAGAGTCCGAAGGTTCAGCCTCTATTGGCAGCTGTACGTTCTCCTATTAGCCCATTTATTTGCTTACATCTATGCAGGCGTCGCTAATTTAGCTAATACGTGAGTTTATATGCTTATACCGGGAGCTGTAATCTAAATATCTCAGTATCATTGGGTGAGTTGCTCAGATCGCCAGATAGCTCTATCTAATATACATCAGTACAGGAATGCTAGCTATGCCTGATGTACTCTCGTCTACTGGCATTATACGTGCGTATCTAATCTTTCTACCCAAGCTGTCCTAACAAACACAGCCGGAATGATTCTCATTCTATTCTGTGCCTTCATGTCCTCATTCGGACTATATTTACTGTCTTTATGCAGCGATAAACTACCGCCACGCTCTGCATCCTTCAACGCAATAGCAAAGATAACCTATCCAACTGCAGCGATGTACTTTGATTTGGCAATAGCGTTGAAATGCTTTGGTGTGAGCATTTCTTATCTTTTGATTCTCGGTCAATTGGTACCGCCACTAGTCACTTCTTTCTTTCACCACCTCACACCTTCACAAGTTGACCCACCTAGCTGGCTTCTATCGAGGCATTTCTGGATAACGGTATTCGTGATATTGCTATCTCCATTAGCTAGCATGCGTCAACTCAACTCACTCAGGCACACGTCATATGTCTCTATCTTCAGTGCTGGATATCTACTCCTTATAGTGGTATTATGCGCAGTACATTCACCAATACCGCTTCCACCAGCTGGTAATGTTAGTCTAGGTAGATTTGATGCAAGTGCAATATCCAAGTTCCCAGTTTTGGTACGTCTTTGAAGGCTTTTTCGATTTTTGTTGATTTTTCCGTAGGTATTTGCATTTACATGCGCACAAAATGTACGTCGATAACCTTTTAAGTTACTGTTTTAACAATAATTTCAGTTCTTCCCCGTCAAGAATGAGTTGCGCTCGAATACTCGCTCGAGAACAACAACCGTGATTGGAAGCTCAATAGGGTAGGTGAATTTATCATAAAAAAACGCTATTGTCTAACAACGAATCAAGTGTTGCATCAGGATTATATGAGATCATCGGTGTTTTAGGTTATGTTACATTCGGAGATAACGTCAACAGCAACGTAATGTCAATGTATCCAGGTGAGTTAAAAGGGTTTGACGCGTTCACGAAACTAAGACGACATCAGACACATCAATATTCATTTCATTCGGAAGACTAGCGATAGTAATCCTCGTTCTATCCTCATACCCATTACAAGTACATCCATGTCGTAACTCACTCGATAAAGTGATAAGAACGAAATCTGAAAAGGAGAAAGCATTAGCTTCACAAGATGAGGATAGTGAAGATGACGAAATAATAAAACATCCACCATCGAAAACCAAACATACAATTTTAACTATATCAATTTTATTATTGACTTGGGCAGTTTCAATGGTCGTTACGCAATTGGATAAAGTGTTAGCTTTCGTAGGCAGCACCGGATCAACTATTATTTCATTCATCCTACCTGGTTTATTCTATCGTGCATTAACACTTAATGACGACGAACCAAGTCGTAAATGGCTTAGAGTTGGTAGTAGACTCCTCATATTTTACGGAGCATCTGTTATGATATTCTGTCTTGCATTCAACTTTTACGAGTTATTCACAAATTCTACTTCTACATTTGTATAATGAGCAAATTCATTTAATCTTTTCATTTTTGAAGTATGTATATTTTAACAATTTCGAACCTGTAAATAGGAGAGAATATTTAAGTGATTAGATATTATTTCATGCGTTTGACATTTTCTTATTGTATAATTACCGATTATCCGACATAGCTTAAAATGTCTCTTCTTCTTCTTCACCTTCTGGGACTTCAAAGCCCTCCTAAAGAGTATGTTTAGTCGTATATCTTCAAGTGTCTTTAATCCAACTCACTTCTGTTGAGTATAAGATTTGCTGAATCTGTTGGAAGGCTTCGCTGGCTGGAGTATCAAGAGTTTCTGGGTTATCAAGATGCTTATGGATTTGTTAGTTGAGTTCATTTCTCTGTCAAAAACATTCCCCACAGTTTCTAGAGCGATCTTGGTTAGCAGAAGTACTTTAAATCAACATTATGTACTCACGGACTAAGATTTCAATGTCACGAAGCTAATCGGGATTAATTTATTTTCAAATCACTCAGCGTTAGTCTCACCTTTGCGAAATAAAAGTCACGCTCCTATGAGTCAAAAAGTCAGAAAAGACAAACACGAAGAAGGCCAACAAACCTTTTCAAGTGAATCAAAGTTAAGCTTGAGGTCATTCATTTGTGTACCAAGTGCTTCAATTTGGGCTTCTGCGGCAGCGGATGGTGCACCCCCACCGCTGAGCTTGGCTGGTCGCCGTGTACCAGCAGAGGAAGAAGTTCTTGGGGCTGAACCGGTTGATGGGGCCGTTGTAGCGGCAGCACCTGGTGCACCTGCTCTCCTTCCAGCCGCGTCATATTCACCACCTGGGAAGTGCTCATCCCAAAACTTCTTAAACCATTGGCAGAATTCGAGGTTGTCTCTGATAAATTGTGAGATAAGATTGAGTATTAATATTAGTTCCTTACTGCATTTTGCATTTTACGAGTGCAGTGACTGGGATTGGCTAGTCGTTTAGTCAGCAATTGTATGTGGTCTGATTTTTTAACCTACTTTGCTTCTGTTACAGCGTTTGAGAGTGTTAGAGTGGTTATACAGATATACTCACACTAAGAGCAGACGTTAGTTGGTTTATCATTTCATATGACGAAAACCACTCACTTTTGTTTGTCTGAGAGGTATTAGAAGAAGACATAGCAATATACGAGTACTCACTCTGAAAGCAGTTTGAAGGATTTTGAAGTTGTTGATGTATTCGTATTCCTTGAGAATGGATAAGATTGATAGCTCATTCTGGTATATATAATCTCACCTGACGAGCATTAAACTTTACTCTAGAAAGTGGCACATTTTCTATCATATATTTGTAAGAAACTACTAGTTCTCCTCTGAAATAACGAAAACGCACGGTAGATTGAATCTAAAAGCTGGCAATAAATAGCACCAGTACCACATTGTTCAACTTTTGTATAATTAGCGTCTAAAACGCCGTTAATCCATTGGATAATTTCTGCACGTGAAACGCTAGGGATTGACATTCTGGTATCTTTTACTTGGTAGTCGATAGTCAAGAAGAAATAAGTAAACTGGTAAAATATATATTAAATTATTACAAGTTAATTAAGTAAATTTGCCGTCATCGTACTTTTGCTTGTTCCAGCTACCGTCATCCCATTCAGTTGAAGAAATCGAAGGTGATGGTGTAGAGCTTGGGCTAGCTGTGCTATCTGATGGTAATGGAGCGAGTTGAGCGTGGTAGAAGTTAGCAGTTGAAGTTGGTTTGCTGCTGCTTGTCGTGCTGCTCTTTGAAGCAGCCATTGACATTGTTTGTGATGGATAGAGCGTTGTAGCGGTAGAACTAACATAGTCAACGCTAGAAGTGCTTGAAGAAGTAACGTTTGGTGCTAAAAACTGTACTTGGTATGCATCTCCAGTCATATGAACATCCATTTCTGCAGCACTGTAGAATCCATCAAATGACGCACTCTCAACAACATCAGTTGGCTTCCAGACTGAAGGACCTGGGAATACGTAGTTGTATGGATCAAATGATTCTTCAACGGTTTGTAATCCTTTGTCTGTAGCCGAGTAGGCACCTGGAATTTGTACGGTATAGTTAGATGAAGGGAATTCATCTCCACCATTCTGTATGTCTAATGCAGCGCAAGCTGGGAAAAACAGAACAGGGTCTTGGTCAATAACAATGACCTCATGACGGACAATGTACCTATCCTTGTCAATATCAAATCATGTCTTAATATTTTGACTCACTTTCCATCTTTCAAGGTTGATGGTATTGGAATGTATACTCTCTCATCACCCAAATGAGATTGCCACCAATCGCCTTCTAAATCAGCGGCTTTTTCATCAATCTTGAACCAATCTAACGTTGTAACGTCAGACTCTTCGCAGTTGTTTTCACGACATTCGGCAAGGTATGTCATGATTGGTCCAACCGTGTGCTTCCAATCGTCACTCCACTGGATTTGGAGTTTGCTACCAGCGTCGATCTTTACTGGGTGGTCTTGATGTTGAACGGAAGCACCTCTACCACAAGTAAGGTCGTGCGAATCTACATCCTTGATCGCGATCGGCTCACTAGCTTGAGCGGCTCTGATCAAATCAGGTGAGACCATTTGACTTTTTTGAGAGGACATGCTGAATGGCATTGGGAGTGGGGCTGCAATGACCGGCATTGCGCCAAAGAGGGCTGATGAAACTGCGAGTGAGATTTGTTGGAATAACATTGCGTCTTCTTGTAATTTGTTTTCTATATCTACCAGAGATAAAAGTAATCAAGACCAGTTGATTAATGAACGACCAGCGAAGTTAAGGAAGTAAAGAAAGTTAAGACCCCCTTTTATAGTAATTCCGTCTATACCGAATATGGTAAATAAAAAAACGCGCTAAAATGAGATCGACAAACTAAAAAAATTAATAAAAGTGATAATCTACATATAATTACAATATCGATTCCTCCAAATTACTGTCATTCTCCTTATTGACAGATTCCTCGTCGTCTCCATTAGGCATAAGCATTTCGCGTGTTATTTTTCTTCTTGGTGTCATTTTGTAGGCTTCCGATATTCTACCACCTCTTACTTTAGAAGCTGAATCTGGCTTCCGCATGTATTGTTTCTTAGGAGTGAGATTTTCGATCACAATAACGTCGTCATCATTTGTATCGTGATTTCCGGAACGAGTATCTGGGTGAATGTTTGGTGAATGTTCGGAAGAGTTATCTAAGCTTGGTCTTTTGTAGATATGTGTACTTGAGTTTGGGGGATGTGCTTTAACTGAAAGATTCTTTGGTGTAGCCCTGAAAATAGTCGGATAAGCGGCTGAATGATCTGCATATGGCATAGCTGGAGCATTTGAGTCTGGTTCATCCATCGTCTAATCCAATATGTTAGTAAACGCGTTATAAAACTTCTCGAAAAGCTCACCACGTCCGGTAACTCGGTTGGCTGCTGCTTTGGACTATCCATATCATTGAGCCTTTTGCTCACATCCTGAGCTCTCTCTTCACGCTTTCTCTTTGGACTGTAATACTTAGTATGTGCCAATTCCGTATACTCTGACTTACTTCTCCTTAGTAGCGGAATCCAAAGCTTGTACGCGTGCCAGGAGGTCATTAAGAGGCTTCTTCTGAGCTGATTACACGTTAAACTTATGTTTATTTACTGTTATACTGAACGAACGCGTATAAATCGCTGACATACGAGATTCACCGATAAGATCCAACTTGACGAAATGCCACCAACATTCGTAATAAAAAATTAAACTTTTAAGGGAATTTGCTAACAAATCTTAGATATACGATTTACCACGCAATCCAGCTATAGCAGTTGGATTACCTATTGCTTTAGGATCACTCTCTGGCGCCATAACCAAGTCATCAGTGGATACATGGTTCGCTGGGTTGAAGAAGCCATCAGGACACCCACCAAAGATCGCCTTCCCATTAGTATGGACATTCCTTTACGGTGCTATGGGTTATGCTGCTCATTTGACAGCTTCCCATGTGAACACTCCATTTATCGGTGACGCAGCTAGGGATAACTTACAACTGCAATACATACAATTCGGATTAAATATGCTTTGGACTCCGTTATTCTTTGGCGCTAAGAAACCCGTCTTAGGATTAATCAACATTACTGCTTTGTTAGGTACGGTTATTAAGATTACAAAGGATCTAAGGGGAATAGACTCAACCGCTCATTACTTATATTTGCCTTACTGCGCATGGTTGGCTTATGCTACTTACCTTAATGCCGGGAGTGAGTGTGACATTATGACGTATGATATATTACTGATAAAAGTACATTAGTTATTTATAAAAATTACAACAAATGAGTCAGTATCCTTGCTATGAATTCAACGTTTTGATGTATCCGATCAAATTCCGCCGAGGGTATCTTGTCTTTATATTTACCGACGAATTTATCAGGATGGAAGATACGCATGAGATCCCGTATAAGCTTCCTCTGTTCAGATGAGCTGATGATGTCTAGTTGGAGGAATTTCGTGATACTCTCGCTTGAGATATCCTTGTCAATCGAAGGGTATTTGATGTTCTTGATAGTGATTTCATCAGGGGTGTCCAACCAGAAGCGCCTGAATGATATCCTATAATTCTCTATATCTTCTGCTTCTTTCTTTGATTGTTTTATGGCGCTCTCCTTTAGTTCACTTTGAATCTGTTCTTTAGCCGCTTGTTTAGCTTTCTTATGCTTGCCAGCGGATGACTGTCTCGATCTTCTTGATTCCCTATCTTGTTCAGCTTCTTTCGGATGGTATCTTTGCCACATACCAGCTCTGATTCTCTCCGCATAACTCTCTTCGTCATCTAAATCGTTATCGCTGTATGAATCAAAGTATTGGTGCTGCCATCTATGTGGTATATAGGCTTCAAATTCGGCATCCTCGTCCGCAATATCAGCTAATTTACTTATAAATTCCTCGTCCTCATCACGTTTGCATGCCTTTCTTGGGGGAGTTATTGGCTCATCAAATTCTGCATACCTTGGTGGACTAACGAATATTCTTTTCTTGTAAGTCTTTTTTAGGTTATTAATTTCGTCCTCTTCAATTTCACTTTTCGTTTTCTTAAACTTGAGTTTATTCATTCAAGAAATGACAAAAATAAGTGAGGATGATTTTTATATTGGTATAATTGGTATGGGTGATATGGGTAAAATGTACGCTAGAAATTTCAGTAAAGCGGGTTGGAAGTGGGTAAATAGCTCTTATCAGCTGCAGTAGCTTATCTATACATTAAATCAGATGCGTCGTCTGTGATAGAGAGGAGAACTACAACACTTTACTAGAGGAGTTCAAAGATACTTCTGTTGAAGTCGTTAAGAACGGTCATTTGGTTTCACGTAAAGCCGATTTCATCATTTACTCAGTCGAAGCGGCATTCATTGACAAAGTAGTAGCAGAATACGGCTCATGTGGGTACACATGCTCTTCATTTATGTGTACACCTGGCTTACATATCTAAGCTACCAAAGTTGGTGCTACCGTATCCGGTCAGACATCCGTGAAAGCACCAGAAAGAGCGGCATTCGAGAAACACTTACCAAAGGATGTGCACGTTGTTTCTGTACACTCCCTTCATGGCCCTACTGTCAGCCCTGAAGGTCAGCCATTGGTAAGTGTCTAGCTTTGCGTTTTATTTCTCCTCATCAACTTCAGGTTCTCATTCAACATAACTCTCCGGATTGGGTTATGCGCAAAACAGAGCAAGTATTTGACTGCTTTCGCAGTCGATACGTATATCTCACTTATGAGGAACATGACATCGTCACTGCAAACACACAGGCAGTCACCCACGCAGCTTTCTTAAGGTAAGTATTCAGCCAATTCGTTCGTTTGAAGCTCATCATATCTCTAGTATGGGTACAGCTTGGAACATGTCGCAAAGCTATCCATGGGAATTAGATAGATACGTCAACGGAATTGAAGTAGTTAAATGCAATATCGCTTTACGTATATACGCCAATAAGTGGCACGTTTACGCCGGTCTCGCTATTTTGAATCCAAGTGCACATGCTCAAGTCAGACAATTCGCAACATCTGCGACCGATTTGTTCAAGTTGATGGTAGTAGGAGACTACGAAAGCTTGAAACAGCGTGCTTTGGAAGCAAGAAGAGCAGTATTCGGATACAAAGATGGTGTAGAACCTGGTGCAAATGGTGAAAAATGCGAACGTACACCAATATTACTCAGTGACACACTTTTAGATAGGTTTTCTTTGCATCAACCATCAAGTCAACACTGCTCAGCTAGAAACTCCCACCTTACAATTCTAACAATGGTTGATTGCTGGCACAAACTTGGTATACATCCATTCGATCATTTGGATGTTGCTGGCACACCATTATTTAGAATGTGGATTGGTGTTGCGGAATATCTCTTTAGGTCACCTGAAAGATTAAACCTTGCTTTGGAATCTGCAGCGTATGACACAAGTCACAGAGCAGACGATACGGAATTTGTCGTCGCTACGAGAGGATGGTCAGAAGTAATTGAACATGGTTCATTTACTCATTATAAGGAAAAGTTTGAATCAACTGCGAAATTCCTCGAACCACGCTTCGAAGAAGCTAACAGAATGAATAAGGAGATGCTCAAGGTGATTATGGAGAGTGGTGCACCAAAATCGATGAAAACACCACCAAAGAAGTTAAGTTCACTGCCATTAGTGAAGTAATTGTAAATTATTATGCATTACCTAATTCTAAAACACTACTTCTTCTTCTTGTTCTTCTTCTTCTTACTGCTGCTGGATTCTGAAGGTTGCTGGCTAGCTGGTGGTTGCTGTTGTTGTTCAACTACTGGAGGAAGTTCGGGTATTGGTGTATTTGACATATTGTAGATCAATGTACGGTTGAACTGCTCGAATCTATTCAAAATTGAAGTTGATTGGGTCTTGTACTTTAAGCATTCATCATTGTTGGTAGATTTAAGCACTAAATCGCCTTTATTCGATCTAAACTTGAGGCAGTAACGATACTGAGTAGTTCAGTAAAGACAGAGATATTAGTACAGCTATACACACCCTCTTTGGATCTTTGTTAAACATTTCCAGAGATTTACTTTGGTATTCTTTCCAGCTTTTTACATTAACCATGCTTGTATCTATTCAACCAAGAACAGCTAGAATGATAACGAAATATACAAAAATTTTGAATAGTTTACAACGTATTTATTTATCATCCAGCTCTCCTAGTCATTCTATAGAGTCAATATCTCAATTACAAGCTTACGCCAGATCACTTGGTTCTGATGACGCTGTCAATCAGAAAACAAGCGAATACGAGCAGAATTTGAGAAACGCAACAGCTGAAGAGGTAGTAGAACCGTCAACTAGTGCAAATACTGTTGATGTTGAACCTATAAATCTTGTAGAGAAGACAGACGAAGTTACACCTCCAATAGAAGAACTAGATAAGGGAGCTATATATCAACCTATAGAACCAATCCATATACCTGATTCACAGTCATCACAATCATCACAACTAATACATACGCCCAGGTACACCAAAGTACCTTCCTCACGTATAGGCAGACTGTTTCACTACGGTGGTTTGGCTGCAGGATTGACATACGGTACCGCGACTGAGTATCTTAAAGGTAACGATCGACAAGGACAGTCATTGTTCCTGTCGGAGGGGAATGTCGACAGGTTGGTTAACAAATTGAGCACAATGAGGGGTGCGGCACTCAAGCTTGGTCAGTTTTTATCTATACAAGATAGTCATCTTCTTCCACCTCAGATTGAAACCGCATTGTCGCGTTTGCAAAATAGAGCAGATTACATGCCAAATTGGCAGCTCGAAGCTGTCCTTTCGAAAGAGTTCGGTCCAAATTGGATGGACAACTTTGAAGAATTCAACAAAGTACCTATAGCAGCGGCTAGCATCGGACAAGTACATAGTGCGACCCTTAGTGCAAATCATCCTAAACATCCATTGATGAAAGTTGCACTCAAAATTCAATTCCCGGGAGTGAAGGAAAGTATTAATTCTGATCTCAACAACTTGAAGATTCTCGTAAGCGCTAGTGGCATTCTCCCACGTGGTCTCTACTTGGATTCTACTATCAAGGTTATGAGAGCCGAGCTCGCGGATGAGTGTGATTACCTCCGTGAAGCTGAATGTGGAGAACAATTCGCACTTAACCTTGAGAACGATCCTGAGTTTAAGTGTCCAGTGGTTGTTAAAGATCTGTGTACTAGTAACATACTTACAACAGAATTTATGTCTGGTGAGCCACTCAGTCGGGCCTATGAGTACGATCAATCTACAAAGGATAAGGTGAGTATATTATTTCTAATTTAACAATGCTAAATGTATCAAAGATCGGTTCAGCAGTTATGAGACTCTGTATCAGGGAGATATTCGAGTTTAAGCTCATGCAAACTGATCCAAATTGGAGTAATTTCTTATGGGATAAGGAATCGGGCAAGGTTGGTGTATTTTCAAACGAACTTCATTGATGTTGACCGGTGTATACAGATAAACCTTATTGATTTCGGAGCATCAAGACCATACACTGAGGACTTCGTGGATGCATTCGGAAGGCTCTTATTATCAGCTGGAAATGGTGACAGAGAGGAGTGTGTTAATTCATCCCTCAGATTGAGATACCTTACTGGCGAGGAGAATGATGTAGGTACTTATAGTGCTTTATTTGATACGTTTTGACGTCAAACAGATAATGATCAATGCACACATCGCATCAATGTTGGCACTTGGCGAACCATTTAGACAACCAACAGCATACTCGTTCAAGAATCAGACTATTACTGATAGAGTGAAAGAACAAATACCAACTATGCTTAAACATAGGTTGACACCACCACCTAAAGAGACATACAGTTTGAATAGGAAACTCTCAGGTGCATTCTTGTTATGTTCACGATTGGGATCTACTGTTAGCTGTAGAGATATATGGGAGGAAGTTACAAAAGGAAGATACGATAAATAGATAAATTTGTAGTCATTTTATTGATAAGTTATATGTTTCTGGCTTTCGACTGTTCAGTCAGGGTGATAAGCAATCATGTCAGCCAAAGGTAATAAACGGTAGAATAATAAAATAAAAAGCTAACGAATTATTAGAAGTCGCAATGGAAAGTGAAGAAGAGGAAGAAGAAGTCGATGAATTGGCATCAGAAGAACCTTCTGAGTTGGGATCACAGGATGAGGAAGAAGTAGAAGAGGAAGATGAGGATGAAGAAATGGAGGATGATTTCGACGATGATGACGAAGACTCCAAGAAACCAGCTGCGAGAAGAGGCCGTCCACCTGGATCGACAAACAAGCGGGCGAAAGGGAAGACAGGCCAGAAGAGTAGAATATCAGGACGTACATCTACCCGTACACGTCAGAGGTCGCGTTCTGAGGAAATTGACGAAATCAGCAGTGGTAATGAGGAGTTGGCAGACGAGGATGATTCAACATCGGCATCAACGTCAAAGAAGGACAAGGAAGAGCAGCGTCTGACTGCCAGACAGCGAGCAGCCCTCAATGATGGTTCAAGTGAAACTCCTGAACTTATGTCTTTAGACATTGGCAGACAGCACAAAATCATACTCACAGAGGAGGAACAAGCTCTTAAGAGGGCTGAGCTGCTAAGAAGGAGAAGACATCAATCGGATCAACGTTTGGAGAATGAAAAGGTGTGATTTTGCCTATGTTTCACTTTCAAAACGCTGACTTAGATCACCAGACGGAGACGATCAACAGGTTACTCACGAAAACTGCTTCTAAACGTCGTGGCAGGAAGGAGAAAGAGAAGGAAGATGATGACGATGAGAATGCCTCAACTCAACCACTATCAGAGGAGAAACCAGAAGTTTTGCTTGCATACAGATGGGTGAGCAATAAAAGTGGCACAACGTTTAGTGTATTATAGTAATTTATCCATTTTACAGCAACTTGACTAACATTTTCATTTGATCGACAGCAACGCCAATTCCATCAATAACATCCACACGTTGATTTGTTTTTTCCTGAAGTTGTTGCTTGATGTGGGCAGACTTTCCAGCCATACCCGCACACCCAAGTATGATGGTACGTGCTCCCCTGTCTACTAATTCTTGAGCACACTGGATCAACTTGGCGTTGACAGATTCCTCGTTCGCCGTGCGTAACTCAACTACTGCAAAATCGCTACATGTTGTGCCCACATAACGTTCACTTGAGCTCGCGCCGATCGTGTCCCTCACGGCATTCTCAAATTCATCTATCCAGTGCGTAGATGTAGTAACAAAGCCAAATTTCTTCGCTGGTGACAATAGAGCAGCTGTAATAGAAGCTTCCAATACGCCTATAATCTGCTTAAATCTATACTTCTCTTTTAACATCGGTATAAGTGGATGTTGACTAAAACAAGCGACGATAACACCGTCATAATTAGTGTAATCTCTTTTGTAACATTCAATAGCTGATTGTACACCGGTGGCTGTATCATTTATACTATTAGGTGCTCCTTCTGGTGCTGATTCCGTCGTTATTGTGGCTTCCTCGTTATTGGCGCTTGCGACTACATTTCTCAAACCCCCTGTTACTTCCTTTGAGGAATTTGGATTCAAAAGTAGAATATTTCTCATTGTTGAATGTACGAAAATGAAAGATATCAGTTATTTCAGAAATACGTCAGAGATGGGAGCCCGCTTTGCCGACTGAGTTTCTATAGATAAGCCAATTGTATTCCTTATACTTTATTGAAAAGTTTGATAGGTGTTGCCTAGAATGTTCGTCTACCGCTGTTGTGATGTTACGTCGATTTGCAACTCCACTATCGACGGGGATTTACAGAACTAGAATACCTTTAATAAGAACTATCAAGAGTACTTCATATACTATGGTATCAGAATGTGTGTATATCCATTGTACAGCTTATAGCTTTCATACTTAGATAAATTCAGCTGAGTGGCAAGCCAAACTCTCACCAGAACAAGTGAGTGCTTTTTTAGCTATCTGAAGGTGTCTTAATAGTTTTTAGTTCCGTGTATTAAGACAAAAAGGCACAGAAAGGGCTTTCACTGGTACGATTATCGTACTGCATCAGTTATGACGACGTTGATAAGGTCACGCAGGTGAATATGACAATCACTTTGATAAAGGTGTATACACCTGTGCGGGATGTAACACACCACTGTATAAATCCGAGTGAGTGGATGATATAAATGAGACTTTGAAAGCTCATACCGATAGACACAAAATGGTTAGCCATTGTACGTACACATTCTAAGCAATACTTTCTAGTTAACAACATCAAGGTGGATGGCCTGCTTACTTCACTGTAAGTTACTACAACATGCGTTATTCAACCTCACAGACTCCACAGGCTCTACCAGGAAAGATTAATAGGCATGTTGATAACTCATTTGGGATGAAGAGGATCGAAATTACTTGTGCTAACTGCGATGGCCATCTCGGACACGTTTTTGAGGGTGAAGGATATAAAAATATGGCTGGTGAGAAGGTAAATGACCGTCACTGCGTGAACAGCGTTAGGTATGTATCTAAATGAAAATGAAATAGTTTATCTAAATGATACACAGCCTGAAATTCCTACCAGAAGACAAGTAAATGCGCATAATGAAATTTTTCATGAATAATTCTTAACTTTTACAATACATCTACTCTTGCATGCGTCCTGACTCAGCCTGCGTTCTACCAAATTCATTAGCTTCATCGTAGAGTTGGGCAGGTACATGAGCGTGCTTATATTGCGAATCCTTACCAACCCAACTGATTTCTAACTCAAATCCTTTGTCTTTTGTTGGATCATGAATTAAGTGAATAATTCTAGCTGCTTCAAATACAGCTTGATGCATTGATAATTCATCGAAATTCAATTTCTCTAATTCAGTTTGGGCTAATTGCTTTCCTTTACCAACTGCAGTTGCTTGGTATCCCCAATACAAACCAGAAGGTTCGATAGCGTATAATTGTGGACCATTCTTATCATATGAAGAAATAAGTGTGGATATACCGAATGGTCTTACTGATGAGTATAGAGTGTAAGCGTTTAAGTAAGATCCCAATCTATCTGAGAGTTGCTTCAATGGAATTGGTGACATGTAATTATCACGGTAATTCTTGCATTCTTCTCTAGCTCTAGTTTGAAGGTGCTTTCCATCTGCACGTAATCCAGCTGATGCCTATATAACTAAATTGAATGTACTACGAGGGTATATAATAACCTACCAATCCAATGTGCATATCAGCTGTTAAAATACGCTTTGCTGTACCCGGTACTAGGAGTTTTGAGTCCAATAACTTCTGAGCAGCGAGGATAACGCCATCTTTTACTCTTATACCAATAACGGTGCTGATAGTTTATTAGATGGATTATATAATAGTAATAAACTAACCCTGCGTTCTCGACTGCCTTATTTGCGTACTCAATCTGAGGACAACGTCAGCGCTGAATATATGGCAATATAAAGAGAAATACCTGAAATATTCTACCATCTGGTGAATAAGTTGATGCAGATAAATCGTATCCAGTACCTATACTAGACATTTTCTAGACTGATTACGTGGGTGTTGAGTGTTGTGAGAAAACATCCAACTGGATGAATTCAGTAAATAATAAATATGCAGTATACTTTAAATATGATATAAATAATCCACCAGAGAAGTTACACAACTCTACACGCTTCATTTTGATCTCAGTGAGTTTTCAAACATCGCAGAAGATAATGATATTCATCACTATAATAGGATACACACAATCGTACATTTCATATACCGGATGGTGATATTCTCATTCATGCGGGCGATCTCACCTTCCTCCATAAAGTAAACTATGATATCACCGCTAGATGGCTAATAGAAGAATGCGATATCAAGTATAAAGTCTTCATTGCTGGTAATCATGATAAGTTGTTACTAAGGGATGGCAAACCCTATTCAGATGGTAGCTGGAATGTCGATTTTGACACTGATTACGACCCTCAAGCTATCGATAGTCTTTGCGGTAAACAAGGCGTATCTAATGGTTTATTTTACTTGCAGAACAACACAAAGAAGTGTACTGTAGGTGATAGGACCTGGAATATATTTGGCTCGCCCTTGTATTCTTCTAGGCGACCGACAGAACATGTGAGAATGATGCTAAAATACGTCATTAAACTGACCAATCGTGAAGACAGCTAAGGAAACTTTAAGTGAGCAGATCTGTAACACTTTAAGTTTCTTCTAATCGTCTACTAGGGATTGTTAATAATTTCCCACCAATGGACGTACTGTAAGTTGCCCTAATATGTGAATAATAGCTCACTCCCTTAAGTATCACGCATGGCCCACCACGTGATATATTAGACAAAACCAAAACCAATCTCAACGTCGGCTGCGTGGAGCTGACGGAAGCGCTCCATCGTTTGAAGCCAATTTTACATGTATACGGACATATACACGAAAGTCGCGGATATAAAGTCGTAGAATATGATGATAACACCTTCACGATACACGTGAATGCTGCTAATAGTACAATTAGTAAATTCTATAATGAAATTGATGATGGAAGTGATGAATTAGATGCTGTAATTGTAGATATTTCTAATGAATAGATTATTCCTCTTGACTCTCTTGTTCTTCTAGTCTCTCCTTTAAGGCTATCAAATCGTCTCTCTCATCCATGTACTTTTGGCAAGCACTTTTAAGGGAGTCTGTACCATCGTCTATAGTTTGCCATTCATTGCGCATTCTATTGATTTCATTTTCTAAATGATTAACCTTTTCAAGTATCTCACCGTACAAATCTAAATCCTGATTGAGTTTATTGAGGTGTACTTGGTATTTAGATTCATGTTCCTCGTCTATAGATTTCTCAATTTGTTCAAACCATTCAAAGAATTGCTGAGGGGTTGTGATAAGCTGATTTGGGTTGATCGTCTTCGTCGCTGTTGCTGTCGTCTGTGGTTGCGGTGTGCTAGCTTCCAATGGTGTACTCAAATAGGACGTGGGAGCTTTGTTAGCCAACGGTTTAGCGAACTAATGCGTAACTAAGTAACTGAAATTTATTAAAACTATTAAACTACGTACGCTATCTGGGTATGGGCGTGTAAATTCAGCGCTAGCGTTATTGATAACGGCTAAACTCTTCTTTCCGGATAAATTTAAGGGTGATTTAGACTCCCATGCGTCTAAAGTCAACGTTTTCGGTTTTTGATTCGATGGCTGCATATGACCAGATGAACGTTGGTCTCTTAGCTTTAAATTCAAGGAACAAGTGCAAATAAAGACCGTTGTTAAAAACAACGATGTTTTTACCTTTATTTAGCTTATTAGGCGCTACAGCAGCTAGCTCACTCACGTATCAGCAGCGTTTAGCCTATGCTGGCGATGACGGTGTGAACATTGCGTTCAATACCAAAGGAAACAATACATTACATAGTACACCAACGGTGTTTTATGGCACATCAAAGGATGATTTAACTATGCAAGCACAAGGGCTTAGCTCAATCTACCAGACTTCTCTCTCAACGACACACAAAGTCAAGCTGAGAAATCTCAACCCAGATACACGCTACTTCTACCAAACCTGCTTAGATATCAACAATGAATGCCCTCGTTCTGATGTTCTCTCATTTAAGACTACAGTTCCAGCAGGTGACCAACGTGAATTCAAATTCGCCGTTTTGGGTGATATGGGTGTTATGGGACCTTTAGGTGGGTTTTCTTTGTTAAACTGGCAAATTTCTAATTTCATTCTAGGGTTATCAACAGAGGCTCCATCAAAAGTAGAAGACTACGCTAGGTTAGACGAAGGAGAACGCTCAACTATGAAAGCGCTTATCGACAACAAGGATAAGTACCAATTTATAGTCCATAATGGTGATCACGCCTATGCGGATGATGCAGGAAAGGTAATTGCTAAAATTTTATCACTGAAACATATTAACTCCTCTTAGGAAATCACTGCTGGATACATCGAAGACATCCCAGATGAACCACTTCTTCAGCAAATGAGCCAAACTTATGAGTTAATCTTGGAGACTTACTTTAATCAAACTTCACAATTTGCCAGTAGTACCCCATACATGGTTGGAGTGGGTAACCATGAGCAATTACTTACTGAAGGTGAGAACACATGCTGCTTTAAAGTAACAACCTCACTAATGAAACTTTAGGCAAAGAATACACCGATCCAGAGACTGGTGAGAAGATCTTGATCGATGATATACCAAAAGGACAAAGAAATTTCGCATTTTACAAAGATCGTTATTTCATGCCTGGTGACGAGAGCGGTGGATTGGACAACTTCTGGTGGAGTATTGAAACTGGTCCACTTAAGTACATCCAAATCAACACCGAAACAGATTTAGGCGAAGGTGTAAAATCACCTGATGAGAAACAGGATCCAGCTCAAGTGAACCAGGGTGAACCCAATCAACAAATCAAATGGCTTGAAGATCAACTGAAGAATGTTGACCGTGATGTCACACCATGGGTCGTCGTAGCTGGACACAGACCGTGGTATGGTTCATTAGACGATTGTGAGGGATGTGCCGACATTTTTGACCCTCTTTTTACAAAATACAATGTTGATTTGGTTTTACATGGTCATATTCACCTTTACGAAAGATTAGCACCAATATCTGGTGGTAAAAAGGATAACAACGGACTTAACAATCCAAAGGCACCTTGGTATATCATCTCAGGTGCAGCTGGTCATTATGACGGATTGGACGAGATGCCAGATGAAATTAACGAGAATTCTGAGAAGATCATTCAAGGCGAATTCGGTTATGATGAGATCACTATTCATAACCGTACACACCTTACTCATGCTTTTATCGCGTCAAAGAACGATACTTTGTTTGATGTTCAAACTCTCTACAAGGCTCATAAATTTAATTAAAACACGCTATAATAGCTTCATATAGATATACGGATTATTTGGACTTTACTACTTATTTTTTTTTTCTTTATTTAGGATCGATTATTTTTGTTACACACTTCGACACATACATAAATCAATCAGCTAGTTATTATTTTTTTAAAACTTAGAACAACCATAAGTTATGATATCAATCCTTGTGAAGTTAGTGGCGAGTTTGACTTAAAAAGATTAGCAATTACCAATCAATCTTGAGTTTGTCAGGTTGCTGTTGTTGGCTGCTAATGAATTAAGTTTATTTGCTCTCAGGGCTTGCCCCTACTTAGACGATCATATTATACATTAAAAGAGAAATTAAGGATTATGAACAATTAAAAGTGAGACACTTGTAGATAATATGTTTATCGTTACAAATTTTCATCAATGTAATTGAAAAATCACGTCCATCAGTAGTATTATAGAACTAAGTGCGAAAGTATAAAACGAACTCCCCATGCTCCTATTTAATGTAAAAAAAAGTGATTCTGGTTTCACAAACATAAGGCATGTTCTTCGCTATGGTTGATAGTTATAACAAAAAAGGAAAAAAAACCGTTGGTTTATCATAAGAACATGCAGTGACCTCAAGATTCGGATACTTTCAGGAATGTTTAAACAGGCAACAGAGTGCCATGTTTCTTCACAAAACATTCTGAAACCGCTTCTAGCACACGGGCACAAATATACTAAGGGCGTACACACCAAAGGAAAGCATTATCTTATCATCTAATTTCATTAGCTAAATTATTACCAAGAATTAAAATGAATCCATGATAAAAGCGAAAAAAACCAAAGTAAATTGAATCATCGAATAATTTTAAAGGGTATTGAAAGATGTTTGGAATGTACAATGTTGTATTAAGCAAATTGAAATTAAACTGGCTTGTAAAGAAACCAGGGAAGTGATTTAGAAAGACAAGATGATCTTTGATGTTCGTGTTTGGATGATTATACATGAACTAATCTGACTGAATTAACTGTAGATAAATAAATTGGTTTCAATTGAATTGATTTAAAAGTGTTTTCTTCAAGAATTCGCGCTTTGTGAGTTATAATATATCGCAATTTACTGCTCTTCTTCAACGAAAATTGCAACATAATTTTCTAGTATAGTCTCAATAGCTTTACATTGATACTGCATATCGGCCAATGCAGTACCTTTAGCTTGTTCTTCTGGAGGTGGATTGAGGAGTGTTGGTCCAAATACTATAGCAAGATTGGAGGTGTGCATTGAATTTACTTCATACTTCTCTTTTACCTTGTCCAGATGACCCATGAGGTATTTTAATGTGGAATAGTTGCAATCAGGTAATTGATTTACTGTCTCATGAAGCTTTATATGTCTCAATCTATCATTTTCAACTTTAGCAGCCTCGACGAATTGAGCATAAAGTGAGAAAGTGAGAAGCGGCTCAGGTAACTCTCTAAACCATTGTTTGACTACACTAGCGACAACGTTGATATCCATTGCTTCCTCTTCTTGGAATAAATCAATGCCATCAACGTCTTGATCGATTTTAGCTTTCAATGATTGCACTTTCGACGTTGTTCCAGACAATCTATAGATACCTTGACTCTTTAAACCTTGAGCTTCTATAATTTGACTACATTTTTCGACGACTGTTGGAATTTCAACGTCATCTCTAACCATTTGATCTGTAAGATCAATTCCGAATGTCTTTTTAGCTGGTAAAGGTGGTAATGAAGTAATACTAGCTTTTGGTGTTTGATTTTGTGAATGTGAGGCAGATGGTATACGTGCATATGAATGCGATGGAGAGAATGCTTTGCCTTGATTTTCATATTCTGGTCCATACCTAGTTGGTCCAGTTGACTTTGGTTGTGCTACTGCGAAATTCTGCATAAATGTCTTGAAGTCTTTCTGGTTATCAATACGTTCAACTAATGATCTCAAACCAGGTCCATCTTCTTTCGCTAATGGGGTAACAGTTACACCTTCATTAAGAAGTGCATTTTCTAACAAGAAAGCGTAACGTTCTAAATGATATTGAACGCCCAAATCAATTTCATCTGAACATTCCTTAAGAGTTCTGACGATACGTGGCATGTAAATATCCCAGTATTCTGAGCGTAGGTTTGAGCTTTCTTGTGCGTTACGTTTGAAGGAGTCACTTGCTTGTGAAATTCTATTACGGATATCCTCTTCCTGTTTAAGAATTTGACCCGGATTGCGTCCTCTAAAGAAACCAGCGCCTTTACGCATCTTGGAGAAGCCACCCTTCTTGTCTGCATAGACTGACGATTGAGATGATCCAGCATTGGCATTAGCCGCACGCGATATTGATCCTTCTTTTAAGCTTTCGCCTTCTTTGATAATAAGAACGCGTTCCAATTCCTCTGCGACAGTATCGAAGCGGTGCTTGCTTTTCTCTGTATTAACTTCAGCTTCTTGGAGGAGTTTCTCATGTCTGCTGCCATAATCCTTTGCCTAAATGGTATTAGCAGCTGACATATCAGAGGGTTTTACTCACTTGTTTTCGGCTCTTATCAACTTCTTTGTGTAGTTGAGTGAGCTCATCGCTGATCTCATTGAGTCTGGTAGCCAATCTGAGTTTGCCTTCTCCAATGGATTCATGTAGACGCATCATATGATGCCAGGATTCGACGAAGGAGCTGCAGGGAAGTTAGAAAAGAGAATGAGTAAGAGCAAAAACACTAACCCAGCCTTGCCTTCTGTGGTACTATACATCTCAGATGTAGATTTAGCTAATCTGAGCATTTGTCTACCATATTCCTCCTCAATTTGAGCTTTCTTTTTGAGGAAAGTGGAAGCTTCTTTGCAGCTAATCATTGATTGTTTTATACGTTCTAACAGGAGAGGAATGCCGCACTATGGAGGGTGAGCGACATAAATTGTAGAGTGTAAACAACAGACCTCCAATTCACATAACGAGTTGTAGATGTTATCGTCAAAGGTCGTTGGTACAACTTCATCTGGGAAAGGTGCACCTCGAACTCCACCGGGAAGCTCTTCGTCGCCGTTGCTGCTGGGATGTGCAGTCTCAGCGTTTGATAGGTTTGAGATATCAGTTGGGAAGGTGTGAGAAGTAACGAAAGATTCATCAATTGATTCATTTAATGGCGTTGGTGGTGTACCCAATGCAGCGCCATCAGGTAAATTTGGTAGGTTGTGGTTTATGTAACTATCAGAGTTTTGCTTAGAATGTGAAGAGGATGTTCGTTCAGGTAATTTATTATTCTCCATCGTCGTTAATTTATAAGGGAATATCTCCTTAAATTAGAACGTCGAGATGGAAATAAAATTAAAGCCAGAAGCTTTGAATTCGAAGGAAATAAATAAATTCAGGGATTCTAAGAGGTTTCTATTCAACGACCAGTCAATAAACAACGAAATTTTACTGTCCATCTCTTCCTTTGAAGCTCTTAAACAATTAGAACACGATAGATTGCTTTATTTCGCGACGCATGACCCTTTAGATCAACACAATAGAAAGTTCATCCACGACATTTACCCTATCTTCACTTCTTTACAGCGTATACTCAACCTCCAGCAATCTAATTTATCTACCTACGCTAGAATATCAGATTTATATAAGAACACTCTGGAACAGCACCTTAGCTCTTGCACAGCTGATAACCTCCTCCATTGGGCTAACGTCTATGCTATTTGGTCATTCACTCAACTTCTTTACTTCCCATTCGACGGTCGCGGTGAAGGTGTCATCGCTGAAGAGCTTCTCGATTGGATTAACAGAGTAGATGTCGCACCAACAAGTGAAGAAGGTTTGGAAATCACCTCCGCTAATACCCCGCATGAACATGATAACTTCTGGCCATATATCTATAAGTGCATTATTAGAGGTTTCCATAAAACGGCCACCCAACCTCTCCACTCGTTGTTATCACATCAAACAAAGTCTATAAGCAACACCGCTGAACGACTCATTTCACTTTTATACACGTTCCCCCGTTCAACTAATTATCAATTCGAGCATGATTACTTCTCTGCTCACAAAGCATGGAGAGATGAAGCCAAGCGTACCCTCTCTAGTATAGCCGATTTGTCTCAATATGCCGATGAATTTACAAAAGATGTCTTTGATGATATCACACTCGCATTACAACTTCTTTGCGGCAAAAAAAGCAAGATTTTTGAAGTCGCGGATGATTGGAGGGAATGTCTTGCTGCATATGGTCTATTTGTCATTCCGTCACTCAGACGTGACGATATTCCAAGTGTATTAGAGGAAATATTCAAGGAGGTACCATTAGACACAACATTACCAGATCAATGTATTGAAGCTGCTCTTGCAAATGCTGAAACAACCAAGGTGAGTTTTTGTATTACTTTTCTCTCCATTCTAAACGCTCATTAGGCAATCACATTGTGTAATGAATTCGATCCATGGCTTGTTGCACACTTGACTGATTTACTCGATAAAATCGGAGCTGTAGATCATGATCCAGAGTGAGTGATTCATTTTTACTTTACTTCCTACTAACAAGATAACTCAAGATTTCCTTTAACATTGAGACAACACTTTTTACTTCAATACGCAGACAAATTGGCATCTGATCCTGGTCTTTGGACAATCACTCTGGATTATTATGCACAGTGTGGTGTTGAAGGTGCAAGCAGAGTGAGAGCATTGATCGTTCGCGTTCCACTCCTACTCGACGTCAAAGGTGACAACGACGAGAAAATGGATGGAGATGATGTGTTCAATGAAACTATTCAAACTAACTTGCCAAATCTAACAAGAGTTGAAGAAATTCTCTCAATTTGTCAGGAATATGCATTGGAAGAAGAAGCTTCAGAGGTTTGTAGAAACGCAGCTGAGCAACTCGTCGAACGTGAATACTATGGTTTAGCAGTTGCCTTCTGTATTAGAGCGAAAGAGGCACGCAAACTTGGTAGAATTACTGATCTCATTCTTGAAGAATACTTGAATAAAGGTGAGCGAATATTTTAGCTTGGGATTCTCAACTAACATGTACAATTAGGCGAGAAAGTCTTCAGCAGTTTAGTAGACTCAATTCCAACATCTCTCCTCAACGTTACGACATACTCAGCTGGCGATATGTTCGATGACGGTCATAGTAATTTAGAAATTGAGCGTGATGGTACACAAGATGCATCTGCTAGAGCTCTCGCTAGAGATCCAGCAGTCTCATCAAGGTTGGCTTTCCTTGCCCGTTATAAGGATTTCCATAGTAGTCTTAAAAAGGACGATAAGGAAGGCGCTGCTATACTCCTAGTAGAGATGCTTACAACTGAGATCGCACCAAAGCGTTTCTGGAGTGTATTGCTCGCTGATGCATTGCCTTTACTTGAAGGTACAGTTGTAAATGCATTGATAACCACAATTCACTCACGTGCTCTCTAGATTCTGAAGTTTTATTTACATTAGAAGATGCCTACGAATTGTTGAGATTTTTGGAGGATGTACATACAGGTGTACGATCAAACAACGAGAGAGAATACTTGGATCCACTCGCTCGTTTGTTAGCCAAATCTGAAAAGCCTTCCTACGATAAAGCTCTAGCAGAATTAGAAGTGGTCAGGTTAGCATTAGCTAGACATATAGCGAAATGCTGCGTATTATTTTGAGTTGTAATTTATTAAACATATTAATTTATAAAAGATTGAATGATATACGATGAGATATATTGTTACAATTGATTAGTTTTAATGATATAAATATTTAAATGCTATTATTTTATACGTTCTCCAGAGTTTTATGCCATTCTATTACTCTTCTATGTGCCATTACCTTCTCAGGTTTGAAACCCAATATTTGAAGACCTTCGAGGGACGTTGCACGTGAGATTGCGACATAACATTGACCTCTTTCGAAGATAGATGAAAGATCGACTTTCACTCTCTCGAGTGTCTGTCCTTGTGATTTATGTATAGACATTGACCAAGCGAGGATTAATGGTACTTGATTCCTCGATGCTTCCACTTTACCATTTATTCCTTCTGTTTTCCATATATCAGGGACACATAACATTTCCCTGTATCCGCCAGATGGTTGAAGAAAATGAACTAAGGGGTACGCAATACCTTGCTCCCTTTTTGTCGGTTGACCAGATACGGTCGCCTCACCTTTTTTAAGTGATGATGCTAATGCTAGTGCTCGAGCTTGATGTACACCGTCGTTTTCATCTTCTAATTCTTCCATACGTCTGCTATTTCCACCACGAGTGTACGTCACTGCATCTATAAAGTCTACAACTCTACCTAATGATCCGTTTACCAAAGTTTCATCTATATTCTTTATTAGCATAACTTGACATCCGAGTTTAAGATGTAACTGCTTAGGGGCCATAAAGTTTGAAAGCACCTTATCACGTTGATCAATGGGTAATTCACCAGAGTCTAATGCTGTATACGTCTTTGTATCTCCGTCAAGTTGATTCATACGACCAGTGTTTGATTGATCGACTTGTTGTCTCAGTGGGTAGAGCTCCGTTGGCTGTATTTGATCATCGAATTGAAGTGGCCTTGAGAGTGACCTGAATGTCTTGATAGATGATTCTGATAGTTTACCAAAACGCATTTCGTTTAACATATTGATGAAAGCTGAAAATTGGGTGAGATACACTCCATAATAAAAAGATTACACCTACTTTCATCTCTTTGACGGAAAACCTGTCTAAGGTTGATTGTATGTGCGATCACACGTGTCCATGATTCAGCATCAAAGCAGAAATTTGGTGATGAGTTCTTGCTCACAGGTGGTAATTGAAAGAAATCACCACAAACTACAATCTGAATGTTACCAAATGGCTCAGGACGTTTTCTGATGTTTCTAGCTAACGCCTCGAGCTTATCGAAAAGCTCACCGTCAACCATGGAAACTGAATTGGGTCAGTAAAGTGTCCGATTGGTATATAACTTACGAACCTTCATCAACAATCAATACTTTCACCCTTGTCCAGCGTTTGAGTGCCTTGGCGTTCCGTCTAACTTTCTGAGCAAGTGAATTTACGTTGTCAGTGCAAAGGCCACAACCAGTGAAAGAGTGGAGTGTCGTACCACCAATGTTACATGCTGCGATACCAGTTGAAGCAGTGATAGCTACACTTTCAGGACCTTTCTTAAACTTTTTACGCAAGCTTGATATGATTTCTCTCAGAAGGACAGATTTACCGGTACCTGCAGAACCGGTGAAGAAAACATTCTTTCCCTCATCTACAACCATATGTAAAACCTTCTGTTGTTCGTTTGAAAGTCTGAGTTTACGCTGTACGAGCGGCTGAGGCGGTGGTTGAGCTGCCGGTTGATTGTTTACTTTTGGTTTTTCGGATGGCTTAGAATCTAACGCGTTTTCTTCCATATCAGAATCGATTAGAACAACTGAACGCTTAGGTTCTATGGGTTTGAGCTTCTTTGGTGCTCTATCATCGTTTGATATCGTTGAATTCGAGTTTGATGCGTTTGATAGGGCAGCCATGATAGCTGCACGACGTCTAGCTGCACCTTCAGCCGCAGGTTTCGCTGGTGCTGGCTTTGGAGCTGGTACTTTATTCCGCGGCGGACTTTGGGACCATTCGAAGGGATCAGAATTTGGTTCATCTGCTGTATCATCCCAGGAGCGTTTGAAAGACTAGTTTACAGTAAGATATAGAAAAATATAAAAGTTATTATGGAAACTAACGTTTATTTTCGAATTCGTCTGCTTTAACGGCGCCATCTCGCGAACAACTCAATCAAGTTATAAATGAAAGCAAGCACGAGTTTAAAAGATAAGAAAATTCTCATTCAAAATTATATGGTTATTGTACAATCTACTAATGAAGATATCTACTTTTGCTCATCTGCGCTTTTAGCTTTCTCTGAGATGATCTTTGCACCGACCTGGGAGATATTAGACGGATTTAGAGATATACACCTGACCTACATTTCTGACGTTTTCCTCTGCGCGTTCAACACCGAGACTCTTTGCCTTTTGGTAATTTTCAAGTGCACTCTCGAGATGACCAGCTGAGAGGGTTGTTAACTAGAGATATGGGAGGATGAGGGTACCCACAGGCTTCACTAACTACAGCCTACTCTATGTGTTAGCTCTGGCTTATTATTGTCTCTTCACTCACCAAATTGAAGACAATCTCACCATCTTCTGGGGAAAGATGTTTGGCGCGTCTAAGATGGTCAATAAGGTAGACAGTACAGTAGCGACCTACTGAAGGTGGTGCAACGCCTTCTCTGGGTTGGATGGGCTCGAGAGAATGTGGGCAGATGCAATGTTCGTGTGAGCATCAGCATTTGATGGGTACAACTTGATAGATTGTTCCCAGGTCTGGATAGCAGCTGGGATATCCTTGCTGTAAAACTGCGTAACACCCAAATTGAACAATCCCATCGCTGTTGTTCTGATATTGAGAGATCTCTCGTAGTGTTCTTTAGCTTTCTCCAAGTCACCTTCGTTAAGTAAACGTGTACCCTCCTCCATTTCTTCAAATGCTTCTGATTCTGCAGGATCGACTGTAGATGAAGCACCAGACGTAGATGCCCATCTGTAGCCGAAGAGTGGCTTAGTTATGAGAGGTCTATTAAATTGTCTAGTTGTAATAGATCTTGATAAATTTCTTGTTATAGCAGAGAATCTATACATTTTCTTATGTTGAACGAATCGGTGAGGAAAGCTCCTTCTTCTTCTCCTCAGATTTGAAAATGTGGCCATTCACCAGTAATACAGAGAAAAGTGAGGGAACCAACGTACAGAATATTGAACAAAATACTACAACTACAAATGATCCAACTTCCAATTTATCTGCATCATCAGCACAAGACGTACTCTCAATAGACCCAACTACCCTTCATCCAATGGCAGACGTTGGTGATAAACTTGATTATCTTTTATTAGACGACGATAAATTATCGGAATTACCTGGCTCAGAAACTGCCTTACCTTCACGTGGCTGGACCGACGATTTATGTTACGGCGTTGGTACTACATACGTTTCAGGTGGGTCAATGGTGCTTTTAATATTACACCATCTAACAGTCCATAAAGGTTTAGGTATTGGTGGTTTATGGGGTATCAGAGAGGGTATGAACAAGAAGTTGGCTGCACCTGTGACAAGATTGAGAATAAATGCAATCTTGAATAGTGTAACTAAGCGTGGATCATTCATTGGTAACTCCGGCGGTGTTTTAGGTTTGTTGGTCGTTATGACGTTTCAAACTTTGCTGATCATCTCCAGCGTTGGTCTACAACATCAGCAATTCAAGTTTGGATAGTATAAGGGGCAAGCATGATGTATTAAACTCCATGGGTGCCGGTGCAATCTCTGGTGCACTGTTTAAATCAACAGGTGAGACTTTGGTCATCTAAGACAGCGCAGTTTAACTTACGTAAAATAACAGCTGGTCTCAGACCAATGGCAATATCAGCAGGTATATTAGCATCCTCAGCAGGTGGCTGGACCTTGTTTAAGAGAACCATTTTGTAAATTTATAGATACATAATCATCATTCAACCATAATAGCGCACATTAATAATATATGGAGATGTACCTAGCAAAATTTTTCAGGGGCTTGCGCAGGGGTCTCAGATAGAGAGACTTGGAAATTCAAATTAACAGAATAATTATTTAATTTAATAATTTATATTTTATTTTGTTTATTTGGGCGCGAATTATTGTATCATCGTGCATAAATTGGCTGTCCCAGCCCGTCGGTCCTCTTCTTAGGACATCAATCGAAAGCTTTAAACCAAATCAGGGCGGTCAGTTTGAAACAGTCAATGATCCCCGGTTCGAACCGCTGTGAGTTAACCTTTAACCATCATAATGTCAAAACTAAGTGTAAATTCACTAGTTTTGAGCCCGAGGAATGACGACGACGATAAAGATGTACAGTTTAGTTCACAAGATAGTTTAAATGGGTGAATAATAGTTTAATTACACAGTTTATTAGTTGACATTTTCCCAGTCGCATGCATTTGTTGGAAATCATCCAGTCCCCGCTAAGATCGGCAGCTTTTGGTTCTAGTTACTACAGTCGACTACCTCTCGCACCACCATTAGTCGTGCGGCTATTGGTTAAGAATACAGATGGCAAATACATTGATATGTAAGTACTTTTGCATTATCAGCCACACGTATTGACCGGTAAAGTCACGATGAACTCCCTTTTTACGTTTGTCACGCTTCACTCCTATCTGAGGATGGTAGTAAAAAGTTAGATTTCACACAACTCAACGATGAACCAGAGAGTGCACCAGTTAGAATGCTTTATGGAGGTTTAGTAACAACACCCTATGTCGTACGAGGGGAAGTAGTTTTTCCATTCACAGATCTAGGTGTAAGATTAACGGGTATGTATCGATTCAAATTATCGCTTTTCAGATTAGCAAGGTACGCATGATGTTTATTAAATGTGATCTTATAGTAATCTATTACAGACCAGGTTCAGATATCAGCTCAAGCACCGCGTCCGAAACATTATCGACTGCGATATCGGATACTTTTGAGATTGTTGATCTAGATGATTATGAAGCTCCGGGTGAGTTTTTTTAGTAATTCTCAATTTTCACTAACACGCACAGCTATCACAAATTTATCTTACGAGTTGCATTCAGCTGGCGTGCCCGTACAGATGCCCAGTCAGCAACACTCTATTTGATCGCAGTTTATTAAACTAATCAATTAATGTCCCAATCCCAAATGAAGGGACGTGCGTGGAAGAGTTACGAGACATAGTACAGACCCGGCCGAATCTGAACAGGTTAAACAGGTTTAGTTGTCTAGTCAGATCTAAGCATTTGCTGCATATATTGTATAACGTGTATTAATATCCATTTAGTCATCTGTTTGACATTTTAGTCCTTACAAAATACTCTACGAATAGGAACATTAGAATTTTCCACGTAAGATATATACACATTGGCATTTATCTGTAGTCTTCTTTCTCTTTTGTTCACAAACTGACCACGAAATAAAAATGATTTTCTATTTATAGTCCAAGTCAACCTTGTCTTCGCACTCTGATTAGAGCTATCAATAGAATGTCCGCAAACGACGTGAGTATCCGTTATATGCGTTTCTATATCTAAGACAGTATAGTATTACAACCAAGGTGGTCAACAAGGTGGTTACTATCCGTATGTATAGTCTTATGTACACCTTCTCAACTGACCGGAGATCAGCCCACCTCCACCACAAGCATACGGCGGACAAGGATACGCTCCTCAACAACAGCCATACGGAGGCGGTGGATATGCACCACAACAACCAGTAAGAACTCTTGTTCCAGTTTCTTTCACCTGTCTGACACAGCTTAGATGTATGTCCAACCACCTCAACAAGAAAAGAAGAGTGGTGGTGCAGGTAGCAGTGCCTGTTGCGGTTGTTGCGCATGTTTGGCTGGTATGTGTGCATGTTGTCTTTGCGAAGATATCCTCTGCCTTGAAGCTCTCTGTTAAAGTTAGGTGTACATACCACCACAGATATCATTTAGAGTTATACAATTAAATCATTCATTCGTTTTCTTTTGGTTCTTTTAGAATTTTTTTTATCTGCTTCCGGATTTCACATCCTTCGTACCTGTAAATAGTTTGGTCTTCGTTGTAGACAAAGAGAAAATGTGAAGGGTTGATAATATCATGTTCCCTAGAATAACGATATCTATTCAATTCGTTCGCGTTTGCATTTATTCTAGTGAATACGTTGGCTGCTAACGAGTTATCACGTAAGACAAACTTTTGATTGTTAGACCTGAATGAGTTTGAGTGAGCTATACATAAACAAAATGATATTGAAAGTGTTACTGCACTTTTGCATTCATTGATACCTATTTTATCTAGATTCCTTTTGTCCGCTAGCTTAATCATAGTTCCGACTGAAACTGTTGAGAAAGATATTAGCTATAAATAAGCCCACAATAAGTTACAATAGTTATCAATACGGCAAATTCAATGTCAGCAAATCATTAATTTCGATATAGTATGGTGAATAAGCATGGAAGTCTAGCATAACATAGGTACTATCGAGATCGTCGAATGTGTGCATATAAGATTTTGATAAACGAATGGGTTTGATAATCTTTTCTACTTAAAGTGATTTATTTCTAATCACAAATTCAAAATATAAAGAAAGGTATAAAAGAAACAATAAATTTTAAGAGAAACAAAAAAGCTGTAAAACGAAAGTAATTACATGGTCTATATTACTAAATTATCATCTTCATGAGAGTTTGGTTTGGTTTTTGTATGCAAAGAAATTAATGCAATCGATCATTAACTGATTTAAAGGTAGGCATTCAATCCAGCTTGTGCAACTTGATCCGGAGTTTGTTGGTTGATAGCCTTGATCAATTCAACTAATTCAGCCTTAATGTCTTGTCCAACTTGTTCAGGTAATGATGGATCAAGAACGTAACTGAAAACAGCCAAAAGTTTTGGTAATTCTGGCATAATCAAGTTTGCGTTAGATCTGAATAATGTGAAGATTGCTCTGAATACCGGACCATTTTCTAACAGATCATTCTTTAATGGTAAAACACCGATTAAAACTGATAAAACTTGATCTAATGGCATGGCAGCTCCATTCTTGATGATCATTCTTGATACTGCACCTGCTGCATTGTCACGTGCGTTCAAAACTGCACTTGGTGATTCGTTACCGACATCGAATAATGGCTTCAATGCTGATAAGATCATCATGTATTGACCAGATAAATCAATTTCACTGTTTTCAACCAAAACACCAGTTGCGAATGCAGCGTTTGATCTAACTTCAGCTTCATCATCAGTCAATGCAGTCAAGATCAACTTGAGTACATTCTCAGTGTGTGGTGTAATACCTGATTTTAATCCAACGATGATTTCTCCAATAGTTCCAATGACTGATGATCTTTCACCAACTGCTCTACCCTTTCCATAGAATTTGGCAATCAATGGTAAGAATGTTCCGAAAGGTTGAGAGAATTGTTGACCAATTGATGTTGCTAATGCGCCAACCAAGTCACCTGCTGCTTGAATCAAAACTGATTCGTATTCTGCGTTTTCAACGTCGTCTTCAATTTCATCATCTTGATCTGGATCTTGTTGACAGAGTGACTTGCCATTTAAGATCTCAGCGGTTGAGTTGCATACACTTTCGACACGACCTTCTCTCAAAATGAATGATGGACCCATCTTGTTCAAAGTTTCAGCGAGTTCTTGTACAATAGTTGTAACAACTTGCTTGTCATCTTCTTGTGCCCAGGCATCGAAGATTGCAGGTAAAACCATCTCGATAAGCTTTTCAACGTTCTCATGGTATGGTGTTGCGATACCTGCTTGCCATGGGGCTGGTGATGAAATGTCGTAGAATGCTGACATGAAGGCAAACAAACTAGAGATGGCACTCTTTCTAATACCTTCGTAGTAGTGTTCGAGTTGTTCGACTAATTTTCCAACAGACTCTTCAACGAATGGCAAGAAGTTTGACTTTGTGTTGATGAAGATTTCACCAATAGCATCGGCTGCAACTTCCTTCTCAATTGCCATGGCACTGTTGACTGACAACATCTTTTCTGGGTCAATGTCTTCAATGTTTTCTTCACCAGCATCGAACAAACCATCACCACCACCTTCAAGGTCATCAGTTTCATCTTGGCTCAAACTACGCAAAAGTGCTGGAACGACGTCACCAAGGAATGGTGAGAATTCTTCACCGAAGACTCTAGTCATGACAGTGAAGAAGATGAATGAGCATTCACGTAAACGTGGTGAATCAATGTTCATACCAGCGTATGCTTGTTGCATAATGTCTTGGAAAACTGGTCTGAAGACTTCAGCGCCAACTGCTTCAGCGATAGTTCCAACAGCATCCATGGTGACACCACGAAGGTCCATTTCTTCACCTTCCTCAGTTAATCCAAGGAATGGACGAATGAGTTGGATGGTTTGTGTGAAGTATGGAACGAATTGAGCCTTGGCAGCGTGTGCAGCTGAACCAATTGCACCAGTGACGGTACTCTTTACTGCTAATGGAGCAGTTGATAATAAACCAACTAATCTTTCCATTAACATTGGGAGATATTGGTTGATATCATCACCAAGAACTTCCAAGAGCGCGTCAAGAGCGGTACATGCTGGACGTTGGGTGGCTTCATCGTTCATCAAGTTGAAGACCAATGGAAGTAAAACACCGTGTCTTTCAGCAGCTTCATCACCAAGCATGTCACAGACGCAACCCAAAGCAACACATGCAGCTTTGCGGACAATTGGTTCGGCGTCTTGTAAACCAGCATCGATGAAAGGCCAGAGCTCGTCAATGTGTGGTCTAATAAATTCTGAGCAACCTTCAACAGTAACACCGAAAGCCATCATTGCTGATTTACGGAGTGGTGCTTGTGGTGAGGTCATATATTCACGCAACTGTTGGTAGAGCGGTGGGAAGACTTGTGAAGGTGGTAAAGATGTTGCCAATGTGTCTAAAACACGGAATGATAATCTTGAAGGTGAGTCTTCATCAATATCGTCTGGATCTTCTTCAGCACCGATTGGAAGCAAGCGCTCCAAAATTGGCTTGGCCAAACCGAGTGATTGGATCTTTGACTTTTTGTATTTGACCGTCCAGAGCAAGCAGTTAAGACACATAACTCTAAGTGAATCATCGTAGTTGCTGTTTGAGGCTGAAGTCAAGAAGAATTGAACGAGATCTGGTATAGCCTTTGAAAGGAGTGGTGCTTCCTGATGAGATGATGAGACAAATCCACAGTGTCAGAATAGAAGAAAACTCACTATAATTAACATGGTCTCGAAAACATCAAATCCAGCTTTGACGGAGTCTTCATGACCAGCTTCTAAAGCTTGTTGGAGAACAACAACCATAGGTTCAATGAGACCTTGGAAGGTTTTCTGAACATCGGTTAGAAACGCGAAATCATGAAATTTAAACCTACGATATCATTCTTGTCATCGATATCAATGTATTCCGCAACTTTTCCTAAAGCTTTAAGAGTTGTGACCCTAACTTCCAAGCTTTCTGGGTCGGTAATGCTCTTAGCGAAAAGTGCGAAGAGTGAAGGTAAATGGCTCTCAAAACCTTCGATGATAGTTTCAAGGAGAGCGTAGAGAACGAAGATACCAATTTCACGGTGAGCAGCGTTTGCAGAAGTTGATGCTTGTGTGAGGTAACCAAGGAGGTCTGGCCAGGTGTTGAGAGGAAGTTCGATTTCAGCGATCGCAGAAATGACACGAGCGCAGGAGTGACGAACGAGGTTACTATTATATGCTTAAATATATACTCCTGCAGAAAAAAAGAAGACACGCACCTGTTCTCTACTAAGATAACTTCGAGCAAACGTGATTTGATGGAAGTTCTAATATCTTGTGGGCAGTTCTTCCACAAATTACCGTTTGAGTTTCCAACTCTCTTACGCAATTCAACTGCAGCCAATTGTCTAACTGGATCCATAGGGCTGGAGGCTACAACTTCGAATAAGCCCGGAATACATTCTGGTGATTTGTAGTACTGAGCGTTCAATGTAGCTGTCGCATTCTTAATAATTTGGGTGTCTGGTGCGACTGTCTGCTCAAGCAGACTATGGAGATTTTGAACGTAAGCCTCCATTGATTAATGGGTTGGTTCAAGATGTGAGCCTTGCGTCTTCTTGATTTTGAAAATTTATAAAGACAAAAAAATAAATTAAAATACTTAAAATGTGTGAATAATGGTATATATTCAGTCTATTATCCTATATTAGTTGTCTCATTCGCTCAGAACGATAATTCAGAACGAAGTCTGAGCTTTGAATGATCTAAGTAGAAGGGTCTACATTAGAGTTTATCGATTAAGTCAGAAGACAGCTGTAAGGCTCCACTTTTAATTTCATAGATTTCTTGGTAAAAAAAAGGGAAACTGAATAGCTTCATAGACCATCCCTCGCACTATGACCTATATTGCTTGAATGTTACTTGGGCTAAAAAATTACCCTTCACGGGTTCTTATACTGTGAATCACTAATTAATCCCCTCGGGAGGTTTACCGGACAGAGTCACTTGTCGAGGTTGTCAGCATCATATGACATTTGTGCCTGAGATTAATACGGAGATATAAATTTGCTACTTTTCTTCTTCAGCTCATCAAGATGAACATAGTCGACGAAAAGGATTTAAAACAAGAGTACGAGGAGCACGAAGTAGCTCCAGATGGTGTATTGAGACACGGACAAACTGTTGACTTGGAGACTTACAGTAATGATGACGAAGAATTTGGTGGATATGAGAACAGAAAAAAGATGGAACGCAAATTGCTTTGGAAAACTGATGCCAGATTCGCCATTATGATTATCAGTGAGTGAAAATTTTATGTATCCGTCCAGCTTAGCTAACCATGGCTTTTTCGTTAATTCCTTCATCTATCCCTTCTATTAATTACAATTATCAGTCTATATCCTCAATTACATCGATAGAAACAATGTCCCGGCGGCTCGTCATCAAGGTTTAGAAGACGACCTAGAACTCGGATACGACAACAGATACGAAACTGTTCTGTCTATACTCTACGCGGGCTATATTGTCATGCAGGCGAGGATTCCGTTATCGCTCTTTTCTGACCTCTG